GTATGCACAGCACTCCTGAGCCCAGTGTTGGGGTCAGTAAGTATGAGAGTCGTGTCTCCGTTCCGAGAGTTGTGGATTTCGGTAGACATTACGACGTCGAACGGTCTTCCCAGAAGCACCTTGTAGGCAACTTTAGGGATGACATGTAATTGAAGATAGGCGATAGTATTGCCAATCTTGAAGGGTACGTTTCGTGCTAGACCCAAAGTCTTGGCTAGTGATTGGTTCGCCGATTGCAAGAAGACAGTTATAGAGGGATCATACGAGTTGTTCTTCTCTTTTGCTACTTCTTCAGACATTGAACAAATCTGGGAGCCTGGATCCAGAAGAGACTCTTCTATTCCAGAGGAGTTAATCTCCGGGTAGATAGCTCGTAATGGAAGGCTTTCCCTAGCTACGACTATGGGTCTGGGTTCTTCGTTTTCAGGCAAAGATTGTACGTATTGTTCGACCGGATCCAGGCATATGATGGCGCCTGGTTCGAAGTCGACGTCATCTTCACCTGCGACTTCGTACTGGACCGTCGGTAAGTCGTTCAAACTTATAAAGTTTTGTGATAAGACTTCCGGAGAGGTCGGTTCAGCTACTTTGCTTTCATCGGACGGCTCCTCGTCTGTTTCGTAGTCTGACAAGTCTAGTCGCCCCGCTAGCTCTCCTGAGTCCCACATTTTAAAGAGGAGACAGGCATGCTTGCAGCGTCGTCTTTCGTCGTCCGACACGTTATAAACGAACTGGTTCAACAACTTTCTCTCTAGGATTAAGTCGTCACCATGTCGAGGCACTTTCCGTTTTGTCACCATCTTTCTCAAGAACTCACGCGCTTCATTCGAAATGCCCATAAGTTTCTGAAGGGAAATGGGGAATTCCAGCTCCAGGAGTTCTTTCCCAATCTTTGCCACCGAGACGTGCTCCTCAAGCAGGCGCCTTCTTGGAAAAAGCGGGGCCTTGTCGATGAGTCGCCACAAGCGGGATCAATCGGTACGTCCTCCTTTTCGGGTGCGGTGCTAACCGCTTTTGGTGTGTGCCTCAGTCTGTTTAGACTTTGGCTTAAAGGTTCCCAAGGTATGGGGTTTTCGGTTGGGGACTTGCACATACGGTCTCATACCACTAGGCGTGGGTGCGGCCGTTGTAGTTGTCTCCTTTTTATTTTCCACTTTATTCTTCTTTTTCACGACTTCGTCATCAGGATCGTCAACTTCCTCTATTGTAACTCGTCTAGACTTCGGCTTGGTCATCCTGGCCTCAGGATCTGTACTACTGCCGGCCGAAGCTTTTGAAGCAGTAGACTTTTCCGTCCTTGGTCTTAAGGAAAACCCGACCTGTCTCGGTCTTGAGCAAAATACCGAGAGGTTCTTGTTCATGTCTCCCAGCTTGTCTAGTTGCGAGTCGAGGTCGTCGTCTCGTTCCTCAATGGTAGGAACGCCTTCAGACTTAGAGTCTTTTCGATCCAGGAGATACGTGTGCACGATATCCTTGATCTGAGAGATTTCCGTCTGCATCGTGTTAAAGTCTCCATAAGTGGGACCGCGGCTGCTCCCATAATCTTCGCCTCCATGGGATGAAGACTCAGATTGAGCCATGGCTTTGCCTTGCAAGTAAGCTCCTTGGATTGTCATGTCCGCAACTCGTTCCTTTTGGCTACGGCCATCGGGTGAGAAGGCAGAGATCCTTTGGTGATTGGAAGAGAGGTAGACTTCTGAGCCTTTAGTGTAGATCTTCTTTTTACGAAGATCATCTAATCGACTCGGGCACCTCATGACCCAATGATCTGTCCCATTGCAATAGAAGCACTGCTGGTCGGATGTTCCCTTCCCAGAGTCTCTGGACCCCTGGTTAGATCGCATCCTCGACGCGCCGTCCCTATACTGCGTTTCTCTAACCGAGTTTAAGTTATGCGGATTGGAGATTACTATGTCTAGCTTGCCCGCTAAAGCCTCGGTCGCTTCTGCGTTTTTACGGCTTTCAGCCATAAACTGCTCCTTTGTTTCGCGAAGAGATTCTACAAACTTCGCATTCACTCGTTGTTGCTCTAAGACGAACTGCTGTTGTTCTTTGATCATGGCTTTTGCAAACGAACGGAAATCACTGTCTGTGGGTTCCGACTTCACAGCTGCCGCTGGAGTAGAGGCTGCCGGTGGATTTCGATAGAGGTTTCGATCATAGTCTCTATCCTCTGAAGAAGAAAATCCGCCGTAGGCGTTGTGAGCTCCAGTTTGCCTGGTCAAGTCTTGTGCAATTTCTAAGACACGTCCCCAAGGTACCCTATCTTCGAGCGTTTCCCCATACCAATCCCGTTTGCTAGTCGTACCGGCTGCCTCTGTAGCAGGTTTAGACTCTTCTAGAGTGAGTCTGAACCGTAAGGCGTCTCGGAAGTTTGGACTTAAGCATCCTAGGATGTTGGAGACTATCTCTCGGTTGGTGACCAGAACATGTCCTGTCTCTTTCTGCAACGCTTCCAGTCCTTCTGCCTCGGGTCGGATAGCTAAGGCGAGTCTAGCCATTCGTCCGACATTTACTTGGGATATCTCGCGATGGCGTTTAAAGACATCCATAAGTCTAGGTCGACTTCCGCGGCTTAGGCCTTCTCCTTCCGGATAGTACCTGAGTACTGCTCTTTTGAAATCGTTCCAAGTACTAGTCGCATACTCTGGTATAGCTTCCCATTGTCTTTTCAGAATAGGGTCGTCTATATAACGAGTCGCATAGATTTTCTTGGCTCGATCGGTTTTGACAATGCCCTTGAACAACTGCTCCAAAAGCTCGAGATACCTCACGACGTCCATAGCATCGTCTTTGGATAAGGTAGGTCGATCCTTTTTCGTAATTGAAGGCATGTCTTTATGAGGGATCGCCTCATCCCCAGGAGAAACCTCCTTAGGGTTGAGATTCTCTACGTCTGGCATTTCTACTCGTGTGGGGGTTGGGGTAATCGAAGGGTGAGTTCGAATAGGTTTAAGAGGTCGAATGGATTGTGAAATCCTCGTCGACTTTGGTGCGGATGGCACTGAGGTTGTAGTAGACGTGTTTCGTGGGGGAGTCTTTGGTAAAGACAGTCCTTGTGGAAACGCGTCTTCGTCAATCGAGGCGTTAGGAGTCTCGAAAGGTGGATCCTCTTCGGAAAGAGATCCGTCGCGTCTAGCACCGATTTCTTGAAGTCCTTGGAGTGCTTTGCGTAGCGCTCGTTCAGACTCAAGTCCTGGGCACAACTCCTGCTCTCTGGCTCGCCTTGGTTTTACGGGGCTGAGATGACCTCGACGCCGTGGTATCCAAAACTACGCTTTGTTGTTTCCAAAGGAAGACAACCAATCGTCTCGTGTACGTCTCTTGTTAGACAAGTGACGACTTCTCCTCGACTTGTGCGAATACCAGCTAGGCTAGCAATCGACTACACTCCTCTTTTGTAAACTGAAGCAACCCCCTCGCGGAGGGCTCCAGATGATGCGCGGTCAGGGGTGGGAGGCTCTAAAACCACACACACACCAACCGAACCGGCAGGTGAAGGTAAAGAAGTAAAAAGAAATGAAAAGGCTAATCCTCTACACCCAACCAAAGACTACGTCTAACGCCAAATGAAGTTAGACTTCACCCAAAGGAACGACGGTATGTAGGAAGGCACTAGAACTAAACAAACCCTTAACAATGCAAAGGTTCGAAGGGGGGTGCACGGGAGTGGGCGGACAGTAGGTGAGAAGGTAAAAGGTAAAACAAGAGCTTGTAGGCTCAAGGCGCGAAGTGATAAGTCGTGCAGAGGCAGACCACTAGCTAGACTAGGGTACCACCACCTCCTCGCTACTGAGTAGTCGAGAAAATACACAAAAGAGGTCAAGGAGACACACGCCGGTGCTCACAGAAAACCAAAGTCGAACACGCCGGGACGACTGTTACCAAATCGATCTACACCGAGTCGAAGTGGCCAAAGAATAACCCAAAAGTCGATCTACGCCGAGTCGACAAACCTTTAACGTGCTGAGTCGCGCCGGACTTCACGGAGTCTTATCCTGGAGAAAAGCTGCCAGCGATAATCTGTAGAATTCGAGCGAGAACTAGCTAGCTTTTATACATGAGGAGAGTGTTTGGTGTACTAAGGCTGTAGACAAACAAAGACGGAAAAACCAGGAAGACTAGGTAAGACAGGCAGACTAAGAGAGACAGAAATAGAACAGAAGAAACACGAGCTTCGATAGATAGGATAGAAATAGAACGGTTCGAGTATTAGGCGCTCGTAGACGCGCGGTTACTTTTGCTTAGGCTTGCCTTATTAGGGCAGCCGAGGACGGCTTGTGGCCGGGCGCCTTGCCGTGATCGACGCGGCCATGACCCAGTTCCGGTTCCATAAGGGGGAACTCCACTTCGCCACCTGGTGGGTCAGACTTTGATCGACATTGCTCCACAGGAGCTTAGTTATGACTCCTTCGGCGGAGAGCCGTCCGCGTCTAGACAGTCCCGAGGTCCGTTACTGATCGGCCGAGGTCTCATCGTAGACGTGGTGCGCTCCACCTTAGACTTGGCTCTCTCTCTCTTTGGTCGTCCCGCTCCAATGCCGTGTGTCGGCGTCGGGGGTCCTTCCGGTTGGTCCATCAACTCCAATGACATTTGCTTCCGCTAGGTCGTCCGAATCGGAGGAACCAGTCTAGACTCTTAGACTTGGTGATCCGTTAGACTCGATGCCTCGACTAGGTTCGTCGAGTCGTCACGTCTAGGGTTATAGTTGGTTAGGCTTTTGCCCTATGAGCTCTGCTGGTACAGCTAAGTCCTCATATTCAAGTCGCAGGTGGGTAGAGTTCGCCCTGGTTCAAGATCTAGGTTCAGACCCGAAAGGTACAAACCATAAGACTTAGACGTCGCGCACGAGTCTTAGACTTAGGGCTAGGCTTCCTGCGGTACCTTCGACTAGAGTCTCTACTAGCGTTTTTGGTAAGGGCCTGCGCCTTAGGCTACTCACAAAGGGTTCGCTGCGCTTTTGGTCTGGGGTTCATCAATGAAGACTCCTTAGTTGTAGGCTAGACGTAGACACTTGTGACGAGTCTAATAGAGCCGTTTGAGCTCAGTTTGAAGTCTAGCCGCAAAATCGGCGTATCAGCGTCGTACCGGTCAAGGTTAACAACATCGACGTACTCCTTCGAATTCTTGATTGAGCCGTAGCTGATGTTAACCCAGGTGCCGTAGTTGACACTTGCTCGACTAGCAATAGTCGCAAGCTGGAGTTTCAATTCCTTGGACAGAGGATGCACAGGTATGTCGTGTACCTTTGCAAAGGCTGGTCTAATCGAGTCTGTACTGCTCCCACTGTCGAACATAGTGATAGCAGACTGCCCACAGATGGATACTTTTGCAATGAGGAACCGCTTCTCCTCTGGCCTTCGCCCAGGACGTTCGATTGCCTGGGGCGATACATTAAGTTTCTTGAAGGGTCTAGTCATCGCCGTAGGCTCCCCCTCAATCGTTCGTACCGCTCCAAAGAAAATCAGGTTCTTCAGAGTCGCTACTGGCCTCTACTATGACGTTTAAGCGATCGGAATCGGACTCTGGGTCGCTCGCAAACTCGTAGTCGCTCACTTGCTCGATTTCGGACTCATACTGGGCACCATACCCTCCAGTATCGTCCTCTGACTCGTCTATGTGAGCTATCTGTTCTTCAGACTCGCTCTGCTGTGTCTCCTCCGACTCGTCAATTGCGTTTAGTCGGTTCTGGCCCTTAGAGCGTTGTCCAAAGTTCGGGCATACTTTGTCCGTTGCATAGTGGCCTACTTGACCACAAGAATAGCAGGTGCGCGAGTTGGACGATGCCTTCGTCTTTGGATCGCCAGCTTTCCTCAGTGATGTTCCTGCAGTTGCTTGGGTCGAACTCGGCCTCCTTTCGTCTCGAGAATCGCGATTCTTCGAGCCTGAGCTCTGCTCCCTCGAGTAGCTGTCGCGCTTTCGTCCTTCCAATCGATCTAAGGGCTGATAAACGCCAATTCGGCCTTGGTTATCTCTCACAAGGCGACCACTCGACGGATTGTAGTGGTATCCGGCTCTCCAAGAGTCCTGTATACCTGGCTTGGACCCTACTTGGCTAGGTCTCGACGCCTTCACAGAGTAGTTGTACTTCTTCTTGAGGCGCTCAGATTGTTCGTAGTTAATCCCAGCTTGAACCAGATCTTTGATTCGTTTGTTGTTCTCTGGGGTATACCCCTTCTCAATCAAGTCGTCTCTCATTTCTTTGGGCAGTTGAGACAACATCTGGTGCATGAAATCAATAGGGTTGGGCTTATTGGGCATACGACTAGCCCACAGCCGAAGTTCCGTGAAGAAACTTTGCATGCCTTCCCTCGCACTGTACTTGACAGCGAGGTACCTCTCTTCGGCGTCTCGAGAGGCTGGTTCATGCACGAAACGAGCATAGAGTTCGGTTATGACGTCTGGGAATGTCCAATGCATTCGGGTACGATGGACACTCTCGACGTCCTCGATGTACCACCTCTGGGCTTTCCCAGTGAGGTAATTTCCGACCAGCTGAACTAGGAACGCATCTGTCTTTGACCCTCCTATCGCGTTAATTCGGGCAAAGTACACGAACCCGTACAGCCAGTTCTCGAAGGCATCAATATCATCTTCACCTCCGTAAGTTTTCGGTGAAGGAATCTTGATTTTTCCGTAGTCCTTCATCACCTCAGGGATATTCATTTCATCACTAAGGACGTCATGAATCAATGCCCGGTACTTCTCTTTAGCTGCGGCCAGCCATTCGGAATCGACTGGGTCGTCGACTTCCTCAAACTGGGTTTGCAAGCTCGTCAACATTTGCATTTCGCGGACTTGGCTTTGCTCCCGCCATCTGAGTAACAGTTCGCTTGTACCTCTTCTAGCGGGATCCTGGAGTGCTGGGGTCTCGCTCCATCGGGGATCGGGTTGTGGCCTTTGTTCTGACGTAGTATCTCGGCTACGGGACCTCCTGGAGGAGTAAGACTGGGATACGTGCTGTTGCCCCTGCTCCCGATGGTACTGGGTAGCATTATCACCCATACCACCAGTGTGGGTCTGTGATGTGGTTCCCTGTAAGTTCACCGGCTGGTTGGGCGCCCTCCCCCTCATTTCGTCGCCCTGGTTCTGGGGGGTTCGGTTATGAGGGTGGTTTTTCCCTTGGAGATGTGGTTTGGTGGACTTATTCACCCTCGGAGCGTTTCCTGAGGGTGGTGCTCGGACAGCTGGGTCATCGTAGTAGGCAACTTTATTCCCATTCTCGTCTACACGCCAACGTACATTGCGATCGGCTACCGTAGGTATTTCGCCATGTCTAATCTCATCCTCTCGGAAGCGCTGGAGGATTTCGTCTTCCTCTCGCACCCGCTCACGAGGCGGGGTTGACAGCAACGGGAAGTCGGAGTCGTCCTCGATGACGGGCGACATTCCGAATCCCATGTGTACGTCGGGCAAGCGGTATCCTGAAGGGGGAATGAGCGGTGGTGGTCGGTAGTTCGGGTCGTACTGTCCAAACCCGTAATTCGACGGTCCAGCGACCATCCGGGGTGAGATAACCGCTGGGTTATACCCACCATCGTCGCGTCTCTTGCCCTTATCTTTGGCAGTTGAGGCCGTCGTGGTGACGGTTTCTTCGTTCGACTTGGTGTCCGGTGGTGACCGCAGTCGACGAATAGCGCTAACTCGACGACGATAGCTCTCGTCGTCTTCGTTAGGCTGCTGTGCCCTGAACAGACTCTGTTCAGCACTGGTCAGGTTCGGATCTGGGGGACCACCTACAGGTGGTACGATGATGGCGCTAGGGTCTGCCACACCGTTTCCTGGGGTTCCTAAGTGCCCAGGGCTGTCCGGTTCTTGTTTAACTTGGTGAGTATTCGAGTACGCTCGACTCGATTGGGAGTTACTCGCCTCGCTGCGAGATGGGAATGCTCCCGGTGGCAAGTTGTAATTCTTAAGTAGTCGCAAGCTGGAGTTTCAATTCCTTGGACAGAGGATGCACAGGTATGTCGTGTACCTTTGCAAAGGCTGGTCTAATCGAGTCTGTACTGCTCCCACTGTCGAACATAGTGATAGCAGACTGCCCACAGATGGATACTTTTGCAATGAGGAACCGCTTCTCCTCTGGCCTTCGCCCAGGACGTTCGATTGCCTGGGGCGATACATTAAGTTTCTTGAAGGGTCTAGTCATCGCCGTAGGCTCCCCCTCAATCGTTCGTACCGCTCCAAAGAAATCAGGTTCTTCAGAGTCGCTACTGGCCTCTACTATGACGTTTAAGCGATCGGAATCGGACTCTGGGTCGCTCGCAAACTCGTAGTCGCTCACTTGCTCGATTTCGGACTCATACTGGGCACCATACCCTCCAGTATCGTCCTCTGACTCGTCTATGTGAGCTATCTGTTCTTCAGACTCGCTCTGCTGTGTCTCCTCCGACTCGTCAATTGCGTTTAGTCGGTTCTGGCCCTTAGAGCGTTGTCCAAAGTTCGGGCATACTTTGTCCGTTGCATAGTGGCCTACTTGACCACAAGAATAGCAGGTGCGCGAGTTGGACGATGCCTTCGTCTTTGGATCGCCAGCTTTCCTCAGTGATGTTCCTGCAGTTGCTTGGGTCGAACTCGGCCTCCTTTCGTCTCGAGAATCGCGATTCTTCGAGCCTGAGCTCTGCTCCCTCGAGTAGCTGTCGCGCTTTCGTCCTTCCAATCGATCTAAGGGCTGATAAACGCCAATTCGGCCTTGGTTATCTCTCACAAGGCGACCACTCGACGGATTGTAGTGGTATCCGGCTCTCCAAGAGTCCTGTATACCTGGCTTGGACCCTACTTGGCTAGGTCTCGACGCCTTCACAGAGTAGTTGTACTTCTTCTTGAGGCGCTCGGATTGTTCGTAGTTAATCCCAGCTTGAACCAGATCTTTGATTCGTTTGTTGTTCTCTGGGGTATACCCTCTTCTCAATCAAGTCGTCTCTCATTTCTTTGGGCAGTTGAGACAACATCTGGTGCATGAAATCAATAGGGTTGGGCTTATTGGGCATACGACTAGCCCACAGCCGAAGTTCCGTGAAGAAACTTTGCATGCCTTCCCTCGCACTGTACTTGACAGCGAGGTACCTCTCTTCGGCGTCTCGAGAGGCTGGTTCTAGGGATGGTCAAGGGGTTTTAAAACCCCCGGGGTAGAGGCCAGGGGTAGAGCGGGGGTAGGGGTAAGGGTAGGTCTCCGGCTACCCTTGGCCAAACCCCCACCCCCAGTCGGGGGTAAGGGTTTTGATAAAAATCAATCAAAACCCATTTATTTCAATATCTATGTATAGCTTCTACTAAATAACTGCTGTATATACAATAAAACACATAATAAGATCCATATAGACAACTGTAAGTAATGATTAGTACCAAAATGGTTAAAACCCTTGGTCAAAACCCCCAGGGTTGGGGGGTAAGGGTACTACCCCTACCCCTGACTGAGGGGTAAGGGTTTTGGGGGGTGGGGGGTAAGGGTAGGTGTCCGGCTACCCGGGGGTTACCCCTGTCCTTCCCTAGCTGGTTCATGCACGAAACGAGCATAGAGTTCGGTTATGACGTCTGGGAATGTCCAATGCATTCGGGTACGATGGACACTCTCGACGTCCTCGATGTACCACCTCTGGGCTTTCCCAGTGAGGTAATTTCCGACCAGCTGAACTAGGAACGCATCTGTCTTTGACCCTCCTATCGCGTTAATTCGGGCAAAGTACACGAACCCGTACAGCCAGTTCTCGAAGGCATCAATATCATCTTCACCTCCGTAAGTTTTCGGTGAAGGAATCTTGATTTTTCCGTAGTCCTTCATCACCTCAGGGATATTCATTTCATCACTAAGGACGTCATGAATCAATGCCCGGTACTTCTCTTTAGCTGCGGCCAGCCATTCGGAATCGACTGGGTCGTCGACTTCCTCAAACTGGGTTTGCAAGCTCGTCAACATTTGCATTTCGCGGACTTGGCTTTGCTCCCGCCATCTGAGTAACAGTTCGCTTGTACCTCTTCTAGCGGGATCCTGGAGTGCTGGGGTCTCGCTCCATCGGGGATCGGGTTGTGGCCTTTGTTCTGACGTAGTATCTCGGCTACGGGACCTCCTGGAGGAGTAAGACTGGGAGCTACGTGCTGTTGCTCATGCTCTCGGTGGTACTGGGCAGCAGTATTGCTCATACCTCCGACATTAGTCTGCGGTGCGGGTGCCTGTGAGTTCACTGGCTGGTTAGGCACCCTCCCCCTCATTTCGTCGCCCTGGTTCTGAGGGTGTCGGTTACGAGGGTGGTCTTTCCCTTGGAGATGTGGCTTGGTGGACTTATTCACCCTTGGATCGTTTCCTGAGGGTGGTGCTCGGACAGCTGGGTCATCGTAGTAGGCAACTTTATTCCCATTCTCGTCTACACGCCAACGTACATTGCGATCGGCTACCGTAGGTATTTCGCCATGTCTAATCTCATCCTCTCGGAAGCGCTGGAGGATTTCGTCTTCCTCTCGCACCCGCTCACGAGGCGGGGTTGACAGCAACGGGAAGTCGGAGTCGTCCTCGATGACGGGCGACATTCCGAATCCCATGTGTACGTCGGGCAAGCGGTATCCTGAAGGGGGAATGAGCGGTGGTGGTCGGTAGTTCGGGTCGTACTGTCCAAACCCGTAATTCGACGGTCCAGCGACCATCCGGGGTGAGATAACCGCTGGGTTATACCCACCATCGTCGCGTCTCTTGCCCTTATCTTTGGCAGTTGAGGCCGTCGTGGTGACGGTTTCTTCGTTCGACTTGGTGTCCGGTGGTGACCGCAGTCGACGAATAGCGCTAACTCGACGACGATAGCTCTCGTCGTCTTCGTTAGGCTGCTGTGCCCTGAACAGACTCTGTTCAGCACTGGTCAGGTTCGGATCTGGGGGACCACCTACAGGTGGTACGATGATGGCGCTAGGGTCTGCCACACCGTTTCCTGGGGTTCCTAAGTGCCCAGGGCTGTCCGGTTCTTGTTTAACTTGGTGAGTATTCGAGTACGCTCGACTCGATTGGGAGTTACTCGCCTCGCTGCGAGATGGGAATGCTCCCGGTGGCAAGTTGTAATTCTTAAGTATCATTGCCATGACCTCTTCTTGTGATAGGCCCTGGTCCATGGCCATCTCGAGGTATTCCTTGGTCCTCGAGATACGACTGGACGTCGTGCTTCGTGTTGCCCAGTCGGTTACCTCCCATGGGTTATGGGTCATGAAGTCGTAAGGCTCGTGATGCCTGTAGACACCGGAACTTCCGTGGTTCCGTGCTGCGCTTCGCCTCCCTTCGTTCTGAGGGTTACGCGTCGTGCCGTAGTGTCCAGGTGGCCTGGGGGTCTGGTCACCTGAGTGGTGATGTGGCTGCTCGTCATCCGAGTCGTAGAACGAGCTAACCATCTTGTACTCGAACGTCGGGTGCTAGCGTCGTCGTCCGAGGTGCTGTACTAGTCGAATATACGAATAAGATAGAGATCCGCAGATCTATAGTGGTTGGGGTGTTCCCAGGAAGAGAGAAAAAGCGCGGTACGGATTTATGGATGCGTAAAAAAGTGTAAGGGGTGTGTGGTAAAGTAGCCTCGCCCTCGATTCACCACACGCAGAATACGCACGACCAAGGTTTATTGGAAGTATCAGTATCTACGTGAATGAATAGTGAGGTACGATGAGGCTAAGGGAAAGTTGGGAACGCGCGAGCGCTGGCCGTAAGGGCGAGCGCGTCTGATGCTAACAAAACCAAACAAGCCGATCTAATCTACGGCGCTAAGGTAAAGTACGTCCTCCTTACACCAACCGACCAAAGACTTGGTTGCGGTTAATAATTATGAACCAGTACCATGGCTAGAAATAGCTTCATCGTTCTCCTGCGTTCAAGCCGTCGGTGGAACTCGGGGCCCCCAATGGCCAGGGAAATGAGGTTCCTTCCCACCTCTAACTTGAAGATGGCTACCAGTGAAACAAAGTTAGCATGTACATACTGTAGCATCGAAGTCGCCTTGAGTCGCTGATCATGTCACTTACTATGGTGGAGCTCCAGTCTCTTGAGGCAGGAGACTAGCCACTCCGTTTACAGTAGTGTGGAGGAGTACCAGCATAGCAACACAGAAAGAGAAAGGCGCTTTGTTGCTGGAGGGGAACATGGTGTTTGTCAGGATAAAGTAAGAGGCTCGGCACGGATTGTAGGGCAAATGCGGTGAAATGGGAGGCAAAGGCAGCCTTATAAGTGGACTCAGAGTGCATGTTCAGTTGCCAACTCCACTGGCATCTACAAGTGATCATAGAATCAATCATATTGGAGCTTGGTGCTATTTTACAAAGGACATCAAGATGGGAAGGCATGAATATCAGAACCAGAGACGAGTGGCCATCTCTGAGAATTTGACGCTTTCCAAAAATACAATCCCTGTAACTTAACATAGAGATCATTACAGTGGGTAGACACAGGAACGCTTCATCGGTGTAGTCCATGAAGATCCCTCAGGAAACGACGTTTGAAGGTCAGCGGTGTCCACGTACGAGAACTTCCAACCTGAGCCACTCGAGGTGAGGCCTTGAATACAACGTCAAAGCGTGAGAAAGTCATCTCGGCACCCTTTCCGCCGAACCGGTACCCATCTCCGTGGTCGGTTCCGAGCGGCAGTATGACTGGGGGGTTAAACTCGCGTTCGTTGCACGAGGTGAGTGGTGGGTTGCCTCCAGGCATTGATCATGTCCTCCCAGAGGCCCCTCCTAGGCGACACCAACGGCCAATACCGCATCCTCGTACTAGGGAACTCAGGTTAGCCGCCCACACTCCGAGTCGAGCTTGGCCAATTCCGAGAACTGATGATGACAATGTTCAGGTTCTGGAAAGGTACGGCGCTCGAGGTGGCACAGTTGACGTGACGCTCAACAGCTGTGTAGTCGACGACGGCGAGGAGACTCTCTCGTCTTTTGAACATCCCCCACATTGCCCTTGACGCCCTCTATTTTGAGCCCAACTGGGTCGAATCGTCGACTGAAGTGATGGTTCAAAAGGTTCGCGGTGCTCTGGAGGATGCTGGTGGGTCGTGGGTCGTCGATGGGGACTTCATGAGCAAAATAGGTGGATTGGTCCTCGATGCGACTACTGATATTGTTTGTAAGTGCCACACCGTGGGGAATGTATACCCGTACAATGACCTGGGGACTAGGGCTCGATCCACCGCTTCTTCTGTACTTCCCCCGCCTGATGCTTCGAACATTCCGTCGGCTGCTGGGTTGGGAAGCGCAATGCAGGCCGGGGTGCGATGAGACGTTGTCGACGTTCTTCTCTGGCGAAAATATACTTCTGTACGCCCTCACCGTACATCGACGTAAACGGAGGACGTACCAGGAGATAATGGATCTACTCGGAGTTGGTGTAGGCACGGATGTGCATGGTCGTCGGATGAGACGGATTGGGGGATGGGGCACAGAGTTGGAAGAATGGCTGGGAGAAGTTGAGAAGTTGAGCAAAGGCGATTGAGTTACAACTCCCAGTATATAATGAGGGATGCTAATTATAGAATAAACTCGCTGCACTGCTCTTTCAGACCGGTTAAAGTTCCCTGTCCTGGTTTTTGTGAAGTGGAGGTTTAGAGAGAAGATCATGAGCACCTTCGTCATTCAAAGCAACGGATGCTCTCACCGAAATGCTTTCTCTTTCCTCTTTCTTCTGGTCGGGGCGATATTCTGCATACCCTGATGTTTGCAAAAACCAACGGAATTAGACTTGACTCACAAGGATAGAAGAAACCTCACAAGGTATCGTATGCCAGTCGGGCTCTGGCGAATCACGACCAGGGCCCGCTATGCTTTGGGACGATCGCCGCATCATCTCGTTGTCAACCGAGGTCTTCAAGATGGCGTTCACAATCGCCTTCACGGTCTTGATAACGTGTTTCGTGATCAAGATATCCAAAGCGTCGTTCCGCATAGACGGCAATGTCAAGAGAGGGACGACGATACCATTGCAACCTCGGGTACGGTACTCGACGAGACTAGTGAGGATCACATCCGCACTAGGACGACGTTTCATTTCCTCGCAGTACTTCCGCCATGCGGAGAGATAAAGGCCACAAATTAAGCAGCTGAGTTTGGAGACAGCGATATAGGGGTAGGCAGTCGAACCAGTGGCGAGAAGGTGGCGGACGAGGGTGCTTTCGCAATGGGGCAATGTGGGATTGAGATGGGTGGATTTCGAGAGCTGGGAGCGAACCTTGTCGAATGCGTCTTGAAGAACCTCGGCGACGATGTCGTCAGTTCCATCCTCTGAAGACTCTGAAGACTTCTCGTAGTAGCACCCAGCGAAGAATGCGCGAATTTGGTCATCGGATGGTGGATACAAAAGATTCATCGGCGGAGTGTTGGCAGGGACATGGATAGCATCGAGGGCCAGGTGTAGAATTCGACGGAGGCTCGCAGCGGTTTTGTAGAGCTGTAGGATGTGGAAAGAAGGAGCGAGGAGCTTGTTGATGTATCGTGCAAGGTCAAACTCCATAGACAGAGCATCTATCCCGGGACAGACAAGTCATCGACCATCCGCAAAAAGACCGTTTATCTGTACATACCAGGCACCTCATTGGCTATGTAGGAGTGTCGAGCCTCCAATAAACGACAGTGTAAGGCGAAACACGACTGTTGGTCCAGGCGGGATTGTGCCAGGAAGTCGGCCGTCATTTCAAAAATTTTCTGGGCAGCGGAGAGATACTTCTGTTCTCTGGGAGTATAACTGGACCAGGACTCAGGTTGGCGGGCAAGCTCGAAGAATTTCGCGCATTGGTCCCTGCCCTTCTCGAACCGGTTCTTGAGTTTTGTCAAGTGTCGCTTAAACAGATACGCCGTAAGTTCTTTGGCATGCACTGCGGCCTTCTCGTTGTCGGAAGAAACGAGATGGCGCATGTCTGGGCGGGTGTATGGCCGCAGGCTGGCTGGAAATGGTCGGAGCCATTGCCAGCGACATGGAACGTTGCACGGTCACTGGCAGCAAACGACAAAGCGAATATGTGATCCTCTGTGGTGGGTAGAAAGAAAACGATGGCGTCCAGAATTTTTGCTATTTTGCGGATTTGTCCGTCGGTTTCAATTGTTTGGCGAGGCGGTATTAGATCCTGGGAATCAGGACACGCAGTAGAGTCTACAGTCTCGGTGAGGGCGGACAGATACAGCGCTGCCAGAGGAATGTCAACGTTCGCCATGTTGACGGTATGGGTTCAAGGTCATTGCCGTTTCGCTAGGTTGACTCGACTGCACGACCATTCATTTCTTCCAAAGATGCGCATGGGACTCTTGTAAATGGTAGATAATTCCGCGACCTGCCATTGAGGCGCAGATGGTTCGCAACCGCACCGATACAGAGTTGGTCGTAACGACCACAGCTGGTTGCCCTGCACACATTCAAAACGCCGGATATCAGGAGAGTGTCACTTAAGCGCTCAATGACTGATTCCACATCGTGTCTTTATTGGTTCCGCGCCGAGCCCGTTTAAGAAATTTCTCCTCCGCTCCCCCATCATCAAGGCAGCCAGGCCTAAAATTCGTGACTGGCGCAGGGCCTAGGTGCACGAAAGAATCATAAGTAGGTGCATGATTCCTCGTCTTCATGCACTCAGAAATCCGTATATCCACCGTTTTCGATTAGCTGCGATGGCCACCTCAGCCTACGCCGGATGGACACGCGAACAGCTCCTGGAGCGGGTTTTGGAGCTCGAAAGAGGCACTAGTCTCCCAGGCGGATCTTCAAAACCGACAGCAAACAAAGAGGAAATTCAGGTACCCAAGCCCTTGAAGCCATTCGACTTTTACAGCTACCCAAGGCGGAAGATCGCTCTCAAGTTCAGCTACGCTGGCTGGGATTATGGAGGGCTAGCCTACCAACCAGACGATACACCATTACCAACGGTAGAAGGTGTTCTCTTCGATGCGTTATCGACAGCCCATTTGGTGGATTCGAATGCTGGGTTAGAGGGTTGCGGCTGGGAAAGATGCGGGAGGACAGATCGAGGGGTCAGCGGGGCGAGGCAGATCGTGTCGGTGTGGGTACGGAGTGCGCTGCGCAAGGAAGAACTTGCAGAGGCAGATATACGACCAGGGCCTGTGGCTTTCCCCCCAAACAGCCGCCGCGCTGCCATGGACGACGACGACGACTTGCCGGAACGAGTCGACGACGAACCAGTGATTGTCAACGGCCAAGATCTTTGGAAGCCCGACACAGTAGAGCCCCAGTCTCGCAACGAGCACGACTACGTGTCGATTCTAAATCGCCTCCTTCCCGAGACCATCCGAGTCTCTGCCTGGTCCCCAGTACCATCCACCTTCTCAGCCCGATTCTCGTGCAATTTCCGACATTACAAGTACTTTTTTACTCCCAAAGGTCTCGACATCGTTCGCATGCAGGAAGCTGCAGGCCGTCTAATCGGCGAGCACGATTTCCGAAACCTATGCAAGCTGGATCCCGCAAAGCAGATCACCAGTTTCAAGCGCAAGGTCATGAGTGCACATATTGAACGACTGAACGACAATCTCCATGTCTTCAACCTCACAGGAAGCGCGTTCCTATATCACCAGGTTCGACATATCATGGCCATCTTATTCCTCATCGGAATGGGTATGGAGTCGCCATCGCTCGTCTCCAATCTCTTGAACGTCACCTCCGACTCAGAGGTGCCCAGAGCCGATGATTTGCCCTACGAAATCGTTGATCGAAAACCAGAATACCAGATGGCCGATGGACTCCCTCTGATGCTTTGGGATTGTGGTTACCCTGAAGGGACCTTCGACTGGAGGACGACAGGAAAGCCAGATGCAGGACCGCTCGCCACAGGCGGCACACTCTACGACCAACTCGACAACATCCTCGTTCGATCCAATATTTATTCCGCACTGAACGAGCACTTCCTCCTCGCCGCCGCTCAACACCATCCACCACCACCATCAATCTTCCCGCTCTCCGATCCAAGCCAGCTTGCTCAGCGGAAAGGAGCCAGAGATCCAATAAATGTGCATCTTGGGGGAGGAACGTTCAAGCGGGTAGTCAAATATACGCCCGTGTTGAAGCGGAACCGATTGGACACGGTAGAGGTGGCCAATGAGAGGTGGCGGTTGGGCAAAGGAGCGCGGAAATCCGAGAAAAAGGTTACCAAGGAGGGGCCAGAGCCTGTGACCAACCCCGCGGATGCCTGAGTGGACCAGGTGAGCTCGTATTTACCCGCGGGACGCCCGAAGGTTAACCCTCACAACAGTTTTACCGCGATGTTTTTTCCACTTTCATCATGAGCGACCTTCTCCCGGCTGTCATTGAGGCTTGATCAGCACTATTGGAGGGTGACTGCGCACAAGGCGCGGCCTTAGTGGCTGTAATACTCCATCTCCTCGACATGTTCGAGGTCGATTCCGCCTACGACGAATGGCGTCCACCATTGATCGCGCTGCTTGATCTAGGACAGCTTTTCCCAGCTAGCTACAGGGTAGGAGCCAATATTACAATGGATTGGAACCACGATGTTGCCACGAACTTGCGGACGCAAACATTGGACCAGCCGGGCCAATTCCGAACATTTCACTGGCTCCCAGTGTGGACATGTTGGACCAGTTTTGGAGTGAAAAGAGAACCTCGCCGATTCAATCAATCGCTGCTGGGCATGCCCAAGTTTTACTTCGAGTGTGAACTAATACGACGAGGAAGAAGGGATTGAATAAGGTATCTGAAGAAACGATCTACATCTGCCGACCCTGACGTGACCAGCACGCAAGGCCATCCAGTGCTGAACCTCATCGCCAGCTTTGAGACCTCTTTGGTGGCGTATGGATTCGGCCCACAGTAGGGGGCGGTGCTGGGAATCCAAGGTCCAACGATTGTCGCCTTTTCTCGGCATCCTTCCTGGGCCTGGTACCAGGTTGCTGGCCACGACCGCCGCCACCATTGGCTGGCGGGGTATTTCCACCACTTCCACTGCTTGGGAATTGGACAGTATTTGTTCCGTCCGTCCTTTCGACGAGTTCTTCGATAAGTTCTCGGGTGCTGAATTCTTCGAGGAGAGGTATGAGTGTTGCTCGTCTGTGGAGCGCTCGCTCGGCAAGGCGGTAGTCGTAACGCCGGGCAAGCTTAGGCCTGGTACGCCCCTGTCATTTGAATCAGCTGGAGAAATAGAATAGTGACGAGAAGGGGTCGTTTACCGTAGCCTCTAAATCGGCTAGAGCAACATTGACCAGAAGGCCAACGAACATGGCAATGTAAAAGGCGAAGAATTTGAGCGAAGGCATGTTGCTCGTGGTTGTTCTGAGGTGGTAAGCGTTGCTGAACCCGTAGTCTGCCAGTTACAGTCGTATTTAAGCTTCGGGAAAAACGCAAATGTTGTCTTTTCTATCAGGTCGTGGCCAAACACTGCCCATGGGTGCACTCTCGAGGTATTGGACCCTCAATTTCCAGACCTTGGATGATTCGAATTCCCCATCTGTCATGGGGAGTTGTAGGTGCAATGTCCTGTGACAGAGCACAACTTCCGAAGTCAACACAGGACCTACCTAACTGGCGCTCTTTGGCTCAGCCAGGTCTCAGATCGACGGCTGATTGATGCGAACAACAATGTTTGTGGGCGCGCGCTTAGTTTAGCGCCCATCTATTTCTGTTCCTTGTGTGTCTGCACAGCCTGTAGCTGTCATTCAGAATTCTGAAGGCATGTATACCAATCAACAAAAGACCGCCTTGGGACAGTGTACTTTTGGTATTTCTCCGCATATGATCTCAGTCGTGTTCTTTCACGGAACACTTGTGAATCTAGCAAATAAATAGACACATCAAATTTTGTGGCATAGATAAGGGGCGATCTATAGTAGATAAGTGGTGGGTATGTGAAGTATGGTCTACATCCAACTTCTATCAGGAAGTAGGTGATGCAAAGACGCGAATTTCAACTTGTGGACGTCCCTTTGCAAGTTTGGACGACGCCCACTGCCAGTGGGTCCCAGGGCTCGCCGGTGCTTCTCTTAGCTATGGTAAGCCCTGACGCTTCAAGCTGACCTCTCGTACAGTTCTTCAAGTAGGTCACGAGTGCTGAAGTCTTGAAGCAGGTTCTTTACCACCGCTCGTTGGTATAGTTCCCGTGCGACTAGCGCCCTTCTGTAACTATCGAAACTTCGAGGGGCGGTTTGGCCATCTTGCAGGTCTTGTCTGGGCCGCCTGGCGTAGCGTCCCTGTGGAGAATACGGTGTTAATAATGCACTGTTGATTGTAAATGTATTCGACTCACTGCAGAGCCTTCGTCTGCTGTGACGCCGCTGGCGAGTACGCCGATGAAAGGGACGAGGTGCATCATGAATATCCTTAGATAAAGCATTGTATGACTTGCTGAGTTTGGGGGATCTAAATTCCAAGTTTGACTCAATGTGACCTTTTGTACTCCGCTAATAACGGTGGATCCAGATGTCCAGTCCGGTCCTGATCATTCTAAGCACATTACCAGACGCCGGAAGGTATGTAGTCAGATCTCCTGTGGATGTTCAAGCCTTCCAGATCGACACAGCACCACGACATATCTGATTCTTTGAGTAAGAGGTCTGATTTGCATCTTTCGGAGGGAAGATAAGGCACCCACGGAAGCGAGCGGTGATGATTTACGTGCTCCTCGTCGAGCACTCCAGGAGCGCTGGGCGCTGAAACTCATACAATACAGGTCAGATATGATGAATGTTGACAGCGGGCTGTACGGTCACAACTCAGTGTGCACAGGGACTTTGAGAGCGGGGGTCACACAAACGCCCGAAGGCAGTGCAAATTCTTACGGGTGCTCAGACGCGCGCTCGTAAACCAAACTGCTAAGAGGGTAGACCATCATGATATCTGAAGCACTGGCAGATGGTGCTTCAGAGAATTTGAAGTTTACCGTGTACATCGCGCCCGAAAGTTGTAATGGAGGTGTTTAGTTTTTCACTTACCTGTGCACTTTACTACAGATTACGATAAGGACCATACTCATCCTGGACTATAAGTACTGGCGGGAATGGAGAGAGCGACATCCAGCTAAGCAAACATGTACTTCCCAACCAGATTCACAACTCTGTGTGTTGTCCTCCTTGGATCTCTCTACGTCTCTGCCCAAGCAGTGAGTGTCCACTACGAACATAATCCACTGTATTGGGTTCAGGGTTGACCAACGGACGTCTTCTCTAGGTTGACGCCGAAGAGGGCATCTCAGCTCGAGAACTTGGTCTTGATCAAGACCTATATGAAGCCCGCGCCTTCGATGAAGACCTCTACGAGGCCCGCGCTTTCGACGAAGTAGAGGACCTCGCTCTCCGCGACGATGTTTTGAGCGACTTCAGCACCCGCGATCTCGTAGAAGAAATTGTCACCAGGCAGAGGTTTCTGGGCCCGCGCCCGATTCTTTACCCTACCCGTTATAGAGCGCGACCTTATGGCTACCGTCCTGCTATCCCCAGGCGTCGCTTCTGAACGAGCAGCTAGGAGGACGACCAACTGGTAGGCTCTCACCATAGCCCAATACGTTTCGGTACCGTCTAGTAGTAGTATATACAGGCATACTATCTGTTTGTAACGCTGTAATCGACTTTCCACTCTCACCCTGAGGAGCGAATGCCTTCGCTCGATTATTCTTAGAAGAGCGATAATTAACTGAGCTGGAGGTATGCCGCTACTGGTCACAATGTCCCCTCGAGGAGTTGAATAGGAAATAATCTTACAAATGGATTAAGTACAGCGGGAGGTTTCCCGCAAGCATTGGAATCACTATTTTACTACAACATTAACAACGCAGATCGACCATCGGACGAAGAATTAGGCCAAATATCCAAGACACAGAAACGCAAAGCAATTGGTTCACAGCAGTAGTAGAATTCCCTATCTCCCCCTCGTCCTTCTCTCTTCTTCAACCTCCTTCACAAACGACTCTCCATTAACAGGTGGCCACCAGTGGCGTTGCGCCTCCATCCCAAAGCACCCTCGCCAAACGCCGCTTCCAACGCCTCTCTCAGGGTCTTGACAAATACAAACTCCATTTCGTTGCGAATTTCAAGAGCCACGTCGTGCTCAACGTCCTTGCGGTTGGCATATGGAAGGATTACCTTGGTCATTTGTGCCCGATGAGCGCCCAGGACCTACAAGCAAGCAGTCAGCAGGGTATTTCGGGGGAGGGAGTCAACCGAAGCTCACCTTCTCTTTGATACCACCCACAGCGGTCACCCGTCCCCTCAGCGTGATCTCTCCCGTCATGGCGATGTTCGTAGGCACACAAGCACCCGTCAGAAGCGAAACCATCGCACACACCATCGCAATGCCAGCACTAGGACCATCCTTCTTCTGAGCGCCCGCCGGCAAGTGCAAATGCACATCAATGGCCGTTTCCTTGCTCCCCAACCCCAGGATCCTCCCGGACTTGAGCACATCCTCCATCGGGCTATCCACCAGACCCAGCTCCCAAGCGTACCGCTTCACCCAGCTCAGTGCAAGGTCGCCGCTCTCTTTGATCACGTCGCCGAGGCTGCCGGTGAGTTTGAGCTTTCCTGAGCCAGGGACGGCGATAGTTTCGACGGGCATGATCCCGCCCTCGCCGGCACCGGTGACGACAAGGCCGTAGACGATACCCCTGCGCAGCTCCCGCTCAGATTCGGATTCATCGTAGCGCGCAATACCGAGAATTTTCTCGAGGTCGGAGACAAGGACTGCGCGTCGGTAGGTGGGAGGTGAAGCATCCATAGGAGGATCAGGTTGGGTCAAGGTATTGGGATCGCCACCCTTGTCGAGGAACTCGGCCCATTCGACGGCCTTGAACCTCACCACGCCGCCGATGGCGCGTTCTAGGCTACGGACTCCGGCTTCTCTTGTGTATCTACGCAACACAGTCAGAGACAGTCTGACAGGCCACAGGAGGAAAAGACAAACCTAGTGGCGATCTCGAGCATGGCAGGCTCGGTAATGTTGACGTGTTCCTTCTCTAGGCCATTGGCGGTGAGTTGTTTGGGAAGCAGGAATCGTCTAGCAATGTGAAGCTTCTCGTCATAAGTGTAGCCTGTCGTGGAGCGAGAAGTCAGCCGCGGGACCTCAGGCAAAAGGCCGAACAACTTACCGCTCAGCTGGATTACTTCACACCGATCCAGAAGTGGAGCAGAGATAGTCTCTAACGAGTTCGCAGTGCAGATGAACAAGACTTGACTCAAGTCGATGGGGACGTTGATGTAATGGTCCTGCGGTATGTCAGCAGACTGTCGGGCAAGGGAACAGGTAAACTCTCACATTGAAACTCCAATTCTGTTCAGGGTCCAGAACCTCCAATAGCGCTGCCCCAGGATCGCCGTGGAAATTGCTCTGACCGATCTTGTCAATTTCGTCCAGCAATAACACAGGATCCGGACGGCCTGCTTTCCTCAACGCCTGAACGATAAGACCTGGACCGCTGGCGACGTAGGTGCGTCTGTGGCCCCTAATCTCGGCTTCATCTCGCACACCGCCGAGGGAAATGCGTTGGAAGGGACGACCAAGTGATTTGGCAATGCTTTGGCCAAGAGATGTCTTGCCTGTTCCGGGGGGACCGACGAATCTGCAGATAAAGATGTCAGTGTTGTTGGCAACTTAAGTTGTGGAGCGATGGATGTACAGCAAAATAGGACCTCGAACTCCCTTCCTTGGCCGAGGAGGCTGAATAAGTGGAGCGGGAGAGGGTGTCTGGACGGCCCTCTGCTGCTCCTGAGCTTTTGCCTTGTCGTACAAGACGACTTCCTTCCCTTCCGTGGAGTCGGCTTTCGCTGCTGCCGCCTTCTCCTCCAACAACCTCTCCTTCTCAGCGTTCATTTCCTTCAAACGGACGACGGCAAGGTATTCAATTAGCCGTTTCTTGATCTTCTCGAGGCCAAAGTGGTCAGCATCGAGCTGAGCACGAGCATTGTCGAGGAACCCTCGGTCCTTCAAATCGAGCGTGGTGACTGAGGTTGAAGTTGTCGCAGAAGTGGAAGGAAGAGTGGTGGAGTTGGGCCACGGGATCGAGGTGAGCCATTCGAGCTGGAAGACAGGTGGTCAGGGAGTCTTGCATCGAGACAAACCAGGCAAACCAGGTGACTTACGTATGTTCGAATGACCCCGTTCTCGACGCTACCCTGAGGAATTCTCTTCAATCTTCTCCACTCCCTCACACCCATCTTTCTCTCCTCACTCCCCGGCGCCATCGCCTCGATTCGTCGCTTCAGATCAGCAAGATCATCAGCTTCGTGCTGCTCGTCGTCATCCAGTTCGCTAGTGGAACCTGCCTCGGCTGCGGGGTTGGGTTTGGTATTAGTCCGTTTGGGTCCTAGACGCGGAGAAGCGTGGGGGGTCGTACCAGGGTTGGAGTTGGTGCCACTGTTGGAACGTTGTAGTGCCTGGAGTTCGCGCTGGATGGCGGCCAGTTGTTGGCGGAGGAAGAATTCTTTCTGTTGTTTCGAAAGGGATTCGTCCACGGCACTTGCAATCTTGCGAGACACCTCGGAGATGGAAGCTTGTTTGAGGAAGATGTTGGTGGCGGTCTGTAAACGTGCGTCCGAGTCTGCTGAGGAGAGGATAGCTAAGGTAAAACCGAGCCAAGTGAGAAAGGCAGTGGGAATGAAGGTGGCTATTGTTACGCACCGAGTTTATCCGCATAGTCACACCCCACCGTGCTAATCATCACGTCCGCCATCCAAGGAGTTCGGGCATCCTGGATGTCTTCCAACATCCCGAGAACCTTGGAATATCCTTCCCTTCTGCTCATCTGCATGGAGTCACGGCTGAGCCGTTCCAACAGCCGTGAAGCCGATTGCTTGAAGCGTTCGACGGCTTCCCTGCTCGGAACCGTATCCTGTGGTGCATATTCGACATCCCGGTTGGGTAGAGAGGTGTTGAGAATGGATAATGTCAGTTTGTTCTTGGGTTTCGAGCGGTTAATCAACTTGATTCTGGTGAGACCATGTAAGGAGACGAGATAGGGTTGTCTCGGGGTTGTCCTGGTGGAAGCTGGGGGTCGAATGAGACGGAGAACACGAGCTGCAGTCCCCCATTCGGACAGCGGCAACTCTTCGTTGGGTTCTTCCTTGGTCGACTTCTGGTTTCCATCACGGGTATCAACGTTAGGAGGAGGAAGCAAGAGTCCCGTTTCGCGGTCCAGGTCCCCTGCTGGTCGCTGGGATGCAGTTGGAGACGTTATGGGGACGGTGGCAACAATTGGGAGGGCGTCGCTCTCCTCGATGAGGGCCAAAAGCTGTTCCCCTATAGTCTTTGAGACTGGAACGGTGACTCTGGCAGAAGGTAGGAGGATCAGAGGGTGGGGCAGAGCCAGAACTGGTAGCCTCGAGGTGGCCATTGTGAAACGTTGTTGGCGAAATAAGAGTACAAAGAAGTATGGTACAAAGGAAGGAAACGAAGGGAGGATTCACAAAGTCTTGAAGTGTCGCACCGTTTGTATCAGACTGACCAGGTAGACGCCCCTGTTCTCCGCGATGGGTGGACCTTCTCACATGATTTCCCCGCTTTCGCACGAGCCCCGGTCACCACGTAACCGGGCTTCCGGGTAGCTATCTCAGAAACCTCTGCAGAAAAGTCCAGAAAATATACCTCATTTCCCTTTGTTTCGCTGGTACTCCTGGCACTTTGCGATGTGGGAGTGGCCATGCGCGCGATGCATATCCCCTGAAGTCAGTTTTCTGGATCCTTCTGCCATCACATGAATGGCACAATCATGATAGACAGTCGTCGATATCGATGACCGTATTACTGTAGAGCTACATCCGATGAGTGCCTCTACATGTTTATCGACGACCCGAACGTGGAGTTGCCGCTGGGGGGGAAGAACTCGACTGTGTGATTGGCCAGGGGAGGGGACTGCCATCAGGGCCAGCCGTAGTAGGAAGCTTATCCTCATCGTCGCCTTTAGAATTCCCTCTAATATAAATCTCTTCAAGGAGTTCTCGAGTGCTGAACTGGCTTAAAATGTCTTCACGGAGAACGAGGTCCTCGACATAGAATTCTCTTGCCTCGAACCAGTCGTTGTCGAGACCAAGTTCACGGGCGGAGATGCCTTCTTCTGCGTCGGCCTTGAGTGGGGGCACTATCGTCAACCAGCGTTCCAAACCGTCAGCGAAGGGACTCACAAAATGCGCTGTGACATAGATGGCTCCAAGGAGGACGACACAGAGCGACTGGAAATGCATGATTGCTGTTGTGCGATGCCGCAACTGCTTGTACCTTTGCTTGTTTTCCCCTACCTCCCTGCGCTCGCTTTTATACGAATTTCCTGTGTATAATCCCTTGGGAAGTGGATATTGGTATCCACAGGGCGCTTATTCCAGCCCTTGATTTCATCAAAGGTTGCGCGGGCAGAGCACACAGCTTGTGTCGTTCAAATTCCCAAGGTGAGCCCACCTTTGGGGCGCTTGTGTGTTAGGTTGTATAGAGCTTCTCTTTGGCTATGTGTCTGTCGACGCTACCATCATCCAGCCGGTGCTACTGGTAGGCCTCAGTGGGTATCTAGATGCGTGCTTTCACTGTTGGAGGTGGACGACTCATCAGGCTTTCCGGTATTGAATAAAGATGCGTACCCCACATTCAGTAAGCTGTTTGCTTCCAGAAGCAGAGAGAATGTTCAAACAAAGGAACATAAGCGCCCGTATTGTATTTCAGTTGAGGGTACATCCCCGCGAAAAGTAAGCTCGCAATATATTGACGTCCAGCGGGTACGCATGCACACATCGGCGGGGCGTGGACTCGAAATAATGTCATGCAACTGGGAACAATGGGATGCGAACGCACGCAGTCACATAATACGCACTGTTATTGTGGGATGTGGGTTAAGCGCTCGTCCGGAGTGATAGGTTAACTCACTGATCACATATATATCTTCCAGTCCGATGGGATTTTTTTTACGAGTAATAGAGGTGTGCATGCCCGGGGAGAACTGTTCCACTGCATAGTTCATGGGCTGGTATACGGATAGTTGACCCCGAGCTCGAAGAGGACTGGTCAGAGATCATTCAAGGGGCTTAAGGTCAGCCTGGTCAGGGAACTTCGACTCGACTCGCCGACGAAGAATAGAGAATACTGAGGTAAACTCAATTCTTGGCTAGGAAGAGCGGAGTCAACGAACAATAGGCGCCACTGACGGCATTCGCGGTCACCTCGTTCCCCAGCGCTGAATGATAAGATGCTGGGGCATGTCTCCGGGTAATGTGACAAAGGCGGCGCGCTTTTAATCTCCAGCTTCTTTGTCCAGAGAGAAGATAGCCGCGACTAATAGAAAGAATACCTTAAAGACGAAGGAGCTGGACGAGAGCGGCTCGACTTCTTCAAGCTTTGGTCGCGCTTGCTTTTAAACCCACTGACTAAGCTCCCTATCACCAACGGTACCCGCACTGACAACCTTAAGCTTTTAGCTATTCGCTCATTTTCTGCCCCAACGCCTTTTGGGTCCTTTTGAATATGGAAAAGTCTGCAAGCGATGCCCTTCAACCGCCTGGGAGTGACCAAAGGCAAGAAAGAACTCATTTTCCTTTGTATTACGATGTGTTACTTCGCTCTCTCGAGTTCTTCCGCGGCGACTATGGGGCCCTGTACCGATTCTCTCTGGTCAATAAGGATTTCAATCGGGCAGCCTCAACGTTGCTGTACTCTAGGGTGGTTCTGTCACCGCCACCCTCGCATGCGTTGCAGATTAACCTGAAGGACGCCGGGGCCATCACGGTAGGGTGCAGTTCCAACGCGCTTCATTTTGCCTTTATTGACGCCCTGTTTAGAGTCCATCTAACTTACCCTCGGCGTTGTTGCCAAAGTACAAGGCTATAGTTGTCGAATTGGAAATCAGTGGTAAGTCGTTACACCAGATAGACAAGTATGTGTTTGATAATCAAAATCATCCAGGCTATCTCTCACCCCGCCCCCCACCACGGAATACACTTCACGCTACGATATCCAATGCAGTTTCCCAATTTGCAAACCTGAGCTCAATCAAGTTTACTCCCAACGCCTATCATGGGAACGTCTTTGTTGATTCTTTAAACCAGCTCCCGGAACTGTCCTGTCTCCAGAGTCTCGACATTAATTCGTCGTGCATGGACGAGGATTATAAAGTTCGGCATCTGATCAAAATCAAGGGCCTGAGGAAGCTCACGCTACGCAGTCCTGGACGCGCCATTCTGCAAGTTCTCCCGGATTGGTTAGGGAAGATGCAAAGAACCTTGATGGAACTTCATTTGTTGGTAAGGGGGTCGCAGTTCGATGTAGTTCAAGCTCACATTTGTACTTATTGCAAAGGACAACTGCGGATCTGTCACTCCCGGTGTCTTGAAAGCCTTCTTGCCACATGCCTGCGAACGGCTAAAGGCGTTTAGCTTGGGCCTTTCGTACTCCCTGACAGATACCGACGTCTTCGTGTTTGTTGATCAGCTCTCATCTCTCGAGCGTTTGCAATTGCGACACTACTATGTAGGTCTCGTTCGACTTGATTAACGGCGCGGATTCCTTATTCGATCTTCATAGCAAATCAGGCCACCGAGTCACAGACCGAGGCTCAGGAAACTGAAGGAGTTCACCGCGGTGCAGACTCCGGAGTTTACTGCAGCCTATGCTGCAAGCGTGGGCTCGTGGATACGTCAAATTGTATCGGCCTCTCCATTGCAGACGCTGAGGATCATTACAGAAGGGGTCGATGAAGACCAGGAAGAGAGAAGGGGTAAGTTCCCTGCATTCTCTCTCTTTTTAAGAATGTGACCTCAATGAATGGCCGCCAGTCTGCCCTTCATATGAAGGCCTGCTCAATCATCTGACCAAGAAACACCTATGGACTCTCCGACATCTTTTCATGAAAGATTGTCTGGTGACTCTAAAACAACTCCCCGTCGTCTTCGAGAATTGCATCTCTCTAGAGTCTATACACGTCTCAGTGGATAAACGCGCGCCGGTAATTTTACCGCTTGCAGTTTGTAACCTCAGTACTCAATGCGCCTCACAGACACTCCTAGCAGAGAAAATCCCAATCCCATCGTCTTTGAATTCCATGTCTCTCGAGGTGCGCAATACAAGGGACGGAGAACCGCCGATCACAGAGCAGGAAGTGAATTTGATAATGAAGAGAGGTGATATGCTTAGACATCTCAGCGTAAACGGGACATACTGGGAGGTGAGCGGCGTGGTGACCGACTTGACTTCGTTTGCCACTTACTACCTCAACTACAGGCTCATTTCCAGCTTTCTCGTTCCTCAGAAGATGAGTGTAGCTTGGTTGTAGAAGAGGTAGAACCTTCCGTTCCGCCATGGAGTTGGGAAAACGATTCCTAGTACCTAAAATTAGTGTCTCGAGTTGCCTTACCGTCGATGCGTGTACTCGAGTAGGTTGTAGTAATCTTACCCTCTCTCGGGATCGAAATCGCGACCAGGCCTACTTTCTCACGGGTCAACCTGATCAGCCTCGTCGCAGTCAATACAGATCTTGACCCGCTTCTGCTGCAACCGCCACGATGAGCATTCGAGGGCCACGAAAGGGCGAGAACTATGAGCTTAGCGTTGACCTCAACAGCGAATACCGCGACAAACGAAAGGATGCCATCAAACGCGTTATCGCTTCGATGACCGTCGGCAAAGGTACGTTCCAAATCCTCAAATCATAGCCGTTTCTGAAGTTTCTAGACGTCAGCGGTTTATTTCCTGACGTCTTGAAGAACATGCAGACGGAAGATCTGGAACAGAAGAAGCTCGTATACCTCTACCTGATGAACTATGCAAAAACCCAGCCGGAATTAGTGATTCTGGCGGTTAATACTTTCGTGAAGGATACCGACGACCCCAATCCCCTTGTTCGCGCCTTGGCTATCCGTACGATGGGCTGTCTACGGGCGGAGAAGATCATAGACTACCTCTGCGACCCTCTGCAGAAATGTCTACGAGACGAGAACCCATACGTCCGCAAAACCGCAGCACTGTGTGTTGCGAAGCTGTACGATCTCAAGCCAGAGCTGGTGATCGAGAATGGATTCCTCGAACAGCTGCACGATATGATTGCGGACTCTAATCCAATGGTAAGTGAACCAGTTTATAATAGAATTAGAAGTTTACCAGTTTACAGGTAGTAGCCAATACGGTTGCCGCCCTTTCCGACATCCACATCTCTGCCACCTCCCAGCCCTCAAGTTCTTCCTCAGATCCAGCCCTCTTCAACATCACGACCAACATTCTGAACAAACTACTCATCGCATTGAATGAGTGCTCTGAATGGGGTCGTGTCGCGATTCTGAACGCGCTGGCGCGGTATAACGCAAGCGATGACAAGGAGAGCGAGCATATTTGCGAACGAGTTGTACCCCAATTCCAACACGTTAACGGCTCTGTCGTCCTGGCCGCAGTAAAGGTGGTGATGATTCACCTTCGAAACGTGCGTCGAGAAGACCTCGAGAAGCAGCTGATTCGAAAGATGGCACCCCCTCTCGTCACCCTGCTTTCCTCCCCACCCGAAGTCCAATGGGTCGCTCTCCGAAATATCAACCTCCTTCTTCAGAAACGTGCCGACATTCTCTCCAACGAGATCAGGGTCTTCTTCTGCAAATACAACGACCCTCTTTACGTCAAGGTCGAGAAACTAGACATTATGGTCCGATTGGCCAACCCGAAGAACGTCGACGCTCTCCTCAGCGAACTTCGTGAATACGCTTCGGAAGTCGACGTTGACTTTGTTCGGAAGAGCATCAAGGCTATCGGCCAGACTGCGGTCAAAATCGACGAAGCTGCGGAGCGTTGCGTCAACGTCCTTTTGGATTTGATTGCCACTCGAGTCAGTTATGTCGTCCAGGAGGCGGTTGTGGTCATGAAGGATATCTTCAGGAAATACCCTTCCACTTACGAGGGCGTTATTCCGACACTGTGTGCCAATTTGGACGAGTTGGACGAGCCCGAGGCGAAGGCATCTTTGATCTGGATTATTGGAGAATACGCCGACAAGATCGATAACGCTGACGAACTTCTCAGCCTGTTTGTGGAATCCTTCACGGAGGAATCCTATTCAGTGAGTGCATTTCTGGGCGAAGAGTTTCCATTGTGCTTACGGATCGTGTCAGGTGCAACTGCAAACCCTCACTGCAGTTGTCAAGCTTTTCCTCAAGAAGCCTGATTCTTCGCAGGGAATCGTGCAGAGGATACTGAATACCGCGACGAAGGATTGTGATTCGCCCGATGTCCGCGATCGTGCGTACATCTATTGGAGACTGCTTTCGATGGACCCTGGAGCAGCAAAGGTAATACCGTTTTCACTATTGATCTAGATTCTATGTTGACCTGGCTCAGTCTGTCGTTCTTTCACATCGTCCACCGATCTCGATACCCCGCACAACCGTCGCCCCTGCCTTGTTGGAAGAGTTGATCGGTGAAATCGGAAGCTTGGCTAGCGTTTACCATAAGCCAGCCGAGACCTTTATTGGCAAGGGACGGATTGGAGCAGAGGCCATGCAGCGCAAAACCGAGTACGTTACGCCCCGTTCTTTCCGCTGATTTCTGAACTGACACTTCTCTCAGCGGCCTCGAGGACCTCTCCGCTCAGAAGGCTTTGCAAACGGTCGCTGCTGGCCAGCAATCAGAAAACCTTCTGTAAGTCGCCTTCAGGTATTTCTCGATTCCATCCTAATCGCACATACAGGGACTTCGACGACGATCCAGCGACGGAAGGAGGTGGTCTTTCCGGCCTGGCTGCAACGCAAGTGCTTTCCCAGCCGGCTGCTGCAAACCTTTTGGCAGGAACTTCCAGCAACCCGCTGGACGACCTTGTCTCCATCTTTGGCAATGCCTCTCTTCAGCCAGCACCTGCTACACCTGCTCCTGGAGGAGGACTGTTTGGTGCGCCGATGACTCCGGCCACGGCCAATCCATTCGGAGGGACTGCCCTCGCTACCCCGGTCACCACATCTCCTCCTGTGCCCAGCGCCGCCACCACAACCACAAGCCAGGGCGCACAAGACGATTTGCTCGGGTTGTTCTAACCAACATGAAACGTGGAACACCTAGATCTGTTTGAGCTACGCGAGGTTGTTTACAAGGCCCTCGGGTCCGATGCTGTGTCGCGGTTTTGTTTGTTGGCTGTACATTCACGATCAATTCCTAATTTGATTCCACGCTTTCTTGTTTGGGATGTCTCTGGCACAGAGCACACCGGCGAAACTGCGACGCGTCTTTCGCTCGTAATATTGCCTGGCTGCCTCCTTTGTCAAATGCTGAACAGCACAGACTCGAGCAGAAACACCTGCTGCAGCCATCAATCGCCTGTTCCGGCTGTCTGTAACCATCGCCCCGCGGACGGACTTCCCTTCCCCTCCCTCGACTCCATAGGCTAAACCTGCTGCAACTGTACGTTTGGGGTGTCTCTCGTCACAAGGGGGAGCCAAGCTAATTTATATTCGTGGGCTTGTTGAAATCCTGTTAAAAGACCTTGTTGTCGTCCTTCGTCCCTGAAACAAACGTGCAATGTTGAACTGTGGCAACATGAATGTTGAATAACTTTGACTCGTGTACTGGTCTCCCTCCACTCACTTGTTCTGACAAGCACCAATTTGGAAGAACTTCAACAGAGCCAACAAAAGCCTACTTTAAGACTCACTGGACACGTCATGGCTGCTCGACCTGACCTCTTCACTCTACGCCCTCCTACTCACGATGTTTCCCCGGACGCGACTCACGAAATTGCTGGTACTTGGGCTGCTGACAGGGTCGGTGACCTCACAGGAGATTTGGGATGTGGTACGTCTTCCGTTCGGGTTTCTGTGTGGGATGGGATAACTCAAATCGCCATGTAGTGGCAAACTACATGGAATCGCACGAATCTCTTTCAATCCAACAAACGAATACCTCCTCTTGAATTCGCAGACATCGCTGCATCCTCGTCCGCAAACATCATTATTAATGACCTGAGGATCCATCAACCGGTGTTAGGTTTTGGTGGCGGACTCAGTGCGTGTGCTTCCTTCTCGCCGAATCTCTCGAGTCATGAACCGCATCAACAGCCGACTCCTCTGCACTCCTCTTGAGTGACCTCAAGGCCAAAAACCCTCAAAGCTATTGGAACCTACTCAACTACCTATTTTCTCCAGTCGAAGATGCGAATGCAGCGGGTTTGAGCTACCTCCGCATCCCCCTTGGAGCTTCCGACTTTGCTGCTTCACGTTAGTCGCCGCGTTCATCTAATGGAAATGACACCTTTTCATCCCTATATCCAGGTTACTCCTTCGACGATGTTGATGGTGACACCTGCCTGAACGACTTCGATATCAACAACGCCCCGCCATATCTATTTTCAGTACTGAGCGATATCCAAGCCATCAATAGCAGTAAGTTAGCTCTTGCTTCCATTTGGGGCGACGATCCTGACGCGCACTAGTGCTTCGGGTTCACCTGGTGCCTTGGTCTCCAGTAAGCCTTTTCTAATTTTAGTGTCGATCTGATCCTCACCCTTCACTTTTCCTAGCCCGCCTGGATGAAGACAAGTGGGACGATGAATGGAGGTTCTCTCAAACCAGAATACGCCGAACTCTGTAAGGCGATATCCGGATCCTCACATCCGATGATCCTGACTAACGCCTACCCATTTGCCAAGATGCCCATTACCTCTTGAAAGCCCTGCAAGGCTTTAAGGGGAAAGGAATCACTGCGTATGCTATTTCAATCCAGAATGAGCCGGGTCACGACAATCCGACCTACCCTACGGCCCGATTATCTGTCGAAATGGAAGCTCAGGTTGGAAGGATCCTCAAGGGCCTTATGAGAGCCAATGGCTGGTCTGGGACCAAGCTAATTGGTGCGCATGTTACAGTCTCCTCTGCTCTACCAGCTCGCTTTGGCTAACATGCGTTCTATCGATCAGGCTACGACCACAATTGGGACAATGCAGGCACCTATCCTGTGCAGCTGATGCAACAAGCTGCTGACGTCTTCGATGGGGTCGCTTTCCATTGCTATGCAGTAAGCATTATGGGAAATACGTTGGTGTTAGTATGTGAGCGCTAATGCATCCGCTATCCACAGGGGTCAGTTGGTCAGCAAGACCTCTTCAACAGAGCGTTCCCTATCAAGGTTCGTCATGCGGCCCTCTCAGTTCGCCTCGTCGGCGAAGGCTGACTAAATCTGACATTTGGTGCTGATCGTAGGAGATTTATTTCACTGGTAACTTAGCTCATTTGGAGCCTCTTGACTAAGTCGAGTTTACCTGATATTTGTAGAATGTTCCGGCGTTCATGGCTCGGATTGGTGGACCGACCTTAAGGTGAGTGTGCCTCAGCTCGCCTCATGGTTCACAGATAGTGGATTCTGATGGAATTTCTGTCTAGTGGTATATGGACAACATGTGAGTGGTGCCATCTTTACCTGATCGACAGGCCGAGCTAAACGGGGAGCTGGTTTTGGAACGAATGTCAACTAGTTTCATTGGTAACGTCCCCCCCTTGAGTTGGTTTGGAACGACAGGCACTTACATCTTTTGAAGGCGCGATACAACATAATGCCCGAGCGGCGCTGATGTGGAACATCGCTTTGGACGACAATGGAAACCCAAAGATACCTGGGACGGCCAGCTGTGGCGGACCAGGATGTCGGGGCATCGTGACCATCAACAACGACGGGACGTGGAGTGTCAATCAAGAATGTAGGTGCGTCCTCACTCGTGCTAACGGATCGTCCCCTGATTATTGCCCGTCTTTGTCGTTGTTCGGCGTCGTCCAGTTTACGCGATGGCACATGTTTCGAAGGGAACAATTCCACGAGACATCGGAGGTCCAACGGCTCGACGACTCACTGTCAACGTGGAGGGCAGTTTGAGCTGGGCTCTCCGTGTGGGTGCCTACGTCACTTATCGTGCTAAATCAACGGATTGGCTTCGTTATTCGCTTGTGGTGCTCAACTGTAAGTTAAATTTGATTTGACGCCAGAGGACGATGATAGTCCTCTCCTCTGATAACCTGTGGAACGGCAAATTGACCGGTGTCTGTCTATCTATAGGGAATGACTCTGTCGGCGGATGGAACCCTCAAGATGTTACGGCTACGATCGAGTTCCGTGGAAAGAGGGTGCGTCGACTTGATAACGCTTGTGGTGGTGCGCGATGACTGATTGAGTACTTGCAGGTGACGTTCACTTTCCCGGTTGGAATTACGACCTTGTGGTGGTACGGTAAGTTTGTTCTACTTCCGCTCGGTTTAGACACCGCTCGCTCACGAACCGGTAGCTCCATCGATTGCGCGGAACCCTGGAAGGCATTTTGAAGAACGCGAAATGGAGGTGTTTGTGGAACATAATGGAACTATCACGTCGTTTGTTGGCTTTCAGAACTGAATGTGCTGCATATTTATATGTCATCGCTACAATACAATTCCTGCCTGCAATCAATCCGATCCCCATTGTGGGCGGTCGAGTTCTACCTTACGTAGGTCATAAGGTACGCGGAAGGGCGCCCATACTGTCAGTAGGCGCCAGAGTCATACTTTTGGAAACTATTCAAAACCAATCACGAGTCGCTATAGGACTTTTGAAGTAGGAGTGCAAAGCCAGGTGATTATTTGGACTTCTGAGTGGGACAGCTCACTGTTTACATGGGGTGGATGGATAGTGGACGACAGCGGCTCTGTGGATGTCCTCAGTGCATCGTTGGAGATAGCTACGGCGCTCATTCTATCCCTCTCTGGATGATAGAAACAGATGCCTTCTGATGGAAGCCAACGAACTTTTGAACAATCATGTCCACTCAGGCGCTGGCACACTCCAATGCTGTGAATGAAGTGAAGCGAGAAAGGTAATTCTGTGAAGGCGTACAAGTATGCCTTAGAGTACAACTAGACCTTAGAGAGACGACGAGGAGGGACACTGATCAGTGGGTCCTCCGAGTCGGAATTCGAAACGAAGTTCTGAATCCCAGGAGCACCCCTTCTGGGAGCACCAGGTGCAGCGTATGGAGCCTGTACGAGTGCTTCCTTGACCCTACTACTTTAACGTTGTGTGTAGGGTCAAGCATGCCCACGGCTATCCTTCCGTGTCCTCTACAAGTGTAAACCCGAGGACAATGCTCGGGTAAGACTCGGACTCGTACTATTCATTGCTCAAACCACTTGCTATCGGTTTTTCCAGGTTGCCAAAGGCGAACGGAAGTGGTGGCACTCTGAGATTATCTTCTGCACTCTAGTGAAGCTTCTTACTTCGGAGACACGAGCCCTTTTCCCACCTGTCTCTAACACATGTACCTCTTAGACTTGAGCTACTTGTTAATGCAGCTAAAGAATCGTCTACCTGGTTGTAGAAGACACGGAAGATGCAAAAAGTGGTGGCTATCTGTATCTCTACAGTAGCTGAACGTGCTCATTGAATTACACCCACCATGTTATATTTTAACCCTGACCTTCCCTGAAGGCTTTATCGCGTACGTAACTTCGTCCCTGCACGGGGTTCGGACAGAATACACATCATCAGAAAGGGTCTCCTAATTTCAGGGCCCGTGGTAGTTTACTGGAAGACTCAAAGCTAGAGGGCATGTATCCGAGGCTATCGCACAAGTTCCCTCAGACATTGATATGAAATCCTCGGAATAGAAGGAGGTATATACGTATCGTTTATTTTAGTATACTCCAGGTCAGCCACTGCATGTGGATGATCATGAGACTCTACTATGGATCATCCCCGGTCACGCTAGACTATTCCCAGAGAACTGACACGCCAGAGGAGTACATCAGATACACCGATACCGTCAGGGCAGATGGAGTCGGGACTTGGACAAAAGGGAGTATCCATCTCGATGTCACACTTTTACCTGTATTCAGAAGACATCCGTTATGAAGCGGACGCCGACACACATAACGCACTTTTGACAGATTCTTGGGCCTACATTACAAGATATGTCATTTTAATAGACCTTGATAGGAGACAAGAGAGGGGCTTACCCATTTCGAGTCGGGTTGTAGCCAAATTCGGTGCCAAGGAAAGTCAAACGGACGGTTGCCACAAACAAAACAAATAGGATTTGTCACGTCATCCTTTCTTTCTTACCACCATCGTGACCCTCAAGGAATGCGCTTGGTCGCCTCCGTACCGCATTTTCTCGATTTTGTACAGCGAGAATGGTCCAGCGCACCGCAGAACCCACCTGACCACCCTGAATTCACAGAAAGAACAAAGGCGAGCTCTCCCCAGCCAAGCCACGACGATTCAATGGCCTTGTCAAATGCCCGGAACCGCACCATGAAATCAAGCGCTAACATCATAATGAACCTGAAAGGGTGGCGAATGGGGAGCCTATTTGCGGCTCCATTGCACCTAGTTTGCAGGGTGCAGAAAGCGGATATTGTCACAAGTCCGGCCTGCCCAAATTGACGATCCGAAGGCCCCAAGGAGACCGGAATCACAGCGTCAATTGCATGCTAATTGACAGAGTCCTGCCTCTGAGGTCTCGTTGAACCCACAGGGGAGAGCGCTTGGGTTGGTGTTGGGCTGTAGCTCATCTGACAGAATCAACATTTGGTTTGTCGACTGGAGGTACATGTGCACCGGGTACGTGACAGTCATCATCTCCTATACCCCATATACCCACACAAATCCCTGTTCAGCGGCAAGATCGGGCTTGTAATCTGAAAGAACTCATGCCATCAGCGGAACCTCTGAAGGCAGACTCGAGGCTTCTAAATGGACTAATTCGTCCCGTCAGGCTTCTTGCAGTGACTTGACATAGTCGAGCACTACGAACCACCCCCCAAAGTTCTAAATTCTATCCATGAGCCTGATGGACTCGCCGGGTTTTTACTGCGGCAAGCGTCAAAAACCTTGTCCTTTCCCCTTTCTTGACTGCAGCCGTTCTCACTCTCTCCCTACGTCCACGACGGAGAATGCATCTGAGCACACCCACCCTTAACCTCGGTTCACAGGCCCCCTTTTTCTATCTTTATAGGTCCCATGAGAACTATCACAAGTGGCTGCATGTTACACCATGCTACTGTTGGGTCTTTCTCGGCAAGGACCTGTGGTCGATCGGATTGATTTTCTCCAAACGGTTACACTTGACGGGTGTGTTCGACGGCTTAACCTGTCATACCAAGGCGCTTCGGCTCTATAAAGCAGGTCCACCTTGCAACCCACCTTCACCCGTCTTTTCGGTGGGCATCCCCATGACTTCCTCCACTACATTTTCGACCCTCTCCTTTGTCCTTTCCCTTGTTCTCTTTATCACATTTCTTTTCTATCGCGCCAACAAGAACGCTAGACACCATCTCCCTCCAGGGCCCAAAGGCCTCCCATTCATCGGAAATGTCCTCCAAATGCCCTCGAGCAACCAGGTTGAGGCCTTCAAGGCATGGGCCAACGAGTATGGTAAGTCCAATACTACCTACGCTTTTGCGCTTCAATTGCCTAACCTTTCTCAGGGGATCTCGTCTACGTCCAAATTTTTGGACAGCCGATGGTCATCCTAGACAGCTTGCAAGTCGCGCGTGATCTTCTCGATAAAAGGAGCTCCATCTACTCTGATCGTCCTCGATTCGTCCTATTTTCTGAATTGTGAGTCGACGCACCCGCTTTATCCAACGTTCTCGATTGACCTTTCGATGTGTTTGCTTTCATCAGGATGGGCTGGCATAGTGCTTCGACACATGTACGATAGTAAGTGCGGATGGAATCACGTTTATCCTTTACCGCGGATGATTCATGTGGTCTATTCTTAACTCCTTCAAGTGGGCCACGATTTAGGAAACATCGCCGCTTCATGAATCAGATATTCAATTCTAGAGCCATTTCCGCCTTTCGCCCTCTACAACACAAGGAAACGTTGACAGCCATGGAAGGCCTGCTGAATTCTCCCGACTCGTTTGTCGACCACTTTAGGCGGTACGTGGGTTTATTGCATCATGATGTCCCCATCCTGACATCGATCCACGCTCTAAATAGCTTTGCGGCATCCACGATCCTTAAGATCACATATGGTCACGAAGTGCATTCAGCGGACGATCGATTCGTGCAGTTAGGTAAGGGAACGATCGTGAAACTCGACAACCGACCTTTGCTGATACTATGAATTCAATCCATCGACAAGCTGAACGCGCCGCGACCATGACAGTGCAGTCTGGATCTCCCGCCGCTACCCTGGTCGATTTCTTTCCAGTGATGAGGTTATTACTTATTACCTCGGTCAAAGTATCGCACTAACGCCGGTATAGACATATTCCCACTTGGGCGCCATTCTCGTCGTTCAAGCGGAAAGCCTTGGAGACCAGGAAAGCTGTCGAAGACATGATGGAGATCCCCTTCCAGCTTGTCAAGCAAGAGATGGTACGATTGCTCCATTGACTCCTGCAACGCCCACTTAAGCCATCCTTAGAAATCAGGGGTTGCTATCCCATCATATACTTCCTCATTACTCGAATCCCGCCGAAACCCTGAGGATGGTTCAGTGGATGCCGAAGACGAAGAGGATATAAAAGGTTCAGCCGGTACTCTTTATGCTGGTGAGAGCTTATTTTCCGCTTCTCCCATGATTGTGTTTACCGAAACGTTGTAATAGCGGCAGAGGACACTGCAAGTGGAGATACCATGAAAGCTTGACCGTTGACTGACCGCGATATTGTTCCTCTTCCCAGACGTCGGCCTTGTTGCACACCTTTGTCTTGGCGATGGTTCTCCACCCTGATGTCCTGAAGAAGGTTCAGACTGAACTTGATCAGGTCGTTGGTAATCACCGTCTACCTACGTTGGAGGATCGGCCTTCTCTTCCATACTTCGAATGCGTGCTCAAGGAAGTACTTCGGTAGGTTTCTGAGCACAGCGTCACCTATCTGGAAATTGACCGTGTTCGATTTAGATGGAACCCCCTAGTCCCGCTTGGGATGCCCCATCGGCTTATGGACGACGACTATTACCGAGATTACCTGATTCCCAAGAACTCGACTGTGCTTGTGAACATTTAGTGCGTCTTCACACCGGGCTTCATCTGTATGCGTACTGACAGGCCTACAGTTCTATTCTTCGTGATTGTCCGAACTCCGACGCATTCTACCCTGAACGCTATCTGGAAGACCCCTCGCTACCTGATCCTAAAACGATTATCTTTGGATTTGGTCGTCGGTAAGCGCCCGTTCTTGGTCCGCTTTCTCTGAGCTCTTCTAATTTGGGCGACGTCAAGTGTGTGTCCTGGCCGATTCTTGGCCGACGCGAGTGTCTTTATGATTTTGACAACCATGGTCACTTTGTTTGACATTTCCAAGTCCGTTGATTCCGACGGTCGAGAGATTGTTCCAGAGGTGGAATACACCGAAGGATTTGTTCGGTAAGTAATGCCAGTGGTTTGACATGTCTCCGAGGGATATGAAAGCTGACATGGGTATATGTTCCACACTCTAGCCACCCTAAGCCCTTCAACTGTACCATTAAGCCCCGCTCCTCCACGGTCGCGAAGTTGATTAGTCAAGCCAAGAGCGACTCGATTTGACGATCTTGAACCGTTCCATTGCCGACTCCCCAGCATGCTGTTTTCGTTCATACCCCATTGCCAGGACGTTTTACGCGTTAGACTCTCTCTGACTGTTCGCATCGATTGCTGGCTTTTATCATTATTAAGTCTTCTTTCGCATCGTCTTCTTCCGCATTGTTGCCCTATCCTCTGTGTATCATAATTGTATTCTAAATTGCCAATCATCATATGGGTGGTAGAATTTTCGAGCAAGCTCAGCGGAGCGGGCTGGTCATTCTGATGTGTTCTGGAAAGTTCTTGGCAGGCGCGTCTCTCATAAATTGGCCACATCACAACGTCACGTATTACCACAATGACATTCGGTCTACGCTCTACTCAGTTCCTAACTAGACTTCAATTTGGACGTCCATTACTGAATACTAGGACTCTACCACGACGCACCATGTCGACATCATCGGGACCTACCAACACAGATCGGCCAGAGGAAGAGCAGCAACAACGGTCCCAGCCTCTGCTTCTCGAGGATGCTAGCCGTAGCCGCTCAGATACCACTAATGCCCACTCGCTTGATGTGTCGAATCAATCGACTGTGAGGCTAGATGCTTTGGGACCTATGGTGGTGAATAGAGATGGGGTGAGTGTTCCGTCCTCTCCGACATTATGTATTACTATCTTGTACCCGTTCAACGCGGTGGAAATAGCATCTGTACGACTCGTTATACTAAACTGTCTTCTGTTTATGACGCTAGACGCTTTCTCGGATTGCGAATTGGGACAAGATGACGGAGGATGAGAAGGAGCGAACGTTACGGGTGCTGAGTGCGCGAAACAAGTGAGTTCGATGCTTATCCATATTACAATTAATTTCTGACCACCGGGGTCTTCCTCTGTTTTCTTGGATTTGTAGGGTTAGACTGGCGAAGCATGCGGCCGCCGCTGAGAACGCGACGAACGAGGGAGAAGTTGTGAGCGCGTTAAAGGGAGAAGAAGGACCTGCATCAACAACAAACGCGACATCATCGCCGCCTTCGACGACGCAATAAGTAATTCCTAAATATCAAGTTGAAGGAACGAGGAACGAAGAACAGGGGATTCGGCGCGACAAGGACGGGACTGTTTCAGTCCGCTTATGACCGACTTTTTCGAACTGAATGAAATGTTTGCGACGCCCGTTTGGATTCTTTGTGGTGCTGGTGCTTTGTAGTAGGTGCAAGAAGTACTTGGTCGTCGGAAGAAGGGAGTGTGTTGTTCCTGGCCATGTGGAGTGGAGAAGGGAAGCTGACATGCACACTTGTGCGTTCTGTGCATCGCGTACTCGTCGCCGAATGCTCTTCAACGTTTGACCCTTCTTGTTCGTCGTGTCTTTTCTTTTCACTTTCGAACCTGTCGGAGGAATGGGGCAACGAGGTGTTTTGTTGGCCGTGGAGCTGGAGTATTGTATGCTTTATCCAATATTCATTCTTTTGTAATATTGTATGCGCGTTCAAGTTCGTGCTAATGGGATGGCCGTTTGACCATGACCACCACCGTCCGCATGCAGACCGGCATCTATTTTTACTTTTTCGAGGTCTTGGCACCGTCTTGGTGAGTGGTTCGGCCCGATCCCTCATTTTGCAACCTCGGTGAGGCTGTAAATTGTTGACCGCGCATTGAAATTTAAACTGGGCTGCACCCCACGAGGGTTGGGTGTGAAACCTCGACTGGGATCTGGCTACCGTGAGCAACTCGACTACAGTCGCTGCGCATTTGGGAGACTATAACAGCTCATCTCAATCAGTTAAAGGTTAATTCGTTTATTCTTTCACGGTCAAAGCGCCCTCGTCTACAGATAGTATCACAGCTGCACGAACCGCGCTGACGCGCGTGTCCACGTCGGGCGCTTAGCGAAGCTAAAACGGAGGTCATTCTCACGGCACGCTCATTCGATTGGACTCTTGATGTCGTATTGAATTCCGCTTCGAGTTAAACTGGACAATCCCCCAGTGATCCCCTTCCTCCAGCAGAGGCCACTGGAATACTTGGTCGGGCATGCTGCGGTTCCGTACGCCTGGCCACGATCGCACAATCACTTACACATCCAACTAGCTGAGATATTAACCGTCGTCGAGTCTGGACGCTGAGCGCTGAGTTGTTGTTCTCTGACAGGTACTAAGGCCAAGTCATTCCCGTAGTATAGGAGCATCGTAACCGTTTGGTGGGAAGGACCGGAAGGCGTTCCTCGAGAGGGTCGTTCTAGGGAAGGCAGTGTCCCAAGGCTATGCATAGGTCCAGGTCTTGGAAAGTAGGTCCCAGAGGATTTCCTATACGGGTACCACTGTTGCTGGATTCAGCCAAGAGTTCGACCGGAACCGCCGGATGTGAGCGACCTGGGTGGGGCTAGGCGCGTCATGGCGGAGATCATGAGGTATTCAGAAGGGTTGTCGACGAATCTCGAATGTAGGGGAAAGACGACGCCTGCCATTCAGTTGCTCGGAGCATAGAGGTCACTGCGAGGCACTCTGAACGCAGGGTCTCCCGAAAGGGCTCGCTGGTGAAATGGTTGCAGGGATAAATTTCGACAACAGGGAAGATACAACAGGTACACTGGATTGGAAGCTCATGGAGACTTGTTACATGCGAGAGTGGTTAAGACGTCCATCCTGTCGTGGCGATATGCTTGTGGTATAACATGGTGGAATGTCCGTTTATTTCTGGTTCTTCTCAAGGGCTTCGTGTTGGTTCTCGAGGTCCTTCTGCAAGGGGCGTTAGTTCCTGTTGTAAAGACGATGCTGGGGATCGTAGCACGAACCAATTCGGCCTTCTTAGCCTCAATCTACATTGGAATCGTCATTAGTGTTGTCGTTTCAAAACCACAAGGGCCATTGAGACTCACGGAAGCCTTGAGCTTAGCGAGCTGTTCGGCCTCATGCCTCTTCACATATTGATCTACAAAGACATATCAATAATCTATTCTTTCCATCGAAGACGACGACCTTACCTTCATGGGCCTTCTCCTTCTTGCTGTAACGCGCAACAGAGACCCTGGTCAGTCAAACCGTCCTTTCGGAAGAAAACGCGTCGGGCACACCTGAATTCCTTAGATTGGGCGACGCTGCCTTCAGAGCGACCAAGGCTGTAGTGCCTGACGGAGGTCAGAGCAGCGGTGGGCAAGGCACGGGGGGTAGCGAGACGACGCAAAGCGAGCATGGTTGTGGTGTGTGGTAAAGTTGTTGGAATTGCGATTCGCAGAGCCTGGAATTTGTACTGCCCGATGTATGCAAGCCGAGACTCGACCGCCGATGACGCATTGTGGTTGGTTTAGGGGACCCCGAGCTCCGGGATTCGGAGCTTTCCTGCCGTTTAAGGGACCGATTCGCCGATAAGTGCACATGTGATCCTCCCCACGTCACGTCACAGCCACCAGCTCTTTCCGTTTTGCACCCAACCACCATGTCCTCCACCCTCCTCCGACAGGCCTCTGTTGCTGTAAGTCTCGACCTTCTCAACTTGCAAAAATAAACCTGAATTTTGGCTATACAGGCCCGCCAGGTCTCCCGAGTTCGAGCCTTTGGCACGACCGCTGCGCGCAAGGGTGAGTTTTGTTGGCATTTGTTGCGATTCGAATTTATTCTTATTTCCGGGTATACCCGCAGACCTCGTCCAGGACATCTACCTTCGTGAAATCAAGGCTTACAAGCCCGCTGCTGTCGTACGTTCCCAAAAGCCGCAAATCTACCTTCAAAATGTCACTAAATATATCAATGTAAATTTAACAGGCCAAGGATGCTCACGTAGGCGCCGTCAAGTCCTTCTCCCTGCCTCCTGCCCCCAAGGCCCCCGCCCTCCCCGCCGACCTCGCCGCTGAGCTCTCAGCATACGACGCCGCAGAGCCCGTCGCCGCCGCACCCGCAGATGCCTCCGCCACCGGTGCCCTCACCGAGGAGAGTGCCCAGGGCCCCGAAGCCTTCCTCGCTTTCCTTGAGCAGGACGTCCCCAAGCCCGCACACCACTAGATTCTAGATTATACCGCTTCCCTTCTAAGCCTGTCGTTCGTCCTACGCTTAAAATCGATCATTGCAAGACCGTTGGAAATGGATTCTCTCCGCGTGTTGGACGCATTGAGTGGTTTTGTGTTGGAGACCCTGACCACTTGGGTCGTTCGGGAGCCTCGTGACCGGGTTCGGACGCGTCTGGCGCGTTTCCAAGGGTAAGAATAGGAGCAGGTTGCTGCTGGGAGGTATGTAAACCCACCAGCCGGGACCGATGGACACCAGTGGAGCCTTCGGAAGGTCTAATCCCAATCCAAGCTGTCGCGATACTTTCTTCAGCCGTGAGCCGGTTTCCTATGGATTGCACTCCACCACGCAATGAACGACCGTAGTTCGAGCCTCACAGTGAGCTGCACTTGCCAGTAAGAAATCCCTCTATAGCATAAACGATAAATTACAAATTATATCTATCCTATTCAAAAAAGGAGACGGGTGTTGTTGCGTTGTGCGTCTAATAACTAACTATGTGAGCTTTAGCTAAGTAGTTGAAGTTTTGCGGTAGGTATCAGTAGGAATGAGGATTGTATCTGTGTAAAATGAAAACGAAAGCAAGTGCTTGCATGCGACGAGGACGAACAGATTAGAGAAAGCAGAGCAAAGATGGGGATGGGATGGAGCGGGGTGGCGTGGCGTGATGAGGTGGTGCAGAAGAGTGTAAAAGCAAGAGAGGAAACGAAAGACCGACGATGCCTCCTCTATGAGAAGAAATACGCCGACTTCCTAATATCCGCCACATTGAAGCTACCCTTCTCAGGCAGCGGCGGGAAAAGCTCCGTCACATCCAAAAACTTGTTCACCAACTCGGGGTTAGGAATCGGCTTCTTCGCGCCCCGTCCGCCGCCTTCCTCCTCAGCGTCGCTAGCCGCCAACTCCTCAGCAGCCTTGACAACCTCCTCCTTCGTCGCCGACGGTCCAAGGAGGTTTTCCTCCTTGACAGTCGAAACCTCCGAATCAGACTCGGAGACTTCGATGAGCTTCTCAAGGCCGGCCAAGTTCTGTCCTGGGCGGACCTTGAGACGGGTACCGGCTTCGTAGAGCTTGTGTTGGAGGGTCTCTTGCGATTGGAGGTAGTAGGCGGGGATGAGGTAGCCCTTGTAGCGTTGCTTGAACTCGTTGTAGAGTCGGCCGAGCACATCGGTCGAGTGGAGCTCAATGAAGGTGTCGCGGATGATTTCGGACATGGCGTCGACGTCGCAAGCGTGTGTCCAGTACGAGTCGTGCACAGAGGCGAAGGTCAGTTTCTGGTTCTGTGAATTCAATTTAGCTTTGCCAGAGATATCCAGGATGTGAAATGAGACTCACGTTGCACTCCAAAGCGGACAACAACATGTGCGTTGCGTCCAAACTGTGCACAAAGTTGGGAGGGAAGGCCGAAGCTTGCTTGACCGCGTTCACTATTGAGATTCGTCAGTCTCCATTTAGAGCCTTTACACAGACGAGGAACGCACCTTCGTTGGGAATATTAGGGTCCGAAATGAACACACTCTGAATGTTGGTCATAATCTGCTTCCTCGACGTCTTCCTATAAGGCTGCACAACCGGCAACCCAAGGGCCGTCGTCCAGATAACCGAAGTCATCTGTTCCTTCTTGATCAACTTGGCCACATCCACAGTCTTGTTCTTTGATTTCTTCCCCACCGCGGGTGCCACTTCCACACCGGCAGCCTCCTCGCTCTCAGCTGCCTTCCTCTTGGCCTTACTCGCCTTCGCCGCCTCCTTCTTCTTCGTGTACTTCTCCGTCGCTTGTGCAAAGCGGTCGGGCGAAACAGATTTAGAGATGAGGCGAGCGCACAAGTTGAGCCAGTTCTGGATGGAGCGGGCACCATGGAAAGTGTCACCAATACAGTGCAACACCTTCTTCGCAAGGTAACCAGCGACGTTCCAACACTCTTCAAGGGGGATATCGCCACGGTCGATCAATTGGCCTTCAATCTGATCTCGCGCACCGACAAAGGTGACACCGTACACAGTCGTCATGACCGTCTGCTTCACGACTTTACGCGTGATCTTGCCTTGCAGCAGTTGAGCCAGGCGGTCACCCTTGGCCGCGTCCTCGTTGACGAGTTTGTCGACCTTGTTTCCGACGAAGGTGTACACGTCGGAGGGGCGGTCAGAGGCGGCAAGGTTGACTTGCTGCGCACCCTGGGCGTCACCACCCATGGCGGCGTAGTGCTGAAGACCGTTGCAGGTACCGTCTTGGTGAACAGGGAGGCAGGACTTGTAGGCGAGAGGGTCGGGCGATTCGAGAGCTTCGGTCAGTTCCATGCAAGTGGCGAGACATTGGAAGGGGTCATCGGCCTTCTTCCACCATCCTCGGCCCTGTGAACGCTGTCAGCCCATTGACCTCTAGGCGCAGAAGGGGAAAAGTCTTACAGTCAGAGGGTTCTTGGCACTATCCTTGATGTCATCAAGACGATCATGCACCCAATGAACACGCTCGTCGAAGTCAGCCTTGTCGAAACCGTACAAGTTGGCAAGATGGATCTTCATCCACCGCAGACCACGCTCTCCGAGAGGCTTGGCTTCTTGGAAGAGAAGCAGGCCACGAGACAAGTCGTCACCGATGTGGTTCAGATGAGGAGGCAGAGGGTAGGCGCGGCCTCGGAAATCGAGGTTGTGAGGGAAGTAGATGGTTTCGTCGAGGAACTATTATAGAAGACTCGTTAATGCATGGCGCCATACAAGCAACAGCAGATCACTTACAGCACGGGCGATTTCGATCTTATAGTTTGTACTACACCGCTCAGAGTGGTTGTTTGCGACGTTCTGTGACCACTGCTTGTGGTGCTGGAGGTAGATGGCCCTTGCTCTCACATCATTCTCCCCTTCAGGCGGAGGTTGGGGCTCAGGCTCATCGAGCTTCGCCGGAGGCAACTTGCCAACACCTTCGCCACTGTTCCAGATGGTGAGAACAACGTCGAAAATCTTCTTGTTGATCTTCCATGGTGTACGACCGAGCACGTTGAGACCAGCCATAACGGCTTCCATGTTGCCCTTGCGGATGGCCTCATGGAGGTACTTCTCTTGCTCGACGCATTCCTTATACCGCATGAGAGGAGCTAGAGACATTATTAGTCACACTCGTGGCTTGGTTGGAAGCGCAACTTACTCTTGGTGTAGAGATAGCCGCCCTCGTTGGCGCGGACCCAAGGTTTAGGAGGATGGAGCATAGGAAGATGTCGTGGATGGATCGTCCCTTTCAGAACGTCCTTGGCAATTCGCTCAGACACTGCATGGTTGACCTTGATGACTCCGAGTTTCGTGCCCCGCATATACTCGTAAGAGTGGAAGAATGCCGGATGCTCCTCAGTCCTAGAGGTAATGATAAGCAACCAATGGCGACTGATGGGAAATTAAAGGGACTCACAAGACCTCCCCAGTCTCTTCGTTCACCGCAGTCTGGGGGACTGTCGCAACTTGCATCAACACCTCCATGAGCAAGGCACCAATCTGCGCACGAGTCGTCTGCGACCATGGTGCGGTCCAGGACTCTCCTGCGGTCATCTGCTTCGCGGCTGCCAGTCGACGCTCATGGAGATTCGAGTAGCCGAGCGAGCTGAAAACATCCTGCGTGTCGGGACGCGACACATCTGGAATGACAATCCGGTTCTTCCTGCAGACGCGCGCCTTGTACTCCATCTCCACGGCCTTCCCAATGCTAACCAACGCCCGCGTCGACTTCATCCCAGATGCGACGCCTCCGGAACCACATAACCGCATCGCTTCGAGGATGGTGATCATGGAGAGTCGCTCGGGTTGCACCAAGGCAAGGTAAGGGGCAAGCTCGGCCTTTGGTTTCAACCGATACTTGCCGGCCGCTTCTTCTTTCTCGATCTGCGAGACAAGTTCTGCGACGCGCTTTTTGAGCTTTTCGTGCCAGCCGTACATCATTTCTTGAAGAACCTTGTCGCGGAAACGAGTGTCGATGCCAAGTTGGTCGAGGGTTTCGTGCTGTGCCTTCATCCTCCCTTCTTCCATCGTGTAAGCAGACAATTCAAGGTGTCGTTGGCGGTCGATGATATTGTCCGGGAGCGTTTGGCGGGCGAAGGCGACGTTGGCGAGGTGGTCACGAAGGTTCTTGATGTTGAAAGGCACATCTGCAAACGAGCCATCCTGGAGAGGAACTCAGACGATTTCTGAATTTCGGAAGAGACGGTGCGTACCTTGAGAGGTTTCCTTGTAGCCATAGCTTCTGGCACTGTGTCTGCCTGACCGGAAGCGATTACGGTGGCCTTCGCCAACTCATTAACGATGTCAATCTTGTTGGCATCCAACGCCGCTTTTGAAAATTCAGAGACGATTGTCGGTGCGACTTCATCCGGAATGAGGGGGTTTGCGAGAACCTCAACGGCGTCGACATGGGCTCGTTCCATCATACTCAGGAAAGCACCATAACTTGGTTGGGGTATGCGGTCAGGAACGGACAAGTCCATTAGCGAGTCTTTGAGACTGAGGGAATGTGTCAGTTAGGGAAAAGCTGGTCGAGATGTTGGTCAACATACTGGTGGTACCCCGCGATCATCCTGGCAAATGTCGAGGAATTGGGTGCAATGCCCTCCTTCCCAGAAACCATTGAATGGAACAACGTCCAAGCGTCCACGAACCATTCCTGCCTTGGTTTCGACAACTCTGTCCTTTCCGCCATACCCATGTATGCCGACAGCACATTGTTGTAGATGTCCGTGTGCAGCACCGCCCGGTTCTCTGCCCGCAGTCTCTCAAACAGGCCCTTGCCTCGCTTCACGTTGTACAAGTCTCGAAGACAGGCGTCCATGACTGCTATCTGGTCTTGGACAGCAGTCGACACGAAGACCGGGTCGTGCTTGTGCTCGTCCGTTGGCAGAGGTGTTGGCAGAATCGTGTATTCTAACCGCGCCAGGAAGGGGCTCAAGATGTCGCTCGAGCCCAGCTTTTGCGATGAGCTCTGCCCGCTCGACGACGTCGAGGGCTGCATGTAAGCGGGGAAGTCATGAGTTGGCAGCTGAGCGGTCGCGGTTGCCGGAGCGCGCGACGGTGTCGAGGGCGTCGAATATTGACGAGCTGGGCGGTGTTGATGACGTTGAGGAGGGGGGAATCGTGCCGGACGAGGTAGACTCTGGCGAGACAGCAGCAAAGATGTCTCGAGTCTGTGTGCTGTCCTGGACAACATTTTGGTTCGTTAGAAACAGAGATTCTCGTTGGCACCTTGCCGTCAATTTTTGGCTTGTCATTGCGGGGGATTTTTCCTCGATCACGGGCGGGCCCAAAATAGTCCAGATCATGTGACTCCCATAGTACCTGGGCGCTTAGCCTGAACGAGTCCAGGCGCCGCTCTCGTCGACTGCAAGTCCTCATCAACGCATCTTTCTAAGGCACAATGATCTACATTATATCTATCATAGTGAACCACGACCCATGGTACCCTCAAAATGAAACACCGAATCCCTCCCTTCTCGTCATGCCAACTTGGCATGATAGTCCACTTGCTTCAAGTTGTTCCTCTTGAGAATCGGGAACGCTTGCTCTGAGAGTGGTGTCAGCCATGCTCAATATTGTAACTAAGTGTATGGTGGCAAAAAAATGCGTAACACTGGCCCAAAGATTTTGCTTATTTCAGGCAAAGTAACGCGTAACGCTCCAGATATATTGCTAACTGTTTGACATCAAGAAATATTCAAATTTACAGCTATTTACAGCCTATTTGAGGGGCCAACAAATGTGCAATTAGTACTGAAGTTACGAGTTGAATGATTAAGTGTATGAGCTCACGGCAAGTTGATATTGAATACCTTCGTTTTCCGCTCCCACTGGTAGTATGGTAGTCGATTTTTGCTTGGTTGAAGCAACGTAACGACTAACGGAGCGGATTTTGCTAACTTTTTACTATCGAGCCGCGTAACGCTCGAAATCGTTTTGCCACCATACACTTACTTACAGTAGGAGCTGTTGGAGCACTTACGCATATTCCCCCAGCGCAGTTCGCGCTTGGTAGTCGCTGGACCGGTGAGTAGGAATACCCCCAAGCTGCAAGCCGCCTTGGATGAGAATCAGTACCCGTTCATCCTTATTCGTCGTGGCGAGCACCCACAGCCAAAGCTAATATGGCCAGGCAAAGAACCAATCCAACAAGGTCTAAATGAAGGGGGTGAGCATCTCCAAGCGAGTTATAGTGGCTCGAAAAGCCCACCAATAGCATCACCAAAACCATCTGGTGCGCCGGGCATACTTTGTCGGAGCTGGGTGATGAATGGCGCGACGTTTCAGCGCTGGGCGCCCACTTGTGCGCTATCCCCTGATTATGGCACAGGCCGGGCGCTTACAGAAGCGTAGTAAGTGCTTGCTAGAGGATTCAGGCAAGTGGAATAAGCCAGACTTCCACTTCAATATTCGGCTTTGAAGGTTGCCAGACATGGGAAGCACTGGTCCTTGAGGTGCTCAAGTCCATCCTGGGCGGTAAGCACCAAGTGCGTTGGGCCAGGTTCGAACCTGGCAGTGAAAAATCGATTGCTGACAATTTATTTCCCATGGATATACATCTGATCCGAGGCGTTGGCCAAGCCCCCGCTCTCCTCGTTCCTTACCCCTCCGTGCTCGCTTGCAACTGGCCATTCAATTTTGAATTTTGGGAAACATAGGACCTACGCAGATCTTCCTTTCCTGAATAACGACGGCTATGCACAGACTACAGGCACCCGAATATCAGGGCCAAAACTTTGCTCATCACGGCGCCTCATCAAGGCACTGCTCAGCGGCGATCCACGAGCAGCAACTGAGCTCTGTCTAGGCCCTGACTTCTCTGCGTCTTGCTGCGTTCATCAATCCTTCGTTCGCGTTTTTTTTTCTTGTTGTACGTGAGGGACCTCATGAACTTCTAGGCGAACCCGTTCTCGGCCACGAAAACACTGGTAACTGCCGTTCCTCCGCCGTCCAGGGCCGATGAGTCCAAACAAAATGGATCATGACTACGCCTTGAGCCGCCCTCTGACAGCTCAATCTACTTTCTTCTGGTTTCTTTCTTCGCGCCTTTTGCTGTCTTTTCGCTTCATGTTGGTCGACTAATCACGCTCTTTTGAACTACTGCGGTCGACGAGTCAATTCCTTGCGACGCGGGTGCTGAGGGGAGATGTCAGAGATTGAGAGGCTGGCGAGCCAAGGCACTGCAGTCAATCTGGTTGCAGGTGAGTATAGTAGTTTGGTTTTGGTTGAACAAATGAGCTGAGATCGCGCGCCGTTGAAGCTGCATGTCTGACAGCTCTGATTTACAACCACTTGTTGACAATGAATCAAGAGGCATTGAACTTCGTCAAAATTGTCTCCCTCTGCTGAGAGCTAAACCTATTCCTCTTTTCTAGGTTGTCCAAATCTGGCCGTCAGTAATCCCTAATCCACCGTGGCCAACACCACTGAAATTGTATTCTCAGAAACCGCTTTTCGCTCGCCAAAGCTTTATTCCTTTCCAACCGATACATTGTCGAAGCAGTGCTACTGTAGGTTCCAGGTGACTTTCAAGGTTACCGGATGGAGAATGACGTATCTCCAGTTTCAATTGCATCTGTACTGCAGGGTTTCCATCTTTCATACTCGCGTTTGCTGACACGTTGACTACCCAGCCGCTTCAAGGCCCTTTCATTCCGAGAATGTATGTGACCGCTTGATCCTCAAATGCCACCTCCAAGCTGAATTGACTGCCAGTTGTACGCTTTGACGATTGCCTCTCTTCTTGATGACGTTACGATTCCTCCGACAGTTGCATATTTTATCTTCGCTGGCTCGTCGTGTACGTGGATAAGCTTGAACTGTCAACCGCTCGCCTCGTAAATTGACGACTAGACCCTCAGTTCTTTAACCATCTCTAATATTATTGTACAAGGTGAGTCAATGTCGGGAGTTCATGGGTTTGGCGTACTGAACTGTTTCCGCGAAGGCATACTTCTTCTAGTCATTTGGGCATTGTGTGAGTGCGTTCCACCGCCTTCCTCCTGGAACTGAATTGAAAATGTGCTTTAGACCGGGAAAACAGAGTGAGTAGCCAACGCATTCAACCCGTTATCGTCTAGAACTAACCTACGTCAGGTCGTCCTTTCCATCGCAACATTTTTCTACGTTGGTAAGCACAAGCTGTTCATCTGGTCTACGGTCATTAACTGAAGTCGGACGGCTTCAGGCGGAGCAGCAACACTTATCGGTCTAACGATCCACGATTACGTCGGGGAAGAGGTGTTGGGTAGGTGCCTTCACTTTTGGTATCTACCTGTTCAGTCTGACAAGATGCCGTCCTAGTTGATCGAACCCTACGGAACCTACCAGGGTGTTATGCATCCAGCGTTCCCTCGATCATCGCCGGGTTTTGGTGAGACCTTTCCTACCTTCGCTTCCACTTCGAGAAGTTCTGACCGGTAGGCGAAATTGTGCCCGTCGCTAGGATTGGTCCTCTGATCGTTGAGAGTGAGCATATGGCTCAAACGATGCAGGACGTCAACTAACCGCCATCCCTTGCAGGCGTCCTCTTTGTCCTCGTTGTCTCTCGTGCTTTTTTCTGGTGGAGACATGAAACCCGTATCCCCGTTCTGTTAGCCGTCCTGGTAAGTTCGGGTGTTTGAATATGCTTCCCTCAGCAACGCATGACAAGTTTTAGGCCAGGGATTCCACCCTCTACTTTGCGCTGTAAGTCCACTCCAACCCCGATTCCTGATTCCGAATCGTCTGCCCCTGACCTATGCTTCTTCATCGCAGCGTCTTTGGTGAGTTCTCTTTTCGGCTCAGCTCGCTCCGAATGCATCTAACATGAGCGGTTGGGTGACATGAAGCGCTCCTTCTCGCCAACTATCTTGTCTTCCAGTTTGGACCACCTGCCTTGTCAAGCCTATTGGTTACGTGAGTTCTTCCTCGAGGGATATTTCTGTCGCAGTTGTTCTGATGGATGGTCTCTAGACCCACGATCACGGCGGGTTGCATCTTGGTATGCCTGAAGGTCTATCGTGACGCGTTTCGTGCACTTAACAGCATGTCCCACAGGGCTCTCATATGCTTCTCAACGTGCGAGCGATGAACACCCTCGAGTCCGAGCCCCCTCGTCACGACATTATAGATCTCACTAGCTGGCCACGATTCAATCCAACCCAGACGGTGCTATGCGGCTCCGATACCTCCCATGGTCAGGACTATATTGGAAAACACAGATATGGGTCCTAGGCGGAAGCTCATGGGAAATGCAAGTTGCTTTCTACGTATAGCTGGCCGCAGTCAAATTCAGTCTGGTCGGTTGGAGGTATCCATCCTGTTGATGTTACGACATCGCATTGCATCATTCAATGCAATGCCACTGTCTCAGGCTCCTTCGATGGCCATGGCTGTCATGTTGCCTCGCTTGCCACGACAGTTTGACGATAATGGGACTGTTGAAACCAGTTACAGACGACTTTGGGTTCGCCTTTCGAACGAAGACATGAGCTAGCCGTTGTTCATCAAAGTGCTTTTAGCATCACCTTTGGAAGTTCCTTCAATGTCGAAGAATCAATGAAACCGCACCCACTAGGTAACAGAAGGGCATGAACCTACTGACACCCATGTTACAGGGATCCTCCAGGTCGGTTACTATTCACCGTGTGCAGCCAAGCCTGCTCTCTTCATTTGCCCGCTTAGCGCTATCATGCAATTGACCGCATCTTCCCGGGCTATACAGGGTATGAGGCACTGCCGCTATCACACAGTGTGATCACTACAATCTACTGTTTGGGTTAACCCGTGGTGCGGTTCTCGACCCAAGCTTCTTTTCGGCACTTGAGTTTATAAACACCTCATGGAGCATTCCGTTATGTTAAGCCTGCCTTGATTCCCCTTCCCCTCTTCTTCCATTCTGTTCGCCCTTCGTTCCTTTCGAAGGCGCGACCGCTTTCTTAAGCCATGTCGGACGACCCAGCTGCATACCAGCAGTTCCTGGAAGCGCTGGCGACACAAGCTACGGCGGTTAACTTGGTCGCAGGTGAGTGCTCCGAGGCCTGAGTCGAGAGAAGACATATCCCGCTCATCGTTTCCCTGTACAGCATCTTGCTTAACGCTTCTGATCTACAACCATCTCTTAACTTTGGATCAAGAGGTTTGTGGGGGAATGTATATTGCGCGTATAGAGCTTCAAAACTGATAAATTGCCGGTGCAGATCACTCAATTCTGGCCGTAAGTTCGTCCTGGTCGAGCGGTTAGGGAAACACGCTCTCAAATACGCGTCAGGACTCGATGGACTCTTGCGAAAGTGCTCTTTCTTGCTAATCGTTACATCGTGGAGGGGATGCTGCTGTAAGTGATCTCGCGTGGCTCCGAAAAACTGTATTGACTTTCGCTGCAACAGATTCAATTGTATCTGTATGTCCGTCCTCCGTACTCCAATGACAAGGATCCCGGTGATTGAGTTGTGTTCGTTGCAGCTGCTTCCCGCCCTTTCCAGCCCGACAGTGTGAGTAAATCTCGGCACCCCTTCCCATCCGATGATACTAATCGCGTGACGCGCTTTTCTAGTTGTTCGTGGCCCATATTCGAACTTCCAACCGCCACTACTGATCCACGCCTCAATCCAGCTGTATTTTCTATCTTCGCTGGCTCACGATGTAAGCGTTTCGCACATAGAAGGCTGACTGGGAATTGATATTCATCCACAGTTCCTTTACAACGACTACAGCAATTGTTCAAGGTGTGTTTGACGATAATCGGACAGCGAAGATAGCTTAATGTCACGATTTCCGTGTTACAGGAATCCTTCTCTTGATCGTAAGAGCGCTCTGTAAGTCATCTACGTACCTTCTCCATCGCCTGATGTGTCATCTATCATTGATTCAGATAAAGAAAACAGGGTATTACTGGCTGCAACTGGGCATGAGTGTTGTGCGGAACTGACTAGGACGATAATAGGTTATCCTTTCAATCGGATGTTTCTTCTATTTCGGTGCGTGCTTCGACCTCCGGAAGTCGGTGGACCAGGTACTGATTATTGACTGGTTGGGGAACAGGGGGAGTCGTGACCCTCATTGGACTCGTCATCCAAGACTATGTTGGAGAGGACGTCTTGAGTGAGTGGTCCCAGGCACTCCTATCAACTTCCTCACCTCACTCGCGACTTTGCCAGTTGACAACACCTTGTCGAAACTCCCTTTACCCGGATGTTACGCAACAAGTGTCCCCGCCATTATTGCTGGCTTCTGGTGGGTCTTGGATGCCATTCACACGTCCCTTAAGTTACTCATTTGCGGAATAATGACAGGATTGCGCCTCTGATCGTCGAGAGTGAGTAGACAACTGCTTCTCGCGGTCGATCATCTGGTGCTGATGGGATCCGCGCAGCCGTTCTGGTCGGACTTGTCGTCGCGCGAGCTTGGCTTTGGAAAAGACGCGGGATGAACGTTCCACCTTTGCTCGCTGGACTTGTGGGTTCTTTTCCCTAGCTACCGAAATGTCTGTCTAAACACACCCGTAGGCTAGGGACTCCACGATCTATTACATTGTGTAAGTTCCTTCCAACCCCCAGCTGCTACCGAGACTGACGAATTCGAAATCCCAATCCAGTGTCTTTGCTTTCCTTTTCGCCAATTATATGGTTTTCCAATTTGGACCGCCGTTCCTTTCAAGTCTTATGGTCGCGTAAGTTGAGTTCACCTCTCTACGTTCCGTCTCCCTCACCACGTCCCAATCCACAGACCATCGACTACCGCAGGATGTATCCTTGTAAGTTTCGTTCTCCTACACCCTTCATTCCCCGTAATCACTAACGCTGTTGTAGGGCTCGCATATGCTTCTCAACCTACGAAAAATGGACCGATCGAATCACCCGACCGAATCGCAACAATACGGTATCGCACTGAGCAATTGGAGAAACCAAGCGACACGCAACAGTCAGATGCCCTGGCCCACATCCGACCCATCCACTTCTCAATCCGACCCATACTTCCCTGGAGGCCCTCGAGTTGACGTCAAGTTTTCAACTGAGGCTTGACCGGGATGTGGTGCTCGAAGCTGGTCAACCCCGCCCTGTACATTTTATATTTATTGACGGACATTCGATTTGGATTGGGATCTGGTAAAACTAGAATACTTTCTGGGTTATATGTGCAACTGTTGTTCGATTACTATGGTGTAAATACTTGGAGTATAGAGTGGAGAAGAGAGCTAAATGGGGTGGGTGGGACTGCCAAGAGAACTCTTTCCCCTCCAATCTGACGTCATTGTCCCTATTAACGTTTATAAAACCCTCTTCTCCGTGAGATCAGAGAGCTCAGACGCTTCGAATTCGTCTATCCAACATCGACTGACAATGTCCTCTGCTAATCTACTCTCACCCGAGCATCGCGAGCATCGCGAATCCGAGCCACTCAGGGCTGCGGTCGACTATTCGCCTGAAGTAATCGACAAGATGAAGCTCCCGCCCAGCGAGGAAGGGGATAGTCAGTTCAAGGGGCAGAAGCGGTGCACCTTTGACCACGACCACAACGAGCAATGTCACTCGGCGCTCCATTCGAAGCAGCCGATGGCACACCAGAAGCCGATCCAGGCTCCCAAGGAACACCGTTTCTTTAACAAGGACAACCCGAGGCCGCCTCCTGTGAAGCCTGATGGTACGTGGTGTTTATGAATGGAGACAATGTCGCTGAAGACGGTCATATTGCAGAATTCGAGGTTTGTGAATTTGGGACGGGTTGCAGGTAATGTGCTGACATACTTCCAGTGGCTCGAAGTTGGGAAGAAGTAAATTTAGCGCCCAAGCCCAAGGTGCAGAAAAGGTTAACACGGTATATTCATCAGTCATATCAAGGGTATCATCCAGCTTCGTATGTACATGCAGGATTCTAACTATCGTACTCGTAACTACTCGTCAAAGCAAGAACAATCGTCTAAAATACAGTCATAGGTAACTCGTAAGCAGTTCAAACAATACATTAGTAAGCCATTGCGAACGTTTAAGGAAAGCTTAAAGGTAGGCTGGGATGAGTTGTTCGTCGTTAGTACCATCTCTTGTTGGACGAGCAACGGAAGGGCTGGTCGATGGAGGAAACAGCGAATGGTGACGTCAGGTCCACTTGGTCCCAGCGCGTTGTTACGATTGCGACGTTGGCCAGGCCTTACTTTCCCCATAGTTTGGTGAAGAGGGAGAGGACCACAAAGTCGGGTAGCTGCGATACTGTTGCGAGCTTTCTGCTGCTGGTGTACCTACACGACTGCTTCAGTACAATTCGATATCCCCAAAACGTGGAAACAAACACACTCGCTTGCCAAATACGACGGGATTGCGGTTAGGACTTCAGTGTCGGTCTTGTTAGGGTCTCCAAACACCTTACCAGGTGGCGCATCGAGGCAGCTATTGTTATTATAAATATACTAAAAGGTTTCGCTCGGGGATGGTAAGTTCTCGTCCGAGGACGGATCGCAGAGTGTCCACGTCTTCGAGCATGCAGCGATACGAGAACACGTTCAGTCTGGTCTCACCTGGCCCCATATCTGCATCACCAAGCAGTACTGCAGTCATCGAAGGCCCTTGAGCAATTGGAAGCACCAGTCACGCTGTTCCATTAGCGCGTCAGTCAGTATACCGTGCGATTGGGACTATGTGTAGCTGTCTCTTACCAGCTCCGCAATATACGACACGCTTGCATCTCGAACACTTGCAAACGGCAGCCTAGTTGCCCCTCTTCTTTCCAACAGGAGTAGCAAGTTTCTCCAATGTTTGCTGAAAGGGATGGGATGAGCTCCTGTGATTGCATTCTCTTTCTGATATTTTCTGAATGTTGAGAAGGGGAAGCGAGAGAGAGAAGAACAAAGGTACGCCTGTGATTGGGTTGCAGTTTAATGGGAGCCAAACACATTCAAATAACCTTGCTTGTTGCAGGTGGCCTCGGCGAGCTTTTTGAGGAACGATTCCATCGGTATCGCTGTGTTAAGCTATTCGGAGGACTTATTGAACTGTAAGATACGAAGGCCCAACGAAAATTCTCGGCAAGTCATCTGATGCGGGTTCAAGTTGCAACCTCGACGCGACGCGTCGTGTCAAAATAGGGGCTGATGGGCCCAGTGTGACGTGCCTGACAGGGGCTTCAGGGGGAAGGGGGTGCGTGTATTGTGACTATACCCGTAAACTCGAAGATGTACCCAGCGTCAAATATAGATAGAGAAGTAAAGAGGTAATTATCTATCCAGCCGCACTGACGGCAACACCAGCGGAGGAAAGAGGGCGGCCACTGAATGATGCAGAGGGACCTGGGAAGCCATTTACGATGCCGTTTATTCCGTTCACTCCTTGACCAGAATCCTGAAAGATGCATTAGTAAATTCACAATTGGAAGAGCAGAAAGCTCACCTTTGAAGCTTTAACCTTTTCCTTCTTCTCCTTCTCCGCTTGCAATTCCTCCTCCCGTCGCTTCTGTTCGGCAACTACCCACTCGCCCACACAGGCTGCAGCCTGTTCTGGGTCCTTCTTAAATCCTAGGAGATATCCCTGAATCTCGGCTGTCGAGAACTCGTGCTCAGGTATGGCTTTAGCAAATGCATTCGCCAGTCGTGTGATCTCCCCGTCTGTTAAGTGCTCTTTCTTTTCATCGACGCTATGCATCGAGTCGGGCAGGATATCGTCTTTGAAAGAATAGAATCGAGCGAAGAGCGCGCTTGCTTGGCCTTTAGTCGCCAGCTTATACTCGACCTTCATGTCTATGCGTCCTGGTCGTATTAAGGCTGGATCGAGCCTGTCGAGGTGATTGGTCTGCATCCGAGTCAGACCAAAATGCCATTGAGTATACGAGGGCTACAGACTCACCGTTGCAAAGAAAAGCTTCCCTTCCTCGCTGCCCACCCCATCAAGAGTATTAAGGAGGCCAGAGAGGGTAACGAAGGACCTGTATTCATCTCTCCTACCTCTGCGGGGCTTGTCCTTCTCGTCCTCGTCTTCTCTTGATGGGAAGGCGCAGTCGACATCTTCGATCAGGAATATCGAGTTCTTGGGAACAGACGAGGAAGCCTTTTGAAGAAAGTTGTCATCGACACTGGGTGATCGATTAGTGCTCGGATTCCGTGATATTCGAGCGAATCTTACAAGTCAGAGGCCAAAGACAAAGAATAAATCTCCATCCCGAGCTCACCAGCTAGGGCGTAAATAGTGGAGCCTGTTCACCAATGATAACTTGTTAGTCTCCGGGTTATCCTACAAGATATGCGAATTTGAAACCGACTCACTTTTACCCGTTCCAGGTGGGCCATACAGCAGGTATCCCCGCCTGTGGGGAATCCCCGCATTGTTGTACCACCGTTCCATCGAGATGAATTCGCGAGCATCAGCCAGGATTTTCTCCAAAGTATTTCCCTCCAAAATGATCGAGTTCAATGGACGACGCGCTTTCTTCTTGACATCCGTCCAATACATTCCTGGACCATAGGACGGCTGGCGTCGACGTCGAATTGGACCAAACTTTCAATACTTGACCTGGCTCTGATGGATAGAAAAGAGATGAACATACCTTATCCGAAGTGTGAATGATAACATGGGGCTTGCTGACCTGGAGGTACTGAAGCCGCGCGTGCTTCACGAGGTCGGAAAGCGCTTTCATGTTCCAAGTATAGACGCTTCAAGACATGGTCGGTGTTAGTCCCAACGTGTATGTAGACTTCACTCACTGTAGCGTGATCGACGAGCCCGCTGTGACTGCACCAGGAGGAAATCCGGCATTGGCAGGGTGGTACATATGTGTCCTGCTAGCCTCGACCCAGTACCCATTCCACCGAAAGAGCTGCGGCTGGTTGTACGTAGGAACATATTCGACATATTCGTCTTCTTGTCCTCCACGGTCGACAGCACCTATACCCCACTGCCGTTTCGAGCTTTTGGAGGCAACGCGGAAATCTCGAGCGAGTCGCCAAACTTTCTGCTTTGTCTATTGCCAGAAGGGGTGTTTTCAGAGCCATTTCTCTTTGAACTTTTCCTGAAAGGAAGATTCACCAGAAACTGAAGGATCCAGTCGTACGCAGGGTCTCCTTGCTGGAACTGGGCGGAAATGGCGAGGCCTGGGAGGCGCAGCAATTCTGTCAGCCGTCGAACACGGAGAGCGGGATTTCGAACGTACGGAGTTGGAATCTCTGAAAGAACCACGAGGACAGCCTCCTCCCCGCCTCTATCAGGGTTCCCAAGATCAGAATAGCCAATGTATTGAGCATTGGCGACCCTGCTAGGAACGAAGATAAGACAGAGGCGCCCCAGAGTCTGTTGACCCAGCTGGATAAGAACGACGACCACGACGAAGGGTTCGATGGATGCCAGGATCCAGTCATGAAAGGACCACCGTCTGGAAGAAACATCGGCACGGCTGCTCGTGCCTCCATGTCTTTGAATCGGGGTCAGGAAGTGATATACAAAGGGATCAGGTCACAAAGGACTTGCTCGACGTTTAAAGGACAAGGACCCACTTTATAGCAAGTTTATGGGAATTTGCCACTCAGATAGCTTCTAAAATAGCTTATATAGCTGGAAAGCATGGTATGTAAGCCGATACATCGATACGTAAAAGGTTTCCTGGATCTCGAGTCAGATTGTGCTTCTCAAATCCCCTCCCGGGCTTCCTGGAGTAAGTACATAGTTTGGAACGGGTGCCTTTTCCGCAGTTGCTTTTCGAGTCCAGAATCTGGACACTGATGACTCTGATTGGCCCGATTCAAATAAAATCTCGGAGGAAGTCCAGGTATCAATTAAGCGCCCAGGGAAATCGCTGACTCGGGAACCAAACCTTACGATGATCAGGGCAGGTCAGCACCAGTGACTCGGACAGGCCACATTTTATGTAGAGCCACTAGAACATTCTTCTTCTCCTGAGGCTGACAGGTAGGCCTTCCATTTCAGCCTGAGCGCCCAAGACGTAGCAAAAAACATTCTAAAAAATATAAGTATGCGTTCTGATTCCCCGGGCCCTGGCGTTATCTTCAGGACTGTTCATTGACCTTGGTGACATCGGATTCTGATGTGTCGGAGCTCACAGTTTGGCCATTAGGTTCCTTCTGGTTCGAATTGTAGAACAGTCAGCCATGCACCTGAGGACGGTGTTGAGATATATCACTTACCACCAACGCCTCCTTCTTTTCCTTCTTCTCATCCTCCTCGTCCTTGTCCTTGTCCTCGTCCTCTTCTTCCTTTTTCTTTTTCCTCGCCAACTTCTTCTTCTCTTCCTCCTCAAGCTTCAGCCTCAGCTCCTCCCTCGCCTTTCTCTGCACTTCGACCCACTCATTCACTCCGTCCGCAGCCTGTTCCGGTTCTTTTTTATGGTTCAGAAGATACCCTTGGATCTCCGCCGTCGAGAACTCGTGCTCAGGGATACCTTCAGCAAATTTTCTCGCCAGGAGTTCAATCCCCTCATCGAAGGACGGGGATTTCTCGCTGAGGTCACTGAGTTTGAGTGAAGCCATATGCTTCTTGGGGTAGAACCGAGCGAATAGTGCGGATGCTTGGTTCCTCGTGGCCAACTTGTACTCGATCCTTACGTCCACTCGACCTGGTCGTATCAGCGCCGGGTCCAGCTTTTCCATGTGGTTCGTCTAAGGTCTATGTCAATCAACCCGAATATATATATGGAAGCGCCGTACCGTTGCAAAAAAGAGCTTTCCCTCCTCACTTCCTACTCCATCGAGGACATTTAGGAGACCAGACAAAGTGACGCGAGATTTTTGACGCCAGTGGTCCTCTTCGGCTTCCTCTCGAGACGGGAAAGCACAGTCGATATCTTCGATGAGAAGTATCGAGTGCTTTGGCACTGCGGCTGAGGCTTTCTGGAGGAAGGTGTCGTCGACGCTGTGATTTTGATTTGGTTAGGAGACGCTTTCCAATGTTGATAGACTGAGTGCAACTCACAAATCGGAAGCTAGAGAGAGGGCGTAGATTCCCATCCCAAGTTCGCCTGCCTTTGAGAGCGTCAGCAACGGTGTGGCATGTTTTATTCCCAGCGCATAAGATTTACCATAGCATAGATCGTCGAAGCTGGACGAAAAGATGACGGATATGAGAGTAGCCCCGGTTCATGGCAAGATAGACGTACTTTTTCCAGTTCCAGGTGGACCATATAGCAGATAACCACGTCGATGAGGAATGCCAGCATCGCGGTACCACTCCTCCATCGAGATAAACTCTTTGGCGTCAGCTAGGAGATCCTCCAAAACGTTACCCTCAAGGACGATCGTTTTCAGAGGCCGTCTTGGTTTCTGAGTCACTTCAGCCCAGTACATCGGCGTGCCGTATCCAGGCTAATTCGATTTGGGAGGGAGTTAGATGCAGTTAACAGGGTTGGGACACTCTCTTACATTATCTGTCGTATGGACAAGAATGTGCGGACTGCTAACTTCATTGTAGCGAGATCGTGCATATTCGACAAGAGTCGTCAGAGCCTTTATGTTTCTGGTGTATATCCTGTTCGAAGATATCAGACATGGGTACTTCCAGGCAGCCGAGCGCACGTACTTCAAACATATGACTCCTCTGGAACCAGAATCAGAATAACGACCTGTTGACACTGGTTCACTCAAGTCCGTCCCGCTCGTCTCTACCCAATATCCGTTCCATCGGAAAAGCGTTGGGAGGTGGTAAGATGGTACGTATTCCGCATGCTGTTCTGGGGTTCCCTCTTCTGAGGACGTTAGAATGCCCCATTTTCTCTTCGACGTTTTGGAAGTCACGACAAAGTCCGTTGAGCGTCGCCAAATTTGTTTCTCGGTCTTTGACCAACGACAGTCAGCCTTTAGAATAAAGAACCAGCCTCACTGTTGGAAGCTCACCAGGAATAGGAATATCCAGTCATAAGTCGGGTCACCGTCACGAAACTCGGCGGAAATGTGGAATCGTATCCGAAAGCGCTCCATTAACCAGTCACCGGTCCTCCTTCCAGCCTCGAGTAACGTCCCCAACACGAGCAAGGCAACCGTGTTGAACATGGGCGACCCTGAAAACAATGAAGAAAGGGCGGAAGCGCCCAAGATTCGTTGCGCCCATGTCGTGATGAGAGTCGTAAATTGCGAAGTGCTATCAGAAAACCCGTAGTAAGAGTTGTTGTTCAGGAATGACCACCACATCGTAGCGTGGACAGAGGATAGGCTGCCTGTGAACACTGCCCAGGTGTCCTTATATCTGTCGTGAGGCAGAGGCGGTGTTCAGATCTTCTTCAAAACAGGGCGGAACCGCACCGGGGCGCCCGGGCATCTAGAGCGCACAGAGCAATGCCACGATCTAAAACACGAGGTGAGGTGGTGTTCTCGAGGCGTGACGGCGAATAAACTCACGAGTCACAGTCGTGATGAGCGCCCACCAGCGACCCCCGAATCATTTTTGTTGCTAATTCAGTAAATGTTATTACACTACGTCATCACATACTATACATGTAGTTCTGCTAGTCGCCAAAGAAAGGGCAGCAGCGTGCCCATGGTCGGGAAATATCGCTCAGCCGCCGACTCAATTCGTACTGGTCGTCAGAGAATTCCATCGTACACGCTAGTCGCAATGTCCTCAGGACACCTGGCAGCTGTGAATGATCGGCGTTCAGTCTCGCAGTCAGGCATGTCATGTTTGACAACATTACCTGGATGAACGGTAGCGTCGCTTCTGTTGGCGCTTCGGGCAAGATAAGCTCTCGGTACTCCTCCATCACCTCCTCGATCTTCGACAAGTTCTTGTGAATTATGGAGAGGACAGCCTTTATGGATTCACCTGTCAGTTTCTGCTGGAGCTATGACAGGCAAATGACATACCGCAATGGGTCCAGTGCCGTACATGTCTATGCATGACTCGAACACTTTGAGAGATTGAATAGCAACGTCTATCTCTCGGAACCCCTCGACCAACGCCAAGCCTGAACAGTCAGGAGGTCAAAAGTAGACCAACGAAACATTGGGATTCCAACTCACCACAGCGGGCCAAGCCCAATTCATCTTCGATACTAGCAGCTAAATGACTGGTGATGCGCCGAGGATTGACTTGATGGCAGAGGTCCAGAGCCTGGGGTAGGGCATTGAGGATTATTCGATGGGTCTTTGGAAACGTCTCCGCTGTTGAACACTGCAAGGCGCTTTTGCGCAATGAGGTGCAGTTGAGGTACATGGCGTAACTGACGAGCAACGGGGATGTGACGCTGGGCTTGTTTGCGGCTGAACATGGATGGCGAGTTTCGTCGTCGTGTGCTGCGGTTCGAAGCCTCTTGCCGACCCCGTGTAGATAACTGAAGATCTCGCGCGTGGTGGAGAGGAAACTAGAAGAGTATATGAGACATTAATTCCACCCAAACAATCCGAGCGTACTCACGAAGTTGAATCACCCTCCAGACTATCTCGGTCGAGGTAGAAGGCTTTGCAAGCGATCTCCCTTGAGATTGCTCGGAAGGGAATAGAGACACAGTGAAATGTGAGGAGCATATTCATCTCCCAAGGGCACTTCGTCGTTGTGCACAAAGTATGCAAGCCGTCGCCAATAGACCATAGCAGAATCTTGTGCAGCAATTCATTGGGAAGCTGGAGACCTGTGGAGAAAGCAGAGCTGGGCATGGTGGTGGTCAAGATGGAACCCCGATGGTGACGGACTTATATATGAGGAATAGCCCCCTTGGGATTGAGGAGACGCCCATTTGTAGGGCCTTTATCGCTTTATGCATGGTGCCGGGTGACCGTTCGAGGACAAGGAAGGCCATGGGATCAACAGCCAATTAGAACCATCCAAAATGTGGGAACAACCACCAAATTCGGAACTTTGTGCCGGTCCTCCTTGTGTTTTTTTCCTTTCGCGGTCCCCAATCTCTAGGCTCGTCCCTGGCAATTTGGCCTCATGATCTCGTTCTTTCGCCTATTAATATTCCAACAGAACACTGACAGAAACCGCTGATGCGATATGAAAGATCATAAGAAGCTCTTCTCGGCGAGTTCGACCCCACTGGGTTATCCAGAATTGGTCGCCTGATTCCCTGTTATCGCCTTGGTTGCTTGCGAATGGACTTTTCTGGATACTTTGGCTTCGGACGTACTCTTCTGCTCGGAAACCTTGTGAAGCGACTGTGTAACTTCCTGACATTTACTCGGTGTCGTCGCTTCTATCGGGCACTATCCTTCTCGACTGGCGGAAACTTGCGAAAAGTTCGAGGACATTGGCTCCCCCATGTACAGCAGGGTCCTCGGAAATCACTTTCTAGTCGGCGACGGCCGCTCTGAACAGCGTCAGCCGGCTCCAGAACACCGTTGTTTACGTTCTCCCCCTGCTCTGAACCTCTAGGCTACAGCCAGGTTAGAGTGGAAACACCACCTTACCGTCAACAGCCCTCGGTTGACATCATACAACGCTCCCTGACATTTCATGATCATCTTATATCGTCACGCGGGAGGCGAAAGAGCGGCATTCTTTTACCTCAAAGTGGTCACTTCCTGGGTTATCAGCATACACGAAAGACACGCGTCCACAGGTTCCTACAGCGCGTGTCCTACACGTTTACACCAATCAAGACGAGCCCTTTACCGGTATTCATTGCGAAAATTTCTTTCATTTTGCCACCACGACTGTACGATTGCACTATATCTGGATTGAGACTAATAGCCGACGTGCTGCAAGGGAACAAGTACGCTACGAGATTGTCCTTTCCGGGTCTCAACTGCTCGTCTAGTGTAACCCATCCATGCCATGGCGAGGACGTGCTGTATGAAAGTTTTCTTGATTCCTCGTGCGTAGCTGGCGGCCTTCAATGAACTCCTGCTGGTGTCACACCACTGTATAGTAAGGAGATCGACCATTCCTTATAGACTCCACGCCCTCCGACCTTTCAAGTGTTCAAGCTTTCATCTTCATAGCTCCAAGTCCGCCTTCTCCAGATCGTTCCTGCTTTTACCACTTCCGGAAGCTTCAATACTTGCGCAGCAGAGTCCGAATCGACCGCGCTCCCTCCCGCATCCCTCTCATTTCCTCTGGCCACCACCGTCCTCATTGCAGCTTCTTCAGCTTCAGGGTCGTTTCCGATCGTGCGAGATGACGTTGCGTTACGTCGTTGACGAGGCTGTTTCGGTTTCCAATGGACAAACCCGGATGAAAGGCGTTTTGCGATCGAGGGAGGCAGGTCGTCGTGTTGGGTTGTAGGATCCTTGTTGGAATTCGCAGGGATGTAGTTCACGTTGGGGCAGTAGTACCACGGCCTGGAGATTCGCCCATCCCCGTCACAGACCCATCTGAATGCTTGGGGGTTTCGATTGTGATGGCTGCCTTCAGCGGATCGTCGGGACTTGGACGCATTCGAGGCCTTGGTCCTGCGCTTCTTTTCCCGGGAAGGTTTAGCAGGAGGCTCAGGTTCAACTGATGCATGGTTCATAATGTAGTCCAACGCCATCTTGCTGTTCAACGATGACTCTGGACAAGGAGTAGCTTCTGAAGACATCCTGGACGATGAAGAGAGGACGGCACAGGCAACGGGAGACTTGAGTGTGGCTTTCTGGACAAGCCACCCAGCCCATTCGCCTATTAAAAGAATCGTCAAGCCGCAGACCGTGATGCGGCGCCTAGTGTTTGACCTCGAATGGTAAAACAGGTCCACAGCATTTGCTGTGTTTGGGGAAAAGTGTGTCGAGTGGCCACGAAAAAGGGCAATTACAATGACCTCCTAAAAGCCATATAAGGCTGTGGCTGCCTTTTACCGGTAAACACTGGCCATGAGGCGCGGCGAAGTTCTCGAGTCATTCCTCGTATGGGATGATGTCGACTTTGTTTCTTCCACCATCGAAGCACACCCCGGCGCCAAGACTTCTACCTGAACGCGGTCATCACAAAGCCGGATAAGAATAAAACGTTGCATAGATTACAATTAGCATGCGTACTATAGGCGTGCGTGAATCAGTCGTGACGAAAGAGATTGAGCGAAAGCATCTAGAATACAAGTCGTGAAACACGAAAGAACGAGAGACGAAACAGACGAAACAGCAGAGGGGAGAAAACGTGCACTCGAAAACACAACAGTAATGTCATAAACCAATCGACCAGCGACGGAAGTGTTCACATCTTTCTAGCCATTGTTGGAACTGGGTGAGGACCGTTGCCTGCTCGAGACTTTGTGGCTCTCGAGGACCTCGTTGAGTTGAGTTGTCCTCTTCTGTGCCAGATCGAGCTGCCGTTGGAGACTCCTGCAACACGTATGGTCAGTACAGCCCGGCCGATCTGGAAGGATCATACACACTTGATATTGTTCTCCAACTCGAGCACACGCTCTTTGCTTCCCTGTCGCTCCCGCTTCACACGTTCTTCCGCAGCCTTCAGTCTAGCCTCATACTCCCTCACCCGAGCCTCCCACTTCTCATCCGCAGCCGCATTGCGTTGATTCAGCTGCATAATCTTCTCTTCCGCATTCATAAGTTGATTTTGCGCGTTATGCAACCGTTTCTCGGCGTTGTTGGCGCGAGAAGCCAGCGAGCGGACTTCCATCGAATCGCCAGTATTGGGCCGCTTGAGCGACATGAGTTGTGAAGACAGCTCAGAGTTGGTAGCTTTGACAGCTTCCAATTCGCCTTCCTTGGCACTGAGCTTCTTCCGCCATTGGGCTTTGGTCTCGGCGAAGACTTTGAGACTGGCCTCGAACTTGTCAAGTTGCCTCCACCTGTTGTCGAGTTGTTTCTTCATGTCGGCGAGGCGGTCGGTGAAGCGGCCTTCCACAATCTTGACCTTCTTGTCGAACTCGAGTTGGATTTGGCTGACTTGCTTCAGGCGAGTGATGAGGTTGTCGTGGAAGACACTGAAGTTGGTGAAAGGCTTGGTCTCTGCTGAGCTGCCCTTCTTCTGCAACCAAAACAATGCGTGTGAGGGTACGACCTTAGACAGAAATCCAATTACTTACTGGAGTCTTATCAACACCCAAGATTTTGTCGAGGTATTGATAGATCGTGAGCAGGAGGGTGTTCCTCTCCGTCAGCTGATCGCGATACATACTCTCCGCCTGGAGAAGTGAGCGTTGATCCTTGCTCAACCTCGCCTCCAACTCCGTCACCCTTGACCTCAAGTTACCAAGCTCAGCCTCCTTATCCTTCATCTCCTTCTGTACAGCATCCAACTTCTCGCCCATATTCAACCTCGCCTGAGTCTGAGCCGCCAGCTGGCTTGCGAGATCCCTGTTCTCGGCATGAAGCTTGTCAAGATTCGATTCGCGGTCGCGGTACGAAGCCTCCTTGGCGGCGAGCTCCGAGCGAAGACGCGTAAGCTCGTCTTCGGTGCGTTCGAGGTCGCGCTTGTATCTGTCGAGTTCGAGCTGCAACGAGAACTGGGTCGTGGTCGCACTCTCGCCAAGCTTCTTGCTCTCCCGCTCGATCTCATTGAGAGCCATCTGGAGCTTGGCAATATCCGCTTCGCATTCTCGCACCCTGCTCTCCGCACGAGCAAGATCGGCGATTGCTGTCTGCAGCGCTGCCTCCTTGGCGTCTAGTGCGCGTTTAGTACTGCGAGCTTGATCGTCCAGCTCCTTGTTGAGCTTGGAGATGTGTTCTTCGGCCTCTTCGCGCTTTCGTTGTTCGTTTTCGAGTTCCCTGACGAGATCTTCGATGTGTCGGGCGAGTTCTTCTTGGCGAGCGAGATGTTCCTGGACCTCATCCTTGGCCTGCTGATACATGTCGGTCAATTCCTCGACCTCGTTTTTCAGGCTGTTGTTTCTCTAGGACATGGTGAGCACAGCTGGACCCCAACGGGTAATCACAAAGAACGCATACCTCCTTCAAGCCACTGACGACACCTTCTAGACGCTCTCGCTCAAGTGCCTCATCGTCCCGGATTCTGTCCAGCTCCTCCTTGAACTTATCGTTCTCGTCCTCTAGAAGGTAGATCTGCTCGCCCAACTTGTCGATCGTGCCTCGCAGATTCTCCATCTCCACATCCCTCGCTTCCAACTCTGCCTCCTTCTCCTCGAGCTCCTTATCCCTGTCCTCAATGTCCCGTCGCCTCTCTTCCAGCTCGTCCTCAAGCTGCCCAACGTGCGCTTCGAACTTGACATGGAGGTCGTTTGTGTTGGTTTCCAGTTCCCCGATGAGGAGTCGGAGCTCTTTGGATTCGCTGTCCCGATCGGCGAGTAGATCCTTGAGCTGCTCGTTATGCCCGCGCTGCTCCTCTACCTCACCTCTCCATTCAGCTTCCACGGTGTCGACAATCTCTTGATGCTGCTTCATCAAGTGGTCCACCTCGTCTTCCTTGGTCTGAAGCTCGATTTGCAGGGCAGCGACACGGTCTCGGAGACGATTGACTTCATCCTCCAGATTCTCGCGCTCTTCTTGCTCCTCCAGGAGCGCTGCACGAGACTGTGACCGCTCCATCGATTCATGTTGGCGTCGTTGGTGGAGGTCCTCGAGTTGCAGTTCGAGTGTTTGCACGACATCCGCCAGGTCTTCCTTCTCATCCTGCAGGCGATGGAGCAGGTCGTCCTGGTGGGCGAGCTTCTCGCGAAGCTGGTGGTTCTCGTCGTCAAGCGATTCAACTTTCCGTTGCAGTGCACTACGTGACGAAGGTCCGTCGCGGTCTGAGGTGGTTGATGTGTCGCCTTTTCGTTGTAGTAGTTCGTTTAGTCGATCAATTTCGTCCATGTTTTCCTCCAGCAATGCCCGCATATTCCCAAGTTCCTCCTCGAGCTCGGCGTTCCGTGACTCGGCGGCCTTCAAAAGCTCATCGTCATCCTCTTCTCTCTCTACCCTCCGTCTCCTTAGCTCTTCCAACTCCAACTCCTTCTCTTCCAGCCGTTGCTCCAGTTCCCTTTCCCTCGAACTCGATCCACCACCTTTGCCTTCCTTCCCTTGAAGCCGTTCTAGCTCACGTTCCAGTTGGAGTAACAGCTTCTTGAGCTTCTTGATCTCCAGCCCCCGTTGCTGGACCTCGACCTTCAGGTTGATGTTCTGCTTTAGAGTAGCTTCCATCTGGTCTGGGGCGAGTTTGGCGAGCTCTTGCTCAAGGAAATGTACACGTAGCTTGACATCGAAGTTCTCCTTCTTGAGGTTGTCGATATGCTGCAAAAAAAAACTTGGTAAGTTGAGAAGTTCCTAGAGGTAGAACGTAACGCACCTTCTCTTGGTCACGAAGCGTGAGTTTGGAGAGTTTGCTGGTAGCGGTTGTGTTCGAAGTAGTGGACCCTGCAGTCAACGTGCCTGATCGACCTCGAGTCCTCACCGCACTCCTGCCCCCTTTGCTGGCAGCTGGCGTTCCCAACAAGTCCCCCGCAGTCGTCTCGTTTGCCCCAATCTCATCGTCGTCCCCATCGTCGTCAGCTATGCTCGAGTTCCCATTCCTCCTACTAGAAACGTAATTCGAGGCGGATGGTCCCGGGGAAGGCGTCTGCACTGGCAGAGATGAAGTCGCTGTCGTTCGAGAGGTTGTAGACGGAAAACGGCCTGACTTGTGTGGCGTAGAAAAGCCGGACGCTATGGATCCGAGAGTGAAGTCTGGATGTGACAGCGAGTTGGAATGGGGCGATGACGATAGATCTGGATGTGAGGAGAGTGCTGCAGCCATAACCCCAGAATGCTAGTCGTTTTGGTAGTTGGGTTCGTAGGTCCTGAATTTGTATTCTTTATGCAGAAGTGACTGTTACTTTGACGTTTTCCAAGTTCATGGTTGGGTTGGAGCCTACCTGGTTGTACACAGATGGACTAGTCGTGGTATAGGTCGTCAAAATAGTCTAGTCGTGTCGGAAGTAGTCTTCCCGGCAGAGGAATCCTTGGACCTATCAGAACAGTCAGACCAAAGGCTTGACATGAAACCGAGCTCAAACGCCCTCACTGGTAGGTAAAGCTGTTCAGGATCGTCTGTAACCAGACCCTAGCTGACTCAGCCCCTGGTCATTAGAGATATCAGTCAAATGTTATCACAAGAGAACGATGAAACCATACCGATCTCCCTGCACAAAATGTGGTCGATGCAGTAAAACCTTGACCCACAGTGTTCGTTGAGCGCGCTTCGTCGCGCCAAGGCTCTCACGTGACGGGTTTAGGGCAGGCGCGTGGGACGGGATGGACTCGCTTCAACTTCAAGCCAGAAACGAGCTCAAGGGCTTGCAAGGTAGTTACGATCTTCACACCAACTCTGGTTCATACACTGACTATATACACTTCCGCTGCTGGTTTCTACGAGTCCAATCCGACATCAGCTCGGGAATTGAGCAAACGCCCTGGGATTTGTACACGTTAAAGTCCTGGACTCCGTTGCAAGTTCTGGGAGTCAGTCGCTCACCTTCCATTCCACCTTCAACCATGACGACTTGTCCTGTGACATGACCCGACACCTTCCTAGAGGAGAGAATGACCACCTGGCTGGCCACGTCCTCAGGAACCGCTACCTTCTTCAAAGGAGTCCTGAAGTTACTCTTTCGATCAGCCCTCTGACTTCCCCGCGAGTCAAGACGAAACGCGAAACTTACGAAGCCAATGCACGATAGACCACATCAGGATCTTCCAACGCCTTTGCGGCCATCGGCTTCAAGTAGCTCAAGGGTCAGCAGTAAGAAAGCATGCTCGATCGAGACCGTGCTCACCGTTTTCACCCAACCCGGCCCAACACAATTAACCCTTCCTTGAGGGGCAATCTTTACAATCTCATTCTTGAGAGTCATAGTGAGGCCATACATCATGGCACTCTTCGAGGCAGCGTAATCCCCATGACCAGCTTCGCCTGTGACGCACCCAAAATACAAAGTATCGCACAACGTCATCCTTAATTCAGATTATCGTCTTCACATACCGTATTTCCCCGCGGTACTCCCAATCGAAACAATTGCAGCCTCCCGCCTTTTCTCCTCAGATGCACCGCGGAGGCGGAAGAGGTACTCCCGTGCAACGAGGAACGAAGAGGTCAAGTTGGCGGTTAGCGTCGTCGTCCATTGCTCTAATTTCATATCGGCAATTGGAGCAGGTACGTCGTTGTATATCGCATGGTTCACCACTAGGACTTGGACTGGCCCGAAGGATGTACTGCCAGCCGCGCCCTCAAACAAAGATACGACATCATCCTCTTTGGTGAGGTCTGCTTTGAGTGATTGGACGCTGCTCCCATATTGCTGCTTGATAGGCTCTAATGTTAAACTGTTGGAGTTATACTGAGCAGTTACTTTGGCTCCTTGCTCTATTGAATGGGTACATTCAGTACACTTTGCTACCAGTTCGTTAGAAAAGATATGATACCTCATACTCACCAAGGAAGCTTTTGACAATCGCTAGACCAATGCCTCCACTAGCACCTAAAGTAGGTTCATCAGACCCATACTTGACCTCTCCTCTGGACGAAAGTACCTGTTACCAAGACATGAACGTCCTTCAAACCGAGATCCATCCTGCAAATTCCGAAGGAACATCGTCCAGCGGGGGTTCCCCGCGTTATCTTATCGCGAAAACATCCGAGGATCCCAATCACTCGGATCTGATGCAATCAACGCCCCTAACTTTTCATGTCCTGCCATACTTACAACTTGCTTGAAAGTGGGGGAGCGCAGGTCGTCTTTACAACTATACGCCTATACATCGACCATCCAAACTAGACAATACCCCAAACGGACACCTCACATCCCCAATTGGGGAAATTCACATATGAGACCCAAACCCATTGTTCACCACGCGAGGCGGCGGTCTCCGATCGCAGTCGGCTGTGGGTCAGCACTACACCGCCACCATCCTCCCCTCCTTGCCCGAATGTCTCATATCCTCAAAAATGACAAACAACACTCGGGCCCGGAAGACCATGAGCGAATATATTCTCTCTTTCTTTTCTCTCTCTCCCTCAATGTCTCTCTGGAACTGAGCCCTTCCTTGAAGACAGCCGTCGTCATCCCTTCCCTTTCCTCAGCTCCTCGCACCTAACTCACCCTACCGCGAATGACAATCATGAACCTTATGTGGCGGCACGAAGCAAGCTCGGAACGAGTCCCACCACTTCCCGTCAGCCTAGGCCAGGCTTGTTACAAATGCTACGCGGAAGAATCGTTGCCAGAGGTTTCTCTGTCCACCTGCGGCAACTGTAGACGGGTAGCATATTGCAGTGAAGGTATGTTCGTCCTTCAGTTAATATTCCTTCGATATACAAGTTGCCGACCGTTCGTCCTCTGTGTATAGCATGTCAAGCAGTAAGCTACTCAGAAAGATAATTAAAGCTTTCCAGATTGACTGATAGTCCTTCTCAAGGGCGACTGGAGAACGCATATGCCCGTCTGCCGCGCGCTCGCGCGACTAGAAGAATCTCCAAACACCTTCCTATGCGACCTCATCTCAGCCTCATCCCTCGTTCTCTCCTCATCCTCATCCTCAGGCTCAGGCCTCCACTCACCACTAACCCAAAAAGAACTAATAAAACGGATAGTCCAAATGGAGATCGAAGAGTTCGAAGAGTACCTATTAGACGAAGGACGTGCATTAGGCGCCCAGGAGAGGGAACTCTTCTTCCGTGAACCTCGGTGTTCAATCTGGTGAGTGCTACACCTCATTTGCTTCTCCAGAAACGAAAAACGTTATTGATTGATGATGATTGGTTTTTAGCGGAATCTCCGACCGCCTCCTCCGCAAACGACGTCGCTTCGGGCACATAACACCACATCCAGTATCCAGCAAGCCTCCGAGTCCAAGCGCACATCCAATTTCAACAACAGCAACAACATTCTCCCCACCTGAAAAACACGAACGCCAGAACTACTCCCTCCAGCCTTGCACACACTGCAACACGTCCTTCTTCTGCTCACCAGAACACCTCGCGCTCTCTCATACGTCCCACCACCACCACTCCTCCTCCTCCTCTTCCCTCCAACACCAAAGCGGGGGTTCTCCATCAAGTCCGAGCCGTCGCCAGGACCACCGCGACCAGCACGACGAACAAAAGTACCAATCCCTAGGCCTAACCCACTGCCACCTCAACCAACGCCTCCGCGAAAGCATCCGCCTCCGCTCCGTCCTCCTCAAACTTCGCAAATCATCGCCATGGGCAGACGTCAAAAATCTCGGTATCAACCCCAACGGAAGCATCGTCTGGTTTCCCAGTCGGATTATGGAGAGCTGGAAGGGGCTGAAAGACCGGACGTGGGAGGAGGAGTACCTGGAAGAAGTGAGGCAGGCGTTTAGAATGATACCTCCCACCAAAGCGTTGCCGGATCCGAGCCATGCGTTGTTGAGAGCCGTTTCGGAGGAGTTGAGCGTTCCGTTGAGCATTTTGTGGGGTTTGGAGGTCCTACATGCGGACGATTTGAGTTGGACGAAGAGGGATACCCTGCGAATCCATGTACGTCTCTTTTCCTACGGTGGTGATTTGGCGACGGTCTTGACCATATCATTCTTCAGATACTCAAGGTCTCGGAGAGCGAGCTACGCATGAACAACGTCTTTGAAGAGATTCTTCATCGGTTACCAGAAGTTCGACATCTCGAGGTGAGCAGTCTGTCGGAATGGGCGTCAGCGAGCAATAACATGCTCATACTTTCCCAGGTAACGACGTTCGGCCCTGAAATAACCAACATCATGCTCGGAGGGCCTAACGACCTTGTCGAACTGCGAATGCCTCTATGCCCGTTAGTTCAAGTTCTCTGAGTTCTACGTATCAACTCACCAACATGCTGCTACAGGCAATGCACCAACCGCGGGCGCCAAAGAACCCACATCCACTGCTCCACGTAAAGTTCTTCCTAGTAGAATCTGCAAGAGCCATAAGATATTGAATCAGGTTGCCAGCTATTACGACGACTTTGTCAAAGCCAAAGGACAAGACTTCATCAAACCCGACATCGCAGCAGCGTTCGACGCCTCCTCCGACGTAAAGCCCTGGAAAGCAACAATCAAAACCCTAACAAAATGGAAAGTACCTGCCATATTCACCGTAAGTCGCACCACCCTCCACCTCACCTTTGGCATGGGTAGATTGATATGTACCTCTTGCAGTCCCTAACCCACGAGCAATCAGTCAAAGACGCCAAAGACCTCCGCAAGACAGGGACCAAGCTGAAGAAAGAATTGAGCCCGCGAATAAATCCCTGGGGATCCATGCAACTCAGAACAGACTCCAACAGCATCGGAATCGACGGCTTCTTCACTGCCAACGGATGGATAGCAGGCGGGTCGTACTGAAGCTTGTGTTCCACTTGCGCATTGATGTGACACATGTTACGTTGTTGAAAGCGCAAGAAGCGATGTCCACCAAACTGAGGAGGGAGGTCGTGCAATTAATCAAATGTATAGGTATGAGTCGTAATGGTAAATCTAGCAATGGGTCGCCGGGGTCGTCTGTATAGTCCTGACGAGGGATAGGTTTTGATAGGGGATGGATGGATAGCGTCGGAGGGGCGGGCAGAGTTTAAGCTGCTTGTGGCGTCTCAGCCCCAGATTGCTGAGACTCTTGACGCATTTGCTCTGCCTGGGGATTGGTGTCGCTCGCGAATCGCAAGAAGACAGCCATGCCGTCAGGTCCCCGCTTGCCACGGAGCTCGTTGATAACCGCCTGCGCCTGCTCGACGCTAGCGAACCGGATAACACCAGAGTCGCGCTGGGTGTTGGTCTGACGGTCGACACCTGGTATACACGTTAATAAATCCATCTGGACGTACGCGAGAATGCTACGACTCACCAAAGTAGGCAAAGTTCACACCGTTAGCGTGCTCTCCAAGGAAAGTCTTCAAGTCGTTAAGGTCTCCCCGGAAGTGCCTGAAGTAGACTTGGTTGCTGGGAGGGAAAACGGGTCCACCACCCGTGCGGGCCTTGGGGTCAGCACGGGCATGTGCAAACTGCACACCCAAGTTGCGACCGCCAAAGTAGAAGGGCTCCTGCTTGCTGCTCTCGACAAGAGTGGCGGCATCCTGAGGGCTCTTGAACGTGACGAAACACCAAGGTGCCTTGGATTTGGGGGAGGCTGGACGGAAAGCTTAAGTTTTAACATCGAGATGGGAAGCCATATGGATACGCACTCGTCCAGTTGATGTTCGAAACAGGACCAAACTCTGCCAACAGTTGCTCGAATCCTTTCTGGTCGGTGAAGAAGGGGAGGTTGGAGAAGAAGACAGTGTCGGTAGAAAGTTGCCGTTGCTGCTGACGTTTGGACGCGTCATTCGAAGTTTCCACAGCGTTCTGTTGGGCGTTCATGCACATGCGCGAGGTGGAGAAGGCCTTGACCAAAGTGGACCTTGAGCAGGCGGATGTTGTCACCGCTGACCTGGCAAGCGCCCTGCCAGTCACTGAAGTCGTGATGCTCCTGCTCTGCGACCTGAGCAATTGGCCGAAAGCCTTCTGGGATAGTCTGAATGCCATTTTTGAGTGGTGGATGAAGGGAGGGACGACGGCGACGGTGACAAGGTGGTGAGTGCGGTGACGGTGCAGAACCAGGAAACTCGGGATTGCCGAGACGAAATTTTGGACACGGGGAAAGGGAGCGCGTCACGTGGGAAAGCCGAGCACCTTCCACCTCTAACACGCGCAAATACCACTGGGCGCCTACTGAATCGTTTGCACCGACTACGTCCCTGCGATACCCTAGCACAACGTACCGCCATCGCGTCAACGGATGAAGTGCTCACTTTAACAGCAGCGTCACTGCGGAACAAGGCCAGAGAGGGGCGGGGAGCCTTGAATTTTGGAGCTTGACGACCGCCCCTTCAACATGCTGGACCCACTAAGAGTCTATGATCCAGTGAGCCGTTGTCTAGTATCTATAGCTTAATGCTCATTTCCGGGATCCGAAGCTCTCGGGCAGGGAGAGCGCGTCTCGTAGGTGGGTAGGTGTTGGAGGCGATCGTTGATACCATACGAAAGCGTCAGCAAAGTCGACCGTTCCTGTGCCCACTTTGGAGTTCATTGGACTGATTGACTAGCTATTTGGCTCATTCTCGTTGATGAATGCTACAACAAGCCTTGAACTCATTCACAGCACTGTCCAGTGTCGCTGTCCCTGACCAGGCTCTTTACGGGATACAAATTACTTCACGGTTGACACTCTTCATCCTAGCACCAAACCTCGACGCATTATCTCTCCTGAATCCTGCAACAACATCTCCTACCCAAACACACACCATGTATCAATCGCGCACCTCCCACAGAACCTCCAGGGGAATGATCCAAACAAGCGACGGGAAGTACTTGAAGAGGTCTACCACAGCACATCTCTATCGCCCAGGGACTATACAGCCGACATTCTCTGGGTCCCAGTATGCGTCATACCCTTCATCGGCCCCGCCGTCACCTACAGCCTCTTTACCCCGCGCTTCGCCCTCTAGCAGTTACACCCCAGAACGAGGGTACGATGGCTACAGTACTGCTAGTTCTCGAAGCTCACAGAGACACCACACGATGTCGACTGTATCCCTGTCCGCTGCGTCCTCACTCGGTTTCGTTCCGCCCATTTACAGTTCATTCCGGGGCTCCAGACACGATTCGTATTCGTATGCCGGCAGTTCTAGAAGCTCTGAGGGACGACGGCACGGGGCGGACTACAACTTTACTACCCCGCCCAGTAGCAAATCTGCCGTATCCAGTACCAGTTCTCGGAGCTCGCAGAGACACCGTGACCGCGCGATATCGACCTTCTCTGGTTCCGCCAGCGCCTCCCCACTCGGTCTCGTTCCACCCATTCAGAGCTCATCCCGGGGCTCCGTACGCGATTGGTACAGTTCTGCCAACGGCGGAGGCTTACATCGGAGACGACGCGAGCCGGAATACGGCGGCTCCGTTACCCTTAGGTCTTTTTCTGCCTCATCCTCGTCAAGTTCAAGCGACTCAGAGGGAGGACATGACGAAGATTCATGGTACATGGGTTCCAATGACCTTGGATGGTCTATGGCACCACCAATACCAGGCTGGCTGCCCGCTGCACCTGTATTTGTCCCTGTCCCTGTCCCTGTACTGTGCTCACGCCAGTGTGCGACCGTGAATCGTGAATGCGGGGGTGCCAGTCCTAGCGTGGTGGTCATCAACAACAATCATTGCTGTGGTTGCTAAGTAGTCAGCGGACGACCCCTACGCAGTACTCCTGCAACCAGTGGAAGGAGGACGTGTTACTTTTATGCTACCCTATGCCTTATGTTATGATGCATATGCTTATGATTTTCTCTTTATAATTATATCCTGTAACTAGTATGCTCCCTCTCAATGCTAGGCCTACTCCTACCTTGCAAGTCGGGGAATGGAAGAAGAGCCTGAACGCCCTCGCAACCCGCCCTCTTACCAGTGCTACAAATACTTGAACATGAAGTTCAGCAGACAAGGCTGACAATTATGCGTAAACTACAACTATACTTCCTACATCGTAGGCGCCCAGCGCTTATCCATGTACACCAAATCACACACAGTAGCCTTTGCTCAGCGCTCAGTGTTTCAAATCCCTCAACCAGAAAATCACTTAAATAACGAATAGATACAAGGAAAAACCAAAAAAACGGGTGTAGTATGTAATGAACGAAGGAACGAAAAGAACGAACGACAAGGCGTATGTAACAAGAGTAAAAAAGGAAGCAAGATATCCAAGAAAACCCAACCGCAGCCAGCCAACCCAGCCCAAGCGAAGCCATCTTCCCAGCGCAACCAACACCTAGCGTAACCAACTTTGAACTATCCCAATCCAATCAACCTAACGCCCAACCAAAGAAAGAACCAAAAGCACGCCTACGATGTAATCAATCATCAATCGCACTCAAATACCCCTCCCTCTCCTCCAGATACCCCCAAAACACCAACGCACAGGTGATCCAAAACGCCGTATCAACACCTAGACTTGCCAGTTGGGATTTAGACACCGTCAACGTGCCCAGCGTCGTGTAATTCGGATTGGGAGGGGGACGAGAATGAGATGAAGACGAGGAAGACGAGGAACGTGAAGAAGATGGACCCGAAGAGGCGGATAGATGTGTGGGTGAGGAAATGGGTAATGAAGACGTAGAGGCGTGTGTAAGAGGGCGAGGGGGAGGCTGTAACGACGCTCTTGAGTGTGCTGGAAGCGACGGCGGTGACCGCGACGAGCCAGATCCCTTGAATAACCCGCCAAGGCCAAACGTGACAGGGAACAGACTGGTCTCATCAGTAAAAGAGAGAAGTGGTGGCGGAAGCGGCTGAACGAACGACGTGGAGGAGATCGCTGAGGTGGTCGCGGCTGGAGGAATTTGGAACGGATAGCCAGACGAAGATTCGCCTCTCGAGCTCGGACCAGCTAGGAGATTGGTGCTACTCGTGTATGGAGGGGGAGGCGAGATCGCACCTCCACCTTGTGCACCGGTACTCCCATTAAGACCAGGAACTCCCTCCAAATCAGGCACCCTCACAATGGTGAAAGAGTTCCCTTGCATCGTGGAGTTCAGGCTATTCGTCACGCTCGCAGGCAGTGTAGATTTAAGGATGTTGAACGCCTTTCCAAGAATGCCCGTTGGTTTACTAGAGTTGGTGGACACGGTGGTTGGAGGATTAGACCGTGAATACGAGTTGGAGTGTGTACGATGGTGTGAGTGGGGATAAACGGTGGGGCTTGGCTGTGTTGAGTCCGGAGAGGGGGCGGGTGTAGTCGAGATGTTGACGAATGATCCCGAAGACGCATTGGCAGCTTCAGATAGCGGAAGGAGGATGAATTCGTTGATGCGAGTTGGTGGGAGAGCCCGCGGTGGTGGAGCGCGGCCAGGTCTTGCTCCAGGCGGGTGATTCGGTTGATTCATCGACACATCCTGCAACGGCGCCTCCTTTCCTTTCCCATTGGATAACGACACAGGCCTCTTGATGTCACTGAAACCATTCGCAATTGGTGTATGTGCCGCAGAGGTGGGTGTCTTGGGTAAAGTAGGGGCCGCAGCCGAAGTAGGGGTCGTGCTCTCTTCAAGGTCGTCATGGTCATGATCGTCTCCGATGATATACACATCCTCCTTCTCCCCCGTCAGACTCCTCCCTCTGTTCAATGGAGGAACGCGAATCGGTGGGAGGTCGCGTCGGGTTAAAGGTGGCGGACTTGCAGCGGGTGTTGGTGGGTAGGAATGGACTGAACTAGAGCTTGATGATCCAGCACTTGTCATGCTTGACAGGCTGGTTCGATCGCCTGGGCCTCTGGAGCCCAGTGATGGAGGAGGCCGTGGTGGAGGAAGCCTCGACACATCATTCGTCTGACATTTGAAACTGAGTGCTCCGTCGACGTAGTAGGGCGAAGTCGAGGACACGGGTTGGAGAGGGATGGATACCCCGGGTGGGAATAGCGGGGATCGCAGGCGAACATACCACCCTTGGCGACGGATGTTTGTGGGGCGGTGGACAGTCCAGCAGATTGTGTTCGTGGGTTGGTGGACGATGTTCTCGACGATTTCGGCGGGTCCTGAAGCAGGGTAAGAAATATAACGTTCCTGTACATAAACCAGTAAGCGTCTGGCCATTTGGAACTAGTAGAAACGCACAGTGTACCAGATGACCGTGGAGGGGTCGGCAAGGGGTGATACAGTTAGCCTGTGGTCCGAGAGCACATCCGAGCTGCAACCAAAGCGAATCAGCATCGGGCCCAGATTAGATAGTGTGCCAATGGTAACTCGATTCTAAAGCACTCATAACCAAGGAAAAGGCACGCACGCTTGGACGATGTATCGTTGTACATCAGGGTTGTACGTCGACCCTATTGTCGAAGTCATTACTCGCGTTTAACCTCTGCCTTCGCCTGTACTTGTATTCGTCTCGGATGGCCGGTGCGCCTGACAACGATAACCTCTCGGACTTCGCGTTTGGATGGTATCGTGCGGCCTCTTTCCCCCTCGACCAAGCCAGGGTGGTCGCTAGTTCCGGTGAAGGAGAACACCTGGCGCACGTTCTTGCCAAATCACGCTAGCAAGTATATAGTCGTCGATGTCAATAGGCCGTTGTAACCGTTGAAAGCGATGGCGAAGAGCCTTTGAGGGCGATGGGCGAAAAGGACGATGGTGACGGTGAACGAATGGCACCGTTTGGCCAAGGCAAACTTGGCGGTCGATTTGATGCCGCGGCGGCGATCACTGATGGCGGTCAATACCCGACGCCCCTAGCGGCGGGGTACGCACATTCAACCCCAACTTCCAAGGCAAGAATGTTATTAAGTACCAGGAGTATAGTTACAGATATAAAGGTAAAATGAAGCATATGCATAATATCATAACATCATAGGGCATACTTGGGATAGCATAAGGTGATCATTCAAGGCCAGATACCAGGTGGGATGACCGGTGCATTGTCACCCCTTCCTTGAGCTTGGATTGAACCGTAATACGGCTGGGGAAATTGTTGTGCCGAGTATGGCGGCATCTGTGCTGGGTATTGTGACATCTGACTGTACTCGTCTGGTCGCGTCGCCAATCCAAAATCGCGGTAACCCAATCCTCCTGCATTGTAAGGCGCCGATGGACGATAGTTTGCAGATGACATTGCTGGTGGAGCAGACGGCGCAGAGGATAGGGCAGCCCCCGCAGGTGCCGTAGGGAGATTGGCCTCGTGGGGCCTTTCTAACATTCCAGAGTCGCGTCCGCCTTGGGCTGAGCTGAAAGCGGGCTGGTCAGCCGCAACATGGCCGCTAGGGAATGGTTGCGCTGACTGCAACAGCGGCCCAGATCCTGCAGCGGAGCCCACAGCAGGCGGTACCGTAGACGCCATCGGCGGCTCGTCTTGCCTCTCTTGGCTTCCAGAACTGTATTCATCGCGCGCTCCCAGCGGCTTGTTAGAGGGCGGAGGACGTGGGATAGCGGCCTCAGGGAATTGCGGCGCATATGGAGGATAGAACACATGAGGTGGCCCAAAGAATACCGGTGGTGTACTCCTCGGGCGCTTACGATGACCAAGGCTGACATTGATGGGTCCGTAAGATTTCACGAATACCGTAGTCTTCTTCCTCTCCCTTTTAGGAAGCATGTGTATGAGTCTGTCTTTGAACGTTCTTGGGGAGCCGTTCGCCTGGTGACCATATCCGGTGTTGCCAGTTCCATTTCCAAGATTGACAACCACGCCTGGTGGGTTCCAGTATTGACTTTGCCAGTGAGAGCCCATGGGTTGGTTGTACATGCCGCTTTGTGGCATCGGGTAATTGTTGTTGGGATACATCGTTGTCGAGATGTTGTTGTAACAAGAGAGAGAATCAATGTCGAGATTTAGTTTGAGGGATGAAGAGTTTCGACCAGAAGTATTTATAGCTGAACTTGAGTAAGGGTCGAGCTACATGATAACGAGGGTGCTGTGAATTATCTCGAGCCATACCGTACCTGTCGCTAACCAGAAGGAAGCCGATGACCAGTCAACCAGTCCAGCGAACGCGAAAGTGTGACACAGCAACTTAACCCTGGTACCACTGATGCCCGATGCCAATTAGTGGCTCTCCGTTTGGACTCTGGAATGAGCGACAAGAACAGAGGCCGCCGAAGAGCGCAAAGCTGTGAACGACGGCTGGTCAGTGGTAAACAGTGGGTCCGACATACCAAGGCTGGTTGTCAAGCTTCAAAATTCAAGGCATCGTCTTCTCCGCTGTTGTTAACTGCACACTTTGATCCGTTGTTGCGATCACTGATATCGGAGACCAAAAAATAACAGCGAGCGGGAAGGTGCGGCGCGTCGACCCGAAGCTTTTGGTGACGACACCGACAATCGCGAAGACGGACGTGAGCTCATCGCGCTGCACGACGACAACGGGTCTCTTTTTCGTGTTCGTTATCGCGGCTGCTGAGCTCTAGGACATCGGGCAACCAGGTCAACGCAAAGAAAGAAAGGCATGCCGCCAGGCCCGGCGTACAATGCTCTCGCTGTGGTCTATTCTGTAGCTAGGATCGTCAAGCATGCGGCACGACATCGAGCTGCAGCTGGCGCTCGAACTTTGGGCGTCTCAGAGGATATACTGACGACGACACGGCCTGGACCAGCACCACAACCCGCACCAACTGCACCAACATCCTCGACCCCTTCGACTTCAACCTCGTCCGACGCTTCAGCTAGCACAAGCCCGTCCGAGGAGAGGGTAGGAGAAGCCTCTACACAGACTCAACCAAAATCTCAGCTCTCCAAAGCAGAACGACGACGGATACAAGCGCAACTAGAAGAGGAAGAGTTCCGAGCGATACTTGGAAAACGATGGGTTGATGGCGTATTGGTCGACGGGTCTCTCCCATTCAGCGTTTCGCACAGCCATCCAGCTCAGATTATATCTGAAGCACCCAGGGACCCTGTGCCGCCGATACCAGAAATACCAGAACTGCCAACTCAGTCGCAGTCGCCGGCAGAGTCTTTGGAGTCGGGGACGAAGACGTGGGTGGAGAAGGAAAGAGAGGCAGAGGAAGTTGCGAGAGTTGTGGAGGAGGTTAGCCATGAAATCGAACACGAACGCGAATTGGAAACGAAGGAAAGGCCTATACCTCAGGTGGCGCAGAAGTACCAGTCCAGTCACCAGCAGGCATCGTCCTCATCTGCAACCAGTGTTCCCACTTCAAACCCGACTGCTGCAATCGAGGCTTCTGACCTTTCACCGACACAGGCAGCTTCTACGTCGCCTTCAGACCTTTCAGACTCTCCCTCATGCCCTCTTCCTGTCACAACCCCTACACCACCACCCAAAAAGGTGCTTCAAGCATCTAAAGTTCCCTCGTCACGGATAGGCAGATTATTCCACTATGGAGGTACATTCAGGGCCAGCCATTCCTTGTAGTCTTTATTAACATACTCTTATACAGGTCTCGCTGCTTCACTAGGCTATGGAGCCGCCGCTGAACTCCTTAGAGGGAGTGATAGCTCCAACGCAACAGGCAACGTCATGCTCTCAGAAGCGAACATCAAGCGATTGGTGGGCAAGCTTACCCAGATGCGAGGGGCCGCTCTCAAGCTTGGGCAGTTCATGAGTATCCAAGGTGCTTTTCCCAGCTCATCCTCCTCGCCGCTTACTTGACGTGCTCACGCAGTTGGGTAGATACACATCTCCTCCCACCAGAGCTCGACCAGATATTCAGACGTGTCCAGGATAGCGCGCATTACATGCCAGATTGGCAAATGGAGGTTAGCTCCATGGCTGTGTGTCTGTTGCTTCCCACAATTCTAACCAGTTTATTGCGCGTAGAAAGTCCTCTCAGCGGCGTACGGTCCTAACTGGTGCAACCCTTCAAATCCCGAAGAAACTGTCTTCATGGAGTTCGAGCGGATACCGTTCGCGGCTGCGTCCATCGGTCAGGTGCACCGAGCCAGGCTAGCACCGCGACTTTGCCCACCCGAGTTGCTCGACCAGGGTAGTAAGTGGTCGAAGCGCATTCGGTTGCATTTAAGTCTCACCAACTGTTTTCTCCATAGACAAGGATGTTGGCCTAGACGTCGCAGTCAAAGTCCAATTCCCAAACATCGTAAACTCGATAAAGAGTGACTTGGGTTATGTCAAGATGCTGCTCAGCGTCGGAGGTCTGCTGCCTAAAGGTCTTTTCCTGGACAGGACGATCGAGGTACGCACTCTCTTCCTCCATTTCCTTTCCCCCACTCATACACAGTGCAAATTTACAGGTGATGTCCGCGGAACTAGCAGACGAATGCTCCTACACCCGCGAAGCCTCGTTCCTCAAGAAATTCAGGTCGAAAAAATTCTTGGGTGGAGACGAGCGGTTTAAAGTACCTTGGGTGTGGGAGGGTAGCACCGATCAGGTGTTGGTCATGGAGCGGGTAGGCGGGGTGGGTGTTGGGGATGTCAGTCATGGTAGTGCTCTCGAGGAAGGCGAGGTGGCGGTTGACGAGGAGACTGTGAGGGGTTTGAGCCAGAGGGATCGGAATGACGTGAGTATACATTCCTTGAGTGGCCTGGAGGATGCTGACAGTCGTATCTTCCCGAACAGATTGCTGCTCGAATCATTGAACTGTGCCTGAAAGAGCTCTTCGAGTTCCGGGCGATGCAGACAGATCCCAATTGGACAAACTTCCTCTGGAACCAAAAGACCAGGCAGGCGAGTACAACTCCTACACCTTTGCAACAACACGCAGAAGCCAACCGTAATTCTCTGCTTGCAGATCGAACTCGTCGACTTTGGCGCAACACGCACATACAGCAAAAAGTTCATGGACAGCTGGTTAAGGCTGCTCCAAGCAGCCGCCTCCGAGGACCGCCAAACATGTATCGATGAAAGCATCAAAATCGGATACTTGACGGGCCAAGAGGACGAAGTCATGCTCGATGCACATGTTCAGTCTATGACTCTACTCGCCACTCCTTTCAAAGAAACCACTACCCAGCCGTTTGCGTTCGGACCTGGCTCGAGGTGGTCGGAAGTGACGAAGGAGATTAGGGAGTTCATTCCTGTGATGGTGAAGAGGAGGTTGACCCCCCCGCCGAAGGAGACATATAGTTTGAATAGGTACGTTTGGCGTCGGGATCTGTTGTTTTGTTTTGTTGCACTGGTGTGGCTGATCTGGGTCGTGTTCCAGAAAATTGAGCGGGGCGTTCCTCCTCGCTGCTAGACTCGATGCCAAGGTTGATACGAAGGAGATTTGGGATAGGATTGTTGGGAAGTACGAGTTTGGGCGTGTGGAAGAGGAGGCGGCGGAGTTGGCTAAAGATATTGATTGATCAGGCTCCTAAACCAGCCGCTCGTCACCTCAGGGACTACAGTATAAACTGTATATAGGGTCTCTTAGCGGCATTGTTTGTAGGGCACACAACTAGGCTAAGAGCCCAGTCAATGGCGTTGATGGAGCAGTATGACGGGAAAGGAAACCCGTGCGTGATCGGACCTACCTTTCTAGTCCAGAACCCACGTCACCTCCTGTCGCTCGCTTGTCACCGTACCTGCACTCGTCGGGGCAGTTGCAGTTATGCGCAGATGGCCTTTGGCCTTCCAGGTCGCGTTTTTCCATTGCGATATTTCTGTTCTCTCTCCAAGACACACATGCCGTTGCTACCCAAGTGGTATCCAGCTGAAATAAGATTTTCCATTCACCTAGAATTTTGTGCCAACCTGACCGCAACTGTCTCCACCTGCCTCGGCACCAGCAGTTAAACCCCAAGCTAGTGCGGGGACTCAGACGTTTACCAATGTGAGTAGACATCGGTCATCACACGCGGAGTCAAGAGTCTTGTTAACCTCCACCACCTCCTCATGCCCCGTAGTCCCAAAACCCCTCCCCGACCTCGACGTCGTGACTTCATCAGAGACCGGGGCGGCCTAGGCGTAGCCACGTACAGCCCAGTCAAAAAACGCGATGCCTACAAGACACAAACTCTAGTGTCGTACATCGGATTCGACGTCGAGAGGGACCGGCTCGAGCGCTCGCTGGCAGAACTCAAGGCGAAGGCCCAACGATTGCGCGAATCGCGAAGCTTAGCACGACAAGGAATGGCTCAGACCAGCGAGCCATCTCCCATTTCGCATGGGTCTCCGGGCACTTCAGCACAACCGACTACGGTACCCCTCCTTGGGACCTCTTTGGACGAGATCGAGATGATGGTCACAGAGGAAACAGGTCACAGAGGAGACGATGAATGGGTTGACATCGATGACGAGAACGAGGGCAACGAGGGCGCAGGCGATATGAATCAAGACGAAGTGCCCGGTGACCACATGCTCGACGACGACGCCGACGACGATGACGACGACTGCAGCTACTTACGGACAACTTTACCCCTCCTCAAGACCCAAAACCTGTATTCTCGTTGGATGACGCGTATCCCCAGCCTCGTACCCCACTACCTGTCCTATCTGGAGGAGACCACGGGCCAGTCATTACCCGCACTTCCGCGAGAAATTCATCGGCGGTGTGAGGACGAAAGCTGCCCCAACAGGGCGCTGAATGTTGTTGCATTTACCTTGATGGGTGCGTCTCGTTTTAGAAGCCCTTGTGTCCAATACTTATGGGCATCTTACCACAGGCTTCAACGAACTATCTGTATTCGGTTGCCTATGTCAAGAACCGGTAGAGGTACTTGTGCGAACTGGATTATTTCCAACGGCACCCACGCGACCTCGAATGGCCATATCTATATCCCTACTTGACCTGTACCACTCGGTTTTTGAGAAGTCCAGTGATGCGATCTATGCCTTTGCCGGAGCCATGCAGAATTACTACGAGAAAAGAGGATTTGTCCTACTTAATCGCAAGGTGAGTATCCTCACAGAGAATAACCAGAGGCAGTATACTCACTAATTACGCAGAAGGAGTATGCCCAGGATGGGTTTCGGAAGCCCTTTGGTCTGGCAGTGCAATGGTACGATCGGCTGCAGAACCAGGTCCGCCAGCGTGTCGAGGCTGCCCTCTGCAAGGCTGACGAAGTGGCATGCGACTATATTTCCAAAAATCCGACCATGGGAGGAACCCCAGGTCATGATGAGGCCACAGATATTACCAGAGCCCTCGTGGACGACGCGGACAGCCCCACCGAAGCCCCCGACGTCAACCCGACAGATACAGCCTCTAACCCACCACCGTCATCCAAGACCGCCCCAGGGGAGTGCGATCGCATCCTTCGTGACTATTGCCCCGCATGTTTCGGGGGCAAAGAGTTTGGTATCCCTCTGGACGAGTGAGTAGACCTGTTTTTAAGAAACAAAGTAGCGTTGACATGGTGGTTTCAGGGGCGGCGACGTGGTAATCGCCATTGACGGCAATTTCAACCACCGGCACAACCGCAATGTCACGAACTGCCCCAAGTTTTATGAACCTGAACACTTCGTCACAAAGGCATATGTCGATGCCATCGGGGAACGAATGGCAGAGGCCAGAACTCAGCCAAAGCGCCGAGTAACCTCCAAGGTGCCAAAAGAGGCTGTCAAGGCGTGCCAAAAGTCCCACCAAGCCGGAAGTGGTTCGAACGTCAAAACCTCGCTCGAGCGGTTCGATGCGGGAGGGCTGATGGCTGTAGTGTGTCGACACGATATACCTCTTTTCCTGGCGAATATTGACACAGCCGGCGAACAACAGAAATTCGCAGTCGCGCTCATTGAGAAGGTCCTCAGCCATATGCCTGCCCATGCCAATCTTGTTGTTTTGTACGACGTTGGCTGCGTTTTGGATCGCAGTATACAGCTTGTATGTCTGCAATCCCAGTTGAATCAATATTTTGATTGTCTCATGCACCCGACCAGCATCCCATTGTTTCTGCCGATATCGCAAAGCGCCTGAAGTTTGCGACAAGCGCCATGCACGCATACGCCCATCAGTGGGCTTGTCAACTGGGATATAACCCGCGACTACAGGACGGTATGGCACTCTCTGACGGGGAGGGAGTCGAACGAATTTGGTCCCAGTTGAGGCGACTCATTCCCATTGAACGGAATTGTGCAGTAAGTACAGGCTGTATCCTCTCTCCAAGCTATAAATCTAACCTCTCCTAGGCAGAGAAGCGGATCTGGTTGATCGATCGCCAAACCCACTATATCAACCGCATGCTCAGGGATGGCCTGGGTGATACCATCCGCCGCCGACTGACCAAGGCCGTCGTCCAGCACGAAGCCGAGGCTCTGGCGATCATAGAAGATGTTGACCTCTCACGGGACGAGCTTGAAAGGCAGTGGGAAGACCAGAGGACATCTCAGATGTCTGTCCGCTCATGTACGTTCGACAATCTCGTTTATTCTGAAACCAGTCCAGCCTAATGCCATGATAGACGGGACCAAATCTGCGAAGAAAGAACTTGATGCCATTATCAACCTGCAGACTGAAATGGACGCCATCGAGAAGAACCTCAAGGCCGCCCGGAAAGCCCTGAAAGGCAGTAAAACCCAGGCCGCCAAAAAAGTCGGGAATCTCGCCTCAAAATCAGCAGAACTCCAGGAGATGATAGATGAGATCTACGGCGCTTTGGATCTCCCTGTGAATATTCCGGAACTCGAGGGAGTCAGCTACGAGTATCTTCGCCAACTCATCCTCCTCCGCGATGTGAAGGATAACATTCGCAAGCGAGCTATTGGCAGCTTCTTCGAAATCGACCGATTGGATCAGGCCGTTGGCGGGCGTGATCAAGCTATAGGCGAGACATCTCTATCCTACTCCCGATTTTGCGAGCTGATGTCGGAGACCAGGTACCAAACTACATCAGGCCACGCGTCGGTCCATTCAACGACGCAAACCTGCTCTTATGCGGGCCATCGACAAACACAACGACATATGTGCGACTTTGGCGCAACTACACAAGCGGAAGTGGAAGTTACCCCTCCCTCAGCCCCTCCCGACAAAGCTGAGCGACTTACGCAACTCTCCTGCCCTTCTGGAAGACGTCTGGCTTTCTCGAGTACCAGGAACGATGCCTGATTGGTTGGAGAGCGCGGACGTGCGGAAAGCCATACGGGCCCATCTGAAACTCAAACGATGTCGCGAAGAACGGACGCGACTCGGTCGTGAAGCGGACAACCTGTCGCGTTGGTATGGTCGGGAATCGACTGCCGTTGAGATTGCACTTGATCTAGACGAAAGTAAGAACTCTCCTACGCTGCTGCTAACCAAGGGAGGCTAAACAAGGAGCATAGATTCCGATATCAAATTCATTCTCCTTCAACACCGCGCCCGGCTGGCGGCGACCAAGCAGCGATGGATCAACGGCACCAACACGCCTATCTACGTCCAAAACATTACGGCCTATTCCAATCGAGTCGTTGAGGGCGTGCTAGGGCGACCCGCTCTTCCCTCCCCTTTGTATTGGTTGAAACAAGTCACGGCAGGGATTGGCCCGACGTCGCAGTCAGCGACCCCTGGTGAAGAGGAAGAGGAAGACGAGGACGATGATGGTCTCCCTCAGAACCCGGGTACAGTCGACGAAATAGGAGTGCAAGATTTAATTGACACAGACGATCAGGGGGAAGAAGAAGAAGCCAAGGAAAAGGCCCTGGGAGTCGTCTTGCGGGAAGAGTGGACTGAACCGGTGAGCTTGACGATCAATGCAACATGCTGTGATAATAACCCGGTGTCCCAGACTGTCTCCATTGGTCCTAGGTCGATATTCTCGTCACTCCCCGAGCCTTTAGTCCCAAGCCCAGACCTGCCCACTCAAACACGATTCTTCCGAGCCCAGGGATACCCACAGGCTATACTTCACGATTTCCAGGACGCCGACTTAGCCATCCTGAGCTCAAAACGAGAGCGGCTCAATGATGTTTGCCTCAATTCCGGCGCCGAACTTCTCCGCAAGCACTTCGCCCCCCTGGGACATACCTCCCAGTGTGCTCTGTTCACCACCTTTGCACTACTGTTCGTCACCCACCACGCTACCCACGAGCGATTATGGCGGCATGTGCGCCGGACGGAATACTGGCGGAAAGAAGTGTGGCTTTTACCTATCCACCGGCGCTATCCGGACGAACACTGGGTAATTGCCATTCTTTACCCCGCCAAAGGGGAGATTCTACTGTTTGATAGCCTCGGTGCCAGAAAACCATGGAAGAAGGACTTAACGGTTAGTGGCATATTCGTACGACCTGAGCCGACGGACTAATACCTTGCTCTCCCACAGGCAATTGCGGCTTTCATTCCTCGACTTCGCCTTTTGGCCGCAGAGCACGAACATCCGTTCACGTATACCGTGGCGCAGGATTGGGCGGTGCGTCCCATGCTCACCCAGCCGATGCAGACAACCAGTCACAGCTGTGGCTTATGGGTACTGTCGGTGATTTCCAGTATCTTCCAAGGCTTCCATCGTGCAGATATTGGTGAAGAGGAGCTTAGCCGCTTCCGATGGCAGCTTTACAGCCTCGTTATGAAGCTTCCTCTGCAGGACCCCGCGAGGACGTGATTGTCGGACTACGTACCTACTGATTCGTATACGAACTCTATGATGTACCTCCTCCCTTGAAATGAATTGACCCCGTATGACGAACATCTGAGAAGACAACAGAACACCGTGACTTGTACCGCGGTGCCTAAGGAACCTGAAGGCAGTAAAGGGCTTCGCCTGACCGGAATGTCTCGCTCAATACCTTAGGGCAGCGGAAGGAGTTAGTCGGAGACGGTAGTGTAAACGATCCATGACTTCTCAATGCCCTTACCCATGGGACGCGCCGGGTATCGACGAGTCTTGGACAAGCATGGCATGGCCGCTACGGTGTTTGTCTTACTCCATCGTCTTACCCCATCGCTTCCCCTCCTCTTTCTTCTCAATGGCTTTCCCCTCGCTTTCATGGAGGAGACGGTATTTAAATCACACCATAATACGCCTATACGCCTACTTTGATCCCTAATCCAAACAGTTTACCAACCAAAATCGCGCAGAAGAACAGACCGGTGAGAGATGTATGCCAGACTGTATGGCTTCCACCAGTAAAACTGACCACGACCTCACCAGTTGTAGTCTGACGACATGACTTAGAATAGAGGAACGGCCATCGGACTGGGAATATGTGTAGGCTTCTCTCGGCAGGGTATGTACCTTAACCTAAACATCCTCCTAACTGAAAAGTCCAATAATTGATATCATTGTAGACAGTACTATAGTACAAGGTAAGCGTGAACCATGTCGTCGTCTGACTGCATTGCTACTTTTGAGGGGAGACAATCACCTGAAGTTTCTAATTGAAAAAGAGATGCAGCTCCTGCACATACCTGAACGGAGGAAGGATATTAGACAAATAAATGCTGAAGACGCCCCCCAGAGTAGGAATGGGTGTTGCGGGTATTCGTCTTACTCCATCGTCTTACCCCATCGCTTTCCCTCCCTTTTCTTCTCAATCGCTTCCTCCTCGTTTTCATGGAGGAGGCAGTATTTCAATCACACCATAATACGCCTATACACCTACTTTGATCCCTAATCCAATCAGGTTACCAACCAAAATCGCGCAGAAGAACAGACCGGTGAGAGATGCATGCCAGACTGTATGGCTTCCACCAGTAAAACTGACCACGACCTCACCAGTTGTAGTCTGACGACATGACTTAGAATAGAGGAACGGCCATCGGACTGGGCATACGTGTAGGCTTGAGCTCTCGGCAGGGTATGTACCTTAATCTACTACATCCTAACTGAAAAGACCAAAAAGAGATATCATTGTGGACGGTACAAGGAAAGCGTGAACCATGTCGTCGTCTGACTGTATTGATACTTTGGAAAGGCAAAGATCCTTTACATGAAAAGGTGTTATTCGATCTTGGTATTTCAGGTATCTGTTACCTCTGCTTCTCGTCGTATATATAGGGTAACCCAACGCCAGGGCGCTTAACGGCATGACAATACCTTGAATTAGCGCCTGAAGTTCTAATTTCCTGCTGAGGGGATCTAACTCGGCAACCAGTCAGCCAACTCATGACTCCGACTGGTTTACGACAGCACTCCCCTACCTTATGATTCTGAAGTGGAAACATTTGATAAAGTTACCGCTCGCGTGGAATAGTTCAACGACAAGAAAAAGGTATTCATTTCGACCAGTTCAAGATAATTTTTTTTTAAAAAAAAACAAAAACAAAATATGACAAAAAGCAAAACAAAACAAAAAACAAAAATAACAAAAGTGCCAATCATATGTCTTGGGACGGCCGATGGGATCTATGCGGGCATGTACACTAAGGGTCGTTGTAGAGAAGAATAATACCCCGGGCATCGTCATACGTTCCACCGCCAAGGTCCCACAGATCGTCCAAAACCAAAACTTCCCAGCCATCGTTGGGCCCGGGAGTGTCAGACCAATTGTCGTCGTCATCGCTATTGCGCGAGGCCAATGCGATGTATCGAGGGACGTCGTCATCGTCGGATCGATCGGGGGGAGGGGGGTCGGCTGGGTTTCTGTGGCGGTTGCGCACAGATCGGCGAGTAATACCCCGAGCTCGAAGGCTTTGCTCAATGTTCGCCCTGACAGCCCCATTGTAATCGAAGTCCTCCCAGTCCATTTCGGGGCGCTCGATTGCGGGGATGTACGCCAGGCGCTCGTTGTCGGGGATGTTGTTGAGGGCCTCCAGCAACGGTTCCTGCGCGGGAGGATCAGTAACGTAGCGTGAGGGGGGAAGGAAGGAAGGGCTTACCGCAACCTCATCCCATTGAGTGGATGCCAAGCGGGTGTCAAGGGCCACGTACTGGTCCCAGGTCATCGGAGGGGAAGGTTGAGGGCTGTTGGGACAGGTGATGGTGTAATAATATTGCATTTCGCTGCGTATTTTCTAGACGACGTGGTTAACGACGGCGTAAGACTAGGAACGGGCGTTTCTGAAAGCGATATACATACCAGCCAGAGCTTAGTCTTTGCACGCCTGCGACGTCTGCGCGACGTTTGGGGAGGCCAATACCTGGGGAAGCGTCGGACGTAGTTTCGGTAGATGGACTCGATGTACTCTTCTATCGCATCTGCGAGAAGGGCGGGAACCATCCAAAGAGCGGATACCCTTAGGAAATCCGCCTGCTGGACAGGGATGGGCTTGGAACGGAGAGCAGACAATGTGAGAGACATCTTCGTGAAGAGGGGTTAGGGATGAAAGAAAAGCAGGAGAGCTATTGACATCTTATACCCATGGCATTGGGACCATTTGGTTTTCTTGTGTCGAACGAGAAGCACCCCAAATTACCAACCCCTTCTCGATGACCAGCCATTCTGTACGGAGTAAACACGCGGAGGCACGCGGGATAAAGGCCGCTCTGAAGTTTCTGGGCTTGCATCCAAGTCTACATCGCATTTACGTGCACTTTGTCTCCAGGAACACGGCCTGTCATGTTCATGGTCACCAGGGTGAGCCTCTGGCCTTCTCCTCTGCGGGGTTCCCATTTTGAACCGCGGAAGCAGGAACACATCCCTTCTGTATGGAAACTGTACATCTGCCAGCCTCAGCAGACGCACGTCAACCCAGAGCCCAGTCGAGTGGGTTGAGAGTAAGTCATTCTGGACCACGCACCTAACTGCCAGCTATCCAAGCACGTAGTGCACTTTGGTGCACATGCCGACGAGGACCTATGCAAAGTCGGGGCTCCAACTTGAATTAAATCAACGTATGCTCTGTGTTATAAGGATGTGAGGGCAAGGGAGAACGATATTTCATCGTTCATCCACAATGACGAAGCCCAACTTACTTGTTGCATCCAAGCCTTCCAACGAGTCCGTCGGCGCTAAACCCGACCCTGAGACGGTTCTTCCCCCGTTTCCTGTGTTGGAGGGTCTCTATGACGGCGAGGCCTTTGATCGTGGCTGGCCCGAGCCCGTAAGTACACCAGTTTGTCACGTTGGATGTCTTGCTGACCCACACCCGTTGTAGACTGAGCATAGGCAACGTTGGCTTGCCAGCATGCGCGATTGGTTGATGTCTTTGAGAAACAAGGAGACTGTCGATGAACGCGATGTCGGTAATTCCTTGTTTGATTGGGATGGCACGCGAGGACCTGACATGACATTGTTGCAGTTAAACGCAGATGTTGAAGGCAGCCAGCCGGAATCCGGTTAACTGCATGACCCCACGTAGTACACGTAGATGTAACGAGGCCAAACCTACTGATAATGCTGTATCGTCTTCAAACCATGCTTTGACACTCCTGTCCGTAAGAATGAGAATGAGAATGCAAAAGGTGGTATTCGCCAAGAACTTCTACCCAAAAAGTGAAATCGCAGATGTACATATGCCGTCGGCGCTACCAAAAACAAGATATAGTAACTGGCGCCAATTAAAACAATTCTACCAATCCAGGACCCAGCGGTTACCTCGAACTACTCGTCCTCGTCCTCCTCGTCCTCCTCCTCACTTTCTACATCCTCGTCCTCGTCATCAGGCTCCTCCCAGCGAATCCTCTTGGCTGGATGCCAAGACGGCAAAGGGACATCAGCGTCCAGGTCAAATGATAGATATGGCGCCCAGCGGGGTGGTGATTCGGGAAATGCTTCGCAAGGGGAGTCGGACTCAGTGGTGATGCGCCTGGTGGCGGTAGGGCGCGTGGAGAACTGGGCACGCAGTCGGTTAAGAGCAACGTTACCACCGTCTCCTTCATAATCCGGCGGGGCGACGACGTCAGGATCGTATCCAAGCTGTCCCATGTCGTTCGGGTGGATGTAGGACAGAAATCGGTCACCTGGGCATGCGTTGAGAGCTGCCAGGAATGGTTCCTAGTAAAAAAAAAATCCATACATTACATGAGGGAGGAAACACTATGCACGGCCGGGGGGGGGGGGAACTTACCGCCATTTCATCCCACTCGGTGGAATCGAGGCTGGTGTCGAGGTCCAAATACTCTCGCCAAGACATAGGGAGGGGTACCTCACAGAGCCAAGCGCTCATAGCCATCAATTGCGAACAAAAGAACTAGAAAATCAAGTAGAGTTAGTCAACCCTGGAAGCTTTTATGAGCGAGCGTACCTGAAAGAGCCTGGTCTTTGCTTCATGGCGGATGTGGTTTGGAATGCGGTGAGGGAACGCCAAAGGGTGTCGGATGAGGAATTTGGAGAAAAGAGTCCTCAAGAAATAGTCGCGATGGCCATCGTAAGACGCGCGATGATAGAAAGGGGCGGAAATTCGAGCGAAGTCGGTTAGCTGTTGTTCCTCCGATTTGAGGCGAAAAGATAGAGGTGTCAGGGCTGACGAGAGCGTCAGGGAAAGGGATGATGTCGACGAGGATGGGGATGAAGTCGGTGCTGGGAACGGTGAGGACGAGCGTGTTGGGGGAAGGGATGGGGATGCCATTGATCGAGAAGGGCCAGGGGACTTACTGTCATAGACCGTCTTAAGCGAATCCCACTAAACCCAAATGCTTCGACGTATCGTATCTATAATGCTTCGACGTATCTATAATCAACATCTACATTGACATGCACAGATGGTTGATTAGACAGCCGGGTCTTAGAAGTCCTGTAACATTGGCACGAGGCGGCTCAGTTGTCTTACTTCATATCCCTCAACGCCGACCGCTGTAGAAGCGTAAGCCGTCATCCTCAATGGCCCCCTCCAGAAAATACGAAACCGAGGAAGACAAGCGCCAGGCGAATTGTCAAAAGAGCAGGCGCTATTACGACGCGTGAGTGGACACTAGCCGTTATTATATTCCAGTCGGCATTGCTGATTGCAACTTCAGGAATAAGGATGACATTAACGCACGTCGGCGAGAGAGTTACGCTAGAAATAAAAAAAGGTATACCTCTCAGGTGCCGCACACCGGCGTCCTCATTAATCCCTACCATCACTCTTTTACAGACGACAGCCAAAGGTTACTGGAACGCATACAACCCTGCGAGAACCTAACCGCGCGCGTACTGCAAGGTGAGTGAGACATTGAGGTATTCGATTAGAATATGATATATTTCCCTTCAGGAACTACCGCTTGTTACAATTAGAATGTAAGCTTGAAGAAGCGGAAAGGCTTTTCCTGCAATGGCAGCTACGAATTGGTCCCGACTCTCACACCTTCCTTGAGAAAATATGTCAGGATTTCGTTCGGCTTCGCGATTCGGATGACCCTTCCTATGTTGCAAAGAGGGTCGCGAGGCTTCTGGAGGATTTCGAACATTTTCAAGACAGGTTGGAGGGCATAGCGCGTGAAGTTTCCCTGATTGAGGGGGGCGAGGCCACTGTGAAATCGGTGCAAAGTTACTCCAAACCTATAGTCGACTTAATCCTGGACCTCGAGGACCTCCGCGACCGGATGCAGCAAAGCCCAAGCAGGTTCTGTCGAGAAATTTCCAAAGGTCTGCTGCAGCATCAAGGACGGTAGTCTGGTTGGAGACCCCGACGCATACTAAATGTACTGTGTTTATACGATCAAGCGCGTTGATGCGCGGTCAGGGGTGGGAGGCTCTAAAACCACACACACACCAACCGAACCGGCAGGTGAAGGTAAAGAAGTAAAAAGAAATGAAAAGGCTAATCCTCTACACCCAACCAAAGACTACGTCTAAGGCCAAATGAAGTTAGACTTCACCCAAAGGAACGACGGTATGTAGGAAGGCACTAGAACTAAACAAACCCTTAACAATGCAAAGGTTCGAAGGGGGGTGCACGGGAGTGGGCGGACAGTAGGTGAGAAGGTAAAAGGTAAAACAAGAGCTTGTAGGCTCAAGGCGCGAAGTGATAAGTCGTGCAGAGGCAGACCACTAGCTAGACTAGGGTACCACCACCTCCTCGCTACTGAGTAGTCGAGAAAATACACAAAAGAGGTCAAGGAGACACACGCCGGTGCTCACAGAAAACCAAAGTCGAACACGCCGGGACGACTGTTACCAAATCGATCTACACCGAGTCGAAGTGGCCAAAGAATAACCCAAAAGTCGATCTACGCCGAGTCGACAAACCTTTAACGTGCTGAGTCGCGCCGGACTTCACGGAGTCTTATCCTGGAGAAAAGCTGCCAGCGATAATCTGTAGAATTCGAGCGAGAACTAGCTAGCTTTTATACATTGAGAGAGTGTTTGGTGTACTAAGGCTGTAGACAAACAAAGACGGAAAAACCAGGAAGACTAGGTAAGACAGGCAGACTAAGAGAGACAGAAATAGAACAGAAGAAACACGAGCTTCGATAGATAGGATAGAAATAGAACGGTTCGAGTATTAGGCGCTCGTAGACGCGCGGTTACTTTTGCTTAGGCTTGCCTTATTAGGGCAGCCGAGGACGGCTTGTGGCCGGGCGCCTTGCCGTGATCGACGCGGCCATGACCCAGTTCCGGTTCCATAAGGGGGAACTCCACTTCGCCACCTGGTGGGTCAGACTTTGATCGACATTGCTCCACAGGAGCTTAGTTATGACTCCTTCGGCGGAGAGCCGTCCGCGTCTAGACAGTCCCGAGGTCCGTTACTGATCGGCCGAGGTCTCATCGTAGACGTGGTGCGCTCCACCTTAGACTTGGCTCTCTCTCTCTTTGGTCGTCCCGCTCCAATGCCGTGTGTCGGCGTCGGGGGTCCTTCCGGTTGGTCCATCAACTCCAATGACATTTGCTTCCGCTAGGTCGTCCGAATCGGAGGAACCAGTCTAGACTCTTAGACTTGGTGATCCGTTAGACTCGATGCCTCGACTAGGTTGGTCGAGTCGTCACGTCTAGGGTTATAGTTGGTTAGGCTTTTGCCCTATGAGCTCTGCTGGTACAGCTAAGTCCTCATATTCAAGTCGCAGGTGGGTAGAGTTCGCCCTGGTTCAAGATCTAGGTTCAGACCCGAAAGGTAACAAACCATAAGACTTAGACGTCGCGCACGAGTCTTAGACTTAGGGCTAGGCTTCCTGCGGTACCTTCGACTAGAGTCTCTACTAGCGTTTTTGGTAAGGGCCTGCGCCTTAGGCTACTCACAAAGGGTTCGCTGCGCTTTTGGTCTGGGGTTCATCAATGAAGACTCCTTAGTTGTAGGCTAGACGTAGACACTTGTGACGAGTCTAATAGAGCCGTTTGAGCTCAGTTTGAAGTCTAGCCGCAAAATCGGCGTATCAGCGTGTAATGACAAATGACTCCATTGCCTCTTGGTAAACTCTCCTGTGGTGTAGACATGAAGAAAGCGTCTGCGGCAACACCCTCCTGGAAGTGGAACACCATGTTCGTGACTTCCAACGCAGACGAACTGCTCCAAACTGCATGAAAGCACGCAGTTCTCCTCACAACTGCATCTGCCGTGGCAGTTATGGCTTTTCTCTGTTTTCGAGCCCAGGTACGAGGGCGGGAGGGATCATCAAAATCTGTCAAAAGTGGAAAGCTCAACCTTGAAAAAGCTAGAGACCTTGAACATATTCCCCCTTTTCTCGCCTCCCTACTCTGACTCTTGATGACTGCTCATCGAGGGTTTACTTGGACTCCGTGTCGATTGAATCCCCAGCGACAACGTGCAACAGCTTCCGCCCTCGACCATTCCATCCCCATGCAGACTCCTGATCCCACTCCACCTGGCACGGATCCCACAGCCACAGCAAGCGAACCCCCCGCGCCGCCGGATGTGCAATCAGTCTCTGACGTCCCCACCAGAGTTATAGGCTCAGACAGGACCTCGACCGCAGGAGCCAAGGTCATCACCCGGGCTACGTCAACCCCCTTGACACACCGTCGGGTTAGGCCCCGTCTCGCCATCGCCGCCGGTCTACCTGGCCTGGCAGGACGATGGTTCAAGATCCCCTTCTCACGAGCACTCCCGCAGGGCAAAACCAAAGGGGTCAAGCCTAAGCCTAAATCGCTTCGTCGTTCTCTCTTATCGCGCTACCGCCAGTGGGTGGCGCGGACTCGTCAATCATCCAAATCTCACCACACCGTCGAATCCGCCTCCACCCTCTGCAAGTCCCGGGGTACTACCGGCTCTCCAAAACGCCATCCCAGGCGGGTGGTCAAGATCTACAACCTCAGGCCTAGGGGGACCAAGGGCTATAACCTCAGGCCTAGAGTGTCTGCCGGTGTGGCCTCCACTTCAGTCACGCCCAAGCGGGGCTATGTACGGTATGACACCTCCCTACATCCACCATGGGCCTGTTGCTAACTGGACTCTGTCTTCTCAATAGTTAGCAAACGAAGCACTAGGGCAACTTCAATGTACCTATTGGTATTTAGTGTGTATCTTGGCAGTGTATACGCGGTTTCTGGCTGTTCGATATCATTCTTGTGTGTCTGTGTAGTGCCTATGCAGTTTGAAGCAGTTTGAGGCAGTTTACAGGATAGTCAGTGAGTGTGTTCGTCAATGGCATGAGCTGTCTTGACTAGAACTTGATCCGCGAAGATAGCCATATGGGGTACAAGGTCCAAGTCAAAGTGCCGTCGTCGGCTTCGCTTCTTTGGAGGCGCTGAATGTGTGAGAACAAGGTACACATCGCATAAAGTCAAAGTGACCGTCAGCTTCGCTTCGATCGTGGTCTTGAAGAGTTCGCGCTTCCGACAGGTCCTTGCTTCGCGGGGAATCACATTCAATGCCGAACACAGAACGCAGAACCCCTGGCGACCTCAGGCGCTCTGACGTCTTCTCCCATCCGAACACTGATCGATAAGTGCGAGATCGAAAGCTAGATAGAGAGAATGTGACCAACGTCAACTAAACTGCTGGGGTTAGTCACGGTACGCGTTTTCTCCCGAGCACTGATTGATAAATGAGACCCAGGCTGTAAACTTGACGGTGGTAATGGTTATACCTGTTTTCATCGAATAAGAAACGCAATGACATGTTTCTCAGAGGGGTTCTTTCAAAATTGGGGTCTGAATGGGATCCGCCTTGTCGCGAAGGGTGGATGTTGGCTCTTGAAGCATGCCCGACCGAACGGATACGAAGGTACACCATTCTTAGTTTGGAGCACATAGAACTTCGACCACATTGGACGGTCCTGGAAACGATGAAGGCCCGACGCCTTCGAGCAGCGTGTCATGTCATGATGCTCAAAGTAGAAAGAAGATGTTCTGCCATGCGCCGAGGTAATTGGCCAAACGCAGTCGGAAGCACTTTGAATCCAATTCACCTTCGTATATTATGGGGGCCTGTCATTGGGGTGGTGAAGGCGGACGAGGTTGAGAGCAGCGTGTCGCGTCATAATGTTCAAAGGAGGAAGGCAATGACCAGCCGTGTGCGTAGGAGGCCAAACGCAGTTCGAACCACTTTGAAATCCCAGCCGACTTTGTGGTGGGTGGGCGCCTTAGAGCTGCATGTCATGTCACGAGACTCGAATTAGAACGAAGATGATCAGCGCCGCGACGACGTTGGTGAAGATTCGCAGTTTGTAGCACATAGAACTTCGTGTCATGTTCACAGGAGGATGACAAATGATCAGTCCCGGTGCCTCGTAGGTGAAGATTCGCAGTTCGGTGCACTGTGAACTTCGCACACATTACGCGGGCCTGGAGACGGCGACGTGAGGATGGACACCTTCGGGCTGCGGGTCATGCTCTCATCTCAAAGTAGAAAGGCGAGGATCAGCCCCGGGGCGATGGAGGTGAAGATTCGCAGTTTGAAGCACATAGAACTTCGCACACATCACATTTCGCGGGCCTGGAAACGGCGACCTGAGGGTGGCCGCCTTCGAGCTCCGTGTCATGCCACGATACTCAAATTAGAAAGAAGATGATCAGCGTCGCGACGACGACGTAGGAGAGGATTCGCAGTTTGGTGCTCATAGAACTTTGCACACATTACGCTGGTCTGTAAACGGGGACGTTGGAGTGGATGCCTTCGCAGTTTGGTGCTCATAGAACTTTGCACACATTACGCTGGTCTGTAAACGGGGACGTTAGAGTGGATGCCTTCGGGCTGCGATTGAAGAGTCGCAGTTTGGAGCACATTGATCTTCGGAAACTTTACGACTGCGATTGAAGAGTCGCAGTTTGGAGACGGCGAAGTGAGGGTGGACGCCTTCCAGCTGTCTGTGGTTTACCGGATGCTCAAAGTAGAAAGAAGAAGATCGGCCGCGGGACGAGGGAAGTGACCAATCCCCGTTGGAAGGACTTTGAACGTAACTCTTCTTCGTACATTATCCGGGCCTGGTAACGTCGAATAGAGGACGGCGTTTTCGTAGTCGAAGATCCCAAACTCCCACGACTACTGCTCTGCGGTAAGTATAAAGATTGGACCGGCGGGGTCCAAGGAGAATCATCGCCCACTTCCCACTCCAAATCAAACCAAGAACTCCATCCGTTTCTTATATTCGAAAATGTCTTCTGGTATGCACCTTCCTCCTCTAACGATAATATCTGATGTTCTGACGTATCTTCTCCCCCCTCCAGAGCTCGCTGGAACTGTCCTTCCCCACACCAACATGCCCGTTGACCAAAGCCGTGTCGCCCCTGGCCGCGTCGTTGGTCGAGCCCCCAATCCCGTCGACCCCACCAACGATGTCGTCACGGTGCACTGCGAAGGGTGCAACTCTCTCGTCACCGTGGCTGTCGAACACAGGACCTACTATTGTGTCTTTCGCGGACGTTCGGTTGGAGTTTTTGTAGACCCGGTAAGTGCCAAATCGACCCTTGTCGTGATTGTTGTCGTGTCTGACTCTTTTTGTTTGTAGAATGTCGTCAACGCGCAAGTCGAGGGTGTCAGCAACGGTTTCCGCCTCAAGTTCCCCTCCAAGGAAGCGGCCTTTGAAGCGTTCAAGAACGCTTTGGCTGAGGGGAAGGTGGAAATCATCCTCTAGCTTGTCCTTCTCTGGCCTCTCCTTTCGGTGGCCCTCTTTAATCTCTTGATTTTTCAGTCGTTACTACCTCGGGCTCTGCTCCCTTCTAACAAGCTACCCTTCCCCCCTCCCTTCATTTTCGCGTAACGACTCTGTCGGACTATATCTACTGCGTATCTACGTCTGTTGTATTGCCTGCCCATAACAATGTATCATCGATGTTGCTCGTTCCTTTTAGTGGTTGATCCGTGAACCAAAGTGCATCGCCACAAGTCCTCGGCACGGAAGTCGATGAAGAAGTGTGGCGTATCTTACTGGTGGCTGTGTCCGTGGTTGAAGGGTTCGGAGGCGGTGCCATGTAGATTTTTGATTCAACCACTAAACGTGTCATGGGTTTGCCAAAACATTCTCATCGGTTGACTCATGGTCCGCTCGTGCCGTGTGCATTCGAAGTAAGTATACTCCCATTCACAGGAAAGCTCTGCGTTATCAACCAATGTCTGGACAGCAGACCTCCGAAATTGCCGACACGACCAATCTGGTGTTCCCTTGCACGCACGGCGACACACGAAGGCCAGCAGAGAATCAAATCCACCTTTCTTCGTCTGGAAATCACCAAACGATGGATTCTCGAGCGTGTGACAGGCACGCAACGTCGTTAAACCTGCAGTCGCTGCCATATTTTACGTCCTCCCCCTGAGCTGCAAACTGCTAGGCGGTGGGCAGTATGTAGTCCTCGAGCAGTTTGCAGTTTTTGGAGGGGATGTATGTGGTGAGTAAGATGCTGTCGAACGGTCTTCTCCTTCTGACCACAGTCCCTTTCAACCGGGCCAACGCATCCCAAGCTTCAAACTGTTGAAACTGTTGTGTTACTGCCAGTCCTACAGAAAAAGACCTACACGATAACCGTTTTTTGCTCGCCTTAACCGGATATCAACGTGAACATGGGGGAGACTAATGAAGAGGACAGAGGGTGAGTTCATACGGTCACGATAGCGCTTGAACCCTTCTGACTGGGCTGCAGAGGGGCCGAAAAAGTTCCTCTGGTCGCCCAAGAAGGTCCCAACCAACGCAGACGCAGAGCTGGCTCGGACTGGTGAGTATCATTGTTTAAGCGTGTGCTGGAGTAGCAAATGCTGAATTCATCATAGCGATCCATTGGACCCCATGCTGCAGCTTGGTTCGCAGGTGGGCGGCGCAGGTCCATACGCCCTTCGGCGCAACATCACTCTGACAGAGAAGTCACCCGAGACAGTCAGATCTTCCAAGGCAAAACGCCAGAGGGAAGGGAGTCAGGGCGTTGGAGAAATCGTCCCTAAGTCTCCGACGGCCCATCTTTCTACCCGGGGTCGTCCTCAAGCCACCCACGATGGCGTATTCCTTGATCTCGTCCAGGCGTCCAGCGAGCAAGCGAAGAGACGAAAAACGCGGTCCAACTCCAGAGTCAAACAGCCCCCCGCATCCAAGGCATCTCGCCAGCCAATTGAGAACATAGGTGGTGCCGTACCCACCACTCAACAAACGCACACAAGCCATCCCGCCAACCCTCCCAGTGATAGCTCTTCCTCACACCCTTCCCAGCATCCTTGTAACCCTTCACAGAACGGCTCGCAGACCACCGTCCCTCCTCCATGTTCAGCACCACACCCGACTCTCCAAGGTCAGCAAGACCCTCGCGCATTTGGATCCCTCAATATGTCACTTCAAGCTCCTCCCTCATCTCTTCCGTATCATCTACCTCCTCCCCCTCCCCCTCTGAATTATGGGGTTATCCCGTCTTCTCTTACCCGCCCCATGACAATGTCCACGAGTAACCCAATTGCACCTTTATCGGCGCCAGGACAGCATTCCCAAACAGTCTCGTGTAAGGGCGTTCCCCCTCAAAACAGAGCCGTGGATGGTCTCACCTCCCTGCGTGGGAGCAAGGAGCACAACGCCCACACGGCCATCCCTCTCAGCGATACCAGCTTCCAGGCACCAACCCTTCAATCCCAGGCGCTTTCGCTTCACGCTTCGATCCATTCGTCAATCCACCCCTCCACGGGTCCCCCTACTACATCTACGTCGTCTATCCAGCCTGTCAACACTTCCCTTCTTGCCGATGCTCTGTTTCCGTCGCCGTCCCGTGTCCAAACGTCTTCCTACAAGACCCGCCCTTACTACACCCACTATCGCCATCCTTCAGCACCGCTAGAGCTCGCGGCCCCTTCGATCATCCGGGCCAAAGGGCATGACGATCTACCAGCCAGGAATGAGGACAGGTCGAGGAGTGTACCTCCAGACCTACCCGAGAATGATGGGGTGTCTACGGCTCTGCATCGCTCCTTTCGCGAGAAGGTTGAGTCGATGAAGGGGAGCAAGATTGACGCTTTAAGAAAGCTTTCCAACGTGTCGACCAGTACTGGATCTCAGCCTGCTTCAATCGTCGGGCCGTTACCTAGCATTCCGGAAGAGAGTCCGAGGAATGATGCGCAGGGTGCCTCTAACGATTGGGAGGATTACGAGCAGGACTGGGAGCATGGGTTTGAAGACGACCCCTCGGCACCAACTCAAGATCGCATGACTAGGAGCCAAGAATGCGAAGGGGATGCTATCTACGACGACTCGAATTCAAAGGATGAAACGTCCGGTAGGCTCCCGGGGTCAATGGGTCGTCCTTCTGGGGAGCAGAGGAAGATGTTAGACGCCGGATTCGACGCCATCAACGATTCGTTTGCTGCGCTCGCTGGGAAGGTTGGGTTCCCTGTTTCGAGAGTCAAGCAGATGTGGTCCCAGAAAAATCGCATGCTCACGACCAAGCCAAGAGGAGGGAATGGTGTGAACTACTTCAACCTGTACGGCAAGTTGTTCGCCCATACGGACCACAAGTCTACAGAGATTGCAAGAGCTCTCGAGTACCGCGAAGTACACTTATCTCCGGAAGAGCTGGAGGAGTTCAAGGACACTGCGCCGGACCGTAAGTGTTGCCGTCTTACAATGATCTACGGACTATCTTGACGCATATCTTCTTTTAGGTCGTGAATGTTACATCGCGTTTCGCCAGTCGTATCCCGAGGACCTCTGGAAAAAGGTCTTGGAGATGGAGGTGCAAAAACTGTCGCTCAATGACCGAGAGGGGGTTACCCTTCAAACCCGGAAGATGAACTTCGAAAGTTCTAAAGCCGCCGCTCGCAGCATATTGGATGAAGCCTCACGCAATCACCAATTCGAGGCCCTTCTCGTGCTCACCGGGTCCCACCATTCCGACAAGAACTTGGTTTACGTTCACGAAACCGAAGGGGCACAAGGTTTTGTGGAAGAGAGATTGAAAACGCAGGTGGATAATCTGGCCATAAGGCTTCAAATCCACTCAAGGTACGCCGTTTTCCCATTATTCATGGGTCCCAGAGCTGATATATTTCGCTAGCGACCGTCTGGAACGGATGAAACCCCTGCACGCCTTCAGCGACGAGGATGCATCTGCCAAATCTGTTACGACCGCAGTGGTTCAAGGTCGTAGCGGCGCCACTCCTGGTGCTTCTGCCTCGCTTTCCGCAAAGGGGGGAAAGGCTGCCAACAAGCGTAAGCGAGTGGAGGACGACGAAGAGGCGGAGGATCAGGAGGAGGAAGAGGGGTCCAGCAAGTCGATCAGCGACGAGGCCTTTGCTCAAATGGGCCAGAAAGAATGGACGGGCATTATCCGGAACCATCTCTGTGAAACAATCCGTACGTCCATGAACATATACCATCACGCTCTTTGTTGATTTTGGATCCAGGAAAGACACCCGGGTTTGAGGATGAGAAGATGTGGAAAGTCCTACACTGGAGGAGATTGCCGAACTACTTCAGTAGTCGGGGCTTGGCTCTGGTCAACTGGCACCGGCGCGCAGGCTTTCCGGAGGAGTCTCAGGAAACCGGTAAAGGGATGAGGGAGAGCGGTGCCGATTCCATGCGCCTTCTGGCCAACGATTGCCGAAAGGGTCGCGGCCCCAAGGTGATTGCGTGCGACAAGACCCGTAAGTCTCTCTGACTGGTTGGAGCACGGTTGTATATATTGACGTTCCTGTTAGAGGTCAAGCAGTCCATACTCCCGGTCATTGTCACGCGGGCCCCTAACATTTCCGGACGTCCCGACGCTCGAGGACAACGCTTCTTTCTTGATGGCTTCATCGACTCACTTGGCCCCTGTTCCACGGACGACTGGGATTACGTGGGCCCTCCTCGCCAACACCAGTCACCTGCAAAGCCAAAGGCACCACGGGCAAAGCCTCAGCCAACCAAGCGATTGCCAGGGAAGTCCAAGGTCTCATCGGGCCCCTCATTGCAGCCGTCAACCCCCGATACATCCAATCCTCTCAAGTCCTCGGGGAATCCAGATGACAAAACGACCTCCAAACGCAACAAGCAGACAGCCCAATCGCGACGGAAGGGTTCGAAAGCAGATGGTTCATCAAAAACCGACGAAGCATCGACGAAGACGGGTGGTAACCGTAGGGCGAAGTCGAGCGCAAACGCGGTGAAGACGGGCAAAGGGAAAGCAGCCGCCAAATCAACAAAGAAGACCCCATTGGCGAGACAGGTGGGAGGCGGAGGGAAAGCCGAGGGGTCATCGAGCGGCTCTGACGAGGAGGATGAAGAGATGGAGGCGGATGAGGAGGATGATAGTGGCAGTGACGTGGACGACTACGACGGCGGAGCTGCACGGAATACGAGCAAGAATGTCCCTCGACGCAATGTCCGTCGAAAAGTCACATCCAAGGCACTCGTCGACAGCAGCACTGACGAATCCTCGGCGTCGGACTCGAGCGACAGTGAGTATAACGCCGGTGGAAACCAGGGCAGTCCCACATCTCCTGGTATGAACCCTCCTCAGGCGAGAAAGAGCAGCTGCGAGGACAAGGGTAATCAGGCTCTGAGCAATGTCAGTTTGGGGGAATCGAACACTCAGGCGGACTCTTCAGCCTCTTCAGCCCAACCGAACGCCGTCGAGCCCCCATCCGCGGAGGTTAGCATTCCACAGAAACGCGCCGCAGAGGTCCTCCAGGCAGATAAACTCAACGAGAAGAAATCCAGGACCGACGCTGGTCCTTGTTCGGCCGTCCCAGCTCCAACACTTACCCCTTCCCACACTGTGTCCCAAGACAGTTCCTACAGTCCCTGTGCAACAACGGCGCCTATTCAACACTCATCCCAGCATCTTCCTCTTGCGGACCAGATCTTGCCCAGCGCCTCGGTGTCTCAGGTCTCTCATCAACCATTTCAACATCTTTCTTTTGGCGATCAGGGGACAACGCTGGACGACTCTACTCTCAGGGCTGGGAATGGCCAGCCTGCTCGTGCGCACGAGAATCCTGCCGTCTGGGGTCAACCTGCAGCGAATGCTGATCATGCGGGCCATCCTGCTCATCCCATTCCTCCTCAGCGCATGCTTGGCCAGCCTCTTCATTCTCAAGTTATTCAGCAGCCCCCTCGCGCTCATGGCCAGCTCCTACCCCAACCAACACACCACCAGAGTCAGCAACATCGTCCTCCTCCGCCTCCGCCTCCGCCTCCGCCTCCGCCTCCGCCTCCTCGATACCCGCCTCAGCCCCCAATGAATTCTCAACCTCCACTGCCCCCTTCCCAAAGACCTTCACATCTATCTCAGCCTGTGCAGGGTGCATACCAAGGCAACTGGGGTCACCCGCAATCGGGTAATGTAGCGTGGCCCCAAACCCAGTACCCAGCGCAATGGGAGGCGAGTGGTTCTTTCCAGAACCCCCATGCCAATCAAGAGCTATCGCCAATCGAAAACCGTCCGGATCACTTCCACTCGAACATGTCGTATGGCGGCCACCAACATCCAACTACGCCGGCGCAGTGGGGCCCTGTTCAGGAATACTCCGACCCAAGATACGCGTATACTCCAGGGCCTAATTCCTACCAACACGCTTATCACCTGGAACAGGCGGCTCGTGGTCAGCAACCTCCGTTCGAAGCGCTGGAGGGGGCTCAACGGAGTCATGTTCCACTGCACCCTCCATACGACACACATTACGATCCTAACGTTCTGGGCCCGCCTCCCACGGGGGACCGGATCGCTCAAAGCTCGCGCCATCCCCATTGATGAAAGCGACACGCGCTATCGTCTTTCATTCTTGCCAGTAGTCCTAGATGACCATGTATACTACTCTCGCTTGCGTTTCTTGAAGAATAGATCTTGATTGTCTTGTACCTCAATGCATCAGATGGATTGGAATAGCCCATTGAGAAGTTTTAGGATTTGTCTTTCCTGGAAAACATGGAAACGGTATACCCTAACATACACCCTCGCGGGTTTCAGGCAGGGTGCTAGTGCGGGGCGAGAATGAAGCTGGCCAGTCTCACTAAGACGGAGTCACCACAGGTGTGTCCCTCCATCGCCAGGTCTTCTCGACTCAAATAGTCCCCGGAGAAAATATATCATTTGTCTTTCCTGGAAAACATCGAAACGGGGGAAACGGGAACTCGGGTGTTCAGACTGGGTGCTGCTGCGGGGCGGGAATGAAGCTGGCCAGTCTCACTAAGACGGAGTCACCACAACGGTGTGTCCCTCCATCGCCAGTCGCCTGGGAGTTAGCACCGGGGTTGTAGGGACAGAAGACGGAAAGCCCACCAGAGTCTCCGAATAACATGACGGCGGGGCGGGGGATGCCGACATAAACGGGAAATACATACTGGATGATGGATTGATGGATGGCATCACTTGCCACCCTGATGCTGTTTCACGCAGTTTCTCTCAGTTCCATGCAACCTCTTACGCAGATTGCGTTTGGGACTGCCCCTACCGAGGCCTACTGCTTTGGGACCTAAGGGTAACTGCCTACGAACACTTCCGCTCGTAGCCACATTCCTGCCACACAAATATATTCGCTACTAGCGTTCACGTGACCATTTCGCAGTTCAAACTGTGTGGCCAGGGGTGCCGCTCGTATCTTCGCACTTCACAGTCCGAGAAATGGGGCGCGGATGAAATAAAATTCCTTGTTTGTTGTTAAAGATGATGGAACAAACACAACTTCACGTTCAGTGCTCGATAGAGCGGCTGGCACAACTGTCCACCCCGAGTGATCGGAGGTGAATTGGAACCGATGATGACCATCAACCGGCAACGATAAGCCGCGACGCGTCCTTAATGAGTCGTTATCGTGTTTTATCTTCCAAAAGCCAATGGCGCCGGTCCAAACATCTGTTCACGAAGCTATTCTTCAACTATCAGAGGAAAATGTATCTCTGTCTTCGTTCCTTACGACAATGGTTGAAATGGATCAAGTTCAGTACCCACAAACCCACAGTGCACTCGTTGACCTCTCTACCACCTTTGCCCTCGTGCTCGATGCGATTCAACGAAATGAAGTACTCGGCCCCGTATTGCAACAATGGGCGCTCGCCTCAATCCTCGACAAGGTTTCCTATGAGTTGATACAAGTCACAAGCCCCAACGCCGGTTTCCATTTCGGTGCTAGCCATACGACGGAAGAAGCAGTCCTTGCGTTTGACATCCACGATCACGCATCGAAGATCGAGTCGATGGCACCGATTCTCTGGGCGTTGTTCACCGGATTATTCTCTACAGAACCAAAGGGGCGCTCATTCAAGAAAGCGTGGAGAGATGCAAAGCGGAGGAAGGTTGGGAGGAAGAGGGCGGACTCTATACCCCGGCGGGTTGAGGTTGAGATGGAAGATATTGGGTTCTCAGACGATGAAGATCTCTTGGATGGTATGGTTTTGGACGAGGATGAGGACGAGCCAGAGGATTGGGAGGACCAAATTATGCGCCGCCGAAGGTCAAACGTAAAGATGGTACGCTCTCCAGATTGATCCTGTAATGTATTGCGTGAATTCACCCTAATCCCAATTGGAAATTAGCGCCAGGTCTTTTGTATTTCGGCGCTTATGAACACCATAAATAATCGCTGTAACGCACTTCAATCGGTCAATGGCGTATATCTCCATGCAGCTTCAGCACCAGACCGCGTCCATGAACTCTTTTCGAAAGTCGGGCTCAGTATCTCAATCCAATCGACCAACAATGCCATTCAGTACATGTCCAAGACTACCATAAAAAAGGCGAAGGCATTGGGATTATCATTTCTGTCATCCTACGCATTCGACAATCTCGACATCGGTCAAGCCAAAGGAACACCAACGATCGACTCGACCAGCGCTCGAATATCGTCCTCCGAAGGAATGTCGATGTCGGTATTTGGCGGTTCTTCCATGAGGAGTGAGCGAGTAATGTTTGTTGATTTGTTCAAGTTCCAACGAGCACATCTAGTCGCGTCGCGTCGAGTCACGCACAACGATGATGAGAGTGATGGAGGTGATGGCTTGAAACCCTAGCTTAGGGTCTATTCTCGTTTCCGATCACTCGGGGTGGACAGTTGTGCCAGCCGCTCTATCGAGCCCTGAACGTGAAGTTGTATTTGTCCTAGATCAATAGCCAAACATAACTAAAAGAGCGCGCTTCGCCGCAGAGCCTGCTACTACCGAACTCCGCCTGCGGCCTATACATACCCACTGCCTCTTACGCACAAACCTCTTCATCACACAAGCAACTTAACATTATTCATTGCACTATAGTAAGGCCGAAAATTGCGTCCGTTCTTGCTCGTTCGTCCCAGAACCTAAAACGCCGAAGACTCGAAGTCCAAACAATTTATGGCTGGCATGTCGCGTCAATCCGTCTTGCAGGATAAATCTTTGGAGGTTTCGAGATTATCAGCGGAGGATGGTGCACCTGGTCAGCGAAGGGAGGCTCTGGTGGTCAATGATGATGATTTCTGCTTGTATCTACACAAAGGACCTGTCGGGACTCAGAACAACCAATCCCAGTAGCCCTAAGCCGCCACATTCAAATTAAATCAATTACATTCCTTTGACTGTTTCAGGAGACAATCTCGAACGAAACTGCGCTGTTATAATTAGTCCACACTTTAGGTAAGAGAACACACAGCTCGTCCATCCCTATCTCGAGGTTTGCTGGAAACATCATCTGTGAATCAACAGGACACGCGTTAAAACTACGCACCCCAACGCTCCGTCACCGTGCCGTGAATGTTCATAGTCGCTTTGCGCAAAGCACTTCCCGACCCCTTTAGCACTATGACATGTTGAGGCGAGCACGTTGGGATCCAGACGACAGTCGCAGATGGACTGCAACGAAAACCCAAGGGCGACCTGAGTCCACACCACGTTTTCATGCGCACGAAGTCATGCTGTCGCAGTCATCGGTAAAGCTATTGATAGAGCGCCGTATAACAAAAGCAGAGGGGCATACAAACATAGAATCAGCAAAAATCACGGATTCTTCATCAGCCAGCCGACAACTTCCCGTTCCCATTCACCTCGCCTAAAAGCATACTGCCTGTTCAACGTTCAACCATGGCATGACCTCCGTCAGTCTAGATCTCGATCTACGGAAATCGGCAAGCTACACGAGACAAGGGACGCCCAGGCCACAGTCTGAATCCTCGTGACAATCATCGCAAACAACGCCGGCCTGTGGTATTGGATCTCCAAGACGGGGGTCTTCAGTGACGGTGCCAGCAGTATAAAGGCGAGCGCGTCGATAGGAAACCGTCATCCGACCAGAGATAAAGATGCTCCAAGCCATCCTTGGAGTCGATATCTATCTCATCAAAAATCTGGCAGTTCACTGTCAAAATCATTGAAGGTGAGGATTATTTCGTTCTTTGGTGTGGAATGCTTGATGAGCTAGAGGTCAGAGACGATGGCATGTGAGGACGACACGTCGTGGGCGCTACTAAAGCCGTGCTCGTACAGAGAAGACAGCCTGGGATGAGTAGCCATATATCATTGTCGAGGTCGGGACACGAGCAGGCCGACGAGTGAGGAGCAGCATTCGTCCTGATTAAATGGTCTCCAAGTCATCAACGGAAGCAAGCAATCGACCGAGGATAAGTTCGACAAACCTTTGGGAGGCGCAGAAGCGAATGTAGGCCATACGCACACGCAAAAGCAGGATGAACACAAACACGACATCGTACATGGTTGTCGCTAGACAGCATGTACACCAATGCATCAAGGGTGTCTTATGCCAATGGATGTATGCACTGTGCAGGTGGTGCATCAACAGGCGGAATGAGAAATGAGGATTGATTCACCAAAGCCATGAATGGACCTGTGGGAGTAGACCACTGTAGACCAACGCAAGCGAAGCGGAGAGATTGTGGTCAGGGCCCAGGCCAGTGGTCGCTGTCGGAACCACGTCGTCTAAAGGGACACGTCAGTGGTTTATTTGCGAAGACGGGAAGGAGAACATACTGAGGAAGTGCTTGAGGATAGAAGATTCACCGCCTTTTTGGAATTGTTTGTTCATACCAACTAGTACACCTTCCCCCAACTTCTAGTTGCCGTCGAGACTCGAGAGTCTAGCCTACCTCTTCATTGAATGGTGCAATGTTCACCTTTGGTGTCCGAAACGCCGCGTCAAGCTTCTCAACTGGAGCAGCCCATCCATGAGAGAGCCTAGAATGGTGTTGAGTAACCGCAAAAACGGGGAGAGGGGGACGGTGAACGTGCTTGCTGTCGACTAGGGGCTGGATAGAGGTGGCCACTCGAGTAAAAGGTTGTATTCTTCCTGGAGAGGTTCAACTTTGCACGCAAGGCCGAAGGCTTCCCTTGTCCGTCGCGCTGCGCTGAGACTCAGATCCTGAAGCAAAACAGAGGCAACCAAGAGACAGCCACCTTAAAGGTCCCAGCTTGCATTTTCGTGGGAGAACTGAGCGCCAAGACCCTGTGGCAGCTCTATTGAAAACCTACTACTACAGGGTAGTAGCAGGAATAGTTTTCCCATCCACCATTTCTGAGAGTGTGAAGGGCGGAGATACGAGCGGCTGGTTTAGGAGCCTGTTGATTGATTAGCTCGACCACCGGGTTGCACTTTTCGGCACGATGGTGGAACGTTTACTAATGTATTGGGTATACTTACTGGTGTCTTTTATAATAATCCCCCACTATTAAAGGAAAGGCTAAAGCTCACGGAGTTGATTGCGACTGTGTCGGGTCGCCGCCGGCTGGTTACCTGGACCGAACACCACGTTGGACAAGTCAGTTCAAGAGGGAAGCAGTATGCGTGTATTGCGAATATCCATTCGATTCCTATTCGTGATGTTTATGTTTGTGACAAATCCAATAAAAAAAGAAAAACTAGTGATACACTGAGTTGAAGAAAACCTCGAGAGATTAGATACGTGAATAAAAAGCTGAGAAAATGATTGCTGAGGGCACATCGATAAAAGAGAACCGGACAAAAACCCGTAAACTTCCTAAATATCCCTTAAAATAGAATCATTAAATGGCTGCCAGCAAGGTGTTGAACTGCGCGTTCAACGTCATCAAAGTGGACACGTCAGAGCATGTAGCGTCCAAAAGGTGTGGGTCGTAGAGGAAAGCGCCCGTGAGGTTCTCCCTATCGCCCACTCGGACGAGGGTGTCGTCGGATGGGTCGTACTCGGGCCATCCGTACGTCGTCAGGCCAGTGGCAGGGTTCTTGACGAACTCGACCCAGGCACCTTGGAAGTAGTTGGACAATTGAACGAGGTTGGTGCTGGGGCTGGAGGTGATGAAGTCGTAGGAACCAAAGACGGCGGGGATGTCTGAGCCATGGAAGGCGCCGAGGTCGGAGCGGGTGGTGATCTCATGGAAGATGGCTAGAAATGACAAGTTTAGTGCAAGGTAAGGGTGGTTTTTAGAATGTACGCATACCTTCGTATCTGTAGCGCCAGGTGGGGATGCCGGCGTCAAAACGGAGCGCGGCTTCCCTGGAAGTGGCGCAGACACCACCGACCTACGGACAAGAACGGATTAGTGACAAAGTACAACTTGGCATATGCGAATGGGATTCTTACAAAGCTGCTAATCTCGCCGATAACTGTGGTGAGGAACGGAGGGGAGTTTCCGCGGAACTGAAGATTCATCCCAACAGTCAAAGCATTCGCCTCGTGAATGACGTTTCCGATCATTGTAGGGACTTGGAGAAGGTTCCCAGCTTCCAGTCGATCTTCATAGTCCGAGAAGACTAGGATTTCTAAACGGATGTTTAGAGGCTAATCTCGAAAGACGAGACAGGGGGGACGAACCATCCGTGACAATCTTGAAGAAAATGATGTTGGCAGCGTTGGCGGCGTTGACGAGGTCTTGCCATGGCTTGCCTTGCATACAGGTGAACTGGGCAGGTGTAGCAGCTACGCAAGGGGAGGTTAGCCGTATTCATAATGACAAGCGAGGTGCACTGACTGTTTCCACAGCCAACAGCATCGGCTACGGTATGCCATGGAGCATCGTCCAAGGTGGGAGAGACGAGGTCTGTCGAGCCGATAACGCTACAACCAAAAAGTCAGAAACTTGGGGGCAACCCAGAGGGTCATATGTCGTACTTTCCAGACTGTTCGATGATACCCTTCACGATGGTGTCCGTGGGGTAGGAAAGGGCATACAGCCCAGCAGAAGTACCGCCAGCACTATGGCCAGCGATGCTGATACGGGATGGATCTCCACCAAATGCGGCGATGTTGTCGTAAACCCATTGAATCGCAGCCCTTTGGTCTAGGAGACCAAAGTTCTGACTATCGGTAGGACTGACGAGTTGAGGCGCGTTCGGCTGGCCGAGGATGTTGAGTCTGTAATTGAAGGTGACGACAATGATGTCGTCGTTATCCTTCACCATATTCTGGCCATTGTACACGCTGAGTGCACTCTGTAGACAAGTCAGACTCCGCACCATCGACGCGTTGAAAACGGAATACATACCGTGCCAAATTGGAAGCCACCACCGGGAATGTAGATGAGAACCGCGGTATTCTGTGGACGGGGCATACTGGGAGCCCAGATGTTGACCGTCAGACAGTCTTCCGACTCAGTGAGGGGCTCATCTTGATGAGCAAACTCGAGATAGCGGTGGATGGTTGGACTGATCAACTGGGGGCAGCTGTCTCCAAAGCTAGTCGCCGAGAGAGTGGAGCTCCGAGTGGGTGCCGCCGTAGGCGCCTCCCATCGATTCGCAGAGGCATAAGGAATACCCAACCACTGACGAACACCAGTTACAGGACTGCTTCCAAGTACATCGCCTTCAGCGGTGGACACGAGCAGGCCAGTTCCACTGCTTTGTGCAAGAGCGAAGGGAATGCTGGTGCAAGCCAAGACGACAAAGTGGAGGAACTTCATGGTGCAGATGGAGGTGGGGCGACCCTGGAGATACAGCTGCGCGTTTGGCCTCCTCTTTATACCATCGGTTCTTTACGCGAAGCGAAGGGGGATATCGCAACACCATCAGTGCGGCCCAACGTCCCGCACAAATTCATTTCCAAAGAAGTTGATTTCGGTCCAGCGAGAGCCCAGATTTCAAGGGCCGGGCAGAGAAGTAGTAAGCGGTCACAACAACAAGAGCTCCAATCAATCAGCCTGGGATCCTGTCCGTGACGAAAAGAAGGATTTGGTAAGTTACTGCTTGTCCGCGAATCGCGCCAGAAGTTGGATTCGCATACATAGGACTGCTTTGGTTTAGTCTCTTCTGTGACAAAAGGTCGGACACAGGGCGCTTGTATCCTCCGTATTTGGCGTCGTCTGCTTCGTAGCTTCGCATCGCGTAGAAGGAACCAAAGAAGTGACCGTATGCTGCCGGCATTGTGTGAGCACGTGGCAGGGTCAGGGCGATAGACGTGGGAGGAGGGGAGACGGATCAGAGATTGTGCGGAATCAGAAGAAGATTGGCGACATTGCGATCCCGGTTGGTAGGTCATATTATCTGCAGCGTTTGCGTAATCCTTAATTACGGTGGCCATGGTTGTCCCCATTCAATGATTGCCCTGTACCTGAAAAGGGGAGGAAATTGAATACAGTGCAAGCTCTGGAACGTATACTAGCGTCACCTAGAGAATGACCGGAGTGTCAGGAGTCCTAAACGAAGACCCCACAGCTCGCCTGAAACAACAGATTCACCATTCGCAATCATGCAATTCGTAGCCGCGACTGTATAAGCGTTCTAGCTTGGCGCGGACTTTGGCGCCCACAGTAGCGCCTACATAGCAACCAGCCCAACATCACTCCGTGAGATTCGGATGGGGTGCCTCGAAGTCAGCTACAGACGAAATTAGAAAGGGCTGATCCCCTCTTCGAACACACCCACTCACGTCAACCAGTCTACATAAAGCAAGTTGGTCGTAAGAGTACATAGTCACCGGTGGGACAGAGGCTAACTGTATTGTCCTCCCAAAGTTGCTAATAGACTCACATGCCATCGCTGTTCAAAGCAGCCCGAGGAGCGCACAAAGGTGCTCATATGATCTGTTCATGTTCGAACATAAGTACATATGGTTAGATTGTCCACAACGCTCCAACTTACCGGTGGCCGGTGACCTAGAGTCGCCACTCGCGAGAACTCGAAAGTCACCATCCGCTCAAATGGTTGCCAGTCTCGGCCCATGTTCAAAATAGTGAGAATCGTTCTTTCAGGAAGGACGTCGGAAGTGGGACATCAGGTACTGTAGACGCATTCAGGGAGCATCATCAAGGGACAACAAGTCAAGGGACATTTGCTGTTAAGTATGTAAGTGATTGCCGAAAGCAGACCACACGATCCATTCGGAAGTGCAGAAGTAGATAACGATGGCATGCGCTCCTCCTACAACCGAGTGAATAGGGGGACCGCTTGCAGCAGGTCAGCGGAGACATCGAATTGGGTTGGAAGGAAAGTACACAAGTTGACCGATCAAAACTCCTCTGGAAAGTTATCCCCTTCCATGTACTCCCGAATCCTTTCCGCGGTAATAGGTCTATACAAAAAGTATAGTCAGTCCCTGAAGAAGTACGACCCAACGTGACCACCCACCCTATCCTCGTCAGCGTCTGCATCACCTCCAAATCGACTTCTGCCCCCTCTTCTCGAACCCCCGTTATCTTCACCTGTAACATCACCGAGACAGCGCACTGCCCAAACATAAACAGTCCCTCCACGAGGCGTATCCTTGGGAAAGGAATATCAAACAGATACTCGGACTGTTCCTCCCTTTCAGCCTGATCGCCCGCCGCCTTGAGCATCGCCGCGAGTCGCGCTTCTAGCGAATCCTTCTGGGGTATATCGGAACTGTGAGAGATGCCTTCCATCAAGTAGCAGCCTGGCGGGAAGAAAGTCATCATCGTTGGGTATATGTTGTTCACGAGGCTAAGGATTGAATCAGCAGGTCGTCTGAGGTGCTCGTGGAAGAGGGCCTTCGTCCGATAGGTCCAGAGGATCAGGAATATGTGCCAGGAGCGCCAGTTGTGAGTATACCATGACTCGTCGAGCTCACGTTCTACGTTCAAGTCAAGTTTAATTTAGTTAAAAGCGCAAACTGACTTACCTCGTCGAAGATTGGCGTCCAGGCGGCATTCCACCCGATGCCCATGATTCCAGTCCTGTTCCTGACATTCAGGCGAGCAGTAAAGGGTTGAGCGGCACCCGGAGCACTGTCTCGACCACTGTATGCTGCTGTCAAGGTTTAAAGCCTTGACTACTTGCAGATGCTTGAATTTGCTCGTCGTTAAACTCCAATAATTGAAACGAGGAGACCAAGCTCACCGCAGGGTTATCGCAAATCATTAAACCGAGCTTGTCCTTTACCCTTCGGTAGTCCAACATACAGGCGTGCCACTCGTTGACCATCTCCAGAAACAGTTGGAGCCCTTTCTTATACTTTCCACAGGGATGGCTGGCCAGTCTCTTGGACACGGCCTCGAGCATGGAATCGGGTATCGCCTCCAACGACTCCTTCATCGCGGCGACAATGGACGGGTATGCTGAGTAGGACGTCAAATAGACCATCATCGACCCGACCGATTCCCACAAGTCTAGGTATTGGTGCTCGATCCCGAAGAACTCTGGGTTATCAATTGGGTAATCGAGGAGGGTATACAGGGCTTTGACGAAGAGGGGGACGATTCCCGCTTTGACGACGGACAGGACGTGCGGAATGACGTATGCTCCTCGATGGGTGGATTGGATGAGGAAGATGAACGCGCGGACTGCGATGTTAGCGCCCTGGACAGCTGGAGGTGCTTTCTCCATAATCTCAGGATAGCTTGCTATGGCCTTCGCGTCGCATCGATCGTTTAAGTCGTTGAAGATATGGATGACTTCTGGAAGAAAGGTGCGCCTCATTAGGGCGAGCTCCATCGAGGTGACAGGAATCTTCAATCCGGGATATACATCTGGGTCCCACCCCATGGCCCGTTGCGATGCCTCGCCGAGATAACGGATCATGTTAACGAAAGGGCGGGCATTGAGCCATAGCGCGTATACATCCACCTCCGGGTCCCGCGTGCACCGCCTGATCGTCCTGAGCCGCGAAACGATGGTGTCGGCTAGAAGCACGTCACCGTCGAGGTTGTTTTCTTTGCAGTAGGCGACCCAGCCCTCCCAGAATCGATCATCCTGTTCGCGCCGGAAGAAGTAGGACCAGAGGTTGATGTAAGGGCAGAGGTAGACGCTGTCCTTGAAAATGTAGCAGATGTACTCGTCCGCCGGTCCTTTGGCAAACCGCATGCCTTGTTTGCTAACATTTTTGAGAAGCCAGAATCGAATCACAAGCCGGATAGTTGATGGATGGGCTATGAAAGTACCTAAGGCGGCCGGGTCGAAGGAGTTGAGAAGGCACAACAGCAAGGCCGCCGGCGTAGGAAACCCCGATGGTTGAAGGTGTGGATACGGAACCGCTTCGTCGTCGCGTGCGGATTGTGCCCAGGTAAGACCGTAATCTATTGCCTTGAAGATGTCGTCCAGCTTGTCGTTAATTCGGCGCATCAGGCTCGGGGTGATGATGGAACGGTCTCTCTGCGCATGTTCCATGACCATCGTCAGTCCCATCAGTCCAATGAGATATCGCCCGCACTGGGGTCGAATTTTGCCACTGGTTTCCGGCGCCGTGAGTTCAGGATCGGATACGTCGATGAGGGGGAGACAGATGCCTATGGCTTGGGGGATGTATTTTAGGGCATCTCTGGTTTTCAATACATCGAGAACCACGAGGAGATCTTGCATTCGAGGAGGCTTCATCGTCGCTGCTCGTGCTATCGCCTGATGACAGTCATATATCCATCGAGTGGCGAACTGGCATGATCAGAACTTACCTGCAGGATAGGTGCTGGCGTGTCGAATATCTCTGCCGCCATCGACACAAAGTCCTTGGGTATACGAAAATTGACCATGGTTGTAGAGGATCAGGGTTGTTTGTCCAGTTGTAAACGCGTGTTCAAGATTCCAATCGCGCCGCATGTCGAGATGGGTGGCGAACGGCTGGGTTTGAAAAGGTTTTCCCACACCGGAGAAGTTGCGGTTAACGCCCAAGAGGCGCCCAAGGGCTAGGGTCCGTCACTTTGTATCAATAGTATCCACATTCGGAGTCTACGGCAACCACTCACCTTGGGTATATCATTATCGAAGCCTTGTCGGCCAGGGCTATTGATACACTCACGGGCTTTCCCAGATCCTGCACTGACGCGTGAAGCCCTAGAGTTTGCGGCCACGCCGAGGTCAGCGTGCCAGAGGAGACCAGCCTTCGAGGGAACGAGCGGAAGACAATGATATATACATTCTTGAGAGATTTTTGATAGCACAGGCGTTATGCGAGGGTCAGAGCGTTGTCGTATTTGTTTCCTTGAACTTAGTCGCAGTGGAAGATCGCGTCGAATTCTTCTGGTCAATGGATGTTGGGCAGGAGAGACCGACTTGAAAACGTAGATGTTGCCCAAATTCAGGATTCCTAAAGAGACGGGGAAAAAGACAGGGGAGCCGGAGAGAACGGAGTCCCCCCTAAAAGCGTGGATGTAGGGTCGATGGCCACTGTGGTAGCTGCTTGTACAGTTTTCCTCTTGTACGGATACCAAGGGGACTTCGTTTGGCTCTATGCAAAGCCCTGCACAGCGGCCAGAAGAAGAACCTAGAAGAACAAGCGTGGCGCTAAACGCAGGACCTGACAAGTCCCGTCACGTGAGTCGGTTTAATTCATTCGCGAAAATATTGAATCTCCGCCCGAATCGCCCGAATCACAAATCCAACTTTGTGATTTCGCGTTTCTGTAACGAACTTCCACCGCTGACCCACCTCGCCACCGGACGAGCGCCAACGAAGACACACACACGACCACTATCCAACCTAACGAATCTTAACGATGGTGAGTGGCAACCGCGCCGCCAAAGGCATTTTGGGACTTTCGAGGTGACGGAACACAAGGCTGACTTTCTCCTTTCCGTTTCGGTCGCAATCTGGGTTTATTGGTGGTGTTGGCGCCGTTAGCCTTCTGCAGCTGTTGTGAAGAAGCTTATGCGCGAAATCAATGAGATGAGGAAGAATCCTCCGGAAGGGATCCGATTGCAGGTTAATGAGGATGATATGCTGGATGTCACGGGTATTATCGAGGGCCCCGGTGAGTATTCCATGTCCGAAATCCCCTGGGGACGGTTTAGAGGCCAAAAGGACCGTGTCTTCGAATTTCTGCGTCAAGAAACCATCGGAGGCGGCGCCTCGTGTCTTTGGACACATGTCTGAAGCGATTCTCCTTTAAATTCGGTCGAATTGAAGCTGATACATTATGCCACCGTAGAGGGAACCCCGTACGCCGGTGGATACTTCAAAGTTCGATTTATTTTCACGGAAGAGTTCCCTGCAACACCCCCCAAATGTCAGTCCCATTTCTCGATTTTTGCATGCAATCGTCTGACACGCCTTTAGGTTGGTTTGCTACCAAGCTCTTCCACCCTAACGTTGGCCCAACAGGCGAGATTTGCGTGAACACCTTGAAGAAGGACTGGAAATCGAGCTACGGAATCCAACATATCCTCGTCACTGTCAAATGTCTCCTCATCTACCCCAATCCCGAGTCCGCGCTTGACGAAGAAGCGGGTAAGATGTTCATGGAGGACTACGACAGCTACTGCTCTCGAGCAAAGCTGATCACCAGCGTGCACGCAACACCACGCGTGAGGCCAGTGGAATTTGACACGCCTTCGAACCCTGACGGCGACGCGAAGCCTAGCGAACGGCCAGTAGCCTCGACTTCGAAGCTTCCACCAACAGTTGCATCCCCTCCTGCTTCATCGACCGCATCAGCGACTCCCCCTCTTTCAAGTACTACCAGCAGCACAACTAAACCTGTTTCCCGTAAATCCGCGTCCCCGGGACCACAGCAGATCTTTACGCTCAAGTCATCGTTGTCTGTTGAAAAGGAGGGTGCGAAACAGGAGCGACACCCTTCGCCATCTCCCCTGGGCCCTGCTGATGCCAATGTGGCAGTCGGTAAGCCAGCAGCTTCAGGGCTCGGCATGGGTGTGGCCCCTGGCGCCGCGGGTCTGGCCAACGCCAATGGATCCAAGGCAGTCAAGCGAGCAGCAACCAGTAGTGCACCTTCTAACGCAGAGAAGAGGAAGAAGGCATTGAAGAGACTGTAGAGAAGTCTTGCGGCGATCCCTGTGGCGCCTCTTCATCCATCCCCAAACGTCACCGTCCTTATCTACCCTCTAATGAGTGACACTTTCGCGTGAATCTGTTGTATTGTTGATATAATAGCCTGTTCTCTTAGTAGTTTTGTGCAGGTTCTTCGCTCTCGCTTTGCTGTTGTATTCGAGTACTAGTTTTTCGTGATATCTGTATTTATATCCAGATCTTTGAATTTCCTTGAGCGAAACCTGCCTGGAATGGGGTTCAAAGCTGATTGCGGATACATATCGCCCGTTTATCCCCATTGAGATTGTTGAGTCGGGACACGACACCGTGAAAACGCGAGAAAACGTGCTCAGGGCTGCCAGCTCTTTGCCTCCCGCCACCACCGCTCGTTTTTCTTCTCTGTCCAGTTTCCTCTAGACTTTCATAGAATAAATGACTTCTCTCGATTTTAACGGCCTCATCGACCTCGACAAGGCGTCGCTCACCTTGTCCCTGCTGTCGATCACGTTCAATCCCACAGCATGGAACATCGTCGCACGAAATGGTATGGTATTTCTGGTATAGGATAGGACTGAACTGACGAGGAACGAATTAGAATACCACAACAAGACTATTACGCGCTTGTTTGGCGGTAACAGGAAGGCTGGATGCTACTTTTTGGCCGTCATGATCTTCTCGTTTGGCATCCTTCGGGACTACCTGTGCGTATTCGCTCATTCACAATCCAAACAGGACTATTTTCTGACTATACCCTGTTCTTTGTTCTTTAATCAACTTGAACAGGTACCATGAGGCCTTGAAGGAGCAGCCCAAGGTCGCGTTGATCCCCTACGAGTACGCCAGCAAGATCGCCGTCGTCCTCTTCGGCTTGGGCCAGCTCTTTGTTATCACTTCGACCTGGCAGCTCGGAATCACTGGCACCTTCCTGGGCGACTACTTTGGAATCTTGATGGACCACCGTGTTGAGGGGTGAGCGCAACCAACCAGCCAACCAACTCCCATCTGTGGAGGTTGGCGTTTGAATGGCACTAACACGCCATCTAGATTCCCTTTCAACATCCTCAACGACCCCATGTATGTCGGAAGCACCATGAGCTTCATCGCTACCGCTCTCTGGTGCGTATTTCCCTCCTTTGTCTTCCTTTCCAGAACATTCTAACGGTTGTGTGCACTGTAAAACAGGACCGAGCGCCCCGCCGGCCTCTTCATCAGCGCCTACGTCTACATCGTCTACCGCATCGCGCTCCTCTTCGAAGGCCCATTTACCGACATGATCTACTCCAACCGCGCCGCCGAGCAAAAGAAGGCCGAGGGCAAGTCGTCTTAAAGACCCAACTTGGCGGCCTAGTGCGACCTTCAACGGTCCGACTTTCTCATCCTTCGCACAACAACACACTACATATACTACCTACAACCCCAACACGTATTCACTGGCGACTCCACTCGCGGTTGACGAAGGACACTCCCGGGTACGCGCTTTGTGTTGCAGATGCATGTCCAGTAAAATGGGACATGTGTTTGTGGGCATTGGTGCGCCCGGTCGCGTTCGACGTACGACTTGGTGATGCATTCCACTGGTATCTATTGGCTTGACGGGATTGGGTGCAACTTCTCCTCTTGGAGTACGTGTACTCGTATCTTTGTTGGCTTTTGTCTAGAATTTATCCCTCTAGACTCCATTTGTTACGATTCTTTTGCCACCGTAGAGGGGGCGGTAATGACTTATTTCTGATTTTTCACGACAATCGGTATCGCAAACGCGTGTGCTGATTTCATTTGTTTCATACACGTAGATGGAAAGGTAAAATAAGACTCCAGCTGAATTGGTTCAGGGAATTCGCCCTTTCAGTTTCTCCTTTCGACTGCTTTGGCCGATGAAAAAGTTGATGATACCCTCAGGCTTCTTCCAACCCTGGTGCACAACGTCCCAAATGCTCAAGTCATATCTAGGAGACCAGTAAGGATGTCAGTTCAACAGGTGATTGAATGCACAATCTCGCCTTGACAAAGTGATCGTGACAGTCTTGCTCTGGCCAGGACTGAGATGGACGTCCGTGAAGCCTTTTAAAACTGAAGGAGGCTCGCCCGCTGATTCTGGGAAGTTGACGTAGAGTTGGGGGATCTGGACAAGGTGAGCACGGACACCCTGTATGTAAACGGGTCCTTACCTCCCCACCAGCAACAGGACCCGTATTCTTGATAGTGAAGCTCACTTCGTACGCGGGTCTGTGGAGCCTGTACAGGGATGGAACAACTTCTCCCTCGTCTCAAGGAAGACAGTCACATACCAGAAAGCCCGAGAGATACCAGGCGTCTTCGGAGTAGCCCTTCCCCCCTCCCAAGCACGAACCAGTTCTCGATCCACATCATCCGACCGAGGAACCCTCCTAACCGAAAGTCGACTATACTCGAAGCTCGTATAACTCAGCCCAAAGCCAAATTCGTATCGAGGTGTAACGTTGCGAGCATCGAACCCACGATAATCAATCTCCAACCCTTCGTCATATGGGATGGCGATGATGTCCCTCCACTCCCCACCAAGTGCCAACTGCGCACTATAGTCCTCCTTCCTCCTCGCAATCGTATACGGCAACCGCGCAGTGGGGTTGTAACTCCCAAACAACACATCCGCAATCGCATTCCCCGATTCCTGGCCCAACAACCCCGCCCAAACGACGGCTGTAACGTTCTCGTGCTCGATCCACCTCTCCATGTCCAGCTGGCCAACACTGTTTACTACAACGATGGTGTTGTTGTTTTGGGCAGCGACAGCGAGGACGAGGTCGTCTCCCCCGCGCCAGGCAGTGAGGTTCTTACGATCGCCTTCGTTGCCGTCGACGGTGATGTAGCCTTCACCCGAGGTGGCGGCGATGAAGACGAGCGAGGCGGAGGCGGAGCGTGCGATGTTGCCTGCGCGAGGGAGGTCAAAGTCGTCGAGTAGCCAAGTGACGTTGGTGCGTTGCTCTTGGGCTCGGCGCTGGATGGCATCGAGAGGCTACCAATGTTTGTTTAGCGTGGCTCGTATTGGGTCGAGGGCGTTTCTTACCGTGACAAGATAGGTGAAATTGGCAGTCCCGGATCCCCATCCCATAGCCAAATGCCCGTCCAGACCTCCGTGATCTGGGAACTGATTAGGTCCTCCCCGTCCAGGTCCCGCTCCGCTCCCAATTAACGCAATGCTCCTCTCGGCTTCTTTTACAGCCTCAGTGCGTACAGATCCAGCTGCGGTACTGTACGTTCGTCGACCCAAAGGCAGGACACCATTCTCGTTCTTCAAAAGGACGATACTCGCAGCGCCCATCTCCCGCACGAGCTTGTGGTGGTCTTCGCGGACATCGATGTGGTCGTTGAGGGTTTCGTCGTCCGGTTTGAATGCGTCGAAGGAGACGGGAGGGAAGGAAGGCGAATCTTGCTCGAGGAAGTACCATCCTGCAAGGATGCGAATTGCTGTTTGACGAGGTGGTTAGTTGTGAGCATCGACGATGGTCTGCATAATTTTTCGCTTACCCATGTCGTCGACGCGGCTTTCGGGGATAGTCCCATTCTCGACGAAGCGAGCAAGGGTCTCCCGCCAGTAAGGGCCTGAGCCATCAAAGTTGAGGCCTCCTGGCATTGTCATATCTAAACCTGTTACCGCAGACATCGTGGAGTGTTGGCTTGGAAAGGAACGTAAGCTTGCAACTTAACGCCGATTTAGTCTGTACTTACGCCCCCCAATCGGACAGGATGTCTACACGAACTTTCAGTATCGTGAATGAAACGCGCTTCAGATGGTACTTACATCCTTGGAATCCGTACTCTCCCTTTACAATATCGTTGAGGAGCCTGCTGTTCTCACAGGCGTATGTTCCATTGAGTAAGTCTGAATGGTGATCAGGTTGGCTCAAAAGAAAAGCATGCTGAATGGCCTTACTGTAACTGCACATCATGCTGGTTGCTCCAGCCATTACACTCCGAAGGAATGGGTGGAGATAGACTTCGTGTTCTGTCCTATCGTCCACTTCAGAGCTGGAAAGGGAGCGCTTGTACTCCTGTTCACTGTGCACGGCATCAGCTTCGACATCGACACGCTTGAGAGAAGAAAACCTACTTCTCGACGAGGTGTTTTGCACAGGCCTGTGTGCCTCCTGCTTGCAAACCCAAGATGGTTTCGTAGGAGACCTCACCAGCAAGGAAGGGATCACCTCCAAATCCTTCCCAGTTTCGTCCACCTTGGGGAACCCTGGCCATATTCATGGCAGGCCCAAGGGAAATGTGGACCCCTTTCCCTTTGAACTCACGTCCCATGAGTAGACCTCGTTCGCGAATGAGGCGTCGGTTGAAACTATGACCTTGTCAACTTGGACGCTTAAGCACAGAGCTTGGAGTGATGCTCACGTAGCGGCCACATTAACACCAGCTGGGAATGCCGTGACGAAATCGGCATAGCGGACGCCAAGAGGCGAGTCTTGGAGGCATAGCCCGGGCCACTGTTCACGGCCGTCTGGAGTCTTGGTCCCAACTTTGGGATTGGGATCGGAAGTCCATGGAATAGGTGGGATGTTTCCCTTCGGAAACATGATATGTCGGGGAAACCACCATAGCGAGGAAGGTACGCACCATACATCTTCCTCGCATCCATCCAATCCCCGTAGTCACATTGGCCTTCTCCAATAACGAGAACGTAGCCACCTTCGAATTCGAACGAATTATAGAGGGTCAGTCATTCGTCAAGATGGCGAAAAGAAGAAGGGTAATTGTCGAGTAGATGTCTCAACTTCTGTGCAGTGGAAGGATCACCTTCGCCTTCGCTTTCTCGTAAGCCCTTTGCCAGGCAGGTCCGAAGTTTGGAATGACCCCAGAATCGGCCTGAGAGAAAGAAAGAAGCCCGATGTTTAGCCATGGTCAGTCCCCAGTCGGACTCGCATTCGAGACGACCCACCGCAGGAGGATTTTTGGGCTCGACAGCTGGGAACACCCCTGGAACTGGACTCCCCGAAGGAATGGGGAATGGCGTGAATGTAGTAGGTTCGATCGGGGGCGCAGTTACGGAGACGGTTCTGACGCTGGTTATGGACGTCAAGGTTGGGTCTTGAGCATTCGTGATGGCTACGGTCGTCGATAGCACCGTTAAGAGTGCCTTCACCTGGAAAATAGTTCCTCGCCGTTGTCGAGCCATGGTATAGTCTCCTAGTTTGACGCCTTGGCAAACAGTGGCTCAACCAGCACGGGTTCAAGTTTATTGCTCTCGTGGCCTGTCAACCCTCGAGGAGTGGTACGGAGAGCAAAGAGAGGGGAAAGACAACCCATGGTTCTATAAGGCACTTCATTTTATAGGGACTTTCCGAGAAGCGCTGGATCGCAGAAGTCGGTGGTTCCGTCCAAGCTCTGCTCAGAGTGGTGGAATTCAGAAAACCCAGGATTGATGCGGCGGCAGCCGGCTACCCGTCCCTGAAGTTGCTTGTGCTTGTTAGCCATCAATGGTGTCGGCGTCCTCTGCTGGCAAAGTTTTGGTTTTTCAGTCGCGCGTGATCTTGAACCGCTCTTTACTTTTCTCTCCTCGAAAACGGATTTGTTGCAAGAACTTGGCTTCAATGGTTGGACCTTGGGAGATTTATTCTTGTAAAGTGTCTCGCGTTTTTGGTTGCTCAGTGTTCCCAGTTCTGTTCTGCCCCATCTGCCAATGGTCAGCTCGCTCATACGGTTCGGTCGCTCGGCCGACATTCGACGAATTTACTTGGAAACCATTTGAGATTGGGACGTGTTTTGATACTCTTACCATCCATCACCTTACTGCGCTCCCTGATACTTGGTGTAAATGGGTGCTCCCGACATTTTCTGACTGAGGGTGGGGATGACTATCTCAAGGGAATGGACCTCCGTCTTGGTCTTGGAACGCAAATAGCCCATCGCTTACCTATCAACCCCAAACCATCGATTGGGGGATAACTCGGATCCTGCGAATCTACAGAGTATTTGAGGGCCAGCCCAGCTACTAGTCAATTTACATCTCTTCTCTTTCTCCAGGAATGACGCTCTGGAAGCCAGATACCTCTGACCAAGGATAGTACATTCTCCAGTATGTTCCACGCCCTGTCTTCTGCCATCGGGTGTACTGACGCGATCCCATTCAGAACAGGCCCAATGGTCAGTTGGGAGTTCTCTCAGGTCCGCGGTGCTTTGATTTACAAGAAACAGTTCGTGGACATTCTCAGCAACTGGTTCTTGTTTGGGGCATTTCTGGTCCATCTATGTGCGTCGTGACGCTCGTCCTTTCCGTGACATTCTCCCCTGACTCGCTGCCTTAAGACATGTATTACATCGTCTTTCCGAAGGACAGGTGGGTTACCAAACCGTGGTTGGTGTTGTTATCGTGTTGGAGGTCACGGAATCCGCCCTTGCTACCAGAGACGGGTTTCACCTCTTTGCAGTCCATTGGGGAACGACGGACCCAGTAGCCATTCTTGACGATGGCGGCCTGCGTTGGGTCGCTGTTGGACTCATGAGCGCCTTGAGTGAGTAGAATTCCCAGCGTTGCCGGTGTTAGTTCTGATCCCCTAGCTCCAGTCAGTGGGATCAGCCAAACCTTCTATGCATGGGGAATCTATACTTACAGCAAAAAGCTTCTGGCTTTTATTGTCATCGTGAGTAACTTTCCTCTTAAAATAGGAGCAGAGTCTCATCTGGGTTGATTTCTGCATCACAATGCATCTCCGGTATTTATACAGCATCATTGACCGCCTCCACTCGGCTGCTTTCGCAACTTCCTTATAGAATTGGTGCGGTGATAACGGTAGGCTGCAAGGCGCTTCCCATTTTTTCTGTGCCCGTTGTGCCTTCTAGGTTTGGCTCGGAGGAGCCGCGCTCTGCGACGCCACCGTTGCACTGATTATGATCTATTACCTGACCAAGGCCAAGAGCGGGTTTCGCTCAACGACTCTGATGGTCAGGAAAATCCCCCCAAGTCACTGTCGAAAGCGGATTATTTTGTGCTACCTTTGCGGCGATCCATCTTGCGCTCTTTTTATGTCGACCTAAAGGTCACTATCATTTCATCTTCGCTTTGGCTCTATCAAAGCTCTACTTAAACAGCTTGCTAGCTGTAGTGCATTCGATTGCCGAGTCTTTTGCCTGCTGACAAGCCTTCCCCTTTAGGTCCTCAACGCGAGGGCGAAGGTCATGGGAGGGAGAGGTTCTTATGCCCCCAGTGAGGAAATGCTCCTTACCTCGCCTAGATGGGATCCTCCCCGTTCAATGTCACCCCTGCAACCCCCGGATATCATCCACGATACATTGAGTGGTTCACCACCTGATACGGCTGCTCCCCGAATGAGGCGGGATGTAGGTAAGGTGCTCCCAGTACCCTTTCTGCCCTTATGTACTGACTGAACTCCGAGTCAGTTTAGAAATGCCAATCACAAGGAATTACAGTAGAAGATTGACCACGAGGGCTTAGACACTAACGTACGCTGCTCCATGGCCTCATGGACCTTTGCCATGACAGATATAAATCCACTGAAAGACCTCAAGAGGTTTGAAAACACGAGTGATATCGTTGGATTCTTCCTAAATTTCTGGAATTCTGATGCATGTCACTAGGGGATCTCGAAAGTTTTGACGCTTCTCCTAGCAGGCTTCCATACACCAGCCCTCCACAGCACTACTAACAAGACTTCCAGTGCTTCTTACACCGATAGGTTAGAGAACACAGTGGAGTACTCCTTTGTCGCTGACTGCTACGCCACCAGGTCTCTGGGCTCTTGATGGTATTCAATGAGTTTGCTTGTGGGCTCAACGGACGCCCTGCGTCAAGTTGTGCGCCGTTAAGCCGAAATACACACATGGGATCTTCATGCCCGACCGCTACTCAAATAACCTACTACTTGGCCTAAGCTACTCCCTTTCCCACACAAACTAATCGAGGACACATTTAACCTCTCGGTAGGGATCAAGTACGCTCGAGTTTTCAAACCAGTAGGCTGACTTCCTCAATGCCAACATGACTATGGCTTCAGTTCCGGTTACCGCCTTTTTCTTGGTCAATTCAATTCAGGTGCCCCAATTCGACCCTTTGGACGAGTGTATTTCCCAGCGGAACTTCGCCGTCTCGGACTCGTTTACCAGTAAGTCCATTCAAAGGCGAAAAGAAGGGCAGCGTGCACAAGGATGGCACTTATCACCTCACCCGAACGTCAGCAATTACGCCGTCAGTCCTGAAGTTGCGACTCCGATACCTATTCTATTGCTGAGATCGACACAGTGGAGGGTGTGCCAAATTCACCTGGTTTGCATGAGTGCCAAGCGCTGAAATTCCGGACTCTCCCATCTGCCAATGATTTGTGGTACGTTTCTGCGTTGCCTTCAAGGGGCCTTGTTCATGTCTGCCAGTTTTTGCCACCACCTGCCAGACGGGTTTTGAAGATGATGGCCGTGATGATGACGATGATGATGTCGTCCCAAATGCAGGATAGACTCAGCTGCTTCCAAGTTCCATGCGTCGTGCCGTACATGATCTGCTTCTTTCTTCGCGCCTATAAGTAATTGTGGGGATGCTGCCAGAGCCTAACCAACTAAACCTTCCCAGCTCCCCCTCGTTACCAGTTACCAGCTGGAAAGGTGAGCCTACTTCCTTCGTCGCCCCCTTTCTCATGCCCCAGGCTGATCACCAGCAACCAAGATGGGGATTAGACCGAACTCGCGACCTACGGGGTTTCAGCTCTTGCTAGAGCTGTTACTCGTGCTCTCCTTCGTGAATGTAGGCCTTGTCGGTGCCCAGGACATCTCTTCGGTTGCGTCGGAAAGCTCTTTCGTGTCGTCGCTCTCGGAGAGCGTCGTACCTGAACCGACCTTCTCTGGCCCGCCGATCACAGAGTCGACCTTGTCTTCGCCACCGGTTACAGAGTCGACCTTAAGCTCGCCTTCTCCCACTGAGGAACCTGTGACAACGAGTGCCTTAGAACCCACATCTACGACCGTTAGGATTGTGACGAGGACCACCATTCCTATCGAACCCGCAACGTTCTCGCCCTTCCCTATTCCCTCAGAGACCCCGATACCGGGTGCGTTCCCTGCTTCCAAGCCCAAATCACCCCCACCTGTGAGTGCTACGTGACAGATACCAGTCGTTTTCGACAATGACACGATACACTGTCCAGCCCGACTCTAGCGAGATACCTAGTTTTGGTGCAGCATGGCAGGAGGCCTATCAGAAGGCTAAAGAAAAGGTGCGTCGGACGTTAATCGGCAACAGACACTCTAAATAACCTAACAATCCGTTTCATCTTCACAGATTACCACGTTCACTTTAGCAGAGAAAGTCAATGTTACCACTGGCGTTGGATGGATGGGTGGTCGATGTGTGGTCTGTATCTGACATCACGTCGCGATTCGTTTCACCTCAGTGCTGAACCCGTTCTAGGGCAACATTCCTCCCATTCCATATACTTCCAACCCGAACCCCAAGGTAACCGACAAAGCACCTGACGGTCGTGATCAATGGCCTGGGCTCTGCTTAGAAGACTCGCCATTGGGTGTTAGGTTCGCGGACTACGTAACATCGTTCCCGGCTGGTATCAACGCCGCTGCATCGTAGGTCTCTTCCTCTTCGATACTGGATGATTTACTAACGCAACCATGGGTTAGATGGAACCGTCGCCTCATTCGAAAGCGTGGCCTGCTTATGGGACGAGAATTCAAGGGAAAGGGCGTCAATGTCGCACTCGGACCTGCGATGAACATGGCTAGGGTTGCCGAGGGAGGCAGAAACTGGGAAGGATTTGGAGGCGACCCCTTCCTTGCTGGTGAGGCTGCCTACGAGACCGTTCTCGGGTTGCAGGAAGGAGGAACGCAAGCTTGCGCCAAGCACCTTCTCGATAAGTAACTGAATGTCTATTCGTGCTGTCAATTACGTGCTGACCCCTTTTTAGTGAACAAGAGTACAAACGGACTATGTCCAGCTCCGAGGTAGATGACAGGACCGAGCATGAGGTTTATCTTCCTCCCTTTTTGAAGAGTGTTATGGCGGGCGCTACAAGTATCATGTGCAGCTACAGTGAGCCCACTCTTCTTTATATTTAATCAAGGCTATAGTCATGACGTTGCATCGGATAGACCTTATCAACGGGACATATGCTTGCGAGAACAGCCGGATTATGAACGAAGTCGTGAAAGAGGAGTTCGGCTTCCAGGGATGTAAGTGACTCTCGTTGTCTCGAGGCAGCCTGTCCTTTCATCGTGTTTCCAGATATCCTGTCGGACTGGCAAGCGTAAGGCCTTCCTGTTGTCCCCAGCGAAAGATTCTATGCTCATAATGATCCCAGTCACCATTCAACGATGGCTGCAATCACAGGACTTGATGTACGTCCTTTCATTGTACACCCTCTTCATACACAGAGTTAGCTCATGTTGCGGCACAGATGTCGATGCCAGGTGATGTGTATTTCAACAGCAACACCTCATATTGGCGAGAAGTGCTCGTCGCCTTCGTCGAGAATGGAACAATCCCCGAGAGCCGAGTTGACGATATGGGTAGGTAATGACATTTTCTCGCTGACTTTATCTCATGCAACGTGCTTTTTCCAGTTACCCGTATTCTGGCCGGATGGTACCTCCTCGAACAGGATTCCCCGTCTTTCCCTGGCGTTTCTTTCGACGCTTTCCGTCCCGATGACGAGACCTTGAATGAACACATCGATGTTCAGGACGACCACTACAAGCTGGTCCGGGAACTCGGCGCTGCAAGCATCGTTCTGCTGAAGAACGAAAGGGATTCCCTCCCTCTTGGCAGTCGCTCGTATAACACAGGATCGTTCGATGATGAGGCCATTCGCACTCAAACGCTTGTGGCCAAGGAAGCTGAGAGAAACATCGTTCTCATCGGCAGCGGTGCTGGAGGCGGGAGGGCAGGGCCTAACCAGTTCCCGGATCATGTATGTATCAGAGCATCTGCATGGCGAACAAAGCTCCTACTCACAGTTCCACCCTAGGGCGGATCCGATGGGCACTTGGCTAGTGGCTGGGGATCCGGAACTGCTAATTTCACCTACCTTGTGACTGTAAGCACTGTTGCTCGATACTCCAGGGATTCCGCTCACTGATCCCATTAGCCACTCGACGCGATCCAACGCCGCGCTCGCGAGGATCGTACCAGTGTCTCTTGGCTCCTCGACGATTTCGACCTCCCTCGCGCTGGAAATATGGCGCGATTCCAGTCTGCAGCACTCGTCTTCATCTCTGCCGATTCCGGCGAAGAGTATATCAATGTCGACGGCAATCAAGGAGACAGGAAAAACCTCACGGCGTGGCATGGAGGTGACGACCTTGTCCTTGCTGTCGCGGAACAGAACAACAACACGATCGTGGTTGTCAACAGCGTCGGGCCCATTATCATGGAACCTTGGATTGAGCATCCCAATGTCACCGCTGTAGTCTGGGCTGGTTTGCTTGGCACGGAGTCTGGTAACGCCATTGCTGACGTTCTTTACGGCTCTTGGAACCCGAGTGGCCGACTCCCATACACCATCGCGAAGGCACCAGAGGACTACAGTGCCCAGCGTAGTCTTGGTGGTGGTCCCGGTGATATCATTGCCATACCATATGACGAGGGTTTGGAAATTGACTACAGAGGCTTTGATGCAGTATGTCCCATTTCGCCCATAGAGACTGCGGATACTAGTACTGATTTCATCTCAAGAGAAACATCACTCCGCGATACGAGTTTGGTTTCGGTCTGAGCTACACCACGTTCGAATACAGTGGCCTGGCGGTCAGGAGGATCTACGGAGCCGTCAGTTCTTCCGACGGTGACCTTGTTGCTGCTTGGGAGAGGGGAGAGGCTACCCCACAACTTCCTGGCATCTCTAGGGCGTTCTGGTATGTGTCTTCCCAAGCTTCGCTCAGGTATTTGAGGTTGACGGGACGTCCAAAGGCTCCACCAGCCCACTTACGAGGCGACGTTCACTGTCACCAACACTGGCCCTGTTTACGGCGGTGATGTGAGTTGCGATGCCATTAGATTCCAATGTGTCTCTCTAATATCCTCTCAGATTCCTCAACTTTACATTCACTTCCCTGACTCCGCTGGGGAACCCCCTTCCGTACTCAAGGGCTTCACCGACACCGAGATTGGACCGGGAGAGAGCAAACAAGTCACTATCACCCTCTCAAGGTTGGTGCACATCTCTCTGGAGCAACAATCAACCAGCTAATTATGTATAACTAGGTATGATCTGAGCATCTGGGACGCCGAGAAGCAGGGCTGGAGAAAACCCGAAGGAACGATTGGCGTTTCCATTGCCCGCAGCAGTCGAAACATCAAACTACGTGGCACCATCCCCAACTAAGGCATTGTATACCCAAGTGAAGAACCATTTCTGCCATTATCTTTTTCAATGTTCTATCCCAACCTTGTCAACAACCGTACTATATGGACCCTACTTGGACAATACCACTGAATTTGATCTCTTGATTTCCAAGAGCCCCTAAGTCCGTTGAGCTTGGCGGCCGTTGCCCGACGGTCCGTCTCGGAGAGGGCGGCCATCCCGCCTCCCGCCCCTTCTTGGCACGAGGGTCTTGAAAGTACTTGGTAAATACATACAATAATTTAGGTATAGATTCCCTATTTTACAGACCAATGAGTGCGAGTTAGTCGCATTGCCCGTCAGGATTGGTTAAACGATTCTTGGGCCAAGGTTCGCCAGTGTCCTCCCAGATGGTAAGGTTGGCGTTGGTATACGCTTCCTTGTACCTATAGACAAGCTGATATGAGCCTCTGAAAATCGACTCCTCTCCGTTAAGGACGGCCTACCTCTCAATGTAGGCAGCTGTAGGGTACTCCTTTGGATCGCACCCGATATTAATCGCGTTCTTTGGTTGATACACCCGAATCCAGTCGATACTCATCACTGCAGGAAGCTCTATCGTTTCTGGATCGTATTCACCGAAGCTCGGTGATATTCCGAGATTGGCAATAATGTACTTCGTTGCGGCTCTGTCAAGCAGAGTTTCACGGGTGGTAAGAATGCGACATACCATCGGCTCCAGGGAGATCGGTCGGTGGTCGATTTCGACCTCGTTGTCGGCGACCATGCTGGTACCCATAAGAGTCCAGGACCGTCTTCCGTCGTTAATCCAAGTGATATAACCTTCGTCAAACCTAGGAAAGGGTCAATAATGAACAGCGGGTACAGCAATCGGCCAACTCACCCTGGTTGATATTCAAAGCCATAGACGGAATAGCAGGAAGGATCTGATTGCTCGTAGCAGTCGGGGTTGGTGTATACTAAGGCACTAGTAGTTTGTTGGAAAGCACCTTGGCATGGGGCGTAAGATATCTGGCACAAGGTGTTCGAAATTCCAGGTTACCTCCGACGTAAGTGTTGTACTCGGTACTATTTGGCTCGTGGATAATGATCGTCCGTGCATTATTGACAGACCGGTACTGTGCCTGTGCAGATAGGTTAGAACTTGAATCGTGCACAATAGCCATAAAACATACGTTGAATGGAGCCCATTGTGCGGACTGGGAGATCTGAGCATGTCCGTCCTCGACAATTGCTTCAAAAACGTCGATTTCGGGGGCCGCTCTTCCCACGTATTCCCCGTTTGAGCGCACTGGCCCAGGATGAGCCTCTCCAGGACATGTACAAGCAGCTGAGCCAATGATAATAAGAAGGAATATTCAGCCGGTAAAACGGGTATGCTCACAAAGTCGCTGTCCCGGCAAGAAGGACTGGTTATGTTAATATTGATTTGTCTTCGCGGGTTTTCCACTGACTTACTAGGACACCACCGTATTGAGGATCTCCGTTCTCCGTTGCTGCCACCGGTAGATCTCTGTTGAAAGTGTACGTTTGATTATGGAGTGTTCCAACGTCGCAGTGATCGTAGCTGTAGGGCCACTTATTGGGATTTAGGCGCTGATCAACGTTCGAAACGAGGAGTGCTTACCAGGCCCTCGAGGCTAGCACCAAATCCTGCTCGACCTAGATTACCCATTGCCCACCTATCATGGACATGAGAAAGCGGCATACGAAGCCTTGTGGCAGTTAGGGTAAACTTACAAGGCGGGCCACAGTCCTCCAACACTATTGGATCCAGGCAATTGAACAGATGCTTCCAGCAAGCCGCCTGTAAAACAAAACTTATTCCACGACTGGAGCTATATTTTCGACAACGATCAGCGGACGGAAATGGCAGCGCAGAATGGTTCACCTACCATACCGCCTTTATATGTCATATTGTGATTGAGGGAACGATCCTCCACTTCCTCCAATCGGATTCGCAAATAACCACCCTCGGTCGTGACTATGGTTTCCTGGCCTGTTAGAAGTAATTCGACTTTGATGTCGATGGTATCCTACCTTGGGAAGGGTCGTACCACTCCAGATTTACCTACAGAGACTATGAATCCGGAGTTCCAGGAGGACACAGCAACGTTAAACTTACGGTTCCCCAGTACCAAAGGTCCACAGCTTCCCAATATGGATCATCTCCTGGGTAGAAAGTCCGCCCATCTTGGTTGAATTCGTCAGAGAAAACCAGGACAAGCTCCTCGTCTGGGTTATTGTAAGATCTCTTTGTATGGGCCTCCAGAGGTGTGTCGCGATCGATCAGACCGAAGTTTCCAATAAATTCAGGAATTTGTCCGGTCGCGTTTATCCCACCCAGGTTGAACCCTCCTTGGGCAGTCTGCTCTTGCTTGGTGACGAAATAAGAGATTAGAGGGTATCCTAGCACCTAATTGAATTTGTGTTTGGGCGAGTTCTCCATGAGACCCTTACCAGCACTGCAGACAGTTTAAAATTAGGATTCTAAAGTCACTGTCGCTCATCCAAGTAAGGAACGTACAAGAGAGCAAGGATGCCCGCCACCAAAAGGACCAAACATCCGAGATTGCTCAATCCACGCCAGGAGAAGAACGCCCCTCCGCGGTCGCCCATTGCGTCTCGGATCGAGCTTGGGTTGTGAAGTTCATCGTCGTCTTCAGGCTGGTGCATGGTAAGCGGTGTTCCCCAGCTCCGAGGAGATGCCGCCAACGAATACTGTTAGAGATGTACACTGTTGAGCAGCTTTCAGAACGAAGGTAGGCTTGAAGACCACGAACTCGTTCTGCTATCGATTCCTGGGGATCTGTTAGTCCACATCCGCGCATTGAGGTTGGTACAACTCACATGGAGACTGCTGATCGATCCCGGTCGAGAGAGATTGCCATTCTTGGAGGACCCTGACCCTCCCAAAAGGCTTGACTTCTCCGATGCATGGGATAGTATCCGAGCTCTCTTCGGGCCAAAGTAGCTCATTGTTGCTTGAGTAGTAAAGGAATGGGTACAGGTTGGCTAAACGAGCGTAGAAGTTGGTGATAGTCGGCGGAGGCGACGCGGGCGGCAGCAGTGGCTGCCTAAAGGCAGTGTGAGGTGAGAGTCGTTACTTGAGTTTTGACAGTGCGGAGGAGAATCCTAATATTCTCAGGGACGTATACCATACCAAATGGACATTCGACAGCTGCCGAACCCGGATCGAGGTTTCCAAGGAGTTCAATCTGTTTCAGATGACTTGCAGTGGGCGCAAACTTGAGTCGCTCGAGGCATAGGGCCGACGACAAGTTGGTCATTCAAGTTAGTGCCCATCTCACCGGTTGTCTAGGCTATTCCTGACTTCAACATGAATTTACGCGCAAAGAGAGGCTGGCCTTCGGTCGACGAGTACTCTGCGGAACGGGGTATTCTTGAATCGAGTGTCCAGCGGAAGAAGGTGATGTCGGCAACTGACTTGATTGAAAGTCCTGGAAATTGATGGGGAAAAACCGCCATCAAAAATGCCCCTGAGCGCTAGAGGAAAGCATTGAAACTTTGAAAAAACTGGCCAATCCTCCTCGCATCTTCCGAGAGGGATTTCATATATGTATTACCAATCCGTACCAGAGGATGTTCCGAGAACGAAAAATCCATTGACCAACTGAGCGGCTGTTTTGTCAATTAACTAGTTTCACGCTGAGGGCCCACAGAACTGTCGCGTGCTTATCGGAGCAGAAGGAAAAGTCTACATTATGGCATTAGTGTTATATGTAATGAGTACGAATGGCACACCATCTGCGATGGGATTGGATAATGTTACAACAACGGAGCGATTGATTTTTGGACGCCGTTGATCTAATGTTGCATTCGGAAACTTGAAAGTAGTAGCCATTTTGCGCCTGAGGAGGCTTAAGAGTTGGTTTGGACAAGCTCCTCCCTAATCGCAGGTTCCAGCCTCGTTGTCCATTCTACTCTTAGGCCAGGGCTGGCCGAACTCCTCCCAGGTGGTAAGGTTCGCATTCTCGTATGCCTCCTTGTAGCTGAGTAAACAGGGCTATTAGGTGAAGCATTGCAAAGTTAAACAAGAGGGTGCGCACGTTTCGATGTACTTGGCTGTGGGGAACTCTTTCGGGTCGCAGCCAATGTTGACGGCATTTGCAGGCTGATAAACACGAATCCAGTCAATGCTCATGGTAGCGGGAACTTCGATCGTTTCCAGGTCAAGGTCACCGAAGCTCGGAGAAAGACCTAGATTGGCAATGATGTACTGTTATGCGGGTCGCTTGTCAGCCCGGCTAGACTTCCGGTGTGTATCACGTACCATTGGCTCTCGAGAAACAATTCGCTGTCCGATATCGACCCTTGGATCCGCCTCGAGACGTTGCTGCAGAATCGTCCAAGTCGGCCTTGCATCGCTGATCCATGTGATATATGCGTCGTCGAAACTGAAAAGGACATGCTTCAGACAGGACAGGGAGGCTTGAGTTGAGATACAACTCACCCAGGTCGATACTCAAACCCATAAGTTGCATAGCATGCATCGGGGCCCGATCGCTCGTAGCAATCCCGATTGGTCGTCACGAGTCCACTAGTGGTTTGTTGGAATGCACCGCCAAGGAAAGGATTGAACGTGGTGGTACTTGTATTGTGGAAGATGATGCTATTTTCTGAGTCGATGGTGGCGTACTGAGCCTTTTCAAAGCACCGTAATTTAGTGACTGGCCGAGCGAGGAAGGCTTGTTGTATTACTTACATTGAATGGCGCCCATTGCGCCGACTGGGAGATCTGGGCGACACCATCTTCGACAATGGCCTCCAAAACATCAATTTCTGGAGCAGCCCTTCCAACGAAGTACCCATTACTTCTCATGGGCCCAGGATGCGACTCTCCCGGGCATGTACAGGCGGCTGGACAGAAGGGAATCAGCACGGTGCGGGTTATCAGAGAGCAAGGGGAGCGCCTACACAGTCGTTGACCAGGCAAATATGACTATTAAGCCAGCAATGAGTCATTGAACAGGCGATCTACGGCGTAACTTGAATACTTACCAAAACGTCGTCGTAGAGGCCGTCACCTTCAACTGTTGCCTGTTCTGGCCGTGTCTTATCCCAAGGGTACGTTTGATTCTTGGTTGTTCCAACATCGCATTCATCGTAGCTATACGGCCACTGAGAGCAACCTAGGTAAAATCGGATATCAATTTAGAGGCAATGAGCACCTACTAGTCCCTCGAGGGTAGCTCCGTATCCCGCTCGACCTGTTTTATAAATATTCGTGAATGCGTCTAGTCACGGTCATGGGACGTGTACTGACCCAGATTTCCCATTGTCCAACTGAGATAGAGGTAAACGGTTAACACACAGTCGAAGCCTCTCTCGAAGTCAGTAAAGCTTACACCGCCGGCCAGAGCCCACTGTCAAGAACGTTAGAGCAGATTATACTTTGCTTGAAATGAAGACTTACCCAACATCCGGTGATCCTCCCAGTTGAACAGACGCTATGGAAGTCCAAGGCATCAGTAGCGATTCTCGTGGAGCTACCCGTTCCTGGAGTTTTTACCTTCAATCAATCCTCCCGTGAAACAGAACTTGTTCCTGAAAAGGGCAACTTAGAGAAGAAGCTCCGCCGAGGGTGGTCGTTGAAGCTAACCATGATTGCAGCTGAGCAGGTGGTTAGCAGAGTCGAGAACATCCTTCGAGAATTTAAATGCTCACCATTCCGCCTTTGAAGCTCATATTATGATTTGTCGAAGGATCATCGACGCGATCCAAGTGAAGTCGCAGAGACCCGCCGCTTGTCGTCACTGCGTCGGGATCAGTCCGAGTCGGGTAACCACCCCTGAACGCTTGGCTTACCTTGGGACGGATCGTACCACTCCAAGTTGACCGTACCCCAGTACCAAAGGTCAACCGCCTCCCAATACGGATCATCTCCAGGATAAAAAGTCCGCCCGTCCTCGTTGAACTCGTCCGAGAACACGAGGACCATCTCTTCACCGGTATGGTATGAGAACTTGGTACGTGCTTCCAACGGCGTGTCACGGTCGATGAGTCCGTAGTTCCCAATCAACTGTGGGATTTGGCCAGTGCCGTTGATACCGCCATAGTTAAATCCGCCCTGTCTTGTCTGCTTTACGTCCCGTATTATTGAATATACAGGCAGTCCTGAAGGTCGCGTGGTTGATCATCAGAATCCAGGGGGGATGCGTAGCCGTTGAGAGTCCTTACCTCCACTGGACGAAGGTGAAATACGAGTTAGCAGCTGTAAGGCTTGAAGTAGAAAGACGGTTTCGCCACTCACAATAGCCCAATGAGCCCAAGGGCGAGAATAAGTAAACAGCCCAGATTTGCGAGGCCGCGAGAAGTGAAGATTCCAGGACCACGATCACTCCATCTATCTCTCATCGGACTGGGCATATGCAGGTCGTCGTCTTCTTCATGATAGGACGTATCAATGGGCATGCCCCATGTCCTAGGAGAGCGTTCCAAAGAGTACTTGATAGTGGACAAAAGCCTATCAGACCAGGGGCCTGGAATTCTAGAAATGCAGACGCACCTTCTCGCTAATGGAGGACTAGCGGCGGACGGGCGGATTAGCCCTGATGCTAAGGATCGTCGGTGGAGCAATTAATGATACTTGATGCTCACCTGCGCTGAACTCGTCTGAGGAGAGAAACCCGCTCTCGAATTAGTTGAATAATTGCTGGAAGCTGACTGTGTAGAATATGGTCGAGGCTCAAACCTCTTCCTGGCTTGCTCGACGATACTCATCGTGCCAGAAAATAAACTGAAGAAAGGATTCAAGAGAAAGGGAGAAGCGAATGAATGGAAGGGCAGGCACACAACCGGAGGCAGGACGAGAGAAGGAGAACGAGTGCTGAAAGGAAGGAGGGGGGAAAATTCTAGACTCGACCCTTCACACCTTTCTGACCATTATATACAACCTTGTGTATCAGATTGCTCGAACGCCCGGGAAGTTTCGACCGCCCTGAGACGAAGTCCGAACACACCGTTAAGATCAAAGGACAGAATGTGAGATCTGATTATAGGTAACTCATCTGACCGGTGCAATTATCTCTATAAGCGCTCGTAGCACTATGGTGACCCGCGGCTTCGGGCAGGGGTGACAAGTAACACAGCGGGGGTTTCAGGCCGACGATTGGGTTTGTCCGTTCTGTCCCTTCTGTGCAGAATCCGTGAGCGCACGCTCGTTTACAGCCGTCTTACGAAAGGCACTACACCAGCATCGAGGCATCTGTCTGAAGGGAAAGGTCCACAGTCTTTGACTAGCCAGCTCCCATGTCCGACTCGTCCCCCTCCCATTCATTCCAGAATCGACGGAGCCAAAGCCATCGATCCGAGCAGTTCGCCATTTAGCCCAGCACGAAAGGAACATGGACCTGGCCTCTACACGCCACCTAGCTATACAGAACATAGCTGCAAATTGGGGCTCCCCTTTCGGCGAGGCGCTGGGGTATTTTCGGAACGTACAATGAAACAGGCGCCCAAGAGAGAGAGTATTTTGAGCACCTTGAAACACCAGATCAGAGACCGTTGTCCCCGCGTACGTGATTTTAGGGGCTGAGTGGGCTTGGCAATGTTCTGCTCGGCGTTTCGCACGCTCCTGCTCCGCCGCTGAGTTTGCCCTCGGTGAAGCTCGAAAACGGCAACTTCAATAAATCGAAAAATATCTTGCAGTTCCGAAAAGAACGACCCCTAGATAATGTACACACACTGCCTGTTCTTTTCGATATATCCATTCGCCTTTTACTTCGCATCCGCCTTGATCAAATCAGCAGCTAGTAGAAAGAAGTTCTCGTCAGCGAACAGGAAACAACGCATGCACACAGCTGCTGCCATACCTTTCTCTCCGATCACATAGGCAGTGGCTGGAGCGCGAAAGGAACGTTGGTTAGCAATGAGGTAATGACATACCGCCCAGTATGAAGTACTGACCTTGCATGTGAGCAGCGATGTGAAGGGGAACGATGGAAAGGTCAGCAACGCGGAGGTTCTTGGTGCCATAGACCTTGAGCTTGGGGTCAACGACACCACCATCCTCTCGAGGCAACATCGAAGCGCTTCCAACGGTGTCTGCGCCAAGGAAACAACACGATTAGTAGGGTTCATAGACAACACGAGGGGAATGAATGAGACAGGACTTACGGAAAGTGGTAATATGCGAATTCTTGATGTGGTCTAGAACCCAGGCAATGAATCAATTACCAGACACACCAGGAATGCATAGAAAAGAATGACGTACTCTCGATATCAGCGTCGCTGGCGCATTCGGGACCGGGAACAACCTCCTTGATGGTGTGCGACTTGAAAGGTTCGGTATCTTCCAGAGAGCGAATGTACTTGACGTGTTCCAAAAGAACTTTGAGATCTGCCAGAGCGTAGACAGAGACGTGATAAGTACAAGCTATAGATCTATGCAACATCAAATGGATGAGAACGCACCAAAGTTGTGACCAAAGTAGTTGGCGTCAATTTCAGGATCATCGAGGGGGTTGTTGCTCTTGATGTGCTATTGTTTCGAATTAGAAACTCTGAACATCACTGGTATAGGAAACCGACAAAGACTCACAATGTACCCTCTCGAGATTGGATGGTTCAAAGAAGAGATGACGGTCATGAATCGTCGACCAGTACCCTGGCTCGCTATCGAAACCGTAAGGGAACGATGATCCACCAGATAGCGACGGAGACAACATACCGGGACACATGAAATAACCAGGGAACACAATGAATTCCATGTCAGGAACCTTGTCATTGCGAAGAATCTCCAGTTGGATGTCATATTGCTTGGCAAGAGCAGGCGAGATCTCTCCGCTCTCCTTCTTCTTCTTGAGGTCAGCTTCGAGCTCATCAATCAAGGCAGCCGCGGCCTTCGGGTCTCTGCTCGATAAGGGCAAGAAGGCAAAGGAAGTGATACCGGTACGATGGAGACCTTTGCCTTCGGCACTATAAAGAGTTGGGCAGGCTCAGGTACCGAGAAGCAACGAACAAGGTTATGAATCTTACTGCAGCTTCAGGGATTCTTGGACGTAGCCAGGTTCGAAGAACATATCGAGAGTTTGATGGTCACCCTTGGTAGTGTCCAACTCGTAGATCACCCACATGAAGTGGTGCTCCTGAACGTTCTCGCCGACGCCCGGAAGGTTCAACTTGGTATCGATACCAAACTTGCTGAGGATCTCTGGTTTACCGACGCCGGACAATTCGAGGATCTGGGGAGTCTTCACCGTACTATAAAGCATATCAGATCAAAGAACACCATTACCATCACGGATCCAATACTGACCCAGCGCTCAAGACGACTTCCTTGGACGCCAGAACGGTCCTTTCGGTGCTGCCATGGACGAACTGGACCCCAGTAGCAACCAGGTTGCCCTCACTATCCTTCTCATCCGCCCAGACGATACGGGTAACATAAGCCTCGGTGATCACCTTAATTCCAAGCAGGCTAAGCGGATTGTCTCGAACGTAAGGTTGGAGCACATACGTGAAGGTTAGGACGGTGTTGATTAGGCTCCCAGTAGGCAGTGGCGGAGTAGGAGCGTTTCCATGTTTTCGGATCGACGTTGTTAGCAGCGATCCAGGTTCCCGTGATCTACACCGAGTGAAAGTTTGTCAGTTCAAGGACACTAAGAATAGCGCGATGGGAGCACATACATCCCCACCATAGGGGTCCTCGATTTTCCTCACGCCCTTATTAGCGAGTGTGTTTTGCCAGATCTCGTCAAGCGTGTGGGCATGGAGGGGTACGGTCACTTGAATGGGCCCCGAGGTTCCACGGAACTTCGCGTTGTAGGTATGAGGGTATTTCTCAGCAATCTCGGGGACTGCAGGGTGGAACCTGGCATGCAAACATTAGATCCAGATCCTATTCAGTTGTTCAGAACCAGAATAACCCACGTCTCAGATTTCTTGGAGTAAGCTTCATAATCGGCCCAGTTCCAGCCAGGGTTGCCAAGCTTCTCAATAGCATCGACATCCTCCGCAGGAGGCTTGATCCAGCAGAAGAAGTTCATGTTTGAGCTTCCACCTGCCACAGGAGTAAGAATCGTAGTAGGCGATGATCAACGACGACTTACCAAGGCCTTTGCCACGAGCCCAGACGTGTTCATTGTCGTTGGAGTGCTTTTGCTTGACAGTCTTGAAGGCCCAGTCGTACTATGGTACACGTCAAGGGGTGGACATCGAGTGATGGGATCGAGGGCGCTAACCTTGGGTTGCATGAAAGTAGCACCGTATTGGGCCGGGACATCGATGTTGGGGTCTCCGTGGTGGCGGATACCGGCCTCGAGGACGAGGACGCTAACATTCTCATCTTCGGTGAGGCGAGTGGCAAGGGTCAAACCAGCGGTCTAATCGATCACTTTAGGTGAGTTACGGAAGACCAAGGTCAGAGAGTGTAAAGTACAACGTACACCTGCGCCGACGACGACATAGTCGAAGGTCTTGTTGGCAATTTCTTCAGGGTTGGCGATGAGAGGCATGTTGTTGCAGTTGGTGGAATATCTGGGCCAATTAGCGGAGTGTGGGCGACGTTAAATACCGGCTTGAGTCCATAATCCACGTGCTTCACAGACTGCAATGGCTAAGAATATGACTGATGCAACAGCTTCAGAAGCTCTTCGCACAGCAGATGATCAAAGAGTTAGAGTCGACTGATGGATACGCGGAGGTAGAAGATGTATGGTAAACATCCTGAAAGCTCTCGCGATTGATCGAGGAGGTCGGTGACTTGCAAGGCTTCAGAAATGTCAAGAATCAGCTTGGTTGTCACTTCGTTCTCAAGCTCACAGAGCACAAAGAGTAGAGAGGATCGGAGCTCTGAGACAGAGGAAAGGTGGGAAAACAGCATCCAGGGACGGCTACAAACTGTATTGAATCGGTAAGTGAGATGCCGAAGCTTGAGTCGTATGGGGACTTACTTCTAGCGCGACTGAATGCTAAGCCAATCGATATTCCCTCGGTCCCTGTACGATGGATAGACGAGTTGGCCGAGATAAGTTTTGAACAGCCTTGGAGAAAGTCTTGATAATAGAAGATCGCAGCTAATCTTGTTGTCTAGAGATCATCATTTCGAGAAGCGCGGCGCACTCGATTCCGCATTGTAGGAGGGTACATTTCTGTGATCTTGAGCAGGTCATATGAGAAGAAACGAGGCCTCCATCGTCCAGTTTATACCGTCAAAACGGTTATCAGAAAGAAGAGAAGCTGGTACTCGGGTCTTCCCGCACACGGTCTGTAGCAGTTCAGGGTCAAATTGGCCTATTGTCAGTATGATTGCGCCGTTTACAAGATCATGTTGATTTGAAAACGGAGCAATTCCATCCATGTTGAACTCGGGAGAATCGCGTCTCGTTGGCCATGATGAGGTGACAGTCGAGGAAAAAGACAGGCGGCCACGTCGGGCGCGGGATGACGCGACGGCGCTAATCGCGTTCCCGCGCTCATGTGACGTCGGCCAAGGGCGAAAACTCAAAACTCCGCCGCTTGCCGGCCGTTGGCGCTTGGTGGACCCACACGCCTTCAGGTCGTTCGTCACGACCACGACCGACCCCAAAGCCACCAGCGTCGTCCAAAATCCAGATTCTGGAATAAAATAACACTTTAAATCTCACAATCGACGCGTTCGCTGGGCCCGCTTCGCGCGTCGCGCCTGGCAGCGATACCACACACCTTGACATCATTGATCCCTTGACCACGACCTTCAAAATGGACTCAACGGGGCACCCTCAATATCTCCAAAATCTCCTACCAAACCTACCAGAAGAGCTAGCAACCACAGTCAGGGCTCTCTGCTCACAGCCCAACACAGGGTCCTTCCTCGAGGAATTCCTCCGTTTCGTAGTTGGAGCCGAGCCCACCCCAACCGCTTCAGAATCGCTCAGGAAGGAATGGCAATCCAAACAGACTATAGCTCGAGGAAACATACTTAGTCTCCTCGGACCCTCCCACTCCCAGCCGGACGGTCGAAAACGGGGGTTAAATGACCAAGAGACAGGCGGGGACTCGTCCAAACGACAACGCCTATCTCCTGGTCCAGAGGCAGCACCCGACACACCCGTCTTCACCCTCCACTCCGTATCCACCACGTCCCCAGTGCGCAAGAAAGCTGACATAACAATCGGCAAAACAACGATCACATTCAAACACGCGACATCCGGGAACCTAGAAGCCACAATCCCACTCTCCTCCATTCGACGCGCCTTCCTCCTCCCCACACGTGGCAAATCCAAGGCACACTGGACTATAGTCTTGTTGTCCACAGATACGGTTGATACGTCCAAGTCTACCAGTGCGAATGCGCAGGATAGCCCACAAATCATCTTTGGATTGGACGCTACGACCACGGCTCCGCTCAATACCACCACTTACACTTTGGACGGAGCGGGAGAGGCGAAGAAGGCGAGCACGCCCAAAGGGCAACCCTCACTACCATCTATCCGGGCTTTCCTCTCGCACCTCCCTAAATCCGTCAAATTCCACGAACCATCCACCGATGTATTCAAGAGCGCGTGTAACGGTATCGGTTCGAACGCGTCTACCACAGGCATTCCAGGCGTCGAGGCCTACCGCGCTGCCAAGCAGGGCAATCTCTGGTTCATGAAAGAAGGCATCCTGTGGGGCGAGAACAAACCATGCGAGTTCTGGTCTGTAGAGGATCTCATTAACAGCGTGGAGGGCGTCCGAATCTCACCTGGTAGCGGACGCGTCTTCTCTCTCACCCTGACGCGAAAAGTCGAGTCAGACGCGTCGAAAAAGTCGAGTGCTGAGGAAGGGGACGAAGAAGCAGAGGAAGGCCCCGAAGGAGTCGAAACGGAGCTGAGCATGATCGACTCGAGAGAGCGCGACGTCGTAGCGGATTGGGTCCGGAAACACCAAAACCTCTTTGGTCGCAAAGCAGGAGACGCCCCAGCAACAGCCGAGGAAGTCAAGCAACAGAAAGCTAAAATGCCTCAGTACACGGGGCCTGTAACTATCCACCAGCTGGCTCTGGAGTCGGACAGTGAAGACGAGGATTTCGAGGGTAGCTCGAGCGACGATGGATCTGGATCGTCTGGCAGCGACGATTCCGAATCTGATGAGGAAGGATCGGATGACGAAGAGGATGCTGAGGGAACAGATGAGGAGGGTGGAGGAGGTGGAAATGAGGACGAGGATGATGATGAGATTGTCGAGTTGGATCCTAAGCATCATCCCCTCTTGCGACCTGGAGCCATACCGAAGATGAGTAAAGCGGCGATGGATATGGCTGTAGGGATTGTGGAGGACGAGCTCATGGGCGGTGACAGCGGGCCCGAGGAGGATGAGCTGGATGACGACTAGGCGTTAGTATTGGGGCACCCCCTTCATGTACGCCTTGCCCCCCTTGCAATGATATGGGGGCCCCCCACGATGATCTGGAGATGAGAAAGCAAGAAAGCAGGTTGGATGTATTGGTCATTACAACATGTGAATAGATAATTAACATGGATAAATACGTGTCAGTGAATGCAAAGGCTGAGACCTGTGTTTGTGTATGCGTTGTCTAAAAACGAAAAATGTTCTGCGTGCACTAAAGACCCTCAAGAAAAAGTGAAGCGATACGAAGAGATAAGTGTGCTTGTGGTATCAATATCAAAGATGAGGAAACGGAAAACTCCAAGAATAACCCTCCAAAAACAAGAAACGAAAAAAAAAAAAAAGCAGGACTCGAGTAGGACCACAAGAAATACAACTCCAAAAACATAAAGACAAGAAATCAAGAAAGCAAGAAAGAAGATAATAATCAAACAGGATTAAATTCCTTCTTCACCTCCTCCATCTGCTGCGGGTTCATACTCGGTTTTCTATGCGGACCAGTGACCATCTCTCTAGGAAGCTTGATAGCTCTGTCGACGGCGACTGGGAGACCACGGTGTCTTCCTCTGACCCTGTGGATTATCATCGTTCCGTCAGTTCGGCTTTGCTGGAAGAAAGGAGGGGAGAGGGAAAGCGTACATAATGACGATAACGACCAACTTGGAAAGAGGCTTCATCGCTCCTACGAAGCCGTAATTATCCTACAAAGGACAACATCAGCTCACCGATTCCTCGAGTCGTAGGAATACAATGGCTTCAAGAGAATAAGACGCACCGTAGGAATACCCAACGTCAACCCAATCCCACCAAACGCCGACACAAGCTCAAAGATAACTCTAAAGACGTCAAACCACTTCTTGTCTTCGTCCATGATGTTCTCGCGCTCGATGACGAGGATGAGAGCCAGCCCCCAGACGAGCCACCAGATGTCTGTTGAGACCAGGCGGGATGCCGGTCAGTGCTAAGGACTCGGATCAGGGAACCTAAAGGGAATACGCACCAATCGACATCTGCCTCCTCAAATGCCACCCGATATACTTCCCCACCCGCTCCTTCCTCCCAAGCTTATGCAAATCATCCGGTTCCTCATCCTCGTCGTCCGGTGGAGCTTCGAACACACCCAAGGACCGCTCTTCGTATACGTTGGTGGAGCGGATACTCATCGCGACCTATCAAAGATGCATATCCGCATCGGTTAGGGGTGATCAGGAGGTGGATGGACATGGGCGGGTGGAACGCACAGGATAGATCTAAACCAATGCCCAAGTGAGCCACATGCGCAAAAATACAACGAGAAAAAGAGAACATACAGCGATATACATCATAACCACATACAAAAACTGCAACGCAGGAGCGAGAGACGCGATAGGTACAATCGAGAAGCCTGATGCTCGGGCAGCCAATCCCTGAAACAGTCCAGCGATGACTTTGGTCCCAGTTGGGAGTTCTTCGTAGACTGGGATGCCGATATCTTTTTGGAGCCGTAGAGTGGTGGAGGGAACGGTGGCCGAGTGAGCAACGTTTGAGAAAGAAGAAAACGGGTGGAACGTACTAAGGACTAAGAAAGACACCCATTCAATCACACTAAAAGACACGTCAGTCCCTCGCCCAATACAACGCCACCAAAGCCCATACCTGAAAACCGCAAGACAAAGCAACAAAAACCACGTCTGATGACTAGGGAACAAGTACAAGAAACACCTATCCAAAACGACCGATCAGCGCCAGCCTTCAACTACACACCAGAAGTAAGCATGTTGGAAACGTACCGACGAGGATGGTCAAGCAAGAACGTGAACGCGACGTGTAATCCAGAGTTGGGTGTACTCCTCCGCGATCCAATCCAGCTGTACACGGGTTTGTTCGTCAAATGTCTCCTCAAATTCACGAATAAAGTGGTTGACAACGCGTACATGATGAACCGTAAACTGTAGTAAGGGAGCGAAAGTTAGCTGAGAAAATCCATGATCAGGGTGAGGACAAGACCTACAAGATAGGTAGAGCATGGTTCCCTGCGAGGATGGAAAACATCATCCCAACTGGACCACCTTCGTCAGTCCTCGCTCTTGCAATTACGACGACGCGCATCTCTCACCAATCATCAGGTACGCCCTCTGAAAGGGTACCATTCCCCTATCAGCGATGCACCCAGTCAGTACATCCTTCGTTGAGCCGCCCAAAACAATCAAAGAAGCTCACACGTCGACGAGGGAGAGGCCACCACCGGTGTAAGCGCCCATAACCTGGAATAGAGCAAACCTAGAAGTAATCTCGTAGCGTCAGCAATGGATAGAAAGGATGAACAAAGAACGACGCACCAAGGCTTCGGAACAAACCTAGCCTGGGCCTCAAACACCTCATCATACTCCGTCGTCGTCGAAAGCCACGGAGTAAACAAGATATACGAGAACAGCTGACAGCACACAAAATACTGCATTCCTCATCAGTTCCTCTCCACCCATACCAGAAACCCAAAAACTCACCGCAGGAATCAAATAACTCAACAACCTCAACGCCCTATACTCCGCCCCACCCACAGCCTCAACCTGCTCGTCCGTCAACGTCTCCGTCCTAAAATCCGAGTTCCTTCCAATAATAAACGCAGGAACCTCCATCAAAATCCACGGCGTCTTCTCCGTCCTGATCTCCCTCTCGCTCAGAATCGTCGCGGAACGTGTTAGAGCGTTGGTGACCTTCCGAGGTGCAGCTCGCTGGGCGAATCGCGTGAGGAGGTCGACAGGGCCAGGGAACCCCCCGAATCCTTCGTCTTTGACGGAGAGCGGGGAATGGAGGGTGTTGGACCTGCTCCGGGGTGGGACGATCACTGTGCGCGAGCGTTTGGGTGCAGGGCGACGGTCTGACCTCGTGGTGGGTATGAGTGCGCGAAGCCATTCGGAGAAAAAAGCCACATACATCGAGCATTCCCCTGGGCGGTATTCTCCTCCCACCTCACCGTTCTCCCCGAAACCATCGACTTGACCTCCCCATAATCCGTGCCAGATCCCGAACTAAACCCTCCAGACGAATCCACGCCAGCCGAATGCACGCCGTGTCCGTGTCCTTGACTATGCAGCCCCAGCCCAGCCGAATGCGCACCAGTAGCCGGACTTAACCCATAATACTCCACATCGTCCGGTCCAAACGTGTGCGGGCCCAAGTTCAGGCCTTCGATAGGCGAAGGCTCCTGCTGGTCCTTGGGCAAACTCCCTGCCTCGGACTTGGGTGACGCCGAAAGCGCAGTCACGTCCAACACCGGGCTCTCTGACTCCCCCGACCCACGACCACTCTCAACCGTCTTGACGCTCCTCCTCGTCGAACCATTATCCGAAAGATCTATTTCTTCCTGAACAGGCGAGTGGGTGATAGGCGGCAATCCCTGTAGCTGCATCTCCGGAGACGACGAGAGCGCGCTCCCTACCAGGATCCCAGTCTCCGGTTCCTCCGCTTCAGGAATCGTAGTCGGCAACGCCATCTGCATCGTATGCTTCGGCGTCGCAGGCGAGACGACGATCGACAAATCCCTGACGTTCCTCGAGCTCGGCCTGCTGCTCGACCCGTTCGTCGTCGACGTCGCGTGTCCACTGCGACTTGCCCTAGAACCTCCAAAGTTCTTGGGATGAAGATCAGGATCCACATCCTCCTCGGGCGTAGGCCCAGGGTCACTCCGCACAAAGGGGTCCTGCGGCCGCCTATCCCTCGGCGACGAAATGGCCATCTTGAACATACTCCTACTCTTTTGCAAGAGCCGTTGGGTTTTGGCTTTAGCTTTCTCCTCTTCCTTTTTCTTTTCCTTCTTCTTTTTCATGGTGACCGTCCATTCACAGTGGGTGCGGAAGAAGCGTCTGGTAGATCGCGAGATGCGTGTCTATGTTAGTCGCGACACGAGACGGAGATAGGCGCTGGACGTACTTTCGGATTAAGACCATGACCCACGAGACCATCGTTATATCTCCCTATCCTACGTCAATAACCATTCCCCAATAGACCACCAACGGTAGTACTCACAACGATCATCAACAAATACAAAATAACCTGCTGCCACGGCGTCAATGTCGACAAATTCACAGTCGACAGACCCGTAACCGTCATGGCCGAATAACACAAAAACAACGAGTCGAGATAACTTATCCTGAAGCGCCCATTAGACGCATAGAATACTCCCGACGTGATCAAAGGAATAAACGTGAACGCAGTCAAGTGGATTCGGTAAAAGTTGACGTGGACGAGGAGGCGGTCGAGGAGAGTTTCCGGTGGGGGTTCAGACGAGTCGGGGTCGTGGTTGTCGACGTCCTCCACATCCACCGTGCCCGCCGTCGGCAACTTGTCATCGTGGTGGTGGTGGTGTTTCTCGGAAGTGCCGCTGAGAGTGAGATCGCTGCCGCCGTTGGGCGCGTCTGGCGAGCGCAAAAAGGTGTTGATGGTGATTTTGGGTTTCTCCATGGTGGGCGTTGCGCTAGAGAATCATGGCAGCGTCAAGGGGGTTGGAAGCCACGAGTTTGTTGACAATGAAAGGGAATCTGTACACGCCCACCGTTCCGTTTCCCCGTGGGCGGTGCCTCTAAAAATAACTAATGCTTCCGTTCTCCCTCCGCCCTTCAAGGAACCAAAAAGTCTTTCGGTTCTGGATTGCCGACGCCGTGAGCTCGCGTGGAGGAAGCAACGAAAGGGAAGCAAATCGAAGAACGTGGCGCACGTAGTCTATACATTATACTAAAGCGTTAATTATCCACGTCTAACCACCCTCCAAACACCATAAACTCTACTTGCATCGGGCAGTGTTATGCGATCACCTTCATGATGTTCTCATACACAGTGAACACAATACCACCGCTCATCTACACAACAAAATCAAGGGATCGTCAAGGAACAGTTTATGTCGAAACGGAGAACGGATAGCTTACCACAAGCCGAGCTAACCGAGGTGTCGTACCCGTCCAGAACCTCAGAATGCCCTCCTCAGTAAAGATACGATAAGCACAGTGGAACGAGTTGCGGTATTGAGCTCGAGCATCTAGTGATTGCATGCGAGTTTTGACGACGCTGGATTCAATGGCGATCAGTACGGAGCAAAAGGAAATGAAACAATATGCGTACTCGAGAGGCATGGTGGTATACACAGTAACGAGTCCCGCAATGGCACCAATACCGAAAGTGATAGCGCTAGGCAAGGGCTGGCCGGGTCGAGCAGTGCCTTGAACCAATTGCTTGAGCGTTGCGTAAGTCGTGAATCGAACAGCAGAATTTGCTCCTTGTCGCATCATCTAACAGGGCAAACGTTAGACCCTAGGTGACCGAAACGAGGCAGGAAGACATACGACGGGGAAGAGTCCGCGATAGATCCCAGAGATACCCTCCTGCTTGACGATACACGCTGTTCCGTGGATGAGGCCACGGTATTGCGGGTTGGGGCGCTTAGCGTCATCAATGAGCTTCGTTCTGCGGGGAAGTAACAATGTTGGAATCAGCATCACGAAGGGAAAGATGGAGGAGACAGAGCATTCACTCACTTGATGGTCTCCGAAGGCGTAACAGCCAGAACAGCTTCAGTCATCCCAGCTCCAAGACCAGCTACAATCGTTCCCCATGTCAGAACACACTGCCGTCCCAGACAGCCCAAAGGAAACGCACCAAGCAAACTCCTAGGAGCAGAAATCTTGCCATTCGAATCCGATAGCTTTTGCTTGAAGTAATCATAGGTGAGGAACCTCACACCAGCCTTGGCCGAGTTCCCAACAACAAGCGCCGTGCATCCAGAGTATAGACCCGTAATACCCTTCGTTCTAATGGTATCCTTGATAATTTTAATCGGGCCTTCTTTCTACAAATCACAGGAGTACAGTTAGCTTCCCTTCCCTTCCAAAAGTAAAGGTGTCTTCTACTCACCTTCCCGCCAAACTGCGACCTCGTTTTGACGAATTCCGTAGGATAAGTCACGAAACTAAACAACCATCCTATATCTCATGAGGCTGAAATTAAATATATGAAACAGACGCGACATACGCTTCAATCGCTCCTGCTGTTGCGCCTGCGAACCTGCAAACCGTTCAGTCAGTCCCAACGACCCAAAATTTGTCACGCGAGTCCTGGAGGGACGTACAGAGAGTGATACGGTTTGTCCTTCTTAATAGCAGCCATCTTGAGCAAGTCTATTCGGAGGTGTTGACAAGAGGAGGAGCGACGGTTGGTTCGGAGGCCTGGAGAACGAGGTGGACGACGACGGGTGAGCTCGCCGCTTGCCAGTGTGAGGAGGAGCGTGCGGAGCGACACCCGCCGTCGGAGTTAATCGGCACACGGACGGCTGACCTCCCGATGACGCTCAATCGCGTCTTCCGAATCTCTCGGAACTCTTCTCATCGTCGTCGTCGTTCACGATGCCCAACGTCCTCTTATTCCGCGACCCAGTTCCAGGTCCTTCAACCGACCCATACGAAGATCTCTTCCATCAACAGAACCTTGGATATACAACCAAATGCGTCCCAGTACTCGAAACTACGCATGCCAACATCGACGAGTTGGCGTCTCGCCTCGTCAAGGGGTACGAGAAGTACAGCGGCATGGTGATCACGTCCAAACGATCCTGCGAGGCCGTGCATGAAGCTCTCTCAAACCTCTCTAGCGACGATAACCACATCATCAACAACAACAGAGAGTCGTTGTCCAAAGCACTAGGTCGGTGCACCTCAACACTCGGCTTCAGCAATCTCATTCAGTACCAGCCTTCTCCCTCCTAACCTTCCCGCGCAACAACATAAAACTCCTACAGCACACTGGTCCTCCGTACCATTCTACGTCGTAGGCGAAGGAACCTCCACCGCCATCCACACCGTCCAACGCGCATTCCACCACCTCGGTTTCACCAAAATCCAAACGAAAGGCGAAGCTTCAGGGACGGGCGAGCAACTGGGGCACTTTATCGTCAAAGAACACGGCCAAGACGCGAAGGAGCCGTTGTTGTATCTGACTGGGGACAAGAATCGGGATACCGTTCCTACGCTTTTGACCAAGGGTAATATCAAGTTTGAGAGTCTGCGGGTGTACGAGACGACAGGAAGGAAAGATTTCGAGAGGTTATTGGAGGACGCTGTTACGTCTTTTCAGGATGGTGCGTGCTTTTACAGTCAATACACCCTACATTCTAACCAACACGAATGCGAAATAGCCAACCAACCCTGGTGGATAACCTACTTCGCCCCCTCGAGCGCGAGCTTCGTTTTCCCACTCGTCCAAACACATCCTGCGCTCCGGAATGCACGGATAGCAGCCATCGGACCGGTCACCTCGACGCACCTGGAGAAGCAAATGGGCGTATCACCGCAGGTCGTAGCGACTAACCCAAAACCAGAAGATCTGGTCTCTGCGATCGTCGAGTATGACGGAGCCCATCCGTACACCGACGAGTAACTTATCTAAAGGCGTGAACGAAGATCAATGCAATGCTATCAGCTATGAGCGCTTAACCAGCTAGCATGTAGTGAGTAGGAGGCGTTGTCCCCATCTGTTCTGAACTGGTTTGGGCGTCGAGTGCCGCCATTGGTTCACCCATTTGATGTCCTGTGGAATATCTAGCACCTGCACTAGAAACTTGGTAGGGAAGGGTTGCATCCTGGACGGGCTGCAGTCGATTCCCGTTTCATCGGACTTCCAGGCAATAAGATCTCTAAAGTCCTCGTTTTCGAATTCGCTCCCTTTAATATCCAAACTAACCGTGTCCAGGCAACCGTTGGCTCATGTATCACTACCAACGGGAATTTAAAGGAGCTACCAAAAACCAACAAACGTCCGCAGGCCCGGCGCATATCGCTCATCGCTGCCCAAATGCAAAATGCACCGCCGACTCGACGCCATCCCGAAATGACATCATGATAAAATGTTATTACTACAACTATACGCAGCGACACTACTCTACACACTAAGTTATCGAACATAAGCCTGCAAAAAGAACAAATTAAATCGGGAGGGGTCCGAAGGGCCTTCCTCCAATCGCGCGGTAAACAAAGTAGAGTTGCTTCCCCCGCCCACCATGTATAACCTCTTCATCCGCGCCATAGAACACCGCGTACTCTCGTAATATTTCATCAGGGAGAGTATTTATAGCCTCGTTGGTATCCAACACAGGCAGAGGTACTGGCTGGCGACGGGTCGGGAACTGCCCATTGGCTGAGGGGACTTCAGCATAGACGGTGTCTTTAATGGCTCCACCCTGGGATCGGTTGTAGGCCTACAATAAATCGTCGTTACTTTGGGTTATACAGAAGATGTGGGCGGCCGACTCACCGTAGCGGCTAACCTGGACACGTGCACGAGGTGTACGGCAAGATGAGCGACATTTTGTGTAAGCTGGTCCATCCTTTCCTGGAGATGGTCCTGGAGATGGTCAATACGCTGTAAGACTTGTTGATTTCCTGGGAGAGTTTCCATCGTTGTCAACTGGCTGTTGTTAACTGATTCTCGAAGGAAGATAAAAAGCTTTGCTCTTGCAAAAAGTGGGAACGGCGGTGCAAGGCGAGTATCGCTCGTCCAGCTTATAAACACTCACGAGAAACATTTATTTTTGGACCAATAGTCTCAAACATAACTTCAAGCCACGGGTCAATTACTAATTACCCAGTGAAACTCGACATGTAGCCCAGGGCGCCTGTAGCAAAAGTGCGCGATCGGTGTGATGCTGTTTCAGACGTGTCCCTAAAGCTCAGGGGGCCAGTTCTGACTTCCGGCTTGTCAACTTCAACGTCCACAAAACGGCGGGTAAATTACTTATCTGAATAAATCAACAAGACAAGTACACCATATGTACTAATACACATTTCAATTTTTCTACCGCACACACATTTCAATTTCACTCGAATCTAAACATTCAACTCAACCTTCTGGCTAGCAGCAATAGCCTTCTGAAGCTCCTCATCCTTCAAAGCAGGCTCAACCCAGTCCTTCAAGAAACTCTCAACCTGCTGCGGCGCCCTCCCAATGAAACTAGCTGGATCCAACAACGCATCCAACTCGCCCTTGATAGGTTCAAAGTACGGATCCGCACGGACCCGGTCCAACAAATCGTTCTCCAAGCCGAGTTGCTTGACTTGGTAGCCTGCTTCGTGCGAGAGGACCTACATTTACGGAGACAGCGTCAGTTTGCTTAGCCTGGGTATGGATATACGAGAGAATGCAGACGCACCCGAATCTTCTCATGCGCCTCTTGCCTATCCCCACCCTTCTTCACGATGGCCATAATGATGTTCTCAGTAGCCATGAACGGCAGCTCCTGGTTAATCCTCCTAGCAATGACCTTGGGGTACACGACCAACCCCTCCGAGATGTTCTGCAGTGTCGACAAAACGATGTCCGCGGTGAGGAACGCCTCGGGGAGGGTGATACGCCTGTTAGCGCTATCGTCCAGAGTACGCTCGAACCACTGCACGCTGGAGGTCATCAATGCATTCTGTTGGAGGACCATGAGGTGGCGCGCGAGCGAGCAGACGCGTTCGGAGCGCATGGGGTTGCGCTTGTAGGCCATGGCGGAGGAACCGATCTGGGTGGACTCGAACGGCTCTTCGATTTCCTGAAAAGGCGGGCAGGATTTAGTGCTGTGCGTTTTACACATGGAGTGAGGAGAAACGCACCTTGAGGTTAGCGAGCAATCGGATGTCAGTGGCGATCTTGTGGGCGGTAGCACCGAGCGAGGCCAAGGGAGCGAGGACATCCGCGTCGATCTTGCGAGAGTAGGTTTGCGAAGTGACAGGGTAGGCGTACTCGAATCCGGAAAGCTTGGTAACGCGTCTGTCGAGTTCCTCGACCTGTGGCAGGCCTGTGAGTCTCTCCTATCCAAGGACTAATGGCTGAAAACACACCTTGTCGTGATCACCATCGAACAAAGTCAAGAAGCTAGCCTGGGTACCCGTAGTTCCTTTGACACCCCGGAATCCAAGATCCTCCCTAGCGCGTTTGAGGTTTCGCAAATCCCAAAGGAGTTCCTACGCGTCACAAAGATGATATCACGCTCTTGTCAGTCCAAACGGAGGTGAGCTAGACAGCGAAGAAGCTCACCTGAATCCAGAGAGTAGCACGCTTTCCAACAGTCGTCAGTTGGGCAGGCTGGAAGTGGGTGAATCCCAAAGTGGGGAGATCCTTGTACTCGGCCGCGAAAGCCGAAAGACGGGAAATCAGAATGGAGAGAGACTTGATGAGGATCGTGAGGCCTTCACGAAGGAAGATCAAGTCGGCGTTGCTGTTGTATTGTCAGAGGCTCGTAGTTTTGGGATGTTATTCCAGGGAAACAACGCACTCGGTCACGTAGCACGAAGTAGCGCCCAAGCTACACAGTGAATTGCCAATCAGTTTACAACTCCTCATAAAGATGTGGAAAGAAAACGCACTGGATGATACCAGCAGCGGCAGGCGCGACTTTTCCAAAGGTGTGAACATGAGCCATAACATCATGGCGCCTCTTTTTCTCTTCAGCAGCGGCGATCTCGAATTGTTCAGGGGTCAATTGCTATACCGAATCAATTTCCAAACTCCATTGCCTGTGATCATCAAAGAGAGACGTACGAGGTTGTTCCTCATCTGCTCGATAGCTTCGTCAGGAATGGGCAATCCCAGTTCCTTCTCGGCGATCGCGAGGTTGAGCCAGAGCTCTCTCCAGGTTGAAAACCGTTTCTAATGGGTTTCAGTTTGTACTGTGACGCCTGGGAGAAGCAAAAACCGTACAGCGGGAGAGAAGAGATGTGCCATCTCTTTGCTCGCATAGCGACTATACAAAAAATCAGTTAAATTACATTTGAAAAAGCTATTCAAACTCGCACTGACCTCGAGAGAGGCGTTTGGTACGTCTCGAAAGCGTCCATTTTTGCTGTTGTCCAAGTACGTCAGACCTTTCCTGGGCGATGATATAGACGTATACTACTCACCAAGTGTAACGTTCAAAGTGCGGGGAAGAACGAACGAAAGACTTGCGGACGACGGAAGGCTTTGATGCGGCGGGATGACGATTTCTCGTTATCTAATCGTCATCATCAAATCAGGACCATCGCAATCGTCACGGCTTGGCGTTCCAAGGGCGCAAGTTCGATCCTTACCGGCCAACAGAATGTGAGTGCATCACAAAACAAAGATGGATTGGCTAATGATACAAAAGGTCTACTAAAGCGTACATACAGACATGAAAGACATTACTCGAGTAGACGCTACAAGAGACTAGTGACTAGTGGTAGTACAAGGGGGGATTGGTTACATTGAGAACATACAACAGACAGAAAACTAGATCCGTGAACGAAAACGTAGTAGAACTAGAAGTACAGCCAGTTGGGGCAAGATCTGGGAAGACCAGTAGGAGTGCCAGCCTTCCCAAGTGTCGCCCCTGATTAGAATTAGTACAACAGAACTGGGAAGCCCATAAAGGCCTATGTCTACCGCTTGTCATAGATAGATAGATGTAACAGCCCTGTACCAGGATCTCGAAGATGTAGCAGAAAAAGAACACAAATGTTGTCGACTCTGTTGTCGATTCGAATTAAGATGTTCAAAGGCCGGAGGGAGAGAGGCAAAACGGTAAGGTCGAGACCGAGACTCACTCATCAATAGTAAGACTGCTCACGAGAACGACCCGTGGATAAGGGCGTCCCAAGCGCTCTTGCTTTGGAGCTTTTCGATAAACTTGGCTCGGGGAGTTCCTCGTCCACCGGTGTGCGGTGGAGACGGAGGCTCCCCAGGCAAACCGCGTCCATTGGCATCGGGTACGTCCGCGGGCAACGAACTCGACCGCGCATTCCCGCCGCACATAGGCTGCAGCGGTGTCACTATCGGACGAGGCTGCGCGACATTCCCATGGCCATTCGCCACTACCGCGTTGCTCCTCGCCGCCGCACCTCCCTGAGGCGCAGCGTTTTCGTTATGGTGTGTCGGACGTACCACTGGGATTTGGAGATGCGGCTGCTGCTGTTGCTGTTGCGCAGCATGCTCAGGAAGTCCGATCTCGACAGGAGGCTTAGTCCCAGTAGGCGATGCACGCGAAGAACCCCCTTGAGGCGAGTGGTGCGACTGTTGGAACGACATCGACCGCATGGTGTGATCATGAGAGATCGTAATCAAGAAGCTAAAGGGACATACCGAATGGGATAGCCTGGAGGGCGTGTGAGGGTGCGTAGAATGGGGGTGATTGCTATGATGGCCTGCTTGCAGGAAGGCGTGGTGGGGGTGCAGGTACTCGCCATGAGGGATCCCACCGAGTCCAGCGTTCGCAGGTGTCCCCGACCCAGGGGTGTGCGCGCCAGACGTTGGGAACGAGTAGTACGGGCTCGCTGTGCCCGACGTTGACCGAGAGTTCGGTGGGAAGTTGGAAGGTGGGCGTTTCTGTAATGAGGGCACGAAGTAGAAATGATTAATGAGCTTTGGGCGATATGTCGAGATGTACAGATGACGACGTACAGGAGCTAGAATACTCCCAATGGCGACCCTCAGAGCCTCTTTGTGCACCCATTGGGGGTTGGGCTGGTGTGGGTCGTGGATGCGCACTTTGTCGTGGTGCGGATGGTGCCGTTGCTCAGATGGCATTCTTTCGACTCGGGTGGGCTGCGATAAAAGTCGTGTGTCAGCGTTGGCAACGACGAGATACCAGGCGACACTGCCGTGCTTGGACCTTGGGCAACGACCAAATCCAAACACTCATCGCGAAATGTCAACACACGCACCATTTTGGATGACACCGAGGCCAGCTATGGGCAATCCTATGTCCTCTGCAAGTAATCGTAATCGTAGGTCGTCGACCAAAATCAGGCGAGCTAGAGTTTTTATCGTGTCGTCGAGCGCCACGGACGATGACGGGAGATGGCAGAAAAAGAGACAGTTGATGGGAGCAAGGAACCCTCGTCAAAAGATTTAAATAAGCTCTAGAACGGAACGAACAGGGTTTATAAAAAGGAAATGGGAATAGAAAGAAATGCAGTGTCGAAACTGGTGAGATAAGTAACAACCCAAGAGTCTGGCGACTTCAAAGACAGCTGGGGGCTCCAATCATGTTCCAAAAATAGATTTCTTGGGTCGGCCACATGATGTGTTTCCCCGCATTTTTGACGAACGGGGAAGGGAGTGTATATGCCAAGAGGACGTCGCCCGATGAGGGGGTGGATGTGGCGAGAGATAAGAGGGGAATAGGCTAGGTTGTCCGGATTGCTGGGTTTCGAGGGCAAGGGGTTGCGGTCGTATCAATGCCGAGTCCTCAGTTGCGCAGTCAACTACTTCTAGGGCTACAGGGGAAAGTATGTGCAACGCGGGTTCTCCAGTTATTTGAATATAACTCTCTTCCAGTGTGTGGCGGAGCATATCCATCGAAGTCCTGAAATGTGCCTTGATGAAGCAACTCAGAGCCTTCCCGACGGTACTCGGTAGTTTGTCGCATCTGATTCATAGTCATTCACATTGACTGAAGCCCCCGTTCTGAGGAATCTCGGATGAAAGAACCAAGGAAGAATTCGAAGCTCGATGGGTTGCAACGGCTCTTGCTTTTGACTTCCTTTCGTCCTTCAAGACATCCTAAAACGATAGGAATTGCGTCTATTTTGTCGGTTCGGGCTGGGACGCCGATGGCTTTGGCAGAGTTTAAGCGCCCGCGAGTTCTTGCGTTGTCAATGGCATGAACATGAGTCAATCTGCGGAGGATACACCGTAAAGGAAAAGGATACCTTTGGAGAAAGTGATTTACACTGTGTATGGTGTCCGAATTCATAATCCGCGACCAAGGGATACGCCAGCACCGGGAAGAGTAGTGTACTAGTCTATGCCAGTAGAAGGACTTGGAAGGTGCTTCCCGCCCTTGGCAAGCAGACATCGAGCAAGACATAGCTCAAGCACGCATCAATTCTGCCAGTACTAACCGATCGTTAGCTCGGGACTCGATCGGAGTCGACATGGCTCTGTGTCTGTCGAATAGTAAGCGCCCATGGGGCCTGCATAATTATAGGGGCGCTTGGCACTCAATTGAGGCCAGGCTAATGTAAGACGCAGGCCAGAGCCTCACTCCCTACCTCATTTGCCGTCATAGCAGAAATTTATAGAAGCGAGAAACCTTGGAGTCAGGAATTGGGACTCCAAGGCTCCGACGGTTAGAGCATAGGTGACATCATCCGAGTCTCCGTTGGTGCTGCATATATACCTGGATGTAGGACTAGTCCATGGCAGCTCAGTCCACAGCAGACACAACTCGCAAAGAACCGGTCGATTATGCCATCCATTAAACACACTGACGACGCCTTCAAGAAGACCCAACAAATCGTTGGGAAGCCCAAAACGACCGACCATAACATCCACGAAGATTACGTTCGTAACCCACCTAATGTACGTCCCTTCTCTGCGTCCTCGAAAGTCGTAAAGAGACTAACTACATATCCACTTCACGCCTTTGATAGAACGACCAAGTCCCCGCAGTCGCTCCCAGCCGATCCGAAGTGAAACTGTCGATCCCGCAGCAAATACAAGAGAAGGCGCAGGAGGACAGGCGGCCTATTATCATCGAGGAGCGCAAGGAAGTGCTTGGTGTAAATCAATCCCTGGGAAGAGAGAAGAAGACAGATGATTTGGCGGAGATTGCTCGAGAAAGTTCGGTACACCCGTAATGGTCGAGCAAACGTCGTGTGGAGTGGTCGAGAATGCACGAAATTGTAGCAAGCCTATCCAGGTCATAGGGAATATCATTTGAGCTTCTGTACAGGAAAGAGACGTATTATAACCAGCAGCGTGCTTTTATCTTCGTATAGTATACGAACCCAACTTGAATGAAGGTGAGCAGGTCAGGCCCGGGCCAGACTTTAGGGGCCAAAGTCATGTGATCGTTTGAGGAAGCGGCTTGGCACTGGCAGCGGCCCGCCCAACTCTCACTCATACCACCACGATCCGCTGAACGTTTTCCCCGCAAAGACGCTCAGTGTAAATCTAGAGATTCACCTCACCCAAAAAGCTTCTCTTCGAACAATTTTGACCCACCAGTTCGTACACAACCCCCAATCAAGGCGGCGTATTGATTTCTTGTTCAGAGTCTAGAGATAGCAGCATGGCGCCAGCAAAGAAAGGCGGGAAGACAAAAAGCGGGGAAAGTGGGGAAAGTCAGGGAAGCTCCCAGGGAAGGCCAAAGGATTCTATCAGGACTAGGAGCTTCAAGGCTGGTTTACAGGTCTGTCTCTGTCTTTCTCTCGGCAATCGGGGGTCACACTCAAGCCAATTGCAGTTCCCCGTCGGTCGTGTACATCGAATGCTCAGAGCCAGTTGTGCCCACAAACAGAGGATTGGAGGGAAGTCCGCTGTTTACACCACTGCCGTTCTTGAATATCTCACTGCTGAAGTTCTGGAATTGGCCGGCGAGTAGAGTCAATTCTGATTTCTACCTTGCTTTTCTGACTCGTTCTCGTCGTACTTCCAAACAGGCAATGCCGCGAAAGACCTGAGTATGAAACGTATCAACCCGCGCCATCTTCAGCTTGCAATCCGTGGTGATGAAGAACTCGACATTCTCGTTCGCGCAACCATCGCTGGTGGTGGTGTTCTGCCCTTCATCCATAGGAGCTTGATGACACAGGCACAACTCAAGAGGCTGGACGCTATGAAGGCTTCTCCCATTCCATGAACGCATTGCGATACCTGGTCTCTTGCTTGCTTTTGTGCCTTTATTCCCCAGCATACCACCTTCTCTTCAAAACTTGTACTTCTCGGGCCTATTGAATCCCAGGCCATCCCAATCAAGCTGAACCGTATACGCGGACATTACCAACGGTGGTATTCTTGTGCATTAGTACGTGTATCTCGATGTTTTACAGTAGCTGTAATATTTTTTTTGGACACGCTATAGTCGTTCAGGTCAGCTGTAATCGAGTTGTTGTGCGGCTTTCTCGAATACATGGGGCTAACATTTATTTCAAGCATTCCATCACGTGTATCCCTGAGCAATATAATAGCATTGACAACCGACGGTCAGCCTCATTCTGAATCCTTTCCTATCGGTTCCTCTCGCTCACTACTTGTCCGATACCAGGGCCCCATCGAACGCTTCTCCTATTTCTCTGATCTCTTCGGTCTTCCAAACTATCCTTGTTATCCATAAGCCGCCACATACATCTACAGTTGGAACCAGTGTCGCACGCATTTCTCCTAGCCAGGATGTCTCCAGAGCGCAGTCTGCAACTCCGGTCCCAACTGTCAGCCTCGAAACCATACGGTCGAAATGTAATGCCCGCCAGTTCGCGTACTTCACCCAATCGCGATGCCTCTCGCGTTTCTGTCGACACTGTCGCGGTTCAGCCCTTGGAGCGGCCTGGATTTCCTACTTATGCCCAGTACAAGCAGATCGAGACGAATTATATCGAATCTTTGACACCTCGTCGACAGGGCAAGGCTCTCATCTCTCAGGCGATGTTCGACAGGATCTGGGACGTTTTGCATCACCCCGAGTCCCAGATTGAGACTGCCCAGTTCCGCTTCTGGGCTCGGAAGATGTTTACTGTCAATAAGGAGTATCGCATCACGCTCGGAGTTCCTGAAGGGATCCAGTCGCCTGCGCAGGAAGTCCTCTTGCATGACAACCTCCTAGTCGCCATCCAGGAGCAGCTCTACGACCTCCTCTGCTATTGTCATGGAAGCACTGGTCACGGTGGTCGCGACAAGACCTGCGCTCTCATTCGAAAGCACTACACCTGGGTCCCCAAGGATCTCGTCTCGAACTTCATCAAGGCCTGCCCTACCTGTATCATGAAGAAGTGCGGCAATGTCGATGTCAACTCATCTATTCCCCAGCTCATCGCAGAAACGGATAGGATGTCGGCGCGTCTGATCAATCAGGAGGTGGTGGTGGAAAGCGGACGCGACGTCATGGATCCCAGTTCATTCTCCGCCCGACTCTCCTCTCATGTCAGCTATCAAGACACGTCCACCCACAGTACTTCTCCTTCTCTCTCTTGGACATCTGGCGAACAGAAGCAACAAAAGCATCATCACACCCCCACCATGCGCCAATCCATGAGCCACGGCAGCAGCGACTCTTCGCCTTCTGGGTTCTCGTCTGTTCATAGCGGTCCCCTCAACACCCCCGACGATAACTCCTATCCTACCCAGCTTCACTCCATGGTGCGCGAGGTTTCTCTCTATAGAGGTCTGCCGAATGGTTGGCAGTATCGCCACGACGACTTCGAGACGGCTCATACAGAGTTCATGGAGTACAAGAAACAGTGGGACCACACTCCTCTCCATGACCCCGCCGACTACAGCGACCCTCTTCGCCCCCGGATCCCGAGCATCGCTGGAATGTGGACGCCCGACCACTTCAGGACGTCGGTGAAGGAGGAAGAAGACGATCTGGACCTGATCTACCCAGGACATTCCACTGTCGACTCGCATTATCACCAGCAGCAAGTCGTCCTCCCTCCCATGTCTCGCGCTCTCGGCATGTCGGGGATGTCTGGCAGTTTGGCTCCTATTTTGCTCGGCTCCCCTCGGTTGGGCGATGGGTATGTGGGCGAGATTGACCCTGCCCTGTTGGCTCTTCCTGGAACTGGTCCTCTTTCGATAATGGATGCGCCCAACCTTCATCCCCATGGTGGTCTTGGTCTGTTACATAGGGATGAGGCTGACACCAAAGCTGCGTATGAGCATCTTGACCCCCATGATGGCGCCGATCCTTTCACCTCTCATTCCCTCTCTGCCTCCAACTCGTTCAAGCGTGCAAACGCCCCCCCTGCGCTCGATCTCAGTGGTATCAACGAAGAGGCTCCGCGAGCACTGCCTGCGACGAGCCAGACCCACATGGATGCGGATGCGGGTGGCTACGAGTCGCACGGGGAGGGAGGTTGGGCGAACGTCGTCCCCTCAGACCCCAGCCCTACAAGCAGCGAGGTGTCGTCTGGGTCGTCTGGCTCATCCGGTCTCTCTCCTTTCCCTGTTCCCACTTCGGCAAAGGAGACGCCGTTGACGTCTGCCACTGCCAGCCCTGTCTCGGACGACGGAGCGTCCGACATGAAGAACATCGACGCTGCCTACCTCAAGGAAAGGGCTCACGAGGCGGCGCTTCTCAAGGGTGTCCAAGACGCTGTCGACCATGGGGAGCTCCAGGAAGTCGAGACCCAGGTGGAGGACGACGACCTCCTGCGCCATGTCGGCTATGCGTTTTGACTCGGAGTTGTAGGGGTCGACTCGGAGGTTCTCGGTGGTGGAGATGCTTAATATCTTTTTGGTTCTAGCTTCGGTTTGTCCTGCATCTCTTTTTGGCATCCATTGAATAGTCTGCTCAGTGTTGATTTGACAGATCTAAGATTACGACTGCACTGCGATAGATTTGCATCTGGTTTTGTTGCGGGCTCGGATTTGAATTATGATTAGGATGATGTCTCGTTGGACTGGATAACCTTTTTTTATTTTTGGTGTGTTGGGCTGTACGGTATATTATTGCTTGCCCTTGCTTCTAGATAGAACGCCGTGGATTCAGAATAGTGGTAGTAGAGGATTTTGTTTCTTTGTATGCATAGAGTCATGTACGCTACCAGTGTTGATTGCATGTTTCGTTTGTGCGTTTACGAGATAGATTGGAATGGCGCTTTTGCCGAATGCTTTTTTCTGTCTCTGGAAAAAATCCGAGCCATTTCCGTTGTGTACTTCTGGTGTGCAGTGAGAGGCAGTGCCGGATGGAATGTGTGGCGGTGGGCACTGCCGTTAGCGCCCACTATTTGCCCAATACTATTTCTGACTGGGTGTCCCTGGACTCTCAGCTTTTTCCCAAAGCACGAACTTGCTCGCACTGCTCACACCACCTCATCTCCTATATCTCTGTGGGCAGAGAAGTCATCATACGCTAAAGCAGCATTGGATCAGTTTGGGGAAAGGTGTGGTACTCGAGATCGCCCTCTGAATCGGATGTGTGTGAGATCGATTTGTTGTGGGCCAGGCAGTTCAGTTTCCTTGCGATGGATGTCGCAGAGAGTAGGTCCTTGTACAGAGGGAGGATCTCAGGTGAACTCTTTTTCTTCGTCGCTCCATATATCGAACTGAAGTGAATAGGAACTCCCTGTCGCAGTTGCTCTGGTGCAAAAAGTCCAATTCCTGTTTCGAAATGAAACTCGACAGTGGTAATACGAGCAAAGCTCCTGTATCTGCTTGTGCCAGCTTTGGCCACATCGGAGTCCCAGCTCAGAAAGGTGGCGCTGTGGAACGAAGGAGGACGGAAGATCGTACCTGCTGTGCTGGCAATGGGCGCTTAATGTCCAGACAGTTAACCTGTTAATTTGGGCGCGCATTGTTACACCCCCTTTCCCAAGAGGAAAAAGCTAACAGCAATACCTGTTACGGAACAGAGATAGTGTACTGGAGTCCTTCTGGACCCTCTGTCAGAAGCACGAAGGCCTAGCATGTGGCGTGACAATAACAGCACGGCACGGGGTTCGGGGCGGTGCCCATTTACTACTTAAACCGCAATGGAAGGTTCATTTTTCATAAGCCACGCCCACCTCGAGGAACGCTACCACAACGTCGATGCCCATGTTCCAAAATTGCAGCAACGTCGTGATTAACAATAGCGTCTTCATCAGTAGGGGGAGCAATGTCACGATAAACTGCGGACGCGGACGGCACACTTCCACCATTATCGATGAAGACGAGGAGGAAGCGAGAGACAGCAGGGGGGGAGCCTCACAAAGCGAGAGACAGGGGCCTGGGGATGGCTTCAGCTCAGAGCCTGGCGCTCACAGAGCTGGCCGGTCAGATCCCGAGGACTCGGACTCTGAGGCTGAGATCCATATCGATTCACGACAACACAGGAATCCTCCTCCTCATCGAGTTCGACATATCTTCCAAAGCTCCCACAGAGGCGGAGACACTGCTGACTTCGAGATGTCCGTCGAGGAGGAAGGACCGCCCAACGATCGCGCTCGAGGGCCACAGCAGCGGCGAAGACAAAGGCCACCACGACGACGCTCAACGCGTAGCTACAACATTCATGGCATGAACATCAATTTCGACGACGTTCATGGTACATTCGTGCAAGAGAGCAGAGGCACCAGGACCACCACCGCCAACGTCAACGTCAATGGGCTGGACCCAGTGGGCCTCGCCGGTCTCCAAGTCGGTCTTGCAGGCTTGCACACAGGCCTCCAGTCTGGACTCCGGGGGCTCCATACTGGTCTCGAGCACATGAATACCGCCCTCAGTAGCATGCACCATACTCTGGCCAATTCCTTCAACTTCACGGGTGCCCATTTCGATAACTCCTGCAACGACCATAGCACCACCCATATTCATTCCCATTTCGGACCACATCACCCGGCGGGCCACCCTGGAATCCACCACCATTACCATTACTACAGTGGACCTGGAACGGCCCCTCCACAACCCCACCTTCCTTAGAGGCATTTCCGAGGGACTTCGGAAAGCATGCAACTCTCGTGCCCTTGGATGAGATCCTCGTGCCGTACCCTAACTCACGCCCGTTTAGCAACCCTTTCTTGGAATGATAGTGTCTGAAACCATGTATTGAAATGGGTCAAATTGTCCTTATATTGCGCGGATATATGAAAACAGGAGGGGATAGTTTCCAGCGATCTATACGATAGCGACCTCACCAGTTATGGAGATCATGTCAAACATCGATTCCGAGTCACAATCAAAGGCAAAGGTAACTTAATAAGGGAACGGGCGCTTACAACCACGTCGAGAAGCCATTAAAGTCATCTCGTCATCTACTATACATCATCTGTTGCCTTCGCTCTGTAACCGCCTTAGTCCATCTGAACTCTGGGCTTTCCGTAGAACCCACCTGAGCCTTTCAATTACCAGTATTGCACCGAAAGAATGAACCGGATATACTCGTCGATGGTCCTGGAGGGGATACGTGGTTCCCTTCCGCAACTGCGTTCGATCCCTGCCTGCAGCCGTCTTTATCAACCCCCCCTACTACAAGCAGCCGTTCACTCCCCAGAATACCATTACGCGAGTGCCATCGTCGATTCGTTCGCTCTCGCGCAGAAGTACTTTGTCCAAGCCAATCAGAAGGTCTCAGTGGTATGATGTGTGGTACCAAAATGCGAGAACTAGTCGGAAGAGCAAGAATCTGCTAGTGGGGGATGTGGGAAGTACGGGCGCTTAGCGTCACCATACACGGAACGAGTCGTATTGGGACCAGTCTATACAGCTCTATGGGCTCGAAGCCCCTGTAACGTGCCTTGTACCCGAATATCTATGGCGGACGTGATAAAAAGAGTGGAGGAAGAGTGCATACATCGAGGCCCGCAAACTTGGAAGGTCGTAACCAAATTTCGAGAAATGAATGAGAACTGAGGTGAACTTGCATAATTTACAGTGCGGTGGTGAGAGGTGGCAGGGTATCCTTTTCTTGTCTTGATTCCATTTTCGTTTCCTACTTCATAAAACGTCGTCGCATGTCTTGAACAGTCCTCGTTCCCTGTCAGGACAGAGGACAGGATCGCCCGGGCATTTATCGGGACAATGCCGTTTTGCTAGATGAGATAAGATTAATATCAGCATCAGCCAATCAGATTATGATATGGGGTATGACAGATCGTCAATTCAAAGGACACCCGGGTGCTCGACTCTCGAGTGAAAGAAGACATGAAAGACAATAAGAAAGATGTAGATGTGTACTCACTCTCTAATGGTTTCATATAGGAACTTATAGCTTCGCAAGTTCCCTCGAAGGCGTCTGATATCGAGGCTGTACGTGTCATTCAGACCCTCGAGCCTAGTGAGCTCGACTGACAGGCGGACTTCATCGCCTGGGTCTTCGGTAGGCGGTCCGTACACTACTGAACCCTGCATAAATGAATAGAAAACGGAGGTCAATATTCAGGAAACATACACAACTCAGGGACACACAACGCCACGCCGTGTGTTCCAGCCCGGGACGGGGATCAAAAGGAAGAAGACGTACCGAGTCGTCGGATTCAGCCTTCCTCGACGCCCGTATACAGCGATAATTGTATCTGCTCTCCTCTTGTACTTGGAGGCCCAGCTCTAGGAGGACCTTGCGGACTCCCTCCATAACGATGGGAGGTGGTTTGGTGGTGATAGTGGTGGTGTCAATCGCACCGCGGTGGATTCCCAAATATTCAGCGCCGCCATTGAGGAAGCTCGCCTTGCGCTGCAAGAGCGATGGACTCGAAAGTGTAGCAGTCATGTTGTGTTGAGTTCTCAATAGAAAGGGAACATTCAGGAACGCTCGTCCCACGGCGCACGACCAAGCAATGTCTCACTCACCGAGGGGAATATGAACGTGGATGAACCAGAAATATGTCAACCACCTGGGCGATGTGAGTGGGGGAAGAGGAAGAAGTTCCCAACAAGAAATCAGAGACCCGCGCTTTAAATATACTCGAACCAAGGGACTAAATGTCCGATGAAGATGGCGGTACACTTCACCAAAGACAGGGGCTTGTGGATGATGCCCGATCTCAGGACGTCACGGGAGGATAATTAGACCTTCCCTTTCTAGCAAACGAACCGGCTGGAAGAGACTCGTGGTAGCCGTCCCAACAACTCGTGGCCATAAAAATAAGAAACAGCGTTCACATTGACTCAAGGAAGTGGATCTCCGTCTCACGGGTGAATGTGTGAAGAGGCGAGTCAGGGAGCCTGATCCTGACAAACATTTCTCTGAATCTCGGAGAGCGCGGAGGGTTAGGGGATACACGAGGGGGAGAAGAGAAAGGAAATGAAAAGGAAGATAGAAATTTGGAGATAAAATTATAATGTACATTTCGTGCACGGGGCGGTCGTCTACGCTGCCACGTAAAAACCTTAGGATGGAGAGGTAATTCGGGGGGACGAATGAAATCAATGAAGAAGTGAATAGAGATGAAAAAAGAAGCGATCAGGTGTAGAAGTGACGGAGCTTGGACTGGATGGCGGTGAGGAAGAGCCGAGTCATTGGAGGTAAAAGGGGGACGAGAAATCATCGGGGGATAGAAAGGGTAGTAGAAGTGCCAGTACTTACAAAGGAAGAAGGGGGAATAGAAGAAATGGTGTAGATAGTAAAACAGCGACGTTCAAATAGAAACGAAGAATCAAGCGAAAGGAAATGAAAAGCGGACAGCTGATACACGAAGCACAATGGAATCTGCAAAGAAGTGCGAGTGGATCCGGATGACTTGAGAAACACAAAGAAGGGAGAATGATTTGGAATATTAAGAAAATATGACAGGGAGATTGGAAAAGCGGGATCGCTCCAAAAGCGCAGAGGCCAAATATTAGGGTATGAAGTTATAAGGTACCGTGGAAAGGCTGGCCGACAGTTAAAGAATTAAGCATGTCAGAGTTGAGAACTCGAACCAAATCGAATGGAAACGCCTGGTTATCGATGCGTATCGGGGGGAATTGAAGATCCTGCAAAGCTCATCTAGCGTTGTAGATCAGCCCGTCTAGATAGAAAGCGTTAATCAAATGGACGGCCAGACGGAAGACAGATAGGCTTACTGTCTAATGGTATCGTACAGATACTTGTAGCTTCGGAGGTTACCCTTGAGTCGACGAATGTCGAGGGAGTAGGTATCGTTCAAACGATCAATTCGAGTAAGCTCGACCGAGAAGCGAACTTCGTCACCCGCATCTTGAGAGGGATCACCGTAGGTAATGTCGGACATGAGCAATGGTTCGCTGACCACGACGGAAGTCTCGTCGTCGAAGGCGAGTGAGGGTTGCGACGAAGACGAAACTTGGGACGACTGTCGCCTCATGAGCAATCCTCGCAACATGCCACCAGTGGCAGAGAAAGCCGAAGGAGATGGAAGCGGCAGGCCACGGCGATCAACCTACATAATCATCGTCAGGACAGAAAGTGGATTAAACAACATTTGAATTACTCACCCCATTCGAAGCAGCGCTGCCGGTGACTTGTACAGCAGCGAGGTTAGCTGGAGCACCGTTGGGAGCAGTCCCCGCAGCACTAGTCGCCCCCTTCTTCTTCTTGTGACGGATGCACCTGTACTTGTACTCGCTCTCCAGCTGAATCTCAACACCCATCCCCTCCAACACGGCCTTGACTTTGGCCATAACCTCGGGTGGTGGCCTCGTAGTAATGGTGGTCTGGTCCACAGCACCCTGGTGAATACGCAGTTGGCCCCCAGGTTGGTTCGAGTGCTTGGATGAGTGCGAATGGGAGCCGCCACCGACTGTAACTGAGTTGCGGAACCGAGCGACGAAACTGGGGGTTTCGGTAGCGGAGCTAGCAGCCCGCTGGGGATGACCGGGAGCGGAAACCTTGGGAGTCTTAGGCGTGGTAGCCTGCTGTGCCTGTGTGACAACCACCTGAGGCGACATGGCGGATGCAGGTGTCGAGGTTTGGTTGACGGTGCTGCTCGACGCGGAGAATCCCTTCTTGTATTTCTGTTCAGTTATGGGCGTGCTCAGAGAATCGTGGTGCTCGGCTTCACCGCCCAATCCAATGCCGACAGATTCACGCCCCTTCGACTTGGTTCGGAACCACTGCATGACCTTCTTGGCTTTGTTACTCGATGCTGACAATCCAGGGCCGTCTTCGACAGGAATATCCGGGTGAGTAAGGTCGGCATCGTGCGGGGCGGTGGGGAGTGCAGGAACGGTCGCCGAAGAGGGGACAGGTGGGTGTGTCGCATTGACCGACGTCTGGGCAGTTGGTACGGGCTCAGCGGTAGCGGGAGTGGTGGGAGGACGTCCCTTGCGGTTTCGGATAGTGCCAATAAAAGGCTCGACCATCACTGTCAAAGTGTTGCGACGGCTTTTCTTCCCATCCTTGGGCGGCGCCGGTTCCTGAGGAGCTTGAAGTGAAGAGGCGCTACCCTGGCTTTCGGAAGGAACACGAGAAGATGGAGCACTAGGGGATTGGAGGTTATGCTCGCTGCCGTTCAGGGGAGGGACCGGGGGAGCAGGAGCACTGTTTCCGCTTCCAAAGATCTTGCCGAGACCTATTTTGTCGATGCTAGACTTGCCCTTTTTGTGACCTCGTTTTGAGGAGGCGGAGTTTTGGCTACTGGCGTCTTTATCCTTGTCTTTTGGGTGGGAGAGCTGGTGAAAAGAAGGCGTCTGTGGGGGCGAAGAAACGTTGACGGTTGGCACGTCGCCTCCAGAAGCAGCCTTGACGGGAGTCGCACTCGGCTGCTGGTGCGACGAGCCCTTAGGCGTGGCTGGCGTCGGCGGGGGTTTGTAAGCGGAGGGAGCGACGGGCTGTGGCGGAAGAGGCTTGGTAGCACCACCATGAGATGGTCGCCTCTCTCTAGTCGCCGGCTGTCCATTCTGGACATTGGGAAGAACACCGTTGGGCTGAGCACTAGCTTGGCTTGGCTGTCCTTGACTGCCGCTTCTATCTCGTCTTTTGTCGTCGCTCCTCTTGGCACTCTTCGGCTCGTCGTACTCGACCTGAATAGTGTGACGGATGTCCCTTCCGCCGCCGCTCGTGCTCGATCTGTGACCCTTGGACGGGGTCTTGTTGTCGGTGGGCGATAGACCTGCAGCAGGCGTTCGAGCAGAATCTTCTGAGGGACGTTGCTTCGAAGGAGATGTGGCGGTGGCGACACCGCTGTTTACCTTGGTGCCGGGGGGAGGTGCAAAAGGATCGTCATCCGCCAAACCAAGTGCTGCGGGGCTGTCAAAGGCCTTGGGAGTTGTTCCGTTGTGCTTCGGCGTAGCATTGGCATTGGCGCTTGGAACTGGGGCGGATATCGACTGATCAACAGAGGAGTCGTAGATGAACTCGGGCTGTACTGAGCGGCTCCGGCCGGACGTAGGGGCGGCGCTCGTTGGCTCGGGACGATGGCTGTGGCTGCGGGGTGAAGGAGCCGAAGTGTTGTTCAGAACAGCATTTGCCTTCATCTGCTTTTGGTAAGCAATGCGTTTCTGCTGGTGTTGCTCCATCGCTGCCTTCTCAAGGTCAGCAACCGACTTGCCAAAGGCATTAGGAACCCCGTCAGTGCGAGGGGTCCCATGGTAGGCTGATAGCCATGGATGGCGCATCACCGTGTCCAGGTTGGCTCGACGGGTGGGGTCCGGAACCAGCATGAGACTGAGCAAGTCTCGGGCTTCTGCAGAGACGAAATCGGGGAACGACAGGGGTGTGTTGACGATGTATCGGTACAAAAGGTTGATGTTGTCGCCATCGGGGTTTGCTGGGTCGTCATCAAAGGGGAGATAGCCCGCCAACATCGCGTAGAGAATGACACCACAACTCCAGATATCCACAGCGCTACCGACATAGAGCCCTTCGCTGATGACGAGTTCTGGAGCAGCGTAACACGGACTACCACAGGAGGTTTGCATCAGGTCATCGGACCTGTGCTCGAAACGGTTTGCGAAACCGAAATCGGTGATGATGACATTGCGGTGACGGTCGAGGAGAAGGTTCTCCAATTTGAGGTCGCGGTGGACGATCTTCTTTTGGTGGATGTACCACACGCCGGAGATGAGTTGAGAGAAGAGTTTGGCTGCGTCTCGTTCGCGCAGATGACGGTGGGCAAGAATATGGTCGAATAGCTCTCCACCAGAAGCGTATTCGAGGATAATGCCGATGTACTTGTCGGTTTCAATCACATCGTAGAGTCGAACAATGTTGGGGTGCTTCAGGGTCTAGATCCAGAGTCAGCAGGCATCCACGTTCGATACGAGGTTAACTTACCCTGAGGACTTCAATTTCGCGTTCGACCTTGGACATGCGAACACTGCTGTCAACGTTTCCACGTCGAATGAGCTTAACAGCGACCTCTTCTCCCCATTGGCAATGCAAGCCAAGCTTCACCTTGCCGAACTCTCCTTCTCCAAGGGTCTGCAGCAACAGATAGGGTCCGAATTTAGGGATAGTTCGGCGGGGGTGGGCGGCTGCGTAAGCAACAGCAGCTGGGTGCGAGTAAACATCTGGGTACGGCGAGCCTTCGTGTCGTGAATGGCCATTGCGACGGTCCTGGTCGTTGGATGTTCCTGAGACTACGCTGTGCGATGCGCGCTGTTGGCGTCTTGAGGAACTGGATCCTGCATGGCTTGAAGAGGGGGTTGCCGAGTGCACTGCTACCGACGCTGGGCGGTAAGCTGAGGCCGACCCTGGATGCGCTGGGGAGTTGTGCGCTGCCTGCCTCGACGATCCCCGTTCTGTTTCTGCTGGAGGTATCTGCAAGCTGGTCGATTGGGACGGCGGCGCCATCAGAAGGGTGTTGACCTCGTCGACAAGAGAGGGGGAAAACTGCGGCAACGACGTGTCAACGGGTAGATCACGGCGACGACGACTGGATATACAGACTGTGCTGGATGTTTTATGTGGTCGAGGTCGTCGTCGTCACCGTCAACGACGAGGAAGATGTTGAATACGGGATTCGGTGACGGGAGGGAAACTAAGGGTTGAATTCAAACAAAGGCAAATGGCTCGAGACGTGGGAAGATGTGCCGATTTTGTCAAGAAATCCCTGGGAACGCCACGATCACCTTTAGCCTTTTCCCCCACATACGACCGCTTGATTTGCCATTTTTTGGACCTTTCTGCTGCCTAGGACACAGTTCAAATGCTCGAATATCGCGCCTAGGACTGGCCAGCTCAATTCTCCCTCCAAATTTCACCCGATCGCGTTTTAAACACGTGCTCTAGACCCCTATTTCTGCACGCGCCCCCAACCTGAACCATTTATCCTTTCCCGGCCCCGCTTTCCTTCGGACGGCTCGGGGCTAACTGGACATTTACAAGCATCTGGTTTTTATCCTGAACGTCGTCTAGCCTCTACGTTCAACGTTCTGGAAAGAGAAATCCCCCTATGCGATCATTTTTGAGCCTTTGAAATGACCTCAAGAACACTTTGGACTTCATCGGGGATCCATTCTTCTGATTAACCGCCTTCTTCCATGATAATGAAAAACGGCACAAAGCAGAAGAACGTCTCTGCATGCATCGTACGTTTTTGTTGATTGCGAGCTCCTTGTTCTGACCATGTTTTACAGGTTGTTTTGATAAGATTAAATGGTGAGTTTCAATATCGTTAGCTTTAGCTCAACCTCCTAATTTGCCGTCACTATAGCAAATTCATTGCAGGCCTGACAAGGAGGCAGCCACTCGGGTCCGCAATTACATCCAAATGTCGAGAAAGCTTTATTCGAGTTGGGAACTAATGCATCAACATCCGTACACTCCATGCCCTCTTTCGGAGCCGCACTATTCTCCAAACCTGCAACAAGTTCCTGTGTTTACTCCACAGAGACTGAAATTTGTGGCGTGCGGCATTAAAGAATCTGCCCCGGGATTTAGTGAATGCTCGCCTTTTGGAGGGCCAACGACGGAGTACTAACCATTCGGGGCGAGAGTGAGTCCGAGCAAGGTGGGCAAACTATTGACCGACCTTTGTCCCGCCATCTCACAGTTCTGTCATTCAGACTATGTATCTCCGTGAAACATTTCGCTTTCAATGTAACAGACTCTCCGTCGGAGCCTTGGATTGGGCACACTCCAGACCACGGTTCTTTTGTTCCGACAGCACTTGTGCGCTCTAAAACTACCCATCCTGGCGACGAGCCGCTCCTTCGTACCTCCACTCTGCTCAGCTTCTCACTCGATTCGCGCACCATCGTCGCCGTCATAGGATGAATTAGGAAGTTCCTGTGATCCCTACCGAGTGGTGGATAGAACGATACAGGAAACTTGTCTGTTCCAGTAGTCGGCTTGAAAGGATCCACTATAAAACTCTATTCAACACCTCACAGCCCACGGATCGGTAGACCCATCAACCTGCCCATGAGTTCATAGTTCGGCCATTCTCTCGATCCGTCCCTGGCCGTCCCCTGCAGTTCCTTGCTTAAAAGGCCAGCTCCGAGGGTTCCCTTTCGTCTCCAACACCATATCCTCGTTCCAGATGCCAGTCCTTGGCCACGCCCTGGCCGCAGTGGTAAGTCCTATACCGTTGTAGCTGCGATGTGCTCTAACGACAAGGTATTTGCAGGCCACTCATCTATGGTTCAAGTCCTATGACCCGACATCGCCTCGGTCCATCTTTTCGATGCTAATCTTTCCACCACTGACCGTTTATCTCCTCCTCTCTAACCAAAATACCGGGCTGCTCCGCGACAGTGCCGTCTTCTATGCGACGTTGGTCGCGTCTGTCGTGCTGTACCGCCTGTCACCACTACACCCTCTTGCCAAGTACCCTGGACCTCTGCTATGCAAAATCACGAAATTCCGCATGGCATGGGTTGCCGCGCAAGGCAGAAACCACAAGTTCTACCAAGCTTTGCACAAGAAATATGGATCTATCGTCCGCGTTGGTGAGCATCCTCAGTGCCACCCTTGCCAAACAGACGAGGTACCCACACCTTCCCCAGGTCCCAACGAACTCTCCATCGTCGATGTCAACATCATGCCATTCATCCTAGGAAGCCAGGGCATGCCCAAAGGTCCCAGTGCGTCACGCCCATCATCCAATCTCATTCGATGTGTCCGCTAAATCGATACTTTATCAGTTTGGGATGGTCGGCGATTCGGGTTGATGCCGGACTGCGCGTACGACTCCTTGATCGACGTTCGGGACCTCGGAATCCACGCTCAGTTGCGCAAACCTTGGAATGAAGCGTTTTCTTCGGGGCCTGTGAAGGAGTACCATCAGCTTCTTCATAAGAGGGGTGAGGAGTTGTCGACGCAGCTGTACAAGATCGCGACCTCGACGGGTGCAAGTGGAGACGTTCCGTCGGTGAACCTGGTGAAATGGATTAACTACTTTGCGTATGTCGCCGTTTCTTTGGTCTCGGCCTTGTCTTGAACTGAGCTTCAAGTTCCTCGTAGGTTCGACTTCATGGGGGACTTAGCGTATGCCCGCTTCCACTTAACTTGAACTACGTAGCTAACAATCTTTTCAGCTTTGGTGCTTCTTTCAACCTCATGAGCGAGGGGGACGTCGATGGGGCCTGGAAGCGTATGGAAGACGGCCTTGCGTTGGTTTCTTCCCTTTTAGTTCGCCTCCCAAGTCCTAATTCCTCCATCCAGCCTTCCCGCGATTGCCGGTCAAATACCCTGGCTTATGCCAATGCTCAACACCCTGCCATTCGTCACAGCCAAAAAAGACGAGTTCAAGGATTTCGGCAGGCACCACGCTCTCAAAAGAATCGCAATGAACAAGACGACCAATGATCTTTTCTACTACCTCGTACGTACACTTCTCTTCCGCTTTCTCGTCGATGCACCCCTCTATCTAACCCAGCTCCGCCCTGTCAGTACGATGAACCAGCAGTGCGCTCCGGAGTCCCACTCAAAGAACGGATGAACCTGGTGATCTCCAACAGTCTGTTGACCATCGTCGCCGGATCAGACACCACATCCACCGTCCTGAGCTGCATCATGTGCTGTTTGCTGGCTAGGAAGGACGTCGTCGCGCGTCTGCGTGATGAGCTGGACGCGGTGTTCACTACGATCAACGATTCCGGTGTGCCTGACATAGAGATCGACAAGCTTCTGAAGCTGCCATATCTCAGCGCAGTAGTGTGAGTCATCCCTACCCCTTGAATTTTCTCCGAGTAAAGTTGTGCTAACCATGATCTCGTCAGGAACGAAGGACTGCGACTTGCCCCGGCCGTTCCCTCGAACATGCAGCGTGCACCCGAAAAAGGGTCCGGAGGAAGGATTCTAGGGGATTCGAAGATGTAACTATCCATCCACCCGTCCATCGTTACCCACCACAGACTCAACTGACTCACCTTCCCTTCCCTTCCCACACCAGCTTCATTCCAGAAGGTACATCAGTCAACGTCCCCGCATACGTTTACCACCACGACCCACGCTATTTCTCGCCTTTTCCTGAGACATTCATCCCAGAACGCTGGATTTCTTCTTCCGCGGCCTCTCCCAATCGAACATTGTCAACTTCTACCAATCATTCAAGGTCGACTTCGCCGTCGTCGGTTATTGATGACTCTGCGAAATCCCATGTTGAAACGAAGTACACGACGAGTAGGGAAGCATTTATCCCTTTCTCGTATGGACCCGGGAATTGCGCTGGGAAACCTCTGGCGATGCTTGAGCTGCGGTTTGTCATCGCGATTTTGGTGCAGAGATTCGATCTGTGTTACAAGGGATGTCGAAATGCTTCGCCGGAGGTGTTGGCTGGGACAGAGAAGGCGTGGCTTGCGGGTCTTAAGGACGCCTTTGTGTTCACGAAGCTGCCTTTGGAGGTCGAGGTCACGCCGAGGGAAGATTTGTGGAAAGTATGATAGGTTAATTATCGCTGTTGTAGGGATGTAGGGTCGTTAGTAGCAGCATAGGATGTGATATAGACTGTGGCCCGTGATCTAACTCCAGCATTCCTCTATCAATCTACCGTCCTTCACCATAGATTCAACATATTCCTTTGCCTCACTCTCCGATCGCCCGCCGTACTTCTGTACGGCCTGCGCGATAGCATCCTTCACCGCTATAGGCATCTTATTCGATGACCTGCAATCAAATAGCTTCTGTTCAGATCTCGATCAGAACAAAATCGAAGAGGCAGACTAACCCGGAAATATAGACCCATGCCCCTTCTTCTCCCACAAGCCTCCAGATCCGCTCCGCATCTTCCAGAATCCTGTCCTGCACATACGTCCTCTTCACACCCTCAGGCCCGTCTCTCGAGAACGCCGTTCGATACACAAGTTCTTGGCTCTCGCTCAACCTTCTCCACTCTTCTCCATAATGCTGATCTTTATCTTCTGACCGACATCCGAAATAGAGCGTGTTGGCTAAATACATGATCCCGGGAAGGTGTGAACAAATGAGATGGTTGGTTAGGAATATGGCACTTGGAAAGACGGAATGGAAGAGATCAATACATGCCTTTGGATCCTCGTTCCACTCGCTCTTCGATTAGGGAACGCATTGGCGCGATACCTGTGCCAGGTCCGACGCAGATGACGGGCGTTTGGTAATTTGGAGGAAGCTTAATTAGGCCTTTGAGAATTCCGATCCGAAGTTTATCGCCAGGCTGCAGGCTTGCTAGGTAGGTACTGCAGACCCCTCGCCGAGGTATCTTGAGTTTTGTGCGGTACTTTACGATGGCGACGCAAACGTGCATTTGGTGTGGATGTTTCTAGCGAAAGCGAAGTCAGTGCAAGCCTCGGAGGATATTCAGATGGTCTTACAGTTACGGAACTTGCGATGGAAAAATGCCGTGGCCTTAGGGGAGGGAAGACGTCGAAGATGTAATCTTTGGGTATTCGCACATGACGGAATTCTGCCAGGACTTCATGGATCGTTCTCCGCACCTTCTGGCAGTATTCGTACAGTTCTTCCTATGAAAGGCTTCAACTTGAGGTCGCAAAAGGATGCAAGGAGTTGCTTACCGCCCCTTCTGGTCCCGTAAGAAACTCGTCTAGTTTCTCCCTTTCCAAATCATCAGTTGTGAAGTTTCGGATGTACTGAAAGAATGATCGCCGCGGCACTGCATTGAAGTCTAGGTATCGAGTAAAGAGAGTTCGCAGCGTGACCCTCTGCGGAAGGAAATCCGGTAGTGATTGATCTGTGTAGCACAACGACCGTCAATAATAGGGTGGGTTGAAGAGATGAAAAGGTATTCACCCGCCATTTTGTGTACAACCGTCAGAGGTTCGTCAGCACATTCAGTCCAGTTCATCACTTCTAAGAATGCAGCCACGTCTGACTGTGAGGCTACTGGGTGGATGACGGCCACATCCCCGGGGTTGTAGCTAAAGGACTGGCGTTAACTTGGCAGGACGGCGAATCAAAGGAACACCAACCGGATATCATCCTCGAACTCAAACTCAATGTGGCGGACGTCTTGATACCAGTCTTCGGCGGTGATTCGGGTATTGGTTTTCACCACAGCATCATTATATCTTGTATCTTCTCTCACCGGGTCTGTAGAAGTTACATCTTGAGCCGATTCAAGTGCAACCCGCGGTGGCGGCAATTCGGATGTGTCGGAAAGTTCAATTGGAGAGGGTAGAGGTGCGAGCTGCAAGAGGGTACCCAGCAGCTTTTCTACCCAAGGGAAGAGGGCACCATCTATTCTGAATCGAGCTCAGTTCTCCGGGATCACTACTCGCGTGACTGAGTCACATACCCAAGTGGATCTTGCTCATCGCCTTCCCCTCGCTCACAAATCTCTGTAGCCCCCAGGGTTTTCATCCGCCTGGAGAGCTTCTTGGCTGCCCAGCAGAATTTTTCATACCCCGTATCTCCTAAGCCAAATACAGTAAATGGTAGGCCCTCGAATAAGTCGTCTGGTAGTTCGGATCGCAGGAGCATGTTCCAGAGAGCGGTCATCGCTCGTGGTTCAACCCCAGAACCGGTCGTGGACACCACAAATATCACAAGTGGTTCGGATATCAGGTCAGGCTGCGGCGCTATCCTTCAGATTGAATTCCATGCATAGATATTCCGTTTGTGCACGCACCAGGGAATACTTGTCCATGCTCACTACCCGGCACCTGAACGCGATTCGTCTACACTGTCGAGCGATGTAGTCTGCACAGTCTTGGGAGTTTCCTGTCTCTGTCGCATAGAGAATGAGCAGTTCTCTTGGAATTTCTTCGACACCGTCGAACTCTTCGTTGTTCATTGGGATGGATATGGTGGTTTGGTGTCAAGGATTGAATTGAGGAATTCGGGAGATCGACGCCCCATGCTTATCTGATAAGGGAAAGGGATGGGAAAATCCGAAGCCCCTATTGATCCCGTTTGATGGCTTGGCAAGCGCTGCTGCAAGCGAGCTCGAGCCTCGAGGCCGACGTCGACGACGACCAGGTTCAAACCAGACCGGTTATGTTCGGTCTCCTATTGTCCTGAACCCGCGTACCTGGTGCGCAGTAAGTCCTTGCAACACTCTTGAAATGGTATCACTCTGGCCATGGAGTTCGCGGAAACCTGAGTCGCCACCTGAACCCCAGCCGTCACGCTCAACGACCAACAGAACAATATCGATATGGGGAAAGTCTTCTACAGCCGACGTTACGGATACTTCTTCGAAGAATGGCTGGCTTTCATGGCCATGGAATGCAAATTCTCGACCACTACCGCCCAGTTGGCCAGAGGGAGAGCTGGCTCTCCCGGCTCCCGACGTCGTCATTGCGAAAACGGATGCTGCATTGTCGAGCTGGACCTCTTCCCCGACGGTCATTGCAGCAACTTCAGCCGTAGCAGGAGGTGTCTTAGCTGTCTCGGTCGGTTTTATGTACGGACGATACGGGAAGCGTCTTCAGAATAGTCACTGGATCACACCAGACTGGCTGGGAGGCAAACGTTGGGTGCGCGGCGTGGTGACGAGGTCTGTCGCATCGTGTCGCGTCAGGAGGTCCACTGAACGTTCACAGCGTAGGAGACGCTGACAATTTTCGGCTATTCCATACCCCATTGTTTGGAGGGTACCATTGGCCCTTGAAGTTACGCTCGATACCCACTAGACGAGGTGAGTCGTGTTACAGCGTGTCGGTCTCGTTCATTAGTTCGTGTGGGCCTTAACCCGGGTATTGCAGAACTCAAAGATGAAACTCTTCACATCCGGCTGGCCGGGGTCGATGCACCAGAGGTGCGATTGCAAGTCCTTTCAGAAGGCCGTTCTCATTGTTTTCCTGCCAGATTTCCCGTTTCGGCAAGCCAGGCCAGCCAGGAGCTTCAGAGGCACTTGAATGGCTATCGAAAACTCTCTTGAATCGTAAAGTGTATTGCCAGCTTGCGAGGAGAGATCAGTACCATCGCATTGTAAGTTAACATCGGCCGCCCACATAAAGTCACAATGACAGCGAGCCTTCGTCTAGGTTGCGCATGTCTACCTTCCGTATCGATTCATTCCAGGCTTTCTCTTCAAAGGCGAAAACGTTGCCTGCATGATGCTCGAGGAAGGACACGCTTGTGTGTATGAACAGCTTGGTGCAGAGTATGGAAGCGGTGGAAAAGAAGCTTACCTCAAGTTGGAAGAGAAAGCGAGGTAAGAGCATGAATCTTCGCAATCTGGTTAATGCTCATGACGTCTCCTCTGACTCCAGGCAGAAACGTCGTGGACAGTGGGCCTCTGGTAAACGGGGAGAAAGTCCGGCGGAATACAAGCAGCGTCATGCAAAATCTTCAACCGCCGGTAAATGACCACTGGTAATCACATCGACGAAATCATTCTCAACGGCTGTGACGACTCCACCTTCTCACTTGTGGATTCGTTCGGTGGTGAAATGAACGCGCAGCACGCAACATTGATATGGTGTCATTCCGTCGTGAAGCAGGACACCAGGTTATCGATTATCTCTGCCATTGACTCCACTCGAAACAGGGTGCATTTCCTAATCAATGCATTTTGGTTTGTCCCTCATTCCCGATTACGCGATTGACGCCGCCATTCTGTCCTGCGCGAAGCAGCCCTGAGCCTGTCGTTCACGAAGCAATACCCAGGGAATTCAAGGTTCGCGCGACGTCATGTATGGCGTAACCGTCTTTGCTCAAGTCGTCCGCCATTTCGCGTCTGCTCTGTTCGTGACCATGAGAGGATGTTGCTTTGGCTATCGAATATCACATTCGCGGAATGTTGGCTTGGAGAGAATCGAGGCTCGAAACACTGCTAATTTCTCCGACTTCTCCAAAAACTTCATGATCGTTGAACGATCTGTACTCATTCTTCCTTTGCGCCAACAAATAGGCTCGGCGGAACCACCTCCCACGATTCCGCAGCAGCTTTGGAGCAAAAACCAAGCTTCCCGTCGGTTTTAGCGAGCAGCGAACAGCGGATGCCTGGTATCAATGCGATGCTGGGGACATTTTTGGGGTGGCGTGAATCACTGACGTCATAGAGGATGACATTGTTGCTTCCTCCTTTCCAAGTCTATCCTTCCACCTATAAAGACGTTTCCACCTGGTTCCTTTCTTTCCTCAGATCCCCCACCAGAGTCTTTTCAACTTACCGTTCAACGGCCGTATCTTCTAACTCCTTAACCAAATCTTCCAATAAACAACAATGAAGCTCTCCGCCGTCCTCGCTGTCCTCACCGCTGTCGCTGTTCAGGCCCAGGTTACTGAAGATGTCTCGTAAGTCTCCTTCTCGTCGTTGCAGTCGTTGAGGAAGTCCCTAATGTCTTCGTCTATAGGAGCGTTATTGAGGACGTCAGCTCGGTCGTCTCCTCCCTGACCGAGTCCGCATCAGAATCCGCCGCAGAGTCCTTCACTTCCTCCATCGCTGAATCCGCCTCCTCCCACATCTCGTCTATCCAATCCGAAGCCACCTCTGCCATTTCCTCGGTCAGCTCACGGGTATCCAGCGCTACGGCCAGCGCCACTCAAAGCGGTAGCGGCCCCGACGAAACTGACGCTGCAGTCCTCACCGGCGCTAACGGCGTCCTCGCTGGCGTTGCCGCCGGCATCGTCGCTGCCCTCATCTAAATAACATATCCACTTTGGACTCCCCCTTTTTAATACTACTGCAAACCTGATGTTGTTCTGGTTGTTGTTCTTACCTGCCGTGTTTCGCAATTCTTGTTGACCTCGCAATCTTTTTTCATTTACTTGGACACGTTTTCCGCTAGCTTATTTAGGGTAGGATGATGAACTAAACGCCCCCTGGTCGCTGCAGAAAAGCTCGTATTGTTGCTTTATTGGTCGCATTCGTTATAATGTCACACTGCGTTCACTCGTTCCTTTTACTGATGCCGTCGTCGCTGAGTTCCAGAACGTGCCCTCCTGAACAGGATAGGCGCTGTTTTCTGTGGATCGAGGGGAACTGCGCAATGCTTCTCTTGTCTTATTACGTTGGATGGACATTCTTCCGCTCCACAGAGAGAACACGTTGCCCGATTCCCATCCTTCTGAAGAGGTAAATACAAGTGCAATGCAAGTGAAACATTGGGAAAAGGTAGATGATAAGCGCCCGTGAGAGTTGGTGCACACCGTTTGAACTCAACTTTCTAAGAGGGTGTGCAGACAAATATGGAGGGCAGCACCGGACAAAAATCAAATTGATCATAAGTTGCAAAAATATCCTTAAGTCTCCGAAATCTTCAGACCCGACAATGGAATTGATCTTAAGTGTCTCAAATACCAAGATCTCTTATTACTTCGGATTGATCTAAACTTCTCAAATTGATCTTAACTCACCAAAATCCTCAAGTGCCGTGATATGTTCAGGTCTCCAGAGCGAAGATCCTCATAGAGCTTCGGATTGATCTAAACTACTCACATTGATCTAAACTACTCAAATTGATCTTAACTTACCATCATCCTTAAGTCACCATGATATGTTCCAAATCTCTTGAGTGAAGATCCTCAGAGACAAGTTTATACTTCCCTACATAGTCACAAAGTCCGAGAATCGCAAATGTCGGCATAGGTCACGTGACCTGTAGCGGTCCGTCAAACCCGGGCCTCAAATCAACCTCAAATGGGCCAAACGCGTCGGTTCGCCGACGCGACGACGAGCGCTAGGCGCGTCTGGGGGACTCGAGAGTTTCAGAACCGATGGAGGAAGACCTACTTGGGGATCCATGCGATGAAACAACCAGGAGTCCAGGACAACAAAAAGAACAAAAGAATGAGCTTCTTTACTATTTGCAGGGAGGATCCATTTTGGATCCACCACCCAAACGTGTACCGGGGGGCTTATGATCTTCGGAGAGCCCGGTTACATACTGTGGGCACTCGTGCTAATAGACTTTGTTTCTATTGCTGCACAGGAAAGTGTTACATCGCTTTCAGTTCGTTTAATAGGGGCTGGATTGTAATATTTTAGCGATTTAATGAACATTTTCTAAACTTACTATTCGTCTAGTGACTCTGGGCGCTCTTTCGCGCATAGGTAAGTGTAAGTATTTCTCCATCTTTTATGAAACTCTCGGGTCCCCCGGACGCGCATAGCGCTCGTCGTCGCGTCGGCGAACCGACGCGTTTGGCTCATTTGAGGCCCAGAGTTGGCGGACCGCTACAGGTCACGTGACCTGAACTGACATTGGTCAGAGAGACCGGACTCGCAGACTTTTTTGACTCGGAACAGATTGTCAGGTATAAACTTTTCTCTGAGGATCTTCACTCAAGAGATTGGAACATATAATGGTGACTTAAGGATTCTGGTAAGTTAGGATCAATTTGAGTAGTTAAGATCAATGTGAGAAGTTTAGATCAATCCGAAGTATTAAGAGAAATGGGCCTCTTTAGCATATTTTGAGTACTTAAGAATTTACGCACACACCTGATACGTAAGGAGGAATCCGGACACTTAGTAAGGATTTTGGACACTTAAGAAAGATTTTGAACACTTAAGATCAATTTGATTAATGTCCGACCGTGACCGTTATAGACAAAGGTTCTGAGTAACCTTTGTTCCGTAGCTTACGTAGAACAAGCAAGGAGGAAGTTGCAACTTTTCCCGTGGGCGTTACGAAGGAGTTTGAAGCTCGTTTCTAGTAAGCTCGAACTCCTCATGTACCCTCTAACCAACTGGTCACTGGTTAAGGTTCGACTCGGACTGCTCACAACTTGTACCGTGCGACCGTAATTACTTCGCACTGACTCCCATGTTGGGGGAGGGAGCCGCATCTTGAAGGAGCATTCTTCACAGGTTCGTTAAAATCTCTGGCGGCTGTCAGTATCACTGAGAGTCTTGGATCATAGGGGATATTAGATAGAGCAGCTAGAGTAAAACAACGTACACCGGGGAGAGCAGAAGCCCGAGGGCATAGACTCGGTATAAGGGGACAAGAGGCATAGGGGCATAGAAGCATAGGGGACAGGGAATAAACAGGGAACATAGTGGATAACCATACGAGACTTCATTCCATTCATAAAGGCATAGAGGACGCTGGCCGTGATCAATAAATCTCACTCCATGTCTTCTTCTTGAAGGCGCTAAACCTGACTCGAAACAGGCCATCAAATTCAAGTCACTCTGAATTCAATTATCCTCGCTCATGCCTTCCGTTGGGTAGGATCGACGTGTACTGAAGAAGAGCTTCCGCAGGTTGGTCCTTCGCGTGGACTTAGGCTCGGGAGGCGGATTCAACCAAATGGTAGGGATAGGTACCCCCTCTGCCAGTGGGCGTGTAGCCGTGCTTGTTCTTGCGGTGCCTATGCAGGCCCACACTTCGTTTGTATGAGAGACCGCACTCACCACAGACATAATTTCTCTCGTCTGAATGGACGGTGCTATGTCATTCAGATTCTGCTTGGTAAAAAACCTCATGTTGCAGTGCGGCCATGTGCAGGCGTGGTGTTTGACGGCGTTCAGATCGTGGCGCCTACGCCAGTGCATGGCAAGCCCCCTTGGAGTGAGGATAGCGTTACAATCGGGGCATTTCCTGTGGTCGGCTGGGACAATGTGAGTGCGGATAGGCGCCATTTGCTACGTCGGGTTGCTATATACTAGGCGGTGAGTGATGCTTTCTGGATCGTGAGCCGCTTGGTGGAGTACCTCTAAGTGGGTGGTTGTTTTTCGACCGCCTTTTATAAGGAGAAACCGCGCTCTAACAATTCCCAGCAGAAGAACAGAGGACAAGAGGCACCCCTGCTGATTTGACCACATTTTGGCCCTCGGATCTGTCTCTCACTGGTAGACAATGAAGTCCAGGTCAGTTATCAAAGCGCTGAAGAGAATGGGACTTTGAAAAGCGTCGTGTCCAACAATTAGCAGAGCTCACCGGGAAAAACTTGGGAGTTAAGCGCCCGTACTATATCATCGCCCGAGTCGGCGACTGCGAGTCTGGCGCGCCATCTTTACTGAGCTTAGGCGGTGCGAGCATTGAACTACTCATCAGGAGCCGTGTGCTGAAGAAGCAGACTCTCGGTGAGTGCCCCCAGGTGTGCTTTAGAGCTATGCCTATCAGTGTCATTCTACGCATTGTACTTGGACAAAGCGTTGGCAGGAGAATAACAATGCCCCTTTGACGATCCACTGTCGCAATGTAGCTATTGTTGACGAAGACGGGCTGATAGTGTTGCTGAAGCCGAGCCTGAGGAGGATGACCCCTTTGCGAATGCATTGATACTATAGAACAGAGATACTACAACAGCCTGAAAGGTATCGTAAACTACAAGAAAAGAACGACACGGGGGAACCACACGAACAAGAACAGTAGGCTAGGGCCTAAACTTTGGCAGCGAGAGTGGTACCATGATGAATGGCGACAGCCTGTACAATGGCAGACAGGTCAATGCCCGAGTACACTGAGACAATGTGAGCGAAACACATACCTCCTCGACCCAAGGCAACTGGAAGAACTCGCTCCTCCTCAACTCCTCCTGGCGCACAGTCATACCCTCGCTCGGTCCACTTCCCATGATACTCTCGAGATCCCGCGACTGGGATTCCAACCATGTATGAATGAACTTGGCAGGGTCTTTAGCGAATGATTCGAGGAAAGTCTTCTTCACGTGTGAGTTGTGGAGCGATTGGGCCAACAGTGCGATCTGTGATATGGTATATCAGTTTGGCGGCCCAACAGGCCATAGGTCGAATGAACGCACCTCTTCGTCAAGTTTGGACAGCGCAAGCGAGCTCTCTTTGGTGCTCTGGATCATGGTAGCCATCCGGTTCTTGAGAATGCTGTCCTCCATCTTGACCTCCACGTCCCAAGCCTGCGGGCGCTCGGGCGGTGCAACGGTTGGATTCAGGTTATACCATAGCACGACTGGCTCGGGGTGAGTCAAGTAGCGGTTGACGACTTCAGGAAGCCTGGCAAATGGGATGACGTCGCCACCAAAAATCTGGGAAATAAGCCGGTTGAGGACTGCATTGAGTCGAGAGGAGTGATGGAACTCACCGGTCGAAGTTTTTCGTCAGCGCGAATCATCCGCCTATCCACCTTGTCCTGCAAACCATTCGATTTGATGTAGTTCCAGAGGGTTTGGACGATTCCGAGGCGAGAGTCTTCCTTGATCCCTAGTACGTCGGCGAGTTCAGGCGCGAGTTTGAAATGTTCGGGGTAGTGTTCGAGGTGAAGGATGACACGGATTTTGGTTGGTACGTCTCCTGTTCGTCGTACTGTGAAGCCGTCAAGTACGGGTGGTGCACCGGAATGCAGGCGAGGCCACTGCAATCATTTGAGACTTGCGTTGAACACAGTGTCGTGGAGCTTCGATGCGCACCTCTATAATGTTCCCGTCGGGATACAGTGCAGGGTCTCTATCGAGTTCGATAACCATTCGTTTTATGAACGTGGAGAACTTGCGCATTGGAACACGGTCTCGGTGTCGTTGATTGGGGATCTGTCGAACATAAATGAGTTATCTGGGGCAATAGTATGAATTCGGAATGGACGTACTTCTAATAAACGTCCTTCTATCCTGAACTGCCAAGCTGGGATGCCCTCCCCTGTCTCGAAATTCGCAACCTGCTCTCCATTCGTTTGCCACAACTGTCCTGAAGTTGTATGGCTCAGGAATATTCGTAATGTTCGTGTTGTCTGATAGCCAGCGTCAATAGCAGGAACGACAAAACAGACAGAGACGACATACAGTAGGTGTCCTCGCCAAAGCATCTTGGACTTCATAACGCTTTCTGGTCATAGTCCAGTCGAGTCTCCGCTCAGTCTCGAGGAGTTCTTGGTACATCTTCGAGTCCTGCGCGAACTCGGGGTTTTGGAGGATAGCATTGGGAATAGATTTGTCTGTGAGCTTTCGTTTCCTGCATTCAAAGACTATTACGAACGCGTTCTATAGAAAAGTTATTGACTTACTTTGTGACTTTTGGCCCGTCCATGATTACGCCCACCCAGGTTCAATGTAGGCAGACGAAGACGCGCCGCGGCAGACCGATTGGCAAAAGCAAGCGTGGGAATGTATGTATGACAAAGCTTGATTGTTGAGTTCCAGGGTTCGAACCTCATCGGGTGCTTCTTCTTTTCCTCTTCCAGTTCACAACCCTGCTGATCGAGGATGAAATACCTCACCCCGGACCTACGTTTCTGCCCCTCGGATATCAACAGAATGATTTCTTGGTCAAATCCGTCAAGGCCAATGGCTACTGCGGCATCGTAAAAACTTCGGAATTATTTACATTCCAAAACTGAATGAATGGGTCGAAAAGTGGCACCACAATCTCTGTTCGACACGTCCATACGTTCATTTTTATTTACTCTCCTGACCCCAGACAGCCCCAGACCTCCCAAACCGTCAATAACTCGGGCGCAATACACAAAAAGCGGGACTAAATATAGAACAACGATCAAACTCTCGGCATCAGCCGCTCGTTCATAATATCCGCAAACGTTCTCGAATCTTGACCACCAACCACCTCCTTCCTCCATTTAGTCCTAGAATGGCTACGGTAAGGGGTCCTCTAGAGCACCAGTCGTTTCCTGTAGAGCTGACGTTGGGTATTTAGCTAGGAAAATTGCGCCAGGTTAGCGTTTAGCGTGTCCGTGGCCAACTGTATCGCATAAAACTGATCACGCCACTTTGTTGTGGGCTAATTAACAGTGGGCTGGCGAGGTTATCTCGTCGAGGGATAAATCCACGATTGCAGAAGAGTTTCAAGAGCTGGAGAAGGATATTGAGCTGAGGAAGGATGGCGCGAATAAGTGAGTTTTCTTGCCCAGCGAAAGGTGGTTGATAGTATGGACCTTGTAATGCTCATGGTTACTTTTGTTTTCTGTTCCCTGCGACCCTTCATCTGCGATATCGTGGGTGATGGACAGACTGCATATTGCGGCGGAGGCGTATCATCATGCCTTGTCGAAGAAGACGTTGAACGAGGCGCTGGGCGACTCGGATAAGCTGCTTCCGATTGACGCACTTGGTATTGTCATGCTTGTGCACGGAGAACAATTCCCGGAGGACTCAGACTTTGGTACGTGATAACTCGTCATGGTCCTTTGCACCACTTGTCTGACGAGGCCCGTTTTACGTTCTAGGAACGTCACTCGTCAAGTTTGGTCGAGCACATTGTAAAGCCGCAACCCTGCAAGAGGCGTATGCGTTAACGTTCAAAGACACATTTATCACTGCGATTGAGAGGTTCAAAGAGGAGGTCAAAGAGTACGAATCCCTTCGTAAGAAATTGGAGAGCCGCAAGTACGCGTCATGTTCCTGTTTGGTCGATCCACCGCTGACCCATCTATTTCCATACAGGTCTGCATTGGACAGTGCTAACACCCGCTACGAGAAGAGCCGGAACTCCAAGAAAGACAAAGACAGGCAAGAAGCGGAAGAAGAGCTAGACAGAGCTCAACAAAGATAGTGAGTCTATTCATATCTGACAGATGTATCCTTATTCACGGGTCATAGCGATGAAACGGCGGAAGACATGCGTGCGCATATGCACGCCATCCAAGAGCTCGAAATCACCCAGCAGCGCGAGCTTACGCACTTCTTAGACATAGAGATCAATTACGTCCAGCAATATCTGGACGTGTTAAAGGAAGTGCGAGACGATTGGCCGGATAGGTGTGTATTCAAATTCGTGAATTGCCGGTGATAGAGTGCTGATCGAGTATTAGAAATGCTGGCCAGGGAAGGAAACCTCAGAGGAACAGCGTGTCGTCTCGGTCCCGGCCATTAATGGCCCCTCCTATCGTGCCCTCTGCCTCCCAGACAACTGTGAGGCCCGGTGCGGATCTTTCATCAGACGAAGAAACCGAAGATAGAAGGAATGGTTCCCGTTTCATCAAGCATAGGAAATCGTTTTCGGTGGGCAGCAAGCCACCATCAAGGCCACCATCTCGACCTTCCTCCCGACTATCGAGGAAGAGGACCAATTCCAATGGACGCTCCAAGAGCAGAGACAGGAAGGAACCGCCCGAGGACGAGGAGAAGGAAGCGACTGAACGGCCTCGTCGGTTCAGTGTGGCTGGCTGGGCCTCGAATGCCGTCGAAACCATTACTGCGAAGGGGACAAAGGTCAAGGACAAAGACTCGTTCGCTACTCTGGATGACGAGCAGGAAACCAACGACGATGAACCCAGTAACGGATCTCACAGGAAATCGGGCAGTTTCTCCCTCAGTCGAAGGCTGTCTCGGAAGAAGAAATCCAAGGAGAGCGTTGGAACGACATCTCCCGTTGTCCCTCCCCGGATTCTGAAGCCGCTGTCGCTACGTGAGACCAAGGTGGTCTACGCTGTGTACGACTTCAATGGATCCGTGGACGAGCTCAGCTTCAAGGCTGGAACTGATATTACTGTTCTCAATGAAGTCGTTGACGGATGGTGGATGGGAGAGATTAACGGGAAGAAGGGTTTGTTCCCGACATCCCATGTATCCAGTTCCCCACCCAAGCCTTCGCTTCCTCCTCGACCCTCGCGGAATGGACCTCCCAGTGCAGGCCACCTTCTCTCCCCTGTCCCCCATTCCGCCGGTCTCGATGGCGGATACATCACGAGCGATGCGGATGACGATTTCGGCTACCACCAGCCCATGTCGCACAACCGCAGCCCTATCTATAACGCTTTTAACGATGTCTACAGTATGACCAGCGGTGATGAGGAGGGATCGCCTACTATTCCTCAGCGTCAGCGACGGTTCTCGGATGACTTTGATCTACCGCCCAACAATGTGACGACGACGCCCAAGATGAGGAGTGTGCTACTCAGCGGTGGCGATTCCGCTAACCAGCCGTTGATTAGTAGGACGACGAGCGATGGGCCTTTGCAGACGCAGAGTAGTCCGACGAAGAAAGCGCCGCCTCCACCACCGCCTAGGAGAATGACCGCTACTGCGCCACCTGGTGCAAGCCCTGCGATCCCTGAACGTCGACTTGGGCCTGCTGTTCCTCCGCGCCCGAGAGGAAACAGTCTGGCTGCGTCCAATGCCCACCTGGCGTCGTCCTCCAATGAATCGATGTCGGTTGGGTACGATGTCTCGCCATTTGATAGTGCGGCGGAGCTTTCTAGTTCGGTTGGGTGTGGACAGTTCAGGCAGAACCCGTTCCAGCCTCAGGGAATGTGTAGTAACTGTCGAAAGTTTCATTCGTAGATAGCACATGTAGTATCTTGCGGGGTTTCAATTTAACGACGCGTCTCAAAAGTTAGGGGCTGGTGCGAGCGGACTTTAAAACTTCCGATCACATGAGATCTTGACAGAGAGCGGGGAAAAAGGGGGGCGTCATAAACTCAGCTCGTTCTTTTGACCCGCTGCACTCAGACATGTCGAATGCTTTGAAGAAGAGAAAGATTGCTGTCTTGGGCTCTAGGTCCGTCGGTAAGCAGACATATTTATCCGAGAAATGATGGGTTTTGTTGAGCGATGTAGGCAAGTCGTCGTTGGTGAAGCAGTTCATCGAGGTATGACATCGTGGTTCTGAAGGCTGATATTGGTTTTTACTGACGATTGGGTGACTTTGTAGAATCATTTTATTGATTCGTATTATCCAACGATTGAATCTACGTTTGCGAAGAGCGTGGTTTACAACGGCGTCGAGTATGATTGTCACATCATTGACACGGCAGGACAGGTGTGTGCACGATTGGATGTCTTCAAGTTACCTTGCGAATCATGGTCAAGCGACTGCTTCCCTTGTCCTCTGATTTTACGAATGAGTTCGGGCACTGAATCTTACTGTTATATAGGACGAATACTCGCCTATAAACGCCCAATACGCTATTGGGATTCACGGCTATGTCCTCGTCTACTCGATCACCTCCCGGAATTCATTCAACATGATCCAAATCGTCTACGACAAGATCATCGATTTCTGCGGTGTGACGGATATTCCGTGTGTTATTGTGGGCTCGAAATGCGATTTGGCGCAGAGGTGAGTGGGGGGGATATGATGCTCTTGATCTTCGGTGTTGCCCTTCGTCATTCTTTGATTCCACTGTGTGGTTTTGGAGCTGGATGTCCGCGTTATCCGCTTGCAACGCCCGCTGGAGACTACTTTCTTTCCTTCTTGCGGAGCGGGGTTCTCGGACTGGAATGGGGTGGTGGGGAGGAGGAGCCGCATTTTGAGGTTTCCATATGACCAGTACTGACATCATCTTTCTTCACGTCTGCAGTAGTCGCCAAGTTGATATCGCGGAAGGCGAGAGGCTCGCGAAACATAACAACTGCGCGTTTGTGGAGACTAGTGCGAAGCATGGGATCAACGTCAGTGAGTATCGTGCCGATGGTGGAAAACCACGGACAGACTTTCCCCACTGTCCATCTGTGTTATGGTTATAAATAGGGGCTGATTGATTGGCTTTCTGTTTTGCGTTTGTAGGCAAGGTTTTCGAGTTGTGTTTGCAGGAAATCGAGAAGAGGACAGCTCCGAACCAGGCTGAGCCTGCTGCCAAGCCGTGTAATATCATGTAGAACACCCTCGATCACCAAGAACTCTATGTTGGTCTGTGGATGTGCAACCATCCTAGTCGCGACCTCCAGAAGAGCTTTCTCATCCGACACCCACCCATGATCGCATGGCCGATCCTCCTGCTCCTATCTCGTTGCTCTGTTCCCCGATCTACCACTACCGCCTCCTTCCTCTCGTCGTCCTCCTTGTTCTCGATTTTCTTGAATCTCGTATCGCGTTCCGATCCTCCTTTATCCCAGTTTTCTATCTTTATTTTAAGTATTCCGTGACGATAGAGCCCTCCTGATGATGTCGCTGTTTCTGTGCGTGTTAATTAGAGGATGGTGTTAGAGAACAAACACCTTGTATTATGTTGTAAAACAAACGAATGAATCCCTTTATCTATTGAACATGAGAAGAGTCTGGAGGCGACGGTTCTGGTCCATCAATTGAGGGCGCTAAACGCCGACAACGAGCGAACGCGAGGCGCGACTGACCTTTGATCTCGACCCATCACCATCGTCCTCATCACGACCGCAGCTCACCGCCGTCCAACACAACCTTGAGTGTGAAGAAGGCTCGACATGGACATCAATTTCCGTAAAATCGATATCGACCAGTTTGACGAGGACGTTCTGCAGGATTCGGAACTGTATGAAGCTGATCCTCGGGACCCTGCGCAGGTGTTGGAAGAGGCCAAGGCGAGGCAGGTTGCTGTGCGGGGTTCGTTAGCCAGGTTCGTACCAGGATCGCTATTGCCGGATGAATACTGATTCGATGATTTATTTAGGTTAGGGATTGTGGTTGTGGTTGTTAATGCTGGACTGACTGCATGGGTGTTGTAGGGGTGACATCGTGGGTGCACTGAACACCATCCTCGAGAACGCGCCATATGGCCCCAATGTCGATGAAGCAAAGGTTCGTCAGTCTATTCACCTATCATCTCACTTGTCGTCGTCGGAGTTGCTGTGCAGCCAGCGTCATCGTGGTTGTTCCAAGCCCTACCCATTTGACGCCAGGAGAGCAATGTAAACTAATGATCTCTCGGAATACACAGGACGTCACCCTCCAAACCCTCCTCACCATCCTCAACTCGACCAAATCGACCGAAATCTCGGGGGTCGTCAAGGCGCTCTCGCCAGACGCGCAGGACACGTTGATGAAGTATCTGTACAAGGGGATGGGCCTGCCTGGGTGGGGTGAGACTAGCGGGAGTGTGCTGCTTGGATGGCATGAGAAGGTGCGTTCTAACAGAGTACTTATTGTTTGATTGAAGATTGTTGACTGATTTTGGTGTGGGGATAGTTGACGGAGGTGGCGGGTGTTGGATGTATAGTGAGGACTATGACGGATCGGAGGATCGTGTAATGCCCAGGGGCTGTCGTTGGGGTGTATTAATACAAGGAACAAGTTGATTTCAAGCACTTTGGGTTCGGGGTATTCATTGGTGAGATGGGACATTTCGGAGAGGCAAGATTTCGTTTGCGCATTCTCATTCTGGGCATGTTGACGCGTCTGAATGGCGAGAGGTACAGGTACGTTTCTAGGTTTCCATGCATGGCGATCTTCTGGCATTGATGGTCACATTGTCGGCAGAACCATGGGCTTCCATCTTGGGGCTATTGCAGACCCAGTTCTATCTCGTTGGACTTCTCCCTTTTCTATGGCCCCGCGTTAATCTCTCATCTCTTGTCGCCAATGCTCCTCAAGTCCGGTCGGTTTGGAATTGGCGCTCCTACGACGCCTCCGGAAGGTCTGAGAGAATGTCAGAGAACTAACCTCTTCACAGACGACTGTTTATACCGCCCAATGAAACGTCGTGCAGGGACAAATTCTCCTCTGTGACGCCCTGACACTCTCACTGGCAGTGATGACATGACATATCGCGAACGTGCTACCAGATTGGGTTATGTCGACAGGATGTGACTGTGGTAAGTTCCTGCCTCTCGTCTAGCTTTCGTATATCTGTCTAGGGGAAATGTGCTGACTTCATTTCAATAGGGCGACTGTCCAGCAGGTCTTTGTATTCACGCTGATTCGACACCTCCGAGCTGAACGATCCTGGTGGACTTTTTCACCATCCTCGAGTGACACTGGCTCTCTAGAAGCCTTTCATGCTCCTCAACTACCGTCAATCGGAAAAACCGCAGTCTCTTTTGGGCGAACTAGAATGCACCTGACTCCCTGTCCCACGTAATTAGGGTTATTGGGATTGGGCAGTTGACAAAGGCCCTCTTCACAGTCTTTGGGTTCTGCTATGTCGTTCCTTGTGCTTATCGCCTCGCATCCTGAAATCCAACGCAAAGCTCAAGACGAGATCGACCGGGTTGTTGGGAACATTCGATTGCCAGCGTAGGCCTTGCTTGACTATGCTTGGCTATCACAGACTAGGCATATCATGCACAATCTTGAACTCTTTGAAGACCCCATGTCGTTCAAACCGGAACGATAGATCAAAGATGGTCGAATTGACCCTGATGTTGTTGACCCGTGCGCTGCTGCCTTTGGGTATGGTCGAAGGTATGTCATTAAGTACTCTGTTCCTCGATTTGCGGCTGATGTAGATGACGAATTATTTGCACGTCTAGAATCTGTCCGGGGAGGCTAATGGCCGATGAGATGCTCTGGTTAACGGCTGTGCGCTGTACTGTGTCCACTGTACATCCGTGCCTTTCGGATATCTGATGGATTCGCTGATGCCATCAGCGGCCTGTGAAAATCCGTACTGACCAAGTTCAGCGCGCGTTCCCTCTCCTCTCTCCCTCTCCGACGTGCGAGCATCCTCAGCAGATTCTGGCTCAAATCGTGCCAGTGCCGGTATTGGGGTGGTATGCGAAGCGAAGAAATGGTGGTCACATTGAAACCCGATGATCGTCGATGACGAATGCATGTGCGTGTATCGCAGATTCAGTTGCGCGACTCGTCCAGTTCTCTGACCTATCTAGCCCGCGAACCCCTGCCACGGCAAGGCCGAGAATAAACACTGGAACAATGTGTTCCATCTGTCATGCCTACTCGAGTACGTACATTCAATGGAGAAGTGCGGAAGCCTCCCTTTTTCCGTTGTGTTTTCCTGTGGTTCGTTGTTGTGGGCTACAGACAGCGAGAACCCTATTAGACCGGGGGGATGACCTGGGGTGCGGTATCAACGGCCCCACGAGCTGTGGGTTAACTCCCAATGACATCCCCCTGGTCATTCAAGGTCTTTCCCACAAGTGCCTTTGTCGAAACAGCGCTGGTCTCGGACAAGGATCTGCGTCGCCGTATCCTCGAGTAGTCAACGCCGTATCTTCACCTGACCTTATCGCTGCTGTGAAGGCTCAAACAGCCAGCGATACTAGGTCTCCTTTGGCTCCAAGTTCAACATCGGGCGAGATGACCGTTCTATAATCCTGACAGATGGTGGAGGCTCATATAAACTATCTGAGTAATTTCGCACTTTTCTGGGCCCCTAATGTCGTAACCAGATCTTTGCCACCGGAACTCCATCTTGGAGCCAAATGCTCGGAAATTCTGCCCAGGCGTGTGCAGGCAAAATCTAGTCACGGTACCTGCAGCACTCAGCCTTATTCAAGCTTCCTGGATGTCGCGATTGACGCGTAGGGCATCGTTCGTTGGCAGAATGTTATATTCCGCGTCGTTGCGAGTCGCCTTGACATTATAAGGTGGATCCAAGGTAAGAGCGCACATCACGCTAGCAATAAGTAACATCTTTGACGATTCCTATTATGGACCCCTGATATTGTGCGTACGTCGCCTCTCTCCGCATCTGGAAGAGCGGTAGAATTGGACACGTGCAGGCCAAACCCACCGCTGGGGATATGCAACGGCGAGGCCTATAAAAAGCCAAAACAATCCGCTTTGCAGAGCTATGTACCAGTAATACTTCCGCCGCGCGTCGAACCTGCATTACTATGGACCAAGCAGTCTCGACTTCTAGCCTGCTTTGCGCGTGCGCTGCGTACATTCTGACCCTGCTTGTCGTAGAAAGAGTAAGGAGATCTTCTCGACCTCCCACTCCTCCGGGACCAAAGGGATATCCCATTGTGGGAAACATCCTTGACGTCCCCTCGGAACGAATCTGGGAGGGCTATCACAAGTTAGCAAAGAGATACGGTGCGGTTATACCATAGTATGGTGTATCACCTGCCTGATAGCTGCCCTTTTTGTTTAGGTGACATGGTCTATCTCGAGGCCTTCGGACAGCCTATCCTTGTGCTGTCGTCATTCAAGAGGGTCAATGACCTTTTCGAGAAGCGGTCCAACATCTATTCCGATAGGCCACACTCCACGATGATCAACGAACTGTGCGTAAAACCTTGGAACAGTCGGGATCGGGACCTGCTATAACCAGCTCCGATGTAGGATGAATTTTAAAGGATTCTTGGGTCTTATACCCTACGGAAGCTGGTGGAAACGACATCGGAGGGCATTTCAGCAGTCGGCCAAGCCGTTTGACTTGCCCAAACATCACCCACTGATGGTCAAATATTGCGGGAAATTCCTCAAAGATGTGTTGGCCAACCCGGAGGGATGGAGCGATAGTGTGAGACAGTAAGTAACCGAAGCAGGTTTCGAAACGTAGGAAGGGGGCTTAACTACTTCTTTGGTTTTCAGGGTTTTCAGTGGCATGACAGTAGAATTGACATATGGAGTCGAAACCGATTCGCCCGACGACCCTTTCGTGAGGGACATTGTGGAGGTCGCAGAGGGTTTCAGCATGGCTGCACTCCCAGGACGATGGCTTGTGGACACCTTCCCAAGCCTCAAGTATGTGCCGAGTTGGCTCCCTGGGGCGGGATTCAAAAGGTTTGCTGAACACTTCAAAGTACTCCATGAAAGATCCAGAAACGAAAGCTTTGACCACGTCCTTCGTGCAATGGTGGGTTATTTCAGACTTCTCTCAAGAATGAGCGCAAACAAATACATGTCAGAAAAATGGCACTAGTGTACCGTGCATGGTGACCTCCCTTGTAAACGCCTTTCCACATCCAGATGATCCGCGCAGAGGGGAAGAAGAGGAGATTGCCCGCAACATAGCTGCGGTGACCCATGCCGGTAGGTATTTCTCTGCACAAGGTCATGGAGAACCGCAACGTCACAGTTCTGAACGCATACGTCAACCACCAGCCGGAACAGACACAGTGCGTACCATAAAACAACGATGTCCAGTGCGGAGGCCAATTGACAGTGATGATGCTAGACCCTGGGATCTGCATTGACTTTCTACTTGCTCATGGCTCTTCATCCGGACATCCAACGGAACGCCCAAGAAGAACTGGACCAAGTTGTCGGACCTAGAAGATTGCCAGACTTTGAAGACCGCGACAAACTAGTCTATTGCAACGCAGTCCTCAAAGAACTGATGAGGTATCACCAGGTAACTCCCATGGGTGAGCGTCTGACTAACTTTGCTGGGAAATCCGGACAACGAACATCGTGGCTGACTGTTCCGTCGCATCCGAAGCCTTGCCCCATCGCCTGACACAGGACGACATCTACGATGGCTACTTCATTCCGAAAGGAACCATCGTTATGGCGAACTCATGGTTGGTGGATAGAGTATAGTAGCTGTCTACTCTGGAACCTGACAAAATATTTTTCTGCAGGCACATACTGCATGACCAAGAACTGTACGAAGACCCATGGTCATTCAAGCCAGAGCGTTACATCAAGGACGGGAAGATCGACACTGCTGTTCTAGATGCGTCATCTGCTACGTTCGGATTCGGTCGAAGGTGCGTTCACGCGAGTGAAAGTAAAACACAATAGGCTGCAGGGATACCCACTGATGCGACGAAACAGAATCTGTCCAGGGCGGTTCATCAGCGCAGACTCGCTATTCCTGTTATTTACCTATACGCTTGCTTTTTACGACATCACCGCAGCCAAGGATCACAACGGAAAGCCAACTATCAAGTACGAGATACCAGACGGCGCTCTACTGTGAGTACTTTGATAAAGCATTGGTTTGAATCTGGCTCAAGTTACCTCCATCAGTAAACCCAAACCCTTCGACTGTTACATAACCCCACGCTTCAAAGAGGCAGAAGCTTTCATTCGAAGTCTCTGACAGGAACAAATGGTATATACTCCATAGCTGGGGACCATACTACAGGAGCCTAGGGTCAAACAAGAACTACGGTCCACCGAAAAAGAAGACATGTACTCAAGAGCAATCGAAGTTCATTCAAGGCAGGCGTAGAAAATAGTTGGCATATTGAGAAGACATACATGGTTCGGACATGCTAAAGAAGAGATTACACGTTTTCTCCACGACTACGCGCCTCAGCGAGGCTCAATTCGAGCGCAAACCTCAAATCATCATCCATATCATCGAATGAATTGGTTTGCTGGACAGGGTTCGCAACGATCCGGCTGCTGCTTGGGGTGGGTGGCGATCGTCCTATTACGTTGGCGACAGGGGAAGTCGATGGCGAAGCTGCGCTGGTACTTGATGACGATACGCGGAGAGGTGCGTTCCAGGCCGATTTGAAAGGCCGCCTTTGGGTTTCGGAATACGCGGAAGTGTTGCTGTTCCTTCGTGATGAGGTGGCGCTGCCGCCGCTTACGGACGAAGCTGGACTAACGGTACCACTGCCGACCACGGGGAAATGCTCGGCCTGGCCAAGGGGTATCGGTCGACGAGGGGTTGGTGACGAGGGGGAAGAGCCTTCTATACCGGCCTGCATAGGTTCGGGAACGTAACGCGGTGAGACTTGCACCTTGGAGTTTGAAGAAGAAGGTCGCAAAGCGGGTGTTCTAGAGGGCGATAGCGGAACAGGTGTATGTGCGCTCGAGGATGAAGACGAAGGGACGGAAACGAGGCCCGAGGCGGTGATGGGGCGATCGTAGTCTAGTTCGAACATCCCTTCTTCTAACGCCGCTGCAAGCTCCTCGTCTGTCAAACCATCTAATCCATTGATGGAGGGCCTGGTGCTAGCAGTTGCTTGAGGTGTAGGGGGAGTAGGAGTATCTTCGTCTCTAGACATCATGAGGATGTACTGGACGACCTCGTCTTCACTCAACCCCATCTTACGAAGCTGAGCGCGCTGCTGGTAGAGATTGCTTCGGATATGGCTCTGGTGCCTGTCTTCTTCGTCCATGATGCCTTTCGATTCGACAATATGATGCTTCATCTCAAATTGACCTACAAAAGTTCGTCAATAGGGAATAAATGGCGCGAAAAAGAGTTGTACTGACGAGACCACTTTGCAGACCCGCTTTGGACCTTCTTGGGAGACTTTCGCGGCACAGCGCGAGTCCTCATACCGCCCCTCAGGTATCTCGCAACGGGCCCAGGTTTCCAAGCTAAAACGCGGTCTCCAACGCCCACGAAGATGACGTCCTTGTTGGGACCAAGTAGGATGTGATGTACCGCGCGCATATCTGGGCCAGGGGATGTTGGCACAGGACCCCTACGAGGGAATGGTGGAACAGGTGACGAGAGCACTTTGAGACGTTCAAGCGACAGCCCATCGAATATGTGGGTAATTCCTCTTGCTGAACCCGTGACAAGAGTGACACCGTTCCAAGCGATAGAGGTGATTGTCGATCCGTCTCGAAACGCTTCGAACTTGTGGACTGGAGGGACGGGGCTACAGGAAGGCTCACTATCCCACAGATAGACACCGACACATCCCAGCCGGTCTCCTGTAACCACTAACCGCGAAGCAGCAAAGTCGCTGGACATACATGGGGTAACTGCCGACAAAGTGCCAAGCGTTCCCTCGCCGAAGGACGTCACAGTATGGCTCTCGAGCTTGTCAATGAAATCGATTCGATGGAAGAAATGGTCACCATCAAAGGCTACCACGAGGGTGGGGGTAGTTGGGTTGGCGTCGATCTGGAACGCGAGGACATCAATGGTTTCGTTCTCCTCCGTCGGCGTGAAAAGGGGAGAAACTGTGGTTGAACAGGTCGGGAAGATGTTGGTTCGCTCGGTGATTTTGAAGTGAAATCCGGACCAAACACGGATGGCTCCGCTGCGATATGTCACTGCAATGACACCGGCGTCGTAATTGGCTACTACCCTGGTGCAAGGCTCTGGGACCGCCGGGGGCAGGATAGGCTCAGAGGACCAGATGCAAATGCCTGTCAAAGGATCCCAAAGCTTGACCCTTCCATCTTGTCCAGCTGTGACAGCGAGCCATCCACTAGGCCCACTCATCCAAAGAGCATCGACCACAGCCAAATCGTGCGTGTCTCCCAAATCACAGGTCTTGAAATCAGCAAGTCGGCGGCTGGACTCCATGGTTTTGATCGTGGTCATGAAGGCAACCAGCCCATCGCGGTAACCCCATAAGATTCGCACTGTGCCCCCGTCCGCCGCCATTACGCACGTCGAGACATTAGGCGTAAATTCGGCGTTGGGATTTCCGATGCCTCGCCCATTGGTGGATCCTGCGGCATCCAAGTAGCCAGCCAGAATCCTACCGGTGAGCGGGAAGGACCGCGAAACGACGCCGTATTGGAGGGACGAACAGAGCAGTCCATCTCCCTCCAGAAGGTGCATATCAAAGATTTGCGAATGAAGCGGCGAGTGCGAGACCGTCCCAACGGGCGATCGTGCCCAGCGTCTGAACAGGCAACTGAGTCAGAAGACGGACCTCCGCCGAGTATCAGGATCACCAACCTAATCAAATCGTCGCGGACGATAAATTCTCGTTTCCAGCAGGAAAAGGAACGAGTCAGCAATACATGCTTGCTGCTGGCTTGGATGTCGCCCTCGGGTCCAATGCCTAGATACTGCGCCATAAAGGCGTGCTTCCAGGTGTTATCGTCTTCGACGTGCTTGAAGAGCGACTTCCGTACAAGGGAAAGGGCGAACAGAGTGTACGGGTCCATGAATGAGGTGATCCTGGTGAGGATCTCGACTGGAATGTCGAGAAGGGGGCTACTGTCGTCATCGTCGTGTAAGCCATCTTGGATTCGAGTATCTTGAACTTGGTTTTCTAGCGTTTCTTCTTGAGCGTGTTTCTGAGATAGCTTTTGAGGCCTATACGGCATAAAACTGGGGGTCGAAGGGAAAGTTGGGTCGCTGCTACGCAGAACGGTCGTCTGCGATGATGGTGGTTCGGGTTCAAGAGCGAAATTCTGATAACCGGCCTTTTTCCCACACGCCAATCAGGCTGAATCAGTTTGGAATCAGTGTTCTCGTCATCGTTGACAGCGATGAGCATTCCTCCAGCTACTTCAAGGTCAATGGCGAACTCGGCAACCGTATCTGCACTTCATTGGAACGCTATATAGGCCTCAATATCGACATGGTTGCCCGCACCCGCGTGATGTAACCTATCACCAAGACTGGGTCCCGCAAATCGAATGATGGCAGGTCATGAGCTTAAATTGAGGTTCCTCAGGAGCGTCCATTTCTCTCTTGGAGCTTGCCTACGATGTCTGCAGAGCGGGCTCTCCACGCCAAAAACGAAGGAAACAAGCTTTTCAAAGAAGGCAAACTTGAAGAGTGAGTTCACTCCCACGACTCCATCTCCAAGCCCCTCACTGACGATGCTGGATAGGTCGGTAAAACAATATGAATTGGTAAGGAAAACTAGAATGAAATCGCCTGGAGCAAATCTGACTTTTCTCGCCTCAGGCAACAAAACTTGACACAGCGAACCCAGTATATCCTTCCAATCTGAGCGCAGCGCTGTACGAAACAGGCCAATATGGCGCCTGTGTGGACGCCATCTTTGAATCTTGGTCGCGTAAACCTGATGAGGGCGTCGCAAAAAAACTTTCGGCGCGTCTTCCAAAGGCGCTTGTCTATGGCCTACACACCGGGACCATAAAATCCACGCTTTTCAGAGATCGCCAAAGCGAAATCGATGCTTTGAAGTCTCTAGCTGCGGGAGATGAAGTCTGGGCACTCTGCGGGAGGGTGGTCTCCAAATCCCTGGAAAATTTCGAGAGTCGCGCTTTGGATGCAAGGAGACGATTCTCCAAGCTGCCCATCTTGCGAGGATACCCGTACGTCCCCTTTGTTCCTACTATGGATCTTCTTCCTGAATTCGATTTAGGGATCCCACCCAAACTTTCTTCGTTGTGAGTCCTGGGTATGCACTCCATTCCTTTGTGCCTATCTCATGGATGTCTTTAGATAGGCACTGACGAAGTCATCTCTCTCCTGGATGGCTGGTCCGAGAAAGGAGGAGTGAAAAGAGACCAATTAGATGTCAAATCACTGAAGCCAGAGCAGTTGGAGCGACTGTCCTTCCTAGTAGCAGGCGTTGGCGATGGTTTGTCGACCACAATGGCCGCTTCTAAATCTCCTCGTAGACTGACAAGTTACTTCAAGGAAAACATGCATTCGGTACCTTGATCGGTCTGAAATTAGCCCGTGACAAGCTATCGCGGGAAAAACAAGCACATTTCAAGCCACATCTCACCTTGTTAGACGTCCACCCCGCAACTGTGGCACGCAACATCTTATTCTTCATGTTTTTGGATCAGCTTCTAGAGGGCCAGCTTACTTCGACCGAACGTTTGGAAGTCATGACTACGTTGTTCTACGTGTGTCTTGGCTGGGTAATGCCATCGTATTGCTGGGATAGGTGAGCTCACCGTCAGTGTTTGGGTTACCACATTGCTCATTCCCCCAGGTTCCTTGCATGTGTGGAGGATCTCAAGATCCGTCTCACGCAGACGCCTCCCAAGCTCCCGGGTTACATCCACCTCTCCCTCGATTCAATCCCACCCATTCTGAAAGCTCTCGATTACTGGCTCAAGGTATATGTGCCTCCGGCCAAGTTTTGCGCCAATATCACGCACGTCACCGGAGCAGAGAAGATTAGTCAATTAGCGAACGTGGGTATGCCCGGCCTGCCCAACCCGTATCTCATCCAACGACAAGACGTCCTTGAACGGATCGGGAACCTACAACCTTCTGAAATGATGCCCATGGCAGCAAAGCTTGGCCACCCTGACGTCAAAAACGAAACAGAGGCCCGGAAGGTTATTGTGGAAAACCTGGACGAACTTGTCGAAATCTTGACGATGGAAGAATTCGACAAGAACTTCCCGCTAGGTCTCAGTGAGGAATCGAAGTGGTACAAGGAAACGAAGGCGTTTGTCCCACCTCGTGCATTTTGGAGCCGACATTCCGGCTTGGAGCATTTTGGTCAGAAGTCTTTGACACGCGCAAAGCTGAAAGAGGCAGGTGCTTCGCCTTTGAAGATCGTGTTGCTATCGCTAACACTGCTGTAGATCGCGAAATCCATCCGCCAAACCTGGAAGTCTAATATGTGCACAGTGGTTCGTAACTTTGACCCTCGTGTTGACTTCGCCATTGAAAATGCTTTCAGGACGGAGTTCAATCAGACGAACTTACCGGCATGGACTTGGACATGCTCATGACAGTTCAATATTTCGCCAACTTTCTCACTGAGCACAAACTAGGAGAGACAGTGGACAAAGAACTTAAAAAGGACTCGCCTTCTTTTGCATACGCCGCTGCGTTCTTTGAAGCGGTTCTCGATGCAATCAGGACCTTACTCCCCAATCTCAACATTGAGTTCATTAGCGGTGAAGTCCACCAAGAACTTGCCAAAATTCGCTGGGGAGCAGATACTCGCAATCCTCGATTCCCCAAAGACTTTACGCGTATCTGGATGAGCAACATCCCGTGAGTGTAGTCACATCCTACGCCATATTCGAAGCTTAACAGCAAAACTCTGTTAGCGACTACACCCAAGGTCAACTAAATCTCACCACCTACGTCATTCCCGCTTTGCAGCGGGACCTGCCCTCTGCAGTTGGGGCCAACTGTCTGTTCAATAGCAACGTCTGGAAAAGCGACGATGCGTACTGTTACAAGTGAGTCTCCCCCCTGTCCGACTCTCTCCAGTCTGCTGACGTTATCCTACAGCTACACCATGCTGTTCCCTCGTGACCTGGAACGTTATCTCGGCTTGAATACCCTCGATGGCAGAGTCGTTTGGGAAATCCTTTCCTTCGGGCCTAGCTTCATCCCGAAGGCCCTGGCCACTTTGCCTACACGGGAGGAACTCCGCACCTGGCTGACGCGCCTTTTCCTTTCCATCGTTCATCCCGGATATGTCGAGCCTCGCCCCAACCTTGTTAAACTTCCCAGCACCTTGGTCGCCTTCGTCGGCCTCCTCGCAGAACTCAGCAACATCGGTTACCCGTCACATTGGATCTCCGAATTCCTTCAACTTGCCATCACTAACAACCTGCAAGCCGACCACAAAGTATTTCAATCCAGGCTACCCCGACCTGTAACTGAGCGAGATCAACTTGTCCCTTTGCATCGCATTCGAACGGACCCTTGGCTTCATGAACTTGAAACCATTCTGGCGATCGCCAACGAAGGTTTGCCGTTCTCTGTTCAGATGCCCGAAGGCCTGGCCACTCGCGACGAGGAGGTCGGATATTTCCAGGCAAAAGTAACGAGAGCATTCACCTACGGAATGTTCTACAACCGGGACGCTGTCGCTGCACTCGTCTTCTGGAAGAGGCCTGCCACGATCAGGGGTTTGATGCCCCAGTTACCCAAGCTGATCCACAGAGAAGCGGAGATTGCGCCTGTCGGCACTGTTGCCATTTTCACCTATCAAGACTACGTGGATTTGACGAAGAATGAGGTTAGGTGGAGGATGGGCAAGTCGACCGCGAAGAAGATGATCCGGGAGCAGTGGAGTATGGCAGTGGTCAGGATGGACCTCATGATGGACAGTGAGTGCTTTTGGCTATTCAAAGTTTAGTGCACATCGATTAACGACATGGAATCACTACAGTCACTGAACCGTGTCCAGCCAGTCGATGGATCTCCCTTGCCTAATTTGCTTATATCCCACCCTGAGCTCTCGTATCCGGCGCCTTCCTTCCTCCTTCGCGTTTACAGTCATAATCGATACTGTTATCTGCCCTTCACACTCAAAAACCGGAGCTGCTATGACAAAAGATAGCATTCTGGGGTGGGATGAACCAGACACCCCGAACTTTCTATTCCTCTCTCGTCGAACCTCGAACGCTGTTTCAAACTCTAGCTTCAGACTAAGAGCCTCATTCCGGGAGTTCAAACCGGCAACAGGGCTGTGCATTAGGCATGAAACGTCGAGTCGGAACCCTCGGTCGGATGTCGCACCATCATCCGGCCCCTCAAAATCCTCATTGCCACAACGTGTTTGGCTAATCACCCACAATTTCTATTTCCATACATCGGGCCCATCGACATGTATGAGGCCAAGGTGAGGTTTAACGTCTCATTCACATCCGTTCTCCATTCGTGACTGTTCGTGGCTCGGGTTTTGTGTGACCATGAGAGTTTCTCGCATCATGGCGGTGGTCGGCTGATCAGTATGGGTGCAACGAGGCCACAGTTGTGGCCTGCAGGGATGTTGGACCCTTGTGTACATATGTGTTTGTATACTATAAATGCTCGTGCCTCTTGAGAGGCATACCCCATCACCAATCGTTCGTAACTCCCCACCCTCGCTAGCCGTGACGAACTATACTGACGACAATCCTAACCAACACCAACGACATTCGAGGATGCTCGACGCATTCAAGATCAAGCCATTCGACCTCGAGCCCGTACTCGCGGAATGGACCGACGGTCCCGTCTTCAAGGGCAACCCCAAGAAGGACCCTCCTGTTGAGGAGTGGCTAGAGAAGATCAAGGAGGGCTGCACGGAGAGGAAGATTCCTGAAGAGTATTGGTACAAGGTCGGACAGCATTTCATGGGCCGTAAGGCGAAGGCACGGTGAGTGTGGCATGTTTGCCGTCAGGAAAAGGATTCCAGCTAACGCGCTCCGATGTCGATAGGTTTGATGAGGTGAAGCAAGTCGTTGCCAAGGTCAACGGAGGGAATTATCGCTGGACTTGGAAGAAGTTCAAGGTTGCGATGACGAACATGGGTTGTGAGTAGCAGTGCTTCTCTCCATGATGTCGGACGGCGTCAATTAACGCGTGTGCGAACAGGGGATATCGATCCTCAGGCTACGGAGACCATCAAGGTCCAGAAGAAGGGCTCCGGCTTCTGGTTTACGAGGAAGAAGTCTGAAGAGAAGGGAGAGAGTAAGGAGCCTTCGGTATCATCATCGTCGTCGACGGAGTCCAAACGCCCATCGCCTCCTACCCGATCCAACACTTTGCTCTGGGGCAAGAAGCCCGTCGTCGAAGAGCCCGAGGAGATCTTCACCCCCGGCACTCGTCCTCCTCCTACTAGGTCCAAGACCCTGATCGGAGACTCGTCCTTCTGGCTTATGCGCAGCGCCACCAAGGACGAGGACAGCTCCAAAGACTCGAAGGACACGAAGGAGGGGAAGGAGAAGGACACGCGATCCAGCCGTCCGGCGCACCAAAAAGCCAAATCGGAGACTGCGGTCAGCAAACGCGCACAGAGTGAAAGCAGGAAGGACGTTGCGAAATCCAACCCGTCGGAGGGTGAAGAAGGTACGTCATGGTGCGAAGCTCCATCTCCCAGAGCAGCTCTGACATGCGTATATTGGCAGGTACGACAGCACAGGCACCCGTGTGGCTGCTGAACGCTTGCAACGCGCTGGATTTCTTGACAAGTGAACACCCCAAGGCCATGAGTGTGATTAGTGCCGTGTTGATCACCGTTGGATCGATTCCTTCCATCCCGGCTATTAGTGCTGGCGCTGGAGGGGCAATTCTTGCTTCGGGTGCTGCCCATGCGATCGGTGCTATCGCAGTAGGCATTGGTCAGGCGCTGGGTGCCTCTGCCATCAAGAACACGCAGGAACGTCAGAACTCGAACGGAAACTAGATACAAATCATCAGAAGAAAGCAAACGACGATGTTTATGACAACTCACGATTATATTAAACTATTATTATACTTAGTAAAGGTTGAGACGTAATCCCTGTAATTTTAGTCGAACCGGGTAATACCACTGGTGGTCTATGTTGTCCTTAGTCGAGGGTAGTTGGTGAGGGTTCCTGGCGGAGATAATGACCGTCGAGTTCTGGAATCGTCGTCTCGGGTATTGGCTCGCCGTTGATCGAAAGTCCGCCTTCACACTCCTTGGGGAGCTCAATCCTGAAAGCCTTGCATGCTTCGACGAAGTGGGCGGGCAATGGGGCAGTTATTCCCAGTCTGAAACGCTTTTGAGGTCCACGCTGACGGTACCGCTACATCATAAAGTTCAGACTCCAAGCGTTGAAGGATGTGTTGGTGACGTACCACAAAAGCGATGTCGGAAGCGTGCAAGTAAAGATTGGGTTTTATTCGACCTTCACTGAGAAGCTTGCTGGCAACCTTTGAGCTAGAGTAACGGTCGTCACCGAGTATGGGTGCTGAGGCACGGCTAAGCCACAGGCTATTGAAGGAGACAGTGTTCGCTCACCTCCCAGTTTCTTTGCCATGTGGATGCGCAGCTGATGCTTGTTGCCGGTAAGAAGGTTAAGCCTAACCAGAGATATAGGCAGAACAGGCTACAACAGTTGTCGCTCAATAAGCAAAATACGGTTCGCCCTTCTAACAAGAACTTACCGAAGACGCAAGGAGGGACCACTCTGTCAAAGAAAGTTTGCCACCAGTGCCTAACCCATCGAAATAACCATCTTGGTACTTGATAGGAGTGTCTATTCTCCCACTGGTTCCGGGGAACGTTTCCTTTCCACCGCTGACAAGGGCGAGATAGGACTTCTCGACCTGTCCTTGGGCGAACTGCTTGCTGAGAGAGCGCGCTGATGTTTGTGTGGTGGCAAAGGCTAGACAGCCAGTTGTAGCCTGTATTTATGATCAGTATTCAATGTCCTCTCCAGCATTAAGTGTCCGGCCAAGTTTCATCCTTTCATCAAGTCGAAAGAATCAAGGACTATTGACGTGTGGGCTCCTGAAGCGTGCAGGGACCCTCTGACTATAGTTACAGAAAGAGGAAAGCACTCACGGTATCTAGCCGATGAAGTGGGCGTAGCGCCTCCTTCAGCTCGAGGCGCCGTTCAATTTCTACATGGCCCGTGAGTCCTTCGACATTCCTTCGATGCGATGTTCACGGTCACGAACGTTTAAGGACTTTGTCCAAAGTGTCCCTGGTCTGAGAATGGTGTCAGGTAAATGTAGGGTGTGCGTGTCAGATTACGCACCTTCATTTCAGGAAGTTGTCGCCCGAGCTGAGAAACGAGGCCTGCCGGTTTGTTCATGACAAGAACTTGTCGGTCGAGATATAGCACTGACTTCAGCGTTGTTGGCAGTTTTCCTTTAGCAAGGTGGCGTTCCAGTATAGCGCTCATTATCAACTTGTGGTCCTGTTTTGAGATACAGATAGTGTAGAAGATAAGAGGAAAGCGAGAGGTTGAACGACAACAGGACTTGCCTCTTGTCTCGTGGGCGCCTACACACACGGCGTTAGCCGAAAATCAAAGCGGAGTTTATCCCTCTGGCACAGCCACCTGCTGCTGTCGACCGCGACATCGCGACCGCTCCATAAATTAGGACGCGCCGACGTCGTCGCGCCATTCCTTTTGTTTTCCCAAACTCCTCACACCTACTGTCAGCTTTCCGTCCATAGATAAGGACAGTCCTAAAGACGCCAACTGGAGACGACATGAGCATTCTGGATGCACTGAACGAGTCCTTTGGCTCAGATGGAACGGGGGCTCCCTCGGGCTCCAGTTCGAACAGCCCTGCCGTTGCGGGGCCCAGCTTAAAGAAGGGCGATATACGAGAAGCTTTACTCGCCGCCAGAGCAAAGCAAATGGCCTCCGCCTCGTTCGGTACGCCGAAAATCTTCCTTTTTGGTTCGCAGACAGGCCTAAGCTTGCAATAGATATCGACTCGGACGACGAAATTGACCCCAGTCCCCTTTTAAGCCCTGGTCCCAGGAGCGGGAAGAAGGTTGCCGGGGGATTTAGACTCAATTACGACGAAAAAACCCCAATTCGAGCCATTGACCTTGGAGGACAGGACCAAGGCGAGAAGTACGCCAAAATCGTCCTGACTCGCGCTGTATCCTCCACCTAACATGATTCCAGGCTGGCGGAATTTGTCACCACCGCCATCGACAATCTTAGCCACGATATCAATGTCAAAGGCGCGATGGAAGAGCTCAAACTGCAAGGGTACGTACGACCCATCTGGTCAAGACTCCAACACTGTTTACCGAATGTTGACATCGCTTCTCAGACCCAGGGACATTATACCTGGACTGGAGGTCCGTTTACTTGGACACCAGTGTATCGGCGTCGCATGGTAATTTTGTTGATGTTGTTTCTGCTTTGGTTCTTCTACTTATGCCTGGTAGGATGCTTCGAATGGAGAGAAGCAAAAACCGAGGCGGGATCTTAGCGTAGGTCCCCCAAAGTTTTTTCGAAGGCCGGAACTGATATCCGCAATAACCGATGCAGGGATGACATGGGACTGGGTAGGTCGGAAGAACTCTCCTGAACAAAGCCTCTCTCACAATTTCCTAGGTAAAACTGTGCAAATGATAGCAACAATGGTCATGAATCCTCCTACTCGCGCGGACGAGTGTAAAACCACGCTGATTGTCGTTCCTGCTGCCCTCATGGAGCAGGTAGGTTCAAGCGGTGCTTATCATCAGCGTTCTCCTGTACTTAGTAGTTCCTGCGCAGTGGAAAGAAGAGATTCTGACCAAGACTAATGACATATTCAGCGTCCATATTCATCATGGCAGAGATAAATTGGTGAGTTCCTCCTCCGTATTTACCGTTTCTATCGCTCAATCTCTGCCAGACGGAGTCACAGATCAAGAAGAAAGACGTTAGTTCCTGACCACAAGTAACATAGTCCGAGCTGACCTGCCGCCAGGTCATTATCACCTCGTATCAAACCCTTTGCAACGATTTTAGTACGCCGTCTGACGTCAGCGCTGAAGAAGAAGCTCAATGGGTAGCCGAGAACGGGTAAGTCCTTTGTCGTCTTGTATTTCCCAATTTAACTTGGTATAGAGGACCGTTGGCGCGTCTACACTTTTACCGCGTCATCGCGGACGAAGCTCAGTTTATTCGAAACCGGTGAGCCCCATTGGCAACATCCCTGGACTCGTCACACTGACTCGACCCAGTGCCACGCGTGCAAGCATCAGCATGGCCCTCGTAAGGGCGACATATCGCTGGACGTTGACTGGCACGCCTGTTACCAATACCCTGTTCGTAAAACGCACATCTTTATGTCGGCATCGTTAACATGCCTCTGTCTTCAGTGCTGACATCTATGGCTTGTTGCGGTTTGGGCGCTTCCGACCGTGGAACGACTGGAATGATTTCAATGAGCATGTTGTGCGTCTATCTAACCCGTGCCGTCATTGACGTTGGCTCAACCTAGTGCTCTTCTTAGGCTAAAGTTCAATCCGAGGATGCCCCACTTGCAGGTCTGTTGATCACCCAATGACTCTCAGGATCGGTCTCACCACCATTATTTAGGCTCACGAGCTCAGGCTATTCTCAAACCCTTGATCCTACGGCGGACCAAGAACTCGACCCTGGAGGGAAAGCCCATCTTAAATCTTCCTCCGAAGGATATAGAAATCGTCAAACTTCAATTCTCCCCAGACGAGCGCGAGGTATTTCACCGTGACGCGTATGGCTGAATACAATACTCAAGGAACCACGTCAATAGGTCTACGATTCGTTTGAAAAGTCGACCAAGATCAGACTGAATAAGTTCATCCGTGAACGAACCCTCTTGAAGAAGTGTGTACCCATTCTGTTTCCACCTTCCGTGGCTAACCTCGGCCCGCAGTCATGCCCAAGTTTTGGTATGCAATCCTCCAACGGAGCCGTTTTCGTACTCACAGCACCTTAGGTCATGATTCTTCGCCTGCGGCAAGTCTGCTGCCATCCGCATCTCGTTCTTGTGCGTTGAATACAAGGCGCCTTTAAATTCCATTCACGGCCTGATCTGTCCTCTAGTCCCAAGCCGAAGGACTTGACGATCCGACCGCCCTTGTACAGGGAAACGCGGAAAAGGAACTGGGCCGCGCCCGAAAAACTATGGGCCCGCTTTGGGTAGCAGATGTCAAGAAGGAGTTCCTCCTACGCGCGGCGTCAGTCGAGTCTGTGGATTTCTCTGATGAGGACGACACAGCTGCACCAGGTTGTCCTGTCTGTGGTGACGGTATGGCGTCGTACCTGTTGCCGCTGATCCAATCTCTGACGTTCCTGATAGTATTCTCCAACGACAGTGGGCGAGTGTTGTCATGCAAACACGAAATGTGCTTCGGTAGGTGGCGAAACGTGTTGGCCACTTAAATGTGCTCTAACCTATATGATCTAGACTGTATGCTCAACACCAGAAATGGAACTATCACCCACGACGGCATATTGTAAGCTGTTTTGCGACTCGTTGAGAGTATTGTCTCCCATGCACAATCTACTATAGCGGCTACGGTACCGAGAAGGAAAACCAGGAAGCTGAGAAGGCCTTTGAAGAAGCCGCGGCAAAGGGCTATAGACCTTGTTCGTAACCCCCTTTTCCCCACTCCCAGAGCCTGACCCCTTTACTAGGTCCAACATGTCGCAAAATGGTCGACCTTTCTGATGCGAAAACGTTCAAGTCCAGCGCCTTCGAGCCGAGTGACGAAGAGCTCAGGCAGCACGCTCAGAGGAAAGCGAACAGGTCCCGGAACAGGTACTCGGAGAAGAAGGGGAAGAAGAAAGCACCCTCACCCCCACCCGACTTCCTTAGCGACCTCGATGACTCGGACGATGACCTGCCAGAAATATCGGACATTTTCAAAACCCCGAAGAAAAAGGGCAAGGGAAAGAGGGTCGATTCGTCAGATGTAGGATGATCGTTTCCTTCCTCGACACCATCGCTAATCAGTTTCAGGACGACATGGCTGTGGATGATGCGGTCTCAAATAAATCCAAAGGCAAGCGCAAAGCGGACTCCGATTCTGAAGTCGAGTTCCTTGGCATGACACCGTCGCGGAGAAAACGCGTGCGAGAAGCCGAGCGGAAGGGCAACGCGAGTGATAGCTCTGACGTGGAATTCATGGGAATGACCCCCTCGCGTCGTAAAAGGAAGGAGCAGGAGGACGACTCGCCTTCGCCATCCAACAACAAGAAAAGCAGCGGTCCATCCGATGCTGTCCTCGCCACCTGGAAGAGAGGCGATGATGACTTGGAGGCGAGCGCAAAGATGCTCAAGTTGGTTGAGTATCTGAAGGAGTGGGACGACACTGGGGATAAGACGATTTGCTATTCCCAGTGGACCTCCATGCTTGACCTGCTCGAAAAGCTCTTATCCCGTCATGGTATCCGCACGTTACGATTTGACGGACAGATGGATAGGGCCGCTCGAGAATATGCGATCTCGAGCTTCAAGCGTGCAGGGGGCCCCAAGGTCATGCTGATTAGGTATGTCATATTTCTTCTTCCGCTGAGAACTGAGCACTTATCTTCTCTTCCGTCTAGTACCCGCTGCGGCAGCGTTGGGTGCGTGCGGCTCCACTGACTTTCTCATTTCGTAACTGACCTTGGATCGTCGCCAGCCTTAACCTTGTGATGGCCAACCGGATCGTCAAGTAGGTTCTTTTGACATCTTCTGTCATGACTCCCCCAACGGCTAATTATGTATCGCCTTTTCTTTCCAGCATGGATTTGTCTTGGAACTATGCCGCGGAGTCCCAAGCCTATGATCGGTTGGCATACTTTGAATGTCTACTATGACTCACTGCGACTAACTCTTCTAAAGGTGCCATCGAATTGGGCAGGACAAGGATGTTTTCGTGAAACGTCTGGTTGTCGAGAATACGATTGAGGAGCGGTAAGTGCATTCCTCACCCTTTATCACTATAGCTCTAATCCTTGCGCTAGCATGCTGCGTCTGCAAGACGTTAAAGTAGGGCTCGCCGAGGCTGCACTCGGCGAGGGTTCTGGAGCCAAGCTCCATAGACTAAGTGTCAAGGAGATTAAATACGTGCGTCGACGTTGAACCTTTCACAAGGTTAACCTGCGTTTACCCTGCCTGCTCTCTTTAGCTGTTCGGTATGGGACCTCTGAAGAAGCCAGGGAACAACGGTAGAAACGGTTCCGCTGATAGTGACAGCGACTGAATGGATCGCTGAAGATAGGGTGGGACGCTTCCCTCGTCCCGATAGAGACATGTTCTCCGCAATACTCTATCTACGGTATAATTCTGTGCATGCATACCCTTTTTGCGATAAGTTACTGAACATTGGTTCTCACGTCGAGCTTAGTGCCACGCCTTGTAGAGGCATCTAATATATCGTACATTACTCTGACAATACATATGGCATGTGGTTTAATCAAGGCTGTGCGCATGTTCCAATCTTTGCGACATCGTCCAACTGAAAGGGCAAATCATAAAGCACTCCATCCAGATAGGCCAACGTAATCGACCTCCCTTCTCAACAGCGATGATTCCATCTAAAGTAAAGCAACAGCAATACCCGCCACAACGACCGCGACACCGTTCATACGAGGTGCAAGGGTGAATGCAGCGCCATCCTCGTCGGGGAGTGGATCTGCGCTGACGGTCTCCGAGGCGCCGGAAGACGTGCCGGAAGACGTCCTCGAACGAGTGGAACTGGGAGTCGAGCTGCCTGTAGGACTCGTGGAGACGCCAACATCAGTGCTCGATGCAGACGGGATGAAGCTCGACTCGGTTGGGAGGTCGAGGGTGATGGAGCTCTCGCCCGTTGGGACGGGGTCGTCCAACGTGATGGATCTAAAATCACAGTTGGGCGGTTATCGGTGGAGTCGGGTAGTGCAGTCGAGTCCGATGCGAGATTGGTTCAATCATGGTTGGGTGGAGAGTGGTGGAGTATGCGAAAGATTCCATCAGTATGTGAAGTAAAGGCAGTGGATTGTTGGGTTTTGCGTTCGGATTGAGCAGCAATGGAATAAGATATTGCCGAGGGCACGTTTGTTCGAACGGAAGGGGGAAGGGACGATGTAAGAGTTATGACACTTACGAATCAGTCGGGTCAATGGGGAGGATGCTGAAGGAGCCCGATTCGACGTCGCTCTGGGCGTGGGCAACACCGAGTGAGAGGAGGAGGGCGGTCGTGAGAGTCGTGAACTTCATTGTTAATCTAGGCTCGTGTCAGGCAGTCGTGGTTCGGTGAGGGCACGTCTAGATGTCGTGGAGAGTGGTTGCAAAGAGGACGGATGTCCGAGAACGGGTCGAATGTCGTTGGTGGTTTCGTACAAAGGGTACGTACTCCAGGGGGGTGTAGCAAGGGAGTGCTGAAACAAGTCCTTTTTGTCCATTGCCGCCCTTTATATCCATCTCAGGCAACCGCATGCGGAACGGTGGCATGGTATCCTGCAATGCACCTCATTCCTCAGCGGTAGCCCGCTGGTCCATTTCCGCACTATACTGTATCTGATCGTGATCCCATAATTGCGCTACAGCCTATATTAGCTGGGTGGTACAGCCTTGGACACCACTGGGCCCGAGTCCAAGTCACAAGCAAACATCAAGGTGAAAAGTAGTGCAAAGTAGGCAATGTGTGATCTACTTCCGCCGGTAGACCCTGGGTGGGCCAGGCTTCTCATCGCGCTTTCGACTGTAGACCAGATGGACAGCACCGCTCCCACACGGTTCTTGGAGTGATAACACTCGCCACGACGATTCACGAGGACAACAAATCGTATGGAATCGAACGAAATCCACTTGCCTGTGGTATCATACCAATGTGACCGATTCCAACTTCTCGACCTGGGATGTATGTATGTTGCCAAATGACCCAAGCAATAACCATGGCCACTTATGCTAGCTTCGAATTCGCAATGACACGGCCGCTTTTGATGATTATGGTCGTCATCCCCTTTCGTGCATAGAAATGTATGACGAATTTTGAGGGTCCATTGCACGAAATTGTTGCTTACCAGCGAACTTCTCCGCAGTAAAGGCAGTGAAATGGGCGGGCATCCTTCACCAACGGGGTGGAGTTTTTCGCCCACCCATTCCCATTGTTTGATTCATCCCATTCGTCTTCTTCGGACTGCTTAGACGAGGGTCTCCAGGGAGCGCATAGCAGTTACCGAGAAGCGACTAGGATAAGAATTTAGGGGTTGATAATGAGCGCGCCTTCGATGGGCACACCTCGCCGTTCAGAACCCTGGACCGATCCACAGGGCGGTGCTAGGCTGACCTTGTTTGAACTCTTATCGGGTCGGAATGTAGACAGTGAATGAGTGAAGATAGGAAGGTACAGCGTCCCTGCGATCATGTTGGGCCCTGTGGCATAGGCGTGTACAAGCCGCTCGTAACTCGAGGAGATAACGTTCGGCCACCGTTGGGATGGGCGGCTAATGTGATCCAAAAATAGATAAGCGAAAGCGGATGCTTTTTGATGGGCTTCATCCAAACGCGTTTGGGACAGAGTGAATGAAAGTCCAGTACAGTAAAACCGTGATTGAATGGAATGACAGGACGCCGGTTCATGAAGCTGTCAACCAATATTCAAGCTCTGCCTCGTTGCTAATCTCGTTTGATACTATAGCGTAGGTGTTCTATTAGCTCTCTAGCCACGGTGCGCAGCACTTCGCTTAATCAATGATCTGTAGCCGGTAGAATTCATCGTTCGAAGAGCCATTCTTAACTCAAAAAGAACAAAGGATCACTTCTCTACGGTTGGCGCGCGACTTTTGTATGGTACAGACTGGACATTTGTGTCGACATCCCCCATCCTGACCCTGTTCTTCCCCTGTCATGTTTTCCAGAAGCGCCAAACGTGCGTCCAGAGCGGCGTCAAACAAAGATCTAAATTGCGTTCAGGACTATTATTATCATTTCTGTTATTGCAAGTGACACGATCCTGATTCTTTGAATAGAGTTAGATAGAGAAGACGGTGGATGGGGGCCTAGCCGGTACCTCGGGCAGTGCATGCGTCAGATCTTGCCTTCCAGAATACAGTCAGCCTCAAGGCTTCGTGTCATCCGTGGGTGGAGTAATAAGGCTCCATTCGGCCTTCCTTCCACATTCCTTATTTGAATGATTTTCGTTTCGGTGACTTGAGAATTGCGCTGGTGGAGCTTCGATGATGCGAACAGACCGAAAGAGGATGCTAACGGAGCTGCGGAAGAAAATGAGCGCTATTGCAGCTCCACAGGCGGTTACCTTCACAACATTTGAGCTGACGCGATAGAAACAGCCGATGGTGCAGTGCTAACGTTGACGATCGCTCCGGAAGGAAAGTCGAGTCCGAAACACATTGATTAAGAACTAGTCAGGGTACTAGGAAGACGTAGCAAAGGAGAGTGAAGAGTCCGAATATGAATAACTAATAGGAAGTAGCGATGAACGCAGTCCGTTGCTAAAAGCCCATGGTGGCCTATCGAAGCGGGAAATGAGCACAATGTTAAATGGAGCGATGCGATAGGCAACTTACAAAGGGCCCAACTCTAGATCGCAAGAAGCTCAACCGCATGAGCCTTTTAGAGAGCGATGGCTGCGAGACCAGCGATGGCTGCGGCGGCGTAGTGGCCAGAGCCGAGGGCGATGGAGAAGGCGCTGTCGGGCTCGTCAGAGGGCTCAGGACCAGCGCCAGACTGGGAACCGCTGACGCCAGAGCCAGGGCGCGAGACAGAGGGGGAGGAGACGGGCCTGGAGACGGAGGCAGAGGCAGAGGGAGAGCCGACGGGAGGGGTGGCGGGGGTGGTCTCAGGAAGGGGGACGGTGGGGACCTCAGCAGAGGCAGAAGGCTCGACGGGGGCGCTGTTCGTCATGTAAGGACTGCATCGCCGACGAGCAAATTGACTCAACATACCTGGGGACCCCAGAGTCAGATGGAACAGGCCCTTCGCCTGGAACAGAGGGGGTGGGCTCGCCGGCGGGGGGCTCAGGGACAGAAGTCTCCTGGGCGTAGACACCAGCAGCAAAGAAGAGAGCAGCGACGATGGTGGCGAACTTCATTGTGATTGGTGAGAGTGTGGGCTACGTTCAAGGATATGGAATGAGTTGGTGGAAGAGAGAATCTGGGGAGACTGGGGAGTTGGAGGAGGGTTTATATAGCCAGAAAAACGGGGGACTAATGCCGAGAACATTCTATTTTTGTTCTGAGTCAACAGCGGTGCAGGTTGCGTGCTAGATGCCACCGCCATAGCATCGCGATCGTGAATTTTCCCAATGCCTTTGTGTCAATTCCTGGAATAGACCCTATTCTATGAGTCTAAAAATAGACTTCCCGAGATGACTAGCCAATCGGACAGCCCGACAACAGCCGCATAGCAGCGTATTGATCTGGGCTTACATCATTCAAGTCAGCGTTGAGTGTAACAATCTCAAATAGAAATGCGCACCATTTTCCTGAACTTTCGAAACGATTCCAAAGACCAGTCTCTGAGGCGATATGTCGGCCTTGCTGACGCACAGAAAAGGAAGGGGCAACAATTTCCTTATCGGAGGATGCGCGGTCGGGGGGTCTGCCATCAACTGCGGATTGATGGAAGGCACGTGGGATGTCATCTCGATCAACGTTTTTCGCGCAACGCAAGCTTCGAACGAGTCATGACAGGCGCCAGCTCGTATTGTTCTGGCCTTTTCAAGGTCGCAACGATGGACTAAACCATGTCAAACACTTCAATGACACCTTCCTCTGGATAATGTAAGGTTCCTCTGACAAAACACACTCATTCACAGAAAACAAGGACTCATATGAAGGCACACGCAGCGAGTTATAATCCCAAACGAGTGAACATTCTATTAAAGTGTAGACAAGCTGTGACCAACTACAATCCACACGCGAGGGTAAAGGGTACTAGGGTACGAGGGGTAACCTGAGGGCTCGGTGTAAGAGACGGCAAACGGTGGGAGAGACGAACATACGGTGATGATGGAGCCTCTAAAGAAGGACGGTGGGTATCTTTTTAGAGGAGGGCAACAGCGACACCAGCAAGGGTACCGGCCACGACATGGCCAGCGCCGAGGGCAATGGAGAAGGCGGATCCTTCCTCCTCATCGTCGGTGGGCTCGGGGCCGTCAGCAGAGTCGGAGCCGGTGGGGCGAGCAGATCCAGAGACAGAGCCGGAGGGATCACTGAGTGAATAATTAGAACAAGTGAACAGTGTATGAATAGTTTTACTTACGCAGAGCCAGAGGGCTCGACGTCGCCAGAGGGCTCGACGGAGGGCTCAACGTCGCCAGAGGGCTCGGCTGAGGGCTCAGCAGCGGGGTCCTCGCTGGCCTGAGCGTAGGCAACGGCGGCGAAGGCAAGGGCAGCAACGACGGAGGTGAACTTCATTTTGAATTAGAAGGAAGGTGGTTCCAAAGGAAGATTAGCGGTGTCGTGTAAGTAGCTGGGGAAGAGCGTTGCGAACTGAAGAAATCCAACTGCACCCAGCAAGGTTTATATACGCGTTTCTCGGTATTTTCCGTTGTTTTGGGCGGTGGGAATTTGATCACGTATAGCACGCGTCTAGAGCACTTTTTCTTCCCAGACAACCGGCTGGCACGCCGCCATCTCAGGGTGGTCGGTCCTCGCCCCCAGCGAATAGAACCCTGTCCATTTTCTCGGATATTGCGCCCTTGGAATCATTTTTCTATTGCTATTGCTCTTTTTTTTTTCCTGTCTCGCCTCGCCTATCCAGTCGCGCTCCACCTGAGACGTACCACAAGCCACCCTCCCAAACCTTACTTGGACGTGAGACGTAAATCTAGTCCCTTCATTGGGCCTCGGCCGAGCTATCTCAGTAACTCAGGCTCGTATAGAACGGTTGAAAAACTGGTTAGATCTTCCAATACATCCAATTGCAACATATCTTTCCCATATCACAACATGAAGTTTGATCGGGAGCGGTGTGGTAGACATGATGCAGAAGACGACCCGTAACCGGATGATAAGATACGCTTCGGGGTTCTGTTTTCTGCTTATTCCTCCTCCCCGTCCTCTTCCTATCCCATATCCGACCCACTTCAACGACCCACCGAACCCCAGAGCACTTCACCGCGGATTGAACAAAGGGAACGAACGAAACCATCGGGCGCCTCCTGAACAAACTGATGCCATTACTCTAAGCGAGAAAAATCAAGCTTTAACCCCGGTTACGAGAACCTAAAAGGCCAAGTGGCAGGTGCTGCGGAATTGCATTAGTTCTTATGGCATTCATTCCATATCCATTCAAAGCTGTCGCCCACAACACACACGACCACCAACGTTGTTCTCGCTTCGCAGAAGATCACTTCATTGTTGTCCCCAGCTCGATCCCCTTCTTCCTTGCCTTGTTGCTCCTTTATTACCGCGTTTGTTAACCTTGGACGAAGCTCTAGCATCTGCCGCTCCGTGAAGAACGAAAGTACGAAGAACAAAGATGGGACCTGGTCTTTCAGGAGCTCGGGCGCCTAATTTTTCCCCAAGACCCGAGAAAGAGGATAACCGAGGCTTTCGGCAGACAAAGGAACTGTGTGTGTCAGGGGGTGGGAGGGGCAAGCCAGCCACAGGGACCGCTGATGAGCGGGAATGCAAAGCGTACTGTGTGGGTAGAGGGCCCCACCAGGGCCTACCAAATCGCACTGAAACGCACAAGGAATCACTCGAGCACGCCTTTAGCACGCGCCATGAGGCAGGCGCGGGGCCTCACCGTTCACGAACTGGGTGACAGGTGTATACATACTACGCGAAACACGAGTTCCGGTTAGTCTGATCACGCTAATGGATCATGGGATCCCTCTCTTGCTCTCCAACGTCCAATCGAATTAAACACTGAAACGAAGGGTTTGCAAAGGGTTGCGCATTGAAGGGCGCGTGCCCTCAGCTTCCCTTACGCATCGACCGAGATTCCAACTGTTTACCTCCACCGTAGCCCCTATGCGGACCTCATGTCTCCAGTCGCACTTCCCCAACCCTTGATTTCCGCGCTTAACACCGAAAGATACAGGGATCAACCGCGGAAAGTGCTCGGACATCGTGTTGCACCGTCCTAGTCGCGAAGAAGACTGAAACAGGACGAAGCAACGACGTCAACCAACGACCACGCATCCTGGCACCCTTCACACTCGCACAGAGCGAGCAAATCCAGCCGTTGCGTCTCCCAACGCGAGCGCATCCGGTCCCCTCGTTTCAGATCAAAGTAGAAACTGGAAACGATAACTCGAAAGGGCAAGATAGGTTCCAATGGAATGTTCTTTTCACATTTGTGACATGTCGATGGGCGGAGAGAGGTGATAAGGATGGTCATAAATGGTTAGTGGGGGCTTGGGAGTGAGGCAAATGTGCGGCCTAGACGATGCTTGTCGACGTTAGCGACGATGAGCTTCACCGACATCTGTCGTGTCGAAAGTATCAACGTCGAGCGAGAGACATGACTTTTCCATGTCTTCCAGAGACACTTGAAGCGACATGAAGGCCTCGAGGCTAAGGAAGTGATGATGAACGTTGATGAAGCACGCGGTGCGCAGACGACAGGCAGTGAGCATGATCATCGATAGGTGACACCAGACTGGAGGAACAATGATCGTAGGAGACATCGATAGAGGGAGAAGCGTTGAAGAAGTGATTATTGAAGAGAACGAATGGCAGGCGAGGCTGGTCATAAGATGCTCACTGTCAACAGTCAGTAAAGGGTCTCTGGATGCGTGACCATCGATTGTGATCGCGAAGCTGGTCGTTGTGGAGTAGCCAACTCGCTGGTCTGTCGGCGCCTGGCCCCCTATCCACAAAAAAGGTCTAGAGACCATCCGCATTCGAAACGTAGGGGTAAGAGCATATACATGGTATGCATAAACCAAGAAAGAGAGATAGAGCGACGACAATCGCTGCCCAATCGCGGTGAACCGTCCACCAAATTGGATCTTCAAACGCCCCAGTGCGGCCAATGGCAATCTCCACTGCGTCCTGCTCAGACACAGAGCCAAGCAGCGACAGCAACGGCAGCCGCAGCCACCATACCCCTCTTGACCTCAAGCCCTACACCAGAAGAGTCGTCTTCCGGTAAAGCTGGCCTAGAAGGCACACTCGACACGATCGTCGTCGTGTGCGTCGGGTAGCGGCTGATCACAGTCGAAACCAGTGTCGTGGTGACAGTCCTTGAGGAGATGACGGTAGAAACGACGCTGGTAATCACCGTCGAGAAGATCCCACTGCTGGCGTCGTCCGAGGCGGGGAGGCTGCTGCTGGAGTCCGACGCTGGGAGGCTTGAGCTCAACGAGGTGGGCGGTGGGGAGAGGGTGTCGCTCTCGGTGGCGGTGCTCCTGAACAGAAAAAAATGGTGAGCCAAGAGATTCCAAGGAATGGCGGAGATAGGGGTAATTGGGACGCGCTCTAGAAAGCACTTACGACGGTAATGAGCTTGAGGGCGATGTCTCGTCGGTGAATGTGGTCGTAGGCGTCTGTGCATACGCGCATAGGAGGGCGGATGACAGGAGGATGAATCGTGTGGCTTTCATGGTGCTTGATTGTTCCTTTTTTTCCGGTGTCCTGCAAGTGAATACGTTGAGTCTACGAAACTATCTCCCCGTCTAGCGCAGGGAAGTAGCTTACAAGGGCCTACAATGCAGTTAGGTGGCTAGACAGTGGGAAGAGATGAACGAGGGCGAGAAGAATCAAGAAGCTCCACTACGATTCAACCACGGTCTTTTCTTTTCCTCGCACTTGTAGTCCCGACTTCAGATGTCAACGTTCGACAATGGCACGAAGTAAATATAGTCCAATCTAATTTAAACCTTGCAGCCACCACAAACAAGGCGCGCTTTTGTACTGAAATGATAGTCTTACCTTCTTCGAACTTTCTCAACAGCGGTCGCTCTTCGCAAATGGGCGCCTGGGATCCTCGAGGCCTGACAACTTTGACAGAGAAGACTTGAAAAGGAGCGGTTCCCGAACCTTCCATTCGAAATGGCGCGGTTTCAACGTGGTAGTGGGGGCCTGGTATGTATACTCACTCTGCCTGGCGTCGTGGTGGAAAATCCCTCAGCTTGTCGTTCACGTCTCGGAAAGGGTTTTGCCATGCCATGCGCAGCAGTGGTGTGAGCGGTTTAATTAATGTGTAGTCGGTTAAAGATAATCAGTGAAGCTTTGAAATTTGAAGTCTATTATTAAGTGAAGGGTATATACAAAAGAAGATGCAATGATCGTGGAAACGAGGCCAGTGTGAATGGTGTGAATGGTTATTCAAGAATGAAATACGAACACGGACGGCGGGTATGTAAGTTGAAGAGAGCGAGAAAACATGCCGGTTATAATTATGTACAACGCATCATGGCATGTTAATCACACGTCCCACCATTCGCCAACCTATTCTTAGGCCAGGGTTCTTCCATTTGCTCCCAAGTCGAGATATTGGGGTTCGTATAAGCGCGATTATACCTGTACCAAATCGTCAGCACACTGATCAGCAGGCCAGCACACCCAACCAAAAGACCGACTCACGTCTCGATATACTTGGCAGTCGGAAACTCTATAGGGTCACATCCGATATTCACAGCATCTTTAGGTTGGTAGACCCGGATGTAGTCGACGCTCATCGTCGCAGGGAGGTGGAGGATATCAAAGTCGATGGGGCCAAAGTTGAGTGAGAAGCCGAGATTGGCTATGATGTACTATAGGGAGGAATTGAGAGGATCAGGATTGGCAAAATGGGACGAGACCATTCAGTGGCACGCACCATGGGTTCCTGAGGAATAGGCCGAGCGCCAATGTGAGTAAGCGGGTCAGAACCCATTCCCTGCGAGAGGATCGTCCACGCCGCTGTATCGTCGTTGATCCAGGTGATATACCCATCCTCGAATCTGAATGCACCGCATGGTCAGCCCTCGTTGAATCGCTGAAAGCAACGACGGCAACCCAACACATACCCAGGTTTGTACTCAAATCCATAAACCGCAAAGCAATCTGTTCCCCCTTCTTCGTAACAGTCTTGGTTGGTGATTCCAAGGGCGCTGCTAGTTTGTTGATACACCCCTATCCACGTTGTGAGCGGAGCTATAGAGACCATATAAGGTTAATCGCTTACCTCCTTTATACGCGTTGAGATGCACTCGGTCTGGGTCGTGAATGGCGTAGGTTTGGGAATTGACTGTCCAGTTGTAGCCCGCCTACACAAGATTTAGCATCCACCTGGGTTTTAGGGGTGGGGACCCACGTTGTATGGTGCCCATTGGGCGGAGAGCGAGACCTGACCAACACCGTTCTCAACAAGAGCTTCGATCACGTCGATCTCGGGAGCAGCGCGTCCGACGTATGAACCGTCTGGGCGCATGGGACCAGGATGAGATTCTCCAGGGCAGGTACACGCGGCTTGAGGAGTCGGTGGTCCCATGAGCGCGATCCATAGAATGAGAACACATTGGCAACTCACAGAGTTTCTGGCCTGGAAGGTAGGACTGCGAATATGTCAGCCTGGGTGTACTATGTTAGGAAGAGCAATCCTTACGAGCACATTGTCTCTCGAAGGGTCGCCCATGGTGACCGCCAGTTCGGGAAGTTGAGTTCCGGGGTACGTCTGGTTGGGAAGGGTTCCGACGTCGCACGAGTCGTAACTGTACGGCCACTGAATTTCGGGACGTCAGAGTATGAGTCGGCCATATCGGGAAGACAACAAACCATGCCATCAAGAGATCCACCAAAGCCAGCACGGCCAAGGTTACCCATTGCCCATCTGACAGTGTGCGGTTTAGTATAAGGATTCCATACCCGAAATAGAGACTTACACCGCAGGCCACAATCCACTGAGAAGGTAACTGTTAGTCTCACTCGGCGGTCGGTGAAGGACATGACCTACGCAGCGTTGGTGTTACCCGGTAGTCGAACAGCCGCTTCGAGCAACCCGCCGGTGAAACAGAATTTGTTCCTTTGGAAACCGGTAGTTAGAACCGATTTGCGCATGAGAAATCAGGGGCGATCAGTACCATGTTTGGACCTGAGGAAGTATTAGCACGGAACAGCCGTCAAAAGGCAGAAGCGGCATACCATGCCCGACGTGTAGTTCATATTATGGTTATTCTCTGGATTGGCTCGAGAGAGAGTTAGACGAAGGGACCCGCCCTCCGTCGTTGCGCCAGAGGGATCATACCATTCCAAGTCATTCTGAAAAGGATAGCATCAGTTCAGTACATCGTATCAATTCGAGAAAGCAAGCGCACAGTTCCCCAGTAGTGCAAGTCGACAGCCTCCCAGTATGGATCATCTCCAGGGTAGAAGGTGCGCCCATCAACGTTGAACTCGTCTGAGAACACCAAGATGAGTTCCTCGCTGCGTCCGGGAGTGTAGGCCTGCTTGGTAAGGGCTTCTTGAGGGGTGTCAGGGTCGATGAGCCCCACTTTCATTGGGAATTTAGGGATTTGACCAGTCGCGTTTATACCGCCCAGGTTGAAGCCACCTTGTGTGCTGGGCTTCGGAGTGAGGAAATAAGAAATTATTGGGAAGCCTGAAGTGGATGCTGAGTATATTTCGGCCTTGATTATCGAACAGTCCTACCCGCACTGTATCACGGAAAGTCAGGACGAGTGGTCAATGAATCGGTGTCCTGAAGAAACAACTCACAAAAGAGCTAGCATCCCCATACAGAGGACGAACATGCATCCAAGATTCGCAATACCACGGGAGGTAAAGATGTGTCCTCCCCGATCCCCATGTTTATCGCGTCGAGGGTCAGGGTTGTGTAGGGCGTCGTCAGGCTCGGGAAACTCCATCGTCAGTGGGAGACCCCATGCTCGCGGTGAAGGCGGTAACGAATACTATCGACCAGTATCGCATTCAGCAACGAGAGTTCAATGAAGCGGATTGATCCAAGTACCTTGGCGGAAATCTTGCTCTAGAAAAGGAGTGCCATCAGCTCGATTCGTAGATGTAAGGAAAAGCAAGAGCAGCACTTGGAAATACCTTCTGACTTCCGCTGTCCTTTCCTCCCTCTGGGACAAGCAGGCTCGTGGCGGATACCGATGATAGCTGGGTAAAGCCATGGTTTTGGCTTTTTACTGTCATGACGTGATAGGATGGTGGTCCTCAGGCCAGTCGCAGATCCTCTCGACGTGAAAAAAAGAGAACAAAAAAGAGAACAATTAGATGTCCTTGTCGCCGTAAAAAAGAGTGAACGAGGGTAGGATTGACGAGAACAAGGTTTAAGAAAGAAAAAGGACAGCACAGTCGGTGACAACCGACGTTGTCGTGGTTGGGAAGCGAGAAGATGGAGCCTATGGCGCGCCCATTCTCAAGTTCTTACGTGGATAGATTTCGTGCGCCGCAGGCTCAATAAAGATGGCTATGTCCATTTGGGTGCTTCGTCCGAAAGGTCGCGTCCCTAACCGCAACGAAGAGACTTTGGAGGACTCACTGGACATATTTTCGGCCTTTTCAACGCATCTGAAGGCATTTATGCAGTTTATCTCGACACAGATAAGCGCCTAAGCCTAGGACAAGAAAGACAAGAAGTCTTCGGTGCAAGCCAAGAGGCAAAAATGGTAAACGAACTGCAGGGGTGGTGGCACTCTATCTATTTTTAGCTCCGGAAGCAATAGGCGCCCTTGGCAGCCCGAATCACGCAGATACAAATTCAATCAGAATACTGCTGTAACGTCAGCTTACTTTAGTCTTTTACTAGGAACAGTCCTTTGCAGGACCACGTAAAAAAATAAATAAATAAACATCAGTCCCTATCTGCGTAGAGGAGGAGCTGGTACACGGAGAGGATCGAACTTGCTATTTCGAAATGGTTCAGAAGTAGATTTCATTCAGAACATCGCAACTGACTTCGAGTCTCGAAGGGGTCTGAGCTTGAGCAGCGGAAGGCCTGGCAACAGGGTCAGGCGGGAGACCGTTGCGCCAGCGCAACGACACGGTAAGGAAACCGCAATCAACATTAGAAGATCGTCACAGACAGCCCATCGTGTTCGACCTTCCACCCCTTCCAAACAAATCAAGAACTCGCCGAGAAAGAGGTCGGCAGGTAAGATATGCATAGTTTCTCCGTTCGAGAAGACGAGACTGAATGTACATATGATGCTGGATTGGAGACGAGGGAAAGCTAACTGAGAGAATGGTGAGCAAAGAACTAAGTCGAAGGGTCCCATGGCACTGACCTAATATACATTGTGTTTTTTTGAGCCAATAGATATTGCTATTGGGAAACTCAACATCCTCCTTGAAGCCTGTTCCTCGGCCAAGGTTCCCCGCCTTGTTCCCATGTCGAGATATTAGGGTTCGTATAGAGATGAGGGTACCTGCAGGTGCATGGTCAGAACGAACGCAAACCCACCACCGATAACCCACCCACCTATTAATATAGTTCGACGTCGGAAAGTCGACAGGATCACATCCAATGTTAACTTCATCTTCAGGCTGGTAGACCCTAATCCAATCCACGCTCATCGTTGTAGGGAACACCAAATTGTCAAAATCGATGGGTCCAAAGTTGTACGAGAATCCGAGGTTGGCGATGATATACTGCGCGAGATTGCACGGTTCGCTTCATGGACGGACAGTTTCCAAGTTCAGAAGGGAAGGACTTACCATAGGCTCCATTGGTATAGGCCTCGCTCCAATCTCCGTCAGTGGATCTGCACCCATGGCTTCGGAGCGTAATATCCAAGAGAGGGCCCCGTCATTGACCCAAGCAATGTAAGCTTTGTCAAATCTATGAACTCGATCGTCAATCTCAGCAGCATGACGGGAAGCCTCTGGATTTACCCGGGGCGATACTCGAATGCGTATATTGCGAAGCAAGCTTCCTCGCTAAGCTCGTAGCAGCCCTGGTTCGTTTCCGCAACAACGCTGGTAGTTTGTTGGTAGACACCTGAAAAGAAAAGTTGGAGTAGGATTTCAAAGCCACGACACCCCAAGCTCACCTCCTTTATAGGTATTGATCACAGAGCCCTCGACATCGTAGAGCGTTATATCTTCCGGACGCGCGGGCCAGCTGTAGTTGGCCTGAACAATAGTATTCCTGTAAGCCTAAATCACTGAAATCACATAGAGTACCTACATTGTAAGGGGCCCACTGTGAAGATAGCGACACCTAGTGAAGGGTTGAGAGGAAAGGGAGGAGTGAAGCGGGCGAAATAAGCTCACCTTTCCAACGCCATGCTCGACTGTCGCTTCGAAGACATCAATTTCGGGTGCAGCCCTCCCCACATACGAGCCATCAGGGCGGATAGGTCCAGGGTGTACTTCCCCGGGACACGTGCAAGCGGCTATTTCATGAAGGATTAGAAATGATTTATGGAGGGGGAAGGGGAGACATGCAGAGACGTTGCCCAGGAAGATATGACTAGATATTGTAACACGAATATTAGCAGCACGCCATACGACAATCGGCGGTAGACTTGCCAAAATTCCTCCTTGCACAGGATCGCCATTGGTAACAGCAGCGAGAGGGGTTGCAGTACCTGGGTATGTTTGATTGGGGAGGGTTCCGACATCGCAGGAGTCGTAGGTGTACGGCCACTGAGACAACCAAGTCAGAAACGCATGAAGGTGAATGGCACTTGTCAAGCACTTACTGTACCATCCAAGCTTCCACCATGGCCAGCTCTCCCCAAGTTGCCCATGGCCCAGATTGCAGGCCACAATCCGCTACGCATGCCTGATTTCAGAAAAGAGAACTAGACACGGAGGAACGACGTACGCGATGTTACTAGCACCAGGCAACCTTACAGATGCTGAGGCCACGGTCAGCATCAATCGAAAACCAAACGAAAAGTTATACCTTCAAGGATTCCGCCGGTGAAACAAAACTTGTTCCATGTCTGGACCTGAATGAAGGGGGTCGGTGAATGAGGCATTGAGAGAGTTAGGCAACAAAAACCCACCATCCCTGAGCGAAAACGCATGTTGTGGTTCGTTATTGGGTCCACCCTCGACAGGGTCAACTGTAGAGACCCATTGGCAGTCGTGGCTATGAATATCGGTTCAGTTGATATTCGCGAAGCAGTCCTTTTTACTAACCCGCCGATGGATCATACCACTCCAGGTTGTTCTGTTGACAGGTGAGGCTGTAGTCAACCCACGCCGACATGCTCTTCTGGTCGCTACTTACCGTCCCCCAATAATGCAAGTCCACAGCCTCCCAATATGGATCGTCACCAGGATAAAACGTTCGCCCGTCCACATTGAACTCGTCGGAAAACACCAGCACCATGTTCTTGTTTGGGTCGGTATACGACCTCTTCGTTCGCACAGATTGAGGCGTGTCACGGTCGACAAGCCCATAGTTCCCGGGTATCACTGGGACCTGCCCAGTTGCATTGATTCCGCCAATGTTGAAACCTCCTTGGTTGGATGGATTGGTTCGCGTAAAGGTGGTCACAACTGGAAAAGCGACACTGCAGTCCAGGTCAGCGAGGACATGTGTAATGAGAGATAGTGTACACTGTACACGCACAATAGACCGAGGATCCCAAGGGTCAAGAGAAACAATGATCCTACGTTGGCAAACCCACGACGCGTGAATATCGTCCCTCTCCTATCGTTCTGGCGATCTCTTCTAGGATCTGGGTTGTGAAGGACGTCGTCTTGTTCTCGGTCTCCGACCAGCAGAGGGATTCCCCATTCCTTGGGGAAAGGTCCTAGAGAGTACTGCCACGCTGGGTCAGAAGAACAGTCGGCACTGAGATTCTTATTCAGAGCTCACCCGAATCATCATCCCAGCAGTAGTCTTGATCGAAGGCAAATGACTTCTGAAAGGTGCTGGATATCTGCGGGGTTCATTTGTCAAACTAAAATGAGTCCTCGACGTCTGAACGGTGATCCCGCTGTTGGGATAATGCGACGCCATAGTAGCTCCTGGGTGCTGTATAGTCTGAATATCGCTGGCTAGCACATAGCACCTCGTCGTCATGCATATATAACCCAGTGTTTATGTATGCGGAGCGAGACGATTGTCATCATCATTCAAGACGAGGAGACCAAAGTCACAGTGGTTGATTGTAATGGCAACCATGCATCCTTTACATTCGGAGAGAACTGTACACATGGCTCTATATCCATCTCCTAGTTAGAATGTCAGCGAGGCTACAAAGGCAAGATAGGGACGAGACCCATACTTTAACTGTCCAGGTTGATGGGACTAGCGAACGATAGCTGCAACCCCGTTGAGAGATGCGCTTCCGCAATATCAGATTCTAATTTTTTCGCTGATATATTCACAGCAAAGTCGACAGCTTTCGTCGCAGACCTGCCGCGGTTGAGGTCAATGGGTAAGATGTAGACGACGGAACTTTTCGCGATTGGGCGCAATGACGCTCCATCAGACGACGGTGATGCGCCTTGCGCACTCATATGCAAGTAAGTATGGGGCCGACATGATATCTAACAATTACGCAGGCCAAGATGTACATGAGGAACGGCGCCAAGAAGTACATTGGTAGGGAAGACCAGATGAAACCTTTCTCAAGTCCTTTACTCTAGAAAAGCGAGTCATTAGGGTTCAACGAGTCGTGCTGAACAACCTCTGCCAAATCCTCCGCCTTCTTCTCTCGCCCTGTTGCTTCGTTTATTCCAAGGACCTCCTGGTCTTCATTGACAATAGCAGGTCTCCTATCCTTGGCTGCTTGTTCTGTCGCTTTTTGCGGAGGTCCGGGTTTGCGCGCTGCAGCACTCAGCTCTAGATTCTAAGAGTGTTCGAGATTCGATGTCCGTCACGGGTCTATGCGTCAGAGAGAGTGGGTATACGCACATGAGGTGGATTTCGCATATAAGACTCGTTGATGTCATGGTCGGTGACCTCTGGTCTACCGACGATTTGCTGCGGCTTCTTGAACTTGTCGTCGGTATTGCGAATGCTTGGCATGGTGGTTTAGAGAATAGGTTGAGTAGCAAAAGTCTGGTTCAAATTAGTGCTCGAGTGGCATAGAGCCGAGGTTTCATTCTCGAGTTTTATATAGCGTCTTGGACTCAGTCGGAAGCCATGATGTCAGTCCCAGTTTCAGTTGCACCAAGCCCTTGTGAGTCGGATTGAACGCCCCCGCCAACTGGGCTACCTGGAAAGACAAAAATCCCCTTGTATTTGAAGTATTCGCATTTCAGCTTCTCTTCTGCACGCGCGGGTAACATACGATGGTTTGGAGCCGCGCTCCCGAAAGGGTCACCATTCGACACGTGCACAGCGGGCGGGTTGGATACAGCTCTGCAAGGTGTACACTGGGAAACGTAAGTTGCTATCATTCCGACTTTACAGCTTGAACGAGGACGAGAAGCACCTAGTCACTTCCCACTTCACAGTTCTGCCAGCCGAGCCAGCGAGCAATAGGGACAAACGCGCTACGGGCCGCTAGCATCCGCCAGTGATCTTAAGCGCCGAGATAACGGCACTCGCAGTTTGAACCAGAACCACGATGTTCAAGAAGGCTTTCGGCAACCTGAAGACGTCTGCACCGTTGCGTAGTTCGGACCGACGTAAACTCAAGCAAAAAGTCGTTTCAGCCTATGGAATCTCTCCAGAGGATGGCGACCTTCTGGTCCCAGATGGCTTGGAGTCGCTCAAATTCACTACCCATCTCGATGAACCTGGAGTAAGAAGAAATGATCCTCCTGTACATTGAGCCGCGACTTCATGTTTCTGTAGATTCTATATCTCTCGAGTGCAGGTGACCCTTTGTGGTTCACCGTTGGAAAGGGCTCGGAGGATCTGATTCCGACTACGTATACATTGTGGAAGAAGCCCGATCTCCTCCCGTTCCTCTCGACTCCGGAGCCCGTTATTCCAATACTCTGTGGAGGGGCAGATCTTATGATACCAGGAGGTGCGATTCTTTTACACTATCAAGCCCCAATTCTCTAATCCACTGATACCACCAAGCCAGTGATTCACCGCCCTCGCTCCCTCGCAGCGGGCCAATTGGTCTGCATTCGCAAGTATTCTCGCAAGGATGGGGTTCCTGAACTTTCGGTGCCCCTTGCCGTCGGAAGCATGGCCCTACCCAGCGACCAAATCGAAACCGGGCAAGAGAAGGGCAAAGCGGTCCACGTCCTCCACGTTTGGAAGGATCACCTCTGGGAGTTGGGTTCGAAACCCGATGTTCCTCCAGGAGAACCTCTCCAGTCCAAGGAAGAACCAAGCGAATCTGGAGACGCTCCCGAGACCGTGGCCCAATCCGAGGCACCACAAGGAGAAGACGCTCCGCCGCAACCTAATATTACGCCAACCGATGCCTACATTTCATACACGCCTTCCGAAGTTACAGAACTCTTGCAAATATCGCTCGTACAAGCGATCGCGGTGTTGCTCTCAAAATCATCCTCGTCGACCTTCCCAATTCCCGCGACCCAATTCTACACCAATTATATCCTTCCATCTCGTCCCGCATTCCCGACATACGTATTAGCTCCTGCTTCCCTTGGAGCGGATGCTTCGAAGACTGGTGAAGAACGTCCGCACATCGATCCCCAGGACATCAATATCAAGGCTTCGAGTCACAAATCACTTACGACGTTCCTCAAGGCCGCTGATAAGCAAGGGCTCATCACGACGAAATCGCCGCAGAAGCACTCGCAGCAGTCGGACCTGCTGATCCTGTCCGTGGCATCGAAACACCCCCTGGTTGCAGCACATAAACCTTACGCATCCGTGAAGGACATCGAACAGAAAGCCGCGAAAAAGGCTGAGCGGGAGAACAAGGACAGGGAAGCCGAAGCTCACCGGGAGATTGAGGTGAAGGAATTACTGAAACCGCATCTGGTGACCGTTGATCTGTTTAGTGCAATGGGGGCAGAGTAAGTAATTTGGTTGTGCTCCACTCTTCGTCGACTTATCCTCCCCCCTCGCTAGCCCGAAGCAGCTCTACATGCCCTCGGAAGTTCGATCGGTCATTTTCAATTATGTGACCTCAAACGACCTGGTCAACGCGAACGACAAAGCATACATCAACCTGGACCAGGTCCTTGCAGCCTGCGTTGCCGCGAAATCGAGCGGGAAGTCAAAAGGAAAAGGGGTCGACGCTGGAGTATCAATCGATTTCATGAAGCGCGATGAGCTTGTGAAACAGGTTACTTCGAAGATGCAGAGCTGGTATGAAATTCATGTCCCAGGAAAGGATGTAGTGCAAAAGTGGGTCTTTTCCATTTCTCCTTCACCATCCGCTCTGATCGATCTTTGCAACGGACAGGAAAGGAACTTTGAAACCCATCCAGGTTGTAATGAAGATTCGACAAGGCCGTAAAGCCTCTACTTTAATTACAGGGTTCGAACCCTTCCTGGTTGTTAACGGCGATGATATGGCTGAGGATCTCAGAAAAACGTGCGCTGGTGCTACCTCTGGTAAGCTTTGTGTTAGGTAGCTTCTCACTGAAAATACTAACCTCGCCAAATACCAGTTTCCCCGGTCGCAGGAAAGCCAGCTGGATCAGGACTCGAAGTACTGGTTCAAGGTAAACAGTCATCCGCAGTTCTGGAATATCTTACGGGAAAGGGAATCCCCAAGCGATGGATAGAAGTTAGCGACCTGGTTGGTAAGAAATAGGGTCCTAGCCTATTCGCCATTAGATCACAGTGTATAGGACAGCTTTGGGATCAATAGTCGTTATCTAATCTTATCAATTGAGATTGCCTTGGCATCCATCAATTGCATTTTGTACCCAAACCACCACGACCCCGCGACGACGATGCCCAAAGCGACCTCCGAAAAGCTCTCAAGAGCGCACCGGCCAGCAGTAAAAAAGAAGGACAAGGATGGCTCAGGATCCGCAACAAACCCGCTCTTCAACACCCAGCGCTTTGGCCAGCATATCTTGAAAAACACCCAAACGGCGCAGAAGTCTGTCGTTTGAAACCCTGGATCGTATACCTGACACTAATCCCTACTTAGGATCGTCGATGCGGTAGGCTAGTTCTGCCTCGTTCCAATAGAAACTATGTGACGAGATCAAGAACCCTAGGCGAACCTCAAACCGACGGACAAGGTGTTGGAAGTTGGTCCTGGAACGGGAAATCTGACTGTCAAAATCCTCGAGAAAGCGAAACATGTGACGGCCGTTGAAATGGACCCTCGAATGGCCGCAGAAGTCTTAAAAAGGGTACAGGGAACGTAAGTTCGTTCTTTATGAAGTCTCGAATCCTCACATGAACGTGCTTTATTTAGCCCAGAACAACGGAAACTCGAGGTTATTATTGGGGATTTCGTCAAAGCTGAAATTCCATACTTCGAAGTCTGCATTTCCAACACGCCGTATCAGATCTCCTCCCCGCTGGTGTTCCGACTATTGTCCCATCGACCCTTGTTCCGAGTGGCGATCCTCATGTTCCAACGCGAATTTGCATTGAGGCTGGTGGCACGACCAGGAACCTCGCTATGGTCGAGACTCTCCGCCAACGTCCAGGTTCGAGTCTCAAACAAACACCGTTTCTATTCAGTTCTCTAATACTTTTGCTTATTAGCTCTACGCGAAAGTGGACAATATCATGCACGTGAACCGAAACGATTTTAGACCACCGCCCCAAGTCGAGTCATCTGTGATTCGGCTGGTTCCTTTAGACCCCCCGCCACCTGTCAAGTTTGAGGAATTCGATGGCCTGAATCGCATAATCTTCTCCCGGCCAAACAAAACCGTTCGAGGGAACTTCCAGGCGAAGGGTGTGATGAAGATGCTTGAACAAAATCGGAATACTTGGCTGTCGATGCAGTCGATGGTACGTCACCGACTGCTTCCAAGTGACATCCCATTTGACATACCTTTAAAGGCGGTGGACAACGAGAACACGTCGATCAACGAATTGTTGGACAAAATTCTGGAAGAGGGAGGGTGGACAGAGTCCCGTGCAGCTAAAATGGACATTGATGAAATCCTCAAGTGAGTACTCCCCTGGGTCACGCATGTGGACGTTATGTACTGATAATCAACTTTCCTAAAAGACTACTGGCAGCCTTCCACGAGGTTGGCATCCACTTTTCGTGATGCAGCTGTATGTGTGCTAGCTATCGCATCCGCTTCGCGCCACTGTCGACTACAACATACTATTATGCTTTCTGATAGCATCCAATAGAGTAGGCCCTGCTTTGCCCTGGGTCCATCGCGTACAAGGCTTATGAAGTCACCGGATGCTCTCTCGGGTCTGATAGACAAACGTCCCATCGATCATATCTCGCCCTGGTATACCATCTCAGATTCCCCCGTTTTCCCATTGTCCCCCTCCGTCTCCCAAACCAGGGTGCTAACCTTGCTTTGTCGCACAAAATAAGAATAGGGTAGAAAGGTTGTTCGATAGTCCACTTGACCTCTCTTTCATTCGTCGTCGCGTTCGAATGGGGTCTGTTCTTTTGCAAAGAATGCATGTATATTTATAGCAGAATCTGCATCACATCGTCTTTAAGTAACTATTGCCGTCCGGCGGAGTGGGAATCAAGTCAGAGATACCCAGGTAAGTCTCCATCCCTACAGGGCGGTAGATCCACATTTCCCCCTCCTCTAGCCCACGCAGATTGTAGTCCTTTCGCACCGGAGGCTGTCCTACGCTCTGTTCAACCACCGTTAAAATACCCAACTCCGATGGTGGTATACTGGATCCGTCGCTCACGCTGGCAAGTGGGACGAGGTCGGACACCACGACAGCTGTGTGGTCGGGGTCTCCAAGGATCGAATACCCTCCAGGATGCACGCCAACCGTCGCAATCCTGACCTTCCTCCACTCGACAATGTCCCCGCGACGAATACGATCATCCCCTCCCCGCCAGCGCCCAACCAGTTCCTTTCCACGGTTAGACGCCCTCCCTTGATAGACTAGGTGTCCATGGGTTCGGCTAATGCTCGGAACGGGCTTGGGAATATAATCGTAATCGTCGAAATATTTGAGGGCTTCACTTGCCAAATCCCAACATTCCCCTCGACCACAGTAGCTACCTGTCCCGAGGAAGGATTCGGCAAAGGAGGCTATAGTGTCTCCGTATGTTTTATTGGCTTCAAGCAGTTTAATCCGGTCCAACGAAAGGGCCCGTGGGAGGTAGTATGCTTCCCGAGTGAGATACGTCTGGTTCTCGGGGTCGTCCGTAGCAAACTTGACTGCACCCCAAAAGACGCTGAGGTCGGAGAAGAGAACGCCAATTCTAGTCGTCTTCACGCTGCCTCTCGATTCCCAAGAAGAGACGTATCTGATGTTAGTGTTGCCTTTGAGTGGCGGAGGTATTCCCGATTCGTGGTACCAGGGACGACTCCAATTAGTCGTTGGTTTAAAGAAGTCGGCAAGATCAGCTGCTGCAGAACCGTGGATTGCGGCCGGAGGATGGGAAAGAACTAGGTCAAAGGGTTTGTCTGGGTATGACGATTTGGGAAAGGGATTATGATTGGATGCATGGCATATTGACGCAAGACAAATTCACGTACTACTACTACCAACCGTGAGCGGTGTCCACGAGGTCGGTTTTGTCTGTGAAATAACGCGTCTCAGCTCCACCTAGTCCCGGGAACACGAACCAGGGCTCTTCGATTAACTTACAGATGCCTTCAATGGAGGAGGTCCACCGACACTGCCTATTGGTTGCGTTGGATAAGGGATCGCCCGAGGAGCGAGATCAATCTGGAGATATCTTGAAAAGAACTCGTCCAACCAGCTGAAGAAAACTTCTTTGTCTTGCTGAGATAAGTTTGTCCAATCGATAACAGGATCCTCGTCTTCCACATAGAAGGAATCCCGTTTATTTAAAACAGGCTTTGTGGACAGAGCCACGGGAGGGGGAGGAGGCGGCGGACCAGAAGATGCAGGTTTGGGAAGACCACCTGTTCTAGACGGTGGAGATACCGCTGTCTGCCCGGGGCGTTTCGGTAATGGAGGACCTGTGGATGGTGTGCGCGAAGGTAATGGAGGTCTGGTGGTGGAAGATACACGAGAAGGCAGTGGAGGAGCTAGTCCCGGTGAGTTAGATAGAGACCTGGATGCTGTACTCGTAGAAGCAATGGAATTGGTCCTGCTGGGTGGAGGCGGAAGAGGTGCCAGCTCTGGCTTAGTTCTCTGGTTGATCAGAGATTTGGGGGGCGGTGGAGGCGGTGGTGGCTTTCCGCTATAAGGATCCCAATTGGTCTTCTTCATTGATACACTAGAAGCATTTTCGACATCGCCTTTGTCAATTAATTACTCTTGGATAGCGTATAGCACCAACCTCGTATTTCGGTCTTTCATATTCTGCAACTTCTCGACACCACTGCTGGTTGTCTTGGCCGCTTTGGCCTTGAGTTCTGCAACTACCCCGGCATCTCGATGTCAATATCGTCGACAGCCTTCAAAGCGCCGGAACCTCACATGAAGGCGCCATGGTTTCGATCTCGTCAGCTGCGATTCGAGCGGTGTTCTGGATAAAATTCGCTCAAAAATCAGTGGAAATTCCCTCCAATAGTCGCGTCCGCAGTCGCTTTGTGGTGCTGTGAGCGTTTGGAGATATAATCTGGGAAGATTGAGATCTTTTAGAGATGGTCGAAGACAGAGAAGAGCGGCAACTGTAGCAGTGTCTACAGGCTTCGGGAATTTCCGATCAAAAAGATCACGTGGACCAGTAACCTTCACGGTTCCGACCACCTCAGTGCTCTCGCCATGGAACAGGGAAGCGGAGAGATCGAAGAAGATAGCCAAGGAGACCTGGTATCGCTGGACGCCGTAGAAGAGGGTAAAAGAGGGTAGCGGCGAATGATGAAACTTCCATTTCAAACTTCTTTGTCCCCGATGCAAAACCGGAGTGTTCCAAATAGTCCCGGCTTCCATGTGAAAGGTGAAATCAGGAAACGGTGAATGGATTGACAATACGACAACAGACAACGAAAGCGAGGTGTGCTACAGAGGGATGAGGCGAATCGATAACTGCTCTCTGAATAAGAAACCCAATAAATATGACAAAATGACCATGCTACAGTTGTTTGAAATTAGCCCATTAGTCCGATATATGCCCTTAAGATACTAGAAGACTGAGGTCGTCGAAACATAAAATATGTGGAAAGCGTTGAAGGAGCCCACTTGAAAGCAACGTGGTGGAGCATGAAAAAGGTCGGTTTCAGAACGTTGCTTCGTGTCTTGCATGGAACGTTCAAGAACGATGGAGAGTCGGTCGAGGTCGATCACCGGGAAACGCGACTGCAATCCGGGAAAGCCATCTGAAAGAGATTCTGCACGCGTCGGTCTTCCATGACAATCTGCGGAGTGGCGACGGGTCAGCATGGTGGTGTAAAGCAGTTGGAGCCGTGGTTGACGCACCTCTGGGCAGTTGCAGTTGGCAGCGGTTTTGTGCTTGTGGGAAGCGCTGGTTTTGCAAGAGTCGGAACCACAGTCCAGAGTTTCTCCAGTGTAATACCGGACATGGAAATGCTGTAACGCGTTAAGGACACGGTCACCCCTTTCGAGAGACAGGTTGACATACCCCGCATCCCCTATAGAAGTCACCGATACTGTAAGGACATGTTAGCCGCCGGCGAGCGTCTGTAACGAGAGAGACAACGTACGCTTCGTGTTTGCACATTTTAGACGGTGGTGAAGAGGTTACTAGGGTGAAACACGTTCAAAGGCCAGACAAAGGCTAGTGACGAGGACGGGAGGCCAAAAGGCGGAAGCGAGCGAGGGACGGAAAGTGGGCCGGGGAGATGGTCGTATTCAGAACGGGACGACCCTATAAATACGTGACGCTTGGGAAGATGTAGGGTTGGGCACCTACCATGTCACTCTGGGCGACGGAGCGATTGAATCTTGCATACCAAAATTACAAATTGTTTATGGACCTAATTTACACAAGGAGGCAATACAGGAAACAATAGTGATGGCCAAGACTTGACACACTCCAGATGCGTCATTCCCACGTGGGCATCATTTCCACTACCATCTCGACCAGATCTCTCCAAACTGGAAATCCCTAACATGGACACAGACCGAGGAACGCATGCCAGCGTGCCCAACGGCCACTCACATCTTAAACCGGTGTGAAAAGTTCTTTACCTTTCAACACAACTCGTAAATGGCTTGTCAAAGGGGAACCCTAATGAAAAAGAGCTGCATAAACCGCCATTCCATGAGTCAAGAACATGATCCGTGGATATTAACGAAATACCTTGCCTCTGACACCCAATTTGCGGTCGCGTTTTACGTTTTTGAACGGCACACACACCCTTTGGAGTCAAAGGGAGCTTCGACGAAGTTCTCGCCGTTTCGTACTCGCAGTCGGTGACCATGCTGAAGGGATTTCGGGCCGTTGTCGAAAGATGCGTCGCCAATGGAGCCCGAAGCTGATGAACACTGGGACCGATTTAGCTGCTGCAGCCGGACATCATAAAGACCTCCGAGAAAGGGTTTCGACACAGCCAGTGAAAATTGAGAGGGCGGAAGCAAAGCGTACGCATGATTTTCGTAGCTGTGACTGGTTGCGAGCAGACATCGTCGTCGGTCAACCATATCTTGGCCACACCGGTGAGGGTCGCGAGTACAGGGAAACCAAGCTTACCCCAGTTGTAGATCCACTCCCGAGTTTCAGGTGTGCGGCAGCAACGAAACTCTGTTGTCCCAACAACGCATGCGCTCCCGGCGGGCGCTTTACGAAATATATTCCAACTTACCCTTGCCTTTCCCGAAGAAACACCTGAATCTCTGCAGGACCCTGGAAAGTGTCCTTGCAAAACCAAGGTTGAGGGTCGACACGCCTTGTGAGACGTAAGGGCTACCCGGGAATTCACAAAAAAGACTTAGCCACTGAGGTTCGGAAGGATGGTACTTACTCAGAGCAGGAGGGCCAAGGCATTTCCGCATATCCTCGAGACGGTTGTACAAACAAGTCGACGGGGATCACAATCGTCGTTCCTAGATTAGGCGATTCCCGATGTTAAATCTGGTTCCACAAATCACCTACAACTCGTGGCATAACTCTCAGGGTTCCACTATCAATCCAGGTGCGCGCACAAGGAAAGTCGGGTTTTACTCACAGGTGATTCGACGGCCTGCTCGAAGAGCGTCAGGGCAACTCCACGATTGTTGCGAAAAGGATATGTGGCCCACGGTAAGCATCTTTGTGACCTTGGACTTCCAATTCCATGATCCATGGAGGACAATTAGCCACCCCATATCGGTTCATTAAACCTAATAGGATTTAGTCGCAGCGGCCTTGCGCCTTGCGCATTGAAGCCAGCAGGTAAATGTGACTCTGAACTTGACAGCCCACAGCCACGGAGTTTGTCGATATGAAGGTACCAATATATTACCCAGGAAATGGGCGGCATCCTGTTATCAATGAAAAAAGCAGGAAGTGAAGCGGCGAAGAGCCGCTCTGAGCCATGAGGCGTGGTGCAAGAATCCTCCCGCTCTGCCAGGCTCGCCTTCCGCGTACAATCTCTACCCGAATAGTCCCTCGAGTCAACCAAACTGCCGATTGCACAGGAGGAAGCGCCGTGATTGCGAGCGAAGCGAAGCGAGCGAGCATACCGAGTAATGTGCGTAGCAGTCAGGCTGCCCGGGCTTTGAGGGGGTCCAAACAAATCCAAATAGACCGGTCACCGAAATGTCGCGAAAACCAGTAATTCGTCCAAAACCCCAATCACTTCTTAAGCTATTCTTATAGGATTTGAGATGTGCATGGGTACGCTATGGCGAGATAGGAATATGTAAAAAGATTGGGGAAAATCGTCGTTCTGTTCGAGAATTACGTGTGTTGAATTCTTCTCCGCCAAAGTGAAGTGGAACACCCAAGAGCCGGACAGAAAAAGCTCAACCCCAGCGCAGCTGGGGTTGAGTGTCAAAATATAATAGGATTTAGAAAAACGCTCGCCCGAAACTGTGACCAAGCGCTTCGCTCGCCCCCGACGCCCCTTGGGGCGTCGGATATACATATTATCTTGAGCGATTCTCTTGACTCGTCCGAATAATACACGAGGGGGGTTGACTGACCAATTAATGGAGAGCTAAGAGTCAGATGAGAATTTGTCAGTCCAGACCATCGAATCGAAATGTACGTACGTCCCAAACCATAAGTATCATTGATTCTCACCAAACCAGGGTACCATAGCGACTTTGAAAGGCGAAGATACCACAGAGGAGGCGCCGAACCATGGAAGATTACCCGACGATGGTGGTCGGGACTCGGGAACAAGCTTGACAACACGAGCGGAAGCAGATCGAGTCACACCGTACCACAGAAGCCAACAGGTCGTCCTACAACCAACACGACGTCGTCACGAAACTTGAAAGCACGCTCGCTCTCCGGAAATAGGAGATAAAAAAATGTTGGTCCCCGTCGTTAGTACCTAGATCGCTTCAGATCGTCCAGCCACACCCAGTTGAATGTTGGCAACCACCGGCATTCAATGCTAAATGACGATCTTGGTGCAATGGTGAGCGATTTCCTTGTTCGCCTGCTAGCACGCTTGTCTTCCTACCAGCTCTTGTTTAACGAAACAGTTTAGGCTCAAAGATGGACTCTTTTACAGGGCCTGTCAAGCTGCAAGGGCTTCCTGACTGTCAATGGCAGCCGCAGTCGACAAGGGTGTGGTGTTGACAGCAAGCGCTCAGGAATCAGCCCCAATAGCCAGCCGCGAACCTGAACACCGATCATTCAAGCTACGTGTTCCCTGTATCTCCGTCTCCACAAACACAAGGGTTTTCCTGAATAAAGACTGGTAAGTGTATCATAATGGTTTAATCCAGGGCATGAAGGTGTTCGTGACTCAACATACCAATTTGATAATTTGTAGAACGTCCGTCGGAATCGCAGCAGACACATTGGCGAACCGCACGTTCGACCAACAGTCTTGGACCCGCTTAGGCTGGTATCGCGGGCTATGTCGTGCGAATCCAAGCCAGCGTCCATGTCCCCTTCCTGTCCATCTTGCGGAGACCCGTTCATAGTGGAGACCTCCCTGGGTGGACTTGGCCGGCTCAACGGCTGCGTCGACCTCTCGGAATGGACTCTACTCCTCTCGGATGTTGGCTGGGTCCATTGGAAAATGGAACTCTTCTCTGGACGTCTCTGAAGCTGATTGCTATCCTTCGCCATGGGACCGACTTCCTCCGAGGCCGAACCGGGTCCCATATCGACGTCTCTGGTTGGCCGGGGGTACCACACCTGTTGCTCCAAACTTCTGTTCTATCCGAAGCTGGTTGGGCCGCGTCTCCCATGGCCTCACAACCGTCCTCGCTCGTCTGCAATCCAAGCGTATCCAGGGGTGCAGTATCGTCAGGGGAAGGTTCCTTCCGAAATGGACCAATGTCCCGATTCCGGCGCATCGACCATCAGGGACAGAGTTTTGGGAAATGGTACGCTATCTTCCAGCGTGACGGGATATTCGTGACGGGGAATGTACGCGAGAGCTAGCTTTCCATACATGGTACGTTGTGGAGGAGAGAAGACCTCAATTAAGCGCCCGTCGTGCCAACGTGGCCCAGTCGAGAACAACGTGACCAGTTGACCTCTACTGACATTCCATCCGTCAACCATTCCATCGTTTCTCACGCGATGACAGGAACTGCAGCCTCGTAAGCCCAGTGGCCCGAGCGTTCTTCTCTGTGGTGCTGTTGTACTGCACCGAATTTTCGGCCATAGTCGATGGAAATAGAATTTCCAATATTTACAAGTTTAACGGTCCCGATTAACGGCCAAGCGTTAACAGGTACGGACAACCAATCACAACTCGAATGCTGAAGGTCACTGAAGGGGACAGGGGCATGTACAATGGGAAAGCCGAGAGGGCCTATTGCAATTGCAGAGAGAAATCTACCTATGGACACACAGTAGGCAAGGGAATACCCGGTGGGCGAAGCGTTTCGTGAACCAGCGCCATCCTTTCGTCCTTGGGCTCCCAAGTACCAGCTTGACGGAACCACTGCGCTTTTCCCTTCTCACCAATGATGCTCAGTCTTGCCACGGTGGATGGAGGGTTGTGTCTACTTGCCTCCATGTTCGGCCACCATAGCCTTCATTCTGCCGTTGATTTCGAGACCCAGGACAACGAACAGGCTGAGGAACACAGCCGAGCCGACGGCGATCCAGCCTGCCCTCCAATTGCCCGTCAGCCATCCCAGCCGCCTTGGTCGTTCGTTGTCTTCGCCGGAGTCTTCGAAGGTGAAAAGCCTTTCGGGGACAGTGGTGACGAACGCTGGGACGCCCAGCATCGGGATCTGGGCCCGGACTTGTTGGCCTATAACGTGAATACGATGGCGCGTTGGTCTGCAATCAACTTGTACCCTCGGTGTAAAATTGCGGAACGGCTCACGGATTCGTTCGAGCATGGAGTAAAGGTGTACCCAGGAGGTGCTGTTGTGGGACGTGCCCTGGTGGTTCACTGGGGGTGGACTACCACTACGCCATTCGAGGTAAGGTGGATGGGCACCTTGCTGGTAGCCGACGAAAGAGGCGATAGAGGCAGAGGCGGTGAGCCACAAAGGACGCGTAATGCGGCGAAGGTAATAGGATGTGATGTGGATGCCTCGCGGGGGTGCTACTCTGGTACTCGCCGTCGAATCAGTGCCCAGCGAGGCAGAGTAGACGGTCGGGTTTCCGGCAGTTGCACCATTATGTGTGCCTATCCCTCGTTCCATTTGACTTTCAAATCTATCAGCGGTTACAGAAGGCACGTCTGACGTGTCTGTTCGAAGGAGATTGCGACACGCCCGAGTGAATGCCTCAGCGGCCGCGGATGCTCTCTCGATGAACCGCGCCATATGTCGCAGTGAAGTCAAGTGGGAAGAGGGAGAGGCAGGCTCGGGAATGTCGCTTATGACAAGGGAAACTTCCCTCAACTTTATAGCGGTGATGGAAAGCTGTACACGGTCAGGACTTTGGATGTCCTTTTCTGGTATACTGCGCAGACAACGAACATGCTTGTAGCTATATTTTGGGACTTGTCGCGGACGTATTCTGCCATGGCGAAGCATTCCTTGGCGAAGCATTCCTCGGCGAGAGGCAAGAAGATTAAGCTGGTTCAAGAGACCATTGAAATCTGGCCTTTACTTTGGGGTGAATTCACGAGGTGGTGAACGCTCTCCACTATAGCACAGTGCCCCGTGTCTTGAAGCTTCTTTAACAGGACTGGATTGTATTTGTTTCTTTCGGCGCCCGGAGCGCACAGCCTGTGTCGAAGAACACCCACGACAACTAATTGTCGCTGAGCCGTAGCTGAACTCGGAGCTATGACGGTTGTCGTTCAGCGTTCAACAAGAGTACCGATTGGAATTTCCACATTCTGAATCCGTTTGGGAGGGTTCGTCGGCCAGTAGCCCAGAACACCGGAATGGAAGCTCATTCTGGGAAAGCGATGTAAGGTTAACGTCCAAACCCAAAGAAACCTCGCTACAGGCTAGATATGCAATAAAACATATCCGTTCCTTGAGGAGTGGGGTACAGGAAGCATATTAGCTAGCGAACTCACTGAGCAAATCTCCGACCAAAGTCGGTCAATCGACGCCACAGGCGACAGACCGGGCTGTGTGTTTTCTTCTCTCTGAAGCGTTCTCGTGGACAACGCATGCCCAAGTACACGTAATAGTACGATGACCCGACTCTGAGGCTACATTCTTCTAGTGGGAAGCTGGCTCTTGGGGATGCGGAATCGTATCAAACCGCCTTCACCATGTCAATTGATTTCAGAAGCCACGGCACCTCTCCAAGTGGTTAGCACCCCGGAGGGGGCATGGGTGTTACTACTCCGTATGTTTTCCATAATGTTAGAGCACGTTACTCTGGATTGGAGAAAGTTGATCATAGGGGTCGGACGCGTGAATTGGCCAGAGCTAGATTAGTTGGCGCTCTAGTAGTACGCGTAGCCATTGTCCATTTGTCCAGGCAATCACAGCTCACAGCTTCATCACGTAGATTCGTATGTAACATTTGAGAGAATAAGATTGGGTATAATCGAGAAGCGAGGACATACTACATACAGATCGTCCATCAGGAATCATACAAGAGCAGGCAAACAATTGTGAGTCACGAACAGCATTTATCCGAGGATACGCAAATAACTGCCTTCCTATTGGCTGGGTTTATTTCTTGAAGCGGGAGAAAAACCCTTTGCTCTGGTATTGCGTCGAGAGCATGGGGTAAGCCGAGTCACCCTTGAGCTCTCGTCGTCTGGCGATAAACAGAATTGCCGCAGCTACTGCGTTCAAGACGAGGACGACCAAGGTGATCCAGAACCCTGTTGTGGTTCAGTTTGAAGGAACGCTCAGAGAAGACTCAGAAGAGATATCTCACCTGGCCCGGGTGCTATCTTGATAGGGGCTCCATCGGGGATGTCGAACCTATTAATGAGGGAGCGAACGCGTAGGTGGAGCGCGATGTCGATCGCGAATGCGATTAAGGTGATGGCTGCTGCAAGGACACAGATCAGAGGAGCGAAGAGGTTGACTGTGTGTCTTGTGGACAACGATGCGCCGAGTGCGAGTCCAATGACTCCAGTCACTGATTATAGGGTTTACTAACTGGTGCACAAGGCATGGTTGGAGAGGAACGTACCAACAGGATGGATGGCAAGACCTCTCGTCCATCCAGGAGTGAGAGTGACGATTTCAAAGTCCTTCTCTTCGACATTCTCGAAAGCACCAATTGGGGCGGTGTATCCGGTTCCTGGTGACGATCGAATTTAGCCCTGGTCTCGAAAGATTGATTGGCGGCTCGTACCTCGCGGAACGCACTCCTTTTTATCATCGAAGTCCCACGAGCATGCCGTCCTTGCAGGTGCGGAGAGCAAAGTCAGCTGAATTACAACATGTGCGGCCCACGGTTCACTAACCATACTCCGAACTGAGAATTTTGCGACAATTCAATTAGCATCTTCCTCCTCTTTAAAAGCAATCTATCACTCACCCGTATGTCTTTGCTTAGCCAAGGGACGATGTCGCCAACCCTATCGTCGGTGATGGCGACGCGGGATATGTCCAGAGCGGACAGCCATGGTAGAGATAAGGAGACGAGGAAGCTCAAGACGAGCGCACAGACCAGAACAATGGTGCTCGGGACCCAAAGCTTGGCCATTGTGTAACTCGAGCACGGGCAGTGGGTGAACTTGGGTGGGGAATAAAAGCAACCTCAACTCACGCCCTCGCTTCCGCTTTCTTTAAGTACATGCGAAAAGTTAAATAAGGGCGCGGGATTGATGGGCGTCGCGAGCACTTCCAAATACAAATGCACATTGCCCGGTTGTTCCAGAAGCACATGGGCGCTGCTATTACGATTAGCCCAGTCAAGATGAAACACTTTGTTCTGGTGGAAGCCCAGAAGTGAGTCACCTGTCCAGGCACATCAAAGATGGTCGGGAACAATGAGGAGAGGGCGCCCGCACCGGCGCTTAACTCTTATAGTATTCTGCCTATGAAGATTGGACACAGGATAAAAGGGTGTGCGGTTGCTCAACGGCCATGATGAACGCGCAAATAAAATGAGTGCCTTTGGGGTCCCAAAGGGCCAAAGTGACTGGGGGGAGTGCGAGGCGCTGAAAACTCAGGCGCGCTGTGACTCTGAGATCCAAATCCCGCGCATGGATCGAAGCCGTCTCGCTCCCGTAAATCCTCGACGTTTCCTTTGACTCAGAGCGGAAATACGCTCAGCCTTTTACTGTACAAAGACAGCGCGAGAAGCAAGGGAAGCCATTTCTCGGACGCAAGCTCGCATTTGTACCTGGATCTGATTACCTTGCTTCCGCCGTGAACGGTGTTGACCAGCGGAACATTTACTGACCTCAATTCTATCGACCGCGCCCAGGCAGCCCAGCCCTCGAAGGGATGACGGCAATGGAAAACAACCTGGGAAATAGAAGTGCGGGTTAGTTGGGCAATGTGTTGTAGACTTGAATGATACAGTTGAATCAAGGGCTGAACGTGGTTTGGAGATCTATCCGCATCGCCGTGTCTATAGACCTCAGTAAACCTCGGGAAAACCTCAGTTTGTTGCTGTGCGCCCATGTCAATATTCTGATCGGGGTCGCCAAGGGGAGGTAGAAACCTAGAAAATCGACTCGATCAGAACATAGAACGCGGGAAACGCGGTTCATTGGAGAGACGCGTCGCGTAAGGATCTATTTTAGGACAACCGCCTACTGAAAAAGAACCCATCCCCGACGTACCCTGATGACGTCACTGCAGCCTCGAGGGAATGACGTCTCTTCTCTCCCTCGAAAGGCAGGGTTGGATTCTACGTCATATTGGCTCGATGAATCCTTTAGTACAATGGAGTCGGCAGGGCTGCGATGAGTTCACTCTGCCTCGTTGTGGAACGGCGATGGAAAGTGAGGTGGGGCTAAAGTAGATATAAGGGCCAGGTGGACTGGTTAAGGCCCCCCACCACACTGCAAACACACTATCAAGCATACAACCTCGTTCAAAACAACTTTACCATGGTAAGCGTGTGACGTCCGACTTCTACCATCGGCCAGCTATTGACCCACTGCGTTTTGCTGCATAATTACTTAGGGCTCAGTGTTCAGCGCTATCGGAAGCGGAATCAATGGTATCATCAGTGCCATTGCCAATGTCATAATGGCCATCGTCAGCGCCATAACATACGTGGGTATCCTCGACCTCCCTTCTCTATAACGTGGACTTACGCCTGTCGCGTTGAATTCACAGGTCATCGTTTCCATCTTCGATGTAATCACCGACATCCTTTGTTGTCGATGCTTTGGACGGAGAGGGAAGGCTCGTCGAACAGGCAGGAGGCGGTACAGGCGATACCAATATGGAACAAGCCGAAGGACGGGATACTATTAATTTGGTCTGGCCCCCTTCCCTCCCACCCTCAGATACCCTATATGCCACAAGGATTCCTTAGTGCGATCCTCCTGTAATGCCTAATCTCATGGTACCCGCGGCCATGCCCGACGATGCTCTGTACCAAACCAATTGACAATTTACACAACGGGGAAACGTTCAACCGTGTCTTTCAATGCTGGTGCAGATTTAGGTAGTAGTCATCGTCCTCGGGCAGTGGTCCATGACGAGTCGGGACACCCTTTACGGATTCCGACGGTCACTTCAGTTCTTGTCCTTTCTATCCACCGTGATACATCTATGCTCCAGGACCTCCTAAACAGGCGCAGAAAGAAGCACAAGAAGAGTGTGTACTCAATTCCGTGCTGGAATCTACAGACATGCGGGGACCCAGACAGGAGTTACAAATCTCGGTAATAATCGTCGTCCTCTGGAGGCGGACCGCTATGTGCCAGTACCCTCCGTACAGGTTCGGTTCGCGGCTGCATAACCGTCTTCGGGTCGATGTCTTCGTCCTCCCTGTCCACGCTGAGCCAAGGATGCTTTAATACTTCCTCAGCACTCGGACGTTCTCTTGGATCGATTTTCAATATCCAACGAATGATATCGAAGAACTCGCGGAGGACTAGCTTTGCATCATCGTCTCCACACGCGAGCTGCGATACCAGTTTTCCCCACTTTTGATCGGCAGCCTCGCGAGATACCTCTGGGACTGAGTCAATCATCACAACGCCTCCTTCATTGAAGTGCTGCTTACCGAACTTCTTAAGCCAATCATCCGATTCCCAATGCTTTTTCCAGTCTTCAGGAATTTCCCCGATGCAAAAAGCGACTTCTTTCATGTACGATTCGTCTGGGGAATAGGTGTGAAAGAGTTCCCGTGGATTTGATGCACGGGCTACAGCGAGCCACAGGTTGAACATGATCTGATGGATATCTTCGACGTGCTGTTTATAGCATTGGCCCTGTCATCGCTGACTATCCAAAGCAAGTCTGGTTGGCGTGCATTGTTCAAAGATGGTGTCCCAAGTATGTTCCTGCGTCTGCAATATCGCCTTCCTCACCTCTTACAAGTTACAACTTTGTGAAAGATGCTTTGCGCGCCCTGAAAACCTCGACGATCCTTCGGCTGGAAGCCGTACCCACGAGAAGACTGATACACTTATACACACCTTTGATCCGGGGAAACTTTGGGATGATTATGGAATTCGAGACGACGTGGTAGTACGTCCCATTCCCGCTATCCCTAAATGCTTCACATTTCAACGTGCTTCTCTAGCCTTTCACCCACAGCTTTCCTCGTGCTGATATCCACGAGTTAATGGCGCCCGATCTCTTACACCTAGGTCATCAAAGGAACCTTCAAAGATCATTTAGTGTCTTGGGTAATGGATTATATTCACCTAACCCATGGCGAGACCATGGCTCTTGAAATTATTGCAGATATTGATCGAAGGTAATGACTATCACCCATTTGGCAGGCCAAACACTGACGCCAAACGATAGAATATCTGCGGTACCAGTATTTCCTGGGGTGCGCCGGTTTCCCGACGGACGAGACTTTGCGCAGTGGACGGGGGACGACTCGAAAGCCCTGATAAAGGTAAAGCCATTTCAGCTGTCGCTCCATCAGTCACCCAATGTCCCTTGGTCAGGTCTATCTCGCCGCTATCACTGAATACGTCCCCAAGAAAATGGTCCAATGCCTGGCTTCGTTTCTCGAAGTATGTTATATATTTCGACGAAACGCGATCTCCACAACTGCGCTGGACCAAGCACGGCAAGAGCTAGACAAGTTCCACGAGTTACGGAAGATCTTCACCACCACAGGGACCCGAGACAATCTCTCGCTTCCTCGCCAACATGCCCTAAGTCACTACCCTTCAGCTATCGAGCAATTCGGTGCACCGAATGGGCTGTGCTCCTCGATCACGGAATCCCGCCATATCTCAACAGTCAAGGAACCGTGGAGAAGATCAAGTCGGTTCAATGCCCTCTCCCAGATGCTTGAAACGATTGCACGTTTGGACAAGATGTCAGCCTTGCGAAGCATTCTCGCCAAACATCGTCTCCTCGATGGATCAACAGCAATGGCAATGGCGCTTGCCTTGGGTGAAACTGAAGATGAGGACCTCACAATTTGGAGATGAAGACGTACCACCGGAAAGCTTCGATGACATGGACATTTACCAAGACAGTCACTTGTATGACATTGGTCCCGCACATGGACCTCGACTCGCATCGTCAGTTGTTCTGGCTGCTACACATGGTACGAGACCTATCCTTCCTATGTACAAAAAGGCTGATCGAGTTCTCTACAAAGAACGTCAGTACCCACGAACACTGCAAGAGCTAGCAACGTACATTCAAGAGCCCCAATTCACACAAGCGTTCCTCAAACACCTCCACATTCTTCGACATCCAACCCGGGTTGTACCAGACGTCATAGCCAACAGTGCGGATTTCACTGGGAAGATACACGTCCACCATTCGGCCGTTGCCCGCTTCTACGCCCCAAGCGACGCCTGCGGTGCAGGCGGAATGCAACGACAGATCATTCGATGCAATCCACAATGGCGCAGCCAGGAAAGGCGGGATACCGTTTTCGTTGCGCAAGGCGACGAGCCTGGGATGCAGGGGATGCTTGTTGCACAGCTTCGTCTACTGTTTTCCTTCACTGACCCATATACGGACCAGCACCACTCGTGCGCACTCGTGAATTGGTTTAACATGGTCGGCGATGAACCCGATTCGACGGAACCGGGATGTGGGTGGTGGAGAGGGAGGTGATTGGTGGTATTCGTCCGCTTCAGGTGGTTGATCTTGGTGCCGTCGTGCGTGGAGCGCATCTCCTCCCGGTGTATGGTCGAGGGCGATTACCAGAGGGGTTCTCGTTTGTCGACTCACTTGACGCGTTCCAGAAGTACTACGTAAACCCGCACATTGACCACCATGCCCATGAGCTGCTGGCAGGCTTCTATACACTGCATTCGACATACTTCATATAAAGCTATGGGGTACTACATCTCTGTCATGGACAAAGAAGACTCGAATAAATGGCACTATGTGAAGTTTGGCTCGTTGTTCGATGAACGAACGCGAGTCTCGGTACTCTCAACCTAAAAGAGAACTCTTCGGGCTAATGCGAGCCTTGGAGGAAAACCGTAACTACTTGATCGGGTGTCGGAAACTCGTCGTCGAGACCGACGCGAAGTACATTAAGGGAATGCTGAACAACCCAGGCAATGGGCCTAATGCAACCATTAACCGGTGGATTGAAGCTATCCTAATGTACCACTTCACCCTACAACATGTGCCCGGTAAAAACTTCGCAATCGCAGATGGCTTGTCGCGTCGACCAGCGTTTCCTGGAGACGAACCGACGACGCCGTATGACCATACAGAAGAAGAAGCTGATGGGTTGCAAGGATATGAGAAGCCTAACCCGGAAGATCCTGACCCACTCGAGTTCGAAGATTTCAAGCATGACATCGATACTCGAGGAGGATACTTCACGGAATCGGCACAAGTCATGAAAGACTTTCACGACGAGCTTCACTTGGGGGCGAAGTGTGACTTAGACGTGGTAGATGCGCGGTCTCAGTACGTTAACCTCGAAATACTGCCCGCCACCCCAAAGCTAGGGCAGGAGGAAGACTCACTTGAGTACCAAGGGTCTCGGCGTTCGAAGTTCGCACAAGCTTACGACAAGCGACTTGTGGAGGTAAAGGAATGGCTGGCGCGACCTTTTAGTAAACCTCTGGAGAAAAAGGGATACCGAAATATCTTGCTATGGCTTAGGACGGCTAGTCACTTCTTCCTAAGGAAGGGACAACTGTTTAAAAGGAATGACCGAGGACAACACCTCTTGGTCATCGAACCTAGTCGCAGGATGTACATTATGAAGGCAACCCATGACGCCTTGGGACATCGAGGCGTATATGCAACCAAGGAACTGATAGCTAGACGCTTCTGGTGGCCAGAGTTGGAAGGAGACGTCGCCTGGTATGTAAAGACTTGTCATGTCTGCCAGGTACGACAAAAGATGTTGGTAAAGATACCGCCTACGGTGACCGAAACACCAGGTGTCTTTCAAATCCTGCACGCAGACGTCATGCATGTGTCCCCCGCTAGCAATGGTTGTGGATTCATAGTGCACGGTCGATGCGAGCTCACACAATGGATGGAAGCGCGAGCACTAAAGAAGCAGAACGCCGAAACCATTGGCAGGTGGCTTTACGAGGAGATCATTACTCGTTGGGGATGCCTGCGCCGTATTGTCACTGACAATGGCGGACCATTTAAGAAGGCGACTAAGTGGCTTGAGAAGAAATATGGGATAACTGGAATACAAATCTCAGGATATAACTCTCAGGCTAACGGTTCCATCGAAAGGCCCCATTGGGACGTGATGAACATGCTTGCAAAAGCAACAAGTGGAGACATGCGAAAGTGGTACTGGTATCTACCTTCGATTACATGGGCAGACAGAATCACAGTTCGTAAAAGATTCGGATGCTCGCCTTTCTTCATGTTGACTGGCGCCGAACCTGTTATTCCATTGGACCTACAAGAAGCGACGTGGTTAACAGACCCTCCTAATGGGTTTACCACTACGGCTGAGTTGATTGGCGCCCGTGCCAAGGCTCTAGCCAAGCATCGAGATTTCGTGGAAGACGTGAGGCGCAAAGTTCACAAGGACAAGATAGCTAGGGTTGCGCAATACGAGAAAAATCACAAGGCTACCATAAAAGACTTTGACTTTAAGCCGGGTGACCTCGTCTTGATGCGAAACACAGCGATCGAGAGTAGCCTTGACAAGAAAATGAAGCCAAGGTACCTGGGTCCCCTAGTCGTCATTGCCCGAAACAAGGGAGGAGCATACATCGTCGCTGAGATGGACGGGTCAGTGCACCAGTCCAGCGTGGCCGCATTCAGGCTAGTCCCTTACCACGCTAGGAAACAAATTAAACTGCCGTCTAACGTCCATAAAGTCATTGACTTGGGCGCCTCAGGACTTAAAGAGATGATAGAGGAAACCGGTCCCGGAGACGAACTCGAAGACTATATGTTCAAGGGCATGCCAAAAGGCTCAGAGCGAGTCGAGGGCGAACTCCTGGATCTCGAAGAGGATGCTCAATCCGAAGCCGAACTTGAAAAAGAAGACTAGACTCAACCGAGGACGGTTGAAATTTTTAAGTTGGGGGGAGAGAGTATACCATACATAGCGAAGACTTGTATACTCTATATGTACAAGTCGAAGCTGACCTGAATTTTTCGCGCATTTCGCCTTAAGTCTCAATAAGATGAAAGGTTGAAGGAGCGATATATTCACAAAGAGGGAAAAAGCCGGAGCAGAAAAACCTCTAAGGTACTACAAACGCTCTAGCGAAAAGATTAAGGCGAGGCGTCTAAGACGTCGCAGGAGTCGTAGTCGCAGGAGCTACACTCGCAGGAGATGAGGCCGAAGGCTGAGTCGATAAGACTTCCTGCATCCGATCCCACTCCTTGCGAAGGAGATCGATGTAAGTCAGCAAGGTCCCCACTTCGTGCGCACGAATCAACATCTCGCGACGAAGAGAGTCCGAGATAGCTCGAGCCGCCTCGGGACCAACTCGAAGGACATCGTACTCGGAAAGCACGGTCTTCGCACGATCCAAGATCTGGCCGAACCACTCGCTCTGTAGGGCAATCAAATCGCCTACAGAAAAAGTGGTAAGTCTAGGTCGACAAGAAAGAGAAGGCAATTCGACTAGGCACTTACCAGACTGGACAATCGCATGATCCGGAAAGAAAGGGAGCTTTTGAATCGAATTGGCTTGAACCTCGGCCAGCTGTTTCTGCTCGGTCTTGGTCCGCTTGAAGGAGAGCGCAGAAATCTGATGATAAGCGCGCGAGCATAAGTCTACGACGCGGTACCATGAAGTATGGGAGACGTACCACGGAGGCTCTCTTGCTCGGCTGGATGTAAGAAGTCAACAGACGACCACCATTCAGGAATAGCGAGGGAACCAACCTCAGCGGCAGACTTAGGAGCCTCAGGTTCCTTGTCTGTGACGTCAGCCATCTACGACGTACGGCTAAGTCAGGCACAAGTGTGAAGTCGAAGAAGACGTACCTCGTGATCTTTGTCAACCGTCTTGGTGGCCGAAGCCTTGGGGGTGTCTTCGACATCGTCTCCATCAGTGTCAGAAATGTCGACGACCATGGCTAGACATGTGCCGAAAAGAAAGAGTTAATAGGCAAGCAACAGATCAGGAAGGATCAGGAAACGCACCGGCCGACTTGCGCTTCTTACCCTTACGGGAAGAGGAAGCAGGAGGTGTCGTGGTAGAGTTAGCTCGCGACACAATGTCGCTGAAGTCGCTCAGGTACGACGACAGCTGAGGCGGATCAGGTTGCTTGGCCGTACGAGCCCAATCCTTGTGAGCCATGAGCACAGCTCGGATGTTGGAAGCCCAACTGATGAAACTCGGAGTCTTTCTCCAAAGCAGTACGAAGGCTTCCAGATACGGCGCCCTACAAGGCATGAAAGCCAGAAGACTTCGGTCAGAAGTCGAACGAAGAAGAAGGGCAGAAACTCACGATAGTCGCTAAGACTTGCTGGAAACTCTGCTCGACCAAGTTGAGCATCGCCTCAGGGAAGTTGCGCTGGGGAAAACTCTCGGTCATGGCTCTGCGAGAGATCGCCAGAGACTTGACTTGGTTTTCAAGCGAGTCGCGGACAGCAGTCCGCTCGCGCTGCCAGAAAGCAATAGAAGCGATATTCGACATAGGGAAGACTAGCAAGAAGGGCGGAAACGAAAGTCGTGAGGGATGGAGTCTGACAGATTCCGCCTCCACGACGCCTTTTAAGTCTTCAAGACTTGGGAAAATTTCCTATGACGCATACTGGAATGCGGCCTAGACACAGTCGGCGGAGGCTCACCGTTACTGCGAACTCTGGTAGCAACCGGGGCGGAATAAGTCTAAGTGGCGCCATGTCACATGCTGAGGAAAAGCCCGTCGATCGATTGACTCGACTAACTCAATTGTTAGGAAAGCGTCTTGTCGATCGCTGGGTTTAGTCTCCACAGTTCTGTACTAGGAACTTGAGCCGGAGGCGTCTGGGGGCTTAGACAAAATAGGCTCTCTCCGGATATTCTGGGAACCGAAAGTTCCTTCCCATTTACTGGCACAAAGACTTATAAGGGCATCAGACACCCGGACGCGACTAGTCGTTAAGACTAGACGTCTTCTCAAAAACCACTCTTAGGTTTATCACGCACATAATAGACCAAGAACAAAAGAGAATTCGATTGGACTCTTACTACTACGAAAGGTATCTAACTACCTATAGTAAAAGTCTAATCACCCGAGCAAGAAAAGATGATGTAAAACAAAATTTGGGCCGTAGCCCGCGAGAGATGTACAAAAGATAAAGGCCCGAAGGCCGCCGACAGTCGAGAACACGAAAAAGAAAGGCGCCACCTAAGCCGAGACGTTACCTGTAGCCGCCTCCAACTCACCCTCAGTGTCTTGACGATCTTGAGGAGGGGAATCCAAGGTGGAGTCGAAGCGGGAACGTCGGCCGGAGCAGCAGGCTCGCTAGAAGACGCCTCGTTAGCCGACAGAGTCTCGTGCATCTGCGGAAGGAATTCCAACAGACTATCCACGGAGACTCGGAGGGCAGCGGCATCCGAAGGAGTAATGCGCTCGGCGATGGCCAACCGACGGATCCTCTCGAACGCCTGGAGGTTCTCCTCCGTACCAAAGACGTGCTTGAGGAGAAACGGGCGACCCCTAGCGACTTCGGCGCGCGAAAGGCGATCGACGAGGCAGACGACGTGTCGACGAAGACTCAGAGCGGTGGACGCCGCGAGTCGTTCTTGAGCCTGCCAGGTGTGGAAGGCGTCGATGATGTCGTTGACCTTAGAATCGAGAGCTGTAAAAGAAAAAGCGAAAGTTAGAAGAAATCGACAAATAAGTAAGGGAAACTAAGGCTTACCGTAGGGAGCGGCCAACGCACCGATCCAGAGGTGGTTGTCGCGCTTGGCCTGACCGCTAGGCGTGTCGACGAGCTTGCAGGAACAACTCCTAAGGCCCGAGGCGCACCTCGAACACTTGGTGTCGCAGCCTTTTCCGACGCAGTTAGCCGAGGGGCCCTGAATAAGCGCGCAAACTGAACAGCGCGGTCGAAACTGGAAGAGAATAAAGTTCAGAACGAGAAGCGAAGAAGTAAAAAGTCGGAGACGTACCGCAGGGCCCAGATGCTCCTCATGGAGGCACAGGTCGGCCACAGCCTGGAACCGATTGCCGTGCAGGACCGAGGCGTCCTCTTCTACAGAACCGGCAGCCCAAGACGCGGAAGGAAGAGCCTTAGGGGGCGCCTTCACGCCCTTCTCGATCTTGACGGGAGGCGCAGAGATCTCTTCAACCTCGGAGCTCGAGGAGGACCGACGACGGCGCTTCTTGGACGACGCCTTGGAGCTGCTAGCCCTGCCCTTCTCAGAGACCAGCTCGTCGTCCTCGTCATCACCCTCTCCCTCCTCTTCGACAACCTCGACTTCCTCAGAAGACTCCTCCTCGGAAGACGCTTCTTCCTCCTCGTCGTCAGACTCGACGACACGAGAAGTCTTGAAGGGCGAGACCAGCGGGGCCTTGCCCTTCGACGAAGAGGCCATGGGAGCAGGCCCAGCCGACGACTTGGGCGTGGGTTTGGCCAGAGGCGAAGGATAAGAAGGAGGAGGCGGCGGACGAGTGGCGCGGCCGGGACGAGGACGAGAAAGGGTGACAGAGTCGGGTGACGCGAGACGTTGACGTTTTGGCGGCGGCGACGCTGGCAGAGCACGACGTTTCTTTTGAGCTGCCCGCTCATCTAGAAGAAGGAGATGAGCTTAAGGATAAAAGAAAAGAAACTGGTACTCACCTGCCTTACGCTCGAGGTCTTCCACCCAATCGCGGAACCCATCAGTGTCAAGGACAGTTTCCCATACGGCCTTCGCCTTCTTCAACGCAGGGGGGTGTGGAGCCTTATAGTTCGGCGGGATCCACCCCGACTGGACAAGCTCAGGGAACTCGGCGTCGGTGGCCAAGGCCGCGAAAGTACGGCTGGCCGAGTAGGCAAGGTCGTGCGCAAGGGAAGAATTGTCAGGGTCGACCAGCGCGTTCTGGAAGACGAGGACTGGGGATCAGAAAACGATCCGACAAAACAAACGACCACCGAACGTACCCAGTCGGCATGAACTGACCTAGACAGCGCCGTTAGCGATTCGTCGTCCGGACGGCGTCGAAGCTTGATAGCACGGTCCAGCCAGAGAGTCAGTTGACCGATTGGACCGGAAGGCTTAAGGCTTCGGAGCAAAGGGTCGGAACGTGGCTTCTTGGACCTTTTGGAGGGTTGGTTGTTACGAGCCATAGGTGAGGAAAGGAAGGAAAGGAACCTGAGGACTCGACCTCTGTGACCTCAGGTTTAAATCAAAAATTGGTGTTCCAAAGAAGCATCTAAATGAATGTTCTGCGGAAAACCAAGCCTGGTAACAAGGCAGAACCAAGAGATGGGCGATATGAGGCCTGGAAACCGCTATGACACGAAAACGTAATAGTGGCGGCCAAGGTCTCATGTTTCAGCCTAAGAAAGGAAAGTTGAAGACAAACCGGCGACTTATCCAGCCTCGAGGCTAGAGGAGCGTCCGGTTGAAACAAGGAGTGCGATAAAAAGCTCCGTGACAGGACTACCGCAAAGTCTAGGGAGGACTATAGGTCTCTCGACCGTAGTTTACTTAGACTCGAAAGCCAGGACACCAACCAGACTCGGTGATTAAACGGTCCGTTTAGACCAAGTGTCGAGACTCGCATTCTCGAAGAGTTGGGCATGTCAGGGACAACCAGAATCTGGGACGGCTGCGCCGACTATACTGACGTGGAAGTCAGAATATTAAGTTGGGGGGAGATGATACGCCGATTTTGCGGCTAGACTTCAAACTGAGCTCAAACGGCTCTATTAGACTCGTCACAAGTGTCTACGTCTAGCCTACAACTAAGGAGTCTTCATTGATGAACCCCAGACCAAAAGCGCAGCGAACCCTTTGTGAGTAGCCTAAGGCGCAGGCCCTTACCAAAAACGCTAGTAGAGACTCTAGTCGAAGGTACCGCAGGAAGCCTAGCCCTAAGTCTAAGACTCGTGCGCGACGTCTAAGTCTTATGGTTTGTTACCTTTCGGGTCTGAACCTAGATCTTGAACCAGGGCGAACTCTACCCACCTGCGACTTGAATATGAGGACTTAGCTGTACCAGCAGAGCTCATAGGGCAAAAGCCTAACCAACTATAACCCTAGACGTGACGACTCGACGAACCTAGTCGAGGCATCGAGTCTAACGGATCACCAAGTCTAAGAGTCTAGACTGGTTCCTCCGATTCGGACGACCTAGCGGAAGCAAATGTCATTGGAGTTGATGGACCAACCGGAAGGACCCCCGACGCCGACACACCGCATTGGAGCGGGACGACCAAAGAGAGAGAGAGCCAAGTCTAAGGTGGAGCGCACCACGTCTACGATGAGACCTCGGCCGATCAGTAACGGACCTCGGGACTGTCTAGAAGTTCACGGCTCTCCGCCGAAGGAGTCATAACTAAGCTCCTGTGGAGCAATGTCGATCAAAGTCTGACCCACCAGGTGGCGAAGTGGATTTCCCCCTTATGGAACCGGAACTGGGTCATGGCCGCGTCGATCACGGCAAGGCGCCCGGCCACAAGCCGTCCTCGGCTGCCCTAATAAGGCAAGCCTAAGCAAAAGTAACCGCGCGTCTACGAGCGCCTAATACTCGAACCGTTCTATTTCTATCCTATCTATCGAAGCTCGTGTTTCTTCTGTTCTATTTCTGTCTCTCTTAGTCTGCCTGTCTTACCTAGTCTTCCTGGTTTTTCCGTCTTTGTTTGTCTACAGCCTTAGTACACCAAACACTCTCCTCATGTATAAAAGCTAGCTAGTTCTCGCTCGAATTCTACAGATTATCGCTGGCAGCTTTTCTCCAGGATAAGACTCCGTGAAGTCCGGCGCGACTCAGCACGTTAAAGGTTTGTCGACTCGGCGTAGATCGACTTTTGGGTTATTCTTTGGCCACTTCGACTCGGTGTAGATCGATTTGGTAACAGTCGTCCCGGCGTGTTCGACTTTGGTTTTCTGTGAGCACCGGCGTCGTGTCTCCTTGACCTCTTTTGTGTATTTTCTCGACTACTCAGTAGCGAGGAGGTGGTGGTACCCTAGTCTAGCTAGTGGTCTGCCTCTGCACGACTTATCACTTCGCGCCTTGAGCCTACAAGCTCTTGTTTTACCTTTTACCTTCTCACCTACTGTCCGCCCACTCCCGTGCACCCCCCTTCGAACCTTTGCATTGTTAAGGGTTTGTTTAGTTCTAGTGCCTTCCTACATACCGTCGTTCCTTTGGGTGAAGTCTAACTTCATTTGGCCTTAGACGTAGTCTTTGGTTGGGTGTAGAGGATTAGCCTTTTCATTTCTTTTTACTTCTTTACCTTCACCTGCCGGTTCGGTTGGTGTGTGTGTGGTTTTAGAGCCTCCCACCCCTGACCGCGCATCAGCGCATAGTAGCTCGAGCGAAAATGACACCGCACGGCCTGACCAGAGTCTGGTCATTGTGAGTACGCTCCCTCCCCATCTGGGCGGAGAGCTTCTTCCCATTCCCTTCCTCTGACTTCTTCGAAGGGCAGTCGTCCGGTTCCATGTCGTTGGTAGTGCCGACTGATCCTGGATTCTTTTCCACCTCAAGCATTACACCTCTGTCGGTGACCACATAGTGTTCGATGTCTTCTTGAAGGTCCTGGGAGGGTATCGTGCTGGAGGTAGAGATAGCTTCCAGTGGCTGGGAGACACGAGCATGTTGGAGACGGCTCTTCAAGAGAAAGGAGCCAGTGCTCCGCTCTTTGCTCCGCTGCTCCATCTGCTGGTGAATCGGGTCGCTGCAAGTCTTCATGGGCTTTGACTTGGTGGTCCCATCGGATAAGCGCTCATTCTTGAAGACTACAGGCCGGACACAGCCCTTTACAGCGCACAAGTAATGATGGAAATAGTGCTCAGGACAAAAACGATGTCGATTATTCTCGAGAGGAGTTGTACAGCGGAAGACGCCACAGCAAGGGCGTCCTATACTAATGCCATCCATGACAATAGCCTGTGTTGATACTGAGAAAGCTCAATGAGAATCATACCGTTCTCGCCGAGTAGAAGGTGTGCACGTACTGTAGGATCCGTCTAAATCACGATACACCCGCATGCACTTGTCGCATGCATGGCGAACTGCATCCGGCTGGCCATTGAGTATAATCCATTCGTTCCTGGCCTCTAGCGCAGCCTGGAAACGCTTGGATTGGTCCCCACTATGTGGTACCTCAAGGACAAAACCTCGCCGACGGCAGTCCTCCAGCAAGCTCAGGATGAAAAATCCATCGCTTGCATGCTCCTGTCGTAGCTCAGGGGAGAGACGCCAAAATCTTCGGTCATAGCTTTCCTCGTCATTGTTGAATGCTGCGCTATAGGATGCTGCTGCATTGGAGAATGAATACCTGGTGGTACAGTCAATCACTTGTTAGGCAAACATCATAGCGACACATACCATCCAAACAGCATCTGTGTTATCCACAGGCGTATCACAGGTACGTGAACAAACTGGTGCTCTCCAACCTGAATAAACTCTGGCATTGCCTCGTAGTATCTCCTCGTCTTGTCCTGTACCGAGTAGTTGTGGTGGTAGCTTGTATTGCAGTCTAAATCCACGAGAATAAGGATCATTCAGCCGCAGAAACACGTCTAAGAGCATACCTGGACAGTAGGTTACCACCTCATATGCTGCCTGAACACCATCGTCCTTTGTGAATGCCAAAACTGACGACATTGAGAGCTCGCGTTTGAGGGGGTTGGTACGGGTGCAATCGTGGTTTATACAGTGAATATTCGGAGGGTACAAAGTATAAGCCACTATTAGAATGCCACTATCAGCTCTCGGTTATCTGTATCTTTCAGAATACAACGTACCTATTCCTAGAGGCCACCCATAATGACGAAAGAGACCCAGCTCTTCCTTGGTTGGTCGTCCTGGGTCCATATCCCATATCGTATCCTTCAAGACTTGCCACATCTCGTCGATTCCCTCCAACGAGATATCTAATGCCATTGAAACAAAAGTGGCGATGGCAGTTGGGAGTGCGGGAGGTGCTTCGTCTTGATCTGTAACCGGGATCGTCTGTGGCTGGAGGATATCGCGTTTAAGTCTTGCGAGAAGCCGCTTGTAGAGAGCTAATGTTTCTTCTGAGAAGTTCCAACGCTGCGACAGGATAGACAATCTTTGATATAACAGGTATGCCTCCATTCTGAGCGCACCCCACACACGTAGAAACAGAGCGAACAGACTTAGAGGAGGGCTGGTGACCGGCGAGATGGGTCTGGTGACCTTTCAGTCAGGTGATCGGCGGACTGTCCGTGCGGACTGTCCGCCGCGGATTTTCTATTTCCTGGAAGCTCTCCAGCAACCAGGGCACTCATGGACTTGCCGACTTGCCGGCTTATGATAAGGGAATAACTGCGATAAGCGGATAATTGATCGGGGCTTTTGCTGATCTGGCAGGGAGTCAGGAAACAAGTGGAGATTATCTGTTCTACTCGTTATTGGAACAATTGTTGAACGCGGAATCATGACATGGTTCAACATTGAAACCAGGCAAAGGCTGCCGCGGCCGTGGACAATTGTCTTGCACGCCTCTCACCTTATGGACAAAGTCAAGATCTGAAGCAAGCAGCGTGACTCACGGGCTATCTTGCAGATGCATGTGGTGTTGAGTCCGCCGTCAAGGTGACGGCAAGCTTCGGCAGTAGTTATTATTAGTATAAAGAAAGGGGTATTAGGATGGGTAGCCATGGAAAGCAATAGTCAAACAAACAACTTGAAAGCGGTGTCCAGCATTGGAACAACTCCGGTGTCGTAAAGTGGTCATTAGATAGAAAACGGTGGCGGGGAAATGCGAAGGTGCCGTCGGAAGGTCCTTGAGATGTGTGAACAGTACAAGTAAGCGACACATCGCTCAATTAGTTCTTGCGGAAGCGGGAAAGGAAGCCAGACTTAGGCTTCTCGTCAGTAGCAGCGGGTTCTGCAGTATCAGCGGCGGGGGCGGGGTTGGCCTCGACGGCAGCAGCAGTGGCGGCAGCCCTCTTCTTGGCCTTGTCACGGCGACGACCGAAGCATACGGTGCAACCGCCCAAAAGAGTGAGGAGCAAGCTGGCAAAGACGAGCCAGAAACCTATCAGGAAAACGAGTTAGAATATCTGATCCAACCAATCGTCAAAGATAACGCACCAGGGGAGACCTTGGTCTTGGCATCAATATCGAGGTCGTTCATCTTCTTCTTGACGTACGCGAAGAGGGCAATTTGGATAGCGAAAGAGATGAGGTGCATGATGGCAGCGAGGAAGGAGACCAAAGAAGCGAGAAGCGCAACGAAAAGGTTCGTTGACAGAGACAAGCATAGCGCGACGAGGGTGACGGCAGTGGCTGTGGTTCAAAGTAAGCTACACAGGCGCCAGGAAGGCATGGTCGGCTTCACGCACCGAGAGGCTGAACAACGAGACCGCGAGTCCACGATGAGCCAATAACGACTTGCTCAGCTCCGTCGGCGGTGGAGACGTCGACTTCGTAGGCGTAGCCTGCAGAATTATATGATAGTGAGCCGCAGTTCGTTCATCCGTGCAAACGCCAGTCGTACCATTCTTCTGACAGGTCTTATCCTCCTCTTCATTGTAGTAACACGAGGTCCTTCAAGATTTGTCAATACAACACTCTCCTGGCAACATTGAGAGTTCATACCAAATGCCGAACTGAAAAGGAACACCTGTTAATGACCCCTAACTAGCTAGCAGACCGACAAGTGGAAAACTTACGCGTAAGTTGGTCATTTCATTTTCGACGAGACTAGGGGTGAACTCGACACGCGTAATATCGAGCGTAGGGAGATATGGCAGGGAGATTGAAGCCAAGAAGCTCACAATGAGCGCGACAAGGAGGAAGACGATCCCAGGAATGCAGAAGATTTTAGACATCGTGGTAGTTCGGCGCAGCCGTTGTCCTTGATGGTTGACGGCGATAGGAACAACAACAACGGCGACAGGAAGGTCGAGCAGAACTGGGACGACGGTGAGCGAAGGGGAGACTCCAACCCTCCGTCATACGAGAAGTCGGGGGATTTTATTCATTTTTGACCCAACTGCAAATCCAGGCATCATCTTCTCACACTTGCACGTTTCGGAGGCGTGTTGGCCCATATGTCCAGTGTGATCAATCCGAATGGAGTAAGTCCTGGCTTGGCACATATCCTCGGTGTCCTTTTTCGTCGCAAATGAAGGATGGTGGCGGCTCTAGTCCCTCTTCTCTCATCGTTCCAACCGAATATGAAAGCACGTTTTCTGAAGTAACTGCCCAATTGCTCTCGCATTCCCCAAAGAAAAACGAGGAAAGTAACCCTGAACCATCACTTGACATCCCTTCACAAAAATGCCTGCTTTCGGGCCTGCCACATTCAGGGATCAGGGATAATAATTTGAAGGTCGGGAATATACCAACGGCAAACGTCCGACAGACATGTTCCGTTGACAGATGGGAATTGAGGAGCATTTGTTATTCGGAATAGGTTTTGACAAAACGAAGGGCCGCGTCGGTATTCGGTATTCGCCCTGGACCTCGCACTTCATTTTTTTCAGCTTCACATATATTTTTTACCTCAGCAGCAAAGCTCATGGCAGGTAGTACTTTGTGGAACGCCTGAGGATCCTCCTAGAAAGATAGGAAAGTCTTCAGGAGGCCCAATGGAATCAGGTGCTTGGAAGGCGATGATCTTTTTGCTTCCGACTCGGTGTGAAACGCGACGCGAGGGAAGACTGTGCAAACCTGTGCTGTCGACGTGACACTCTCATCGCGTCGCATGGTGGCCGACACTTCCTTTCACCTCGATTTTCAAATCACGCTCAGCGAAGGTCCACTGAAAAGGTGTGAGAGAGGAAACTAGATCAGACTAGATCACCGTGATTACCAACATCATCGCACAGGTCGAGTATAAGTACAAACAGGAAGGGATTAACTACAACAATGAGCTTTTGACGATGTGTAATACGAAGGTCATGAAGAGAAAAAAAAATAGACAAAACGTCTCATAGTCCGCTCAAGTCGAACCTGACAATGATTCATGGCATCCCAAGATCCAAAACCCGACGAAATTAGAGCTCGCCTTTGACTTTCTCGCCAGCTCGTTTGATCTTCTCCCCAGTGTACTCCCTAGCGTCACCCCACTTGTCTTCGGCCCACTCCTCAGAATCAGCAGCGCGAGCCTTCGCATCCTCGTACTGAGCCTGACCAGCTTTCTTCGCTTGGTTGTAGCCTCGGTTGGCCTGGTCCTTCGCATGGGCATACTGAGCGTCACCAGCCCTCTTCGCATGCTGGTACTCGGCGTCAGTCCTCCTCTTCATATCCTCGTACCCCTCCTTCGCGGCGTCGTAGTCCTCGTGAACACTTCGCCGAACGTCAATATAGCCTGTGGTCAAGATGTTGAGCATGCGGGCAAGAACGTCCTCGACCTTCTGTGCGCTATCGTTGGCGAGCTCTCGAATCTTCTCCAGAACGGTGTCGGCTCGGTTCTCGGCTTGTACCCATCGGATACGCGTCTCTTCTGTCGAATCGAGCGATGATTAGAATCGACGATACACAGATGAAACAAATGAAAGGCGATGCATGAATGAAACAAAAAAAAAAAAAAAAATCACTCACGAAGCAGTCCAGGTCGACCTCCAGGAACCAAATCTTCACTCACGCCGTGCTCCCGAAGGTACGCTCGGAGGCGGGCATCCGGCCAGGCCAAGTAGGCCGCAGTCTTGGCGTTAACGTCGGAGTACCTAAAAATAGTGCGCGTGAGATCACCCCTATTCGAGCTCGAACAAAAGGAATACCATACTCACTTCTCCTCAGCCAACTTAATGAGCTCGTCTCGCTTCTTTTGTGCGTCAGACCGCATGTAGCCATTATCGATGAGCCATTGTCGAAGCTGGTTGTCGGTCCAAGCATTCCAGAAGGTGTCTTTGGCTGAGTACCAGTTGTCGCTGCAATGGAAGGCAGGTTGGTTCAGGAACAAAGAAGTGAAGTGGGAATGGTAGACAGACGTACTTGACCATCTTCAACATCTTGTCGCGACTGACTTGAGCGTCGCTCTTGATGACGTCATGATCGACGAGCCATTGTTTGAGCTGGGAATCGGACCAAGTGTGCCAGAATCTGTCAGAGGTGTTGTAGTAGTACTGCTTCATCTGGTAGATGAGATAGTCTCGGTTTTCCTGTGTGGTCTCCGGCTTGACGATATTATGGGCTGCGAGCCAATGATGCTGTAAGTCGCCGCAATCAGCCTCCGCATGCTAAAGAACACAACCACCAACGTACCATATAACTGTTGCTCCATGCATCCCAGATAGGATTCGCAACCTTCCCCCATGCATTATGGACCATCTCCAGCAGCTCTTCCTTCTTCTTCTGTTCATTACTTTTAATCAACCCCCGTTCCACCAACCACGACCTCAGCATATTGTCATCCCAGGTCGAATAAATATAATCCTTCGAATGATCAAACGCTCTCGCAACATCACGCGTAGCCTGCGCAGCCGCACTCGCCACGCTCCTCGTCACCTGCTCCGCCTTCTCACTAGCACCAGATACCACCGAGCTAGCAGTCGCACGGGCACCATCCGCAAACGAACTGGCAGCGTTGTTGTAAGCGCGGTACCTCTCGTTCGCCATCAGCACCAGCTTCTCGCGGGGACCTTTAGGCGCAACAACACCCTGCTCCAACAAAAATTGTCGAAGGCGGCTCTCATCCCACTTGTCGAAGCTGGTGTCACGGAGGTCGGCGTAGGCTTTTTGGGCAGAGGCGTATTGGTCGTATGTCCATGTTGAGACTTTGTTCCAGTTGTCGCCGACAAGCTCGCGCAGCTCGGAGTCGGTTTTGGCGTGCTTGGGGAGAGCGATGTTGTGGACGTCGAGCCAATCCTGAAGTTGCTTGGAGGTCCATGTTGTATAAGGAAGCGCCGCGGTGTGGGTTGAATCAGAGTTGCTGCCACCGAACCAGCTGGCCTGGGCGGCGAGGGTGAGGCTGAGGGTAACAAAAATTGGTGTTAGTCGCATCGTTTCGAATGTTTCGTCGGCGGTGGTGAATGAATAGGAGTCAAGAGGGAAGTTGGGTTGTGCGGAGGGAGAATGGGTTGTTTGAGATTTATAGATGTCTCGAATGACGTCATGCCATGACGAACTCTCCTCCTCCCCCATACGCACTTGTCTGCGTTATGTATTGGAGCCCTACACCAAAGTATAAATCCACGGGCGCACAACTCTGCGTTGCCATAGTGGAGTCGATTAGCATCAAGGAGAAGCGAAAAGAAACGGCGCACGAGTGAGGTGGAATATCACGGCTGACGGTGAGCTTGCGGACATCAAAAGAAGAACCTGATTTCCTATATTTTCCAGTCTTTTTCTAGTTCTAAAGCTTTTCTGGCAGGTAATGTACAGTACGAGCATTCATGGGAAAACGACTGTTACCGATGCTTGTACGCGGCTGGCGATGCGATTGCTGCCTTTGCGAGATCCCTGTAACCGAGGGACGTCAGCGGGCCCCTCAACAGACTGTACACAAAACCATACCCGAAAGCACCCTCAATGCAGTTCTTGACCTCCTTATAGCTAACCACAAGACAGCTCTGTTCATCCCGCGCAACAAGCATAAGCTTTTCGTCCGTCCCAGCGTCCAACTGACAATTGACACGGAACTCGTCAGCAAACCACCGGCGAAAGTAAAACGCCATGTCCTCACCTTGTTCAGACATGTCAACACATGCGACATGTCCAGTACAGGATTGCCGTGCTCATCGACTTGATGGAAGACATAGTCACGGAACAGTTTGATGATATACCGGTCACCCGTTTCTGACCATCGGGGCTCCCGTGCAAACCTGTTTCAAAAAGTATGAGGACAACGCCTTTATCCAGGAGTTGTCACTTACTCTGGCCGCTCATTGATGAACCCGAGCTTCGTCATCAACCTAACCAAGCGGGCATTCTCCAGTTCACTCTGGAGTTCAACCTCAAGGCGGTCGACAGCGCTAAAATGTGGGTGATGAGTGTCAGTAAATACGGCCGTTCCGGGCAGCTTACAGTAAAGCCTCTTCTTGTTCTAGAAGAACACGATGCCTGATGCTATCCAAAACCTGGTCAATACTCTTCAAAGAGAATCAGCGACAATCCCGGACTACTGCATGAATACACTTCACCTTCATGGTCTGCTTGCTGATCAGCCACAAAGCAAGACTTTTAATTTCTTGCCCATAGACTCGTAGCAGATGATCCACGCTCTTCTGGAAATGGGGTCCACTCGAAGCATTGGTGCTTCCACAGCACAAAGCAAAGATTAGCCTCCCAAACTGCGTTAAATCTTCTTGCTGCATCAGGTGAATATCTTGCGGCACGTCGTGCATCAAGACGTCCATTGTGCCGCAGGCGGAAATTCGAATGCTAAAGACAGGCTCAGCTCTTCGAAGTTAGGCGGGGTGATAAGCTGCGCTTACCGGTTCTGACCAGTGATGATGACCTTGCTCGCGTCGAGACCTCGCAAGGCATGGCCAGCCTCGTGCACCCGCTTGATCGCAGTGGCGATCTGGACGATGTATGACCAGATTGTTCGCTCAGGGATGGCAGGCCCTTGACCAATGGCAGGGCTTGCCTGTGGGGTGTAGTGCGTAGTTCCACTTTGATAGCGCCCGAAGCGACTACCTGTGGATCCCGTGGTCGTAGAAGTACTTGATGTTTGTTTGTTCTGCTTGAGATACGTGTCGTAAAGCGTCTTGGCATTCGGGTGGTACGCATAGACCACGACCAAAGCTACACGATAGACGGAAATGAACAACTGTAGAACGCCCAGTAGTCGGTACTCACAGTTATCATCAAATGATCGGGTCGTGAAAGCTTCCTTGAGGCTGACGATCCCTGGATGCTTGAGGTTACTCCAGAATTCGATCGGGGCGAAGGCGCTTGTGTGTATTAACCGATAATCTATCGAGTGATGTAAGTAAAGGGGCGTATCGTTGAGGCTCAGAGAAGGACTTGCTCTCGATCCTTCGAAGGACGTAAGGCAATCCATCTGAAGCTTTGATAGCCCGGTACACTGTGCAGTACCAGTTCCCGAACTTGCGTCTCTCGGTGCCGGGACCTGTGGGTTCTAACGGCACCAAGGTGTGATAGCCTTGTAGTTCCTCGGGGAGGTTCAAGCCTGGAGGAGCGATCCCTCGGATGGTCTCACTCCGTTCTTGAAGAGTCTGTCTCAAATCGGCGGAAGGAGGTACGAAGTGAGTGTTGACGGTAGAAGGTTGGAAATCAGGATAGGCCGTCGGCGTATAGAGGTGGTAGTTGAGCTAAACGGGCGCCAGTAAGGGGGTTGTTCTTGGGTGAACCGTTGAATTGTACATACCGGTTGTCGAAGGAAGACTGGTGGGGCCGCCGCATAATAGGCCGCGGCTGCGGCAGCAGCAGCAGCGTCGCTGTAATCGCCATAGTACTGGGTGCTGAGCTAGAGAGGACATCGTGAGCTGGATCTAGATGTCTGGGTGAGGGGACCAGTGCTAGTCATGGGACGACCCATAGAGAAATCTATTCTGGTATTGGCCTTCCATATTGATTAGAGAAGCTCGTCCCAGACCAGCGCTGGTCTTTCCTCAGTGGTGAATTAGATGAACTTACATCCTCCATTTTCTGGGTGACGCCTTCCATTTGGGAATCTTCAGTGTAGTTCTCATAGCCAGACTGGTCATACTCCTGATAACCCATCTCAGATTGGGACGCGCCATCGTAGGTTGAGCCACTACAGCAGTTAGCCTAAGTTAGTGGATAGCAGGATGAACTCACTCAGTAGTAGCTGCAGGGGTTGATGCAGCGCTAGCGATCCCAGCAGCTATGGCGGAGGCGGATTTGGGCACAAACACCGGAGCATTGACGGCCTGGGCTGACAGAGTGCCAGTCACAACAGGTGATTCAGGGCGTGTGCTGTAGTTTCGTTAGACCGAAGGCGGGGCGTGAAGATATGACGCACCCTCCAGTACTGGGGGGCGGGGCTTGGGCTGGCGGTTCAGGTTCTGTCTTTTGTAATGTGGGTAAGACGCGTCATTCGACAAATGGTAAAGATCCAAGGCCATACCGGAGGGTGGTAGTAGATACAGCCTTTGTCCTGGTATTTACAGTGTCTGTAGACATATTATACATTATCAGTTAACGCTAAGGTCACACTGGGCGGCCGAACTTACCCATAGATTACTATATTTCTACATTGTCTCTGAACGGAATCTGACAGGGAAATCAATGACGGCGTCAACCAGTGGGCACAAGATGCAGACACGATTCTGTCGCGATCCATGCACACATTTCAGCATCGAAGACGCACCTTTTCGCGTTTGTCCTGCAGACTGTTTCGGTGATTCGGGTTCAGTGGTCGGCGGCCTCGCGATCTTAACCGGAGTCGACTGGGCTCGAACGAAGTAGGACATCGAAGACGAAACTAATAATACAAGAAGATTCCAAGATTATGGCGTCCCTGGACAGATTTTGGGACGACCCGACCGTCGTTGGTGGTGGTCGAGGACAAAGAACGGTTATCTGCGTCCGCGCGTATCCTGATCGCAACAAACAGTGCACGCGTTCAGCTTTCCCTTCTACACCCATCATCGTGCCGCTACCCCCAGAATGCCTGCTTATCTCCAAGGCTATGTCCACGCTCGAGTCTGGGTAAATTGGGAGGCTGATTAAAGACTACACCCGTTACCGTCAATGGCTCTAGCCCAATCCACAAGTTTCTCTCAGGTGGCGCCTGAAGGGTCGTAGGTTCTTCATCTCCGCGAAAACAAGTCACCAGATACCTTACTCAAGACAAGGCTGACTGGTATGCCTATTTGGAAGGGTCCCCAATGAATAGGAATGCTGACTTGACCTTAATGAACTGGTATGCATGCTGTGGCTTTAAGCCTTGATCATGAGGCATAACACGACGAGCACGGGCAAGTTTGGGTTTCCAGTTTCAAACCCACGGCCGACCTTTGCCCGCCTCGTTCCTTCCTCTATCGCTGGCGCAGAGCACTCCCAGAGCCAAAGGAACACGAGGTGATCCAGCACCCCACCTCAGCTTGCCCGGATCTGCGTGGCCCTCACGGCCCATTAACATGTTAACATGTAGCGAGGCTTGGGCGGCTCTGAATACCCCATCTGTATCGTAACATGACGTTTGATTCCAGGGATGATATTCAACATGGGGTTTGGCTCGCCGTTAGCAAAGACTAAATCCGTCGACAATAAGACGTTTTCCGGGGTGCGGATGCAAGTCAATTCAACTCCCCGGCCGGGTATGATGCCCTGTTCACCGCCTGACTCGACGCTACTCGAAACGGGTATAGTCCCATTGTCGAGTTTGCCGCTATGTTATGAGGCGTCTACCTGCTTCGTCGAGCGTGATAACTCAGGACGATAGACAAGGGCCTTTTCCGATAATCTCACCGCCCAAGTTCCCGTTACGGGTATAACTACTCGGGGCGCTGGATTCGGGATCCCTTTGCAGTTTCCTGTTTTCGACCTCATGGCGATATGTTGTTCTCGATTGGTTCTTTTGGTTGGGAAGTCTAATTTGATCGTTCTTCTGGGCCTCACATGAGTGCCTGACATATCTCGAATAAGGACAATACCAGGTGGGTGAAGTCACCCCTGCGGTCGAATTATGACTATAGATAACCGCCACATCAGCTTCCCAGTTTCACAGCACTTTCTTTACGATTCGAACCAACCTGTTGGGAAGGCTATTCGATAGGCCACGATGAAACAACGATGTGGATGTATTTTCATTTAGAAAACATGAAAAGAAACATGAGATGGAAGGCAGATAGAGGGTACAGTCCCGTGTGAGCGCGCGGACTTATAAGGAGACACCTTCCATATGAAGACGGAGGCTATCTTTTGTGAGGACGATTCCCCGTAGGACCCTTCAGCTTGTCCTTGCAATCAGGCCACCACGACGGACCCAATTCGACCGCCGTCATCGTTAACGTCGACAACACTGGCTTCGACAACGACGGCCTTTAGCTCAACACCGACAACGACGATCAAGCCAGAGGCTTCGTCGCTGCCCGCACCACTCACACCTATGGCCTATTCCCAGTCGCTCAGCCCATCCGCCACTTACCGCGACGTCAACAACATGCAGAGCCAGCCAGTACCGACGTCGTCAGTCCACAGCTCGCCTGTTATTCAAGCTATCCAGCATCCGAGGCAGGCCTCGAAACAGCGCTTCGTCGCCGAGCTCTCCCAATGCCTCTTCGACTTTGTGATCCAGTTGCTGCCGACCCAAGAGGAGATGGCTGTCAAGGAGGACGTCCGCAAACTGCTCGAACGTCTTATTCGTACAATCGAACCCGACAGCAGACTGCTTTCCTTTGGCAGCACCGCCAATGGTTTCAGTCTGAGGAACTCTGGTAGGCCCAGTCGTCGGTTCTACCTAACGACCGTGCTCTGACCAGTCCAACCCCATGTTCCTTAGATATGGATTTGTGTTGTCTGATCGATTCAGACGACAAGCTCTCTGCAGCGGATTTGGTGACGATGCTTGGGGATCTGTTGGAACGGGGTATGTCGCCCGGGATCCTTGCCGTTCCTTACAACTCCCTCACCGCTGATTGGCCCTGTCCTTTGTAGAAACCAAGTTTCACGTTAAACCGCTCCCTCACGCTCGGATACCTATCGTGAAGCTCACGTTGGACCCCTCTCCAGGACTTCCACACGGCATAGCATGCGATATCGGATTCGAGAACAGGCTCGCGTTGGAAAATACCCGCCTCCTCATGTGCTATGCTATGATAGATCCAACCAGGGTACGAACAATGGTTCTCTTTCGTAAGTACTTCCATCTCTTGGGAATGGCTGATATTTATTCTGTCATCCAGTCAAAGTGTGGAGCAAGAGACGGTGAGTGCAAGTTCTCGACAACTGGAATGATTACCATCTCAACGAGGAACGCTTTAGCAAAATCAACTCCCCCTACAAAGGAACATTATCGTCTTATGGTTATGTTTTGCTCGTAATTTATTTCCTGGTACACGTCAAGAACCCTCCAGTGTTGCCTAATCTACAACAGATGCCTCCATTACGCCCTATCACGACAGTGAGTGGTCCTCCTGTTCTAAACTTAGCTGGTGGCGCTCAACTTGGTTCTTTAGGAGGAAACACATTTGAATGGACATAATATTTGGTGAGATTGAGCTCGTTAAAGTCGCTGAACGCGTTGCTGACGACCTCTTCTATAGGTTTTTCGACGACATCGATCTGCTCAGGCAACGTTGGCGGTCGGAGAACACAGAATCCGTGGCTGAGTTGTATGTATCCCATCCTTTCACCTTTCTGCTTCTCGTTCTCATTGCTATTCCTATGGCCAGAATGATCGACTTCTTCCGATATTTCGCCCGTGACTTTCAATACAACAACGGCGTTGCTTCCATCCGAGCTGGCCTACTCAAAAAAGACGCCAAGGGATGGCAAAGCGATGTAATTGCCACTTTCACCGTCCTTCTGAATCGACCGTTACTGACAGATCTCTAACAGCAATACTCCAGCCGGTATGACCCCGGACGGGAGCGGAATAGGCTATGTATCGAGGTACGGCAAATCCGTTCGGATAATTGTTGTTAATGAACTAATCACATTGTTTAGGACCCGTTCGAGTTGGACTACAATGTCGCACGTTGTGTGACGAAGGACGGACTGTATACAGTAAGAGATTTACTCATTGTTACGATACAACGCTGACCATTATTTCTTCCAGATCCGCGGTGAATTTATGCGGGCTTCGCGGATACTTGCTGCGCGACCGGAAAGGGCGATTGTCGCCATCGCGGAACTCTGTGAAGAGCGCAAAGACGAAGAGTTGGTTCAGGCACCAACCTACAGCTCATCACGGCCTTCGCCTATCCCACCTCAAACACCGTACACAGTCGGTTCCAACTCATTACGGCCGAAAAATGCCCCCCCTGAGAGGCTTTCGCCTCCCACTCAGTTCTTCGAACCTGCCGTTGAACTAGAGACCAAAGCACCACATCCTCAGGTACCGAGGCAACCTCCCCCACCTCCTGAGCACATGGCTCCGAAGAGGTCGAAATGGACGAGCCCGCCACCGCCCGATGCGCCATCCGTTGATCACACCCTCTTCCAAAGCCAGTTTGACAAGAGTTTGGAGCTTGCAACTGCCCCCACCGAAGCCCGAGAAAAGGAGGCCAGTGGTTCGGAAACTAACAGCGACATCTTCACAGACGAAGATCGTTCGGACGCTGCTGAATCCGATGATATCTCATCAGTGCGATCCTACACTGAAGGGACTTCGCTGACCAACCCAGGACTTGCACGCCGACCATCCTGGCATATGCCTCTTGGCGGACGGTTAGCTCAGTACCACGACAACGGGAATACCGCGCCATTACCTTCTTCATCGCGTCCTTCTCTGGCCTCACGGGGTCGAATACCTCGAACGGAGCGGGTAGACCACTTGCCCAACGCCTTCCGCAATCTCCCCGAATTCGTACCGACTGCACGTTCAGACTTCTCGTCGAGACGCCAATCGACTGGTCCTGTGTCATTACGCTCTTTCAAAAACGGTAATCACAGCTGGTCTTCACATACCCCATCGTCCAACAACACTTCTCTTCCTCCATCTCCGGAATTGCCTATCGAATCCCGTTATAATGAAGCTTCTACTGTATTTTATCAAACCGCCGGCACGCGCTCACCTCGGTCTAACATCGTATACCCCATTCTTCCTGGATCTCAAAGCTCACTTTTGTCTCAATATCAGTCTCAACAACACTCGCCTATTTCACCTTCATTACAAAATTCGCATTTCCAATCACAGTTCATTGGACAACAACAACAACAGCAACAAATTCGGATTCCTCCTGATATTCTCCCGGCCAACGTGCAGCCTGCATTGTCTTCTTTGAATCCAAGAGCAAGGACGATGTCTGGACGGTCGTCGACTGGACCTGATACGCCTACTCCTGGCCCGCCTTATACTCATTCGCATTCTAATTCGACGACGACGGTTACGGCACCGACTCCGCCCCCGCATACGACCCAGTTTGTTCCTCAGCAACCGCAGCCGGCGTACAACCGTTCTCCGCTGATTCTAGCGCAGATGGCAGCTGCACAGTCGCGCTTAGCAGCGTCCGGTAACACCAATGCCGCCAATCCCACTCCCAATGGGAACGCCAATGTCCACCCGCAGAGTAGTCAGTATATGACGGCCGAGTCCCCTGATCATTTGTCTACTGGGCAGAGTAGTACAGGCTCGGTATCGCCGAACAGGTCAGCGGGAGATTCGAGTGGAAGTTCGCCTACGCCTTCGTCTAATGGGTATTCTACGTCTATTTCGAGGTCGCCGTCGCCTGCTTCGCCGTCTTCGCAGCCTACTTCACCGCCGAGGGGTACGATGGGCCTCAAACATCCCGGTCACCATCCTCTTCAACCTCATCATCCCCATCATCCGCCGGGTCATCACCACCCAGGTCATCCTCATCATCATCATCGTCTAGGACATCATCATCCAGGACATCTTGGCCATCATCCGAGTCATTTGGGTCATCAGCAGAATGGGAAGGTTAATGTGAATGTTGGAGTTGTGGGTGAGGAAGATGCGGGTGTGGAGGGGTTTGCGACGTCGTTTTCGGCGTTGACTGTTAGAGAGGAGGGGGATGGGGAGGGGCATCATCCCCATCATCATATGGGTGTGGTGCCCGCGAAGGAGTACTTGATTGAGGGAGTCGGAGATGGTGGGCGCTAGTACTGGTGACATACCCGTTGTGGTGTGTGTCTTTGGTGGGGGGGAGGCGAGTCGGTGGATGGTTGCGGAGAGGATGGGGAGTTTTGCGCATGCGTTCATGGTGCCTCTGGTTGTGAATGCCGTGGTCTGTGAGGTTCGAAGGCTCTCTATAGATGTGGCTTCTTCGTTGAAGTTGCAAGGAGGACCTGAAGAACCTGATGAAATGGGGTCGTGTCTCTGCTTCTCGCTTCTCGCGCTGCCGTCGTCGTCGTCGTCCCTGTCGCCATTCCATCCGCGTCCTGTCACATCATCATCCAAATTCAAATGAACACCGACTTTCGAGATTTTCCCTGCCTCAAATCTTTGCTACCAGTTAAACACGACGACGACCGACTGTTTCGGATTAGGGATGAGCGCGGGCACAAGGACGAATGGTTAAATGCTTGAAGGAAGGAAGGACTGGCGAGCACGAAAACGACGATTCGGTATTGGCGGGAAGAAGATTTCATTCGGGATGGTACGATGTTCCCTTTCGCGGGCGTCGTTGTATCACTATTACAGCAGGAAAACGGAATTAGGATCGGATTGGTGGGTGGGTGGGTTCTGGTAGATGGGTGCGCTGTCGGTGGCGGAGCGGTTGAGGATGGGCTTGAGTATTGGCGGGTTGGCGAGGATGTGCTGATCGGGGATGTCTTCAACCTTCCGGACTCCTCATCGGAAAACGACGGGCTGTAGCCGTCTATTGGAAACCTTGGTACGGTACAAAAGGACTACATCGGATTTCATTTTTCATTCATTTTTTCGTGTGTTCGTTAGTTCGTTGTTTCTTCTCATTCCATCTTCATTCAGTAACACTTCATTCAATCGGCCTTCCATCCAGTCTCATTCATGTCAAGTTCACTATTGTTCATTCGACAACCCTTCACCCAGTCCTCATTCAATCATTCTTCATCCAGTCTTCATCCAGTCTCATTCCATCCCTTCACCAATCATGATTTCCATCATCTCCTTTTCGCAGTGTCGTCCTGAATTCATTCATGCCCTTTTCACGATGTTTTCTTTTCGATTTGGTCCTGGCTCCAGTCTTTTGTTGGGTGGAAGGGTTACAATTCATGTGCTCGACGTTCATGCTTTTTACGAGTCCTTTTCCCCTTTGTTCCTTTGCTCCCGCGCGAGTCTTTTTTGCCCCATCGCCCTACCCGTCTTAAAATTCGTGATTTTGTATACCTTGCTTCACGTCGTCGTTCGTCGTCGTTTGATTTTTTCCAGGTTGGTTCTGGATCATTTTCTGGTACCTAGCTCCCTTGGCTTCAGCCTTCGACCTCCCTATCCTCCGGTTCACCCCATCATTTACCTATTCTATTCTGCTCAACGCTCGGACATGATTTTATGACCTTTTTTTCTTCTTTCGTTCTTCTTCGTCCTGAGGGAGAGCTAACCTATTCGTTACGCGTATCATATATCTTTTACTACGTTAGTTATTATTTTTGCCCTTTCCTTCCCCTTTCCTTTTCTTTAGTTCTTTCTTTCTTGCATGTTCGTCATGTTACAGTTCTTCATGTTCGTTTCACCTTTTTTATACAAGTAGTTCAGAGCTTCGTGTTTTGTTTTTTGTAATGAGGACGATTTGATCTCGAGTTGAGTTGGTTGGTTCAAGGTTGCGTTGACTCTGGATATATAATCATCTCTGCCCTGTTAAAGCTGTCACGGTGTATGGGGCTCGAGCGATGATATTGCATGATCGTGGTGATTTCGCGGGATACATGCATGTATACCGGTACCAAGCATACAGCTCTCTGGGAGGTTTTATGAGGGTTGAAGATAACATGGGGTGAGCATTAGAGGATAGGCAGGCGAGAGTACACATTCAAGTTGAAGAACTTGTACCTGAGTCTGGAAGGCGCCAACCTGGGTAGCCACTGATGCCATATGACTTTGGGTGAGATGGGATGGTTTCTGAGAATAGACCAGATGAAGTCTCGAAGTAGTAACCAGCACCCAGTCGAGTCAGGCGCAATAAAAATGGAGAGAATTGTGACTAGAGTACAAGGCCATTCGTCCCTGCTTTATTCTCTGTGGTTCAGGGCACAGGGCAATCTGGAGGGAGCATGTTGTATATTATCGGCTTTCAAGGGAAATGGAGAACATGGAAATAAAGTACAAGGGTGCCACACCGGTCGGACTACTCTTCGCTGACGAAGGGGTTGGCGATCTCTTCAAAGCCGTCTACGGGGCTGAGGAGTGTGATGGTCGGGCCGCGCAGGACGACGAGGCCGAGTGAGCGTTTCTTGTAAGGGTTGGATGCTGTGCTTCAGGGTCAGGGCAAGGTGACGATTAGCGAAGGGCTTGAGTTGCCGCACCTGAGACTTCCTCCTCGACCTCGTCTAGTACAAGGTTCAGCAGCTGGTCATAGCCTTTCAGGACGCCGATCACTGCCGGGGTGCATGAGTTATGGGTTCATGGGTGGATTGGGGAGAGGCGTACCTTCGCGTCCGCCAGTGAATTTGACTCTGATCTTTTCGTTGACATACTTTGAGAGGTCGAGGATGGCCTCGCGTTTGGGTTTGTCGGCTGGTGGGCCTGATGAGGACGGTGCTGGCCTGCCTCCCCTCATGGGGGTTCCACCGCGAGGCGCACCACGAGCTGGAGCACGGCCCTATATGATCAGTTAAGAGGTTTAGTGAATACTGAGTGAGAAGCTACGAACGCGATCTGCCATAATTTTTTTGTTTTCGAAAAGAAAGAAGAGATAAAGGGAATTGAAAGGGCTGATTTTGATATTTTACATAAACGGAGCGTGGGCCAAAGCAGTGCTTGCACCGAAACGCCATCCACAACAAAACGCTTTTTCGTCTCTCCTCAACAACTCTTGCTTCTTCAAATCTTTTTAGTCTTTCTTTCCTATAATCCAAAGTAATCGCCCACATCCACAAGTCATGAACGCTACAGAACTCCTCGCCAACACTCTCTCCCCAGGTGAATGCCACAACTATATTGCCCTTCAACGTCCAGTGCTCACCCGATAACCGTTCCAGATGCCAATACGCGTCAAGATGCCACCCAGAAGCTCGAGACAGCGTCCAGGGAGAATTATGTGCGTCGTACAGTCTCGTAGAACCCTTTTTTCGCGCGATTTCTGACTCGGTTTGTAGCCGGAATACATGTTGATGCTTTCATCGGTGCTCGTCAACGAAAGCGCACCCATCCATGTCCGCAACGCCGCTGGTCTCGCTCTCAAAAACACGCTATCCGCTCGGGTACGCCGTCTCTGTCGTCCCACAGCTCTCCCCTTTGCCCATCTTTTGATCACCACAGGAAGCCGCGCGACAAACCGAGTACAGCACGAGGTGGTTGGCCCTCGCCAGCGACATAAAATCAAAGATCAAGCAGGACGCTCTCCTCACCCTCGCTTCTCCAAATGCAAAGGCCGGCAGCTTCGCTTCCCAGGTCGTCGCTGCCATTGCTGCCACAGAGCTCCCAGATAACCAGTGGCCAGACTTGATTGAAGTCCTCCTCGGTTTCATTAACAATCAGGAAAACACAAACCTCAGAATAGCAACCCTCCAGACTATCGGTTTCATTTGCGAGGCTATCGTGCGTTCAACTCGCCTTGATCCGCCGTGATACAACTGATCCTTGCTGCAGAAACCAGAAATCCTCAGTCTCAGAGCGAACGAGATCCTTACGGCCGTCATCCATGGCGCAAGAAAGGAGGAGCCCTCTGCAGAAGTCCAGCTGGCTGCCATCCACGCACTCTTCAACTCGCTCGAATTCATCCGGGAGAACTTTGAACGAGAGGTAAAGACTTTTTTTCACTTCATAAGCGCCCGATCTCAACTCTTTTGTCTCAGGGCGAGCGAAATTATATCATGCAAGTGGTGTGCGAGGCGACGCAAAATGCTTCAGTCCAGGTTCAGGTGGCTGCCTATGAGTGTCTCGTGCGGATCATGAGTCTCTATTACGACAAGATGGCGCTCTACATGGAACAGGCTCTGTTCGGAGTGAGTCAGTTCCCCAAATCAACCGCAATCCCCATGCTCACTCGACCCTTAGCTTACCGTCGTGGGAATGAAGCACCCTGATGAACGTGTTGCACTTCAAGCTGTCGAGTTCTGGTCCACTGTTTGTGAGGAGGAAGTCGAGTTGGCCATTGAGGCGCAAGAGGTGTGTACTATCGGATCACCACAGGCATGAGTCACTTACAATCCACCAAGGCTTCCGAGTTTGGCGAGCAACCCGAAGTCGAATCGAAGCACTTTGCAAAGATCGCTCTGCCTGAAATCGTCCCAGTCTTATTGCAACTTTTGACCAAACAGGAGGAAGATGCCGATGAGGACGAGTGGAATGTCTCCATGGCGGCAGGTACATGTTTGTCCCTCCTTGCAGGCGCCGTCCAGGACAGCATCGTCAGCGCCGTCATTCCTTTCATCGAGGCGCACATCAAGTCTGAGGACTGGCATTTCCGGGAAGCTGCCGTCATGACCTTTGGCTCCATCCTCGAGGGACCCGATCCTGCCGTCCTCACTCCTCTCGTCAACCAGGCTTTGCCTTTGTTGATCGATATGATGAACGATTCCAACGTGCATGTCAAGGATACCACTGCCTGGACTTTGGGCCGAATTTGCGACTTGTTGATCACCACCATCAAGCCCGATGTACACCTCCACCCTCTTATCTCGGCGCTGGTCACTGGTTTGAACGACTCGCCGAGGATTGTGGCCAACTGCTGCTGGGCTTTGATGAATTTGGCTGAGCAGATTGGGCTGTATTATGAGGATGAGAACGAGGCTGCGCAGACTGGTCCATTGTCGCGATACTATGAGGGCATTATGACCAGCTTGCTTCGCGTTACTGAGAGGTGAGGTGTCTTCTTTGCCCTACCGTTTCAGTTGTTGACCTTTGATACAGTGGAAGCAACGAGGCCAACTTCAGGACTGCTGCCTATGAAGCCATCACTTCCTACGTCAAGGAGGCTACTCCCGATGTCATTCCCGTCGTCCAGACTACTGCCGTTACGATCTTGGGTCGCATGGAACATCTCCTCAATATCCAGGTGAAGTCTACCGTTCTACTTGGCTGTTTGCCCTTGCTCATTGGCGTTTAGAACCAAATCGTGGGTGTTGATGATCGCAACAACTGGAACGAGCTCCAAGGCAACTTCTGCAATGTCATCGCGGTATGTCCTTCAGTTTCTCGCGTTTGGCCCTTGATCTGATAAACCGTTCTGTGCAGCATGTTGCTCGTAAACTCGGTGCTGGTATCCAACCCTTGGGTGATCGCATCATGACCTTGACTTTGCAACTCATCGCTGCTGCCGGCAAGACTTCAACAGTACTCGAGGATGCTTTCCTCGTCGTCGGTGCTCTCTGCGGAGGTTTGTCCTTCATTGCCTAACGGAAACATCTCTTAACATGTTCACCGTTAGCTCTCGAGGCCGGTTTCGCACCCTACATCAACGCCTTCCTGCCCTACCTCTACCCCGCCCTCAAGGCACACGAAGACTCCCACCTGTGCACTGTCTCCGTTGGCCTCATCGGCGACATCTCCCGTGCCTTGGGCGAGCAGAGTGCCTCGTTTGCCGGGTCATTCATGACTGTCCTCCTCGAGAACTTGCAGAGCGAGGTGTTGAACCGAAACGTCAAGATCACCGTTCTCTCGACGTTTGGAGATATTGCGCTTGCGATTGGGCCTGCGTTTGAGCCTTATTTGGAGACGACTATGAATGTGCTTAGGCAGGCTGGAGCTGTTGAGCCCAATCCTGTGAGTGAATTTTTGGATTTTTGTTGGGTTTGGGTGCTGATGAGGGTTGTGTAGCTGGATTATGAGCTTCTCGATTATGTTGGGCAACTCCGGGAGGGTATTTTGGAGGCTTATACTGGTATTGTGACGGGTCTTAAGAAGACCGAGAAAGTGAACCTCCTCCTGCCCTACGCCCAAGGCATCTTCGACCTGATCCACCGCTGCCTGATTGACGAAGAGCGAACGGATGCTCTTGTCCGGTTGGCGTATGGTTTGATTGGTGATTTGGCTGATTGCTTCCCTGCTGGCCAGATTAAGCCTTTGTTGCTTCAGCAGTGGGTTGTTGCTGAGTTGAGGAGTAAGCTTAGGATGCCCAGCGAGACCAAGAAGACTATGAGGTGGGCAAGGGAGGTATGTGGCAGATTCTTTTTTCCGCGATGTCCTGGGTTGTGAACGGAAGCTGATTGGCTGTTTCTCTTTGCAGATGGTCAAGATTGCTACGCAGTAAACGACATACGACATCAACATTGTCTAACTTGATTTTTTTCTTCACGTGTTTTTTAGGTTCTTTTTTCTTAATCTCTTCACACTGTTGTTGTCATTTTTCCCCATTATTTTGTATCCCCTACGACGATCCATCCCACCCAAATGAACGGCATGCAATTACTCGATTCAATCTATTCTTCACGTTTCTTACATGTTTTTCTTTTCTACCCTACTTTGGCCAATGCAACGCAACGCACCCCAAACGACTCGGCTTATATTCATGAATCCGCATGTTAAATAGAATCGATGATGGACTTGACCCTTTTCGCTTACGCCCTCACCCCCTGTTGTACCTACCCTGGTTTTATGTCAAGACGTTGCGCTTCTTTCTATTTTCTACTTCTACCACCTCTTGCTATCCACTCGGTTGTTCTTTTCATCGCTGTTCTTTACTGTTCACTTTCTACCTTTTTCCCACTTCATGTTTACATCTTTCAAGTCCATCCATGCGGTTCTTGTCTTGTTTCAAGTTATTCTGTCCTTCCCCATTTTTACCCTTCTCAAGTGCTTTTTGAATCTTGCCACTCCATCGTCATCGTTGTCATACTAGTCCCATCCAACCATCCATCCATTTTTTCTTGTAGCCCTGGTCTTTTTCCTTACTACATCCTATTTCTTGTTGTATTTTGTTTTTTCTCTCTCTCCGCCTTTTTTTCTAGTTTGTCGTTACAAGTATCCCCTTGGTCTTATTTCTCATTTTTCATGTGACGACATCAGGTTTCTGAATACTATTTTTTTTTTTTTTCCTTTTCTCTCTCTCTACTCTATTGTGGGGTTTACACGGTCCTTCGTCCGGAAGGTTTCTTTGGTTGCTCTGGGTATGTTGTTGTTCAGGTTTCGTGTTTTCCACTGTGATTTTTCGAGCTTTTTTCATCCTTTTTTGGCCTTCTAATGCCGTCTGTGCCCGTCATCATCCATCGTCTTATCGTCTATTCGTCGACGTTCAACAACGACATTGGTTTCGTTTTCATGGTTTTCATCATCGTGTCAGTTTTTCGTCGTTCCCATCGTTCGTCTCTTCATTGGCATCGTTCTCATCGTCCACGCTGTTTCCACTACAATCCTCACCACTAAAATCGTCGCCCTCGTCCAGCTATCTTCGCCATTATGATCCTATATTCCAGCGTCTACCGCCCATCCCATCTGTCAAGTCGCATTTTCCATCCCTAAACCACAAGTCGTTCAGTTGACAGTGTTCTTGACATTCGGGATTACCTCGCTCTTATGCTCGACCTATCTAGACAACGATCATGATACCCCGCACAGTCATCCTTTCGAGCTTCACTTCAGCCGTCAGCATGGTCGTCCTCCCCTCTGTTCCCGACTCCCTGTCTCTCTCAGATGCTCTCTCTCTCTGACGCCATCTCATTCTACCCCTGTTCTTACTCGAGCTCTCGGACTCTGTCTTCCTGTCTCCCTTCATCCTCTCTCACTCTGCTCCTAGGCCTCTCTCACCGTCATCCCCTCCTCTTCCTCTCGCTCCGGGCCCTCTCGTCGCGGTTTATGTCTTCCATCCACCAGCACCTCCCTACCCACAGCATTCGGACGATGATTGAAACTCAAGGTAAGTTCTCCGCATTTATAGGTTGTTGTTACGTACAAGTACCTTTCATTTCTTCGTCTGGGAGCACGTAGACATTTTGCCAGTAAACCTCTGGAGGTCGTTTTCCTGCGGATTGGATCTGGCTTTACGAGGATCACACTCGCGCGGTGGACTAGTGATCGTTGTGCTATCTTCAGTACGAGCTTAAATTTTGCATCTTCCATCCAGTGCCATGGACCGGATGTTCGGACGACTACTGTCGGTATGCATAATCCTAGTCAATGGTGATTTCATGTTCAAGGTCGAGTGGACAGATTCAACGCCGCTGCGCAAAGTCCTAGTGACATGTGTCTACTACACAATTTAAAGGCTCTATAGAACATAGGAGCGTGTGTGAGAGATAGAGGAATACAAACAGACATGGGAGTTATGAGCTACAGAACAGGGCAAGTCATTGGGACGAGGGACGTTCTTCCGAGAGCTCTAGGAGTGCAGCAAGAGCCACAAGCTCTGCTCCAGTCAACGAGTCCAGCCCAGCATGCAGGTCCGTTTTGAGACAAATGGGACCAGGGTTGAAGCCATGGTCTGTCTTGCAATGATAAGCCAGTCGCTCAAGGTTAGAGAATGCTTGACTACAAGTTGGGCAGGTTAATGGTTTCTGCCCGGTGTGGAGGATATGATGGCGCTCGAGGCCGTATTTTCTTGTGTACTGCTTGCTGCAGTCTGGCCATGGACAGGCGAAGGGCTTGACTTTGGTGGCTGTGGGTTTGGTGGACGAGAGACCACTACGAGTAGCTGGCATTTTTTCAAAGTGCTAGCTCAAGTTCTTGTGAGGCTGGTTTGGTGTGTGGTGTGTTGGTGGGGGCTGGGAAGCGGGGGCTCGGTGGATGAGTTTGAGGAAATTCAGTTGACATCCTTCCGCTTTATGGACTCTCAGAAAACGCATTGGCTCGTCAAAGGGTTAAGAAAGCGCTTTGATATCAAGAAACCCCTTTGTTTTGTTGTCCAAGCGGTGGTTATCCTGCCTAAACGGGAAAGTCGCATGCCTTGGCGCTTGCGCTTAGACGCCGTGATCGGGCCTCGTGGTCATCGTCGCAGATACGCCCTTCCAACACCCCGTTGGCATTGCATACACAAAGCAGATACAGTGCAGGTAACAGAAATTATTGAGTGTCCCTCGACTCCTTCCTGACCCTCACCCGCACCGGCAACGCGCCTTTAACCACCAAGAACCGATCCTCCAGCTCCTTCTCCCACCTTCCCTGATCGTACCCTTCTTCAAACTGGATGTAGAAATTGCGGATTAAGAGTGAAACGATATAACGTAGCTCGTCCATGGCAAGGTGTCTCCCAACGCAGTTGGCAGGACCGAGAGAGAACGGGATGAACGCAGATTTGTCGAGCCTCGAGTTTGACGAAGTGAAGTCGCTGGAGGAGAAAGGGGAAGGCTGAGGGAGCCATCGTTCGGGACGGAAGTGGTCGGGGGAAGGTGAGAAATAGGCTGGATTGCGGTGGATACTGTAGGGTGGGATTTGGACTGCCGTTCCTTCAGGTAAAAATCTATGCCAAATGGCAATGAATGAATGATGGTGGCAGAGGTGAGCGATAGGAATCAGTCTTACATCAATCCGAGAAGCTGACCACCGCTACCTTCAGCGGGTGCTCGCTGGAGCTGTGAGGGTAGAGGCGGCAGCATCCTCAAAGTCTCGTTCCTACAATGGTCAGAACAGAGGTCAGATCCATCATTCGTCCAAGGGCCGCAACTTACAAGACTGCACCCAACACCTCCAGTTGCGCCAATTTCTCCGGTCGAGGTACCTCCTTCTCTGGAAGCTGTAGATCTTCGCATAGTGAGTCAACTTCATTCCGAACCCGCTCAAGCCATTCAGGGTGTGCAAGCAGGAAGTAGAACGTGTTGCTCAAAGCGGTCGCGATGGTGTCCGAGCCCGCGACGATGGCCAGCACCGAGCTTGACATGATTAAAGGGAGCGGGGATGTCCCAGGTTCTGCTTCAGTGTGGTTGATCTTTGTTCTCTTCAGATAGTGTGACAAGAAAGAGTATGTATAGCACGCACCAAATGGTAGAAGAGATCCCGTTGCTGTGGTTCCGAGGCGGCGCGCTTCTTGGCTTGGGCGGCTGCAAATTTTGTGAATTCGACTGAGGCCTTAGTCACAGAAGGGAACAGGTGGGTGAAAGGCGCAACCCAGGGAACGTGCTGAGCCACGCTGGGAAAACTATATGCATGCCACGACGGTGAGGGTCAAGTCGATGCTCAAGGCAGTTGGATGCTCACAGCAGACTCTTTTCCATAATATCCCAACTATTACCAGAATCTTGGTCTTTCATGAGATTATAAGTGCCTCCAAACCTAGATACAAGATCAGATAGACTCTGTGGGAAGGGTAAGGAAGCGTAGCTTACGCCATGTCTCCCATAAAATCGAACCTAAGGCCAAGAACGCAGAATGTCCCGAATCAGCAACATTCCTTCCTTTCTGGAACTTCTAGGACTCACGAAAACAGGCTCAGCCATCGCGCCAAATCCACGACCACGCCCTTGCTCCCCTCTTTCCCATCCGAAACAGGTCTCTCGGAGCACTTCGCTTGGAGGTGCTGCACGAGTTCCAAACTCCTAGCAAGCAAGAGCTCTTCGTAATCCTTCATAGCCTCCTTCGCGAACGCCTTGTTCCACGGCTTACGCAGTTCTGCATGGAGTTTCAAGTCTCGGACTGCGTGAAGATTGTTGTGGTTCTTGGTATCGCGCGAGGTGATTTTCCGGCGGGCATCCCAAACTACACAAGGGAACAATAGTTAGCATCCTCTCGAACTACGGCTGCACTGGGAGCCCAAGGTGACCTCATGTGTACCTGGTCCTTTAGGCATTCCATTAGCGCCCAGAATAGCCGGAAGCAGCTTCTTATCAACGACAGAAATTTCGTTTGGCCCTACAGAATATCCCCCCAATTACCGTCACCGCCTCGACCGTCAACCAACCAAACTGGACTCCACGCACCAATCCTCGTAACCAACCCGTACTCATCATGCACACTCTTGATGTACCGATGTAAGTCCCCTCTCCAGGCCACGGACGCAATCCAGATCTTGCTGAGCTTGCAAAGAATGGGACCTGGGATAGCCGCTAGGGGATGAAAAGGGCCAAGTCTGTATAAAGCGACGGAGAGAAACAGCCCAGAGATGTGGATGATATTTGCCAGAAGGAAGGCATGGATCACGCTCGGTGTGTGTGGCACGAGCAAGTGGACGATGGGTGAGGTGAGACCGGTCGTCACCGCCAGTATGGCCTTGGGTGACCTAGGTTCGTATTTTCTGAACCAAAGATGGTGTGAAGCCTACAAACGTAGAGGGGTCAGATGCGCCGAGCGGTATGCAGACCAAAGGAAGCGCACAAAGGCCAGGGCAAGGTCCAGTAGGACAACCTGGGGGAGGGTCAACGACATTGCTGAGACACGAAGAGAATGGTCTCATAATTCTCATGGTTAAGTAAAGCCCGAGTATAGTATGGAAGCTTCGGTGACGGTACGTAGGCCCTGTCTTTCTCCATGTCCGATACAAACGGCGTACTGATGCTAGCGCCCCATGGCCCCTGGCGACAAAAGATCGTAGAATGCGTCGTATACGGCCATGCATCAACTATAAATTATCTAGCCCGTTACTTAAATGTCATAATGTATCGTAAAGAAACGCCTCTAGATATCTGCGATCTAGGTGTACTGAAGAAAGGGTTCGAACATCGAAAGAGCAGGGATTATTACAGAGGGGTGGGTTGTCAAACTACAGCTCGTCGGTCGGGCGATCAGTCCGTTCGCCATCCTCGCCATCCTTGAGCGGTTCCTGCTGCTCACCCTGACCATCTCCCTTCACCGGCGGTGTCGACTCTGGCTCTGCAGCCGAGCTCGTCTGAGGCTTCTTCCTGATCACCTTTGGTACCTTCCTCTTCCACAACCTCTGCAGCTGACCCTCGAGGACCTTGGCCCTCGCCTTCATCTCGGCAGTCTCCATGACAGGGTTCTCATAGCTCTTGGTTTTCCTCTGCTTCGGGACCCACTCCTCCATCCACGACTCGTGCTCCTTGAGCGTCTTCTCGAGGCTGTCCAGTTCCTCCTGGGTGTACTTGGAGGGGAGGTCGTTCTCAATTTCGTGCGTGAGGTTTTGGCGGGCCTCGTGGAGGAAGAGGCGGGTGGACCAGTTGATTCGCTGCGAGTTGTTGAGGACTTCAGGGAAGGCCTCGATTTCCTTGTAGCGGTGGATGATGGGCTTCTCGAGGGTCCTATAGACGATAGTCAGATGACCCGATATCATGACAAGGACAGATTACACGTACTCAAGTGCGATCCTCTTATCCAAGAATTGCGAAGTCTCAGCCAAATCACCACGGTCATTCAACCAAGAGAAGGATTCGTCCAACAAGTCGGAGATCTTGACTCTCTCTTCAGGTTGCGAGCACTTCTTGAAAGGTGTCTCGCTCTCGTCATTGAGGAGGTCACGGAGTCGGTAGAGGTAGGTTTCGAAAGTGTTTCGCGCCTCCTCGCGACGGGTCTTGGCCAGTTCCTCAGCATCGATAGCGCGGAGTCGAGCACGAGCGGCCCTCTTCTGTTCCAAAGTGAAAGGAGCGATCGTGGTGAACTTGGGAACAACCTTGAGCTCGATGGTGTTGTCAGCGGGGTTGGGCTTCTTCTTCTCTTCCTTCTTCTCTTTCTTATCCTTCTTGTCGCCGTTAGTGGCAGACTCGGACTCGGAGGCGGCGGATGAAGAGCTTGAAGAGGAGCTTTCGGTCTCGCGGGGTGGCTCTGCTGATTCTGCGTCATCGACGGTTGCTTCAGAAGGGGATCCACCAAAGAGGCTTTTGAATTTACCTGCAAGGGAGGATTAGATTGACGGTACATTACAGCGGACAAGGGAGACAGACATACCAGACAAACTCTCGTCCTTGATCTCTCCGTAGGCGATCGCCTTCGTGACAGAGATAAATCCAGACTCGGAGAGGGAAACGGTAGCTTTGACGACAGGATCGATGGCACCGCGTTCCGTGAGGTTGGCAATGGCTTCTGAGACGCCTTCAATGCCAACTTCCAACATGCGGGTGGGGAATCCACTGCGTTCGCCAAGTCAACTACATTCGCCTCTTAAGCATTTAGCCTAAAACTCACATAGCTGGGGTCCTCTTATAGTCAAAGAAGATATCAAAGTCCTCCTTGCGCTTGAAAGTCAAAGTCTTCTTGGTGCCGGGTTTGGAGCCAGCAGGGAAGAGGACAGAGGTGATGCTTCGTGGACGGGTGTTGGCGGTGCTGGCGGTGGCGAAGTAAGAAGCCTGAACGTCGTGGACCAAGATATCGGAGATCTTGATGTTCTTGGTCTTGAACTGGCGACTGAGGGATGCCCCGTGAAGCGCAGCACCTAGAAAAAGTTGAGTGGAGGCTGACGCGTTGGACACCAAAATACGTACCAAGAACAGCGGCTTCATCAGCGTTGACGTTCAGCGAAATCTTCTCCCTAAATCCTGGGTTAGCTGGGGATGCGAAGTAAAGGTGACCAGCACTCACGGTCCGACGAATTTCTTGACAGCGGCCTGGACCATGGGCACACGCGAAGTTCCACCATGGAGAATGACAGAGGTGATGTTTTCCATGGTAAGTCCTGCGCTGTCGAGAGCGTCCTGAATGGGCAGAGTCCACTTGTGGTGGAGATCCTTGCAAGCGTTCTCAAACGTCGACCTTTCGATCTTGCTCTTGAAGTCGATATCCCATGCGACGCTCTCAACCTGGCTCATGACATCGGTGTTAGCACTGAGGATGTGCTTAACCCTCTGTGCCTCCTTCCATAGCCGAGCCATACCCTTCTTCTCCTTCCTCACGTCCTTCCCGTTGGCGAAGTTTTGGTTGAAGAGGTCAGCCAGAATATCCCGTATCCGCCTGTCAAACTCGAGACCGCCAATCGACCTGTCGTATCCGTAGCCGCCAATGCTGATTTGCGTACTAGGCGAGCCGTTCTTGTCGGTGACAGTGCTGAAGGAGGCAATCGTTGCGCGCGTGCCCGAGCTGCCAACGTCGTAGATGATATGGGTCTCCTCCTTGGGGAAGTTGCGCGTCATGGCGTAGTTAATGGCGGCGGCGGTTCCGTCGTGAATGAGGGCGATGAGTTTGAGGTCGGCGATCTCGACAGCGTCTGCCATGGCGTCTCGCTCGAATTGGGTGTAGTAGGCGGGCACGGTAATGATGAGGTCCTTGACCTTTTCGCCGGCGACGGACTCTGCGAGGGCCTTGACGTATGCGAGTTGCATGGCGATGAGTTCCTCGCTGCTGAACTCCTCGTTGTCGCTCCGGACGAGGTTCACGGTTTTCCGGACGGACTCTGTGAGTTTGGCGGTCGAGATTTTGGCAAAATATTGTGCTGGTTCCGAGTTGTGCGGTGCGGCTTGGAGGAGCTTGACATAAGAGTACGAGTCCTCTGGGAATCGAGTAGCCTACAATTTCTGTTATAGAGTATGTCAGGCTAGAGCTTTGAAGTCCGCACGTACCACCTGGGCTGCATCGGCACCAAACACTCTGTCTCCCCGCTTCCATGCGACTGAAGACTGGATTTTCCGTTTCGAATCCTTGTTGAGGAGAACGTCGAAAGGAAGACCAGGCTTCATTAGCGAAGCGGTAATAAATTCTGCGCCATAGTCGATAGCCAGGACGGAGGCCAATACGCTATTTGGAAGGATGGCCAACAGGGAGACCAACCCCCATACAAGTGGTAGCCGCATTTTGGCTAAGCGCCCAAAGAAATCGAGAAACGAAGAACTTGTAAAGAAGAGGACTGGATGAACAAAGAGGAAAGATGTGCTTTTTACCCAAGCATCGAGGGTTGCAAGAAAAACAAGTTTTGGGCGGCTAAGAGCTTTAAAACGCCTGTCGTCGTGGCAGGACACGTCGGGCGCACCAGCGATGCCGTCACGTGGCATCAATTAGCGTGGCGAATACTCCTTGGCACCGGAACTTCGGGTACAATCAATCTTTCCATTGTTTCCACCATCTTCCTCACTGCCTTTGGGCGCTCACCAGCCCCAAACTGCGCGACATGATAAAGATAGACTGGCATAGCACCTGTCAAGTCCGACTAGACCAACGCACAAGATTATAATCAGAGCACCGGCCTTAGGCCTTGTGCATCCTAGCCTGCACGCACCTCATGGAATCGGATGTTCAAGTAGCTCCCTGCATCTTTTCTTTTTCAGATGCACAATTTCCCGAATGAGAAATGCTCTCGCCCCACCAGACTTGACTACATACGGCCCATACAAAGTTGACTCCCTGCTGCCGAGTCCTCACTGGCACTGTGAGTGGAGCAGAAGTCAGGACGCACTTGTCCTGCTCGAAACTGGCCAATTAAATACGTTGCCGCGAGTTCTCTTCGAGAGAAATCTAACGACGTCACCGTGCCCTTGCCTTTCGTGATTCCTACCTTTTCGGGAACAGCTTTCTCAGTTTCCTGAGGGTCTAGCCAGGCTAAACATTTTCATCTGTCTAAAGATATTATTTGCAAGTCCAGTTATCCGAAATCTCCGGTGGCCTTGGGGAACCCATTGTCGTGGTCTATGTCCCCCAGGACCTACCTAGTTGTACAATGCCCAATTTTATATCATACATACACTCTAGTTAATGTTCCAAGATTGCCTGAGATGAAGCTCGAGCTCGTCGTCGTCGTTGGCGACAGGGGCTGCTTACGACATATTTGGAAGGCGGCAGCGATTGGACCGGTTTCTACCCTTGATCCAGGACTGTCACCACCGCACCTGTATACCCCCATACTAATCCGTCTGGCCAACGCATCTAGGAGGACTGGAGACCTCCAATCAACGAGTCAACCAACGGTCTATAATCGCGTCCAAGGGGCACCTAATAGGCCCTCCAAGCCACGAAATTCTCAATCGATAGTCCATGTCGCAACGAAGTTATGATAGTTATGCTCACGAGAGACGGATATCCAAGAACAGGGTAACGGATGAGGACCTTTTCGAGTACGTTCATAACCTCCTTGTTGACCTGGATGACAGCTAATCGACGTCCAGCTATGCATTGCGTGTAGCGTGAGCAACGTTTCTCCATGAATTCCGGGATTGTATTGACAATAGGACAGACTTTTGAGCTACATGCTAGTCCCAAGGGTCCTTGAAAACCCCAAGAGCGCCGTACCTTCAGAGGTGAAAGAACGAGAAAGCTCGCGGCTGTCTGCCCTTTCCACATTTTCGCTAGGAGAACTGTTTCGGGACGGGTCAAAGGGCGTCAAGTTCCCCGAAAAGCTTCTGAAGGTCCTGGAGCAACGACTACAGGATATTGCGATGGGCAGGGATCCTGCGTGCGTTCCGAGCCTTATCCTCGCCGAAATTCGTCTCACACGGTCTCTACAGTTACTCAGACCAACTCGTCCGAAGGACAATGGCCAGGTTCTACGGTGAATTCCAAGTCGACACCTTCAAACGCCAAATGAAGGAAAATCGAAAGATCGAAGAGCTCATTCTCAAGTTTGCAACCTACGCCACAACCGTCCTCAAGAAGGAGCCGACGCTGGCTGCGGAAGGCTGGAAATACGAGCTCAACAACCAGATCGCCCAGTTTATCAAGTTGCTACGGGAATCCCTGAGGAACGTGCACCATGTCTCGCCGGAACTGCTGGCCCGCCTGGATACCTATACGGCGAAACTCGCCCCTGCTTTGGCGGCGGCGCAGCAATACACGCAAAGCGATTCTGGATATGAATCTTCCACTTCGAGAGACTCGTACTATCACCAACCCCCGACGATCAGCTGGAACATCGCTGATATGCCCCTTGTCAAGGTCGTTGGCCAGCTCTTCAAGATCCCTGAGCACGCAATGCAGCAAGAAGTGGATCGAATAAGGGGTCAAATTGTAACAGACAAGGTAACTCAGCTGTCATTTCCGCTGAGCACACGCTTACATTCCGTATCTAGGCCGCATTGGTCGACTTGAAGACGTGCCTCAAGAACATCAACGCGGGTGCACCCTTCCCAGGTCGTCGGGAGGACTTTACAAGTGATGCGGCGTGGAACCAGTGGAGAACCATCGAGACTACCCATCTGCAGCAGATGATTGTCGCCATGATCAAGATGAACCCCAGCCTCGCCAAATCCGACCGCACATCCCAACTACAACGCTCGTCCTCCAATTACTCCAACTACTCCGCGAGCTCTCCCACATTCACCGGCCGCCATCCATCTATCGGCAGCCGGCGATCCCTGTTCGACGTGAACGACGAAATTAACCCCCTCGAGGATGGACAGGACGACGATATCCCTGTCGGACACCACTTTACATTCATCCCTCCAAATCCTCGCAAGTTTTACAAACGCCTGGTCGAGTATTGCTTGGTTGCGGATTTGGAGGTGATGTTGAGTCCGGAAGTGGATGACAATGACGAGGTTTCATTGGGTATCCTATCGCCACCACATTTGGACCTTATCAGCGAGTGCGCACTCAGGTGGCGGATAGGACATCCATTTAGGGCTGTTTGCTTCCTGGATTTGGTGCGACAGTTTTACGAGAGGAACGATGTGCCGATGGAGTGTATACCCGAGGCACTGAATAGCGTGAGCAAGGTCATGCAGGAGAGTGATCCAGAGTTTTGGCCGAACCAAGACGTACGTCGCGATTTTATGCAACACGAGTTGTCTACTGAATCGTCTACGAATTATAGATCGAGCAACTCTCCAGTACCTACGCCTCCCTCTTCAACATCTTCCTCTCATGTCTCTACCACGCCATGGATGCCTTACCCCAACTCAAACCTTCCGAAATCCAAGCCTACCTCGCCATTCTGGAACACGTACGCGACAGCGGATTCCTTGCTCGTTTCGACGTCGATATCGAAGTGAGGTTGAAGGATGTTCAAGAGAAGGCGAAGCAGGTGTCAGCGCAGTGGTACGAGACCAAGATGCACGAGTTCCAGAGTCGGCCGGGCGTGAATAGGGCGCTTCCGTTGCTTTTGATGTCGGATGAGATTGAGAAGGCGGCGAAGCTTCTGGATAAGAGGTTTCCGGAACCTATTCTTGGGTATGTTCAATTCTTTCAGTGTTGTGGCGGAAGGGAAGCTAACAGTGAAACAGCAAACTGGATATCGTTTCGTTATTCCTGGAGGTCGTGGTCCCACATCTCTTGACCGACCTCCAGAATTCGCAGAAACGCTTATTCGAGTCTTCGATGAACGGACCTACACCAGACGTCCCCATCCAGGATATCTTCACTTTGTATAGGAGGTGCAGGCTGATGTTGTCGATGTATAACGCGTTCGTTCCCCAGTACGTTGTTTCACTTTGGTTCTGGAGTGGTGGCGACGGAGGACTGATACTGGGTATCTGGGATAGGGTCGAGTTTTCGTTCCACTTGACAGCCTTCTTTGAACCATACGTCAAGCAGTGGTTGTTGAATACGGATAATACCACTGGGCAGTGGGTGGAGAACGTGAGTGTTTATGTTTTCCCTTGGTATTCAAGTTGTTGACAACGTGTGGATAGGCTATTGCTGCGGATAAAGTAGGTTTATTGTGGTGGAGTTGCAACATTCTGTCTCTGACATTTTTCTAGTTTGAAGCAGAAGGACCTGAGGGTAACAGTACATCTATCCAAGATCTCTTCGATTCTCTACGCAGCCCTGTCAACTTCCTGCAAGACTTGGAATGGGAAGACGAGTACTACAACTCGCGATTCTTCACCAACCTGTCCAAGGTTCTCCCCAGCCCTCCCGCTACTTTCTTTCGTCCGCTGACATGTCGTGCTTCCAGACCATCTCCAAAGCCATTGACCAATACTGTCGCACCATCGAAACCCTCTTCCTCGACGAAATGTACCCCCGACCAAGCGACTTCATCCAGCCTCAAAAATCTAGCGCATGGATTGAACGCGCAAAGCAACTCGCGGCAATGGGAGAAAAGCGCGTCGAACCGTTCAACTTTCAATCCCAATCCTGCGTCAAGCTCAACAACGTCGAAGCTGCTCTCAAACTGCTCGACAACATCTACAACCAAATGCAAGCAGATCGGATTGCGGAGATCTCGAGGACGGTTGCTCCGCCTGTGCCTGAGAAGAAGGAGAGGGACAAGTTTTTGTTTACGGTTAAGATTGTGATTGCGGAGGAGTTGGTTCCGCAGGATTCGAGTCCGAATGCGAGGTTGGATACGTTTGTGACGTTGAGTGATGAGGAGGGGAGGAGGTTGGCGAAGACGAGGACTGTTTATGAGACTAATACGCCGAGATGTGAGTTTTTGTCCTCTGATTTTGGATTGAAAAGTGTCTAATCAGGCTGTGTGCAGGGGAGGAATCGTTCGACTTGTCGGTGGATAAACCTCTGTGGTTGATGGTTAGTGTGAGGGATCGGTCGTTGGTGGGGAAGCATGATACCATTGGAAGAGCTTACCTCTGCCTTGATCCTTCGAGGTTTGGAGATTTGATGTCGCATGACTTGTGGATGGAGCTGGATACAGCCGGAAGGATATTGGTGAGGGTTAGCATGGAGGGTGAACGCGACGATATCCAATTCTTCTTCGGACGGGCGTTCCGTTCATTGAAACGTGCGGAGAACGACATGATTAGGATATTCGTCGACAAGGTGAGCAGTCTTCTTCCCCCGTCGTCGTGGTAGTGAGGCTCAATTGTGTCGCAGATGGCACCCTTCATTCGACAGTGTCTCTCGAGGAACGTCGTCAAGGAGTTGATCAAGAAGCGTGAACAACAAGGGTTGGACTATGGTAAAGCCATCGCGCAGGCTACGTCCTTCTATCGCTCCACCATCGGCAACAACGCGGCCGAAGTTCAGGTCCCTCTCCCTGCGACCGAGAAGCCTCGTCAACGTCCAGAAGACCTCACGGATATCGAGATCGAGGAAGCCATTTCGCCATTGTTCGACTACTTTGAGTCCAACCTTCAGACGTTGAACACGTACTTGTGTGATGCGACCAAGGAGATGGTCATGGCGAGGCTGTGGAAGGAGATCTTGACGATTATTGAGGCTCTGTTGATTCCTCCCTTGAGTGATCAGCCTAGTGATCTCAAGCCCCTGAGGGATAAGGAGGTGGACATTGTGTTCAAGTGGCTGAAGGTGTGTATAGCTGTCTGTTAGTGTGTTCTGGTGCTGATTGTTTGGGGTAGTTCTTGCGAGACTACTTCTATGCCGGTGGCGAGGGACCCATTCCGTTGGAGATGTTGCAGAACCAAAAGTACCGCGACGTTTTGTCCATTCGGTTATACTATGACTGGAATACGTGGGTATTTTCTTGGTTTTGCCATGGCTGTGGCTAATAAACGTTTCAGGGATGCGCTGATGGAGGAGTGCGTGCGTATGATGCAGTTGACTTTGAGGTCTGCGCCGACCATCAAGAAACGCGCCAAGAGTGTCTATCAACAGCGGAATTTGGGCACGATCAGGGAGAGAAAGAAGGAGAAGAAAGAGAAGGGTGGTGCGGAGGGCACGAGTGAGGAAACGATTCTCCGAATCTTGCGTATGCGGTTAGTCTGTTCGCAAGCTTCTCGTGGTCTGGCCACTAACATCACTCTAGACCCCATACCAAGGACTTCATCGCCCAGCAAATTCAGATCATGACGCAGATGAGGAAGGAGCAAGAACTCCGAGCGCAACAAGAGGAAAGGCGGAAGGAGAAGAAGGCTCGGTCGTCCCAAGCTATTCCACCTGTCCCAGAGTTGCCGCCGCTGCCCGAGAAATCATAGAAACCCCAAACACGCATGTTACGTTTATACCTCATGTTTAACGCTACTACTAGTATGGAAGGGACATTGTATTTAGTACATGCTGGCTGCTACTCGCTTTTATTTTTTCGTTCTCAACCGTACTGTATGTAATTCTGTTTATGAATCTTGTAGTACAGGACACTTTGTATCCATTCGAATTCAATTCTGACAGTAAAGTTTCCATGGGAAAGATAGGGGCTTGTGTGACGTGACAGCGCGCGTGACGTGACAAGACCTGCGTGACGACGCGTCACAGGCCAGGACAATGGCAGCGTGACACGCTTTGTTCTCGGGGAGGTGTCATTGTCTTTCGTCGCCGGGCACGCAGCAACAATAATATAAACATGCTATCGCTAAACTTGCAGCAACACGTTGTTTCCCTTTATCCCGCAACACTTGCGATCGCCGCTATCGACATCGACCCCGTTTTCTGAGCTCGAAAGCCTTGTGGCACTGGTGCAGGCACCCTCACCTTTCATTCAACGATCGCCTGGCTTGCGAATTGCTTTTCTTTCTTCTCCCTTGATATATATTTTATTGCCCTGAGCTCACCACTTCTCAACCATGGTCATGCTACCCCCGCGTGCTTGTAAGTGGCGAAATTTGGGTCCAAGCGAAATGAATTCCTTACTGACGATCGCGCACAGACACTTTTATTGGGCTGAATGCCGTACGAATCCTCAGTATTATCTCTCTTCTGCTCGTTTTTGCGAGCAACATCGTCACTCTTGTCAATGATATCAAGGCGGTCAACCGGTTTATGGAGGCTGGAAAGGATGGTATTGCTGGAGCCAATAACGCCACTCTGGACGCGTTGAGGGACTTTGATTATATCTCGTGCGTGTTGCCTCGATTTCCAACGCTACAGTACCTGACTGTCGGTCCTCAGAGACAGCACAGTACCCAACCAACCAGCTGGTGCATTCTGGGCCGTCCTCAACCGTCTGTTCATTATTGGACAGGTTGTTGTCCTTGTTGGCTCTGAGCTGAGCTTCCCATCCCAGTTCTTTGTCAAGTTCTTCCCCGTTCTTGGGAAGGAGTTTGGTCTGGGACCATTGGGCTTGATTCAGATGCTGTGAGTACATACCATTCTTCGCGCCCTAAGTTTACTGCGAGCATTCGTCTGCGGCCTCACAATCGCGAGCTGCGCCTGCAACTATCTTTCGCTGCTGCTCCGCTTCGATGATCGCTGATTATTTTCCCAGCATCGGCGCCGCTATCCTCTCGCACCGAGTGGATACCTTCACCCTCGTCTCCGCCTTCTTCCTCTTTTCCGTCGGATGCCTCAATGTCCTCCTCGGCCTCATCTTCCGCGCCTCCGCCAAATCCAAGCGATCCGTCACATCATGGCGCGAACACGCAAAGAACGCCTTACCCACGCACATTGGCCCTGTTGACGTCCGGCCTGTTGTCAACGCCGGTACGCAGTTCATGAGCCAAAAGTCGACGCCATTCAACTCCCCGCCACCGTTCGTGTCGCATCTCCATACAGGGTCCAGTACGGCTAGTGGTTCCACTGAGAAGAGCGGGCTTGGATTCGGAAGGCAGGCTGAGAAGGCTGCCGGACTGAGAGGATATCTTCTCTCGAAACCTGTTGAATCGCTTCCGAAGTACTCTCCTCCTCGACCGAGCTACTAGACAGATCCTTCTCGAGCATCTTTTATGACCGTGACGACCCTCTCTATCTCAGTGTAACAGTATTATAACATGTACGCTCATTTAGTCTCATTCCTTTGTACACGCGCATAATTACGCATTTGGCATAGATTCTGCAATGTATAGTATAACTTACGAGTCCTCACAATATTTGTGGTTCAGAACGAATTTTGGGCAGATGTTCGCTCTCAGTCAGTAGTAAGTATCGGGTGTCTATCCTCCGAGGCAGTGTCAATGCGCAAGGCTCGAAGGTCTGGCAGGGCCTTCCGTGATCGGCGGTTAAGCACCGAATCCCCAGCGCTAAGCCTGGGGCCATGGAAACCTCCTTTGGACCGTCCATTAAGGCCTCTGTTTATGTCAGGGCAACAGATCTCGTGTTATGACCAGCCAGTATGCCACAAAGGTAGATAAGGCGGCAGGATAGGAGCTATTTCCTCCCAGGACGAGTCGGTCACCTCCCGATTCCCCAACCACTCTGCCTAACTCCAACCTACACAGTCCTGCAGCGACAAGATGCCCCCCATTCGCGTCTCATCCAATCCGCACACCTGCACGTGGAAGGACTGCGGTAAATTCTTCGGCCGCAAACAGGACCTTAAACGCCATTATGCTATTCATACAGGCGAGGCGTCATATTTCTGCGACTGGGATGGCTGTGGCAAACGTTACTACGCAAAGGATGTTCTCGAGCGTCATCGTGTCTCTCATACCGGGGAAAGACCACACCCCTGCCCCGACTGCGATTTAGCGCTCAGTGACCCCAGTGCTCTCATTCGTCACCGCAAGCGCTTTCATGGCTACATCGCTGCACCACGCAGGGCCAAGCAGGCGCGGCCCAATAACTCGCCTGAAAAATCTCTGGCTGTCGCCGAAGTCCCTTCACCAGCTTCGGAAAATACTGAGAGTGAAGGCCATGAACCTGGCCCTGCAAACAGGAAAGACATTGGTCGCTCTCGTTCACTGACCAATCAGCTTGCCGCAGAGGTGAATGAGGTGGCAGGACACGAGTTATTATTGCCTTCCAAGACTCGGCCATCGATGAGTCCCCAACCACAGGCCGACTCCAACCTACACACATCCCAGTACAACAGTGACAAGATGCACCCCATTCCTGTCTCATCCAATCCGCACGCCTGCACGTGGAAGGACTGCGGTAAAGTCTTCCGCCGCAAAGAGGACCTTAAACGCCATTATGCTATTCATACAGGCGAGGCGTCATATTTCTGCGACTGGGATGGCTGTGGCAGAAGTTACTACGCAAAGGATGTTCTCGAGCGCCATCGTGTCTCTCACACCGGGGAAAGACCACACCCCTGCCCCGACTGTGATTCAGCGCTCAGTGACCCCAGTGCTCTCATTCGTCACCGCAAGCGCTTTCATGGCTACATCGCTGCACAACGCAGGGAGGTAGATAAGGTGGCAGGGCACGAGTTATTGCCTTCCAAGACTCGGCCACCGATTCCCCAACCACCGGCCGACTCCAACCTACACACATCCCAGTACAACAGTGACAAGATGCATCCCATTTCTGTCTCATCCAATCCGCACACCTGCACGTGGAAGGACTGCGGTAAAGTCTTCGGCCGCAAACAGGACCTTAAACGCCATTATGCTTCTCATACAGGCGAGGCGTCATCTTACTGCGACTGGGATGGCTGTGGCAAAAGGTTGTGCAGAAAGGATGCTCTCGAGCGTCATTATCGTCTCGCTCATACCGGCCAGAGACCACACACCTGCCCCGACTGTGATTCAGTGTTCAATCACGCCAGTTCTCTCCTTCGTCACCGCAAGCGCTCTCATGGCTACATCGCTGCACCACGCAGGAAGGCCAGGCAGGCGCGGCCCAATAACTCGCCTGCGGAATCTCTAGCTATCGCTGATGTCCCTTCACCAGCTTCGGACAATACTGAGAGTGAAGGTCATGAACCTGACCCTGCAAACAGGAAAGTCATTGGTCGCTCCCTCGCCCAGACTCGATCTCAACTTCCAGCAACTGACGATGATATCGAATCCCGGCTTGCCTCGTCGACTGAGGACGAGCTCGCCGCCGTGTTTGCACTTCTGAAATTCCCTCAATCTGTTGTCATTATGGAGCCTCGCCCCTCCAACTCCCTCGGGCCCAAGACAAAGGGAAGGCTACTACCATCCATGGACAGGTAAAGTCGTTGAGTCTCATCGAAGACTGGAAGACCTTGCAAAAATTCTTTACCCAAGGTGCATGGTAAGTGGCCCAAGTGTCTGCCGTCTCTGCCCTCAGGGCGTATTGAGCCCATGAAATCGAACATTAAACAAGGTTCTGGCCAAGTGAAGGCCATGAACCTGACCCTGTAAACAAGTCGTTGGTCGCTCCCGTTCACCGGTAGCTTCAAACGTCGAGACTGATCATTCTGCCTCTGCTAGCGAGCTTGGGTCAAAATCATTTGGCTCGCGAATTGTTGAACGCTATTCACCGGCTTCGGATGCTACAGATGATTCTGGCTGATTGACCGTTGAACGCCCTATGAAGTTGAATTTCTGACTCACTGATTCGGAACTATGCTGGTTTTGCTCTGTACATTGTATATGTCCATTACTATGACCTTCAATCACTATCCATTATTGTTTACCATGGGATATATCCACTGTTTGAGCAACGTAAGTTAGCAAGAGAGAAACGCCGTCATTCCAGAGCTGAGAGCCTTTTCACGGTGGAGAATAGTAAATCTAGGTTGTCGACAAAGGGAAAACTTCCAGCAATGTAAGCGTCCCCGGCCCGATCGTGCCACTGGGATAACGTCGTAGAAGGAAGAAAGCAGAGTCAAACCTCCGAGCCGACAACACAGCGAATATTCATGAGCAGAAATCGCTCGTAGCGTCGAAATCGAATGGTTTCTCTATAGTAATGTCGCGAGCCAGTGTTCGCACTGGTGAGAGGCCTTCGGAGTGATCTAGGGCGCTTGTGGCGATCGCTTGATGCCTGTCTGGGAGAGGACCATTGTTTGCGAGGCATGGAGGACTTAGGTTCTTCGCTGTTCTTCGCCGTTTCAGCGGAGGCCATCATGAATTGGATGAAACCAGAGAACAAGGAAGCTCAAGTTGGAAAGAGAACAAGGCGCGCAATTGATTAGCGGGCGCTTGGCACCCCGCGCCAAGCATCGACAAACACGAAACGGTCACGTGTGTGACGCGCTGTTGAACGACGATTCAGTTTGGTATCTTACTCCCAAACCACAATCAACAGAGCTAATCAGGTCCTCACTAACGGCGACGACGGCGACGACGAAGCTGGTTCAAATTTGAACCTAGACAACGCCCACGACTCTCGACCTCGACCTCGACAACGATGTGGTCGAAGATAACCCACGCACTCAGGCCACGACAAGCCCAGGAAAGCTCCCAATCTCAGGGAGAGGTTCTGAGCAAGGTGTTTGAACAGCACCCAAATCTATCCGTCTTCAACCCCAACGACCCCAACGCCAACACAAGTTCGAACCCAAGTCCCCCGCCTTCTCCGTCGAAAGGTGGCAAGCGAACAGTGCTCAAGCGAATTTCGAAATTACCACCGAAAGAGGACAACGAGAACGCGAAGACGGCTGGTTCATTGCGACTGACGAAGAAATCTCGACCTCCATTACATTTTAACACAGTTGGAAGCAGTAAGGAAGCGCATTTTCATGGCCTGTGACGATGTTGACCCAAATGGCTTCAGATTCGCAGCTGTCACTTCCAGTTGATTCTCATGACGATCTATCATCCTCTGCCGACATTTCGCGCCGCGCCTCCTTTGACATGTTAAAATCAAGCACCGACTCTAACAAGGCCTCGTCAAGCAAGAGCCGAACTTCGATCGACGTTTTGCGCCGGCCGTCGCTCGACCTCCTCCGCAACGAACCCTCCCAAGACGGCGGACTTCTTCCATCACCGGCTCTCGAAGAGCGTCCTGCACCTATGACGCCCGGCTTCAATGACAGAATGGGTTCGGTTAGGTCGATTCTGCGCGACCCTAAAACTCCGGGTACTGGGCAGAATGTACGCTTTTTCTCTCGTGATGCCTACAAGGTCATCAGTCCAGAGCAATCAATGGACACCGAAGACCACTTTTTTGCACCTCCCCCACCGCCCAAAGACGATACCCCGTCCTTCTTGGAACGACTACACCAAACCAGCCCCGATGGCACAAGTACGCCGGCGGTGTTCCGAAACGGCCACAACAAATCCCACTCGAAATCATCGCGACCATCAGTGTCCGAGGTTTTCTCACCTCTCACCAATACTGCGCCGCTTCTTGAACCGCCTTCCCAGGATGGCGAACAGTCGATGTCGCTTGCTAGTCCCGTGCCTGCCAGTAAATCGGGAGACCTATTTGAGGTTTCCCAGTCTCTGAACCTCCCTCCTTTCAATCCCCCCGGACTCGACTTTGACGTGCATTCCCCTCTTTTCGATCAATCCATCGAGCTGGACACCTCCTTTGACACCTCCGATGTTCAACCATCCGTTGATGGCGGTCGCGCCCAGTTGACTTCCACGCCGTTCAGGTCCAGTGATGGAAGCAAGGGAAAGGAGCGGGAGAATACCGAAGAGCAAGACGCCACAAATCCCATCAAACCCGACATCAGCTCGACCAACCAAGTCCCTCTACCCACCACGGAACCTGATGAATCAATCTTCCACGCGAAAGATGTTCCTCCCCGCCTTCCCACCCCGCTCCATGACCGCTCCCAGTCTTTCACTATGGGTCAAACCGTCTTCTACTCGATGGGCGACGAGGATTCGCGCCGCTCGTCCAAGGGTTCACCCGCGTATGCTTCTAGCGACCTCAAGGATATGTCTTTCTCCAGCTCCTCTACATCGTCCAAACGTGAATCCTTCACTTCCGCCACCAAATCGAGGGCACGAGCGATTAGCGACACAGTACTTCAGAACATGCTCCGCTCCACAAAATCTCCACCCGAAGCTGATATTAATGACGAGTCGAGTGACAACCTTGTTGTTTACGCGCCTCCGGTCGCGGAGCCCGATCCCTTCAGCGCTCACGCGTCGACGTATTACACGCCGCAAGTCATGATCCCTGTCACCCCTCCGCAACATTCGAAGCAGCATGTCCGCAAGACCTCTAAGGAGGAAAGCCTCATCTACTCTCTGCAGACCCAACTGGCCATCCAAAACGACCTGTGTCAGCAGTATGAGATCGACCTTCGGGCCCGGGATGAGATGGTCAACACACTCACTCAGAAGCTCAGCGACGTGGAGAAGGAGGACAACAAACGGCGCGCCACGTTACGGAACTGGAAAAAGAAAGTACAGGAGTTGGAGCGTGCGTGTCGTCAATTGGAGGAGGAGGTCGACAGTTCTCGGCAAATGAGTTTCGAGCGAAGTGTGATGGACGAAGCGAGCGGTGAGGCCCTCCGGATGCTCCACCGCCAAATCGCTGCTCTCGAGAGGGACAGGGCTGATCAGCTGAAACGGGAGGAAATGTTGAAGGAGGAGATCGCGCATCTGGAGACTTTGGTGAAAGACCGAAGCGAGGATGTCAGCCACTTGAAGGAGATGCTGTGGAATAGGGACGAAAGTGAGAGGGAGCTGCAGGTTGGACTTCGGGAGGCGAAGGAGCAGATGGATCAATTGGGCAACGTGAGCTTGGCTGTTATCGATGAGGACGAACTGAAGAGGCTCATGGAGGAGAAGCAGCAGGCTACCGAGGACGAGAGGGCTCGTCACCGCGTGGCCGAGCTCACTTGGCAACAGGAGAAGGAGGAGTTGACGATGAAGATCGAGAGCTTAGAAGTTGAGAAGGCAGCTTGCGAGGAGGAGGTCGAGAAGGTGAAATCGCAGCTGAAGGCCCGTGACGACGAGTTCGCCGTTCTCAAGTCCGAGTTGGAGGCGCAGTGGTCGAACACCGAAAGCATGTCCAGCCAAATCGACACCCTTATGCGGGAAAAGCATGAGGTCGAGTCTGAGAAGGATCAACTGCAGAAGACTTTGGCAGAGCTGGAAGCCAGGATCGACAGCATGTCGATGGACTACAACGACCTTGTGAACAAGAACGCTCAGCTCGAATCGGACTTGCAGGACGCCTTCAACAAGAACAACGACGCTGAGATGGACTATGATGATGTCGTCAACAGGAACTCTGAGTTGGAGAGCCAAGTGAGCGAACTTCAAGAAGATCACCAAAAGGTGAAGTGTTGTTCTGGGATTCGTTTGAATCCAAACTCTAACCCTAATTCCCTAGATGGAGCGTGACCTTGGAGAGTCTGAAGCCCGTGTCGAGCAACTTAACAGGCGCATCTCTTTGCTCGAAGAAGAGGTTCAGCTCAACAAGGACATCGTTTCGCGCACGCAAGAAACCATCCGCAAACGCGACGCAGAAATCGAGGAGTACAGCAACCGCGTTGCCGAGCAGGTGGCCGAATCGGAAAGGCTCCAGGAGGAACTCAGTACCATGCGACGCGAATACAACCGGCTCCTCGACGAGCAGTCTCGCGCGGACCACAGCATGTCTAATCAAGAAATCGAGAACAGCAAGCGCATCGAGCAACTCATCAAGCAGAAGGCGGAGGTCGACGTCGAATTGGACGCTTCGCGTGACAAGATTGCTGCGTTGCAGGACGAGGTTGAGCGTTTGCGCCGCCAGGTACACACCTTGAAGCAGGATAGCGCCGATAATGAAGTCGAGGTCGGCCGCCTTAGGAAGCAGCACGCCGCCGATAAGGAAGACATCATGGGCCTGAATATGGCTTTGGATGCCAAGCAGCAAGAACTGGAATTGGTGAGGCGATCTCAGTTTTATTCTGAAGCCCTTCCTGACTTCCTTTCTACAGATTAAACGACAGTTGGGAGTACGAGGGACGGCAGGTGCGACTCCCGCCCAATCTGCATCTGCAACCAGAACCCATCGACGAGACTCCTCCGTCTTCTCCGCGACGCCCATTTCTCGACCGCAATCGGCACTTTCTGACAGTGCTGAGAGTGCATCCGCTGTCAGGCCCCGCAAACGCTCTTCCGAACGTCCGCCATCCTCCGCCTCAGCGACGCGGCCATCAACTGCACTGGGACGAAGCACAAGAATAAACACTGCCACGAAGTCTAGTAGCGCGGGTTCAATGGGACCCCCTGCTTCTGTCACCAAGCCCCGCTCGTCCGTCTCTTCGTCGGCTGCGACACCCAAACCTCTCGGACGATCGAGTTCAATGAAACCATCGTCTACCGCTACCTCGCCAACGAGCACGCCTATCCCACACAGGAGGGTCTCTTCTGCTGTTGTTGCAATTGAGCAACGGGCTTCCGGTTCGACCGTGGCGTCCAAAGGCGCTCTATCGAGGATGGGCAGGGTGACTAGCCCGGTCTCAAGTGTACCCGAGGTGGCCGAGAAGGAGAATGTCGACGATTCGCTCGGCATGACGCCAACGTTGAGTTCTCGGAGACGGGTCGCTGTGCCTACCTAAGTCGTCGACCGTTCTTCAAGTTATGTTTTTCTCTTGGACTTTTGGGCTTGTATGATTCGATTCATTCCTCATCATCTTGCACGACCATCATGGTTACTAAGACCCGTATAGTTTACGGACTCCAGAACTCACCCATCTTGCAGCACATCCCGATACTTGCTATTGTTATTTCTCGCTGTCGTCCTCGCTTTCGTTCGTAGAAGTTGTATCTATGCTTTCGTCGCTATCTTCGCTGTCGTAGTATGTGTCGTTTATCGCAAAAGTAATAATCGTCGACATTTGTATGCCCTATGATATACCAATCTCATTTTTCTTTCTTCCATCTCTTTCTCCAGGTTTCTTCGATGACGTTGCAGGAGTCTGGTCTGGACTCTTGGGGAGGTGAAGTGCCTTTCTTGGCGGGATGGTTACCCCTTTTCAATGTTATCTCCGGGAGCGCCGGCCAATCGCCTTGGCGTTTTTTCAGAACTCCTCCATTCTGCAGGAGCAGGATTTTGCAAGGAACTGAAAGAAAAAAATGTCAAAAGAAGGGGATTCGGGTCAAGGATCCGGTCTATGACTTGCCGTCCTCTGTGTATTCAAACTACCATATGGTAGGTGAGATATAGACGGACTTGCACGTTTTTTCGCCTGGCGGTAGTCTTAATCCCCTGTCGCAGTTCGCTTTCCATTGGTAAAAAGATTAGGATTGTAGGAGTCGGGGATTCACGTCATAGGAAACACTCTAGGGGATGAAATATGTATGGCAAATTCGTAGAGTGGTAGGAGAGCTGTCAAATTGGTCCGTACACATTGGCTGTTTTGATCGCGGTTCAGGGTGGATACGGAGTTCGGGGAGACCATTTCATATGGATTCCGTCAGACCCATGTGCTTTTTTATCTTCTGTTCTTTTGGTGGAATAGACTCCGACGCTCTCTTCTTAATCGTCGTGTGAGCTCTGTCCCTTGGGCGTTCCTCTGCTTTAACTACGTCGGTCACCACTCTGCCCGTAGAAGAGTACGACTTTCGACCCCGCCGAAGCCTTCCCCTCTGCGCCGCAACCATGTCGCTTGACGAAAAGAAGCACGTCTCCACGTCCACCCTTGAGACGATGGACGACGATGATAAGGAGCTCCTCGCCATGGGTTACAAGCCCTCGTTCAAGCGCGAGTTTACGAATCTGGCCACAGTGAGTTTAATTCTTGACAACCCAGTCGACCTTTGCTCATCGTTGGTCTACAGATTAGTTTCGCGTTCAGTATCATGGTTCGTCGCCGTCTGTTTACTCGCCAAAGAGCGCCGGACTGATAATGAAGTAGGGTCTTTGCTCCAGTATCTCCACGACGTTCAACACCCCCTTGCTCACCGGAGGTCCTGCCAGTGTAAGCCCATTCATGCAGTGTGCTTCTTCTGGAGCGTTTGCCTCATTCGTGGTCAACAGGTTACCTGGTGTTGGATTCTTGGAGCATGTCTGTGCTTCGCTCTTGGTGCCAGTATCGCAGAGATTGTCAGCGCGTTCCCCACTTGTGGTGGATTGTAAGTCGTGTGCCAGATAACACGGTCGTGATGTCATTGACCGTCGTCTCTCACAGGTACACCGCCTCCGCACAATTGACGCCCAAGAAGTACCGAGCCTCAGTTCGTTCTCGCGCATCCTTCACGGCGGAGCTCTTGTTCATTTAACGTTTTTAGGTTGGCTGGCTTGTAGGGTGGCTCAATATTCTTGGTATGTGCGATCTAGCTACCTTCAACCGAGCCGGGCTGACTTTCGATCGCAGGCCAAATTGCAGGTATCTCCTCGACTGAGTTCGGTCTGTCAAACATGATCCTTGCAGCGGTCAACATTGGAACTGACGGTGCCTTTGAGATCACCTCGGTATGTGCAGTTCTTTGTACACAGTCCGCCAAGAGATACTCAATTTTGACCTCCAGGGCAAAGTCGTGGGTCTCTTCGCGGGTCTTATGGTCGTCCACGGTTTGCTGGTACGTGGGGATTCCCTTCGAGTTAGACCCCAAGCTCACGAATATTCAGAATTCCATGGCGACCAAATACTTGGCTCATCTCACCAAGTACTTTGTCTTCGTCAACCTGGGAACCACTTTCGGTAAGGACGTCGATCAACGCAATCAAGTTCCTATTGATGACATCCCGGACAGTTATCATCATCGTTTTGCTTGCGAAGACCCCTCGTTCTGAGATGCACCCTGCTAGCTATGTCTTCGGTTCCGATGGTATTGTTAACCAAACTGGAGGGTGGAACACAGGCCTTGCTTTCCTCCTTGGTCTCCTCTCCGTTCAGTGGACGGTACGTAAGGCATTTGCTCTCATCCGGATGCCGAGCTGACACTTCCTTTAGATGACTGACTATGATGCCACTGCTCATATCTCGTAAGATTTGTCACCTCCCTACCTCCCATCTTCGCTAACTGGTGTCCAGTGAGGAAGTCAAGCGAGCGGCGTATGCAGGTAGGTATACCTTCCCCTTTTGCTTGGAAATCCGCTAAATCCGTGTCCGACAGCTCCCTCTGCCATTTTCATTGCTGTTGTTGGCACTGGTTTGATTGGCTGGTTGTTCAACATCATTATCGTCCTCTGCTCCGGTCCTCTGTAAGTGTCTCTCCATGGGAATGTTTAGTCAATGTTTAACCAAGTCATTACAGTGCTGAACTCCCGGGCCCCTCTGGCAATGCTGTGCTTACCGTAAGTGCGATTACCATGAAATACGGGCGAGGATTTGACATTAGTGCAGATCTTGTTCAACCGAGTTGGTAAGGGAGGTGCGCTGGCTATTTGGGTGCGTGCTAGTTCAACTAAGCAGACAGAGTTCGTTGTGCTGACAGATCTTCAGGTATTTGTTTGCTTGACTGCGTTCTTCGTCGTCCAAACTGCCTTACAAGCTGCCTCACGAACTGTTTACGCTTTCAGCCGCGATCACGGTCAGTGACCAAAGCTCATTTGTTTCAATACATTCGCCTTGACACCATTTTCTAGGGTTGCCTGACGCTGGTTTCTTTGGAAAGAACAACAAGCGGACTCACACTCCTCTTCGCGCTATCTGGCTCACCACTTTTATCTGCATCCTGCCTGGCTTCTTGGCTCTTGCGTCTCCCGTCGCTGCGAATGCCATCTTCTCGCTTACTGCCATTGGACTTGACCTCAGCTACCTTCCTCCTATCATCTGCCGACGTATCTTCGCCAATCACCCCGAGGTTATGTTCAAGCCAGGTCCTTTCTATATGGGAGACGGCTTCCTGGGTTGGTTCTGCAATGTGGCTTGCGTCTTGTGGACACTCTTCATTTGCGTTATCTTCTCGTTGCCCACGGTCCTCCCTGTCACCTCCGAAAACATGAACTATGCATCAGTGAGTTCCTCGCATTGACCTCACCTCTGCGAGACTGACACACTCGGACTCCACAGGTTATCACTGCTTGCGTTATTATCCTCGCATAGTGAGCTCGAGACCCCGCACATGGAAGGTTGCACAATTACTGAATGTTTCTTTTCGCTTTCACAGCGCTTGGTACTTCGCTGGGGCCCGCCGCCACTATGTCGGCCCGCAATCCAATATTAACGACAGCAGCGTCGACATGATCAAACAAGATACAGAAACGAAGAAGGTTTCTGACGACGAGGGGAGCAATTCATGATGCATGAGGCGCGGCATCCTCATCCGCTGTCCTCACGATCCACAACGGCTTTCGTCCACCGGGCGGCAGTCGATTTCAAAAGTGCGATATCTACGTATCTGTATTGCTGTAACTCTTAATACCCATGTATGTTACTACCCCTTACGACTGTACTGACGCCTATATTATTCACGAATTCACGGCCATATTGACACCGGTCAGGAGCCTCTTCCAAGGGTCCTACCCCTCAGTCACACGATACTTGCCTCTTTGACATCGAAATGGAGGTGTCGGGCACATTGGGTAAGTGCTTATTTTTAGCGCTCATGAACTTGAGGATACTAGCTACCGTTTTCGGTTTCGTTCTGTGACGGTATCCTTCCGCAGGGCTTTCAGTGGCCTTTCCTTGATCACCAATGGCAACGACGAACCGGTTAGGAACGACAAGTGTCACGGGAGTGGGTTTCATCGAACCTTCCCAATGAAATGCCGACATACGAGGATGCTTCCTTGACCCGATTTTAAGCTCGTCTTGCCCTAAAGCGTACATTCTTCGGGATTTCATAAGAAACATAACAACATTAGCCACTCGAGACAACAGTGAGAGCCGCCCGAGATAAGTTAGCTCGTACGTGAAAAGTTATTAGGATTGGAACATCGCCATCAAAGTGTACATTGCATAAGAGAGACACCGATGCTTTTTGGACCAGTTCCAACTTATCTGCAGTATGCGAAGCGGGAAAATGGTAAATTTTAAAACACTTGCGGATACGTGTCCTGACTTTCTCCTGGTTGCACTCCATACCCAAATTCACAAAACAAAAAGGAGTGGACAAATCCGGAATTGAACCGGACACCCCCCGCATGCTAAGCGGATGTGATAACCAACTACACCATTTGCCCGTGTCATTGTCGTCAACATATGGAGTAGAGGTGGAAAATAGACGTTCAGGAAATACTGTAGGGTCAGGAATGCGGGGTCCGAAGGTCTTGTACCTGAGGAGGAGTCGAACCCCACAATTAGTGGCATTGAATGACTACGAAGCGTGTGCGTAGCCTTAAAAACGGCGCAAGATGATTTTAGTGGGAGACCTCACATTGATGTCAAAATCCCTGGAACTCTTGCTTCGAAAACAGAACCAAATCCACTTGTGGTTCTCCCGCGAAGATCGAGTCGCTGGGATAATGGGGAGCCGACGGGATGGGTGACGGTCTGCGAGTAGTAAGGAGCTCACGAGTAACTACAGACTACAATCACATCGGGTGGGAGTGTAGGACTCACAAATGAACCCCAGAACCATAGTGATGTAATACGGTGTCCAATTAAGGAGACAAACTCGTGCCAATCCATCCCGTAGATCATGGACAATCTATCCCAGTTGTGATCCTGTGATAGTGAACATGGCTTACCAGGATCTTCCCAGGTCAACTCACTAGTTACCAATGGCTCGGATGAAGCTTCCCCAAGCACCAGCATTCTATGTACTCGAAGCTGGTCGAGGCAATCCCCAGAGGGGACAATTAACAAGCAGCCACGAATGTGGACATCAGTACGAGAGCGCCGTAGATGGCGTTTGGGACATCGGGGCTTGAGACGAGGTCAGACAATAATGTAGTAGCTGACGTGGGTTTCCGCCGTCGAGGTCACGGAGAGTCGAAACCGGGTATTCGTTACGTTGGCGGAGAGTTCAGCAAAAATTTAAGCAATGTACGCCCTTCCCTGCGGATCTTGTCGCTAATGAACAACAAAAGGAGACGAGACGAACCGAGCAAAGCGGCAAATGATCCTGCGCCGTGCGCCGGGGTACCGACTCGATGACGACATCCGTTTGTATACCCCTTTCGCCACCCATGGCATTGTTTATCCCTGTCCAATTGAGTAGAGAAGTGAGAGAAGTTTGAGTCCTTCATGATCCTTGTAAGAAACCGCTGAAAAGGCGGAACGTCCAGGAAGGAGAAGCGCGCGGTTCCATAAGCGCCCAAGCGAGTCGACCAAGCCGAGCCGTCCGTCCCATTTCAATCAGACAGAATCCCTAGTAAATACGGTGGACACTAGAGGAATGGTCTGAATCAATCCTTGCTGATTGCTTGCCAAGCCTAAATCCCTCGACACTGAAAAGTGCGTCAGACTCATGTCAGGTCACGACAAGAGAGGATGCGCGATTTTAGCCGTAGGCGCCGCAAAACCCGTCACTTAGCTGGATGTAAACATAACAGACCACATAGCATGAAGCTGAACACCCTCATACATTCCCTCGAATCCCGGAGCTTGGTATTCTCAATGGACCAGCCTCGGACTACTCCATGTTCCAGTGGGATTGCCAAAGCCGCTATAGCTCTCGAGCTGGAAAGAGTCCCACAGCGAAGCCCAGGTCAGTGCCCCGATGAATAGATGCTAGATAACCTGATTATGACCAACGTGAGTCTATGCCCGAAGGAACGTTAGCTGTGTATCGCACCTATAGCCTCAGATACCATTTGTTATCGTTGATAACCCATAACTTGTTGCCCAGCACGCACTTCCTCCTTTACGGCATATTCTCATGCATAGAACGATCTTAACACCGAAGTGTACACATACCCATAATAGTAACTTTCAGCTCGACGAGCCTGTCTGCCACAAAATGTCAAGGGTATAGGGTTTATGAATCTGGGCCGTATAATCAAAGACTACGAACAACTTCCGTGCGCATCGAGAGAGGAGATCAGAGTGAATTGAATTGGGACGAACCCCCGGATAGTTGCGAGAGACTCGAGCGCAGAGATAAGACCCAGTACGAAATGAAGATGCCAATAGGTTTCATAGACAGCATATCACTGGAAAAAGCTCCCATCCAGTAAGTAGTCGGCGAAAGTAATCCAACTGTCAAAGATAACTAACCATACGTTGTTCAAAATAGCGGAAACCGTCCACCACAAGTCCCATGACGCTTCCGAGAGAAGCAGACAACCACAATCTGACTGGGCTTCGTAGGTGGGATACGACGCGGTTCAACAACGCGGTTCTGCACACCTGAGCGGCTCCCGGCTCATCCGGAAGGCGTTCTGTGTTCTCTCTGCCTCCGAAGTGTTCCACCGCATTGAAAGGAGTTCTATTTCCATCATGCTGGATCTCGTTATATTTAACGCATTGATAGCACTGAAAGCTACTGAACTTGAACCTAACTCAAGCTTCCCAAATCTCTCAGTCCACTTGGGCAATTACTCTCGCCATGAGGGTCTATCTGAGAGATTAGATGATCGACACACTTGATCGAAGGAGCAAATATTAATGATTGTACGCGGATAAACGCACTTTAGCTGAAGGTCCGTCATATCATGGAAAGACCGAACCCAGGAATTCTCTTCTTGCCAAGCAAGTCAATATGGACCCCAATTTCGACGTCAAGCAGGGTTCCGACTTCCCAATACATTCCTGCCCGGTCTGCGAGAGACGCTTTAGCTTCGCGTGGTCGTATTGGCGAATCCACCGTGCCACTGCATTGGGTTCCTCACCTCCGCGTACAACGAAAGTTGGACGTCAGCCGGTCATTCTCAGGAACAGCTATGTGTTCTTCGCTTCGCATTTCCGCAGAGGGGCCGCTTCCTGTAATACCCTGAACTTGGATCAGCAACATACTCCATCTGAGGATCAAGAACGATGTACCCGGTAGTAATAAGGCGCCCATCTCAGTAGTAGGCGACAACTGAATGACATGATGATGATTCATATCTCGTTTGTATGTCGCCACCTATCTCTTCCAAGAAGTGGTGCTCTGACAGACACACGAGGCTCGAGTAGCGTAAAGGAGAGATGAGGATGGAAGGCGAATAATTGTGCGCGTTCTAAAAGCACCATGCTGTGATATGGACATACCAAGGTTATTCCAATTTGGTCTATCGACTATTCATAGTGCAGCGCATATCTGGTCTAGAGAGAGTGAGCTATCAGTCCTTGAGCTCACCATTGACGCACCTTTCTCTACGACAAGGCTTGGACCCAGGTTCTGGCCCATTCTACACGGGGAATCGCTGAACTTCAATGGCCCCTGGTATAGCACAATCGCACAGCTTGCTCAAGACGGTGGTGGAACTGCGAGTTCGAACTTCGACCTTTCCTCACAAGAGAGAGGCTGGACCGGGCGTTCCCTGGATTAGAAAGACAGAACCCATAGCCCTACGCTCAAGGTTCATCAAAGCCGATTCTTCTTCCCAAGTCCTTGGGTGGCCATACTTGTCAAAAAATACCCATCAGCCTGGTCCCTCGTGTCGTACCCATGGGAGAGACTTACATTTGCCCTGTTGGAGCACATCAAGCCTTAATGAATACCTGCTTCTGCGAGACATGGTGCGGAAACTGGGGAAACATGACGAAGTACCTGAAAGCGGTCACGGATGAATTTGGAAGTTTGCGATTGTGCGGAGCACGCTACTTACGTTACGTGTCGTAGGAGCGCGTCGCTGTAATACATCCTCCACATAGACTGCCCATCCGTTCCTCTTCACATCGGATTTTCACTCTTCACATTTACCGAAGTCTTCAAGACGGATGAGAGGCCCTTGAATCGACTCCCATTCGAGCCGATGAGAATTTCTCGAAACTTCGGGCTTCGGATTCGAACTTGTCTGGTCCCGATTCCTGGTACGTAGCAAACCTCGTCAGCCAGCACCTGCTCACTGTCTACTGCGGGCAAGAGAGGACCCACCTACCTGCAAGATTCCCGGTCATTCGCCCCGGTGGAAGGCTCCATCGCAGAATTAGGGATCTGCAACTCCAGGTATTATTCTTCTCCCACACGGTGATTGAATCAGAGGTCCGACTATAATATCCTTGCGAACATTGGAATCAGCGGCGGAGTTCCATCTCCAACGCACCTATTGACCTCTCCTATTGGGTATGGGTCCATGGGGCGAACGTTGATTCTTTCTGATGATGGACAGAAAACGTGTCTGGACAGAGAGCAGCCTTGTGGACAGTTTATGAGCTGGGAACATCAGTCCACAACAAAACTAATGGCGAAACAGTGGGAACCCTTACCAGGAATTCGTGCACCGTGCTCCAGTATTCACAGGAAAACCCCTTGACAGAGGGACAGAGCCCCGGAAAAGAATTGTAATTTTTTCTTCTAATGCCACTTCGAATGGTGTTGTTGCCTATCTTGCTGGACTTCTCGACGATCGGGCAACAGGAAACTTCTTCCGATATCGCAGGGGAGTTGTACCTCCATGGACATTGGAGACACATTGATGAACATACGTACCGAGCTCTCGTGTAACGAAGAAGCCCCTTGTGTTCGAATTCCATTGAATGAGCTGATCAGCCATTCATACTGCCAGTTTTGCGTTCGGTTGATAGTGGTGTTCTTGCAAGAGCGCCTGCTCGCCAACTGTTGAGTCGAATATTGCGCAACACGCTTTAATACATATGTATAAACATCGTTGATGCAGATAGGGAAGATATACTCACAGTTTCTGAAAAGGTTACGCGAGGCTATCGCAGATTCCGAAGGTAAGAATCAGGGCCCTTCGCAATAGATCCCTCCCGCCGAAGTCGTAACCTGGTGATTCCTCCGAGCCCTGAGTGCATATGTGGCATCGGTTACAACAAACTCACCCCAAAACGTGGTGTTCGATTGCAACAAGATTGAAGATTGGACCTTCAATTCCTGTTCATCTAACAGCACGTTATTCCGATTAACAGGGTCAAGCGTTGATCGTTGGGTGATTATTCCCGCCGGTTTAGTGGAATCTGGAATCTGGGTGTGCCTTCAGTTAATATTCCACCATAACATATTAGAGACATAGCTTACCCTTAGCTAGCCCTCACTACGTGGAGGCGAAGTAATGCAATGCTCTGCACATCATCCGCCCTTGACCACTCCCGTCTCCCGAACGCGGTGGAGCGCTCGGGCAAGCCTCATTGGCGAACTCGGTAGGTCGACGTGACACGTCGGCAGCGTGCCAACAGGCTACTACTGCGGGAGATCATGGATCCATAATGCCCTTGCAAAGGGACCCGGTGCTTCACTGGAAGTAGATCGAGATGAATGGGTACGGTACATGGTCCTTCCCAAGCGATTGTATGCGCGGGAACGAGGTTGGCTCTACTGCGAAGGGAAGGCGGTCTGTCCCTCTGACCGAAACACATGGCCTATGAACGTGGGTCAGGGCTGACATTGAATAGTCATGGAACTTTCGAGGAGCTTACTTATGACTGGCAAGGTTGAATAGGTCCCAGACATTGGAATAGTCCGATGTGATTTTGTGAAGCGAGTGCTAGAAGCCCGGACTCTAAGCGCCCATAGATCGTAGGCGTTCTGGTACGCTATTTTCAGAAGGAAGACAAGGCCCGTGATCTGGGATAAGAGGTTAGCGGGTTGATCGATTCGTTAATTAGACACCATGAGACGAACTTACTCTCGTATAATCCGCCCGTTTCATAACAGAACCTGTCCTCGCAGCCGATCAAGTCCAGAACTAGACAAAATACAGACGTAGACTTAGGAAGGTTACACCTGATGTCCTAATAGCTGTTGTTCCTTCTTGGGAACGTTATCCGGTCCCGGGACCTGGCGGCAAGTGATAGAACTTACAACAATTCATATCTCTCGGGTTGACCGATTCCGAATAGATACGACCACAACGACTCCGGGCATTGAGCTCAAATCCTACATGGATAATTAGTCTTGAGAAGGCAGATTGAAATACAGAACCGCACATCACTGCTGAATGCATGGCAGCTCGCCAGCACAGTTCACAGATCAAGCTTCAATTTTGATTGCCTACGGCGGTGACGATGCTCCTGGGGTCATCCCATTCAGCGAACAACCTAAAAGCTTCGCAAGGGTGTCAAAGCAGAGCCTCAGAAAAGCCTCTTCCGAATTGTTTTCGAGGCGCTGTGCATCGTCATTCCTTCGATAGCCTTCGGCTCTTGCTTCCTTATCACACTCGGATCCTCTGAATGACACGCATAATGGCCCTGCGTTCTAAATACAAGAAGATAAGTAAAGGATAACGCCGGCGGGTTCGACATTCCACTCACAGCGTCTATCCATTAATTGCCCTCGCTCGCCTTGTCCCGAAACCAAGAATGCTCGTCGTCGTCATCGCCCTCGGTCCCAGCTTATCTCCGGAGCTCGTACGTCGATATCGGCGTCTACTGAAGTCTTCCAATCTCAGAATACCGTCATGCACACGTTTTTGTCAAGGTCCAGCGGCCTGCTGGGTATATTCGCAAAAGGGATGGTGGGGGTTGGAGGTCAAGAGACGAAAGCCCAGCTTCAAGGTCCGCTCGACGCGACGCGACGAAATTACGTCATAGATCAGGTCTCGGCGTCAAACGAGTCCGTCACAAAAGGTGTGTCGGAGGGTGTTTTGCGACCAAGAAGACAAAATAACTAATTCTGCTCGAAGATCTGTCCTGGAGTGGCTTGAAACAGGTTAAACGTTAGATCTCTCTTGGATGGGGAGAAAGACATAGATTCTGGCCGACTTGCCAAACACCTCATCATCTATTAGTGGCTTCCAGGCAAGGGCACGAGTAATTGGAAGAGACGAAAGAGATCCAGGTAGTGCACAAGCCCTCGGCTTTTATGTGAACTTTGTCTGTGAGGGAGATGCGCGAGAGCGGGCCAGCCGAGGAGTACGCTACACACCCTCGAGCGCCTCCTAACCAGCCACAACTCCAATCAAAGCGCCGTGAACACCGCAGGCTGCAACCAACAACTCGTGCAAAATCCAGACATACTAAACGAGGATATGGAAGTTTGTAATATGAGGTAGGTACGACCGTACAGGCGAGTAATCGCCGGTTGTTCCTTGGTTCTCCCCAGGGCGAAGAGAGGCCTGGCCGTTGAACAAGGAGCTGGAACGTGGAACTAAGGCCCGCAGCTCAATCAAGGATGATCGATCGATGCAGCCTCAGCCTCAAGCTACGCTGTCCAGTTCTACCTCACTCAACCATCACGACGACCGGTCAATCAAAATGTCGGGGCCAAGAGGTGAGGCTTGAGGGGGACTTATCCGTTCCTCGCTTCTCGTAGCTCCCGAAAAAAACTCGATCTGCTAAGTATCCCATTGGCGTGTAGCAGGAAGCCCAGCACAAAAGGAAACTCTTACCTTTCGAGGATTTTAGTCGTTTCGTTGATAATTGAGGAAGACCCGACGATGTCGAAGGACTTCCGCTTGGGTGCTTCCCTTGACGCTGCCACACAATTGCCAAGCCCCTGGAGCACCAGTCTAAATGAAGTTGGCCCTCGTTGTCTGAAGCTTCTGAGAGTGTAGATTCATCTGAAGTAGAATCATCTAAATCATTGGCGTAAAGCTGGGCTACATGCCAAGACGAAATCTATCTATAGCCCGGCGCTCGCGTTCGGAAGTGCTGGTGAGCGTCAACCAACATGTCATTGAGAATAAGTGAAAACTAAAAATATCGGGGAAGGTGCTGGAAGGAACTACATCAGATGCAGGATACGCGGAGTGACCCCACCAGCTCAGCATTCCAGGGCTAACCTTTCGCTCGTTCCTGCGGAATCTTCTCAACCCGCCGAGTACCTCGAGACTTTGAGGAACCCACTGGTTGAATAGGCTCATTGCAACCCACTCAGCGCTTGGCAACCCAATCCCCATCACTCTTCTCCTCCTCGTTGATCCCATATATACCGAGGAGACATGTCATTGACTCATTGTCCTAGTCCGGCTTTCTCATAAATTGGCATCGACTTCTCGAGTGAAGCTACAGTAATCTTGGCGCGAAGCGCTGCACTCTTTTTAGGAAGCCGTCCTTCCCCAAAAAGGACTCGAACCGAACAAGAAACACGTTGGCCCGCCATTTTGGCGCGCACCGAGAAGAGCGGGCGGCCTTGGCACGTCTGTGGACAGCGCGCTCGGGACCTGCCGCTGGACACGTTTTGGATTCAAAAGGTTGATTGATACGCGTTCTTATAGCACCGGTCTGGATGCTGCTGTTTACATCAGGGAAAGGGATGACCTGAATGCTGTTATTGCAGTTCTCTGTCCCTGTATTACGCGGGCGGACGAGGATATTATGTATGTAACTTTTTCATCAAATGTCAAGCGATAATATTGCTGTTGGTACTTACGCTTGATGAAAAGCCTTGAGACTGGCGGCGGTGACTACACCGCGACATGGGAAAGATGGGGAGGAAAAAGTCGTACCAAGTAATTCGCCGATTGCGAGGACGGGAGGAGCGTTCATCGTCTCGGCCAAGCGACATCCCCAAGACTTGGTCGAACGAACAAGACTACGAAATGACATTTCTTCGAGCGCACGTTCATTAAGCTTCGAAATTTATTACCGACGGAACGGTGGAGTTTGTTTGATTCGATATGGACTGGCAGTTATTACGGGTTTGTTCAATTCCCAAAATGAGTGTTACGAGAGAGATAAGCACCCACTGCCTGTTGCTTGAAGGTTCTGGTTTACGACATCGACGCGTATTGGGTTAAACGTGCCTTCTGCCTATTCTCGTATGGCCAAGTGCAAGCCAAGTGAGCTCGAAAAGCAGGCTAACCAGTCAGAAAGGGCCCATCCGTGGTCTATCAACCACAACCATCGACCAGAACAGATGCGAGTTGGTCGTTCAGACAACCACGGATAAGGATTGTCCTCCAAGTTCGCAAATGAGAGCGTGCCAAGCCTCTGAAGTGGAGGGATTTTCGCCAGCTAGCATGATGAGATCGATTCTCGAAGGAGGCTGCCTACGCTGTACAGGGGAGAGAATCGCTCTTGGCGCGCCATCCACCACGTCTGTAGCCAACTTCGTTTCCGAGTGTTCGAATTCTGCGAGGATCCACCTCCTTGCGAGATAATAGCCAGCCCCCAAGACATTCTTCCAGAGTCAGCGCCACGACCTGGGTGGGAGCGCCGAGGACATGAAACCCCTTTGAAACCTCGCCTGATTTTAGGGTTTCTCTCGTGCGGCGGAACAGAAGCACAGTGTGGTTTCAAGAAGCCTAGCCATTGAAAGGGAAGATTTTCGAAACACGGAATTTCCAGCCGTATTTTTCCTGGGAATTTCGAGTCAAAGGGACGTTGTGATTTCTGATTGGCTGGCTGCTGACATTGGACAACACCCACCGAGTTCGGGAAGCGGGCGCTCTTGCCGCCCTCTGAGGTGCTGATGGCTCGGCGTGCGGGTGGCCTTGCAATCTCTCCAATGCAGAGATACACAAAGGCAGAAACTCCCGAGAGACAAGGTGTAGTCAAAGGTCAGGAACAGTGGTCAGGAGAAACACACCGGATATGTCGGTGTGCAAGGAATTTACGCCGGATCGAGGAGACTAACGCAAGGGACCTGAACGCTGAGAACCGGGGGTGATAGCTTGAAAGAAACTTCAAAGGCTCAAAGGCACCTGGATGTTCTTTCAGTCTTCCGGTGACTGCGCAGTGTACTTTGGGTGATCCGATTGGTTTCCAACGCTCAGCTTCTGTCCTTTGAGAAGGAAAGGTTGTCTTATCGGTACGCGTTGCATTCGTTTAGTTGTTCATGACGGGTTGTCGTATTTGCTGTAACGAGTTGGGGAGCGTTTATGGAATTGCAGGTAGGAAGGCATGCTTTCCGAGGTGTATCGTTAGGAAACGGCGATTGTCTATGTGAGAGAAGATCAGGTGGACGGTGCTTGCGCGATATGATAAAAGATAATTCTTGAGAGGACAATGGAATGGGCAAGCTTGGCCCGGAGCAGCCGTTCGAGTTATGGATCTGAGATGGATGGACAGAAGGGGATGAGAGATCGTGTCTCCAGATGGGAAATGAAAAATAAATAATTAACGAATTAAAAATAAAGAAATAAATCAACAAAGGTAAACCACGGCGCCTGTCTCGCCTGTACTGCCAAGATCTGGTTTGGATATAAGGACAGGGCTGTTCTGGCTAGATGATTCGCTAACAACTCCTCCACCACCAACGCCAGCGATAACAATGACGCCCCGGTCTATTCTCAAGCGTTCTTCAGAACGACAAAGGCCTACCACCCAGCACGCCGTCCACTTCCCTCCTACGCCGGCTCTGTGCAGCACCTACTCGGCCTACTCCGCCTCTGCATACGACCGCACTCCGATCCAAGTCACCAAAAACATCTGTGCTTTGCCTGAACGCAACGGTCGCACCTACTTCTGTGACGAGTCATCCACCTCCTCCCGCCGGACTCCCCGGTCTCGCGACGACCGACGCGCCGGTCTGCCCCAGCTCATTCCCGACGTCTCCTCGTCTTCCTCCGACGAGAGCGATGCCTTCCACCACAGCCCATCCACTTATGGCCATCCTACTCCTCAGTACTCTTATGGCGCAAACGGTCTGCCTATGAAGTACGAGTACGACGAATACTCCCAATGCAACGACTCTGCAGCCCTCGCCTTCCTCCCTTACCCACCTTCTCCCCCTGCTCACGACCGCTCCCGAGGACGACGGAAACACGACAATCTCGTCGACTCCCCACGGATACGAGAGTCAAACTCGTCCAGCTCGTCTACTGACGAAGAGCGCACCCCAGCTCCCACCAAGAAGCGGAGTAGCAGTCGTCGCCGGGAGTATCTCAAGCAGCTTGCGGAGAAGGGCAGCTCACCCAGTGCTCTCTGCACCACCTTTGGGGCTATCAGCTTGCAGGACGATGGGTGTTTGGGAGGTTTCTGAAGGAGCATTAGGTTGAGGTTCAGCAGTAGCAGCAGGCAGTGGGATGCCAGCGCCCCACCAGGGGACTTTCGGCGGTCCCAATACAACGGGCTTTGGACGCCTACCCTACTCGACCAATCGCTCACTGGCTTGTCGCCAGTCCCAGGTTGCGACCCGGTCTCCATTCTGGCAACCAGATTGCCATCCGCACCCAGCAACGCCCACCCCTGCCTCTTACCCGCCGCATCGCATTGCGGTTTCCCTACCTCGGGATCATCTATGGACTTCTTCCGGTTCCTCATGCCAACCTGTTTCAAAATATGGATCCGCCTTCTCCCTGAGGCTCGACCCTCGCAACACCCGCATCTCGCAGTGTCTTCAGCCTTGGCTCCTTCGCATTACCGGACGCTCATCATTTGTATCATGCACACAACACAACGCAAGCATCGCAATCAATCAAACAACAACCTAACCTACTTGTAACATTACTTCTTCATTCACGATTCCCAACTTCACGACATAACCAATCTTTACCAACATACCCCAACGCAACTTGGCTCCTTATCATTATTATTTCTCTCTTCGCATCACACACATAGCTTTCTTGATACCAAATGTTGTCTCTATGATATCCAATCCACAACCGACTGCCAACACAAACCTCGCGTGCCTCCTGAGTCTTGTCTGTCTTGAGCCTCGATCCGAATCAGCTCCCCGTTCTATTCCTCTGTGGTTCTGTTCTCTCTGGCTCGTTATGGATTCCGTTTCAAGAATAGGACCTTCGCTATCGCTCACTCATCTTCTCATTTAGACTCGGACTAAGACTGCATCACCTGAGCGTCACTGTCTTCCATCTCCAGCAGTCAAGCAATAATTAGACGCGTTTCTTTTTATACAGCGCTTAAGCCCACCAAAAACCTTCGATCTCTCTAGGTTCTTTCTCCCCACACGCGACGATGAGCTCAAGGCTAGACTCAGACTTCACCCAAAGTAAGTTCAGCCATTTAATTCCAAACTCCAAACCCCGTTGTCTATAACCATCTTTGACAGCGTCAGTGGGTGGACGTTCCGAGGACCGGTTGTGGTCGGTGGCGAGGTGACCTCCGTGTTCCACGTATACGTATCGTCCAATCGTTATTTTGCTCCCAGCTCAGCTGAATCCACAATCTCATGCGACAGAACTTGGTCCTTTTGGAAAATCTCCAATATCGTCTTCTCACCGCCGTACAGCACACCGCCTCGTGTTCCATTGACTGCGGGTTTACGCACACAGGTTCAAGCCTGCGTTTTTCTGGTGTCCGAGAACTTTTGGGGCGCTAATGTATTATATGAAGTTAAGATTATCTAGAACTTTGGACTCTGTTCTTTCGCTCCAGTTCCACGGGTATCGCTGTATGCACATGGTGTGGATTCAGCACGCTGGATCCTGGTCAGTCGTGGAGAACCATTCCGCATCTCAGTTGCCTTGGCCGTCGCCGCTTGAAGTTGGAGATATGGAAGATGGAACGCGTTTCAATCCAGCCTGCTGGCACTGCCTCGTGGTCGCCGATGGCACATGCTACAGGTAGAGGAGCGTGTTGGATGGCCCAGCGCTTACCTGTGACTTTCAGCAATACTTACGATACCTTTGTATTGGAACTGTAAACGGCGACTTTGGATTGGCTGAAGTATGGAATGGGGTATGCACGCCCTCTTCCACCGTCAATTCCGTGATGCAAGGCGTTGCTGCTGGAGCCTGATAACGATATTAATCTCATGACTTACAAGTTGTAGGCTCCGCCTGAGTTTCCTGATTCCGTCCCTGCACACAAGGTGCTCCAACTGATATCTTGCACGGGCTAGAACGAGTCTATGCGAGGAGGCGAAGGGTTCGTGATTCTGAGGTTATGTTAATCTCCACTCTTCGAATCAGCGGACACTTTCCCCCAACTCCAACGACAACACAACATATCCTTTCGGTTAACCTTTTAATGTATGCTAGCAGGGTCACCATACGCTCATGAATGTTTTCGCGAAGAAGTTCAGTGACAGTAGGACGCGTTCGAATGATGAGGCTGGTTAATGCCAAGCAAACCAAGCTCATCCCGAACCTTGACCACGGACGCATCCTTTCCTTTACTCCCACTTCTCCACGACCCTCTTCGTGACACCTGATGCAACCTACGACAGTACGACATACGACGTAACCCCAAATTCAATCCTACCCCTCAATTCATGCGAAGAACATCCGCCCGTTCTTCCGGTCCAGGGTTTCCCAAATTGACTGAATCTGTGCGTATTCGTGTGTTACAATTCGACTCTCGACGAGACCTATTGACGGACGTTCAGAAGGTGATTAGCGACAGTTAAAAGACGCCCTTTGAACATCACACTATAGATATTCCTACGCTGGGAGGATGAGGGGCGCCAGTGGAGATTAGTTGATTTTCGAACGACACCTGCTGATCAAGCCACGCTGCCCGCTAAACTGCGTCTGGTAGGTCAGTGGTCAGGTTATGATACTGCATCCCTTCTCTTGCGGTGTACATCGTTCTGACGACTTCTTTGGATAGATCAGATGGGGTCGTGTCCCTTGATAGAATCTGCAATCTGGATTTCGGCGGTCTTCGACTTCCTGCATGTTCGAGAACAGCTTTTAGGAGGATAACACGCGACACCGAGCCCCTTTTCACCCGAAAGGCCGATTGGAAGGACGTAGGTGCTCCTGTTCCTCCGATGACTCTCTCAGGTTGATCTATCGAGGCGTGGTCAGTATGTCTTGAAGGGATGTAACTTTGAATGAACTTGACCGCTGATTCCGTTTCCAGCGTTCGCGTCCTCGAAGCCGAAGTTGACTAAATCAAGGAACCCGTAACCAATATAGGTTCTGCGGTTGCCCCTCCAGCGCTTCTGGGGATGACAAGCGTGCTCTTGGCAACTACCTTCCGACCTCTCTGGAGAACACACAGCAAACTAGTTCCTATTGGCGTGGAGGGCAATCAACACCTCGCTGTCCTGTTTTGCTATCGGTAACTCAGGTGCAACTGGCAACTGGCGCTCTCAGTCCCCCAGAATCCATCCTCTCCGTTCCCTCCGACGCGCTCGAAAGCCGAAAAGGATATTTCTTACCTCCACGGTCTTGCTGGCTCTCGGGCTGGAATGCAACAGCAGCAAGTTTTAACTTAACGAACGATGATCCTGAGGCCTCGCTGTTCGCTAAGTCCCTCCCTCGCTCCCTCCCTTCAAGGAACAGCGAGATAAGCTAGAGCTTGTCGACGCCGCCGCCGCTACCGCTTGATGAGGATCGACTTTCCTCGTTAAGTTCTATGTCCATGGTGTTGGGGCTCTTAGGTCCCGCTACCGTCGCAACAGAGAGCTCTGTACTGTGCCATCCAGTGCCTTTGGCTACGGGAATCTACTAGCGTGTTTCCTTTCATTGATCCAAATTCCCCGGATCCGCCTCCATCCTTCGAGTTGATCGTTTTATTGCGCCTATATTGTTGCCTTTTTGATCCAGAAAGGTCGGACTGCCTATTAGAGGCGCCCTGGTACCCATGTGTGCCTTGCAGAGACGAACTTTCGGCATTCTATTGAGGCTGTTTACAACAGAGCGCCCTGAAGACCTACTGTGTGGGGAACTATGTATAACCGGCGGACGATAACCTCATGCATCGCAGTTTCTAGAATCTGGAGCTTGTACAACCCACCCGTCCCATCATCCCGCCGGTCTCCTCGAAAGAGCAACTGAGACCAACTCCAGTGGTACTCGCCGATAGCCATCCCCACAGTGCTATAGATAGCCTCTGTCTGGAGGAATCACGGTGCCGCTATGTAGCCTCCAACTATGCGCGCCGCAATAATACAACCACCGGTTCCTTCGCTATCACGCGTGTGCTTTGATAAAGACCGTACATTCCATGTATGGGTTGGGAGGGTGACCACAGGATCCCGCTGGTAAGTGTCCGATTTGGGAGTTGTGGTGGCGTCTGTGAGTGCTGAAGTATTGCGTCTGCGCCTGGCCTTGGAATTTCTCGCGAAGTTGACATTCTCCCGTGTGTTGTGCTTAGAATAGCATCTAGCATTTTGAAGGAGCGCGAGCATGTGCTAGGCTTAATCAGGCAGGACGGTTGTTTGCTCTCTCCGCTACGCACATCGCCTACTTACTGTGGCATGTACCTTGTAACTGTACCTTGAATGTGATATGTGCTATTCCTGTGCTTGAAATGCAATCATACCAGAAATACTAAACGATTCCGTTTCGTACACCTGTGTTGACCTGCCCGCCGCATCGCCGGCGCTTAAGAATTATCAGGGAGTTAGCTATCGACTTGTTAGTGTCTCTCCACTTCCCTTCGACGTAGGATCTTCGCGTCCACTGCCTTGGCGAACTCTTTTTGAGCATCATGAAACGCGCTCCACAATTCTGTCGTTCTTCCTCCGCGAAAGTGTCGTCATAACATCCATAGGCCACTTTTTGCATAGGATCCACCCGTTCTGGGTCAGTCAGTGCACGGAGAGGGCGTAGGCAATTTCGGGCGAAGGAATGTAGAAACTTCACCATGCAGAGACGGACGACTGAGGGAGGTTACTCAGTGTTGCAATGGCCTACCTGGGATCCCGTCCTTTCGCCAAGTGCATGCCCTGTCGCCCGATGGAAGTGGACCAGCGGGAGGGCTTCATCGAGACCCTACAAGCATAACACCTTGAATAGAAAGTGTTTAATCCAACGAGTAGTCCATTTGGCATATTTGACCTCGTACCTATCCTCCCCGCAATCTTTAATAGAAGTATCATCTATTTGTCATGTGCGGGATAGCTTGTGTAGGATTAGCACGAGGGATAAGTCCCAGTAAAGCTCACCCTCGAGGTTAGCGGGCGGGTAGCTAACCACTCTACATCCGTATATGGGCATCCCGACCCAGTATCTGGAAACGCGGGGACTTGATTATAGTTAGAACAAAATGCCGTACATCATCAATGATACCGAAGGAGAAGGGCGTACTCGTGAAAGGAGCAGTTCCCCCGCACTCAGGTCCCTTTGGGCAGTTAACGTACAAGTGAAATAGACACTTTCCTAACGTGATTGTCTTCACGAAGGTCATTTAGCATGGTTTACATCATATGTGCTCTGATGTGGGGAAGGTCGCCTTGTTTCTGGTGTAGTATTGCCTTAAAAGGGTGCCCAAACGACTGAGAAGTATAGGTCCCGTGCGCGCTCAATCAAGCAGGTTGCCTTACAGAGCGAAGTTCCCGTTGAAGTCCCTTCTCTTCTGTCGTTCTCCGGTTGTCTTGTGAGACGCCACATCATACGGCAATTTAGGAGCTTTCAAATTGCCTCAGAAAACCGGACTTGAATGACCTCAATGCTGAGTAGCACTTTCCCAACTTCCCGCACGAGCTGCTAAACAGGGGAAGCTTCCTTGTCTCAACTCTGCGGAAAAACATGCTTGATTCACTGTAACATGGGGCTGAAGGTGGATCAAGACCTCGTTGACAGAGGAGTTCAACTGTCCGACTGCGGGACAGAATCGGAGTGCAACGAGGGGTCGCCTCGTCATGAGGTGCGTCGGCGGCGACAAGTGCCTTTCCGTAAAGGGAAAGTCGGGAACCGTATCTCGCAACCTCGTACCCGCCTGACCCCCTCGGAAGCACGTTGAAGCGCTCGTGGCAGCCTAGCCCTGAGGTCAGGAGGTGTTCCTCTGCGACTTCCCGAGGTGATCGACGGCAGTCTATTTTATGTAAATGGCGGTGAACTTGTGCGGCATTTCACAGAGTACGGGCTTGGAGCGGTGGTTCTCAGAACGGCTGAGGTTCGACCGCACTGCTTTACTTCCATGAAGGAGATATGCCAGCCATATGTAGACAACGGGGTTTCAAACAACGGAATTCGATGCACGAGACACGTTTCGTGAGTAAGCCGCTCTCTATGATGCCGAGGGAGGCGCGGTCAGAGTCTACGCAGGCGGCAGAACCGTGGCATTGCTACCCGGAACTTCAGCGATAAGACGACTATTCATAGCTCGAGGAAAACGCTGAGAGGTATTCAGTTAGTAGACGTCAATGATGATGATGTTTATCCACTATCCTCAAGCAAAAGTAGCCCTGAAACTTCGAGTACCTTAACAACTAACCGGGCCATTGCCTAGCCTCTGCCTATTTCATGTCAGGTTCCTTCCTTGTTTCATTTCCTGCAGTTACACATCGTGGAATAGACTGTGGCGTACTACCAATGATATTCCTCTAACTGCATATGTCAAGGATGATCTCATTACACATTGTTAAACTCCAGTCCTCGGTCGGCCGAAGACTGGGAAGAAAGACACATCCACTTCTCGTTTGTTTAAGGCGATCAGCAGACGCGCCGCAAATCAATGCGGGGGCGGGACTGCCTTTCCAGGTGGGTTCTCCCGTGCAACGCTTATTTCTATTAGAAGCTATATTTGTTCTTCTTTCATATTCGAACCTTCAAGGATTCGCAAGCCCGTCTCATGCTAGCTTCTCCCAAAGGAGGCATCGAATGTTGGACTTTCCTGTGGGAGACTAGCTACTCCGCTAGTTTTCAGAGAGTGATAGAAGCTTTCGTTTAGCATACTGGGCAAGCGCACATTTGGCGAAGATAATGAGCTGAGATGACCGTTTTTACTTCGACTCCACGGAAAATAAAGCACGGCCATACTGGAAGAAGACACACGCGCCACGACGTATCTTGACCTTTTCCAGCGCTTGGCGAGGTCCCATGAAACCACCTGTGATATTGCCCACCAGAGCATAAGTCTCATATTCGAAGAACTTCTCTATGACATAGTGCTGTTAGCTTGATCAAGTGAGTGACTCGTGTACTCATCGATAATGAAAACAGTCCAGGCTTCTGGCGCTCGATCCGAAGATACCACTCGCCCTCGAAAGGCAAAATTCAGACGCTGCATGCGCCATCCACAGATTGCGTCCCAAAGGCTTCAGGTTGAGCGTGGCTGACGTATGGGGCGACAAGATTACACCCTCGAAAAGGTGGGTTGGGGGCATACGATGTCCATTCCAGCACATCACCGGGACAGAGTTATCTTCCTTGTTTTGCATTCCTCTTTCCCCTTGTCTACTTACGTGCATGAAATTCCTGGTTCCTGCAGTCGAGGCCTTCGGACTTTGCCGCTGGGGAGGCTAACTCTCGGTTAAGCGCCCAAATGACGTCATGTCGAACTACAAACGTTTAGCGTCAAGGTGTGGCCAGGGTGGTGACGAAGGCGAAGCCACTCAAAAAGCGCCAGAAATCTCTGGAGTGCCCTGCAGTGCCTTCGAAGAAGGGATGAAGGTCCCTGAGTAGCAAATTGCCTCCGAGGGGCAACAAAGGATGTCAAGGCACAAGTTGATTGGTTTCCTCCAAGTCTAATGCTACGTACTCGTCAGGAAACATACTCGGATAGACTGGAACAATTGTTTTCTGTTTAGTTTTGAATACTCGTCTGTCGTTTGTAAGTATGTAGTCACTGCAGAGCACATGAGTTCCATCAAATTGTCCTTCTATGTATCGGCTGTCACAACGGTGTGTGTTACCTGAGCCTCTGTGTCTGCTGACCAGCCCAAGGCTGGTGCGGATCAGCAACCCGAACCCTTCCATCAGTAGCCGTCAGGTCGGAATGAACTTAACATGGGCAGCTGGGCGGGAGCCTTTCAATCATTCAAATCAAAGAAGGGTTAGCAGTGGATTACTTATTGGTAGTTATCCAATGGCCAAGACGACCTTGGTGTTCCCCACGGTCGAGTAGAAGCGTTCGGCGGCGTGCGCACCTGATCCTCAACGGAGGCCGAACGTAGTAGTGGTAGAAGCCAGAAGCCTCTTTGAACGGTGGGCGGGGCAGAACTTTCCGTGACAGCAGTGGCGAAGTCGAAGTGTCCTTCGAAGCTACCCCGGCAGGGCAATTCTTTATGCTGGAGGGAAGCTCGGAAGAGAGCCACACATACAAAACGGGTCGAAGGCACACACGCAAGCGTTAGATCATCTGGACCCCGATGCACGACAGTACATAGCGATCCTTTAGGGTGAGAGTGACCTCATCCTGCCAGTTGCCTCCCGCGAGACTCTCAGAATAGCTACCTTTACAGCGGTGCTGTGATCGGTTGCGTAGGGGTTCGCGTTGATGTGATACAGTGAATGAGAGTGTCGTTCACAGAAGACTAGCCTGGGGCCAATACGGTGATGGCCTGGAGGGTACGTTGCTAAGTACTATCTCGCGAACACCGAGCACTGCGTTCAGAAGTCAACCTGTAGGAGGCATTTCACCATTCAAAGGCGCCGGAGGCCCGGACTGAGCAATTTGCTCGGGTTTTGTCAGCGCATTCCAGGGACTTATTTCATTTGTTCCTTTGTTTTGGGAGCTGCGCTGATCTTTGCTAAGTGGTTAGAAGGATGGCCCATTATTGGTGACATAAAGGTACCATGAAGCATATGGGAGAGTGTTTTTCAACCCCTTTGAGATGACAACATGAAAGGGCTTCCAAACATCATCCAAACATACTTTTCCATGGATAACCGGGACGTGATCCGTCCTGCGTCCATTGGTCGTTCCATGTTGGTGATAATGTTCCTTTGTACAAAGCAAGGAGAAGTCGAAGAGTCGACGACGTCAACGATGCACTGCAGTCTTTCTTCGAGACGGAGTAACGGAAATGAATTCGTGGGTGCAAGTGGGCGTCCTAAACGTCTGACCTCCCAAACACTTCGAAATGTCACATCGAACCACTGTCGCCCCCGAGCTTCGGAATCTTAGTCTGGATAAATGAATTTCAAATGTGACTTAGCTACTCTCGCAAATGTCGCATATTGGCACATATGATGGATGGCGATGGCGATGGGGTGTTGAGAGGGCATCTTGACTAGGTGATCCATTGCACGCGGCTACGGTCATACTTGAGGCACTGCTCTGACAATGTTTGCCACTGGTCGTCAGCGGCTATTGGCATCCGGCGAGGTCATTACGTTAACCGCGAGCACCAGGAATATATTTCGAGATCATGTCGCGAAAAAATGAAGACCTTTAGACCAAAGGGATCGGAGAAGAAACACAGGACTCAGAGAGACAGTCAGATACATGCTTTCGAACTGCCCCGATGCGATTCAACGCTGATTCCGTGAGAGCAACACCAGCGAACATCATAAGTTTTGGCACGTTCTATAGACTGTTAGGGTGTGGCATCGGCATCTCGCTGACCTCGGAAAAGCACCCTCAATCTAACCAATCAGGGATCGCTGCTCACGGACTTAGCAGAGGATCTTCTTCTCTGCCACTTTGCATTGGCTTGCCACGCGGCGGGGACGGTCCTGCTGAGGGTGCTGACATTGAGATGAGTTGACTGGTCATCTGCCGGCCAGATCATGCTGGTTTGTCAGGCCAGCAGTGTGTTCAGACGCACCCAAGTTGGGGTGAGGGAGGTCATTGGACAGCCTACAGTGACAACGGACCTAAGATCGAGGGTGTTTGGTGCGGCTAAAGGCATATCCTAGTATGAGGGAAAACTATGAGCTGTGTGTGGACGCTGGTCCTGTAGACATCCAGGAACGACCTGCTGGGATGCAAAGGGCCGGAGATCGTGAGTAAGCGGCAATGGCTCCATCCAGGGGAAGAAAGGTTGCGGAATGAACGATTTTGCACATTTCGCAAGGGGTCGCTCCGGACAGCCACGCCATGGCGGCGGTAGATCTTGGTACGATGATCAGTGACATGTTTCAGTGTTGACCAAGACGAGCGGGAAATGTGCCAGGGGGGACGAGAGCGGTCAGTGAGGGTAACGGGCTGAGAACGGTCATGGAGAACCAAACCACCGCAGGGAAGAGAAGGAGGAGCGGATCAAGATTGTCAAACAAAGCGGGTACCAAGACCTCCGCTTCCCATTGCTCGGCCTTGGGCCCCTCGACAAGCGCTAGTTGTCCGAGTCGGTCTGCCCCGATCTTTTTTTACATGTTGGGACGCCACGTCGAAGAGCTCGAGTGTGGATTGCTGCGAATCGTTCTGTCCTCTCACAGGGCTCGAGCCTGCTTACGAGAGTGGAAGCATCTCCTCCAGCTGCAATCACCACGAGTAACACCTAGAAAGCCGCGGGGTTCGGCGAATGTCAAACGAGAAATTATCGCGAGAATGGTGACAGCGGTGAGTTCACGTTGAAGCGCTGAAGTTCTCATGGTTTAGTTAGTTTCCAAGGATCTCTTGCAATGCTGTCTAGACTGGAGAGCACCCTCGGAGTCATCCTGTCATCTCTATTCAGTCATTATTCAGTCAGAAAGTCAAGATCCGGGCGAAGAATCCTCACTTTTGGGGTTGGTTCACCGCACTTGCAGCGCGTTCGATTCTGCTCCATCCAGCCCCTGTCGAAAGATGTCGCGTTCCGATTCCCTCCATGGCTTTCAAAGGCCCGTTCTGACATGTTCGACTAATATCCAGTCGTTAGTATTGTCCCGTAATGATCCTGTGTTCTGCGTGAAGGTATGTCGTCACAGACAAGAAGTGATGTCGACGTTCACGGAAAGCAGGGAACGCGTCTTTCCGCGTCATTGGAATGGACTCATCGAATCACGTGTAGATCCGGAGACAGCCCTGATAACTCGGAATCCATCGATTCCAGGTTTATCATCTACCACTACATACCCAACTGCTACAATGGTGAAGGCTGTCGTTCTCGGAGCTGCTGGTAAGACATTTTTCGTCGTTGTTGTCACAGAGAACTGACGCGTTGCAGGCGGTATCGGCCAACCTTTGGCCCTCTTGTTGAAGAACAACCCCCTTGTCACTCAGGTGAACTGCACAGTTGAAAACATCCGAGTCGAGAGGAACTGACGGTGCTCGATTAGCTTGGCCTCTACGATATCGTCAACACACCAGGCGTTGCTGCCGATCTTTCTCATATATCGACCCCTGCAAAGGTTGAGGGCTACCTCCCAGCTGATGATGGTCTCACCAAGACCTTGACTGGAGCTGAAGTGATCCTCATCCCTGCTGGTGTTCCCCGCAAGCCAGGAGTAAGTTTCAGATTATGATTCTGTATTAGACGATGTCCTGACTCTTTCCCTAGATGACCAGGTACGTCGACTCGATCAGGAAATGATCGTTCCCTATTTATATATCTCCGCCATACAGAGACGACCTTTTCAAGGTAATTTATGACGTCGGATTGGATTCTCTTCCCTGCTAACATATACTCTAGATCAACGCTGGCATCGTCAAGGATCTTGCTACGGCTATCGCGAAGACCGCTCCCAAAGCTTTCGTCTTGGTCATCTCGAATCCTGTCAACTCCACCGTCCCCATTGTTGCCGAGGTCTTCAAGAAGCACGGCGTCTTCGACCCCAAGCGGCAAGTCCAACCCTACTTATACACCAAGCCCGTGTCCTGATCTATCCCTCAGCCTCTTCGGTGTCACCACCCTCGACGTTGTCCGAGCATCCACCTTCGTCTCTGAGATCCTCGGTGATCTCTCCCTCTCCAAGGACGTCGTTGTCCCCGTCGTTGGTGGCCACTCTGGCGTCACCGTAAGTCTCCGCATTTCTTCCTCGCGGCTCTCGCTGAAGATCCGCCTCTAGATCGTTCCTCTTCTTTCCCAATCGACCCACCCTCTTCCCTCCAGCCTCGCCAAGACTGACTATGACGCACTCGTCAACCGAATCCAATTCGGCGGTGACGAAGTCGTCAAAGCCAAGAACGGAGGCGGATCCGCCACGCTTTCCATGGCCTACGCTGGCGCAGAGTTCGCTTTCAAGGTAATCCGTGCTTTGAAGGGCGAGAAGGGTCTCGTCGCACCCAGCTATGTCAGCCTCGAAGCCGATCCTTCTGGCGCGGCTGAGCTTACCAAGGAGCTTGGTCAAGAGCTCGCCTACTTCTCTTCGAATATCGAGCTTGGCGTAAGTACAGTCCAACTGGTTATACAATAATCGCTGTTGACCCTTCCATTGCCATAGACCGATGGTGTTGCTAAGATCTCGCCGCTCGGAACTCTCACCGATGCTGAGAAGGCTCTCGTCTCCGCTGCTGTTCCAGAGCTCGCCAAGAACATCCAAACTGTGAGTTGCTAGCCTAGCCCTCGTCGGCTATTGTCTGCTGACCCATGTTCAGGGTATCAACTTCGTTGCTGAGGCTTCCCGATTGTGAAGATGAGAGATGTGCTTAGAGAAGACGCCTAACGTTATTAGAATATTCATGAAAGGTTGAAAACAAGCTGTACTTCTAGGAGAATAAAGGTGACCACGGACTAATAAACTTTGTACTACTGCTGTGCTTGAACAACTCGCGACGATCTGTGTGAAGTGGGAAGCGCCGTAGGAAGGACCCGATGTCCGCTCATTCGTGGCGACGTTTGGCTTTTTGACTCGGGAGGTACTTAGTTTTCCTCATTTCCGTCCGCCAGCCATCGCCATCTTGTTCACACAAAGATTGGTTGCAGCAACCCAATCACCCAATCTTGAACTGTCTGAAGTATCCAGCAAAACGGCGGGAAGACGCATATCTATTCAATTACAACATTGGAATCCCCGTTTTGTCGCCAACAAACGTGTTGACACCAGGTCCGCCAGTTGGGTGGTAAATGAGGATAAGTCCCTTCGGATTCTTTCTGATGTTGGTACCGATACATTCGGCGCCTTCTGAAGCTGTAGAGGGGACTTAGCTATGTCGTTCTCGTTTGCCCGTTTGATGTTGGTCGCCGTTGACGTCGTATCAGCCTTGAACGTTATCGATGGGCTTCTTGTGACCTGTCGCGTGGTGGTGGTAGCCTCGAGGCGCCCGTGTACTGACTGTGAACACGACAATAATGAAGATTGAAGTTGTGTGCAGACAATTTTTATCTAGATCTGCCAGTACTAGAGCGATGGTTCATATCTGAGTAATAAGAGCATCCCTTCGCTGTCTTATCGCACCGGCGGTGGAACCCTGCAGGTATTATGGCATGGCATGTTCCACTATCACGAATAGGCGCGCAGGACCCCATCGCATCTTTCGACGAATGCAGACCCCAGCAAGGGTACTATTCCTCACTCCATTTCTCCCAGTCGATCCACGCCGTCTAATGTCTTCAGACCGCTGAGGTGCTCATCGGCCGGATTGAGGGCCCGTGAAAATGACTCGACATGATACATTCCACCCAGACATTCGATTTTTCTCATCGACCTCGTGTCAATGGAGAGCACCCTGGAGCAACCCAGTCGACCAGATGGAAGGTATGTCCCTTCGCAGCCCAAAGGTCCCCAACCGGACGAAAGCTTGGATGATGGATCTCCGTATGTATAAGGGCGAAGTGATCATTCCCCGACAACCCGACGAAACGAACTCAGGTTCCAGGACCGACGGGTGGACGCGTCATTCGTACGGTCGGCGCTTATTTCGGAGATGGACCGATCTGGGAGGTCCGGGAGAGTGGTGCATTGGTTGATCAACGTGAGGAATCCAGTAGTCTGTGACCGCACCTGTGTTACCTCGAATATTTCTTAGTACTGACACAGGTAGTGAGTGACCTGATGCGCGATCTCTATGTTCGGTGTTTTGGGATGCAAGAAGACTTCGCGAATTCGAAGGCCCAGGTAACAGGGCAACTGGCAGCCTCAGGCTGGGCGTCTATCATCTCTCATCATGATGAGGCCTACACGCTACGCCCCGCACAAAGGCAGATTTCTTTCTCCAAGCTCAGAGCTCTCTGTCGGGCTTTCCCACTCCGATTGCGACAACAAGATGAACTTCCCAGAACGACCACTCACCGTCCCCAAGTACGATCAATAATTGATGGTATGCATCGCGGCCTCTGTAGCGATAACATTTTCATTCCATCCAGCACCGTACAACGTGAGACAACGTGCGCCTCTCGCGGTCTCGCCTTCAAAAACGTTGAGAGGGAGCATGTGCCATTTGCACAAGAATCTACTCTGGGTACACATAGAATAACCTAGGTCCAGTCCATGACACTGTCTGATTCGACGTTGGCATCCACGTTCATCGGAAATTCACCGTCGGAACCACGGCCCTCATTGAAAGGTTTTCTCCCTTAAGCTCCTGGTTTAGCGCCTTACATCCTTCTTTCTACCGCATTGTAAGACCGAGTTGACTGAATGCGTCAAGGCCGATCCCCAAATTCAGTCAAAATCCGGCCGACATGACTCGACGATGGCTCCGAGGTTGGATGTCGGACAATACGTGGACAACGGAGGGTTTCAGTGTTTCCCCATCGTCCGGAGGCTAGAAGCCGTGCGGTACGAGTTGACTTGGAAGAAAATCTAAGGCGAGATGCGATATCAAGCAAAGTCCATTCACTACAAATTACAGAATAAACACACAACTATAGGTGTACAAGTTGCAATTTTACTACTTCTTCCTCACATCCAAACGCGTTTAGACACCAGCCTCCTTGTCCTTGGCAGCGGCGTAGGTGATCAAGTCGCAGACACGGCGGGAGTAGCCCCACTCGTTGTCGTACCAGGCGATGAGCTTGACGAAGGTGTCGCTCAATTGGATACCAGCCTTAGCGTCGAAGATGGAGGAGGCGGTGTGGCCGATGAAGTCAGTGGAGACGAGAGCGTCCTCGGTGTACTCGAGGATACCCTTGTACTCGCCCTCGGAGGCGGCCTTGACGGCAGCCTTGATTTCGTCGTACTTGGCGGGCTTCTCGAGGCGGACGACGAGATCGACAACGGAGACGTCGAGGGTGGGGACACGGAAGGCCATACCACTTTGGAGAATCGTTAGCTATTCTGGATGTGGGGTAAATGGGAAGATACATACGTGAGCTTGCCGTTGAGCGAGGGGATAACCTTGCCGACAGCCTTGGCAGCGCCAGTGGAGGAGGGGATGATGTTGTTGTTGACGGAGCGACCACCACGCCAGTCCTTGGCGGAAGGACCGTCGACGGTCTTCTGGGTAGCGGTGGTGGCGTGGACGGTGGTCATCAAGCCCTCGAGGATACCAAACTTGTCATGGATGACCTTGGCGAGGGGAGCAAGGCAGTTGGTGGTGCAGGATGCGTTGGAGATCTGGGAGAAATGTGGGATCAACGGACTTGATTCCGAGATAGCAAGTGGCGGAGATATGACGTACGACTTTGTGGCTGGGGTCGTACTTGTCGAGGTTGACACCGACGACGAACATGGGAGCATCGGCCGAGGGGGCAGAGATGATAACCTTCTTGGCACCGCCCTTCAAGTGAGCAGAGGCCCTAGTTGGCGATAACTTTAGTCAGATGCGGTATTTTTCAGAAGGAACAGTAAGCCGTACTTGTCGATGGTGGTGAAGACACCCTGGAAGTCATATTAGATGATTGGAATCTCTACCGGATGGCAACGAGACTTACGGTGGACTCGACGATGTACTCAGCACCGGCGCTGGCCCAGTTGATGTTGGCGGGGTCGCGCTCAGCGAAGACGATGACATCCTTGCCGTTGATGACGAGCTTGCCATCCTTGGCCTCAATGGTGCCCTTGAATCGTCCGTGGACGGAGTCGTACTTGAACATGTAGACCTGGGGAGATCGTCATTTCAATCGGGTTGTTTTTTTCGGTATGGCTATATCGACAAACCATATAGTCGAGGTCAATGAAGGGGCTATAAATACGGGATCAGAATAGATCATATTGACGTCAGGTGAAAGGGACGCACTCGTTGACGGCGACGACCTCAATGTCCTGCTTCTCAAGAGCATTACGGAGGACAATGCGGCCGATACGACCTTGAAAGAGGTTAGGACATTTACTGAGACCCTGGATAGTTTTTACTTACCGAAACTGAATGGCGCAAAGACGCATCGTTCAGCATTGACAAAAGAGCAGAACGCAGGACCCGAAGCTTACCCGTTGATACCGACTTTGACGACCTGCAGAAATGTTAGATAAGGGATATCAGGATCGGGAGGGGACGTACCATTGTGATGTATGTGGTGGATTGGGTGATGAAAGGTGAGGTTGAGAGAAAAGCGCAGTTGGCCTTTTAAAGGGTGCCAAGTTATCTATCGATGACCTAGATCAACATATGCTAATCAGCGAATCGCAATCGGCCGAGAGCCTGAGCGCACTGGAAGGCACTGGCCACCGTCCAATTGCATCACTTCTTTCCTCATTTATCAAATCACTCTCTCTTCGATTCTCGATTCCCTTCCCACCTCGCAGAATTTCTTCAAAAATCAGCCCTATGTCGCCCTCTTCTCCCTTTGTCTACACCAGTCCAGAGGTTCTTTTTGTGCATTCGATTCCAATGGAACATCGTAGAACTTGATGTCACCGCTGCTTCATTGGGGACAAGGCGCTGATGCGGTGATGATGCCGCCCCTGTTTGGTTCCTGTTTGGCCTGACGCGCCCGCCCCTGCATCCGGACGGCCAAACTCGGTTGCCCCTAACTTCCACAAAACGATGAACTTGGTTCCGAAAATCAACGAACACAGGTGTATTCAACTGGGAACGGGTAAGTTACTCACAGTTGCACTATGATCCTTCCGGTGTCCAATGAGAAGGGGGATACGAGGGATAAGAAAGTCAATTCAAATCATGGTACGCATGCTGCTTTACATTCCAGTGGTGATTTACAACTTCATACCAGCTTCTGCATCCTTCTTGGACATATAGACAATCAAGTCACAGACGCGGCGAGAATACCCGTATTCGTTGTCGTACCAAGCGATAAGCTTGACAAAGTTGGGAGACAACATGATTCCAGCACGACTGTCGAAGATAGACGACCAAGTGGAAGTAATGAAATCTGTGGAGACGACCTGGTCATCAGTGTAGCCCATGATTCCCTTGTAGTCGGGGCTCTGGGCGGCCGCCTTCATGGTCTTGCAAATGTCCTCATAAGTCGCTCCTTTTTCGAGGCGGACGACGAGATCGACGACGGACACGTCCAAAGTGGGAACGCGGAACGCCATTCCCCTGCAATGCTCCGTCAGATCTCGAGACGCCCCGGAAGCAAAAGTCACGGTAGAACAACGTACGTGAGTTTACCGTTCAAGGACGGAATGACCTTTCCGACTGCCTTGGCGGCTCCAGTCGAGGATGGAATGATGTTGTTGCCGACACTTCGACCACCGCGCCAGTCCTTGTGCGAAGGTCCGTCCACCGTGCGTTGGGTTGCTGTCGTCGCATGCACGGTGGTCATTAGTCCCTCCGCGATGCCGTATTTGTCGTGGATGATTTTGGCCAAAGGTGCGAGGCAGTTTGTCGTACACGAGGCGTTGGAGACCTGACTGGGGTTAGAACAGGTCGCCACAAGCTGCGCATTGCACTTACCACCGCATGGTTGGGATCATACTTGTCCAGATTGACACCGCAGACATACATGGGTGCATCAGGAGAGGGTGCACTGATGACCACCTTTTTAGCACCACCCTTCAGATGCGCAGATGCCCTACGGAAGGGTCAATCCCAGCTTACGACGTCTTTTGAAGTCCACTTACTTGTCGGCATGAGTGAAGACACCCTGTGACAATACCCAATCAACCCGGGTACAACCTCACTGGCATGCAACTCACCGTAGATTCGACGATGTAGTGTGCAGAACACTTGGCCCAAGGAATGGCGGCGGGATCCTTCTCGTTGAAGACGGCGATATGCATGCCGTTCACCACCAGCTTCCCGTCCTTGGATTCGACGGTTCCTTTGAATACGCCGTGGACGGAGTCGTATTTGAACATGTAGACCTGGTGCACAAGTCAGGTTCATGCCAGTACGCAGGGGGCCGGAGGGGAAGGCTCACCATATAATCCAGGTCGATGAAGGGGCTGGGAGAATGGAGAGGCCGCGTGAGGAGGTGGCTATTACTGCTAGGGAAGGGAGGCGTACTCGTTAACTGCGACGACGTTGAAGTCCTTCATTTCGAGGGCATTCCTAAGAACGATGCGGCCGATACGACCTGGGAAGGATGAACATCGCTGACTGGAAGAGATGCATCAGAAGTTCTCACCGAAGCTGGAGACGGTAGGCATTCATTGTGAGCTTCAGTCTCACATGCATAGGGATGCACTAACCCATTAATTCCTACGTTGACCTGGGGTCTCCACAGGTTCAGGTTTCCAATGACAAACACAACTTCATCACGATTCCACCCACCATTTTGATGATAGCTCAGGCAGTGGTGTTTCTTGGTGAGGAAGAGGAGGAAGGTCGGCCGACTCTGAGACATGGTTGACGAGGTATAAGTATGCCTTTCTGAAAGGTGATCGTAGACATTGGCGTCATACGATCAGACAACTGGTTTAGAAAACTACTAGCCGCTTCGGAGGATGGGTATTGCAATCTGGGTTGTGGTCTGGACTAGCCAGGGGTGGTTGGTTTGCCTTTCAATGTCTTTTCGGCTTTGAACTGGCGTTGGCCGCGTGGATATGGTCAGTATCGTGATGATTAATATTGCAAGGTTATCTGTGAAGTTCGAATTCGAAGGACTTGGTATTTAAATCCCAACGTCCATAGGGCGCTCAAGCGCCTATTGATAAGCGCTGTACCACTTTCTGGATTGATGGGACGGCTATATTCACGAAACTGACCAGTCTCTAATTCAAAAACTCACCGTTGAGTAAATCCTGTACCAGAATCACCTTTCTACCTTCTCAACCATTCCTCAGCATTCAGCAGCTGGGAGATTCGAACAGCGACCGACTGTATTTGGGTTCAGCTTTAGGAACAAACACAAGCATCACGTGCGAGAATTTTCAGGACAGGCGCCAATTGAGTCTCGCAAAAGCCTCCGCGTTTTCTCATCCTCTCCTCTATTTTCTCTTCATGAAATCTGGGGTTTCTGGTAGATAATGTCCAGTCTACAGGCCCAGTTATCCAAAAATGCGTCGCTGAACGCAGCACTCTACGTCGATCGCGCTCGACGAAAACCACAAGCATCGTATTTATTCACCGGACGGGATGCCGACAAGTACGACCTCGAGACGATCCATGCTCTAGGCGTGAATGCATTTTTGCAACTTGCGAGTGTGTGCCCGGCGTTGGAGAAATATGAAGATGCGTTGTTCTCGGACAGGGCGAGGAATACGGACAGGACGTTGCTTAGTCCTGATGCGGTGGAGGAGTTGAATAGGGCTATTGGGGAGTTTTTGGTTAGGTTGGGTCCGTATTTGTTGGAGGCGCCTACAGGGAAGGCGATTGAGTGGTTGGTGAAGAGATTTAGGTGGGTTGTTATCTGTTTTGTGTTTGATGAGGCTGCTGAATTGGCCATAGAATTCACGAATTCAACATCGACTCCCTAGTATCGCTTTTCCTGCCCTACCACGAGACACCCCATTTTACCAAGATTATCTCCATCCTGGACCTCAAGTACGTTCCTTCTGTATGTAAAGGGACAAAACTGATGGTGCTTCAGACCCAATACGCTATGGAGCTTCCTCATCCCATATAAATCCGCCGCCCAAAACATCCAACGCGTCTCTCTGGTCTCTGAGATGATTAAAAACGTCGACGTTGCGCGATTCGTCACATCTCTACTCCCTTACGCCATCAAAGGCGGCTATGCCCACCGCACGCTATTGTCGTTCAACGCTGCGACCGTTCACGAGTTTATCAAGCGGAGCAACAGACTGAGTGAAGGCGTTGTAGCGTTCCTTCTGCCTGCACTGTTGGAGCCATTGCAGCAAAAGTCGGAGACACCTTCCAAGGATGCTATCGTGAGTGTTCGCAGCTGACCTCAATTGACCCTGTCTAAAAGTTGTCAATAGCTTGGAAGCTATATCTTGTTAGCTACCCTCTCTCAAAAATGCGGACTTGCGCCTCCTGCGTTGAAGGTCATCATTGGAGCGTTGGCTTCGAGTGCCCGACATGTGTCCGCCAAACAGTTCGTTAGCGCTGCCCTTGCAGTCTGCCAACCTCAGACAGATTTGGAGAAGGTGTCAGAATCGACTGTGAACGCCATGCTGAAGTTGAGGTATGGTCCCATCGGAGAGTATTGTACAACTGAGCTGAGACGCTTTGCAGGGGCATCAACGAGGAGATAACTGCTGCATGCAAATGGCATGGTAGCGAGAAGCTGCTTCTGCCTATCGTGACCAAGGTCGTCCCGAAGTTGACGGATCCCAACATCGCCGAATTCCTCGAAAACCTTGTCTCCTCGCCCACCGTGCCGGAGCCCGTCCTCATGCGACTGACCTCCCTGCTCGTTAAGACCGCCAGTTCAAATGAATCATCGCTTTCTGAGCGCAAGATGCTCGGGACACTTCAGCAGCGACATCCAGCTGTAGTTCAGAAGGTTACCAAGGAACTTATTGACGAGGATGATGATTCGAAGGACACCATTGAGCAGTTGATCCTCTCGCTCTCTGTGGTACGTCTCTGAACTCTTTGACTTTTGGTAATGGTAGTGACCTACTGGTGTATTACAGACTCAAAACATCCCCGCCTCGAAGACAACTCCCGGCCTGGACGTTATCATTGCTTCGACTCACGCCGACGCGAATGTTCGCGAAATCGCTGTCAAGAAACTCTTGGCTGCTTTGTCTGGTGCGGATGATGTGGTACGCATAGCCCTTCTTTCTTCCGGAGAGAATGTCTAAATCCGTGTTTTCCAGGATTCTGTTCGCAGCGCTCTTCTTGCACGTCTCTTTGACGACAATGTCGGCGTGTTGGAGTCTCTCTACTCCAATCCAACCGTTCTCGCTCAGAGCTTCCTCGCCATCGCCTCCGAATACGTCGACACCCTTTCAAAAGCCATCGCGTCGCCCGGTGCCAAACCCAAACGTGCCGTCTTACGCCTCCATCTCGGATTCCTCAGCGACCACATCCTCGCGACCTTGGACTCGGAACAGCAGACGCAAATATTCGAAAGGATCTTCTTCCCATTCTTGCTATTCTCCAAGCCTCGACAACATACTGCAGAGTTGATTTGGGACCTGATCGCAGAGAAACATGCGGGTACCTTTGAGTTGTTGAAGGGGGCGGCTGATATTTGGGCTAAGCAAAAGGCGTCGGAGCGGGGCATTGAAGAGATGGTTGAGTTGAATAGTGGTATTGCTGAGAAGATTGCTGGTATGCCTCTTCTTCCTGCCTGGAGGTTGTGCCTAGTGCTCAGACTTTATTTTGTAGATAACATCATTCGATCCGACGATTTCTCAAAGCATCTGGAGGACGTAGTAGGCAGGCTCAACGATGACAACTCGTGGTCCCGATCGCTTGCTTTCCTCGTCGTCCGTGCCCTGCTGGAGAACCTCTCCGACTCCCATCAACATCAAGCTGGCAAAGCCGTCCTGGAGGCTTTGAACCTCGAGACGCTCCCTTCAATCGAGGACCTCTCGGAAGACCAATCCTTTGAGGAGGTGCGTTTATCTTGGATTTTTATCTGGAATCACTGCTGACTTCGAGGGGCAGGCGGTCAGAGGAGATGTGATTGGGAGATATGTCGTCGCGAAACCCAACAGCAAAACTACTTTGGGCTGGCTGCAGGTCTCAGGTTTGGCAGCTGTGGCCAAGATCCCTAAACCTTTGAACAAGTCTGTTGATTGGTTCAAGGCTGTGGAGAAGGCATGTCTACTCAAGTATATCCTATAGGCCTGTGTTGACTGCGTTTGCATACAGGCGTCGGCCGAGGGCCCTGCTACATATATCTCGTCATGCAGAAAATTGTACAAACTTGCCAATTCCTCCGGATCACTCCCCGCTATGTCTATGGGTCTCCTTCAGGCTCTCTTCAACAGTCTTGGCGGCGATGCTCTCGTTTTCCTCGCGGGCATTTGGACGATATCGGACGACGAGCTTATCCCCCTTCAGGGACTTGCTCTTTTGCACGCTACGGCTTTCTTAGAGGCACATGCTCAAGAACAGGATGAACTTGATTTCCAAACCATCCTGCCTGCTCTACTGGTAGCGTTGCAGAACCCTGTTGCTCAATGCAGAGCGGCGTCCTTGGAGTGTGTTGCGAGGTTGCGGATTATCGCTGGTGGCAACTTGAGCCACGTATACAAGTTCGACGTTGTCTATGGCCCGCAGAATCGTACGTCCTATTTTTCTGTATGGATTGTTATGTAAGTTGACGTCGGAAATAGAGGAACTGCAGTACTTGGACAAGGACGATTTGGTGCGGTACCTTGACGCACTGCTGGAGCATAAAGATCACTTCCATGGGGATGCTGGGTATCTTGCTTTGTTCCATGGGCAATACCTCGTCAAGAACGCAGGTGACAGGAAGCGTGATTCCGAGTGAGCATTACATCCTGCCTACCGCATCCACCTTAATCTGACTGAGTTTTCTAGATATCGCAAGCGAGTTCTTTGCTACCTCTTGTCGCATATCAACGCGGTCTCGTCCCCTGACGTTCGGGTCTCGCTCTTGCGGTCTGTGCAATCTGTCCAGGACAAAGCTAAGCTGCAGTTGTTGCTGCCCACCATCCAGTCCCTCCTTGTTCCCGGTGGAGTTTACAGCGAGGAATTGGCGTCTTCACTTGTGTCGAGCTTCAATTCTTCCACTTCCAGGGATCTTAACGACACTGCTAAGCCATATTGGAAGGTGTTCACTGATGTCCTCAGGAAGTATTTGCCCTTGGGTATGTCGCATCCGCGGATATCACCATTCACGATGAGTGTTAATAGGCCGATTCCAGGACCCACGAACCCCATTTCCGGTGTTTTGGCGGCTGGTTTACTTCAGGGCCTGTTTGAGAAACTGGATCAACAGAGGAAGATCGAGCTCTGTGATGTCTTGCTCGAGATTTGCTCAGATCATGTTGAATCGGTGAGTCAATTGGCGACCCTTTGGTTCGATCTGAAGACTTACTTTCGCATAGCATATCGTCTGCAAGGAGCTGCTATCGACTGTGCTGAAGGACATTCCTGTCACCGTGGCTCTCCTCAATTCCCTGTCTCCCAGCAACAAAGCAACTGATAGGGCTATCAAGAGGGCAAAGACTAATGAGTGAGTGTCTGTCGGATATGCGCCTTTTCTTCACTACTGACCTGAGTATGAATTTCAGACCCGAGCAACCCAATATCTCCAAACTTACCTTCTTTGCGGAAGCTCTCACCACCCAAACACTGCCGGGCTCTGTCGATCTTATTTCCCACTTGTTGCAAGCTTTGAGCAGTGTCGTTCAAGCCTTGTCTGCTGCACAGGCCGATGTGAATTACACTGAGCAGTTGCTCATGTCGGCGATTGATAGCGCTGCCAGCCAGGTCAAGGTAACCAATCTTGCTCGTGTCTCCGTGGCCTAGTCGCTGATTGGTTTCAGGAGCTACCCAACATCTCACCTAGTGCCATTCGTCTGGATGTCCTTGTAGAGCTAATTCGAGGTGCGTCGTATCACGACTGTGATTGCAGATCATACTGACCCTGTGTCTTATGTAGTGACGGACAACCCACAGACTTTCCATCAAGCCCTTATTCTGATGTCAAACTTGACCCGCCTTGCACCGGACTCTGTCCTTCACAACATCATGCCCGTTTTCACCTTCATGGGTTCCAATGTCTTCCATCGGGACGATGCTTCCAGCTTCAACGTCGTACAAAAGGCAAGTAAACTTCCGACCGCCAGCCTACGGTGTCTAGACTGACTGCTCGTCACCCACAGACCATCGATGGAATTGTGCCTGTCATGGTTTCGTCGCTGAAGAAATCGGCGACCAGTCCCTTGCAACTTGCTATCGAAGCCAAAGACTTCCTCCACATCTTCACTGATGCAGCTAACCACATCCCTCGCCACCGCCGAACCAAGTATGTGTTGAAGTTAGTCATAAGTTATGAGGTGCTGACGAGGTTATCAGATTCTTCTCGCACCTTGTCACGGTTCTTGGACCGCAGGATTTCCTAGCTGCTGTCTGCATGCTCCTGGCTGAGAAGTTGGTCAATAAAGCCGTCCGACAGACGGAGGATGATGCCAGAACCTCGCTCTCATTGCCCATTTCTCTCCTCAGCGGTACCCCGCTCCCAACTAGGATTCAGGTACGCGTTTCGTCTCTGACCGCAAATGTTGATGCTAATGCAATGGTAAAGGCCATCGTCGCCATCCTCGAAGAGGTGGAAAGGCTTTCAACGCGTGTTGTCGATCCTTCCCAAGCCAGCCCTACGTTCTTGTCTGCCCCGAGGTAGTTTTACAGTCCCTCCCCTAAGCGTGTACTACTGACCTTCCAACCCAATGCAGTGACAGCGACCAGGGTTCTTCGTCCGTGGTCTACAGGCGAAGGGCTCAAGCTCTGCTCATCCTGGTCGGCCTCTCCTTCGATACACCCTTGCTGTCCGCGGAGGACGTACCTCTGGATCAGGTCGTCGCCAAAATGATTACATTGTCGACGCCGCCGCAAGCACTGGACGGAGCAGACAAGCTTCGGGACGTGTCGCTGGCCTCTCAGAAGGCCCTTGGTCAGTTCTTGTCTGTGATGCCGGCAAAGGCCTTCCTTTCTGCCATTGCATCGATTTTGCAAACCGATGACACTAGGGTGAGTGTGGTCGACAAACTCCTAACCACGTCTATTCAATGTTTCCATCCTGTAGGTTCAAGTCGCGAGCTTAGACCTGCTCAGCCAACGTGTTCCCGACTTGTCCGCCAAAGCAAGACAAGATTCAGCGGCAACTATTGTGCAAATCTTTGGTCACCTCAAGAGACTCATCCCAAGGGAATCTGACGCTGTTGCCGTTTCTGCTGCCGCATTACGGGCTTTGACTGCGCTAGCTTCTACTTTGGAGCCTCAAGAGCATGGTTCAGCCGCAGAACTCGTTCCCTTTGCATTGAAAGCAACTGCTAATCAGGAGATTGTCGTCGATGCCTGGCAATCATTGTTACCTATGTCGTACGTCCACAGACCAGTTTATCACTGTTTGTTGCTCAAACAGCAACTTTGTCAGTCGCAACCTTGGCCCAAGGATTATCCCCCATTTCCGTTCCATTGTCCAGGCAAGCATCGGCGATCTTGGGACTTCCGACCATCGTAAGCATCGATAAATTCCTTCGCCTCCGTCCGCAAACTTACCCCTTGCCAGCCGCTGTGCCCGTGATTCAGTCGACACTTCAGGGATTGCTGGCATCTATTCCTACCTTCTGGGCCGCTCCCGAAGTGCTCTCACTGTTCACGCTTTATATCGATCAGAGCATCGACCCTGCTGCTGGATCGTTGTTGAACCTTATCAAATCTGTCACCAAGCGTGTTCCTGCCAAAATTCTGCTTCCCACTCTATTGGACATGTGGCCTCCCGTGCAGAATCCTCTCAACTTAGTAAGAGAAGATATTTTTGCGCTGCAGGATTTCGACTGAATGATATAACCAGGACCGCATGGCAGCCTACTTCGAGCTCGTCTTCCGCTCCCTCCACAACGCCGACCGAGCAGCCGTTCTGGAGCACCTTCGTCCTGTATTCAAGTTATTCTTGGAGGCACTTGGTTACGCTGTACCTGACCATAAGGTGCGTCGTGAGCTTGTATGAGCTTGTCGGATAGCACGCAGAACGACTGAACCCGTTGCCTCTAGCTGGAAGCGAATATTATTTCCGCGTTCAGAGAACTGGTGGTCAAACTGAACGAGACAGCCTTCAGGCCCTTGTTCCGTCGTCTATACGACTGGGCCTTCGCTGCCGACAAAGGTGCGCACGCTGGCTGTAGAAAGAACTCGATGGTCAGCTGACACCCTCCGTTCAGACGACTCGTCTCGCAAGATCGTTTTCATCCACCTGTACCTAGGGCTACAGGACTATTTCAAGGGCCTGATGAGCCCCTACATGTCCTTCCTGCTTCAGCCCTTCGAAGAAACTCTCAAAGGCTACTCTTCGGCTACTCACGGAGACCAGAGTCTCTGGACTGCGACCATCTCAAGTTTGCACAAGGCGCTTACTCACGACGACGGCGGTACGTCCTCATGTTCTGAATGATGCCCATGCGATCCTCAACCATATTCTACAAGGATTCTGGCGCAATGACAAGCTCCGCCAAATCTCCAATACCCTGGCGCAACAAGTTGCGACCGCCATCAACCTCGGTTTTGGTGACGGAAAGGATTTGTTGCGCGATTGCTTGATTGCCCTGGTCGAAGCAACGAATGATGACACCCTTCTCAAGTTAATCAATCTGAACATTTTGATGCACACTCGTTCAGAGGACGCAAGATTGCGCCTATACGCTCTCAACTGCTCTGTGTCCATCTGGCAAGCGTGTGGAGTCAAACTTCTTGGTGAGTAGTAGTTCTGTCGTATGCCATTGGAGTGCGGTGAAACTAAACATGGTACGGTATTAGGTTTCGTGGCAGAGACAGCAACATTCATCGCTGAGTGCAGTGAAGATGAAAACGATATGGTTGTCAAGGAGTCCTTAAGGCTGAAACATGCGGTAGAAAATGTAGCTGGAAAGATCGAGGAACTGTGAATCCGGTCGCCGCGGTAACAACAACAACAACACGTTTGAACAACAAAATGGGTAAATAGATAAACGCATAAATGAAAATAATATGCCCCCAAAATCAAGATGGTCGAATGCGAAGAACAGAAAGAAGACGGTGAATGGGTGTATGTATATCGATCAGTATTCCAGATGCAAAACAGTGAAAAAAGGATGAATATCAATAGAAGAAGCATTTACTCGAAAGCAGACTCGATGGCTATGCACTGAGACAAAAGTTGGACGATGACCGCTCGTCCGCAAGCGTTCTTGACGAAAGGTGTCTGGAGATTGATGTGAGTTACAGAAACACGGACAAGGTCAATGAAGATGCCTACCTTCAAGAGCTCCCCAGCCGTAGGACGACTTGCAGCAGGTTCAGAGCAGAGCCGGAGGAACTCGTGGAAAGCGGGTGAGACCAGCTGGGGTCTAGAGAGTGGTGGCCAGCGATCTCCAAACTCGTTAGTGTCGGCAAAAGGTGGTTGCGTTTCGGCCATCTCCCAGACGGTGGCCCCCAGAGACCAAACATCGACCTTCATAGCATTGTACGGTGGGCTGAAAGGAATGTTAGCAAACCTCAGGACATCGGGAAGTGATAATACAAAGCATGACTGACCTTCTTACTTCTGGAGCCTGCCAGTACAGCACACCAGCCGGCTCTGTCCGCATTGGATTTTGAGCAGACACTTGCACAGCATTCGCAAAGTCGGCTGGAAACACGCACTTAGATGAACTAGTTTGAATGAACGAAGATCGAAGTTGCTTACTTAGTTTCAGAACCCCATGCTTGTTTATCAGCAAGTTATCCGATCGCACGTCGCGATGGGCAATGTGATGTCGTTGTAGATAATCGAGGCCGCTCAAGATCTACAAGACGAGAGCACAAAGTCAGCACAAAGAGGGGCAGGAAGAACGCAAAAAGGAAGGACATACATCACTGGCAAACCTGGCCATCATCCGATCCGGCAGCATCAACCCAGCATCCACAAGACCAATAATATCCGCCAGACTCCTTTCCATTAGTTCCATCCTTATCCACAGGGTATCTTCTAAGAAATCGACATAGAGAGAATCTAGACCGATGACGTTTTCGTGGTGCAACCCCTTCATGAGACCAAGCTCGTGCTGTAGGTCCTTGAGTTTGGGCGACCCTGAGGGCACAATCGCCACACTCTTGATAGCCACTAACACTTCCCGGTTGTTGGCAAAGTCGTCTGCGTCCTGAGCCTTGACGTGCGCAGGTAGCCGGAGTTTGTCTGCGTCTTTCTGGATAAGTCGGGCAGAGAAGACGGAGCCGCTTTCGCCTTCTGCGATTTCTTTCAGGTCTAGGTAATGGTCCCGAGGATCGACGCCTTCGTCGATGTATTCTTCTAGTGGTTGGACGACTTCGGATAGCCAACCTCGGTAGCGTTGGAAGGGAGAGGCTGGTGTGCCGGTGGGAAGAGCTGTGGAGAGCGCTCCGCCCGGTGAGACGTTCTCGATGACGATTGTCGGTCGGTTGGCCTGAGGAGATGGGGCGGTGATGATTTGGTGCGGAATAATGAGGTTGGTTCCCTCCTCGTCGTCCTCGTCGAGATCTTCGTCGATGTCATACGCCGGTGGGACGTTAGGATACTCCTTGTGGCGTGCTACTACCGGCGAGAACGATGCTTGCGAAGGAGATGGTGAAGGTTCCAGGTAGTAACGGAGGGGAGAAGACGTTGAGTTGGCCGTCGTCGGTGTAGGGTAACGATCCTGCGATTGGGAACTTGATGCAGAGCTTTCTTCGCTGTCGAATGAAGAGTTCGGAGGAGATGGTGAATGACCAGCATCGATAGGAGCTGGGCGATTGGGTAGCTGCCTTGGAGGAGGGACGATGGGCGTTGGAGGGACTGAGGATGCATCGTGGTCAATTGGAGAAACAGGGTTCGAGTTGTTGATGACGAATGCACCTGCTCGTCTAGCCACGGAGACGTTTCGCACAATCGTCGTTGGCCCCACCGTCGACGTACTGCTTCGACTTGAATCTCGGTTAGGCCGAGCAGTGTTGACGCTCAGGCGGTTCAAGTCCTCCTCCCGCTCCAATCGCTCCCTCGACGCCTCGTTCCTCAGCCTACGCTCCTGTGCCATCCGATCTTCCTCGGGAGAGAAGGGCAGTGTCGGAGAGAAGGTTTCGGCAAGGGCTGCAGAATAAGGGCCAGGTTCGTGGCGATCTTCACTGGCCGTGGGCGACCGCCCTTGGCTCAGAATGCCTTCGATTTCTGACCACAGTGGGGAGCTACTACCAGCGTCTCCAGTCCATGGCGGAGAAAGATTGGCATACTGAGCATCATTATCAATAGGTTCCTCCAACTCTGACAATGGTTCAGGTCTCGCTTTTGAACTTTCGCCGCCTAGGGAACGCGAATGGGAGGTATGCGTGGGTCGGTTTGAAACTGTAAACGAGGAAGGCCCTTGAGTTGCAGCACTAGCAGGCGCTGACTGGGGTGTCAGTGGTGTTGGGCCCAGGGGTGAAGGGCCCAAGGTCAGCTTGTCATCAAGGTCGGATGATAGTCCAGAAAGCAGCATGCCCGCCCATGCCGAAAGATCCCCACTTCCGCTTGCTTGATGTAAGGATAGTCTTGGAGGTAACGCGTTTGTGCGTTTCGGTTGAGGAGGGCTCGCTTCCGGACTGGCGTTGTTGTCGGTCGGTTGAGTAACCGCCGCATTTGAATGGTTGCTAGAAGTAGACGTATTGGCAGCTGTTTGTGGTCGACTTGCAGTTGAAGATGACGACGGCGAAGACCATAGGGAAGGTTGGCTCCCGAACAGGCGCTTGGATGTCGAAGAGGCGTTTGATTCGTTACGATTGTGACTGTGACCATTCAGAAGTGATGAAGCTTGAGACATGAATGACTGAGCGATCGAAGGGTTGGCAGCGTGTGCAGGTTTACCGGGAGGTGTTGACACGTCCTTTGGGAAATTGCCATTCCTCGACTGCTGATAGACATCTTCACCACTGACACCGCTGTGATTGGAGTCGGACGAATAAGAAATTGATAGTTGCGGAGTGTGGTTCCGACTAGAGTGGTCTTGAGAAGCACCTTGTCGAACCGCTTTGATGTTGCTGATACTTCCGGCATTGCTGGAATGTAACGACGCTGTTGACGCGGACGCAGGGCTACCAAAGGGTATCGGGTGCCGCTGGCGCGTCGAAGTGCTCCTCAGCGATGCGTCCGAGACCTGTCTGGGCAAAGACGTCGTTCTTGGGCCAGGCTGCGCAATGATCGGGACATTGGAGGCACTCTGCTGATACGGGTGGGGTATACGGGGAGAAGGTGGACGAGCGTTCAGCACATATTGGGAATTCGGGGATCGCGAACCTGCTGCGCGACGGTTGTGGATGGCGATTATTTCCTCGTCAGAAAACCCTGCTTGCGACAGCGCTGCTGACCAAGTTGGAGGGAGGCCAACGAGTCTACCGTGGTGTGAGTAGGGAAACGGATCACATCTAGATTCTCACTCACCCTTCGTTAACGTGAATGTTGTGCTGGAGTGGATGGCCAAAACGTCAGGGTTGAACACTAAGCGTCTACACTTGGACTGACCTGGAAATTGAACGGCGTGGAGATCCCATCGTCGCCGTTCGACGGTAACGGAGGTACGGCGCTGTCCCAACTGGCGTCCTTGGTTGGAGGCGATTTGGGACTCCGTTTGCCAAACTTCAAAAAGGAGAGCGCCTTTTCCTTTCCCCTGGACTGTGGTCTTTTGCCTTCCGTGGGTGGCGAGGATAAACCGGAGGCTATCGACGACGTTAGCGACATCGTTGACTGGTTTGGGTCGTGCGATGTCTGTGATGTGTACAGCCGGTGGGGTTGCGGCGACAGCGGTGAGTTTGGTGGAATTGAAACCGCGTCTGGCGACAACGAGGCCATCGACCTGTTCCTAAGATAATATTCGTCCTTTGGAGGCGGCGGTGGTGGTCTATTGTCCCTGAACTTGAAGGCCTTTAAGGTCGAAAACCTGGAACCCAGGGTGGTGGATGAAGGACCCGACGCGCTCGTGCTGCTTGCCATGTTGTCTGCGCCCTAACTAGCAAGGCATCAGTCTGTTCCACGTCGTTGAGGGGGTCTCGTCGCCGTCGTTGTCGTCGAGCACAAGGCAGAAATCAGGAGTGCCGTCGCTGTTGGTTGAAATTGCTGGGCTGATGTGGTTGGTGTCAACTGGGTGATCCGGGAACCAGGTGCTGTGCTGTGAGCCAACCCAGTTTGTTGTTGCTTGATTTCCACCCGCCAGAGCACCGTCTCGCCGTCGTCCGATGAAAACGCTGCTCGTCGCGTCGCTGTCTTGGTCGCCGTCGACAATAGTGGTGGGGCCACGCTGTGCTGTCTTTCAAACTTTTCAATCGGAGGTTATATGTTTGGTCTTCTTGCCATGTGTCGGACGCGCCCTCGTCGTCCACGCCGTTTCATCTGCACTCATCAAAATGTTTCTCATAAGACGCTGAGCGCACGTCAAGGGCTTTCAATTGTCAATGGCTATCGACACGCTCTGGTACCCGATAAACAATCTCTCCTTGGGAATTTTATCTGCCCCCTGATCCCGATTCCACTGGGCCTAGGAACTCTGGGAATTCAACACAGACTCTTGCCCACTCTCGACGCTCGACGTCTTCGTCTCGTACATCTGGATCGGTGCTGCCCAGTGGATAGCTGCAAGTTGCCGAGAGCTCTTTCCGATGTCTTGAGGCTCTCATCGTGCCCGGGTAAATAAGCTTGGCTCATTTCAAGTATTGGATATTCTGGAACTGCGGATCACTGGTGGCTGTCGATCACGCCCTCGGTGCATGATGGCAGGAGCGAACTTCTACCATTGCCAGGGTTCTGGTCTTCATAACTGCCCACCGTTTGGACTCGTGTGCCCTTGGAATAGGACAGGGCTACTTCACCTTCCTCCCGATATAGTTCGACTTCAGAATCTGCGTCTCTTGTGGCCATCCGTTGAATCTGAAAGCTCGCCAATCGGGCGCCAGGTATACTTCCATCTTCATCAGTGAAGAGACTTGGAGGCGTGCATGACGATGTGCATTCCAACATGGATCTCTTAATTCACAACCTGTAGCGAATCTCTGTGCCCCCAGGATCCTTCAGTGGTTTTCCTTGATCTTCACTCAGGCTGTATTCGAGAACGTTCCAATCTCGAAGCAAGGGCCTTGTGTCCGGGAGGGACTGGGCACAACCATACCGCAGTAGAATTACACTCCTTGAATTCATGAAGAATCGAATCGGTTGGTGGGAATCTCGAAGGAAGAGAATGAAGGAAGCCCCACGAAGGCTTTGCACTGGTAATAGAATGGTGGCAAGACGACCGACAAAGATAGTAACAGGCCAAGTTTTGCGTGGACTGGTGCTGCGCCTACTAGTTCGACACGCGTTCTGATCCACCTCTAAATAACTTGCCGTGACAGGGTGAATCGTATCGAAGGTAGCATCTTTGCTCTATACACTAAACATAAATGCACCCCGTAACAATGGATTAACTACTGTTAAGGGCGATTACGATCTGGAATCCTGCTCGAAATAGAATTGCGATATGTAACGATGAATAAGTAGAACCTAGTAGAACACACTGGTGGGCGGCGTGGGTAATGTAGAAAGCAGATCTCTATGATGCGGGTAACTGAGCCAACGGCAGGGATGAGCGATACCTCGGGAAGTAATTCCTAGCAATACCGACGGGGCCGGAAATCTTGCGGGAATCTGCCAGCCCTGCAAGGTGCGCTAGAGTTACCGGTACTTATGAGAGACCTACGGACATATGTATCTTGTTTCGGAGCCAGAGGAGTACATCCCGCCAATCGATGACTTGCCGAAGGGCTGCCAGAAACGGTTGCTCTCGGAAACCAGATTAACGATTTAAGCGCCCGTCGACCCCAAGTCCCTTTTGAGTTAGATGTACCCCAAGCAGGTGCCTGTCTCTAATTTCGAAAAACAGGGTTGCGAACAAGGATGTATTGGCATTCCCGTGCTTCCCATGTTTCTGATAAGGTATGGGCCGCGCGATATATCCGTGGATACTCGGGGTGTCTGGTGACAAAAGCCCAGTGGCGGTACGTACGATGAGCCCGAGTACCAGATAAGTTTTTATATCTCACTTAAAGGTAGAAGACGACCACCCTTACTGAAATAGTTTTCCGGACAAGGGCAGTGAGAGTTGGGCGCTTATTTTCTGATGCACAGTCACATGATGTTTTGATGGCATTGCGCACGCGTTGCTCGGGACGTCCATTTCCATCTTGGAACGAGGATACCACCCTAACGTTTCAAAGCGAAATTCTTCAATGGCTGAGTGTCTGCTCCCCGCTCTGCGTGCAAACGAGATCCCATCTCTTGATACGATTTGTTTCACAAACCAACGAACTTCAAAGTTCTCACCGTGCTACCAGACCATTGGCTCAAACAACTTGCTGGTGTCTGCCACGCCTGGACGCGGACGAGTCAAGTCCTGCATAACCCCGCAAGCTTGACAATTCTCCGAGAAGATATGACGACTGTATTGACCTTTACACTCGCTTGAGGCCCCCTCGCCATTCCCTTTCACGCGCTTCCCGGGCCCTGCGCATTGGCGACACCTGACTCGGTCAGTCCTGATCGATGCCTGCCATCCGCCCCTACCGTTGTGTTTCCTTCGATTCTTCCCTTCATCGCCGTCTCCTTTGCGGTAGGGATTCTGTATCCGGTCTCTTATTTTCAATGGCTCCCATCTCACCCTCGAAACATCGGGTACCTCGGACCCATGCCAGCCACTTCAATGGTATGTTTGGCCCCGATATCCTCCACCATTCTGATCCCCGCTCCTAATGACTTCCAGGGTTTAGGCTATGAGCCAGGGATTGGCCCAGTTCTACAGAACACAGTCCTCTATCCTGGTCCTCCAAGGGACCATTTCGATAATGAATGACTATTGATTCACTACTAGGACTGTAGTTAAGATAACCCAGCCAGATAACTGGAGTCAAACCTTGTGTCTTCATGTGCGCCAGGAGGATTCCAGCCCGAAGGATCGAGTGCGGTTGCAGCGGTGAGTCGTGTGGGATATTTCTTGCGAGCGATGCATCAACACTGAAGTTTGAAACCCAGGCAGACCCTATGGCCTGTGGCAGTGGATAAGCAGCCAGGGATAAGGCAGGTCATCGACTGTCACTGTCCACAGTGACGTTGAATCCTCCGAGTTCGATCTCTTAGTAGAGGGCACGAAGCTACCTACCAGAGGGTCCCCTCTCAAGGCTCATGATGAACGCCACCACCTGGGCCATGCCGCAATTCCGCGTTCCTCTCATTCGCTGTGTGACGTGAGTCTCGGACTGCTTGATACATAGATTCAACACGCACAGACTCCACGAGGTGAGCGTTTGCCAACTGTGCAGACGAGAGATATTGTCGGACATTGATTTCTCTTTGACAAGTCCCTAATAGGCGATGCCGTCGAGCGAACAAGACGCCGGAGATGAGATGGTTGGGCAATAGCAACTTGGATCTAGGAGAAAATAAGCACTGACGGCCCACGCGCGTTTTAAAAGGCGATTTACGCCCGCGGGCCCCTCCCTCTGAGGCCGTGTCAAGCGGTGGCAGTGAGTACATCTTATATTAGCCTGTCGTTTTGAACCAATAATACTCTTTTGTCCAGATTTCCGAGGAAAACGAAGAGGCTACAGGCACTTTGGGACTCAGAACCTTTGGTATGACTGATGATGACGATGTTGCGGTGAGGCTGGTTTCGGGCAGGGCTTCAATCTCCGGGACATGGGTAGGGGTGTTTTTCCTCATCTCCAAGGTCGCAGCCGTGAAGTCTTTAATCACCAGTGGGGGAAAGCCCTCTCACATTTAGTTTAACCGCCTATCACCTTCTAGATTGGGTCGCTTCTTCACTCATTAGTAATAAGCTATCCTTTGCGATCTGCCGAACCCCTTTCAACGGAGTGCCAGACTGCCAGTAATTGAAAATGGGCAAACTGTTCCCCCATTTCGGCATGCCGACCGCGTTTATTCATCTCGGCAACGATAAACACTGTCCCCTGGTATCCCCGACTCATGCACAGCATACCTCTGTAGGCCCAATTTCGAGAGCCAGCGACGGAGGAACTAATGCCCCGATACTTCCTCGTTTTGCGACCTCCATTGTGGCCGACTCACGGGAGGTGCCCAGAGAACGGACGAGTTTGAATAGTTGTGGATTACGCTTGTTGATTTGGCTTCAATGGTATTAATGCAGCAAACGGAAGGGCCGTGAATCTAGGAAGTTATATTTGACTTGAAACGCGTACTCTAATCTCGACGGAAATGAGTCCCAACAAAAGACTGGCAACTGCTGTGGGAAGCGATGTCACAGTCATCTCATTGCACATTCGCCTGTGGCCCACCACCAGGTCATGGCATAGGAGGTCGGGTTTTTGCGCCCACTCCTAGTGGTCCAGTACCGTGGAGACCTCATGCTAAGGGGCGGAAATGTTGTTGAGATGGCTTGCACTCAGCCTCTCATACGATCAGAGAGTGCGTCATTCTCCTGGGGTGGGACGCTCTGGTGCTCCGTCTGGCGAACTGGAAGGCTGTTCTCGTGAAAACCCAGGAAGGCTTTGAGAAACCAAAGGAGCCTGAAATGTAGGAAGAAAGATAATCGATGGCGGCTGAATGCTCCTTCCCTGATTCAGGTTCTTGGGTAGTTGGGCTCGGTACGGTGTTTAATGTATCGTACCACGAGTACGGTTGCAATGTGTACGTACTTCATTGTCACTCGGTTGTGTAATCATTCGACGAAAGCTCATGCTTCTCACACCTGAACGCTTTCCTGGGTTGACCCGCTCCTTTCTAGGTTTTCTTTGTCTGCATGCTTGGTCGAGAACGCATGAAGAGAAGGGAAGAGGGGCGGCGATCCGACGCAAGAATCCGATGCGCGTTTCCCCATTCGTCATCCGGGCTCACACATGTTCACGGATTTTGCGAGCCTGCCCCAACCGGGAGTCCAACCTATTGTGTCCCAAACCAAGGCTGTTCGGACATCCATTGTTCGCGGATATGAACAAAAGTACGTATACACTCAGATGCAGAGCGCCGCAAAGCCTCATCGAACCTTACATCTAGTATGTAGTTCATTGGTCACGTCGACATATTTCGCGCTCCGCTACTCAAAGGTCAGAGTAAGTGCTGTGATCGGCGTTCTTCATTTATACGGCTCATACAAACAGCAGAACGCATAAAATTCGGGAATAAATCCGAAAGGGCATAATGGAAACTTCAAGTCAACGGGGACTAGTACGCTCTTCAGTACTCTTCAATGCCGCTGTCCTTGAAAAAATTCCTTGTATGCTATATCCGCACCGAACTCCAGGGTTCGATGGAGCTATCCGAGTCCTCGCCCAAGGAAAGCGACAGGTGGGTCATGGGCATGCTTTGAATTTACTTTTCCAGGTATGCTCCGCCCTCGTTTCTTCTCGAGTATCGCTCATGCTAATTGAATCTCGCAACGGGTGTTTCCAGAGGAAGTTGAATCTCCAATGTCCCGCCCGCTTTTGGGTGGGTTGTGTAATGTCCGCTTTCTTTTTCGAGTTTCGCCTCCTTGGGTAAACTCGTGGTCTGATCCCCGCCTTTCCAACAGTCTATCAGTATCGAGGAAACAGTCACTCGATTCCCTGGACTAGTGCCGAGGCCCGGATTGTGGGTTCTTGCATGCTGAAGTTGACCAACCTCCGACGATGGCTTGCGAAGCGTCCGATAGCGTTATGCTTGCTGGACGATTGGAGCCTTCTACCATGCCCGCAGGCTCTGGAGCAGATACAGCATCTGCAAAGCGGAAATAGACGCGCCTGTTTATCTAAAAGACTCCGTGCTCTTCTTGAAACTGTCGTATAAAGAGGATCCTCGCCTGCAATACTCCACCCTTCAAGTCAAGTCCAACTACACCAAGCCAGCGATACTCCGCACCCCCTCTAATCACTCGAAATGACCACCTCTGTGACCTCCATCTCTTGCCGCTGCGCTCATGACAACCGGGCCCACGTCTTGATTCGATGCGGTTGCACCAGCGATGAAAAGCAGCCCAACTCTGGCTCTATCCACGTCAAGGACGACGGCTATCACCGTACCTGGTGCACGGCTTGCCTCCAATACTGTTCCAAGGCTTCGTGCTGCCCCTCCGCACTTCCTCAGGTCGCCAAAGCCACGTCTGCCAAGCGCCTCGCGATCATTCGCGCCCTCCTCAAAGCCATCGCTATCCCGCGGGGTATGTTTTCGTTGTTTCAAATTGCTCCTCACACCAGTTCGCTTATAACTTAATGCGACCTTAAAATAGGTATCTTGTCCGCTACTCGGTCGTGGATTGCTAGCAGACTTCTCTTTTGGGCGAAGAAGCCCGCTATCCATTTGGACGCTTCTGAAAAACCCTTGAGAGTCTCGTAGACGGCACACGGTACAAGGAGATGCGTGAAGGAGGCGGATTGGAGTCGCTGAAGACATGTAAATCCGACATTTTGCGAGTGTGAAGGCCACGCGAGTCCGGCGCTCGTCGCAGCAGCTTCGAGGACACCCCGACTGCCCACTATGTCCACTATGCCCATCCCATATCCATTATGTGGCCCATCCGAACTAGCACCTCATGTCCTGCCCCTTTCGACATCACTATGATCGCCGTCCCTTCTACCATGCCTTCTATTCGTTCGCGATCTGTTTTGTTATTTTATCTAACCTTACTCTTTAATAACTTTAGCGTCATTATTGCTTTCGTCACCAAACACGAGTCCTCACTATCCTCCTACTTTAGCCATCTAATACGTACGGTAGTGGACCTGCCAAGACAACTTGATTCTGGTCGTCACTCAGCGAAACCTCCGCCCTGCGCTCGATCACATTCTCGGAATTCCCTTCGGAAGCGGCAGGTGTATTGACTTTAGCCTCGCGAATATTTCTGGTGAAAAACGTCTTTGCGCAGCAAGAACCTGCTGTAAAGTATCCTTGGGAATATGGGATGGAAACCGTTTGTCCAATTTCAGCACCTCCGGTTGATGCGATATGGATAGGAAGGGTGCGCAGTGCAACAATGTATGTCATTTGAGCCCGAAGAGTACAGAATGAACACCGCTGGGAAGCCCACGAGTCGACCACTGGACAAATCGAGACGTAAGAAAATGCCTCGAGTTCGCGGCAGAATAGACTGCTGTTCAAATTTTGGCGTTGACTGTCCGCCGGCGGAATAGGGCATAGTTTAAAACTGTTTGATATCAATGGTAATCTGACCACGGTGTGGCCTCTGGGTGCCTAGGTCGAAGCTTTTGGAAGCAAGTCTGGCGAGTTTATCGACGGACGGGCCTAGGTTTTCCGCCTTAGTCGAGGCTTTGGGAATTCGACTGGCGCAGTGAGAACGGCGCGTTTTTTCTCGGCGGATTCGTCAGACAACCCGAGTCTGGTGCGTTCCCGGTCGCCCAGTTTAACCATCTTGCAACCTGAAACCGACGTAAGCCCTTCTATCGAGAAAGCAGCGGCCAAGGAGAACTTACCCAGGGATCTGAAGAGTTGGTTGACCCTGGATGAGCCGAGGAATAAGTAACCGACAAGATACGGATTGGACAATTCCGCTTACTCTGCGGTCTTCATGCTTAGATCTTGAGCGAGCATCTCTGTGTCCGTGGCAAATTGGTCAACTTTGAGGCAGAGAGCGAAAATGTGAGTCAACAAATTTGTTTTGGTAGTTGAAGTGGACTGGTATCTAAGGACATGAGGTTAGTGGTGCGGCCAAGATTGGATAAATGGAAAACTCACGAAGTGGATCCTCTGGCAACTTCCGTGAACCGGGAAAGCAAGCTATCGGCGACGATGCTAGGTAAAGGTGCTAGCTTTTCATAGATCTGATCTTTATTGATTTCTTTTCGAGAAGTTGCCTGACGGAAGGCGAGCATAGCGGAGATGTAAAGCAAGATTTTCCTGAAAACAATTTTGAGTCCGCTTGACAGCGGGAGAAGGGAGTACTTACAGATTCCTTTTCCTGGTTTTAGGGGACTCAGCAGTTCCCGAGTTACGCAAGTGTTGCCTGAGCCATTCAGAGTAACGGTAAGGAAGCAAAGCAAGTCGTTCCTTCTCGTTCTTCGTAGAATCAAGTGCGCTGATTGATAGTGCTTTCCACTCTGCTTCAGGAATGATGCTGTAGAGAGGATAGATGTCGTCCGGTGAGGTCGCTTCAGTTGAGAACGGTGGGATAAGCCTATTCGTATCGGATGCAACCTTTGCCTCCTCTGGACAATAATGTTACTTGCTTGAATCCTGGAGTAAAGATAATTAGGCTTACCGGTGGTCATTAAACCTTCAGCGCCCTTGTCGATACTGTCCATAACGTAGCCCATGACGCCTTCCATCGCGCCAACATCGACATGATTCCGTTCTTGAGCACGGATGGCTGCTTTAGCCTTTTTGGTTCCAAACGTCTCTCCCAGGGCGTTTTTGGCCTCTCGGAATTGGGTTTTCGAGGGTGCAGGGGCAGGGGCGATAGATTTGAGGGCCTTTACGGTGTGAACGAGGATATGTGGAGACGTTGATTGGGGTAGAACAGCCACTTTCCCCGTTTTCTTGTTGTGTAGTGCGATGAAATAACTAGAGAAACAGTCCAGATGTAGATTAGAAACGGCGGGAGTATAAAACCATGCTTACTGACAACCGCCCTGAGCCACTCGATATGTCTCGTCCTCGTTGGTCATGAATTCGACAGTTTCTGTCTCCCCAGCGAGCAGAATATCATTTTGACGCTCATCTTCAGCGTCTCCGGAAGTTTTCTGCTTCTTGTTCGCATAGCAGTTGAAGGCCGTCTTTTCAGGAGCCTTTACCACCGGATAATTAACTGGACAAATTTAGGCATTTCCGAGTACGATGGGAACAAGATGCACACCTAGGAAGGGTCCTCCTTTGGTCTGTTTGGACGATGATAGCTCAAAGGTCAGGGTCGAGCTTGGGCTCGCGTCGCGCTTTCGTTTTTTGGAACTGGATTTGTTTGTCGACATTTTCGAACCGAAACTAGACGAATTTTAGATCGAATGAACGTCGTATTCTGGCCGTGGACGATGCAGAAATGGGTCTTGTCGGTGAGTCAGGAATGGTGGACGTCGGAGGCGGAGGCGGAAAGTATTGGTTTTGTTTTGGCACCGACGCCATCAACGGTGATCACAGCACTCACGACTCGAACAGCTTCATTGTCGTTGACGTTCTCTTCATCGCGGTCGTCGCCTACCGGTACATGCACTGACTTTTATAGGTTCATTGTGTCGCCCATTTAGTCTTGCTCGACGGCAGACAGAGACAATCTTTGCGCGAGACTGCCACTTGCCATGTCCGCTGCTGCCACAGACAACTATCCGGTGTCCTCAGACACTCTCGCCACAGACACAAATATGGCTTTGGATACCGTGCAACCAGGTTTGGAGGGGGAACCTATGTCCGTCGATGTAAAACCGGACTTGAACCTGAAGACGGAAGATTCGCTGGTCCCACCGTCAACCTCGCTCGCCGACCTTGACATGAAGGGCGAGAAGTCCGACTCCTCCAGTTCACTCAATGGGTCGCCCAATGAGTCCTCCAAGTCGTCTTCGCCCACGGCTACGTCGTCGAAGCCGCAGAAGGCATCTACTCCCGGTCCACAGCTCATTGGAGACCTTCCAATAGCCAGAGAAGATGCCCTGAAAACGTTCAACGAGATACCCTTTAACAACTATCAGTTCAAGTCCCTGGGTCGCTCCAGGGAGGTAATGGAGAGCATGACGTGTGACTGCGTCTACGAACCCGGTGAATACCTCAACATCGTTGTAGAGCGTCCTTAAGACGTTTGCTCCATGTATACCCTTTTCAAGGGACTGCGAAACTGACCCTCTCGATTGACTTCTCAGGTGTCGACAACGAAGACAATGCTTGTGGCCCGTATTCCGACTGCATTAACCGCCTTACTCAAGTTGAATGTCTCCCTGAGGATTGTCGTTGTCGTTCGCATTGTCAGAACCAGCGGTGGGTTGAACCCTCTCCGAGCAGCCATTCAAATTTGAATTAAAACCTTCCCCTAGATTTCAAAAACGACAATATGCGAACATTGAGATCGTTTTGACGGAGAAGAAGGGCTATGGACTACGGGCTGAGGATGATATACCCAAGTACGTATTTCTGCATCCCCACCTCCAGCGACCCTTTCTCATCCCCGTTCAAGGGATTCTTTTATTTATGAGTATGTAGGGGACGTGGTTAGCCCAAATAGCTTCAAGAAACGCATGCGGGAGTACGCCGAGGAGGGAATTCAACACTTTTATTTCATGATGCTGCAGAAGGACGAGGTGCGTGGGATTTCGGGAATCCTGGTGCTCGCCTTCTGAATCGTTCACTCGTAGTTCATCGATGCCACGAAATCGGGCGGTATTGGTCGTTTCGCCAACCACAGCTGCAATCCCAATTGCTATGTCGCCAAATGGACGGTCGGAGACCATGTGCGGATGGGCATTTTCTCAAAACGCCTAATTAGGAAGCATGAGGAGTTGACGTTCAACTACAATGTGGATCGTTATGGGTGCGTGGTCTTCTGTGCGTTGAAGGAAACGGGCTCAATTCACCAAATTAACGACTTTCCAGTCATCAAGCACAGACATGTTACTGCGGGGAGCCCAATTGTATAGGGTTTATCGGAGGAAAGACGCAGACCGATGTGGCCACGATGGACGACCTCTACCTGGACGGTTCGTGTCAAAGACTCCCTTACACTCAATGGTACACTAATTGTCGACATTTAGCTCTTGGTATCACCGACGAGGACGATGTTGCGGCGTTGAAGGGGACCAAAAAGAAGAAGGGGAAGAAGATCGACGACCCCGACTTCATGGTACGTTCCAGTCCGTCCCTTAGTCAGAAGAACGGTTGTTCAATCCACTTCAACAGCCTTCTGTCAAACCTATCGTCGAAAAGGAGGTACCCAAGGTGGTTCAGGCTATCCGACAAACATCCAACCGCAAGGTGCTGTACAAGCTCCTTACTCGTATCAAGGTCAGGCTTTTATTTCCCGGTTAGCACGAGATTCTGACAACCTGGTATAGATCACCGACGACCAAGCCGCTTTGCGTCAAATCATGCGCCTTCGTGGTTACAGCGTTATGAAGAACGTCTTGGAGGACTATGTCGCAGACCTCGATCTCGTGGAACTTGTGCTGCAGTGTTTGGAATCGTGGCCACTTTTGAATCGAAACAAGGTCGACGACTCTCAAATTATGACCTCTGTGGAAGGGCATGCTACTTCAGAACGGGAGTCCTTACAAGCATTGGCGAAGAAGGTATGTTATTATTTCAATGAGAAGGGACAGTCCTCTTATCCATCGCGTTGCTAGCTTATGGAACACTGGCAATCTCTGCCCCTCTACAACCGGATACCTAAGCGAGCTCTTCCCCAGGTAATTGTTGCATCTTCTACATCGAAAGGCTTTCTGCTTAATCCCTGCGTCAGGATGACGGTCCCTCGAAGGATAAGCCAGACACCCCAACCCTCGATCCTTATGAGGAACAGATCAAACGTCGACGGCAAGAGGAGGAGCAGAAACTTCGGTGGGTACGAATCAGAGCTCAGCAGTTAGAAAGGGAGAAACAGCAGCGCCAGTTCCGGGAGCATCAAAGAGGGCTTGTCAAGGACCTATACGACCCGTTCCCACCTCAGCCGCAAAAGCCCTCGGTGGATACCTCGTCGAAGATGCAGGAGATGCTCAAGGCTATCATCGCCAATGCAACGGAAACAGTCGCTGCAGAGGAGAAGAGGAAGGCAGAGGAGGCAGAGGCGAAAGCTAAAGCTGAGGCTGCTGCTGCGGAGAAGGCCGCCCGGAGGAAGGCGAGGGCTGCTGCGAAGAAGGCCATGACGCCTGAGGAGAAGGAGGCACTGAAGGAGAAGAGGCTGATGAAACTGATCGGAGCTGTGGTTGTGAAATCTATGTCCAAGTATGCAAGGGGTTTGCAGAAGGACTACTTCAAGAAGTATGCCAAGGAGGTGTGTGGCGGTGTCTTCTCTTTTTCCTTTGTTGATGACTTACTGACGTTCTTCTAGCTTACCCAAGTCATCACTGAGAAGGAGAAAAAGTCTTCCAGTTACAAGGAAGGCCGTCTGGAGTCACTCTCGGAGGAGAAGGTGGCCAAGATCAAGAAGTTTTCGAAGGATTATATTGCCAAAGTCCTTCGGAAACTGGAGAAGGCAGGGAAATACTCTTCGCAGTCCTCCAGGGCTACGACAGAGCAGACGGGCGCATCTAGCTCGACGCATACACAAACTCCGAATAGTCTGGATGGTGGTGATGGATCGATAAATGGCGGGGGAGAGGTGCCGATGTCAGTCGAGGAGGCCATGGATATGGAGGAAGACTCGGATGTGGACGCCGACGGAAGCGTGGCGGGCGATGAGGAACAGAGACGAGCCTTCAGGAATGGAGATGGGCGAGAAGACGGTAATGAACCGGAAGCCGGGCCATCCTCCTCTCGATCTGGTCCCTCGCCCAGGTTCGAAGACGATGAAATGAAGGGGCAGCCTTCGTCACATTATCGGAGTTACCACCACCAGAATGGTGATGCACATGGGGGAAGTAATGCCAGTTCGCCACTACCGCGATCCCCACCGCCAGAGGATGAAGTGCTCCCTCATATTCCTAGTGCGTGGAGGGATGAAGATCCGATGGGGTGTGGTGATATGTATTCAATAACGATGGATCCTCGACGACGGCACGTAGGGCTGCCTGGGATATAGCTAATGCCCTGTGTCAAGTCTGTGTACATTGCGAGTTTCGACGTAGTCATTACTGCTCCGACTACCGGGAGGGATTCACTCAATAGAGGGCGGTCTGGACGAAATGTAGTATACTGTTTTCTACTAGTACGTAATGTGTGTTCTTCTCACTCCCACTTCCTTAATCGTGCTATGTCGTGCTGTTGGATTCGTCACCTTAGCCTATCGCTTACTTCCGTCATCTGCTGGCCCGTAGTAATAGTTACAGCATTCGCGTTGAAACCGGACGTCGGTGTCCGACGCTCGAATCCGAGAAAAACTCTTTGTGGAGAATAATAAAACCCTAGAAAAGGATGAATCATCTGCGATGAACTGGAGATTGCCGAGGCGATTCTGTAGAACGGATGTCAATGCCGCATGGTTCAGCCTCTCGCGCAAGAACTTACAGTGTTCATTACATTTGTACATATCGCTTGAATGCATTACGACAGCGAAGGGAGGCAACAATAAAAACTCGAGGGATGAACGTTGAAGATGTGGAGCGGAAACGGATAATGAAAAGATGCGGTGAGAATGTTGGCGAGAACAAGGTAACAAGACAGCGAAAGGACTGAAGCACATGGTGATGAAGATACACAACAAACGGTGTAAGTGAAGGAACGTTCATATCAATGCTAACGGGGAAGGTCCATGAAGAAGCCAGGAACAGGTCGTGTAGGTGGAATATGGCGCTACGAGAGGAAATCAATAGGATCTGGATCATTGTCTTCGATGGGTGGAATGGGTTGCTGGATTCTGACGACCGCGCTTTTGCGGGGGCCTGTGATGGCCTTCTTTCGCTTCCCGGTTCCCTGCGAAAGAGGTTAGACTCATGGCAGAGGCAAACAAAATAGGTTAAAGGTACCTTGTTACTCTCAGATTTGACAGGAATGATATAGTCTGCAACGTCAGATATCGGGGTGTTCTCTTTCTTCTGCTTCGACTTGGAGGAGCTGTGAACAGCGTCAGGCCCGACCAGACGATGTGGAAGAATGGAAGAGCAGACCGTTTCGATTCAGCTTTCTTGTTTGGTGGCTTAGATTTTGTAGGCTTCTTGTGTAGCGGAATAATTTCTGTGTCGGAATCGTTCTCGCTGGGATGAATTTCCTGCAGAGGTAGTGGTGTAGGCCGAGAATTAGTTGTTTTTCCCGTCTTGGGTTTCTTAGCTTTGGAGTCTGGGACGTCCACGACCTTCGAAGTTGCATCTAGTTTGCGTTTCCCAGCGTTGGCCTTGGGGGGAAACACCGGGCTAGTTGGGGTAGGCTGTTCTCGTTTGGCTGCGGATAGAGGCTTAGTATGCGCGCTGGCGGGCTTCTGAGCGACAGTAGAGCTTGAGGCTTGAGTGGTCGATGAGACCTTAGGCCGTTTGGGCGCGGGAGAGGAAAGAGGTTTGTCATCGTCGCTGTCTGAAGGAGACGGGGCACGGGCCCTTGACTGGGCAATGAAAAGGTCGCCTTGCTCTTCTTCCTCCTCTTCAACGATGCTGAGCTTTCGCTTCTTGGCCTTGGCTTTCGAAGTCAATGGTTGCAGATCATCTTCGTCCTCCGAATCGCCCATTCGTGGTCGGGCCTTGGACGTGGATTTCTTGACAGGTGGAAGTTCGTCCGGCTCGTCTTCGATTTCGGATAGTATAGCCTTGCCTCTCCCCTTCCCCTTCTTCGTTGGCTTTGTCGCTTTGCCTCTGGAAGAGGCGGCTGTTTTGGATGGCGGCTGTTCCAATTCCTGCTCGATATCGTTCTCCACTGGGTCTACCACAGGCTTGGGTTTCGATTTGGTAGGCTGCTTCGACTTAGAGGCTGCCTTCTGTTTCGAACTAGAAGTTAGTAATGCGCATTTCCCGTTGTCGACTTTCTCGTCCTCGGAACTTTCAGCGGGCGCTTTAGCCTTCCCCTTCTTGGAGGCGGTTGCTGTCGATGGTATACGGAATCAGAAATGACATCCGGTGCCACAGCGTAATAAACTCACTAGAAGCCTTGGATTTGGGAGCTTTCTTTGCCTTTGACTTTGCTTTTTGAATGATTTCTGCGCTGAGTCAGATACATCCAACCTTAAAATCCAAACTTGCTTACCTTCCTCCTCACTCAACTCCGAATCAAATTGAACCGCTGCTTTCTGCTTTCGGGGGCTACGTCTCAGAGCAGTCGAGATAATTCCCTTTCTAAGGGAATTTGAGGTCGAAAGAGACGCCTTTTTCTTGCTTTTCCCTACGGAAGGACTGCTGGGTGGGTGGTATGGCTTCCGAGGAGATACAGATACACTACGGCCTCGACTTCGACGGGGTTTCTTGGGTGAGGCGTCCCGACGGCCAAGAAGAATGTCTGCTAATGTGTTTCTAGACGTGGGCACAAATATCCTATGATTTGGTTTAGAAAATGCCTGTTCTTGGTACCGGGGATTACACGCACCCTCCTCTATCACGAAATCTCGACTGTTGTCGCTGCAACCGCTGCTGTCGACTTTCTTCTACATTTTTCACCGCAGAAGATGGTATCGCTCGTGGATTTGGGGTAGCCTCCAGGTCGTTCTGACCATGCATCTATATGCAGGACAGTATAGGTTTCGCTGGGGTGGTTGGGGTCGACGTCCGGTGGACGTCCAAGCAGTTGACTGGCTCCGCGCCTCCGGAGTGTCCGACACCAACGGCCTCACGTGGCCGCGACACCTCGATTTGCTTCTGACGATGTTGACAAGCAACGCACCCCGGGTTCGAACCCAGGAGGAAGACAATTCTGACTTGAATCTCCCCCTTCATCGTCTATACAATTGGCAGGATCTTTAAACTGCATCTGAACCTTCAATATAACAACAGTATGCACGTACCACTCAGATGATGTGAACCCTTTCCAATGGCCCTCCAGAAGGTTGATCTACCCAACCGCACCTGCGCTTAATTCTAGTCCTAGAAATGGCGTCGTCACCTGGAAGATCTACAGGATTCATACTGTACGTGTGGACTCACGGACTCACGTTCATACAGTATACAAATAAAGAATGTATTACAGAGTTGTAGCAGGAGCTCTCAACGACAGAAAGAGGGTAGGTTTCTTCAGGTGAAGAGACCGTCAGCCTCTGACTTCAAGACCAGTTTTGCGAAGCAGCCACTCAACATCCATTCCGGTCCATCTACGATGATCCCCGTGAAGAAAAGGCATCTATTGAGCACCACGACCACATCCTTCTCTCTCAACCAATCGTTTTCAACTCACCCAGTGACAGTATTAAAAGCGAACTTCGAGAGATCAGATTGCTATCGGTCGACGAGTTTAGCGCCAGTCCTGGAAAAGAATGCACCAGTATCGATATATTCGCATCGCTGTCTGCGCTGGTTGTCACTCTGTATGTATCTCTCGTCCACTTCTATCACCGTCTGATCATTGGCACAGGCATATGCGCAACGAGCCTCTCCTCGGCATCGTTTACCTGCATGATTCCAAACTAACCCGTTTATCCGGAGCGGGCAGGCACATCATGAATCTCTACGGAAGATACTTTGTGGGTGCCGATGGACAGGTCCCCTTTGCATTTGTCCTCGCTTCCGGATCCAAGTCCAAGAGGGTGGTCGACACTTCGGGGATCCTAAACCAATTCTCCCGGAAGGGATCCATGAAGTCCGATTCGGCGGTTGGACAAGTCTTTACGGACTTCCGGTGGAGTTTCAGCAATGCTGACAGCGGGGATACGGCATCTGCACAGAGGATCCTCTCCTGGCTCATATCCCGCGGTTCCGACGGCCGACACAGCTCTCCACGCGGCTTGCTTTATGATGAATTGCGGGAAAAAGAGCTTGAGAAAGGGCTATACGACACAGAGCTGGGCAAGTGGTTTGGAAACTGGTTGGCGGAACGTGCAAAAGAAATTTCAAGTTCAGCGCATGAACCAAACGCTATCTTTGAGGACCCACGACTGCAGACCCTGTCCGATGCATTCATTAACGAGGTTGCCAGTATCGAGCGAGCTGTTTCCACCTTGCACCTCTCTCCACCTGGATCCGCGGAGCCCTTTATCCAGGACATTGGGACTATTCAGGCAGCAACCAAAAGTGTCGACATCATAGTGTGAGCCTCGCACATAATGCCGTCGTAAAGGTTCACTGACAATGTCAACAGAGCATTTGGGAGCCCTGAAGGTCTAGCACCCCCTGTCAGTAGTGCTGCTTACAACTATCCGAGCTGCCTGTTGAATTGCATTTTACATAGAAGTCAGATGGCGACGTCCAGCTGCGTTGGGTGACCTCCAATGCCCACCAATGTATCCTTCTCGTAGTACCAAAATTTGAGAACACCCCAGTGGACGCAGCTATCCTGTCCACGGTTTCAAGATGGCTCGCATTCTTGTACGTCCCAGCGTTTTGTCGCTGCTTCCTTGCTAACTCTCTGCAACGTTGCAACTGTAGGCGAAATTACCGGTTCAACATTCTCGGATTGGCGGCCTTCATCCATTTACCAACCTCAAAGGTAGCAAGAATCGACGCAGCCGTGGTCCGAAACCTAGATTTGATTCATGCTATATGTGGGCCGGCTGCACTCGAATATCTCGTTCTAGTCAAACACTCCGGGAAGTGGGCGGAAAAGGAAAGAAATTCGAGGGTCTTTCGCCGGTTCACCGACGCGAAGAGCTGCTTAATCGACATCCCACCTCAGAAACAGCAGTGTAATGCGTCTAGTTGGGCGGAAGCGCTTTCCGCAGAGTTCCAATTCCGCCAGAAAGGGCTACAGTTCGATGATATCGCCCTTCTCGGAGAAAGAAAGGCAAAGGTGGTCGATACGTCTGCAGGCCAAATCATCTTGAAGTACTTGACGGATAGCTTGTCCGCTGTACAGGACGAGATCGCGCAATCCCCATACGAAACACGATCCTCCAGCAAATCGCCCATGTCGCCATCACCTTCTCCCGAAATGCGCGCTCTTTACCTCCAGTTAGATCTCATCCGATTCAGCGAGTCCTTCAACCTCTATACGAAGATGTACTCCGAGTTGGAAAAGGATTCCGGGCTGAAGAAGGCCATAAACCGGCTCGAAGCCCTTCTACTCTGCCAATCCGATACATATCCCGACAAGCACAAAACGTGCGGCCAGTTGGGTGCATTGTACCAAGAGCACTTTGATGCCATCGGTGGAGGGTTGGAGCAAGGGAGGGATTTGGAGAAGGCGATCAAGCATTACGGCGACGCGGTGAAATTGCTGGACGCGACTTCCCCGGTGAATAGAAGCGCCCAAGATCGTCGAGCTTATGCGAAGGAGCGGGCGGCGTACCTCGGCGCTCTTACTCGATCCCTCGACCTTAAATTTCAACTGTTTGGCAAGAAGAACGACCTCGTCCAAGCCATCTACCATTGCGGCGACGTCGTGAATAACTTCATGATTGAAGCCGGATATTCGGATACCCAGAAGGCCGTCACCCGACATGTGTTCGGAACATTGCTGAAGAACAAGTTCCAGACGTACTTCGACGACGTGGCAGATATCGATTCCGCCATAGGCCAGTTTCATCAAGCAGAGAACCTGTTGCCCCCTGGACACCAAGGCATCCCGATCATTATCTCGGACATCTGCGAGGCCTACACTCTCCGAAGCAAGTACAACGACGATCACTCCAAAAGGTGTCCGGATGCAGAGAAGCGCCAAAAGAAGGAGCAAGCATTGCGGGATGTGGAAAATGCCATCAGGGAGTACTCGAGGATGAGGCCGGAACCATCGAGTGGTCACCTGGCGTACCCGGTCCTCCAGAACGCCAAATGCAAAGCATGGTCTAAGCATTGGAAGATGTGCATGGAGATTGAGAAGGGGCGATTGGACAAGTATGGGCCCGGGTGCGTCAGCTTGTCGGACGCTAAAATCGAGTTTAAAGTACATCGAAACCTTGATGAAGCAATCTTAGCGGGGGAAGAAGCTGTCAAGTACTCCCATGATACGGCGCAGGAGTGCGACTACCTGGTGAATTTGGGAAAGGCCTACGCGTATAGATGGTTGTGGGGGGATAGAAGTCCCGATGTGACGGCGAAGGAAGGAAATAACGACCTTGAAGAAGCCTTGCTGTGTTTAAGGGGTGCTGCCGAGACCGAGGGGGCGCTGTGCATCACCCGGTTCAAGGCTGCACGGAACTGGGGACGGTGGGCGCGAATAGGCCGGGAGAAGGGCGACAAGGAAATTCTCTTGGCGTACAAGTATTGCATTTGCCTTTTGTCACAACTCACCTCCCTGGACATCCCTATCGACGAACAATACCGGCGGCTGGAGAAAATCCAAGGAATGGCGTATATTGCCATTGAACAGGCGATCGTCTATGGGGAACTGGGGAAGGCAGTTGAGTGGTTCGAAGAAGGGAGAGGTGTGGTTTGGAGACACTACTTCCGAAGGGACGAACTGATGGATAGCTTAAGAGAGAAAGGTGGAGCTGTAGCTGAAGCTGAAGCGTTGATCGAGGAGTGGGAAGGGCATTGGAAGGAAGGACGGCTGGCAGTGATCAGGGAAAAGCAGTTGGCCAAGCTCATAGATCCCGATGACAGGAAGAAGAAAGAGAAGGGCGTGGGCGTCGGGTGGTATCAAGCAGTAGCCCAAAAGATGCGTGGGGCATGGGAGAAGATGAAGAAGATGGCCGGATTCGCGGATGCGAGGACGGATGGCGAAGCAAGGTGGGAGAGATTGGCGGAGGCAGCAACATTCGGACCAGTCGTTCTTGTCAACGCCACTGATAATCGTTGCGATGCTATAATCCTTCTGAAGAGAAGTCATGCAAGGCCCTTGATGAAGCACGTTGATTTGGCGAAGGAAGGCCTCACATTGCAGACATTGGACTCGTGGAAGGAGAGACTGCAGGAGGTTCTCAAGACGGCTAACCTCACCTCGAGGGGATTGGTGCAAAAAGGGCGGAAAGGTGTGGATATGAACAGCATTGTGGAGAAGATTCTACTTGGATTGTGGGACGCAGTCGCTGGACCCGTTGCCCACATCCTCAAGGATCATCCCGTGAGTCTCGGTTCAAACTCTAGAAGTACGCTAAGCACTGACCTGCTCGTAGATGGTTATGAAGGGCTCACGGCTATTCTGGTGCGCCTCTGGACCTTTGGCCTTTCTCCCACTGCATGCCGCGGGTGATTACAAGGGAACTGTGGTACCCGAAGGGAGATTGCGATGCGTTCAAGAATGGTTCGTGTCTTCGTACATTCCTAGTCTCCATGTGCTATTACGGGTCGCAAGAGGCCGCAAGCAGCGGAACGAGGCACAAGCTCCCTTCCGAATTCTCGCTGTGGCCCAAAGCAAGACGCCGGGACAGTCCGACTTGCCAGGGACGGAGAAGGAGGTGAAGACCATCCGCGAACTGATGGGTCAGTCTACAACTCAGGTTCTCATCAATGGGGAGGCCACGGTGGAGAAGGTGAGAAGAGAGGTTTCCAGGTGCGACTGGGCACACTTTGCTTGCCATGGCGTGCAGGATCCAGCGGACGGACTGCAGAGCGCGCTCTTGCTGTTTGAAGGGAAGGGCCTAGCGTTGCGAGAGTTGGTAGAGATGAAGTATATCCCACTTCCTGCAGATTGCGAAGGGGAGAGTGAAGAAAGGAGTATTGCTCAGAGGAGCCCCGAGTTTGCGTATCTCTCAGCTTGCCAGTCGGCTACCGGGGATATGACATTGCCGGAAGAGCATGTGCATCTGGCTGGGGGAATGCTTGTGGCTGGATACCTTGGAGTTGTGGCCAGTATGTGGAGTATTGGGGATGCTGAGGGCGTGGACGTCGCGAAAGGTATTTATCGCAGAGTAAAAGACTTGGCGGGGACGAAGAGACCAAGGTATGAGGAGATTGCAAGAGCGTTGAGAGACTCGGTGGAAGAATTGAAGGCGCAGAAGTCTGTAGATTATTTGAAGTGGGTACCGTTTATTCACGTCGGGTTGTAGGACGAACTCGAGTAATGTAAAGCTGGTCGGTGCAGCGGGGAACCCGGCTGGCATGTTCTCGCGTGGGAGCTGCCGCGAGAAGGCAATCAATCTGAGATTGGTTTGGGGGCATTTGCCGATCGTAGCCTCCGTCTCAATTCCGCCCACCATGGACCCACAGTGTGCTCCTTATCACCAGCTCCGGTCGCTTGATGGCCCTAGGGGCCAGCTACATGGCTTGAAAGACGGAAGGTACTATAGTCGGGGACCCTGGGACACTTGGAACACCCCTGGCGGGCTTGGGAGGAATCCATAGCATTGACGCAGCACTCGATGATGCTATGCTGGGTCCTCTACACTGGGTGTTGAGTTTTGTTTGAGTTGCTCTAAGCTCGAGTCTTCCGAAAGCTATACTTTTCTGCTGGGCAGCGGTCTTCCACTCCTTTGTTAGTCTTGACTACGGACACTGATGTTGTCTCGTGGAAATCTCGTGATCAAAATTGTTCTGTCCCGGTGGCCTTGTCCGACTTCATGGTTTAACCTTTCGCGTTCGCGTCGAGCGAACTCCTTTGTGCTTCAGTCTTCCTTTCCTTCTCACTTTTCTACACCTCTTCTTTCGTTATTCCTACAACCTATTCACTTATGCTGTTTTACTCCGCCGTTCACCATCTAACGCACAAACACCACGACAGCATCAACTGCGCCGCGTTCTCCAATAACGGGAGTCTATTGGCAAGCGGAGACGATAACGGTGTCTTGAGGATACACAACACGGAGTCAGCTCTAGGTTATGAAGGCATTTGGCAGTCGACCTGTGCTGTAACGGCTTTGGTGTGGCATCCCAGCGACAAGGGGCTGTTTGTTGGCCTCTCGGGGTGCAGAGTAGACTTTATTCCGCTGGTACGACTGCTCGTTCATGTCTGCGTGTCGCTCCGAGTCTTCTGACCTTAATCCTTATAGGACGGAGGAACACAATACGAGATACCACTGTACACATTTCCGCATCTGAATGCTGTAGGCGACGAACACAACCCACTGGCGCAAGTTACTTCCCTCGCGGTGGACGAAGAACACGGTTTACTTGCTGTAGGGGTTGGAGATAGTGCTATTGTGGTAACACGACCAAGTGCGCAAATATGTCCTTTAACTTTCCATTTCCATTCGACTTACGTTGGGGCTAACGTTAACAGAGGGGCAAAAGGGGCCACTATCCTTCTCACCCGAGTGCGATCCACCGCCCACAATGATCTCATTCAACCTAGGCCAAGACGACGACTCAGACCCCGATCTTGAAGAGCCGCCCAGCAAGGTCCAGTCTGTACACTTCATGCGGCAAGGTGCCGACATTTTCTTGGTTGTTACATACCTTCAGGATGGAATTCGCTGTTTCAATACCAAAACTCACGAACAAGCTTGGATGATTGAACCCAAATCTGCCGGCATGTGGGTCTTTTTCTCATGGACATCGCCTTTTCAATTCACTCAACCTGATTCACAGTGGCAGATCAGCTATCGACAGTCAGGGACGATACCTAGTATGCTCGAACCTTGTCGACGGATTTGATGTCTACAACCTTTCACAACGGACCTACATCGGAACTATTCCATTGGATATCCCAGAGGACAGAAATGTCCCACTACCTGCTAAATTTATTCACAAGGATTCATATGTGCTGCTGGGTTCGGCATGTGGGGAAGTGGCAATTGCCTCGATTCCAGAGTGTCAAGTCGTTCGGACTCTACCCCATGGTACGTTCCTCCCCTCTGTCCCCGTGCCGAATATTCTGAATTTCCGGTCATTGACAGGGACGGATATCATTCAAGCTATTGTAAATTGAACACATTCTATCGGTCGAACAGACGCTCAACAGTCGTTTCACTGCTACTTACAGGATCACACTACTATTGGAAGTGCACACTATATCGTCACCGGCGCGGCGGAAAAAGGAGAAGAGACGGATATGATGGTTTGGCTCAGTCACCCTGGTGCGTTGCTTGAGTGTTTTTGTAATTTGTTTTGCTGAAGGATCATGTCACCCAGAAATTCTATTTGAACCCGACACACCCGACACACCTGAAACGCCGGAGGGCCATGCCACAATCTCTGAAGTCAATGGCAGAACAAAGAGAGCTCGGTCGTCAGACACGCTCCGAGAAGAGGACGATTGGGGTGTGTACGAGTCAGATCAGGAGAGGGTTGCGAAGAAACGCCGAAACACGCGGTTCTCCAGTGGTCGAGAGGGAGATGAGTCCGAGGGCACTAGGCGGGTTAAGAAGCGCCGGAGGCTTCTTCAGGTTCAGGAAAGCCCTATGCCTGCTTCAGATACGGACTCAACATCAGAGCCATCCTTGGAAGTTCGTACTCGCACTTCGGGTATACGGAGGGGCAAACGGTTGCGGAAGCGGGACAAGGGGAAGAAAGGCAAGAGTGCCCTGAATATTTTGTCGCTTCATAATGGCTAACCATGATCGTGTTCAGGGACAGGTGGTAGTGGCGGGAAAGGCTCGAAAGTGGTCGAGGAGACGTTCTGTACTATAATGTGATGATTATGACCCTTACCTTACGGCCCTTGTAATTTTTATTTATGAAATTTTCATGATCTATTCACAAACAACGGTTGCTGCGAGGCAGCGAATGGAATTGAGTCCTTGACTGTGGGAAAGTGAACCGGCTTGGCGCGTTTTGGGCGCTTAATGCCGAATCCAGAGAGATCAGAATGAGGAGAAGCCGTGAACGAGAAGGCATAGCTGGCAGCAGAACGAGGGTTACATTTACTTAAAGACAACTGAATCTGAGCTTGTGCACACGGTCAATTTCTGAAGCCCTGAAGCCATTCAGCAAAGGGTGTTCGACTTTAGAGAGTGCGACTCGGATTGAAGGGTTTTCTCAGGGACAACGCTTGTAGGCATATTTTCTGAATCGTAATCCCACTGGTCATATAAGTCCCCTATCTATTTGAAAGGCCTTGTCAAGCCGCGAATGGGCCCGGAGTTCTTCATCGCGGTGGAGACAAACGCTGACGTTTCTCCATAAATTTTGCAGTGTGCCATCCTGCCGGACTGAAAATAATCACCGTCAATCATAGGTGCTGAGTCGAGGGACACACCGTTCTTCTTACCTCAGGCTCTTTATCAACGACGACAACCCAAGAGAGATCCACTGGATCCCCTTTTTTAAAGTCGACCTTGACCTCAATCACAAAGACAATTTGGTGTTTCAAAAAGTGAGCTATGACCATGATGTATAGTTGTCAGGCCGCGGTGGGTGCAAACTGGGGATAACTGACCTGACTTGGGGCTAGTATAGAGCCGGGTGACCTGCTCAGAAATTGGAGTCGAACGATGGGCCAGAAACTTACTCGACTTCAAACGATTTCATCGCCTGGTAGGTCCAGTCGAGATATTCCTCTTAGATCCTTCCTACCGACGAACTCTCCGAGCCCTTGCAGTTCGAATACACCGTTCTCTTCAAAGTAGTTTTGAGCCCACTGCGAGCTTTTATTCTCGTAGTCCACGATTATCTGGAGGAGTTTTAGGTCCAGAACGGCTCATATATAGGTGTATGGCGACGGTGAAGAGTGTGACTTACAGAGGCCAGCCAGTTTCTGTAGTCCTCCAACTCTTGGGACGAGAGGCTAGAGGTGATTTGGAGATTGCCCGATGATTTCATCTGTGAGGTGCAGGGGTTAGAACGATCGCGAATCTTGGGGGTAGCTGCTAGGTGTCGTGAACAGCGGGTACGAGCCCCTATTTTTCCATTATCTTATCTTATCACTTTCATCTCCCTTATCGGTTCCCTCCTTTATTCTCATTTCTACTTTTATTCTCGATACGGACTCTTTCTCTCATGGAACACTGCCTCGACGTACCCTCTGCCCTATTTCTTATTGTTTCTTCCTTCTCGCACTGCCTCGTGACTCCCTTCTATTGTTTTCTCCTTGTTCTTCGCGCAGCCCCGCGCAGCCTTGTGACCCTCTTTATTGTTCTTCTGTGTTTCACCACCCTTTCGTCATTTTGACTCATCGCGGCTATGTAGACTGTAGAATAGGTATATAAGCTAGGTAGATTCTCCTCTGTATTTCCTCAGCTTGACCCTCTTCGTCAATACACTGCTTCAGTATTCATCTGCATCCATCGCTCATCGCTCTCATCTCGTCCTCCGCTCTTATCCGCTCCGCACATCTGGTCTTAAGTTTGGTTTAGTGTCCGCTCTTCGCGACATTAGGTCAAGCTACCTTTGTGCACTGGCAACGCCGATCGTTGCTCCTGCATCATCCGCATTTCTGGCTCCTGGTTGACCTGCCGATCAGGTCCCTCCCTGGCAACTCTGGTTCCCGCACTCCGTCAAGATTTCCGCCGCACCGGAAGACACCTCCTGTCTGTTTAAGCCGCACTTCGTCGTTCGGGTCAGCGACGGTCACCCCATCGTCCTAGACGTCCATCTACCGAGCCTCAACCGTTGGACCGCCTGCTCCGAACAGCCCTGCCCCAACCGTTACCACGAACCTTCTGTACACGACTGGGTCTATATCAACTCCCTCAAGTTAAACGCCGAATCCCCGTCCCCCGCTAATCAGCAAGCGGTTGAAGAATTCGCCCGCAACAACCCCAGGACTCCGCCCTCCGAAACGCAACCCACCACCGCTGAATCCCCAGAAACCCCGTACCAAGCCTACCGCTCTGCAAACACCTCCCCTGCTGCCAAAGCCGGTTCATTCAAGCTTCCAGATCCCGACACCGATCCCGAAGAAGAAGACGAGGAAGACGACGACGACGAGGAAGACGAAGAAGAAGTCGTCCAGTCCCTTAGCGTCCGATCAGCATCTCCTGAACAGGAAAACACCCTCCCACCGTTTAACACTCTCCACTCCGCTTTAGCCGCATCCGCACCCCTCATCTCTGCACAACGCCTCAGCTCCTCCGGTCGCTCTACACCAACAAACCCCGTCTCTTTCATCTCTCGCCCGGTCCATCCCCCTCTCCACACCTCTCGGCAGTTGGAGGATACATCTGACGCTCCAAGCTCAGAACAGAAACCTCCCACTTCCACCCAACCAACTACTCTACCCTCTTCCACTTCCCAACCCACCGACGACTTCACGATGTCCGCTGCCGATCTCGCAAAACTTCAAGAGCAGCAGAACCAGCTCACCACCGCCATCTCTACCCTGGTCAGCCACCTTACAGCTGCCAAGACCTCCTCTAGTAAGAGCCCAGTCAAGGCGCCTGAACCCTTCCACGGCAAGGCTGAAGATGCCCGACGCTTCCTCCAGTTCTTTACCAACTGGGCCGGACACCAACCCCAGTTGAAGAAGGACGATGGCACTCGGGACGACAAGGAATGGATCTCCACGGCCCTCTCGTACATGCATGGAGAAGCCGGCCGATGGGCATCTCGCTTCCTTCAGCAGATCGCCGATCATGATGCCGACAGCACCAAGCCATGGCCCTTCGCTGGGGGAAAGTGGGCTAACTTCCTCACCGAGTTCAAGCAACGCTTCCAACCTGCCAACGACGCCCAGGCTGCCCTCCAGGAGCTTGAGCAGCTCACCCTCGGTCGAGGAACTGTAGCCGACTTTGCCTCTCGCTTCGTCGACATCTTTTCGCGCACCAACTTATCCGATTCGGACGGGATGGCTCGCTTCAAGAGGAAGCTCTCTCAGGAACACCTTCTCTGGCTCGCCCTCAGCAACCTCATTAAGGAACCCGCCAACCTGGAGGAACTCGTCGCTCAAGCCATCAAGAACGAGTTCGTCATGCGGAACATGAACCCCAACTCGTCCCGCACCTCCCTGGCCCAGTACGCTCCCGCTCCCACTCCCGCCCCCGCTCGTGACCCGTACGCGATGGAGATCGATGCTACCCGACCTGGCCCTAGTGGCAAGACCTACCAGGACTTCCTCAATGCCATGCGCGGTCGATGCTTCGGCTGTGGATCCACCGGTCACAACAAGAAGGATGGGAATCATGGGGCGTTACGCTGCAACTACTGCCAGCGTATGGGACATGCTGCCACCGTCTGCCAGGACAAGTACATGGGATTCCCACCTGGACGAGGGCTCTCTCGACCCCCACGTCGTCGTGTCGCCGCCACCCAAGAAGCACCCTTTTCTCTCTTTGACGAACCTGCCCCTGCTGCCACTGCCACCGTTGCCGCCACCACCCCCGCTGCTCCCCCTGCCCCTGCCCCCACCCTCGCCTCGCTCTCCGCCACCCAGCAACAGCAACTCGAACTCTTGGCTCAACTCCAGAGGCTCCACCAGGGTTTTTGAAGCGGGTGCCCGTCCCTGCCGCAACGCAGGCACCCTTTACTCCTCCGTACGCCACTTCCGAATATGATTCTGTCCGTTCATGTACTATTAGCTCAATTCGCGAAATAAACCCCCGTTCATCACACTTTCGCGTGAACGTGAGGCTCAGAGGCAGAAATCGCAGTACGAACTCCGCGGCAATGATTGACTGTGGGGCAACAGGCAAGTTCCTGGACAAGCCCTTTGTCGATCGGCACAACATTACCACATTTCCCCTCCGACACCCCATCCGACTCCTCAACATTGACGGTACCCCTAACCAGGCAGGCAACATCACACATTTCGCACGGCTAGAGCTCACAGTTGATGGTCACTCCGAATGGACCGACTTTCTTATCGCCGACCTTGGAGGAGAGGACATCATCCTCGGACTCCCTTGGCTTCGCAAGATCAACCCCACCATTGACTGGCGTAACGGCACCCTCCAAGTTCCCTCTAAGGTCTCTAGCGTCACTATTGAGGAGGTTCCAGATGAGGACGCACACCCTCCTAGTCGGGGAGTTCCCTCCAATGGTGCCATTCTCGAACAGATAGACACCCCGGTTGATCCTCCCCCTGTGCCCACCACTCCTGACCCCAACCCCGCTCCCGAACCGGAACTGGAACAAGCCGAACCGCCCCTCTGTCGCATCCGTGCCAACCGAACCACTCGCAGGAAATGGCTACGAGCAGGGTTGATTGAGGAAACTGGTGATGAACTCTGGTGTGCCGCTGGGTTCACTTACTCCCAGCAGATTGCCGAAAAATCTCAGAAAGCCAAACCCCAGAAGACTTTCGAAGAGATGGTCCCCCCGCAAATATCGTCAGCATGCTTCCGTCTTCTCCGAGTCCGAGTCGCATCGCCTACCCGAACACAGACCCTGGGACCACGCCATCGATCTGATTCCCGGAAGCCCTGGCTACCATGCGCACCAAGGTTTACCCCATGTCTCAGAACGAACAAGAAGAGCTGAACCGATTCCTCGACGAGAATCTCAAGAAGGGATACATCCGACCATCCAAGTCTCCCCTCTCCTCCCCGGTCTTCTTCGTCAAAAAGAAAGATGGCAAGCTCCGTTTCGTTCAGGACTACCGCTGATACGCCGATTTTGCGGCTAGACTTCAAACTGAGCTCAAACGGCTCTATTAGACTCGTCACAAGTGTCTACGTCTAGCCTACAACTAAGGAGTCTTCATTGATGAACCCCAGACCAAAAGCGCAGCGAACCCTTTGTGAGTAGCCTAAGGCGCAGGCCCTTACCAAAAACGCTAGTAGAGACTCTAGTCGAAGGTACCGCAGGAAGCCTAGCCCTAAGTCTAAGACTCGTGCGCGACGTCTAAGTCTTATGGTTTGTTACCTTTCGGGTCTGAACCTAGATCTTGAATCCAGGGCGAACTCTACCCACCTGCGACTTGAATATGAGGACTTAGCTGTACCAGCAGAGCTCATAGGGCAAAAGCCTCAACCAACTATAACCCTAGACGTGACGACTCGACGAACCTAGTCGAGGCATCGAGTCTAACGGATCACCAAGTCTAAGAGTCTAGACTGGTTCCTCCGATTCGGACGACCTAGCGGAAGCAAATGTCATTGGAGTTGATGGACCAACCGGAAGGACCCCCGACGCCGACACACGGCATTGGAGCGGGACGACCAAAGAGAGAGAGAGCCAAGTCTAAGGTGGAGCGCACCACGTCTACGATGAGACCTCGGCCGATCAGTAACGGACCTCGGGACTGTCTAGACGCGGACGGCTCTCCGCCGAAGGAGTCATAACTAAGCTCCTGTGGAGCAATGTCGATCAAAGTCTGACCCACCAGGTGGCGAAGTGGAGTTCCCCCTTATGGAACCGGAACTGGGTCATGGCCGCGTCGATCACGGCAAGGCGCCCGGCCACAAGCCGTCCTCGGCTGCCCTAATAAGGCAAGCCTAAGCAAAAGTAACCGCGCGTCTACGAGCGCCTAATACTCGAACCGTTCTATTTCTATCCTATCTATCGAAGCTCGTGTTTCTTCTGTTCTATTTCTGTCTCTCTTAGTCTGCCTGTCTTACCTAGTCTTCCTGGTTTTTCCGTCTTTGTTTGTCTACAGCCTTAGTACACCAAACACTCTCCTCATGTATAAAAGCTAGCTAGTTCTCGCTCGAATTCTAGCAGATTATCGCTGGCAGCTTTTCTCCAGGATAAGACTCCGTGAAGTCCGGCGCGACTCAGCACGTTAAAGGTTTGTCGACTCGGCGTAGATCGACTTTTGGGTTATTCTTTGGCCACTTCGACTCGGTGTAGATCGATTTGGTAACAGTCGTCCCGGCGTGTTCGACTTTGGTTTTCTGTGAGCACCGGCGTGTGTCTCCTTGACCTCTTTTGTGTATTTTCTCGACTACTCAGTAGCGAGGAGGTGGTGGTACCCTAGTCTAGCTAGTGGTCTGCCTCTGCACGACTTATCACTTCGCGCCTTGAGCCTACAAGCTCTTGTTTTACCTTTTACCTTCTCACCTACTGTCCGCCCCACTCCCGTGCACCCCCCTTCGAAACCTTTGCATTGTTAAGGGTTTGTTTTAGTTCTAGTGCCTTCCTACATACCGTCGTTCCTTTGGGTGAAGTCTAACTTCATTTGGCCTTAGACGTAGTCTTTGGTTGGGTGTAGAGGATTAGCCTTTTCCATTTCTTTTTACTTCTTTACCTTCACCTGCCGGTTCGGTTGGTGTGTGTGTGGTTTTAGAGCCTCCCACCCCTGACCGCGCATCATCTGGAGCCCACCGCGAGGGGGTTGCTTCAGTTTTACAAAAGAGGAGTGTAGTCGATTGCTAGCCTAGCTGGTATTCGCACAAGTCGAGGAGAAGTCGTCACTTGTCTAACAAGAGACGTACACGAGACGATTGGTTGTCTTCCTTTGGAAACAACAAAGCGTAGTTTTGGATACCACGGCGTCGAGGTCATCTCAGCCCCGTAAAACCAAGGCGAGCCAGAGAGCAGGAGTTGTGCCAGGACTTGAGTCTGAACGAGCGCTACGCAAAGCACTCCAAGGACTTCAAGAAATCGGTGCTAGACGCGACGGATCTCTTTCCGAAGAGGATCCACCTTTCGAGACTCCTAACGCCTCGATTGACGAAGACGCGTTTCCACAAGGACTGTCTTTACCAAAGACTCCCCCACGAAACACGTCTACTACAACCTCAGTGCCATCCGCACCAAAGTCGACGAGGATTTCACAATCCATTCGACCTCTTAAACCTATTCGAACTCACCCTTCGATTACCCCAACCCCCACACGAGTAGAGAATGCCAGACGTAGAGAATCTCAACCCTAAGGAGGTTTCTCCTGGGGATGAGGCGATCCCTCATAAAGACATGCCTTCAATTACGAAAAAGGATCGACCTACCTTATCCAAAGACGATGCTATGGACGTCGTGAGGTATCTCGAGCTTTTGGAGCAGTTGTTCAAGGGCATTGTCAAAACCGATCGAGCCAAGAAAATCTATGCGACTCGTTATATAGACGACCCTATATCTGAAAAGACAATGGGAAGCTATACCAGAGTATGCGACTAGTACTTGGAACGATTTCAAAAGAGCAGTACTCAGGTACTATCCGGAAGGAGAAGGCCTAAGCCGCGGAAGTCGACCTAGACTTATGGATGTCTTTAAACGCCATCGCGAGATATCCCAAGTAGATGTCGGACGAATGGCTAGACTCGCCTTAGCTATCCGACCCGAGGCAGAAGGACTGGAAGCGTTGCAGAAAGAGACAGGACATGTTCTGGTCACCAACCGAGAGATAGTCTCCAACATCCTAGGATGCTTAAGTCCAAACTTCCGAGACGCCTTACGGTTCAGACTCACTCTAGAAGAGTCTAAACCTGCTACAGAGGCAGCCGGTACGACTAGCAAACGGGATTGGTATGGGGAAACGCTCGAAGATAGGGTACCTTGGGGACGTGTCTTAGAAATTGCACAAGACTTGTCACCAGGCAAACTGGAGCTCACAACGCCTACGGCGGATTTTCTTCTTCAGAGGATAGAGACTATGATCGAAACCTCTATCGAAATCCACCGGCAGCCTCTACTCCAGCGGCAGCTGTGAAGTCGGAACCCACAGACAGTGATTTCCGTTCGTTTGCAAAAGCCATGATCAAAGAACAACAGCAGTTCGTCTTAGAGCAACAACGAGTGAATGCGAAGTTTGTAGAATCTCTTCGCGAAACAAAGGAGCAGTTTATGGCTGAAAGCCGTAAAAACGCAGAAGCGACCGAGGCTTTAGCGGGCAAGCTAGACATAGTAATCTCCAATCCGCATAACTTAAACTCGGTTAGAGAAACGCAGTATAGGGACGGCGCGTCGAGGATGCGATCTAACCAGGGGTCCAGAGACTCTGGGAAGGGAACTATCCCGACCAGCAGTGCTTCTATTGCAATGGGACAGATCATTGGGTCATGAGGTGCCCGAGTCGATTAGATGATCTTCGTAAAAAGAAGATCTACACTAAAGGCTCAGAAGTCTACCTCTCTTCCAATCACCAAAGGATCTCTGCCTTCTCACCCGATGGCCGTAGCCAAAAGGAACGAGTTGCGGACATGACAATCCAAGGAGCTTACTTTGCAAGGCAAAGCCATGGGCTCAATCTGAGTCTTCATCCCCATGGAGGCGAAGATTATGAGCGCAGCCGCGGTCCCACTTACGGAGACTTTAACACGATGCAGACGGAAATCTCTCAGATCAAGGATATCGTGCACACGTATCTCCTGGATCGAAAAGACTCTAAGTCTGAAGGCGTTCCTACCATTGAGGAACGAGACGACGACCTCGACTCGCAACTAGACAAGCTGGGAGACATGAACAAGAACCTCTCGGTATTTGCTCAAGACCGAGACAGGTCGGGTTTTCCTTAAGACCAAGGACGGAAAAGTCTACTGCTTCAAAAGCTTCGGCCGGCAGTAGTACAGATCCTGAGGCCAGGATGACCAAGCCGAAGTCTAGACGAGTTACAATAGAGGAAGTTGACGATCCTGATGACGAAGTCGTGAAAAAGAAGAATAAAGTGGAAAATAAAAAGGAGACACACTACAACGTGCCGCACCCACGCCTAGTGGTATGAGACCGTATGTGCAAGTCCCTCAACCGAAAACCCCAATACCTTGGGAACCTTTTAAGCCAAAGTCTAAACAGACTGAGGCAACGCCAAAAGCGGTTAGCACCGCACCCGAAAAGGAGGACGTACCGATTGATCCGCTTGTGGCGACTCATCGACAAGGCCCCGACTTTTTCCAAGAAGGCGCCTGTTGAGGAGCACGTCTCGGTGGCAAAAGATTGGGAAAGAACTCCTGGAGCTGGAATTCCCCATTTCCCTTCAGAAACTTATGGGCATTTCGAATGAAGCGCGTGAGTTCTTGAGAAAGATGGTGACAAAACGGAAAGTGCCTCGACATGGTGACGACTTAATCCTAGAGAGAAAGTTGTTGAACCAGTTCGTTTCATAACGTGTCGGACGACGAAAGACGACGCTGCAAGCATGCCTGTCTCCTCTTTAAAATGTGGGACTCAGGAGAGCTAGCGGGGCGACTAGACTTGTCAGACTACGAAACAGACGAGGAGCCGTCCGATGAAAGCAAAGTAGCTGAACCGACCTCTCCGGAAGTCTTATCACAAAACTTTATAAGTTTGAACGACTTACCGACGGTCCAGTACGAAGTCGCAGGTGAAGATGACGTCGACTTCGAACCAGGCGCCATCATATGCCTGGATCCGGTCGAACAATACGTACAATCTTTGCCTGAAAACGAAGAACCCAGACCCATAGTCGTAGCTAGGGAAAAGCCTTCCATTACGAGCTATCTACCCGGAGATTAACTCCTCTGGAATAGAAGAGTCTCTTCTGGATCCAGGCTCCCAGATTTGTTCAATGTCTGAAGAAGTAGCAAAAGAGAAGAACATCTCGTATGATCCCTCTATAACTGTCTTCTTGCAATCGGCGAACCAATCACTAGCCAAGACTTTGGGTCTAGCACGAAACGTACCCTTCAAGATTGGCAATACTATCGCCTATCTTCAATTACATGTCATCCCTAAAGTTGCCTACAAGGTGCTTCTGGGAAGACCGTTCGACGTCGTAATGTCTACCGAAATCCACAACTCTCGGAACGGAGACACGACTCTCATACTTACTGACCCCAACACTGGGCTCAGGAGTGCTGTGCATACTTATGCGCGTGGTCAGCCGCCTCCGGTGATTCAGAGGAAGCTGCAAGAACAGGAAAGACATTCTTTTCAGAATTCGAGGATTTGGTCGAAGACCAAGGAGAATTCGCGGTTGTAGTCGAAAGAGACTCTAAGACAGGAGAAGTTCGATTCATCGAGGCTCTCCTCCCAAAAGAGCAGACTTTCGGCTCCGCTGAACTGAAAGTCGCCTACTTGCAATGCGCGCGCGATGAGAAAAGTTGGGATGAAGTCGCTTCGAAGGCTTTCGATTCGTACCTTCTAACAAGCGATAAATGAGTTGCCGGTGGAACGTCGGACTGCCTTCATACAAAATATAAAACACCAATTACCTGCAGTCCAGGTGTTTTCACAGGCGGATGTAGACGAGCCTAAACCTAAGCAGCCAAAAGCACACCCAGTTTCGGGTAAGCCTGAGGTCAAGCCTAAGATTAAAGGCGTGTCTACTGGGAAGAAGTACAAGAAAGTAGCCGATAAAGTGAAGCCTGTACTGGGAACCTTACCCTCCGAGTTCAGGATCGATCGGAAAATCATAGGCGATCCTCTAGAAGGAATGCCAAAATTACCTACCCACCCACCGGAGTTCACACCTACGGGTCGGTACACACAAGAGCGAAAAGACTTAATGGACAAGTTGCACCCCGAAGGCTTCCTATGGCCTGAAGAGCGCAAGCTGTTGCATTGGTTAGTCATGGTGCATAACGTCGCCTTCGCCTGGGAGGACAAGGAGAGAGGACGCTTCCGGCCGGATTTCTTCCCGCCTGTTCGTATGCCTACTGTCCCTCACACTCCTTGGGTGCTAAGGAACAGACCTATTCCACCAGGACTTATGGTCAAAAGTCTGTCAGATCCTAAAAGAGAAGATAGACGCAGGAGTTTACGAGCCTTCTATACTCAAGCTACAGTGCTAGATGGTTCTGTGTCTTGAAGAAAGATGGCGAAAGCTTGCGTATCGTACATAGTCTAGAGCCTCTGAATGCAGTTACAATTGCCCACTCAGGAATTCCACCTGCTACAGAAGAACTAGCTGCACGATTCGCCGGCAGAGCCTGTGGAGGCTGCATGGATTTATTCGTTGGGTACGACGAGAGGGAACTACATCCCGAGTCTAGGGACTTGACTACCTTTCAGACTCCCATTCGGAGCCTTAAGAATTGTGACCTTGCCTATGGGATGGGACTAACTCAGTACCTATATTCCATGACGACGTCACATTCATCTTTACAACCAGAGATACCTCATGTCACAATTCCTTACATCGACGACGTGATCTTGGGGGGACCTAAGACTCGATACGAGGATGGTAAGGGAGGGTATGAGACTATCCCTGAAAATAACGGAATCCGTAGATTCGTCTGGGAATATTTCCAAGATGTCAATCGAGTGGTTCAAAGGATGAAGTATTGTGGAGGAACCTTTCTCTGCGCAAGAAGTCCATCATCTGCGCCGAGGAGTTTCCTGCAGTAGGACACATTTGTTCGTATGAGGGACGCAAGCCTAACCCTGATCGACTCAAGGTGATCACTCAATGGGGCGACTGTAAAGATATCTCAGACGTACGATCGTTCTTAGGTATCACGGGCACCCTGAGGATGTTCATAAGGGACTACGCGAAATTAGCAGACCCTATCCAGAAGTTGACTAGGAAAGGCGAACCGTTTGTCTGGGGACCAGAGCAAGTCGCATCAATGGAGAACTTGAAAAAGGCTCTAGCCGAAGCGCCAGTCCTCAAGACTATCGACTACGACAGTGATCCTTGCGTAAAGTTAAGCGTGGATACTTCATATAAAGCTATTGGGTACTACATCTCTGTCCTGGACAAAGAAGACTCGAATAAATGGCACTATGTGAAGTTTGGCTCGTTGTTGATGAACGAACGCGAGTCTCGGTACTCTCAACCTAAAAGAGAACTCTTCGGGCTAATGCGAGCCTTGGAGGAAAACCGTAACTACTTGATCGGGTGTCGGAAACTCGTCGTCGAGACCGACGCGAAGTACATTAAGGGAATGCTGAACAACCCAGGCAATGGGCCTAAATGCAACCATTAACCGGTGGATTGAAGCTATCCTAATGTACCACTTCACCCTACAACATGTGCCCGGTAAAAACTTCGCAATCGCAGATGGCTTGTCGCGTCGACCAGCGTTTCCTGGAGACGAACCGACGACGCCGTATGACCATACAGAAGAAGAAGCTGATGGGTTGCAAGGATATGAGAAGCCTAACCCGGAAGATCCTGACCCACTCGAGTTCGAAGATTTCAAGCATGACATCGATACTCGAGGAGGATACTTCACGGAATCGGGCACAAGTCATGAAAGACTTTCACGACGAGCTTCACTTGGGGGCGAAGTGTGACTTAGACGTGGTAGATGCGCGGTCTCAGTACGTTAACCTCGAAATACTGCCCGCCACCCCAAAGCTAGGGCAGGAGGAAGACTCACTTGAGTACCAAGGGTCTCGGCGTTCGAAGTTCGCACAAGCTTACGACAAGCGACTTGTGGAGGTAAAGGAATGGCTGGCGCGACCTTTTAGTAAACCTCTGGAGAAAAAGGATACCGAATATCTTGCTATGGTTAGGACGGCTAGTCACTTCTTCCTAAGGAAGGGACAACTGTTTAAAAGGAATGACCGAGGACAACACCTCTTGGTCATCGAACCTAGTCGCAGGATGTACATTATGAAGGCAACCCATGACGCCTTGGGACATCGAGGCGTATATGCAACCAAGGAACTGATAGCTAGACGCTTCTGGTGGCCAGAGTTGGAAGGAGACGTCGCCTGGTATGTAAAAGACTTGTCATGTCTGCCAGGTACGACAAAAGATGTTGGTAAAGATACCGCCTACGGTGACCGAAACACCAGGTGTCTTTCAAATCCTGCACGCAGACGTCATGCATGTGTCCCCCGCTAGCAATGGTTGTGGATTCATAGTGCACGGTCGATGCGAGCTCACACAATGGATGGAAGCGCGAGCACTAAAGAAGCAGAACGCCGAAACCATTGGCAGGTGGCTTTACGAGGAGATCATTACTCGTTGGGGATGCCTGCGCCGTATTGTCACTGACAATGGCGGACCATTTAAGAAGGCGACTAAGTGGCTTGAGAAGAAATATGGGATAACTGGAATACAAATCTCAGGATATAACTCTCAGGCTAACGGTTCCATCGAAAGGCCCCATTGGGACGTGATGAACATGCTTGCAAAAGCAACAAGTGGAGACATGCGAAAGTGGTACTGGTATCTACCTTCGATTACATGGGCAGACAGAATCACAGTTCGTAAAAGATTCGGATGCTCGCCTTTCTTCATGTTGACTGGCGCCGAACCTGTTATTCCATTGGACCCTACAAGAAGCGACGTGGTTCTAACAGACCCTCCTAATGGGTTTACCACTACGGCTGAGTTGATTGGCGCCCGTGCCAAGGCTCTAGCCAAGCATCGAGATTTCGTGGAAGACGTGAGGCGCAAAGTTCACAAGGACAAGATAGCTAGGGTTGCGCAATACGAGAAAAATCACAAGGCTACCATAAAAGACTTTGACTTTAAGCCGGGTGACCCTCGTCTTGATGCGAAACACAGCGATCGAGAGTAGCCTTGACAAGAAAATGAAGCCAAGGTACCTGGGTCCCCTAGTCGTCATTGCCCGAAACAAGGGAGGAGCATACATCGTCGCTGAGATGGACGGGTCAGTGCACCAGTCCAGCGTGGCCGCATTCAGGCTAGTCCCTTACCACGCTAGGAAACAAATTAAACTGCCGTCTAACGTCCATAAAGTCATTGACTGATGGGCGCCTCAGGACTTAAAGAGATGATAGAGGAAACCGGTCCCGGAGACGAACTCGAAGACTATATGTTCAAGGGCATGCCAAAAGGCTCAGAGCGAGTCGAGGGCGAACTCCTGGATCTCGAAGAGGATGCTCAATCCGAAGCCGAACTTGAAAAAGAAGACTAGACTCAACCGAGGACGGTTGAAATTTTTAAGTTGGGGGGAGAGAGTATACCATACATAGCGAAGACTTGTATACTCTATATGTACAAGTCGAAGCTGACCTGAATTTTTCGCGATTTCGCCTTAAGTCTCGAATAAGATGAAAGGTTGAAGGAGCGATATATTCACAAAGAGGGAAAAAGCCGGAGCAGAAAAACCTCTAAGGTACTACAAACGCTCTAGCGAAAAGATTAAGGCGAGGCGTCTAAGACGTCGCAGGAGTCGTAGTCGCAGGAGCTACACTCGCAGGAGATGAGGCCGAAGGCTGAGTCGATAAGACTTCCTGCATCCGATCCCACTCCTTGCGAAGGAGATCGATGTAAGTCAGCAAGGTCCCCACTTCGTGCGCACGAATCAACATCTCGCGACGAAGAGAGTCCGAGATAGCTCGAGCCGCCTCGGGACCAACTCGAAGGACATCGTACTCGGAAAGCACGGTCTTCGCACGATCCAAGATCTGGCCGAACCACTCGCTCTGTAGGGCAAATCAAATCGCCTACAGAAAAAGTGGTAAGTCTAGGTCGACAAGAAAGAGAAGGCAATTCGACTAGGCACTTACCAGACTGGACAATCGCATGATCCGGAAAGAAAGGGAGCTTTTGAATCGAATTGGCTTGAACCTCGGCCAGCTGTTTCTGCTCG